GATCCGACAGCGGAAATCTTATTCTTCCCCGTCGTCGAAGTTAGTATTGGGAGATTTATAAGGATCTTGATCCGACAACGGAAATCTTATTCTTTCCCGTCCTCGAAGCTAGTATTGGAAGATTTATAGAGATCTTGATCCGACAGCGGAAATCTTGTTCTTTAATACGGAATCCAGGCTCCGACTGGTGGGAAAAATTGTTTTTGATATACAACCTGATGAGATGACGCCGATATCACTTGAACCATTTTTAAGACGTTCCTAACCGGGATTGTATACGGCTGTATCGACCTCTCCCTCACTAACATACAATTGCGAAAACGGGGCGCGTTTCGGACTTGATCCCCCAGGGTGGAAACAAAGATTGAAAACTTCGGTGCTCAGCGGTCTTTCAGTCCAGACTACAAAAGCAACCTCGAACAACCCCGATAGTCTAAGTGCATCTCAAAGACAAAGCAGCCTGTAAGTATATCACTACTATGGCAGGCCTACAGCACGCAGAGAATGCCCAAAGGTTCGACGTTATCGTTGTCGGGGGTGGCAACGCTGCATTGTGTGCCGCCCTCTCGGCTCACGATCAGGGCGCTCGTGTCCTCATCCTCGAAGCCGCATCGCGCGAAGACCGGGGGGGAAACAGCCGCTTCGCCGGATCCGTTTTTCGTGCGGTGCACAACGGCCTCGACCAAGTCGTAGAAAATCTTCTCTGCGACGAGGCGAAACCGGAAGCGAAATACTGCTATATGCATCCTTACACACCAGAAATGTACCACGAGGATCTAGCCGCAACGTCGCATGGGCGGAATGACCCGGCTATCTCAGAAGTCTTGGTCCAGAACAGCTGGGACACACTTGTGTGGATGAAGAGCAAAGGCGTCAAGTGGGAGCTGATTCTCCGGCAGTTCTATGACTTTGAGAGTATCAAGAGAAAGAAGGAAGGGACCGTGGCTATTGACGCCGGTGGCCCTGTTCAGGCTGTCAATAACGGTGTCGGACTGATGGACTTTCTCTGGACGGCAGCCGAGAAGCTCGTTTCCGATGGCAGCATGACTCTCTGGTACGACAGTCCCGCACACGAGCTTTTGGTTTCAGGAGACACGATCCGGGGTGTCCAGGTGCGTCACCGCGATACCTTCACCAATGTATACGGGCAGGTCATTCTTGCGAGTGGCGGATTCTCCGCCAACCCTGCAATGCGACGTCAATACCTTGGGGAAGGATGGGATCTAGTCCTAGTTCGTGGCACCAAATACAACACGGGGACTATGCTTCGACGCGCAATAGAGGCGGGTGCTAGACCGGTTGGGCATTGGGGAGCTTGCCACTCCTCGCCACAGGATGCAGACGGGCCGTTAATGGGCGATATCAATATTTCCCCCTTGATCGCGAGGTATAGCTATATGTACGGCATTAGCGTGAACACCCGTGGGGAACGGTTTATGGATGAAGGCGAGGACCACGTCAGCAAGACATACGCGAAGACCGGCAAGAAGATTAGCGAACAACCCGAGGGCCGTGTATACCAGATCTTTGACCAGCAGACTCTACACATCCTGCCAAAACACCGCTACAATACGGCCAGACCAGTCATCGCGGACACGATACCCCAGCTAGCCGTCAAGCTCGGTATTGACGCTGCCACATTACAAAAGACTGTCGATGACTTCAACGCCGCGTGCCCGGTGGACAGCAGCTGTTTTGAGCCGATGGAGAATGACGGACTCTGCACTAAGGGTCTCGCGATTCCCAAATCGAACTGGGCATTGAGGATTGAGAAAGGTCCTTTTAAGGCGTATGCCACAATGCCCGGGATCACCTTCACCTATGGTGGGATTGCCACAGATGCATCTACGCAGGTGTTGAATAACGAAGGTAAGGTTATGCCAGGTTTGTTCGCTGTGGGGGAGATCACCGGTGGATTATTCTACCACAATTATCCAGGAGGGGCGGGCTTACCAAAGGGTGCTGTCTTTGGGCGGATTGCCGGCCGAGAAGCGGCGAACGCGGCGGCGAGGACACTGCCAACGGCTGGTCGTCTTTGAGTGACTATCGTTCGGCATGGCTAGGGACTAGTAGTCAAGGACACTTGGATAACCTACTATCGTACTCAATGGTACCTATCGATAGAAAATAAGACATTTTATACGATAGGTACTAAGGAAATTGAGATTTGAATATCTCTTAGTATGCACCAGATTCTTAGAGTGTCAGAGTGTTGGAAAAGGCCTTTTATACGACCTAAGAGCGGGATACTCAGGAGAAAGTCTTCTACCGTACTCGATAGTACCTATCGAAGGGTACTTAGGGGGGGAAGGGTATCTAGAACCCTCACTCCACGTAAGAACTTTCGATAATGTCTGCGATAAATTAGTGAAACAGACAAGCGAGTGAAACACTTCTACCCGACTACCTCAACATTTTTGGCCTATACTCAACTATAACACAAAGAATTGTCTACGCCTACTTGAAATTGTGTTCCTCAGATGAAGAGACATCTACTCGGTACCTGACACGTTCTTGAGTTGTATCCGGCGTTACCATAGTTACCACACCGCTACGCGCACATTTTAGACCTCGAACCCGGACCACTATTCGACGGCGTTTCTTACTTTATCACGACTTGGATACGACAACGAGGCTCTAGGTGCTCTCCCTCCTGCGCGGAGCTACTTCTTTTTCGCGCGGCGACGGTTACAGGGAAGCAATAGTCGAGGTGATGAGTTACAGCTAGGCTCACTAGGCTTGTGCGGCTGAGAACCCAGGTTCACGGGAAAGGCAGGGAGGGAGGGAGGGAGGGAGGGAAGGGCCTAGGCCGAAAGAGAGCCCGAAAGAGAGGGGATATTAACTATCGCCTAGGTAAAGAGTCTTGAATTAGCGGCAGCCTAGAGCAGTCCTAGTCACCCGAATGGGCACAACGGAGGATTGTTCGGGGGCCCCACGAGGATCCTGTCGCGCATACTTTTTCGGTATATATACTAGGCGTATGAAGTATATCCACATCGACCATTCACTCTCTGCAAGTGCCACAGCCTCAGTCATGTCCAGCCTACCCCCAAATTCTGTGCCGATCTCACTAAGGCAACGACGACGTGTTGAGGATCGATGGTTGCAAGACCGTCCCGAACAGCCTGCGACGAAGGAGCGGCTGCTGGAGTTACTGCTCGATAAATACTGGCAGGGAGTCGCTCGCGAGCTCAAACACATTCTGCTCGCATTGGCCGAAATCAGAGACGTTGGCCTCGTCAAGACCGAAGTCGTCAACGCCAGTGCTCGCGAGATCCTGGGATACAACACCTTTATCGACCAGATTTGCGAAAGCAATCTCGTCAAGACCCATGGTCCGTCCTGCCGTGACTAGGAGGAAACCTGTTAATGCCATCGAACAGCAAAGGTCAGTAAGTCTGGCTGGACTCCAGGAGACCCTCAGGAGCCCTGGAATCCTTTTCGGAAACACGAACCGAGCGACAATCAAGACGTGAAAAATGCCGTTGCGGCTGAGCTGCAAAGTTGGTTTCCCCTGGCTCCAAGTTGAATACCTTGTCCTCTGATCAATAATACAGGGATGGCCCAGACAAAGGAAGATTACTTGCACCTCCAAGCAAGACTTCTCCTTCAAGCAGCAGGTGACGAATGACCCGCGCAGACCTCGGATCCCAGCTCAACATGTGCAGGGTTTCTGGATATCGACAAGTTGGTAGGGCATCGGGAACCAGTTGAAAAGTACGGATATCACATCTGGCGGAAAGGCCAGACGCCGCAACGCAAGTACTAGCTCGATAGAAGCGGCATCCCTGACCATATCAATTGGACTAACGTCTGCTTCAGTCCGCCTGGAGCGCTGGAACGACGATTTTAGTCCCTGCTTGACCCCAGCAAGGTGCGCAATCCCAAAATGTAGAAACATCCTTCGCGGTGTTTTGTTTCAATGTCGGCGACAAGACTGCTTGGAGATACCTCGTCTCAACCACGACGACTACATCTGCGAGAAATGCTTCCGTGAGCGGAAACATCCCCAAGATCATCTGGTCAAGGTGTACAAGCACCATATCCTTGATGGAATAATTCTGCCGCACATCAGCCGCAAGCTCTGTCGATGTAGTGATGTTGCATCCTTTGATACTAACGGCTCATATACCGCTCTGTATCCGATCGACCCGAACGCAAAGCATCGCTGGGACAAGGCACAGAAAGTGCCGAAATGCAGACTTCTCCAGCTCCCCGCGCTGGTCGTTGATGCCAAACGTCAAGGCCTGGAGACCCCTCTGGAGAACAAGAAGCAGCTCCAGCACCTAACGCAGGATGCCTTGGCCACAATCAGAACAAGGTCATACCCAAGAAAAGCCTCGAGACATGCGGATGGGCAGAGGCTTGAGGAACAACCAGATGCCGATATTCCTTTTGTCTCAAAGACCATCAACTCAAAATTCCCGTTTGGAAATACCCATGTCGCCCTGATGATTGGTCCGCTGATCATCGAGAATGGAGTCGAGCAGTAAGTCTGGACGATGATTTCGATACCGGACTGAGATGCCACGGATGCTAACGCTGTGCCAGCACCAAGGGTGGAGCCCTGATCAGCAGCAGATATCCTCTCAACTACCTGGTCCCACCCGATTGCGACGAAGAACTTTTTGACTTCCTCACCTTCAGCCGTGACAAGCAGATCTATCGGCAGAAAGATTTCCCTCTGCCCGAGAGGAGACTCAATGCCTGTATGAAACAGGTGGTTGGAGGCGTCTTCTCTCGCTGGACCAACGAGGAGCAAGAAGATGAACTCATCCAATGTCTTGTCTCCGAAAGCTTTTTGCCAAACGGATCCACCATGCGCAGATTGAGGCACATCCACTCCGCTACCGCTCGATTGAAGGAGAAGATCAAACCTATACTGGAAGCACGGATCACTCAGTACCTAGAGAAGATAGTTACGCACCTATTCGATGTCAAGGTCGATGTTGAATGGCACCCCACGAAGAACAGTTGTCAAAGCTTCTGTGACTCAATACTGCGCCATGACGATTTCGGGAGCTTGTTTGGCACACCCGACGCTGCGTGTCCGTACCTGCTAAGCTTCGTGGTCCGGAAAGAAGGGTACGACTATGCGTTGGTCGAGTCAAAGCACGACGTCCCCAACGGTCTCACGGAAGAATACCTCTTTGGATTTCGCAGTGGCCGTCATGATGACGCCGACATCGTCGATACCCTTCAGGAGTACTGGTATGATTGGGGAGCTTTTGGGCAGCATCTGTATCGTTTCCAGGACCTCTTCCCGTGGGATTGTACTGAAGCATATCGCAAAGATCCGACGACCTGTGGCACATGCGACATTTCCAAGCATGTATGGGCCTTCCCGTTCGACGCATGGTCAATGATCCATTTGCATTTGCAGAAGGGTCGCCACTGGTACCCTCCTTCCTCAGAGAGTGGGTATGCTCGACTGACCGACCAAGAATGGATGGACAGCCGCATCACACTCCTCCTCGCACAAGACGCTCTGGTCAAGGGAGCAGTGGCCATGTCGCGGACACCGGCCCTGCTGGCGTCTTCAGCATGGTTCAAGAACTGCCCCGAGCCACAGTTTGACCGTCTTAAACTCGGCGGCATCCACCGCGCCCAGCCATACAGCCATCGCTTCGAGCTCAATCGCTTCACGCACTTCTATCTCGCTCCATGGGCGCCATTCACACAGCAGCACCGCATCAAATGCTACGAGCTTCTCCGCGCGACGCGCAAGCAGCAACGAGATGTGTCCCAATACAAAGGTGCCCCGGACCTCGACCCCTTGGGTTTGTCAGCTTTGATATGTAGCCTGGGCAAGCTTTACTGGCGTGTCGATGAACCCGTTGAGAATCTCGCCTTCATCACCACGTTGGCCGAGATCGCAACCGTGGCGGACTTGGATCATGGCCTTGGGGCCATGTTCGCTGCCCCAGATCCATCTGCCCACATCGACGCTTTGACCGCCCTTGCGACATCATTAGCGGATCCGTCTACTCATATCGACTCTGTGACCGGCCTTGTGACATCGTTTCCAGACCCGAGTTCGCTTACGGATGTGGCTAGCGGACTGGGAGACGCATTGACGGATCATGTTAGCAATGCCCTGGATCTGTTTTGACGGTCTGGATTCTTGGGTCATAACCACACGTACCCATGCGATATTATTCCGAGTGAGCAAGGAACGTCACCATTCATCCCGCTTTTCATCAGGAATTGCAGTAGTCTGAGCGAGAATACATGAATAATTACCGTACAGCGAGCGAGAGAGTCAGTAGAGTTGAATTGATTGAACTGATTCAAGCTGAAGTGAAGAACAGTCAAGTGAAACGAAGGAAATTTGTCGGACGTCACTTCCATCATCGATCTATCAAGTGCTCATTTTAGGTGCCTACCTGAGAAAGTGAAGAGAGTGGCGTCCGTCACCCTCATTGTCGGTTCACAACAGCCTCCTATTAGGCGTGTACCGATAAAGCGAAGACAGTGACAGACGTCACTTTCATCGTCGGTTCATCAAGTACTCCTTTTAGGCGTCCGCCTCTATATAGTAGTTCCTAAAGTGAAGAAATTGACGTGCGTCACCCTCATTGTCGGTTCACGAAGAGCCCATTTAGGATAGTCAACCGCGAAGTAACAAAGGACACCTACCTAGGAAAAGTGAAACTGCAATGAGGTGAAGCGAAGTAAAGTGAATGAACAGAATCTCAACTTGCGTCACTCGCCCGCTTCGTCGGTTCACGAAGAGCCTCTTTGAGGCGTTCAGCGTTGGTCCGGACCACACCTGAACTATAATACAAAGAGAATCCCTATTCGAAAGTGAAGGATCTGTCATCTTGAGGTCGTCACTCGCCCGATTCGTCGATGCACGAAAAGTACGCTTTCAGTAACCCAACTAGGAGGTGTACCTGTGCCCTTACCAACCTGGGAGAAGTACTCCCACAGAGACGCGGGGGTAGGGCTGCGGTGGCTGGTTCGGATTGCCTTGTCCCGTTCATAGCTATCCATCATACTCGAGGAGCTCAGCTCTGGTTCCAAGTCTCAAAAGTGCTGTTGGACTACAAGGGATTAGCATCGCTGGAGAGGAGTGCTTGCCCACATGCATGAACCCTGCGCCAATAGGCCGAGGAAGTTGACTGGAAACCTACTCGGCCTTGCATCTAGCGGAAGGCTCTGCATGCAGATAGTAAGCCAACTGGTAAGTAGGCTGGAGACCAGGAACACTTTTCGATTCTACTATAGGTACTACGGCAGGGAGGACATTCTCCCGTGGGACAACCCTTTGTATGCGCCCAGGCACAATGGAGATAATACAAGCATGAAGATTTGACGGAGTGGTAGCCAGGTAGCTGGGGTTGAAAAAGAAATATGGATACTTTTCATCTGCATAGGAAACGGAGCAAGCTGTGGAAAGGGCGCCACCTACTGCCGGAAAGGCAGACGAGTCATCGCGAATAAATGCGAAACAAAGTAGCTCGTGTCGGGGCAAAGAGTGCTTCAGCCATGACCTGGACAAGGCAAGAGGTCGAGCTCTTGATAGGTTTGCCGTTGAAGAGAAGGCAGCAAAGGTCGGGGGAGAAGGCGTTGCCATTGATTGGCTCGGAGTGCTTTAGAAGTTCGAGCTCTGTTCCTTAAGCTCCTTTTTTTCGACAACAGCATCAATGGCGTGGTGGAGCCGATGTCGTGACGTGAGGGATTTGATGTCGCACTGCTATAGTTCATCAAGGAAGGATCTTTGTTCATGGCTGCTCTGAGACGGACGATCACGCCCGTGCGGCGGTGGGAAGGGCAGCGAGATTGGCGGTCCAAAGCGCCTTACCTGTTTTCCTTGCCCTTTTCAGACGAGTCTGGAAATGTCGAGGCAGACATGGTGGCGCGTCCACTTCAGAAGCAATGCATCTTCGGAGTCATTGGCTCCATCTGTTTCATAGACGTGCGGGGGCTCAGTTGATGGATGGCGAAGTCGATGTCGAGATAAGAATACGCGTTGCACTTTCTCCATCCAGGCAATCCATTCATCCTCGCGTATGGAGTCCGGGCAATCCGCAACGAATCGCAGTCGAGGATTGCAGGACTGTTGCCTATCCCGCCCAGTTTCCCCGCAAATGGTTCACGAAATCAGCCTTTCGTATGCGTCGAATTTGCTCGCAAGGTGGCTGGCGACGCGCGGGGAAGGAATGAAAGGACGCCTGATCGATGGTTGTAGGGGCCGAGTTGAGAGGAACGTTTGTGTTGTTAAACATGCAAGGAGTTTGATCGTTGAGGGGAAATAACCGACGACGCTTCACCTCCAGGGCTGATAGGCCCCAGTACGGGACAGGAATCCACAGAGACGGCCTCTTAGAGACAAGTTTTCGTGGACCGAATATTGTGACAATTGGATCTTCCACATGAATGCAAATTTAGATGGACTTCTGATTCAGTACGGCCGTGCACGATCGGAGTTTGTCGTGATTGCTCTCATACTTTCCATACTGGTAGACCCGAAGATCTTAGTCCGACGGGACCGTTAAGAACGAGTTTCAGGTCCGGCCGCTTCAGAAGTAGATCAAGGGCGTGTCAGTGCTCTGTGGCATCATGTGGTTCAGCACGTCAGGTTACAGTTGCTGCTCGCCTCCACCAGAGTTTTTGCCGTTGGAACATCTCGGAGTCTTTCCCTGCATTTGCCACTGGCAGGTGGCAGAGTTTCTCAGGTCGTGACTCAATATACTCTGAGCACAAGTACATGGCGAGTGCAGCTTTGAACCATGCTACCCACAGTGCTTGAAACTTTTATTGTACCATCAATTCAGGCAGTCATACCAGGCATGAATAAGAGATGCAAAAAAAAGGAGAACGCATTGTTCCTTAGGAGTGGAATTGACCAATGGGCGCCACTGGCAGAACTCGGTTCGAGGGAACTGCACCCTGAGGGCGTCCCTCCTCTGCCAATGGCCTCTCGAGTCGCCTGGGATTGTACCAGCACGTAAACCGTGATCTCAGCCACAAGCCAACCACGGGATATACGCCAGAAATGGCAGAAAGGAGCGGCTAAGCGGCCTCGCAAGGTAGTCATAGACTTGCTTCGGGGAGCTCCTCAGACTCCGAGGGGAACAGGCACCAGCCACAGACGTGGCAAATGCTTTCCCAGCTTGGTCGACTTCGCCAGGTCTGCAACGAAATCCGCATTTCTCGCAATTGACAATATCTGCACGGATCGAAACTTGAGTTGGACTGGGTTGGTAGCGAGCAAAGGGTTCGCTAGATTGGGTCTCGAAACCTCGTAGGGAGTGAAATGAGGCTGAGAATGACCAATTTGCGTGGAACGCGCAGAAAAATGCCGTGTCACACTCCATGCACGCCTCGCCGCCTGGTTGTCGTTTTAACTTGTGAGAATTTGGAACAACGCTCCTCTGCCAGGTCGCCCTCGGGAACCGATTCGGTGCTCTGTGAAGATAAAGATCATAATAGGCTGCATTCTTGCCTGGGCTACGTTCTGGGCCTCTGTTCGATTGACCTAGGCTGGGCATATACGAACACGATCTGTGGTAAAAGCCGTGACGCTCACGCAAGTGCCGGATTCGCTCTGAAAATAAACGCAATGCCCATTGTAGTTCGTGACCCAACTCTGTCAGATGTGCGGACAAAGATACTTACATGTGATCGACCTGAAAATGTGACACGCAAGTTAGGAAGCGGTAATAGCTTCATTGGTGAGGGTTTGATTGGTGAGGGTAGCGCTTTATGACATGTCCGCAAAGGTTCGAGAAGGTGTCTCAGGCATCCATCAGGGAATTGATTGGGAGCACAGTCTTTTGGCGGGGCAAGAGCACTAACCCCCGGCTAGACTGCATGTCTGAATGATTGCCTTGAATACACATATTGCTGGTGGTCGATCAGCAGTCTGGGACATGGTGTCTGAGATGGGCGTGGGGTTTGAGCGAGATCGAAGATGTAGCCAACCTCGAGCTCATCGATCTGAGGCTCTACGAGCTGCTCTCCCCAGTCTTGCACAAAGCTCCCATGGTGTTGCCTTGCGCTGGTCCCCCAACTTTTCTCACTGGTCGATCATGGAACAACGCGTAGAGTTGGAAGCTGAGAGGGATGGTTCCACCAATCAATGGCGTTGCACATTTTCTGAATCACGTCTTCTCTTTACTTTCTTAGGCCTCTGCCGGGTCTGGGGTGCGGTCCGCAAGGAGGGCCGCTCGGTTGGCTTATGGGTGGAGTGCTGGGGGCCAGGGAGACCCTCAGGAAGAAGTTCCTCAGCGCCACGGATTGGCTGGAGGGATTTTTGGGCGTTCTTGATCGGATGTTGAATGGAGACCACCTGAGCCGAAGACAGAGTCAGTGGACATCGACCACCATGGCCATCTGTAAAGTGCCCGAGGATAGCTTCACACCGCTCTGGTCAATGGTCATGCACTGGGTTTGCCATGGGCGACATGGACGAGTGAGAATCGGGTTGAGCTGCGCCTCGTAAGCTAGACCGTGGGCAAAATGATAGATTTGCCCAATGCGATATTGCCCAGCTCCTCCACTTCCTCATGCAGGCTCGGTCACCAGGAAAATGACTTGGACTCGAGGGCCAGCCGTGACTTGTGGCACGACGTGGGCGAGTAAGAACAGGGTCACACGGCTGTCAAGGTTCCTGGTCTTCGGCACACAATGGCCAGCGACGTGCTTGGATCAAAAAGATGGAGCTTCGTGGGGAAGAAATGCCACCACCAGGCCAGTGGGCGACCAGTAGAGTCTGTGTTGCTGATGTGAAAGCGTGACACATTACACACTGGTGTGAGCGGGCGAGTTTTGGCGGCCAGCAGGTCAAATCAAAGTCATTGGAGAAGCGATGGGTTGTTGCCTGGCGCCACGAAAGGCACCCAAGTCAAAGCAGATGACGGGCTAGTGGGTTGATGCAAGTTCGTGATGAACGTGCATCCAGAGTCTGATCTACGAATCATTCAGTGGCACTTGAGAAGGTGAAAAGAAGAATGCGAGGAGCAAGAGAGCCAGAGGGCGGTAAAGTCAGCTGGAAGGCAATGACTCCATGAGCAACCACCGAAAGGTGTCGGCACCTACCTAGACTCACCTGCTGTTCTATCTTTATGCCCCTACCAACATCTAGGTATGCTGGGCCGCGGGACAGCCAGCCGCCAACTGGCAGTATGGGGCACTTGTACATGGATTAATTGGGGCTGGGCTGACCGTATATCGCTTTCCTTGCGGGTACCCTAGTAACCAAGTATTCTGTCGGTAGATTGTGTCATGATAGCTACTATTTGCGATGTACGTGTACTTGAGGCATTGAAACGCAGTGGCACTGGTGGCACCACATGGTTCTGTTGCTCATATGTCCCCAAATGCCCTTCCTCCCCTGAAGTGAGATCGACAGGCCACCACGCCACGTTTTAGGAAGACGGCAAACAGAGATTTTCGCAGCTCCGGCAGGAACAGGCAGTCGATGATCGATGAACATGCATCAACCCTGGGGAGCGGAATTGTTCGGGGGGAGGTCACCAGAGGAGCTCTGATGGGCTGGAAGATGAAAAGATGTTCGAAGTTGCTTCTGAGGCAAACAAGGGCCAGGGCCGGGCCCGGTCAGGTCCAAGAGCGAAGCCATGGGTGCCAACTAGGTAGGTACGAGGTAGAGCGATGATGATGGACGGGTGGGCACTGGGCGAGAGCAGGGCCAAATGACGAATGACGAATGACGACACACCAAGCCCGCGCCTCTTTTCTGACAGCGGCTCCACTGGCCTGGTTTCTTTTGGCTCTCTTCTCCGCCCTCCGTAGCATTCAGCACTGCTTAGCTGCCTAGCTGCTTAGATGCTTAGGCAGGCTTCTAGCCATGCCTTCCTGGGCTGCTGCTCGCTCGGTTTGCGCACACTGCACAGCCAAAACTTCTGATCCTCCAACGGCTGTCCGGAGAATTTGCCAAACGGGTGGCTTTTGAGTTTTTTTTCCCCTTTTCCTCTCACATCAGAAGTCCGAGACCGCGGTAACAGGTCATTGGAAGATGCAAGAGCAGAAAAAAGAAGGCAGCGGATGGTTGTGCTTGTAGCGAAGAACTGTGGCCATACACCACCAGGGGTTCGGCACAAGCCATGCCATCAGGGCCATCACTGACCCCCGTAGCCATTATTTGCCTCTTGTCACCCTCAGACCCTCACAACCCCAGACCCTCTCTGGTCAAACCTTCCTCTCTTTCTCTCCGTTTGCTTTTCATCCATCCATTTTCCTGTATCTCAACCCAACCTGCCACGCTCACAAATTTTCCACCATTTGACACGTTGACCAGAGCCCGCTTGCTGGAAGCAGTGGTGCCGGTAAAAGTGCCGCATCGAGCACGGCCTCCTTTACATAATCATCCACGCGGATCGGGAACGCTGGCAAATCCATCGTCGATCGGCTAAAGGGGCCAGCGGCGCAGTGGCCATCCCCAAGAAGTCGAGCCATTACGGCCACAAGAACAACAGAGAAACACACCACGCTCTCACAGTCTCACAGACCACCGCACCGGGACAGCCCCGTAGTCCGTGACTCGGTGCCCCCTTGGATCCCGTCTCGGTGCTGTTGTTTTCTTGCCGGGCTTAATTGGCATTGCTACTGCCACGCCTGGATCTTGACATCCGCCCCCGTCCCTCTTGTCCCCAAACGTCAGCGGCTTTAACGCTGCGTATCCGCCAAATACCTCGACTGGGAACGGGAACTGGAACTGGAACTTGTCCTCAAAAGACGGTCGATTGATTCCTCACCTCTCTGGATCCTTTCACCTTATTCCTCATTGTTATTGTTATCATTATTGTAATTATTTGACCCTCTCCTCCCCTATTCCTCAGTCTGTCAATTTCACCAACCACCTCACCTCAAAAAATCCCCGACCACCCACCGAGGCCAACACAATGCACGCCACGACCCTCTGTTGACCGCCCTGTACAAAAACAACAACACCACCACCGTCAATCCACTTGTACTAGACTTTCACACGACCATGGCGTCGCCTATCCCCCCAGATCCCTATGTGGCCTTGGGTGTCTCCAAAGATGCTGATCTCTCCGCCATCCGCGCCGCTCACCGGAAACTGGCCCTCAAGTACCACCCCGATCGAATAAAGGACGCAGCTCTACGAGAAAAGGGCAAAGACGAATTTCAGAAGATCCAGCAGGCCTATGAGATTCTTAGCGAGCCTGACCGCCGGCAACGGTATGATGATCAGGTGCGGTTAGCGGAGCTTCGAAAGGAGGCCATGATGAGAGATCCGCCACCGTCGAGCACAACCACTCGTACCTATCCCATGAGGCCTGCACCGCAAGCGGCCACATCTCAACCTCGTGATTACAACGACCAGGGCAATTACTTTGAAGAGGTCCGCCAACCTCGCGATACCTACGAATACAGAGACCCATATGACGAGCAACCTCCACGAGCAACCTCTCGAAAGTATGCCGAGTTTGAAAAACGCTCCGCTCCACCCCCCAAGACATCAGAAAAATCCAGGAAACCTACAGGCGTCTGGCCCGGCATGCCTGCGGCAATGGCCGCGGGCAAGTTCAAGGCTCAAGCAGAAAAGATCAGGAACAGCAAAGCAGAGGAAAAGAGGAGTGACAAGGAGAAGAGGCGGGAAAGAACCGACAAAGCACAGACGAGGAAACCTGCCAACTTCGAAGGCACTGACAGCGATTCCGACTACACCGAAATTCGCCCCTCGATGAAATCCTCTCGCTCCAAGACCACCTCGGCTTTTGATCGTTCCTCGGAGAGGCCACGCACAACCCCACGTGCCGACCGGTCTCGCGACTTGGACGACGATAGCTTTGATGAGAAATGGGAACGACATCACGAGGAGAGCAAGGCTTATATGGCCAAGGCGAGCAATGGCCGGCCCAGCCTGGATCGCACTGGATCGGATGCTTATCAGTACTGGATTGGAGAATCGAGGGGCGGCGGCCGCAAGAGTGGTTCGGAAAATGAAAAGAGACCTGGATCGTCTAAGGGCCGGCGAACACATCCCGAAGACTACTTTGCACCACCCTTTACCAAATCTACCTCCTCACCGTCCAACCTCCGAGCTCATGTCGAAGAGCGTGTCCCATCTAGACCCACGACACGGGAGCGTGAACGGGAACGCGAACGAGATCATGACCGAGAGCGAGAGCGGGAGCGCGAACGCGAACGCGAGCGAGATCGTGCTGACCGAAGACCAGCACCCCCTGGCCTGCATCGTTCTCAAACTACACCGATACCCAAAGTATCGTCAACGCGAAAGGACAATACACCCGCCAAAGGCTCCAATTTGAAGCATGGCGAGACAACAATGCACGATTCTGGATACGGCAGCAGTTCCAGTCCGCACACGCCTGAGATGCGAGAAGAGAGCCCGCCTAGGTCGGGAAAGTCCCGTTATCCTTCGACAACATCGACCAAGTATCAGATTGTTGATCCAGACCCGGAAGCTGAAGACTATGGACGGACCCCCAGGGTGCGGGAGGTTTACGGTGATTACGATGACCGCTCTCACAGGAGATTTCACCGCAGCCCGGAGCCCATGGTGGTGGAGCCATCACGGGACTCCGACCGCCGAAAAGAGAGACCAGACCGTCCTCGGGTTGATACCAAGAAATCGTCTCGCGGCGCTGCTATGATGCAGGACTTTATCCCACCCTCACCTAACATGCGACGAAGCGATTCGGCACGATACGAGGAACGACCGTCTCCGCGTTCTCCGCGCGACACGCCACCCATCTCGCGCAACAACAGCGGTCGTGAGAAGTCATTTGGTGAGGCTCCCGAAGAACGAGAGCCCTCGCGATACAGCCGGCCATATCCTGCGGACAAAATCCACATCACGCCTCGTCGAGAACCGCAATATTCGCAATACGAGTATCGCGAACCCGATGAACGATCACGGTTCCGTGACGCTCCCCGAATGACGCCCCGACGGCCGTCGGTGAATGCATACTAACGAGCTCATTGCTTTTGCGCCCTGTTGGGCAGGGCTCAGTCAATGGCCAACACAATTCCTCAGACCGATTTGACTTCGGTGGGGACAACCCTTTGCAGATCTTCTCTCAAGTATATATCAGGAACGAGTCCACTCGGATCCGTCTTGGGATTCGCTATCTTTGTCTAAATACAAGCTCTTCTCGGCCACGGTTGGGAATGGATTAGGTGGAAGGGTATGGGCATGGCTGAATGAATATCAAGAAATCTGGAGCAGCATCCGAATAATATGCATCCTGAAGGAGGGTTCAAACAGACATATATCCCAGGTCGACAGGACTTATGAGAGCCTACATCATCACCAGCGTAGCGCCAGCCTTGAACAAAGGAGAAATTTGTCTGGTTTTTAGACAATCGGATTGTATAGCTCGTATATGACCAATAATTCCCCAGCGGGAATTGACGAAATGATGAATCAAATTGAGTAGAGAAGACAATCCAGACGGCCTTGTTTTCTCCTGGAGTTGGATGCATTGTGTTCTGGTAAACATGATGAGATTGCTTTGGCCCTTTCCGTGGCTAGTGAGTGGCCGTTTTTTGTTGACATGCGACATTGATGGAGCATTGCTGTATTGAGGCCGAATTAAGCGAGAAAACGCCCCCGACGTTCGTCCATCAAAGGTCCCAAGCAACAAGCAAACCTGCAATTCACCTCATGCCAGTGTGCTAGCGATTGTGCTCTTTATCCTCTTTTGTCAGGCAAAGCATAGTTTCGTTGTTATGATATTGTAGCATTGATCTCCATCCACCGTCCGATCCACGCTTCTTCGACCACGATCCTGAAATCCCGCATTCTCGCCCCCTTTGCAGACCGCCATTCTGCAAGCCCCTCGATACGCAGCACTCTGTCTGCGAACCGCGCCCACTTCCGTGCACGTTAGGGCCCGTTGAGGCTATACTGTCCGGCTTCGTCCACGTTGCGTCCGTCGAGTCTGTTTCGGGAAGGCGGTTTGTTGCGTATGGGCATTAGGGTCGCGCGGTAGTACGAGGTACATGGCGCATTTACACTGAGCGGAGGGGAGGCCCAGCTTTGCGCACCTCAATAGTGGTTTAAATACTGCTGATGGCTGGCATAGCAACTGCAGGCCCTTCGACTATGGTCGTTAATGGGGCCAGGCCACCATACGATGCAGCGGGTTCCGCCAGTCAAGAGGTGAGTTTGCGCTGTTGTGGGCAGGGTTACACGCTACGTGCATGGGACTTTTTGACAATACTGACAGAAATTGACACGCGCAGAACACAACCGCAAACAAATCCCGCCCCGGAGGCTCGCTGCGCCAGAGCTCTTCAGGATCCACGCGTACACCATTGTCCGCACTGGCGCCAAACCGCAAAGACAGCACCGGCGTCAATGGAGGACGCCCGGTCCCTCATAGTAGAGTTGAAGAGCTGGGCCAGCGCGAAACAAGTTTGATACGGAGTGGGAGTGAGGCAGACAGCTTGCTTGATCTCTACAAGAGCAATCCGAGCAGCGGTAATGTGAGCCAAAACCACGCGGCCGACAATGATATCCCCGAAAACATGTACCGTCCCGCTGAGGATGATCCGGAGGGTTGGATTCATCGGGACAAGTTGGCCAAGATCGAAAGCGAGGAATTGCAAGCGGCAGGTATTAACCTGGCCAAGGCAAGGAGGAACACGACTAAGAGTACGCAAAGAGACACCAGTCGAGGTCGACGAAGTGAGGACCGCAACAATCCATCCGAATACCGCAGGGTGGAGTCGGAGGAGACAAAAACACGACTACCTGAACCTCTACCAGAAGCAGAAGAGGACGAAAGAGCGAACTGGGATTTTCGCACCCCCGAGGAGATTGCGGCCGACAACGCGTCGTCTCAACTATATTTGAGTCCTACGCTGAGGAAATCTGGCTCCAAAATCCCGGTATTGACATCAAGTCCTCTACCCATACCGCAAGAAAGAATTGAGCGAGACACTCCGCTGGTCAGGAAGCGTACTATTAGTAACAGTATGAGCCCCGAGGATGGCCTCCCTGTCCTCAAGACCAGAACCAGAAAGGGAAGTATAGGGAGCCAGACGATGCAGGACGAGGGCGACTCTGCATTGCTTACGACACCTGTTCCCCATAAGCAATTAACATACAAAACATCATCTCCCACCAAAAGTCGGCCCAAAACAGCCCAAGGTTCACCCCCGGGCACGTCAGCCGGACGCAAGACATCTGCCACAACAAGGAAACCTTCGAACGCTAAACCTGGCGCCGCGCCGTCTACGAACCAACGGCCGGGAACAAGATCTGGAGAACTCGATCGACCTCGGACAGCAGTGAACCGTCCAGAAGGAGATCCACCTTGGTTAGCGACCATGTATAAACCAGATCCCAGGCTCCCTCCTGAGGAGCAAATCATCCCCACCCACGCTCGCAGACAGCAACAAGCGCAGTGGGAGGATCAGGGAGCGGTTCCGACCACGTATGATCGCAACTTCTCCCCTCTGGCCATCCATACGGGCAACGGGCAGATGAAGTTGCCTTCGCCGGTTATCCCCCAGTCGGCGCAGCCGGGCGAAAAGGAGACTGACGGCACAGATGGGGGGAATGGCTGGCCTCTAAAACCGGGGCCCAATGTCAGGAATTCAGGGGCCGGTAGCATGAGACCTAGTACAGGGGGAAGCATGAATGGCGGATACAGTACGATGCCCCGGGTTTCCAATCCCGTGACCAGCCCTGGGATGGGAAGTATCACATCTGTGCCTACTCAACCGAACACCAGGATGCAGGTGCAGCGGGTGCAGCAAGATGACATGGAGGAGAAGGTGAAGGAGAAGGGGTGCGGGTGTTGTGTTGTCATGTGAGCAAAAGGGCCAGAAACGGCACTACAACTACAGTTTTCTTCTGTACACGTTCACTCACGAGACGTGAGCTTGATCTTTCATTTGTGCCAGGGACTGTTGGCGGGGGTGTGTATGTGTGTGGCCTAGGTATGCTTGCTGGTTTTCCATGATTGCAATTTTAGCGGGAGTGATCCAATTTTCCATTTCCGTTTGCTGGGAGATTCTTGGGTGAGGGAGTGTTTGCGCGAAGAAGCCGCCAGAGAGCGAAGCGAAAGCAGGCTTTTGACTATTTTATAAGACTTTTTTCGATAGCAGAGACAGGTGATGGCAGACTGGGTTCAGCCAGGGGTGCAATTCTCGAAAGAGAAGAGGAATCGAGAGGCATGCCCGCCGTAATATCTTTGGCAGCGGTGATGTGCTAGGCGACCCAGTTATCAAAAGGGCCAGATGGCGCGTGTGCAAGCCATGACAAGTCGAGATCCCCGAGCAGATGTATTTTTCTCACCCTTGTGGTTTGTCTTTATTATGTGAAGTTGGCGCAGCCTCGTTACAAGGACGAAGCCCAGAGGGAGTTCCTCGTACTAGGGCCCCAGGGTGATATTCATGGCCCACGCCAGTTTTATCGGACTGGTGGTCTAACTGTATTTGGATTCCCGATATTTGGATTTTCGTACCCGTCGAGCCGTGGACTGTGAGGACTGATGAGTGATCGCTGCAATCCTCCTCCACTACTACTAGGTACCGAACTGGCCCCCCGCGCTGCTTGCTTTGCTTTGCTTCGCTTCCATCATCGTCATCGCCCTCCAAGATTTGTCAATCTGCATTCTTCCCAAAAACCCCTCTCATTGACCTCGAGACTCTCCCCTGCGCAGATTTCGCAATCGCTGTCCTTGTCCTGTAATTGGTAATCCTCTCCGAACCCATTATCAGAACCCGAGATATTCTAGACCTTCCGGCAGCTTCATATAACAAGCTCGCCCCCTCCCACCTCCAACCTCGCATACACACTCTCCCTCATCACAGAAGAACGATCAATAGAGAAAACAAACCGCCACAATAGCTTCCTCACTCTTCTCCCCGTTCCGCAGCCTTGTCCGCACCTTTTTCACCTCACCCAGTGTATCCCCCGCCGCCATGTCCGCCGCGAAACAAAAGGCCCAGCAGATCATCGACGACAACGCCGTCGTGGTGTTTTCCAAATCTTACTGCCCTTACTGCCGCGCGTCCAAGACGCTGCTGAACGAGTTGCACGCAAAGTACTATTTGTTGGAGTTGGATGAGATTGGTACGTTATCCACAAACGTGGCTTTCTCAAGTGTTCAAATGTCTTTTTGCCAGCTGTTGACTAATATATCTTTTTGTGTTTAGACGACGGCGCCGCCCTCCAAGACGCTCTTGAGGAGATCACCGGCCAACGAAGCGTGCCCAACATCTTCATCGATCACAAGCACATTGGCGGCAACTCGGATTTGCAGGCCAAGAGGGCCCAACTTGGCGACATGTTGAGCGCGGCCGGTGCTCTTTAAATAATTTTGATGGAAGATGGAAAGATGCCAAAACCACATGCAACACACGACAAAGCACTAGAACCGGGTTTTCGACCATCGATGCTGGATTGGGCAGCTGAGAATCAAACCGTCCTTGGTGAGGTGTTTTGAAGCAGGAGTAGAATTCATGATACAAGAGTTGGCCTCAATGGGCGGCTGTGCCACAAGAGTGATTTAGAAAGAGTGAATACAATACAATACCTCTTCAGCGCAGGAAAGTTCCTCTTTCTTTTGTTCAGATGTGTTATATCCTTCCTTTTTTCAGTCGTGTCATGTTATTCCTTTTCAGATGGGGTTACGTTATATGATTCCTCCGTGAGTCTCTCTGCTCTGCTCTGCCCTCTCCTCCTCTATTTCAGATCTGCCATGCTATGCTATGCAATGCTATACTCCTACTCGTCTTCCTCTCTCAATGCACAATCCTATTTCCGTCTTCCTATTCCATACCCCCGCACCAACCGAAAAGATCTTACGTTTCTTTTCCACGCGGAAAAAGGTTCTCCGCCTTACAAGGGACTGCCAAAAAAAGGGTGGGGGATCATCGAATTATCAAGGGAAAAAAAGGTGGCAGATCTTGAAAAAGACGAGACGAGACGAGACGCAGCGGCGCGGAGTGGAATGGAATGGAATCCTCTCGTGTGATATGGGACGCAGGATCTGGGATTCTGGAGTGAGTGAGTGAAAGAGGGGGTGAGTGTGCAATATACCTGTTCTGCCCATATCTATCACGTATTATGGAATAGGTAATTGTAAACATGAAAATTTGTATTTATACATGAACCTACCTACCCACGTAGCTAGTATCTGTGGGTGGTTCGAGGTCCTTTGCGTCCTCGGTCTGTGTCTGTGACACAACTTAGGTACCATGGCCATTTTTTGTTTCTGAGAGGCGAGTAGAAAGTCCTCATTACCTCAATGCTTCTTCAATATCCCGATATACTCTTCATGCATGCATGCATTCATTCAGCCGTATTCGATCACTCCAGGTGGCCTTCAGAGCTCAGTGCGATTTGGGATCTCCTCGGTGGAGAAAACGTCGCTTCAACCACCATCCATCCGTGAAGTCCCAGGAGAGGTACGACACACTCCGTACCGCTCTGGTCTGGCTCATACAACCTGCGTCGCAACCGTGCCCACCGGCCGCTCCACGAACTCCATACAGCCCTCGACGACGTTGCGCCGCGCGTCCTCGCTGCTGACGTTCTTGCCAGCGAGGTAATTCAGCCACAACAACCTTCCAACTCTCTCGTCAGTCACGACGCCCATCTGCAGGCGATCCCCCCTCTTGCTGTCCTCGTTCCACACGGTCATCTTGCCCTGCGCGTCTCTGACAAGCAACAGAATGTCGCCCTTGGGCAATTTCCTCCGCGCGCTGCCTCCAAACGCCGACTTGAACTCGTTGAGCGCGACACCAAAGGACTCGTCTTGGAATGAGTCATCGTGCCTGTCGGATGCGAAATGCGCCGAGCGCGCCGTGATGCCCCGCACAAAGCCGTCACGCAGATGCATAAAGTCGGTGTTTCTCGTCGGGACGATCCTGAAGGCTGTGCGCAGCTGACCGTCCTTGACGATGTCGTTCCAGATTTGCTCCCCGCGGTCTGGGTCGAGCAGGAGCTCCTTCAGCTGGGATTTCTCGCTGGGCACGAGGGTCGTCGCGACGCTCTCGCTCGGAGGCACGGCCGCCTGCACGAGCCGTTGTTGCAAGGCCGCAATATCTGCTACAGCGACGTAGAGGCCGACGACGTAGACCTGAATGCTGAGGATGGATACCGTGCGGATCCCCAACCCGACCAGTTGGTATTCCACGTCGGATTGGCTGCCCTCGTTAGCAGATGCTGGTGTGGACGGAGGCGCATCGGATGCGATATGAATGATTCGAGGGAAGAAAGGGATGGAGCTTGTGCCAGTGGGTATCTGTTCGACGTCTTGAGGCTTGGAAGACGGGTCGACGATGGAGCCGGTTATAGAAGGCGGTGCCGGTGCGTCCAGCCGGACAACGTTTGAGGGGAGTTTCTCTTCCGTCTTTGATACTACAGCCTGGCTCTCTTTTCTGGGATCGGGGTATAGCGAGACTGTCGCAAAAATGGCCAAGGTACAAGCTGCAATCCCGTAGCCGGCCCAGCGCATGCGTTTCACCGTTCTGGCTTGCTCGGCTTTGTCCTTTCTGACGTCCCCCGTCTCCTGCTTTGTCTTTTGGTATTTTCGACGGAGCATCTCCGACGAGCCATAAGTCGGGATCGGGGAGGTGAAAGAGGATTGTGGGCTTGTGGGTTCATTGTGTTGGGTGCTGCTCGAGAGGAGTCGAGTGAGATGAGGACTCGAGACCGGTAATTTCGAGGATGTGCAGCGGCACACCCGCCTGGAAAGGAGGGTGCGAGCTGGCGAGGGATTCATCGCGAGTTGAGCAACGCGAAGATACTTGAGCAAAGAGCAAATAGCTTAGTGACTACAAGTTGGACAATGAACTACCGCTACTCTAGTGGTGACAATTGAATGTTTAATGACGCCAGTGGAGGAGCTTCCGGGGCCAAGATTTTCCGGCCAAGCCCAGTTCAGCCTCGCACTGCAGTTCAGCCTCGTCAAGGAGAACATGCACCCGCATCCAACAGGCCTTTGCACTCAGCTAGCTAGACAATCAACCGCCTTCTGGTCATGGCCCTTTTCTGCTCACTATCAACCAGCAACCAAACGCTGTGGTCCGTCCGCTGCAAATCCTGCCTCAGCTCGCGTTGGTTGTCCCAGCATACTTGCATCCAACCGTGCAGGACCATTCTGTCTTTCAGCTTGCCAGGGCCCAAGGACTCGCCGTGATTCTCCAGCTTCACTCGTCTCGTGATGACCAGCTTGGTGCATGTGCGAGTCTCTCTGAGTCGATCGAGATTCTCCGCTGGCGTTGCAGTCTTTTTGTTTTTCGTAGACATGGAATACGTTTTGACCCTCTACCAGCCATCAACCATTTGCAGGGCCGTTCTTGTTCGCTTCCTCATGCTGTGAAGCCATCTGCTCGTCCCCGTTCGCGGTTGAATCGTGCTGTTCATCGAACCCGGCATTCCTCAATACCCTATCCACTTCCTTGCTCACGCCGGGAATCCCCTCTTTCAGCTTCTGTGCGAGGACCTCTGTGAACTCCCTAAATGCTTGCTGCTTACCGTTGACCACGGCATTCCCTCTCTGCACATTCTCCACGAAATCTCGAGTGAATATATCCGGGTTGCGGCCGTCGTCCACGTAGTCCACTATCTCGGGAGCGATCGCCACTTGGTGGATGTAGTTGTTGGGGGATTCGGTGGGCGAAGTCAGGTGTTTCAGCTGGGAGAGGGAGTTGGTGAGATCGGTTAGCTTGTCAACCAGCAGATCTTGGGTCGCGGGGATGTAGCCGTGGGTTTGGATCTGGATGTCGGTAAGATGCTGGATGATATCTTTGATGGTATTGTGCACGTTGGTGGTGTCCTTGACCGGCGCCATTGCGTCGTCGTTGGTGTTACTCAAAACCCGCTCGGCAACAGGTCGATCCTCAAAGTCAGAACCAGAGGGGTTGCTCAAGCCGAAAGACTTGTCAAAGGATCCAGAGGCAATCAGCTGTGTATTGTGGTAAGGAAACGGTGTGTTCTGTCCGTCTGCAATGTTAGATCCGCCCGTAGCGGACAAAAGTTGCTGCTCAGCACCCTTCCACTCGTCACGAAGACCGTCGTTTGACCAATTTTCCTGAGGTGAAGGTTCGTTGGTGGCGGGAGTCCTGACATCGGAGTATTGCTCGACCTCGGAGAAAATAGATGGCGCGCCGGACAGGGCTGTCGCTGAGGATGGACTAAAAGGGGCTTCAGGAACTGCTGTTACCGCCGTATCTATTTGTCCTATACCACGGGTCGACGGAAATTGCCCTCGTCGGCTGATGAGGATGGTATGCAACCGAGGGACTTTGAGCGTCACAAAAGATCCAGCACTACCATACAGAAACCTGCGAACCGTGCCGTTGTACCGCGGGAACTGTCGCAGTTTCTCCTTGGGGAGGCGTATGCCGATTCTGTAGACGTATGGGGTCTTCTGGTGACGGATAACGCGTTGCGTACGATCATTTGGAAATCTGCCAACTCTTCCAGCTCTGCTAATGGGTGTCCCAGCGCCACTCGCAACGCCCGTGCCTTGTGGGGTCCTAGCTCTCTGATCCTTGCCGAAGTTTGGGGGTCGAGGGGGTGACTGTGGATCGGTCATTTGAGCGTTTGAAGGGCGAGCCACTGGTCCCGCCCCGCGCCTGGGGTCCGAAGCCTTGTATGGTGCCATGCCGGAACCTTGAGAGACTGCGTAGGTGGAATGGACTGATAAAGTGGAGGATTCTGAGGGTTCGAGAGGATCGCGTGGGTAATGGAATCGAGAGGAAGTCACAGTTGCAAATAAAGATCGAAAAGGATGAGAAGCAAAGTGTTCACTTGGTAAATTGCAGGCTTCGTCAACCACCAACATTCACTTCACTATTCATTCACTTCTCTGACGCAAGTCATACCGGTCTCCAAGTCGAACAGAAAATGCGTATGCTTGCCCAAGATTCTACGTCTACTCTACCTCAACATTACACTTCTTTTGTGCGGACAGCGGTGGTGCTCTTCGGCCCATCTATCGACGTTTCCACCATCTCAATTCCGGCGAGACTGGGATACCTCTTGCTGAAGTTGGCTTCCCAGTCTTCATCATGCGCCGCTCGAGCATTTACTTCACTTGTATTCACCACAGCCGACTCTCCAATGCCAGCCGTCTGCAGTACCTTCGGCTTCGGCGGTGCGGCTGGCTTCTGTCCTCGGGAGTCTACCCTCGTAAGATCTGTCAACGAGGCTGGTGCAGACGCCACAACTTCAGGGATGCCGTGCCTTTCCATTCTGCCGGTTGCTTGAGCTTGGGACGGCCTGGGGGGTTGAGGTGGTCCCCTATCATTCGAGTGACCATGCTGATGCGACGGGGATTCAGTGTAATGGCCATAGCCGGTTGCTGTCTTTTGTGCAGGCCGATCATTTTCGCTCATGAGCGACTTCACCCTATTCTGAATGGTAGCCGACCTTCCCACCCCTCCACTGCTGCCTACAGCTCCGCCCCCCCTTGCTGCTAGTCGTTGTCTGTACTCTGCGGCTGCTTGAGCCACTCTTCTTTCTTCAGCCTCGAGTTTGCGCTTTTCCATCTCCCGTCTCATTTCAGGCGATACATCCTCCATGTCATCCCACGGCTGACGGTCATCGCTGAGATCCGTGGCTTCAGAGCCCGCAATTGGAGTGAGAATGTTGATGGGGTCGCGGGAGGGGGAGTCACTCCGCTGTCGGTGATGAGCCGGGTCGTTATTGCTCTCAAACATCTTGAAGGCGTCTCCAAACTTGCCAGCCAACAACTTGGTCGTTCCCGCGATATTAGGGACGATGGATGGCAAGCTGGCCCTTTTGAGATGTCTTGAGCCACTGCCCAACCTTCTATGGTGCCTGCGCGATTTTTCTTCCTCCTCTTTAGCCTTAAGAAAGTCCACGTCTGAGGCAATGTTTGTTGCGGACTCGACGTGTGCCAAGGGCGCCATTTCAGGTTCTGCACTTTTAAAAGTCGTGTCATAGTCAAGGTTTTTTATTTCCTTGTCTTTGATGTGAGTCGGCCTCGCCCCGATATTAACGCTGGCTGGTCGATTCCTGAAATTCAGTGACCTTGACCTACTCACTCCGGAATTGAGTTCTCGCATGGTCGGTCGACCTCCCTCCAGAGATGGGCGTGATGATGTTGGCGACCTTGGCTCTAGATCCCCAGCAAGCTGTGACCTGTACCCATCTTCCCTCAGAAGATTTGCCAGCCTTGATACCTCTTTATTACGAGTAGATCGTGGTTCCCTAGGAGGCAATTCCATAGTTTCGTATTTCTGCGCCGCCGGCGGTTTCGATGGTTGCTCGATGGGAGAGAAGCGGTTGGTTGGACGATCTGAAAACGGTTTGGCATCCGTCGTAGGAGGAGGTGAAGGCGACGTCATAGTACCGGTGGACACCATGGCAGGCTTAGGGGCAGTAACCGGTGGTGGGTTTATTGCGCTTGCTCGTGCTTGTGTCTCTTTATTTTCTAAGGACTTCTTATGCTGCAACACGGTCTGCGATTTGCTAACGGGTGCCGGTTTCTCTGTGGCTGGTTTCGGCTTTGGTGGGCTGGGAGGCCTTGCAAATGCATCGTCTGCTAGAGCGTTGGTCACTCGTTGCGCAAGGTTCGCATCGACAGGCTCTCTCTTCTTCTCCGATTGAGATTCGAACGCAAATTTTTGGCCCTTGTCAGTCATTAAAGAGAACTGGTCTAGTGTCGGGAATCTTGAAGAAAACTCATCTTCCACAGAGGCCTTGTTCCCATCCAGTGCTGCAAAGGCATCAGGGTGTGCGTTATCCATCATTCGTAGAGGCGAAGGGCTTGGTTTTGCCGAGCCATGGTGAGATACAGGTTTGGTTGGCCGTCCCCGCCGCATTGGTTCGATATCAGGGACAGTTGGAGGAGCGGCTGGTTTGGGAGGAGACAAGGTGGCTCCAGCTCTTGATTGCGAGCTGGATGGCTGTGGGAGAACTTGGTCTTTACGACTCTCCGATTGCGTCCGCCGAGCATAGATGTTTTCAAAAGTCAATTCCCGGCCGTCCAATTGACAGGCCTTTTGTAGCACCTGATATATGTTTGGCCGGTCTGTCGGTCGTTCCCGAAGCATGGAAGCAATGAGCAGCTTTAGTTGGTCAGAGAATCGTGGATAGCCAGGAAACTTGAACTTGGCGTTTAGTATGGCCATCTGCCCGACTTCTTCGAACGGGGTTGTGTAATAGCAAAGCTTGTACAGAAACACCCCGAGAGCCCAAATATCGGCTTTCTCGTCAATGGGTTGTTTTCGGTAGACATCGATCATTTCTGGGCTGCGGTATTGTAAGGTCGTGTGGCGGTTGATATCGTCTTCGATTAGACGTCCTTCTGCAGCCGTCGTAGCAGCCGGTCTCGCAGGAGCCGCCGAACCAAAATCGCAAAGTTTATATATCCTAGATGAGCCGTTCGTGGCAATGAGAACATTCTCGACTTTGAGGTCTCGATGCAACAGAGGCGGTTTCAGGTAGTGCATGCACGCAACTCCCTCGGCCACATCCGTAAAAATCTTTAGGATTTCAGGCTCGGTCAACCTGTTCTGCAGCCGAGTGTTCATGAAGTCGATGAGTCCTCCTCCCTGACAGAATTCCATGAGCAGAAACACCTCATATCCGCCACCTTTCAGCTGGGAAGCATGCGAATCAATATACTTGACAATATGCTTTTTGCCCCGCAGTCTTTTCATGGTCTCAACTTCTGTCCGCATGTTGGCCAGGTGCTCCTTGTCTGGGACAGCCACTCGCTTGAGCACTGCTTTCTGGTTGCCATCGACGGGGCGAGGGAGTAGGACAACGTAGACGTGGGCAAACCCGCCCTCGGAAAGATAGCGCTCGATGATAACCCTGTGATCTCCCACCTGAACCTTTGTGCCAGGCAAAAACGTACCAGCTGGAGGCGCATGGGTTGGCAGGACGGGAGCATTGTTCGTGAAGGGGCCTTTGGACCCAAGCTGAGAGGCATAGACTGCCATGGTGGAGCTGGAAGCGAGGGTTGGAGGGGGAGCTTCTGATCCGTGGGACGGGACACGATGAGTGCTCTCGTTTATCGTTTATCTGTCAATCATAGCGGAGCGATGAGGAGGGGAAGCAGAGGGAACGTAGCCGACAGAGCGTTGATGGACGGAGGCAGAGCGAAAGCAAACAGGACTTTATTGAACCTGGACCTCAAGGCAACCTCGAAAGAAGAGGAAAGATTGTTACTCTGCGGCCCCCAGGTGTACTCCGGACAGGTTGTGCTGTATCAGTAGTGCAGGTAGGCACTTTAGGCGGAACTTGGAGTTGCTCCAAGAGTCGATGCATGGGGCAATGCTGGGCTCTTGATCCTGTGCTCAATGAGCCTATAAGGTTTAGTGAGCGCAGACCCGTCGAGCCCGTCACCCCCCGTCGAGTGGCACCCAGTGGTAGATTGTCGGCTGCTTCGGGGCCCATGACGTGCCCTCCGATCTTCCCTGGTGACTTACTACCCTTACTTCAGCCGACAAGGTCCGCAGGTCAATTTTTCTCAAACCCCACAAGTGTCTACAATGAGAGCCTTGAATGACCTTTTTCGTCGCTTGGATTATGTACTGATCTCTTCTTACTAAGATCTTATCCCTACCACACTAACAATACCCGAGAAATGTCCAAGAAGAGAAAGAGAGATCAGGTCCAGGATCAGGATCAGGATGGCTCGATCACTGCTCATGGACAGTCGGACCAAAAATCCCAGACAACAGCACCGAACCCTCCTGTGAAGTCCAAAGGACAGTTGAAACAAGAGAAATCGGAGAGGAGAGCAAAAAAGCAGAAGAAATCGAAGGATCAAAAGAGAGAGCAAGAACCGTCTCCGGCTCTGGGCACTGCCAATTCTGATCCCGTCCCAACATCGACAGAAATAAGCCTCGGCGACGCAGAGCAGCAAGAGAACCTAGCAAAGCCACGCAAAGAGAGAAAAGATTCGACGACTCAGAAGGACGAGGGCGAAAAGAACACGACAACTCCTACCCGATTCATTGTTTTCGTCGGCAATCTACCTTTCGAGACCACCTCGGAGCAGATAAAGGAGCACTTCTCGAAACTCGCGCCGACGGCTGTGCGCCACTCGACGGACAAGAAAACGGGGAAGAGCAAGGGCTTTGCGTTTGTCGAATTCGACAGCTACGACAAAATGAAGACATGTTTGAAGCTGTATCATCACTCTATGTTTGATCCTGCTAGCAGCAAAGACAGGGGTGCAGGTGGCGCAGACGGAGAGAGAAACGGGCAAGAACAGCCATCGCAGAGGCGAGAAAAGAAAAGCAAAGGGCGAAGAATCAATGTCGAACTGACCGCCGGCGGTGGTGGCAAGGGCAAAGACCGGAAGGCCAAGATCAAGACGAAAAATGAGAAGCTCAAAGAGGAGAGGGAGAGAAGACGGCTCAAGGAGAAAGCTGAGCGTGAAAAGGCCGGCTCAAAACAAAAGGGGCCGCCCGAGACTGGTGCAAATGCCACCGCTGTGGCCGGTGGTAAGGTCCAGGATGACCGTGGAGACATCCATCCCAGTCGACTGTCTCGTGTGAAGCATTGAGCGACCGAGATTCGCACTGTGTGGCTACAAAATGCAAAATTTGTCATGAAGGGGGCCCGCTGCTGCTGTCGCCGCTGCTCCAGATGTTGGATGTGAATCCCTTCCCTATATCAACGCCCTCTTTCCCGACTAGATTGCCGCTGTATTATTCGTATGCGCAAGATCATCCCCAGGCCAACCGTTTCTGATGTGCGTTCAGAAGCTGGCCAGCCCACGAGAAGGAAAACTGTATGGCAATGGGCCAGCGGCGCCGCAAACAAAGTCTATAACCCACCTCTTGCGATGCACCTCGAGTCAAAACAACGCAAAATTCCAGGGGATCCCCAGTCCAGAACAACCATGTCCCCAAGACTACTAGAGGATGGTACATCTTGACTTCTTCTTGGTTGTCGTAGGTCGAGGGTTGAGGACGGCTCTGTAGCAAGATGAGTACAATGCAGGTCCTGCGCATAGCGAGACACCTCTCACCTGATGGCTTCGTCAAAAACACTCTTCAGATTCCGCTGCGTGAGTGCTGAGCACTCTAGATACTTGACAGCTTTGATCTCCTTGGCTACCGCTAGTGCTTGCTCGTAGGAGACAGGCTCCATCTTTTTCGCCCTGAGATTGTCTGCGGTTGCTTTGTCTTCCCTCAAATCTAGCTTTGTTCCGACCAGGATAATAGGTACATTGGGGGCGTGGTGTTCAATTTCGGGATACCACTACAGCAAAGCCATTAGTTCCAAAGATGACCAAATTTGCAGGAGGGAGGGTTCTCCACCTTTGCCTTGACGTTGTCGAAGCTCGGAGGTGAAACAATGGAAAAGCATATGAGGAAGACGTCGGTCTGAGGGTATGATAGTGGGCGTAATCTGTCATAATCTTCTTGACCGGCTGTATCCCACAATCCCAGCGAAACCGGTTTCCCGTCCACCATGACACTGGCCGAGTAGTTGTCAAAGACTGTGGGAATGTATTCGCCGGGAAATGCATTGGTGGTGTAGGATATTAGCAAACAGGTCTTTCCCACAGCACCATCACCGGTCACCACACATTTTATGGATTGTGTCGGTTGCGCCATGGTTGTTTAGACTGGTTGGACTTTCCAGACGGCCAAAAAGCGAAGTGGGCGAGCTTGGGATTGAGCAGCTGTCGTCGTGTGGACGAGTTTCCAGTTGCAACGGCAGGCAAAGTTGCCGTCTTTTGTTCGGCGCAGGCTCTGCAGAATGAGCGGCGGATTGGCAAACGCGAACCGTGTCCAGCGGTTAAGCGCGTTTGTTGAAGGGTTTCGTCGAGCCCGCAGTGTAAAAGTCGCACGGTGGTTAATGGGACCTGCAGTTTGGTGAAAGGACCGAGCTGGTTGACAGCTGGTAGGGACTGGCAAGGAGACACCGCTTGATGCAGTGTAAAAGCAAGTGCACAGTAGTTTGCAGCAAGAGACGCAGGATGCAGGACGCAGGACGCAGGACTCCGGGGCCCAAGAAAGAGCAAAGACGAGGAAAGTTCAGGGTCCAGGGGGGGTGGTTTCGACGGACACACTACTACGTGTCGGCACAGTCCGCAGTCGATGTCGCTCCGGACGGGATGGTGTTGGACCTGGAGATTCAGATTGGGATAGTCGACGAGTCAAAGACGCCAACCAAGGAGTATGACCACTGGCTGAGGCAGAATCTGAGACGCTGGAGGCAGCCAGGAGGGTTGGAGACTTGCTGGAGAGAAATCTGCGACAAAGGAGCCAATGGCTGGTGGTGGAGGTTTGGCGAGGGCCAACAAGGAAGCATCTGGTGCATGTCGGAGGCCAGTCAGAAAAGCAAAAACACTCCAGTTTCGCCTCATTTGCTCGTTTTGCTCGTCTTGCCCGTCACAGTTTCTAACAAGCTCCTGTCGATTCGTGTCCTTTGCGCTCACAATGATATGGGGCGAACGTTAATAACTGCGGGTGACCTTACCTTGATAGCAGGCCGGCCCTCAACGCCTCGATGAGGAATGTGCTCATTCTCCTTACCCGCCGTGGTCACCAAGATAACCATTACCTCTTCAAACATACCAGGTACCTATCCTACCTACCTAGGTAGGTAGGTAGCCAGTCCTCGAGGCTTTTCCCGTCTTATCATGTTGTTTCTGGACGATTTCAGACTCACACCCTTAGAAAATGGCAACAATCTATCGGCAGAGTAACGCCCTGAATGGGAAGAGATGGAGAGAACACGGATGACAGATGTGAGAAGATGCATCAACGGCCCAATGGTCTTTGCCAATCGAGAGTGAATTGGAGGTTGCTCTTCGATGGGTCGTCTCCAAAAAAAGTATTTGCCCTTATATAGAGTCGGCATTGGAAGCAGCCAACCTCCATGGCGTATATCTACATCTTCCCAGAGCTGCCCGGTGTCTGCCTGCACCTCATTTCAGTGCTGTTCAATCGAGCCATGGGGCTCATCCTTCTATGAATCACAAAAGTACCATTCATGCATAGCCAAGTACATGCAGTGACACGAGAAGTCGCTTGGCCATCAATTGGTTGTCTCGTTTTGCTTTATCCTCTTCAGCTTGTCATCCTCTTCGTATATCTGTCATGCGAGTGCTGCAACCTCTCTTACTCATTCGGTAGAGTCATGCCTTGATTCTTACCTAGCTTGAACAGTATCGATCAGCGGGGCACAGAGCCGGCACATCGATTCTCGTTGCGCAAGATCTAGCCCCGTCTTCAAACCAAGATTCAAGCTGCGTTTTACAGCAGAGGGCCTCGCCGCGGGGCCTTTGGCCGGGAAAGGATGTTCACGTTGGCCTCTTGCAGGGCACTAGGGCTTACCCCGGAGCAGATGGGCCTACAAGAGACGATCTGCCAGTGCTGGCAGTTCCTAAGCCTTTGGTAAGCCCCCAAAGGAGATAATGATGGTCAAGAGGAAGATGCGCCGGGCCTGACTAACATCAAGCAGAAGCCCATAGCAGCTACGCGGTACCGATGGTGCCGCCGATGTGTGAGGGAAGCCCCCGCCTAGTACATACATCTACTGGGTCATGGCCACTGAAATCACACTTCCGAGCCGCCTGGAAGAGCTAATTAATAGTGGGAAGGCCTATTCCTCCTAGACATCATCATCCACCCTTGTTGCAGCAATGACAGTCTGGCGACCTTCGTCCCATGAATTTTGCAAAACACCAATTACCATTTCGGTTGACCGTCCTATAGCGCCCCGGTGACCCCCGAGAGCTCGAGTACGGATTTGTATATTGCTCCCTGAGCTCTCAGACGACCAGGCTTGCAGAAAGGCTAATCTGCGCCCTTCAAAATTCTGACATCCCTCCTTGGTGGCCGGCTTCTCCTTCACTCCTAGAAGCAGAAGTTGTAGATTGATCTAAGCGTGCGAGCAACGTTCCTGAAGAACCTCCGGAACGTCATGACAAAGGTCTCAGCGTCTTCAACCAGCCTATACCTCTACGGTAGCTGGGCGCCCATGCTTCTTTCCTCCTGATGTCTTTGGATATGTCCTGTTGTCGCCCACAAGGATTCAAATAAGGCTGGGACTTGTCATCGCTATAAGCCTCTTGCTTCCTCCTGCTGTTACCGAGAGCATTTGCGGTTTGGGCATCTGAGGCGTGAGAACTGGGCCCTTCTGGGCTTCACAGAGAATCGCAGCAGTCACAGCACTGATCATGTCTACCTCGGGCTCAAAGAAACCACAGCGTCGGTTCCAATTCATCGACAACAGTGATGTCACCTCCTTGGGATCCAATTCCACCCAAGTCCGGCGCCATGTCATGCAGGAGTACATGAGAGAGAAGCGATGGGAGGCTCGCACTCAGTCCACCGCTGCCGAGGGAGCTGAAGCACCGACTCGAAAAAAGCCAGACAAGCCCAGATCGCAAACACGATCGCGCCAGCTACGTTCACAAAGCGAACGTTCAGTTGCCGCAGACATTCAGGACTCGGCAAGGATTGCAAATGAAGGAGTGGGCGGAAAGAGCCATCCAGACGGTCCCGCCGAAGAGATCGATCGACACCCTCCCCATCTTGTTGTGGTACGGACGAAGCCTTCGACAGCCTTCCGTATAGGTTCGACGGCCTTTGCCAAGTTGGCAGATATGATTCCCGACCCTCCAACCACTCCGCCATCCTCCATCAAGTCCAGCGATTCATCGTCGCCCTATAAGCCGCGTTGGCCATCGACCAGTTCTTCGTCTCGCAGCCCCGAGCCGCAGTCATATCTGAGTGCTGCCCGAACCGACCCGTTTGACGCTCTGCCAATGGAACTAAGCCCTCAGGACCAGGAACTATTTGACTTCTATGCGAACGTCATGCCAGCTTGCTCATACGGATTTGAAAGACGTAGTCCACTTGCACACAATTGGTATCTGACTGTCTTCATTCCCGAAGCCATGAAAGGGGCCGTGTGCTTTCAGAACACCATTCTCGTCCACGCCGCCAACACACAGGCTTGGGTCCAAGGTCTTCCAGAGACACGTCTTGCCATCGAGCATCGGGCTAAAGCATCGCAACTGCTCCTCCACCACTATCAACAATACCCGCATGACACTTCAGATGCCACGATATCGGCCACAATCTCAGCCGCGGCACTGGAGGACTTTGACCCGCGAATAGAACGCCGAATATACGCATGGATGCACTGGGAGGCGGTGGTGCAAAAGATCAGGGACCGAGGTGGACCCGCCGCCCTGGTTCAGAACAACAGACTGCAAATGTTGATCAATTGGTCCGATTACATCTTTTCGGGTTATAAAGGCCATGGTGCTACATTCTACTTTGACCACCAGTCATCACCGAGCCATTCAACCGACCAGGAGGCGGAGGATATTGCCCGTGCTGAGATTGCCGAGCAGTGTGACGAATTCATCACCTTCCTCAAATGCGTCGAACATCTTGCCCTTGTTCAGGCCGGCCTGCAGACCAACCCAATCTCAAGGAACCAGCAACCCTTGCGCTACTCTGTCTTTTCACCTGGGCAACCTCTTTACAATCTCCTTGCAAGCCCGAATGGCCCACGCTATACGGATACGGGACAGTTTAAGCAGATTATTTCCAGGTTAGCCGCTCTGATGACCATCAACACAGCCATCTGGGAATACCGGCACTCGGTTGAACACAGCGAAGCATTCTTCGCTGAGCTTATGGACAACATCATGCACAACGAACTAGATCGACATCTTTCAGTGGAAGCATTGATACAGATATTATTGAGCGGAAGTAACAATCCTGTCTTGTTGCATACCGAAAGACCGTGGTTTGTGGGGAGAATGCTGAAAGTGTCCAAGCGCTTGTCCCGACCAACCTTTGAAAGGCTAAACGACTTACTCCTAAACTTGTTGTCGCTGGGGCCAGGGCTCGCGCCTGTCATGTTGACTTGGGAAAATGAGCTGCGCGCAGAGATCCTGCAGGCCCCTCTGGTCAGCTATCATTCCCGATTCATGCTGGAAACGGCTTGATTTCTCAATACTTGGGCGGGCCAGACCGGCCCAAGATAACCTTCAGCTTTACTCGCTTGTTCTTGCTTACCCATCTGCGGGGCTCACAGCACCAGTGCTCACGAGGTCAAAAGGTTGTACGGCACACCCATTCCCAGACCTCTGGCAGGCTGAACCGAGGGCTCCAAAAAGCAAGAGATCGGCACCATGGGCAAGACCCTGAAATACTCTTGTCTACCTAAAGGATCCAGGAAATGCCAGGATGAGCTCCCTCTGCTATTTGTCCTAACCCAATGCCTCCTAGCAGCCTTGCAGGGCACTCGGGTCTTGAATCACGGCGGGTTTGCAATTTCAACTTCCATGAGCATTTCTAAGCAGAGGGTTGTTGAATACGAAATCATAGCCTCCAGGGTTATGCTGAAATCGGTCGCATTTCGCTGGGCAAACGGCTTCACATGTGCGGCTTTCCCGCACCTTCGGCATCGCAATACGAAGCGCAGCTCCTTGGTGGGCTTTTGGTTATTCTGGTGGCGAGCCTAGTGCCTAAGAGTTTAAGTGCCCCCCAGGATACGGTGAAGGGTGCCATCACCTTCTCCGACAGACCACGACCCTCTCGACACTTTGCTGAATACGATAGCCACGACATCACTTCGTCCTTCAATCGGTCGGTCCGCAGACTCTTCCAGCCTTTAATGGCTTTCTAATTTGCATTGTGATCAAGCAACATCCGGTCAACAAGACAAACCACCCCCTCGAAGGCATGCTGCCATCCGGCAGCTCCAAACGACACTTAGATGCTCTTAGTAATCTTCTGTTGTACTTTCGCTTGCTTGGGTGCTTTTCTTTTTGGTTATGGTAAGTTGAAGAGAATTTCTCTCTCAGCAACGCTACCTGCAGAAACTGGGACACATCAAATTGTTATGCTATCATCCCACAACAGGGAACAGAGCTACAACGGCTTGGAATGAACTGGTGAAGGTTCTTATTTTCACTTACCAAAACTTCAGCCATAATACAATGCGCTGACCAATGACTTGTGGTACGAGCAGATTCTGGCATCATTTCCTCTTCGATCGCCCAGACAGACTTCGTCGACCGCTTTGGCAACGGAACTCTAGCAGACAATACGGCTGGCGGAATCGTATCATCCTTTACAGGCGGCGCCATAGTCTCATCGCTCTTCCTCAATGTGCTCTCTGACAAGTACGGTCGACGTGCCGCCATCTTCATCGGGGCCCTGTTAGCCTGCTTAGGTGGCGCACTGCAGGGTGGTGCGAACAGCGTCGCGACTGTCATCGTCGGTCGAGTCATCGCTGGTCTGGCCGTCGGGCTGCTATCGGCCACGATACCAAACTACTGTTCCGAGGTCGCACACCCGAAGTATCGGGCCCTCCTTGCTGGGCTACAACAATGGAATATCGGACTTGGGTCTGAGTCACAGTCGGGCAAGAGTCCCTGGGTCTGTTAGCTAACTGGAAGCTAGGTTTGTTTGTGCTCAATGGATCGGCTATGGGAGCTCATTAGTCCACGGCCCCTTCAGCTGGAGATTTCCACTCTCATTTCAGGTGCTACCGGCGTTGGTTCTCGCGGCAGGAATCTGGTTCTTGCCTGAGAGTCCTCGATTCCTCGCCGAGCGCGGACACACGGCTTATGCTCACGCAGTTCTGAGAAGACTTCACCGAAGTCAAGATCTTGTCGAAACCGAGTATAAACGTATCCAGGACAATCTTGAAGCGGAGCACAAGTCTCGCATGCGGTGGTTGGACATGTTTCGAGAACCACGCCTCCGGCGCCGAGTGTTGCTGGCCTGCGGGATACAGCTTTTCACCATAACATCAGGGATCAACGTCATCAACTAGTAAGTCCTCTGGAAAGGCTGTCGAGAACTGTTTGCGTCAAGACTTTATGCTTGATGATGCCGCTGGGTGGTACTGATCAGAGACTAGTTACGGACCTCGTATCTACAGTTATCTTCACTTCAGTACGACTAGGTTAGGGCTCGCCATTGGTCTATCTTGGTTTGATATCCAGAACTGATACGGAGCAGGTCTCTAATGATTATTGGAATATATGGTGCCCTTGCCCAGGTCTACAATACCATCTGCATCGCATTTGTGGACAGGGTAGGACGCAGAAAACTTCTTATTCCATCCATGATTGGCATGGGAGCAGCGCTATGCGTCAATGCGACACTTTCGCATTTCTACATCGCCGGAAAAGCAGACCACGGTCGCAATGAGAACGCTCTGCGCGCTTGCGTGGCCATGTATTTTGTCTTCTCAGTGTTTTTCACCAGTCTTGGGTGCATCTCCTGGATTTTCAGCAGCGAAATATTCCCGACAGCAATCCGGGCCAAAGGCACCTCATTGTCCACGTTCACCAACTGGGCCGTGAACCTGATATTTGCACAGTGCTCGCCCATTGCGCTTTCGAGGATGGGTTACCGGTACTTTTACATCTTCACTGCCTTCAACTGGATCGCTGCAGCCGTGGTTTACTTCTTCTATCCCGAGACACAAGGGCATACTTTGGAGACCGTGAATGAACTGTTCGGTGATCTACAGCTCCAAAATTCCGCTGACCCGCCTGAGAACATCATCCTTAGCGCTGTGAATGAGGACAAAATTGTCGTGGAAGAACAAGCGGCAGAGACCACCAGATCTGCCCTGAACGTTGGTGAGGGCGGTTCAGGCGACATTGGACGCCACCTCCGCAGACAGCAAATTGATTCTGCCTGATGCCGTCTACCATTTTCGTCAACGCTGATTTCAGTCAATTCGGTATCCGTTAAACGGTGGGAAGCGGGTGTCTGAGACGTGACTGGATCCGCCTTAGTGCAAATGGCCTGCATCATCTCGGTTCTCCTGCAGCCTCACGTAATGATATATCTATGACTCTGCAATCATGCCCCATAAGATGCTGGGCTCCTGACTACTATCCTACAGAAGAACCACCGTTGCAACACAGGCACTGCGAACAGGTAGAGCTTACTGGCAGCCTCGAGCTGGGGATTAATCCGCCGGACATATCTGTGATGGTCTGTCAGTGTATACCATGGCCAAGTTCTTCGGCCGCGGAGAGGGTATGTCTCAGCCGCGATTCACCGCTTGTTAGTGAATGGGCAATATATGGAGGGTCCTATGGCATCTTTGCCACGACATGAGCGCCCCTACTTATCATCATACCCACTCCAGGCACGCAGGGATTTATTGAGGGTATCCGACTGGCCCTGGGACCCTGCGCGATCGGCGGGCCCCCCAGGCCCACTAGGCCGGTGTTAAGCAATGGTGGGAAGGGCCTGCCACGCGATAGGATGACGGTCCCCAAACGCCACGCGATGGACGAGTTTGGAAGGTTGCGGTAGGACCGAAATCCGGACGCCTTACTGACGGAGCGAAGAGCAGCGATGTCGATGGGATTGAGCAGAATCTGGCTCGAAATGCACGCTGGAGGCAAATGTGTTGACAAGATATACAAGATATATAAATAAACACCAGATAGCCATCCGGTCGTCCTGGGTATCGGTCTTGCAAGAGTGGCTGTTCTTTCGGGGGAAAAGCGGCTGCCACCATCAGCTGCTAGGCTCGAGGAAGGAGAGACATGAAAACTCTCTAGCCTTAGCCATGCACCCCCTCGACAGGTGCTGGAACCACGGTTCAAACTTCGCTGCAGCCCTGTCCTACCTGTGATGCCTGTGCAACCTTTCACAGCAACCCCATCACTACTCGATATTGACTGAACCGGCCGACGAGCATGGATGCAACAGAGGCATGAGGATCCAAAGAATTCAGTCAAGACCAGCATGCGATCGGCATTTGCCCACCAGTCACCACGCAGCCACGGGATCGAGCATCCACTGTTTGCGTGCGCCCGATGGGCCTGGCAGCCAGCCTGTCGCCTCGCCCACTCCCACTTGCACCCGCTATTGAAGACCTAAAAAGGGAGAAACAGGCAAGCCTAGCAGGGCCCCAAGAGGGGAATACGAAGGAGGAGGGGGGGACGCGAGGGGATGCCCATCGCACTGGTACCCGCTTCCAATGCTTCAGCAAGCCATCAGCCCATCAAGCCAGCAATTCCATCTTCCACCCGCACGACCAAGCCCCATCACCATGTCCAATGACGCAGCCTTCCCCGTTAAAAACGGTGCTTGGGTTAATAATGTCACACGTCAAGTGGGGGGCGACGAGCGCCTAAGTGGTGGGTGGAATGGGTGTGGAATGGGTTGTGGTCCTGGACATGCGTTCGCTTTGGCCCTTCGCTCTTTTCCCTTGCTTCCCATGCTTCTCATATCCGTGCCCGTGTCCTTTCGCTTCCCTTGTTGTTGGGCGGACGGGTCTTCTCGTACGGCTCGTACCAGCGAAGGGGTTGATCAATTCCCAAACCTCTGCCTCTTGCACAAGATATCTTTTTTTCCCTATTTTCTTTCTCTTTCCTGTCGCTCCTTCTCAGCGATATCGCTGTCTTCTTCAAAAGCACATACCGGAGCTGCGGGGTACCTAGCTCCGAATCCGGCACCGTCGACCGGCCCTGACAAACTGTCTTTCTCAGACTTTTGTGTAATCGCTTTTGCCTCTTTTTGTATGCGTCACCTTACTTCAGTGCTGTCCAGCATCGACCCTCCCGACTTTTGAGCGAATGAGCGCAACAACACTGTCTCGGCTTCTAGTGTTTCCTCGCTTGGTTGGCTGCCTGAGGCTGCAGGACGGATGGGCGACCAAGAACTGATAACGCCCCAGTCTATGGGTCGCCCCTCCGACGAGGCTCTGAGAGATGAACCCTCAACCACAGCGGCCGTGGCCACCACACATCTCCGCGACGAAAATGTGGCGGACTCGCGGCCCGAGTCTCCTTCAGCTGAGACACCGCCTAGTGACTCTGGGACAAAGCCCACCGTTCCTATGCAGAAGCGACGACGGGTGACCCGTGCCTGTGATGAGTGTCGTCGCAAAAAGATCAAGTGTGATGGCAAACAGCCCTGTACACATTGTACCGTGTATAGCTACGGTGCGTCAAACTAACCCTGAGTCCATCCTTCCTCTGGTGCGATGTGACTATGAGCTCACTGATGGCGGGTTTGTAGAGTGTACATATGATCAACCTTCTAATCGAAGACGAAATCCTGCACCGCAGTATATCGAGGCTTTGGAGCAGAGGCTGCAGAAAGCCGAATCAATCCTGCGCTCCGTGCTACCGGGACTCGACCTTGACGACCCCAAATTTGACGCCCGAACCGTTGAACAATTAATCGAAGCAAGTCGTGCAAACACACCTGCCACTGCCACTACCACTGCGAATACCAATGCCAACGCCAGCGCAAATGTCAACATCAACGGCAATAGCAGTGGAAATGCAGCTGCGAGACCACCGACCGACCCTCCCAAACCGGAAGACGATGCTCAACTCCAGTCGATGGTTGACAGGACCGGCTCACTGGACTTGGATGATCATGGCAATTGGGATTTTCATGGCCATTCCTCTGGCTACGTCTTCATGAGAAAGTTTCGTGCGCAGTTTGGCGAAAAGTTCCTAGCAGAATACCGTCACCCCAGCAAAAACCGCACGATAGCCCAGGTCCTCGAGTCACCAAAGTCGGCAAACTCATCACCTATCGAGTTCAGCCTCTCTCACCACATTGATCTGCCGCCTAGAGAGGTGGCCGTTGAGTTGTGTCACAACACCCTGGACGACTGCTGCGCTCTTATGCGCCCTATACACCGACCGACTTTCTTCAAGCGACTTCACGCAGTATACGATACTGACCCTGAGCAATATAACAATCGTCATGTTCAATTCCTGCCTCAACTCTACGTGGTCATGGCCGTTGGCTGCCTATTCTCCAAGACCGAGAATGAGAACACCATGCTGGACTTGAAAGGCTACAAAGAGGCAATCGAACAAGGGTGGGAGCTGTCGAACCCGATCCGATGATAACGGTCGCTAACGCTGCATTAGATATCAATACTTTAGTACCGCCAAACAACTGCTCGACATTACGGATTGCAGGGATTTGGTGACGATCCAAGCCATCGTCTTCATGATACTATTCTTGCAGTCTTCGGCGAAATTACCCACTTGCTACGCATACATTGGCATTGCATTGAGGGCGTGTTGCCGGTTAGGCCTGCACCGCAATCTTCCCATCAATTTCAACCCCATCGAGTTGGAGGAAAGGAAGCGAATATTCTGGTTAGTGCGGAAGCTAGACTGTTACGTGGGTGCTGTACTTGGACTGCCCCAGATGTTGAGTGACGACGATATCGACCAAGAATTTCCTGCTGAGGTCGACGACGAGTACATTACCGAGCAGGGCATCTTACCAATGCCGGCTGGCACATTTCCTCTATTGAGAGCGACTAACGCCCACACAAGACTGACGATGCTTCTGAGAAAAGTTGTTCGGTATATCTACCCACTGAAGACTCCAGGAAATTCCACGGCCGAACCCGTCTATAGCATTAGCCACAAAAAGATTCGTGAGCTTGAGAGAGATCTGCAAAACTGGATGGATCAATTGCCGAGCGAGTTGCGACCTTCGGACAATGCTGGACGGGAGCTTTCCAGGTGGGTTCTTAGACTGGCTGTATTGCGACAAGGAAACTGACGGCGTCCAGAGTCCAACAACATCTGCGAATGGGTTACGCTCACGTCCAAATGATGGTCTATCGCCCGTTTATACATTATGTATCGCAAGCATGTCAAGCGCGGAACGTGGATAAGAGGAGCTTCGCGTGTGCCGCGGCATGTATCAGTGTTGCAAGGAACATTGTTCACATCACCAGCGAGATGAAGAGGCGAGGCTTATTGGTAGGCTCCTACTGGTTCGTCATGTACACGACCTACTTTGCCATCCTATCGCTCGTATTCTTCGTCATCGAGAACCCAAACAACCCCACAAGCACCGAGATCCTGAAAGATGCAAAGGAAGGACGGGACACACTAGCAAGCCTAGCGAAGCGAAGCGCGGCTGCCGATAGGTGTACTGTCAGCCTGACGGTAAGCCGCATCCAATGGCAGATATCACGAAACACAATGCTGACTGACCCATTTGGAAAGGGCCTCTTTGATGTTCTTCCAGAGAAGTTGAAGGAACGCCGGAGTTCGCTCAACTTTGCTCCAGCGAGCAGTCGCAAGCGCCCCCCACCAGGTGCCGAACCAGGACCACCGACCGAGAGACAAACTGCGCCCGATGTCACGACCCAGATGAGCTCTCGAGAACACTCGGCAACGCCCAGCAGAACAAGAACGTTGCCTTCGGATTATCTGGCCAAACTGGCCAAGAGAAACTCGCTGCCAGATCCGGTCATGTCGAGTTTCTCGGACCAAATGCAAAGTGCTCAAATGATGGGATTCCACAGTCCCTCGACGTCCTCGCCCATGTCGCCCAACTATCAGTACACGCCACAGATGGGCAATGCGCAAATACCAGATCTAAAGAATGTCATGTTCCCCAGCGACAACCCCTTTGCGTACCCTAATCAACCGATGAGTGCGCTCGAGTCGGTCGATGGACATTATTCGTTCTCCGAGTCGGGTATGACGCCCAACGAGGCGAACATCTTTGGCACACCGAGCGGTGGCAGCCATCAGATGCCTCTACCTGCGTCTCAATTTGGTGGCTACGAGTACCCTTTCCAGCATGGCTTGAGTGACAACCCCAGCTTAGCGCAGCAATTCGGCACCCAGACTGGGCGAGATTTTAACGCGCCTTTCACGGATATTCTCATGCACAACGCACTCGGGACTGACATGAATCATCTGGGGGGTGTGCCAAACACGACAGAATCAATGAACCTGGGAGGCGACGCAAGCGCCTCGACGAACCCGGAAGAATACTGGAAACAGTTGAATGGAGGGCAGATGGGTGGCATAGGAGCCGGGCTGCCACAGGGGGTGCAGGCGAGCATGGATTACTTTGGCACCGAGAGTTGGAACTCAGCTTGGGCCGAGCAGCATTACGGCAACAACACCCAGCAGTGACGATCGGTGTCTGGCGTTCGGGAGTTTTGGTCTACGCGGACTGTGAAATGAATTGGGGTAGGGGATTTGAGGCTTTGTGCAAATGTGCGTTATTATGATACCACAGATTGATCGGGAATGAGGGCTAATCGCATTGAACGGCGTCCTGGATCTTTCTGGTCCAAAATGTGTATGGGGCTGATTGACGAATGGAGACGTATATGTGGACAACGATGAGCTTGGGGGGAGATTGGATTTGTGAAAGAAGACGAGCAGAATCGGTGGGAAATACGAGGCCATAAATGTACCTATTTCCGAAGGTGTGTACCTAGGTAGGTAGTCACCCGCCAGTGTTGAAGGGAAAAGAATAACGCAAATCACACCGAAATGCTTATTACCTTTATCAAAGAACCCTTATAGCCAGCCAGCAAGCCAGCCAGCCATAGGGGGTTTTGGGGACACTCGAGCTCCTGTTTTGCAGGAACAGGAGAGTTCTATTGTAGAGAGAGCAAGACACATCTTCCCCATTTTCTTTCCTATTCATTTTTGGTGTTCTCTAATTTTTTTCCCCCTGATTTGATATCCCCTGGAATTTCCCTCCCTACTTTTCTCCGGGTTTCGTCATGCGCCCAGCCTTTTGCCAAATCTGGCGGAAAGTCTTGGGAAAGTCTTGGAAGAGAGGGAGAGGGAGGGAAAGAGCGGAAAATCTTGGGTCTTTTTTTCTTCCCCCTGGGCAAAGAGAGAAAGGGGGGAATAATAAAGATAGGCAAAGAGAGAGAGTGGCTTTTGCTTGGTTGGTAATTGTTTACCTATCGTGTACTTATCAGTACCTACTCGTAGATATATTAGGTACTTAGTACATATAGATACCTGACGGGTTTATCACCTAGACAACATACCTTATGAGTACCTATGAGTACCTGGTGTACTAGGGGGCATAGTGAGGCGAGCTGGGTCCTCGGCATGTATTCGTACCTAGCTACTTATGTGTCCTTTGTACTGAGCACCTACCTACCTGCCAGGTAGGATAGACAGGTGGCAGGGCAGAGGCAGAGGGATCGAAGCCAGGGGTGGTCGTTGCATAATTGTAGGCTCAATAGGCGTGAATGGGTGCCTTTGGGGCAGTTGACTTCCCCCTCACATCCCTCTATACCTCCCTCATGTTCTTATCCCTATGCTTCTCATTATCTGCTATTCTATCGTCCCTTCTCATCTCGTAAGTAAACGACGATGACGACGACGACGATGATACGCAAACGGATGGGCAAGATAAGGAACAAGTCACCCACACACGCGGTTTGGAAGTTGCATCGTTGCCCGCAGATAGGTAAGTAATCGATCACTGCACATGTTTTTGGGAACCAGCAGCACCTATGCCGTGCATGCATACATAGGTATTATACTGAGTAAATGTATGCATGTGCTTTGTGATTCCTTAGGGCGAGCTTTGCCTTGTTGGGAGTGTCTTGATCTTGGTAGGAGTCTAAGATGTGTGCGCAAGTCCCTACAAGGTACGAGGTACAAGTGTTTGACACTGAGCATGGTCTGCCGACCTATCGACTGCACCTACCGATATCTCCCTAGTTTGGAGCATAGCGAACCAGAAGATGCATGGCATGATATATGATAATCATCATCTCATGCTTTCGTTTCTTCCTTCGCCACTCGCGAAATGCACGACATACGACATACGAGTGACTATGCCACCATCCCACACAAGTCCTAAGCCATTTCAAGCACGGGGCGACGGAACTCGAATTCAGCTCGGGCACTTCGTGTTTGCGGGCTCTGGCACTATTATTAATTTCTGTCCGACTCCTCGTATGCAAAAGTGACCTGATCAACGATACGGCGCCCAGACCTTCCAGAAGAGATACACCTCTCTAACAAGCCAGTCAGGGCTAGTCTCGATGTCACATGGAAAAATACTTGGTATTCGTAATGTCTTCACCGATAATCTCTAAGATCGAGTCGTCCGTGGCGCGTATCGTCGATGTGAGCCCCTTCTCAGAGAGTGTCTGGGGAAACCGTACCGAGCTAAGGACGGAAAAGCCATGGCAAGAGATAGGACCAAGAGATTCCGGTCTTGGAAGCAATTTTCGGAGCAAAGGCTTTTTGAGTTTCCATTCACCTTTCGGCCAAGGGGGCAGAGGGCGCCAATAATTCTGACGAAAAGGTGGTGGCGAAATCCCGTATCACCCGCTGAGGAGCCCGAGTGAGCCAGGATTGACAGTGCTGCGCCTCGCTGAGAAATGTCTTGGTAGTTGTGTTCCTCCCTTGGCCGACTTCTCGTCCCGCTGGGTGGTTTTCCAAGGATTTCCGACGTTCCAAGAAGACCAAGACTCCTCAGGGTTTCATCAGGGGCCCCGATTCCGCTCTTGAGTCTTGGGCTTGTGTCATCTCTGGCATTTCTCAGCTGATTAAAGTCAGCCCAGAATCAACCCTGTGAATGGGCAAAGTCACTGCCATCTGCATGTCACCACAGAGGGAAGGTGTAGATATGGGTTGATCCCGAGGAGAATCCAGGCTAGGCTCGACTCGACTCGACTCGAGGTGCAAGCCACAGAGTTCGTATCACGCTGACAGCCGACTCGAGGGTTCGGAGAGGGTGTTGCTCACTGCGCAGAGGCTGCGTGGTGCAGGAGGTGGAGGTGGTGCAAGTGGTGCAGCTGCTCCCTTTTAGTCGGACCGCGGTCAAAGCAACCCCCACCACGACGCAGGCAACTGGCGGGCTGGGATTGGCGGGATTGTGTAGTGGCTTGGCACAGGCTCAGGCCAAGACGCTAGTGGACGCTGCTCCATCCCAGCTGCCCATCGAGCCCGTCAACGCCCTCATTCTCGGCGTCTCTCTCACTCTCTTTTCTCTCTTTCACTGCCACTCTGCACGTCGAACCAACGGCCAGATGCGTTTCGCCTTTTGCGCTCTGACTTTGGCTCTGGCCTCTCCCGCCTCTCGCGCCCTCTCGTCCGTGAAAATGAATCTTCTCCCTTGTCTGTCCACTTTCTGAAGCCCCAGAAGGCCCCAAGCTCAAACTCCCCTGCCCTCTTTCCTGCCTCATGCTCTTCACCCCCCTCGGGCTTCCCTGAATGGTTCCTTCCCCGTCATCTCAACCCATCAGTACTGCCCCCCTCCCTCTCCCGAAAAGAATCAAACCCCCCCGGCGACAAAATACTAGTAGTAGTCCCTCTCTTCCGTAAAATTAAATCTGGTCCTCTCTGAGCGTATCTCCTTCTCCTGGTCTCTTAGACGACTGTGTGAATCACCGGCCTACCGTCTTGTCCGCTGTCCGTGACAGAGCGACGGTATACTTAATAGTGGCCAGTCGCCCGCACCCGCCTAATCACTACTCAGGCGTAAAAAACCTTCCACCACCTTTTCCCTCGCCCGGAAATTTGGTTGTCCTCACACCCTTCTTTTTTCTTCATCTTCAACTTTCGCTTTTCCATCACCCTCGTCACCTTCTTGGCGTGATCAAAGCTCGCATTGTGGCAGCCTTGCGTTCGCTGGTTTAACTGTTCTATTCCGCCGCCGCCAAGTTTCGACATTGCTCTTGGCGCTGTTCGCAAGCCAAGCAAACAATGGCTGACCTGGGAGAGAGCAACACGCCCACTCCAAATCCTCCTGCCCCTCAAGAGGTGCTTCAGCAACAAGGTCAACTCCAGCAGCAGCCGCTGGCCTCAAACCAGCCTGCTCCCAACGTCAACGCCGCCGGCGAAAATCTGCAGTGCCAGTGGCAAGGATGCGGCGAGCGCTGTCCTTCAGCTGAGTCGCTCTACGTGAGATCCTTTCTCTCCTCCGCTGATGGCGACGCGCGCTGACAATGACTACAGGAGCACGTCTGCGAGCGCCATGTCGGCCGCAAGTCGACAAACAATCTCAACTTGACCTGCGCCTGGGGCCAGTGTCGCACCACCACCGTCAAGCGTGATCACATCACCTCCCACATCCGCGTCCATGTTCCCTTGAAACCTCACAAGTGCGAGTTCTGCGGCAAGGCCTTCAAGCGTCCGCAGGACCTCAAGAAACATGTCAAGACTCACGCCGACGACAGCGTCATCATGCGCTCTCCCAACATGGAGGCAGGTGGCGGCCAGCGTCAGTCTCAGAATGGCATGGGACAAGGTGGGCTTTACGGCGCCTCATACTATGGTCGCAGTCTGACTGGACAAGTGCCTCCAAATTACTATGCCCCGGCCATGCCAGGGCCACAAGATTACACTGGCCAGCATCACCCGAATCAATATTACCAGCCTCATCCTCCAGTCCAGGTAAGCAACCCCTTCTGTGGGCATTTGGCATGTGAGAAGTCTCTAACAGCAAACTGCAGACGGGGCAGCACCCTGGCTATGGCCCGGTGACATACTATAGTACCGCACCTCAGACCACCTACGACTTCGAAGCCCGCAAACGTGGTTATGATGCTCTCGACCACTTCTTCGGCCAGGTCAAGCGCAGAGAGGTCGACCCTATCAACTTCCAGAATGTCAGCCGCCGTCTATTTGAGCTCCAAGGTCTCCAGCTGCCACAGATCATCCCCGCCGCTATCCCGACTCCTGCCTACCAACCTGTGGCGGTCGGCGGTGGCTATGGACAAGAAGACCCTATTCAGGCCTACAGCTTGCCGCCGATGGGTAACGCGAAGACGAGGGAGGACTTGACATCGATCGACCAAATCCTGGAGCAGATGCAAGCCACCATCTACGAGAACGACGCGCATCTCACCGCTGGCGTCGCACCAACCGGCTCCGGCTACGTGACCTATGCCCGCTCGAGCAACAGCCCCCCAACCTCGTCCCATCTTTCAGCGGCAGCCGCTCACGCGAATGCGGCCTCGTTGCTTCAGCATGGTCACCAAGACAGCATTACCAGCGCCACGGATGCCAGCACACCGGGTCTCACCCCTCCATCCTCTGCGCAAAGCTACACTTCCGGCCAGAGTCCCCTGCCTGGCCACGCCGCACCGACCGGCAACGCCATGTATCCGACTTTGCCAGCCAGTGCGAGCGACATGGCATACGCGGCAGCCAACGCGGCGACTCTCAGCGGTCTTTACGAGACTGATGAGCGGCGCCGCTGGGATGGCGGTCGACTCCAGCGCGCTGCTCCTGGCAAGATCAAGGACGAGATGGACGTCGGCAGCGACGGCTCCCTCACTCCTCCGGCCACTGCTATTAAACAAGAATCTCCCAAGGGCAAAAAGAAGGTTTCGCCGCAAGATAGTGTCATTGACCCTGCCCTCGCGAGTGCCGAAGGCGCTGAGACACCCAAGAGTGGAGAATCCAAAGATGCTCCCGATCAAACGGAAATGTGGGTTCAAAATATGCGTCTGATTGAATGGATGCGCGAGTTCATCAAGAAGAAGCTTCAGAGCGGCGACTACGAGGACGGCGATGGGGCGGCAAAGGATTCAGTTGTGAAAGACTCTGGCGAGCATCGAGACGCTGAGATGACTGGCACAGACGACGTCAAAGAAAAGTCTGAGGAAGAACAACTTTACCCTGTGCTGCGGCATGTGGAAGAGGCTGCCTAATATAGCGGCGGCTGCTGCTGCTCATGAGTCATGGTGGAGGTGACAGGAATGTCTAGTTTTGTTCAGAAATCGATGAGAAAAAAGGATTCAGACAAGGCTCTATGAGAGCCGCTAGGGGGCGTTGGATGGGCTGGCCATGAATTGATGACTTTACTCACTACACTGATCGTTTTGACAGTCGGAGCAACGAGGTCAGACTGCATGGATGAATACGACACCACAATGCGATCCCAGACGTTGACGCGAGAGTGAAACAAAGGAGGCGTCACTCGCTTAGCACTTCTCTATCTGATGTATGTCCAGTACGTTAAAGCGCAGACGCAGTCCTTAATCTCACAAGCAATCACCCTCTCCGGGACTCTGGTCTGTGCATGTTGCTGCACAGTGTACAATTAAGCTTTTATCATCTGCTCTTCCAAAACCTCACGCCCGTCAAACCTCCTCGCTTCACAACTTCGCCCATCTGCTGGCAATCTCGTCACTGATTTCTGTCTACCATCGCATGTTCTCGTGGTGCACTCATTACGTTATAGCAAGACTTGCCCTGCAAAGATGCTTCATAGATCAGGTGATCCTTACAGCATTTCTCTGCAAATTCACGGATAAGCTCGGTAAGTCGTTGATCCAGACCTCTCGTGATGGACTCTCCATCGTCACCAGTTTTTGGATTCAAGCACCATCCTCCACAAAATGGTGGCGATGGCTTGTAGAGATTGGTTAGAGATCTCAAGAGGCCCGCGCGTACTCTGGCCTGACATCCGACCCGGGCATCAATGTGCTCGTACATGTCCCCAGCGGCGAAACATCTCATGACTTTACAAGCTCATTTAATGAAGCGTCATCGCTACATAGCGTGCCCAGGCGAATTATTTGGATATGGTATGTAATACTAACTAACTTCACTTTTGATATCTGCCAAATACTTGCCTTGAAGGAAACAGAAATAAACAGACCATGAACGGACATAGCCAAAAGGTATTGGTGCGCAACTTTGAGAATGTGGTGCGAGGAGACGTTGCGTCCGTGGGAGGCAAGAATGCCTCCTTGGGAGAGATGATCGGTGGCCTCAAAGCAGAGGGTATTGCAGTCCCGCCTGGCTTTGCCACAACCGCCGACGCATATTGGCGCTACGTCGATGCCAACGACATCAGGGGGAAGATGACCAAGCTGATCGGGGACTGGCAATCTGGCAAAGCGGCTCTTCCAGAGACTGGCCATGCGGTGCGAAATCTGTTTCTGCGTGGCGACTGGCCGGCGGACGTGTCGACCGCCATCATAACCGCCTACCAGGAGCTTTCTGCGCAGACAGGCATTAAGAATCTGTCAGTCGCAGTCCGCTCCAGTGCCACAGCCGAGGACTTGCCTGACGCCAGTTTTGCCGGCCAGCAAGAAACATTTCTGAACATCTCGGGTCAAGCTGCGCTTCTCAACGCCTGCCGACGCTGCTATGCTTCGCTCTTCACGGACCGGGCTATCAGCTATCGCCAAACCGCACATTTCGATCACCTAAAAGTCGCTCTTTCTATCGGGGTGCAACGCATGGTGCGCTCGGATGCTGCCGGGTCCGGCGTCATGTTCACACTCGATACCGAGAGCGGCTTCAACAAGGTTGTGCTCATCAACGCAGCCTGGGGCCTGGGCGAGAATGTCGTCCAGGGCACCGTCAATCCCGACGAATACCAAGTCTTCAAACCGCTTCTCACCAACCCCGACCTCGTCCCGATCATTGAGAAGAAACGGGGTGAAAAGGCGATGAAGATGGTCTATGGGAATGAGCACATGCCAACCCGCAACGTGCCCACCTCTAAGGCAGAGAGGAACAGTTTCGTGCTCAACGACCCGGAAATCCTCAATCTAGCGCGCTGGGCGTGCATCATCGAGAACCACTACAAATGCCCCATGGACATCGAATGGGCCAAGGACGGCATCACGGGGGAGATGTTCATTGTCCAGGCGAGGCCGGAGACCGTGCAAGCACGGCGTGAGGCTGGCGTCTTCAAAACCTACAAGATTGGCAAAAAGGGTCGCGTCCTCGCGACGGGACTCTCGGTGGGCGAGGCAGCCGTGTCGGGTCGTCTGTGCCTTATCGAAACCGCCAAGGACATTGACAAATTCGTGGATGGGTCGATTTTGGTGACGGAAACGACGGATCCAGACTGGGTGCCCATCATGAAACGCGCCGCAGCCATCATCACCGACCACGGCGGGCGAACGTCGCATGCGGCAATTGTCAGCCGGGAACTTGGTGTTCCTGCAGTCGTTGGAACGGGGAATGCCACCTACGTCCTTCACACGGGACAAGATGTTACAGTATCTTGCGCCGAGGGCGATACCGCGTTTGTGTATGAGGGTATTTCCGAGATCACCACCAAGGAAGTCGACGTGACTGGGCTACCCGCTACGCGGACAAATGTCATGCTGAATCTCGCCAACCCGGCATCTGCCTATCGTTGGTGGCGTCTCCCCGCGGACGGCATCGGCCTCGCACGCATGGAATTCGTCGTCAGCAGCATCCAAGTCCACCCGATGGCACTGGTCCATTTCGACAAGTTGAAGGATGAAAAGGCCCAGGCCGAAATCACCAGGCTGACAGCGGGTTACAAGGACAAACCCGAGTACTTTGTGGACAAGCTCTCGCGGGGCTTGGCCTGCCTGTGCGCGGCCGTGTACCCAAAACCAGTAATTATCCGGATGAGTGACTTCAAGACAAACGAGTACGCCAACCTGATCGGTGGGAAGGACTTTGAGCCCAAGGAAGAGAATCCCATGCTAGGCTTCCGTGGTGCGTCGCGGTACTACTCGCCCCGTTACAAAGAAGGCTTCGCACTCGAATGCCGAGCCATCAAACGGATCCGCGAGGAGATGGGCTTTACGAATGCCATCGTCATGATCCCCTTCTGCCGGACAGTGAGCGAAGCCACAAAAGTGATGCAAGTCATGGCCGAGAACGGGCTTGTGCGCGGCGAAAACGGGCTCCAGGTCTACGTCATGTGCGAGATTCCCTCCAACGTGATTCTAGCAGAGGAGTTCACGCGCCAGTTCGATGGGTTTTCCATCGGCTCCAACGACCTGACTCAGCTCACGCTCGGCGTGGACCGCGACTCGGCCGAGCTGGCCGACTTGTTCGACGAGCAGGACGCCGCGGTCAAATGGATGATTGAGCGCGTCATCGCCGTCGCTCGCAAGGCCGGGCGCAAGATCGGCCTCTGTGGCCAAGCGCCCAGCAATCATCCCGAGTTTGCCAAGTTCTTGGTCGAGTGTGGGATTAGTTCCGTCTCGGTCAGCCCGGATAGTTTTCTCGAGGTCAAGAGGCATGTCGTTGCGAGCGAAAAGGGTAAGGTCAATGGGGGCGGGATCGTGAATGGGAATGGGAATGGGAGTGGTGCTTGAGTTTGTTGAGATGGATGTGGCCCCTGTCCCCGGTACTGCAGGCTCAAGGGAGGGATAACTTGCTTGGGGTTTGGGGATACAATCAAGGAGAAAGAAGAAAAGAATGAATGAGTGATTGAATGAAATGAAGTTCCGGGATGTGCAGAATGGTAGGAGAGGTTGACAAAAGAGGTCTGTCACATTATGCATTTTGTAGCTAATAGGTATTTACGAATTAGGCTTGTGTTCATCACATCATCACATCATCATCTACACACATGAGCTACCCGAGGTAGGTATAAACTGTGTGGCAGCTTATCCCCCTGAAACAGACGCGAGAGGCGGGAGTGGAATCCAGCCAGAAAAAGGGAGGAAGAAAGGAAGAAGAGAAGGGAAAAGGAAAAGAAAGACATGAATCGTACAGATTCAGAAGGAATCGGCGAGGTTGCAACCCCTTCTGTTCGATTTGGAACACCTTTGAACCCTTTTTGTTTGACCCCTTACTCGGTACCCTCCTTGGATCCCTATTCCCTTGAACCCATACGATCCCCTTGGCGAGTGGCCGGGTTCTTTGATCTGTTCAGCCCAGACCCCTTTGACCGGTCCAATTTTCCTAATCATACACTTTGAGCCATTTGAAACACACTCCTTACGGACTCAGCAGCTGTTGCGCCGACTCGCGCACGTTCTCGGCAGACTGGGCCAACTTGGCCCTCTCCTCGGCCGACAGAGGCAAGGGCAGCGTCTTGACGACGCCGCGCCTGCCCAACACGGCGGGTGTGCTCAGGCAGCAGCCCAGTTCGGGCTGCATGTGGCTGACGGGGCGGACGTCGCGGCGGTCGAAGAGGATGGAGGCGCAGATGCTGGCCACGACGGCGGCGATGCCGAAGGCGATGGCGCCCTTGGCGTCGACGATGCGCTGGCCCTCGCGCCGGCATTCGTCCGCGAGGGCCTGGAGGTCCTGCGGCTGCTGCGGGGGCAGAGCCTCGTCGATCGGCACCCCGTCGACGGACGCGTGCGACCACGCCACGAACTGCGAGTCGCCGTGCTGGCCTAGGACGTAGGCGTTGATCGGGCCGGGTGCGATCTAAAAAAAACAGTGGAATGTTAGATTCATTCGGTCGTGAGAGAGATATGTGAGGGGGGCGTTACCTCGAATCTATTCGCAAGCATTCTGCGCAGTCGGACCGTGTCCAGGAACGTGCCTGAGCCTATCACTTGGGATTTTGGAAGGCCCGAGAGTCGCTGAGCCAGCGTCGTGAGCACATCGACCGGGTGTGACACGATAAGCAGGATCAGGTCCGAGCGGAACGGCCTCATTGAGTCGATGATCCTCTCGAGGATGGCCGCGTTCCTCTCCACCAGCTCAAGCGAGGTCTCGCCTGGTTTTGCGCGTGCGTCAGTCAATTTTGCTCTCAGCACACAAATCACAAAGAGTAGGACAGGCCTCCCTTTTCCTTCTTACCTCTTGTCCTCTTCGACCCAGCGGTGATGACCACAATGTCACATTCGCCAGCCTCCTTGAGCGTCCCGGCCCGAACGCGAGTGGTGCTGTCTTCAGCGTAGCACGCGTCCGACAGGTCCCGCACCTGGCCGTCTCGCTTCTCGGGCTTCACGTCGACGAGCAGCAGCTCGCTGTAGAGGGAGCCGCGCAGGAGTGCAAACGCCGTGGCAGCGCCGACCTCTCCGGCTCCAATAATGGCAATCCGAGCAGTCATCTCGTTTAGTATGGGATTTTAGTGTGTTTTGAATAATATGTCAATGCCCATCGTCCTCTCTTCGAGGTGGATTGCGGGCCCAGATGAGTTTTATAGATCTCTCGCGAAAATGCAAGCACCCTTTGCCATTGGAAAAAGGTGGTCTGTCCGTGGCGTGAGACTGGGTACCGAGTACGTTGGCGGGTCTTGGGGCGTCGGACGCATCATCACATGTTGGACACGTGCCCCAAGGTTGTGCGTCTTGTGCAGGTTTCACGACTGTCATGGAGACGTGAATCTACCTGGGTATGTTTGCTGCCCTGCTTGCGATGAGGAGAGGTTGACTGTAGGAATAAGAAGTGCATCTGGCTCTCGGCCTTTAGTGTCACTTGCGGACAGAGCAGAACTCCTTGGCAGCGCAGCCTCGTCGCCAATGTTTCAATAGCGCAACCAACACCCCAGGTTCAAGTGACTACTACGTGTTATTAAAATAGCAGTCATGTTCTATTTGTCGTCTTCGAACAGATATATATAGTGCTTGACTCAGTGGTCTCTTAGTTTGATAAATATCATGTCACGCGTGAAAAGGAACCTGCGCCCTATAAGTATACTGCCATCTTGGTGGGCGTTCTGCTGGCAACAGCCACCGTTGCCGTGTTCTAGGTCAGGTTGAAGGCCGCGGGCAGCAATCTAAGACTGGAAGGGACAATATGGAAACTGTGAGATGTATGAAGCAGGAATATACTGCAAATATTACCTGACTATTTTCTGGACGGCAAGGTGGCCGATCGTTCGGACTGAGCACACGCAAGCCGAGTTTCGGCCTCGCGTGCAAGCATCCGATGCTTCCACTTCCACTTCCATGTCGGATCCCGCATCCCGCATCCCGCAAACTCGTCAACCCCGCATCTCATGGAAGTTGCTCGATTCACACAAACAACTTTGCCTACCAAGGTACCAAATCGACAGTGGATAGATACACATTCTATACGAATCTCGAAAGAGCAGCTTGTCTGATCCACTTCCCATAGGACATCTTTCGATAATATCCTCAAAGGCGAATCCAGAATGGGAGTGTATCGCTGTCAAATCTGCTCCAAGCCCTTCAAGCGGAACGAGCACTTGACCCGGCACAAGAGAAGCCACTACTCGGACCGGCCGTTTACATGTCCGCTCTGCTTGAGATCGTTTACGAGACAGTAAGAGACAGCCCTCCTAGCCCGGACAGGGATATTCTCGTTTGCAGATCATGCAGAACTGGAAGAAACTGACCAGACGGTGCATCCAAAGGGATACTCTCCTGCGCCACATGTCATCTCACGCGAAGCCACCAGCGACACGGAACAGCACCTCCTCTTCCTCGTCTTCAAAAAGACCTCATGAGGAGCAGCACTTTAGACCGGGCGATTGCGGACCCATTTCTCTCGCCGCCACCAGCCAACCCACCAAGACCACGACACCCGTACCCCAGCGAAGCGACCTGGACCCGATGGATTTGTTTCCGTTCGCTGACGACAAGTCAGACGACATCGACGTGCCCCCGGAGCTGTCTTCTGAGCGCGATCCAACTGTGTTCGAGACACCGAGCGTGATCCCGTCGAGCAGCGGTCGAATCATCGAGATTGACGACCTCGACCCCTTGGAGGTCGCACGGCTCTTTGGCAGCGGCGGCAACGGCAGCTCTCTGGCATTCCAGACCAGTGACCTGATGCAGAACAGTGTCTCGCCGGCTCTTGACCGGTATCAGTCTCACGGATCAGATTCGCAGCCTGAATCCTTCGAGTTGCCCCCGGAGCTGTTCAACAGCACCGTTGACGTTCATGCCAGGACATGGCTCCGGGATTTTTGTGCCGGGGATTGATTTGTTGATAATTTTACAATATTCATTGTGTATTAGATCTTGAGCAAGCATATATAACTACATTTGATCAAATTTCAAGAGGCAAAACTCAAGGGGAAAATTCCGAAATATATACCTAGGTACCTAATTTACATTTCCACACACAGAACCAACCAACCAACGCTCTAGATGTACACCGGCTTTTCCACCACACATCATACAAAATGCTCGTGGGTATCACTTCCTCAAGACATAAGTAGTTAATAGTTATATCTCGATCTCCGCCCCAATCATATCCTCAATGCGCTTCTTGAGCCTCCCCACCGCCTCCCTCGTCAGGGCCACGGGCCTCCCGACATCCTCGCTCGGCAGGCTCGGAAAACTCTTAACCTTCCAGCGCGAGGCGGCCGAGTCGGCGTACAGACACGGATAGGCCTCGAAGAAGCCGTCGTCCAGCTTCTGCGTGTCGAACTCGTCGTACTCGAGGTCGTAGGCGCGCTGTAGGGCGCGTACGCCCGGGGAGCGCAGTACGGGCTTTTTGTCCAGGCCTGGTTCGGCCAGGGGGTTTGTGCCGTTCGCTTTTTCCAGGCATACCAAGTCCCAGACGCGGAAGGAGGTTTTGTCGTTCTCGTCGTCCGCGGCGGGTGGGCCGGGCGGAGTTGTTATTTCGTGAACGTCGCCGGCGTCATCCTTCTTGGCGAGTAAAGACGAAGACGCAGACGCAGACGTCGTGGGCAAGGACTGATTCGTCCGCCGCCCGCGCCGTTTCCGGTGCGCGACCACGTTGTGGATAGCCATCCGGAACAGCGCATCCACGTCGATCTGGTCCTGATACATGATCGCCATATCCCGGACATCCGGCCACGGCATCCAGTCGATCATCGGCGAGTGTGGCACCGACAACTGTGCCCGCGTCGGACGGTATGCTGGGGGTAGTTGGCTGTATGAGCGCTGGCAGGGGAAATTGCGCCAGAGCTCGGAATGGAGGAAGCCTCGAAAGGTGGCCTATTTTTGCAGTCGAGGAGGGAAAGTGATTATCAGCGTTACCACGCTCTCATGTTTCACCGGAAGGGTTGTGAATAGCAAATATAACCTTTCAATATGCCTATTGACATTGGACATGTGTAACGTACCGTCAAGTTCCAGTACCCTTCTGCTGCAGGCCACGCCTCGCGCACCACCCACAGCACCCCTTCGGCAGTGATGGCGCGTTGCAATTCGTTGCTGATGAATGTGTCAGGGTTGCTCGTCCAGAACCAACCAGATGCGAGGGACTTGGCTTGTGTTTCCTGTCGCTCACCTTAAGAAACACCGTTCCAACGAACATCGGAGCAGCTGCCTCAGCGCCGTGATGTACGTGTCGAAACGGGACTTCGGGGGGCTGGTGTTAAAGCCCATGACCAGGTTCAGGCTGGACAGAGGGTGCGCGAACGTGTGGTCGAACAGTGTAGCACGCTCCACGCGCGCAAGAGCCCGCGCGATGGTCTGCTGCGCCTCCTTCTGGGATTTGTCGCACTCGTCGTGGTGTCTCGCGGCAGGTGTGTTGTAGTTGGCGGTACTTGTGCTTTCGAGACTGTGCGAACGGCGGTGTCTCGGTGTTCCCAGGACAGGGGGTAGTGTGGGTGCAAAAACACCGTTGACATTCGTCGTCATAGCTGACGGAGTAGCCGCGAGCTTTGAAAACGAATCGTCGCTGGTCATCCGAACGTCCCGATGCGATTCCGCCGGCGCAGCGCCCTGAGAGGCAAATGGCTCTCCCAGCAAGTCACTCTCGGACGATAGTCTAGGGCGCTTGAAGGAAGGCGGTCTTGTGGCTGAAGTTATGATCGTTGATTCCCAGCCCGGCGTCTGATTGTGGCGCTGGATAGGTGTGCGCCGTCCGTGAGCAGTTGGTGGCTTGACCGGAAGTCGGAAATGTGTCTTTTCATGTTGCGATAGACGCCCTGGAAGTTGCTCGGTGGAAACCTCCGCAGGTCCGTCATCGCTCTCGAGATAGTACAGACTTTGAGAGTCATCCAGAACCCATTGTCCCGGCATCTTTCCCTGCTACTTGCTGATTATCGCAGGTGTCAGGCGCATGGGTGGTCCGAGCAGTTGAGACAATGGGCGCGTTAGCGGGTGGTCGCTTGATGGGTGCTCACTGGTTGCATAACGAGACGCCGATGCAGGTTCTGGCTTGCACGACGTCAATCTCTGGCTCTGAAGGTCCACTTGGTAACGTTCAAATGAATCTCTAAAATGGGTACACAGACCTCGGTGGTCCCTGACGAGGAAGAGGGGGGCAGACCAAGGATTTGTCGCCAAGACCGCGCGGGCTTTGGGTGCGGGCCAGCGGTGGGTGAGCGGGGTCCCCAGGAATTCCTACTCCGTGATTCGCTGCTGTGGCATTCCCCGCGTTGCTTGTTGTGCGCATGCCCATTGGGTACAGTCCAACTGTCTACTTCGACATCCATCGGTCACATCTCATTGACCATCTTCAACAATGCGGCTACTCGAGTATCTCTGGAGAGCGGCTCTGGGTCTGTATGACTTGCAACACGCAAGAAGACCTTCCCTCAGTAACTCCCCGCTCTGACGCGTCGAGGGCACAAATCCCCTTGAAGCTCATCTTGGTGGAAGAATCAAAGAAAAAGGAAAACAATCCAGAGGCGGACGAGCCGAACGATGACGCTACAGACCAATTCGATCGCTAGGCGGACTTGAGGTGGATTCCCAGTTCAGATGCCGTCTCAGTGTCGCATAGAGGCGCGACGATGTGGCAATTGTGGTAACGCCGGACACAATGCGCGCACTTGCCAGGAGGGAGCGGAGGAAATGTCCGATGTTTACATTTCTGAGTAGTTTGAATTGGTCATTTAATGGTGAAGTTATAGGAATAAATATCGTGCTGTCGCGTCAAAGTGGTGCACTCACTTGTCTGGTGCACTCGCTTATCACCCACGTTATTTCTAAATCGAATTCTACTCTTATATTAATGTCGTCTTCTCAAACTTCTAACAAACTCTCTCCTCTTGTACTCTCCTGGGGGAGGAAAGTGTTTTCAGGTTTTGTTAGCCATTGCGTGGTCTCGCTCGCCGTTCGGCCACTCTGGGCTGGGAAGGAACATCCTGCTGCTCTGAAAAGGCCAGGCCGTACCCCGCCGGGGGGTACAGTAAAGGCTTCCAGCATCGGCGGAGTGCGGAGGCGGGAGGCCGGTTGGGGCACCCGCCGGCGTGGGGAGCTACCCCGTACTCGACGAGGACACTTTGAGCTGCACATAAGGAGGCCTTTTGCCACTACCGCTGCGACTCATCTAGTACTCGTCTAGCGAGCCGTTGAGCTCCCACTACTATCGATCTGGCCATTCTTTTCCCAAGGTCGAAATTCTCTCCTTTCTTTGATCTTCGACATCTAGACCTCACCCTCAGTATGACTGAAAAAAACATGGCCGGGGGCACCGAGGATATCTCGCACGTGGAAAGTGCCGAGAACCTCAGGGAACATGAGGCTGCCCTCGTAGGCGCCTATGTCCTGCCCGAGCTCAGCAGCCATGACGAAGTAGCCAACAACTCCATCAGAAATGTCTTTCGCGTCACCAAGGGCATTACCCTGGCAAACTCCTTCCTCATGTGTTACCTGTACTTTGCCGGTACGATGGCGTATATTGTTCCCCCCACCCAGGTCAGTTTCATGGTCGCGGATCTCGGCCGACGAGATCTCGCTGCTTGGGTGTCCACAGCCACTTCCGTTGGCATCTGTGCTGTCCTTCCAGTCAGTGGCGCCCTGACTGATGTCGTGGGTCGGCGGTGGGCTATGATCGCCGGGAGCCTTCTGGGAGTCGCCGGCTCAATTGTGGCTGGACGTGCCGATTCGACAAAGATGATCATCGCCGGTCAGGTAAGGTTGACTCTCTGCGCTCGGTCCTATACTCAACAAACTGACATGATTGTCGTTCCTAGGCCCTTTGCGGTGCTGCCATCGCGCTTTGCTTTGTCTCACCCGCTGCACTTGCTGAAATCATCCCGGCGTTCGCACGACCCTTCTGGGCTACTGCTCAGCATTTTCTCGGAACCATTGGCCAAGTCGTTGGTCCCGTCTACTCCGGCGCCTTCGTCAAGGCCTCGATCAGCGGTTGGCGATGGCCTTTCTACATCAACGCAATCATATTCGGCCTCGGCGCTGTTGGAACCATCTTCATCTACCACCCAAAGTCTCGAGTCCGCGCACTTGGTTTCTCGAAGCGAGGAGTCATCAGGCAAATCGACTTTGTTGGCCTCTTCCTGTTCCTTGCAGGCGTGACCTGCTTACTCCTCGGCTTGTCGTGGGGTGGTAATGTGCGCTACGGATGGAAGAATGCCCACGCAATCGCCCCAACCGTTATTGGAGTGGTCATTGTTCTCATTGTACTTCCTGTTTATGAGCGCTTCGGCTGCCAAAACGCTGTCTTCGACAGACAACTGTTCCGGGATCGTACTTTTATTATGCTCAACATTATCAGCTTTGTCGAAGGATTCGCCCTGCTAACCAGCAGCGTTTGTATGTACCCATGGTATTTGCAGCACTGATATCTCACTGACCTTGGGGAAACAGACTTTCCACAGATTCTCCTCCAGTTCTGGACGAAGGACCCGGTTACGGTTGGCGTCTATCGCATCCCGTTCGCCGTTAGTGGCCTCATCTCCCAGACTGGAAGCGGGTTGATCTTCCAGAAGACTGCTCGCTACAAGAAGATGTATATCGGTCTCGCGACCCTTTTGTTGATCGGACCGGCTTTATGTAAGTCCTGGGCGTGGCTGCAAGTGAAGTGAGGAGCTCATGCTGACTGATATCGGATAGTCGGTGTGCTCACCCCTCACCAAAGTGTCGGCGTACCCCTAGGCATCTCCGTACTCACCGGACTTGCAGTCGGAGGTATCGTGCAGGTCTCCCTCATTACGGCACAGTATTGTGTTCCTCAGACCAAGCTGGGTGTCAGCCTTGGTATCATCAATACTGTCCGCGTCCTGGGCGGCGCCATCGGTGTTGCCATCTTCAACTCAATCCTGAGCACAAGACAAAACAGTCACATACCAAGTGCTGTAACAGCTGCTGCCACAAAAGCCGGTGCCAGAGCAAGTGAACTTCCCCTCATTGTGAAGGCGGCCGTCTCCGGCAATTCAACCTTGCTCGTCTCCGCTACAGACAACAGCACTGCTGTCATTGGCGCTGTGAAGCTTGCGGTTCTGAACACGACGTCAGCGTCATACAGGTAAGGCTGAGCCTACTGCCTATCATCAGACGAGATCACTCATCTTTTATTCTCAGAATCATCTTCTTAAGCTCCATTCCGTTTGGGGCTATCTCCCTGGCTGCATGCTTCTTGCTACGCGAAGTCAACCACTACATGTCGGACGAGGTTGTCTTCGGACTTGCTGCTCAAGAGAAGGCCGCACCGGCCGGATTGAGAAAGGAACAGGAGACTGTCGAGAAGAATGTGTAGTACCGGGGAGCCGGGTGACCAAAAAAAATGGCACAGCGAAAGACTGAGACTGAATGACCCCTTCTTTCTTCTCCTTCTCTCCTCAAAATAAGACGTGATAACTATATATTTTATTCGCTCGGTGTAGCTCAGTCTATAAGCTATCTAGCGATATTAATATTATCTATTGTTAACGAAAAGAAAGTACGTTGAAACTACTTTAAAAGTAATAGATAGGAAAGTGGTTTTGTCTAACGGTTGGAGTGTGCCACTTATTTTGTCACCCGTCGCCGGCTATAGTGCCGGATGAACTTGGAACGGACTGGCCGTCTGCATTTCACATGGGCAGTCTCCGTTGGGAATAAATCGATGCGGCCTCACGTCGTGGCGCTGGTATTGTTGTAGCGCCACTAGAGCACACTTACGATCATGTTATGTTGATACTCTGTGACACGCAACATTGGGGGCGACAGCCTGGCCACTGAAGCCGACGGGGGCGCAGGACCCCAACATTCAAGCACTCGCGCACGAACCTGACAAGGCGATTCGAGCGCGATTTTGACCATGCCTTATGATTTAACTTGGCATACTGTATCCAGTCGGTCAGGCAAGGGAGTCAAGTTGTTCCGTACTGATCAAGGGGTTTCCGCTATGCTGTGCTATGCTATGCTATGGGGTTTCCACCAAGAGTGTCGTCCCCGTGCGGGGACCCCGCAGTTGTGGTGCATCTTTCCTCCCCGTCGGCTCCTCAATCCAAGTCTTGTACGGCCTCTCGCGACTGTCGGTCTTGCGGGCGTGCTGTTTTCGCGGGTCATTGGATCAAGTGATGTACGAGCTCGCCCAGCTCCCCTTCTCCATGGCTTATGTCAGAACCTGAAATGGCCAGGACTACCATCTTCTTTCTGCTGCGTTGCTTCATGCACCGGGTGAATGAGAAGATCGTACATCGGCTCCGCAATTCTACAGAAGTGTATCAACACCAAATGAATCCTTGATGACGTTCTTGGTGGTGGTTGCGGGAAGGGTATAACTACAAGTATGTCGCATGGCACTTTTGTTCACGTTTGGCTGCAAATCATTGGACTTATCACTTGCGTTCGGCTATTTTCTTCGCGATGGAAAAGATGATCATTGACCGTGACGTGCCGATTCCCATGGAAGATGGCATTTCCCTTCGAGCTGATATCTACAGACCCAAGGATGAAAAGCCGGCACCAGTGATCTTGACCATGGGCCCTTATGGTAAGGGACTGCCATGGAGAGTAGGCTACAAGCCACAGTGGGATGCCCTTATCCAAGCACATCCCGACATTCTAGCAGAGTCCTCCAAAGAGTTCATGGTCTGGGAAGTCGTTGACCCTGAGATCTGGACCTCTTGGGGTTACGTGTGCATTCGAATCGACTCTCGAGGCGCCGGGTGTTCCCCAGGCTACCTAGACGTCTTCTCTCCTCAGGAGACGAAAGACTTATATACTGCCATTGAATGGGCCGGTGTTCAGCCTTGGAGCACGGGAAAGGTCGGCCTCAGCGGCATATCGTACTTCGCCATCAATCAATGGCTTGTCGCATCGTTACAGCCACCTCACTTGACAGCAATGATTCCGTGGGAAGGAGCTGCCGACTTCTATCGAGACATGACCCGTCACGGTGGCATCCTATCAAATGCATTCTTGGATCTCTGGTATGGACGGCAGGTGGTCTCGGTCCAGCACGGCAATCCGGCGGCACCCCATGATCCCTGGCGGGATGACCTCGTCAGCGGATCTAGGGCAATGGTGCTCTCCCCAGAGCAACTGAAGGCAAATCGTTCGGATCCAGTCCAGGCTGGCTTGAGCCGACCACTCGATAGTGAGTTCTATCGAACTCGATCCGCGGACTGGTCTAAAGTGACAGTTCCGTTCCTGAGCTGTGCTAGCTGGGGCGGCTACGGTCTGCATGCTCGTGGCAATTTCGAAGCGTTTACCCAAGCGGCATCGAAACAGAAGTGGCTCGAATGCCATCCAGGGAAACATGAAGAATGGTTCTATGTCAACTATGGCCTGGACATTCAGAAGCGATTTCTCGACCATTTCTTGAAGGGGGAGCAAAATGGATGGGACAAGGAAGCTCCTGTCTCGTTAGTCATCCGCCGACCTTTCAGCACCGATTTCGTGGCTCTCCGTCAAGAGCATTCTTGGCCACTCGAACGAACTGAGTGGACCTCGGTTTCTCTGGCCGCTGCGAGTCGGAAGTTGAGCTGGAGTAGAGTGTCGAGCGATACTACGGAGCAGGTCCAGTTTGCGGCGTTGGGCGATCCAGTCACATTCATGTCGGAACCTCTTGAGCAGGAAGTCGAGATCACTGGACCACTCGCTGCAAAGATCTTTGCTTCCTCTTCCACTGCCGACATGGACCTCTTTTTGACCTTTCAAGCTTTTTCTCCGGATGGAAAGGAGGTCGAATTCCAGGGCAGCCTCGATCCCCACACTCCTCTCGCGCAAGGCTGGCTTCGTGCATCCCATCGCAAGCTGGACCCGGTGAAGAGCACGCCCTATCGACCATATCACACACATGATGAAATCCAACCGCTCGAGCCTGGAAAGGTCTACGAGCTTGACGTCGAGATCTGGCCAACGCATATTATCTTACCGGCAGGTTTTACAATCGCCCTCCAGATCGGCGGCAAAGACTTCAAACGACCGACAGAGAAGGACATGGGTGGCGGCGCCTGGTTGGCTTCCGGATCAGGACCTTTCTTGCACACACATCCTGAGGATAGGCCAGCATCCATTTTTGGTGGGAACACCACCATTTACACTGGCGGTGATACTCCGTCGTCTCTCCTTCTGCCAATCATTCCGCGCCAGTGAAGTCGGATCAGAGCGATGCACGGGTTGCGTCAACGTTCCAAAGTTTTACGATAGCCATCACCTGATCATCTGCGTATCCCGAGTATTGAAATTGCGAAAGAAGAGCCGTGCCTAGTTCAGCTGCGACGAAGGGCAAGCGCAGCGCTCTTTCGGCCACGAGTATTTCGCAGAGCAGGGTGCTTATAAGTTATTTTGCAAAACCGCTATCCCCTTTTTTAGCGCTCAGCCGAATCAGGCGACATACCTAGTATATTATATACCTAGGTAATATACTTATTTTACAGAATTTTAGAGTGCCTATGAGGGTGTCCATAAGAGTGCTCGGGAAGCCTATAAGAGTATCTAGGGAGTACTTATCGGACTACCTCCGGTTCCAGTAATTCCCTAGCACCTGTGCCAAATCACCGGGATACTTTCCTCCGTCAGGCCGCAGCCTGCGGCCATAAAGTCAGTTCGTAACAGGCAACTTCTCTTCTTCCTGACTCCCGAGGTCTTCCACCAGCCCTGACACCTCTGCCACACCCCATGTCTGATCATGTGTGCGACTTCTGTGGCACCACTTTCCAACGTGCAGAGCATCTTTCCAGGCACCGACTCCGCCATATAGGCGACCGACCATTCGAATGTCCAGGATGCACTCGAAAGTTCTCGAGAAGGTGGGATCCATCTTGGTCTGAGGTTTTTCCCGGCGACGCTACTGACCTGCATGGCTTAATGACAGAGATACCTTGCAAAGGCATCTTATCATCCACGAAAGAAGTCAAGACAATGGCCGATCCCATGCAACAATGCACCGAAGGGTCAAACGTGCTTGCCGCAGATGCTCCCAAGCTAAGCAGCGCTGCGACGGAAGTCAGCCTTGCCACAGGTGCAGCAGGCGAAGGCTCGACTGTTGCTATAGTCTCGAACAATCCCCAGATGTGAGCAGAGTCTGCCACGACGATCGAACCAAGGGCTGACCAGGTTCAGGCTACAGAAGGTCATGTACAAAATGCTGAACCTCGGCACGACACCTTCTCCACAACCACCCAGGCAATGGACTGGCATGAAGGAGACGATGCTGGCATCGATGGAACCCGGGCTACAAGTTCACTATTCCTACCTCTAACCTATTCCAATAGCCTACAGTCTGGTACCGATGCTTCTGCTTCTGTTCTCGGTACAACGAACATGGTATCCAATATGCCACACGACATGAACCTGTCGACCATGTCGGCTACCTCGCAGCATCCGAATCTCTCGCCAGATGTTCATCCGTCCGTGGCGCCACCCGCTCAGACGGATGAAACTACAGGGTTTGGCACCAACTCACAGGACCTCACGTTCTGGACCGAGTTGGACACGCTCTACCAATGGCCATGCAACGACTTTGATTTTGTATTTCCAGAACAAGAGCTCTTACACATGGCACAAGACTTCCTGTCGCCTACAGCCGAATTCGACGACACATTCACAGGTGCTCCAGTCCCAGCATTCCTTGGTGCTAGATCTAGTCCCGAACCCTTGGAGGGTCGCGGCGTCTGCTTCGATGAGTATGTCCGAAAAGTCTTCGGATCGCGTTATCAACTTCGTAACGGTGCCAGCGACGGTCGTACTCACACTGCACACCAACGTTCGAGATCAGCGAGTGTACCGCAACTGATGGGAACCTTTTCTCCTGTCTTGAGTTCCGATCAGAGCGGTGACCTGTGGCAAGCAGAAGACCTAGCACATGTTGTGACTTTGCCCCAGCACCTCTACGACCAAATCATCACCAGATTCGCCGAGCTAAATGGCGACAACGGTCGCTACACCCCGTTTGCTGGCGGTCTGTTTCCATCAAAATCCGCCTGCAATGCTTTCATACAGTTGTTTTTTGAAGAGTTCAATCCGTTGTTTCCTATCCTACATCGACCAACTTTTGCCCCAGCTTCGCAGCACTGGCTTCTGCTGGTTGCTTTGATTGCTACCGGATGTCGATTTTCGCGCGTTTCTGCTGCTGTAGATTGCTCGGACCTGCTGCAAGAGTTTCTTCGTCGAGCGTTTCTCGCAATGGTAAGCACTTTACCCATGACTTTCCACTTTCCAACTGCAACTCCTAGAACTCATCTTGGAAAGCTTACGATGATGCAGGTCTCAGAAGACTATAGCTCCACATTTGAGCCGTGGGTTGTGCAAGCGGGATTGCTGAATCAAATAGGCATGCTATTCTCGAAAGATCTGAGGTTGACGCAGTCAGCTCAGTCGATGCGCAGTCTTCTCATTACCTTTGCCAGACAGGTCAACTGCTTTCAAGAGCCCTTGTTGCCTGATGGTTCACCCGATTTGGATCAGTCCTCTACCGAGGCATGGAAGCTGTATATCGGCAGAGAAAGCAGACGTCGGTTAGCATTTGCGCTGTGGGTAAGTCAATCTTGCACCTTGTTGTCTTGCGGTGGAGAAGCTCATCGCCATGTGTCAGCTCGTTGACAGTCACTTTATGATGTTCTATGACCTACCACCTCTGGTTCCTGTGGACCTTCTCCGAGTCAGATTGCCTTCTAGTGAGCCACTGTGGCATGCATCAACAGTTGCTGCGTGGCTTGACTGCTGGAAGCAGGGAAGTAAGACAACCATGACTGAGATCCTTTGGGGCATTCTTGCTGAGCCATTCTAACAAAGGTTCCTATTTGCCGTTTGGCATCCGACGAGAGCTGAAAGACCTTTACAGCAGTGGTTCTCTCAAACCAGGGCTGGGCGATTTTGCCCTCCTCCTACTCATTGTAGGCGTTTACAGAAATGCAGTCGAGATCCGTGGCGCGTTTCGGGACGGCTCTGACTTGTTATCTGCCGCTGTCAACGGACCGACAATGCCGACTGGCGAAGTTTCATCCTTGTCCGATATAGCATTGGTCAATGCCAAAGCTATGAAGTTTATAAACATATTGCGCCCGCGCCATGAGCACCAATCGACCCTGTCTTCGTTGACAAAAGCAGTCATTCACCACTGTCATATCGTCGGGATGCTCCTCGGAATCACACTCCGCGAGATCATGGCTTTCAGCGGTTATCGAGTCACTAGTACCGATATTGCCCTTTGTGAAGACCGCCTCAAAGTCTGGGTTCGTGATCATGGCAGAGAAGCTCGCGAAGTGGCCATTCACGCGGGTCGACTCTTCTCTGCCATCCGAAAATCCAGCATGTACGGCTATTACGAAGGACGCGCATTGCTTGTGGCGTGTCAAACCTTGTGGATATATGGTGCCACGGCTGATTTGCTCACTCCGCTACCTGCAGATGGCTGTGACTCCGAACGGGATGTGAGCTCGACGATTCGCCTAGACCAAAGTCTGGACAAAGAAGCTGAAGAATCATGGCTACAACGTGGCGAAACCATGCGTCCCTGTCTGGCAGGCGTTGGCAGTATTCTAGGTCCTGACGGAGTTGCTCGACTAATTCATGAGGGATCCCGCATCTTGCGCGCTTCTCGTGTGTGGCCACTATGTGATACTATGGCCAAGGCATTGAAGATCTGTCATCATCTACGTGTCGGCAAGTCAATCAAAGAATTCGAGTGAAGAATCCAGAACAACCCACCGGGAAACCAGCGAAGTGACGACCATTCGCCCCGCCGGTCAAGCAAAAGGAAATGCTCTTTCCAAGCGCAAAATCTGCAGCTGCTGGATTCTGTTGCGTCAGACAAACAGGCACATCCTTTGACAGCACTGGAGTGGTCGTCTTGTGGCACAAGGGCTGCTACATTCCGCCACAGACCGCAACCAAGTGATTCTTGCTTCTTGTGGCCCGCTCTTCCGATTTTTTGCTGCGGGCCGACGGGGGTGGGGTGGGCAAGAAAATCGGGAACGATTGGCACCTTTCCATGTCACCGGTAGAAGCGGCTGCTTGCACCATGACAGGAAAGGTGAGCCGCCGGATGGAACAATATACTACCCTGAGAGCTGTCGTTGTGGCATAAACCAATCTCGACTTTCGCAGATATCGAAATAATCAGTGCGTGTTGTGCCTCACGTATCACAATGCCCTATGTACTAAAGGGAAGGAATGTTTTGGTCGTTGGAGGTGCACGGTCAGTGATGTTCAAGCAGTCTTCGAGGGCTCGAGTCATGACGACCACCTGAACTAATCCCTCTGAAGTGGCCTAGGTGCTCTGGTTGCGCACAAGTTCGCTGCTGAAGGCTGCAACGTGGCAATCAACTATGTCTCCAATCTTGTTCGAGCCAAGGACACTGCTCACTCGATCGAACAGCAGTTCGGCGTCAAGACCTTTGTGGTCCAAGGGGTAGGTCATGCTCTGGTGAAGCCATGAACGACCCCTGACATTGGCCTTTGCACAGGATGCCGCTTCTCGGGAAGATTGTGCTAGGATAGTCCAAGAAAGCCTTGCAACCCTTGGAGGACTTGATGTTATCGTGGCCAATGCCGGGTGGACCAAGTTCACCGACTTCAAAGACCTTCATGCCCTGAGCGAACAGGAGTGGGATCTGGTACGCCTCTGTAATCGTTGGAGCGGGTCCATATGGCTGATCCAATTGCAGTGTTGGGCAGTCAACGTCAAAAGCAATCTACATCTGCTGCAAGAGGCGGCACCTTCCTTCAACAAAAACTGTGACGGTGGTGTGCTTCTTATGACTTCGTCGGTGGCGGTAAGGTCCACGACTGCACCGTTCCAACATTCCGATCCACGTGCACCGCCGGGCGCTCTAGCTGATCGTTTCAACCTAGAGCCTGACACCAGCGGGAAGTTCCATGGCTTACTGCGTGACCAAGGCCGCTGGTATGTCTTTTTTTTCTCTGTGGGCTCACGCGCAGACGAGCACCGTCCAAATGACTTTTCGACGCAGGTTTGCACCTGATGAGATGCCTCGCAAGCAGCCAGGGTCCCAAAATCCGCGTGAATGCAGTGCTGCCAGGTTTCCTCACGACAGAATGGGTAAGGATTCAATCCATCACCTCATCTTCCACCAGTCGACGTGATTATAGGCCCTCATGCTCATGGGATGGTGATAATCACAGGGAATGCAGTTCAGCGACGCACAGATCCAAGCGTTGAAGGAGAAGGCTGTCCTGAAACAAGAGGTAAGCATTGTCTTATCTCCCCAGAGCCGTTGTTTCGTCGTGTCTTTATCATCGAGAGCGTCGTGCTGATGCAGAGGCGTCCTCCTCGTTCCGCCCCAGACCTCCTTGGAGGACTGTGCCGAGGCGTTTATAGCGGCTGCCAAAAATGCGTCCATGACAGGTCAAAAGATTCACGTCGGTAAGTCCCGACAGAGGAAACAATGGCCCTGTAACCCAAGAGCTGGAAAGCAGAAGGCCAACGTAGCTACTAATTTGATCCAGACTCGGGTCTTGTCATACAGCCTTGACGAGCTTCTCTCCAGCCAGGCAACGGTTTCGACTAGCCCGTATGGCGTGCAAGTCAACAGAGATGGGAAGCGAGTATGATAGAGACTTTCTCTGAATGCGCGACCGATCAGATCAGACCATTGAGAGTGCCGACATTGGCCAATGCTTCAGATGCGAAAATGTAAAAGACGGAACTTCAAGTCTTCGAGCTCGGCTCCAGCTGTATATAAGCGCCAATCCTAAAGCAGTTCTATGCGGGCTTGGTGGCTTTTATAATCACTCCGTGCTAATCTTGCGCGTCCAGAATCCCACTATACGCGGCCATTAGTCGTTGGCCCGTAATATCTATTCCGTGCTGCATCGCCCAATGGCTTCGTAGTCTCCACTTCTCGTCATCCACCCAACGATGGCAGGGGCGTTGTTCTATCGAATACAGGTCACGGCATGGAGAAGCGAAGAGCACCTCTACTACAAGATAAAACGAGATGTCATCAGCAACCAGTCACCCTAGATCTAGTAGCCGAATAAGCTTTGGCTAACTCGTAATTACTGCTCGTCTGACGATTCTCATGATTCTCCATCCGGCCTACCAGTTTAATGAGCAACGATGACAAGAACGACAGCACCAGACGACATTTTTCTGGACATACCGCGTACGCTTTCCGATGACCTTGGTACCAGAGAATCAACGCAATCCTACAGGGATGCCGATGCGAGCAAGGGAAAACCCCGCCTTGCAGCGCCAAAAAAAAAGGATCTTCACCAAGCCGTGGGGAGAGCAACGACTTCGATTCCTGCTTCATGCTGTACAGTATCCGACCACACTCTCAAGTGGCTGCTCAATACAGAGCCAACCCTCGAAACGAAAGTATAGAGGTCATCCACTCACAGACCGGACCAATGTATCTCATCGAAACCCCGGATTTGCTGCTCAGGCGTTACCCTTGATCCGGTGCCGCAGCCGAAAGTCCATTACCCCACAAGTTGCTCTCATTGGCTATCAAGATTGACACCCGTGTTGCAAGGATGATGATCAGTGCTCGATGATCTTACTCCCATCGAATGTATATAGGCATGTGGTCTTCCTGATGAGGGCCAGCGTTAAGACCCATTCTACATGCCATCCTCTCCCCACCTCTGATGGTCATAGCTTATCACTTATTGCACCATCATTGAACTCGAGCGAAACTCCACTACCAACATGGCGCAAGGACTCAGAGTGTCAACTCCGCAGTCCGAGGTTGATGTCCTCATCATTGGTGCAGGCCCAGCCGGCCTGATGATGGCGAACTGGATGAGTCGGTGCGGGATTCGGACGAGAATAGTGGACAAAAGAGGCACCAAGGTAAGTGATACGTCCATATATTGCTTCGACACCCACACAAGCATTCCTTCTGTTATTCTAAACAAACTAACTAGCCCAGATTTTCAACGGCCAAGCGGACGGACTTCAATGCCGGACGCTCGAGATCTTTGACAGCTTCGACTTTGCACACCGGGCCTGGATCGAGTCGAACCACATGCTCGAAATCTGCCTCTGGAATCCCGACCCGCAGACTGGAATCATCCACCGCTCTGACCGCATCCCGGACACCATCCCAAACATCTCACGCTTTCAACAGGTGGTCCTCCACCAGGGACGCATTGAACGATTCTTCCTCGACTCCATCTCAGAACACAGCAAGAAGACACTCCAGGATGTGCCGGGGTGGGAGGAGGGCATTAGGGTCGAGCACGGTGTCATGCCCGTCTCCTTTGAGTTTGACGAAAGCGTCGCCGAAGACAACGACGCGTACCCGATCACCGTGAAACTGCGCCATCTGAGCGAGCAAGAGGCAACGCCCAAGCAGGCCGCGACCAGCTTGAACGGCTCCGGGTTACAGGATGGACTATTCCGCAGCAACCTGTCGCCGGACGACACGCAAGAACTGCTGGAGAAGTCCAAGGCGCTGCGGGAGAAAGAGGGCAGAGAGGAGACGGTCAAGGCCAAATACATGCTGGGCGCAGACGGCGCTCACAGCTGGGTCAGAAACCAGCTCGGCTTCAAACTACAGGGCGAATCCACCGACTATATCTGGGGAGTGCTCGACATCATCCCCATCACCGACTTTCCCGATATCCGCATGAGGTGTGCCATTCACAGCGAAAGCAGTGGCAGTGTGATGGTGATCCCGCGAGAGAACAAGCTGGTCAGACTCTACATTCAATTGACGACGATGGAGAATGCAGGAGGCGGCAAGAGGGCGGACCGGAGTAAGATCAACCCAGACACGATTCTGGCCAGTGCACAGAGGATCATGAAGCCTTACAAAATCGAGTATCGGTACTGCGACTGGTGGACAGCCTACCAAATCGGACAGCGCGTCGGCGACAGCTTCAGTCTGAAGGAGAGGGTCTTTTTGGCCGGCGACGCCGTCCACACTCACAGTCCGAAGGTAAATCTACTCTCCAAACTCGTCATCTCTGGGAGTCTCAAGCTAACGCAACCAACAGGCCGGTCAAGGCATGAACGTCAGCATGCAAGATGGTGAGTACAACCTATCCTCTCCAGGGAAACCAGTAACTGATAATCTCAGCCTTCAACCTCGGATGGAAAGTCGCCAGTGTGGTCAAGGGAACCAGCAACCGATCCATCCTCAAGACCTACCAATCCGAGCGGCGCCGGATCGCGCAGGACCTGATCGACTTCGACCACCGTTTCTCGCGGCTATTCTCGGGCCGGCCGGCCAAGGACGTGCTAGACGAGGAGGGGATCTCGATGGATGAGTTCAAGAACGCGTTTGTCAAGGGGAACCTGTTCGCCAGCGGCGTGGCCGTCGACTACGGCGCGAGCGTCATCGTAGCCAAGGCCGGCGACAGCATTGCGCAAGGGGACGGCACCGAGGTGCTCGGCGAGGAGGCGCTGCGCGTCATCAGCGCCCAGGACCGCGCCACCGAGGTCAAAGTCGGCATGCGCATGCCCTCGTTCAAGGTGCTCAACCAGGCCGACGCGCGGCCGTGGCATTTCCAGGAACTCCTGAAAAGCAACGGTACATGGCGCCTGGTCGTGTTTGCGGGGGACATTGTCGGTATCCCATCCCAGCGGGAGCGACTGGACCAGCTGGGCGAGAAGCTCGGTTCCGCGACATCGTTCCTGAAACGCTTCACACCTCCTGGCGCGCGTTACGACTCGGTCATCGAGGTACTCACACTCCACGCGTCCAAAAGGCAGGACGTGACCATCTTCGACTTCCCCGAGGTGTTCCGGCCCTGGCACCCCCGCGACGGCTGGGACTACTGGAAGATCCACGCCGACGACGTCAGCTACCACGAAGGGTTTGGGGACGCTTACACAAACTACGGCGTCGATCGCACCCGCGGCGCCGCCGTCATCCTCCGCCCGGACCAATACGTCAGCTGGGTCGGCGACATGGACGACTACGCCAGCATGGACAAGTTCTTTAGTGGGTTCATGGTCGAGCAGCCGGAACGACAGCTGACAGAGAAGACGGCGGCAGATGCCCCGGTCGTCGACGGCATCAGCCGCGTCTCGCTCCAGGACGCAGAGAGAGACGGTGCGGACGGCAGCATCCCGGCTACGAATGGCGCGGTGGCCGGTACGGCGGCAGCATGAGGATCTCGGTCTCGGTCTTGGTCTTGTTCTACATTCTTGTCCCTGTCCCTGTCCGTGTCCCTGTCCCTTGAAAACAAAATTCATCATTTCCATCATCTCGGAGTTTCCACATAGAAAAACGTACCATGCGAAAAACAGGGGAGTTCGACGCCGGGAATCTCGACGTGGACACTTTCTTCCATTTCCAACTTTTTGGACCTGAGCAATTAATTATCCTGAGCCTCGCCGCTTCAACCTGAGCCCGATGGTCCCACACGTGCCTGATTGCGGGCCACGGCGTCAAATTCAACTTGACTACTACATAGTAACTGATCAGTTGGGTCCATTATTTCAGGATCCAGGGCGCCGGCCCTGTTAGGTACTTTGGCACCCGCCTAATATATTAGTTGGCTAATTTTTCCTTTTCTAAACAATTCTGGTAGTTATATACGCGTCACGGTCTTATAATCTAACGGTCACGCGTAAGGACTTCCAACGCAATTTAATGTCGGGAATCCTTTTATAGTCCTTATTCTAAACCACGTTACATTCACCGAGAGTAGCGATGGCATAATAACTTCCCGAAAGACTACAAGTAGTAGAGTGCCAGCTAACCTTGTTATCCTTCCGAACCTCGAGTCCTCGACACACTTTTGTTCTCTTTATCACATCGAAGTCAGACTTCTCCCATCCTTTCACATTCCGTGATGATTGATGAGATATTTCTTGTAGCTGCCTTAGTCTATTGTCTTTATTCTCTAGGATTCCGGCATATTCCTCACCATGGGTGTTCATCCCACCCAGCGTCGCGCGTTGAAAAACAGTTGTGCCCAAGGGCCCGAGTTTCCCCACTCTTCCGTCTTCCCTCTCGGTATCCAGCTCGCTACGCCAGCTAGTACCGTTCTTTCTGGGTGCGGCATCATCGCCAGGACTTTGCCATCCTTCGTTCTGACGCCGGCGATGCCAAGCGGGCTCCCGTTCGGGTTGGCCGGATACTTTTCTGTTGGCTTTCCATAGTTGTCCACATAGCGGACTGCAACCGTTCCCGCTTCCAGCAAAGCCTCTTCAGAACCAGGTGATTGGCAGCGTGCGTACCCTTCTGCATGCGCCGTCGTGATGGGAAGCTTGGATCCAGTCATGCTGTGCAGGAAGACACTTGGTGAACCATGGTCGAGAACCTCAACTTCGCAGACACGAGCTTCGTACTGCTCGCTCTGATTTCGAGTGAATATGGGCCAGTCATCTGCACCAGGAATGAGTTGGCGGAGCCGTGTGAGAAATTGACAGCCATTGCAGACTCCGAGAGCGAAAGTGTCTCTGCGGGCAAAGAAGTTTTGAAACTGCTCGCGCAGGGAGTGATGTCTGAGTACGGATTCAGCCCAGCCGCGGCCAGCACCGAGGACGTCGCCGTAAGAGAAACCGCCACATGCTGCCAAGCCAACAAAATTTGCGAGGTGGGCACGCCCAGCAAGCAGATCTGTCATATGTACATCAACGGCGGCGAATCCAGCATTTAGAAAAGCGAAGGCCATTTCGGAATGTCCGTTTACACCCTGCTCACGAAGAATTGCAACTTGGGGTCGGGAGGCCGGGAACGGTACTGGGCGATCTCTGGGATTAAAGGTAAGCTGGTACGAAAGGCCTGGATCGGAAGAGTCAAGGATGGCAGCATGTTCGCTGTCGGCGCAGATAGGGTTGTCTCGGAGTCGCTGTATCTGATGCGACGTAGAGGCCCAGCGTTGCTGGAGAGTCGCACGGAAATTGCGATATACCGTGTTGGACTTATGGGAGATGATAAGCTCCTGCGTATTCGAGACAGAACCTATCTTCTTCACCAGGCTCCCAGGGAAGCCAGCATCCGTGATTGCGTGGCAAAATTCAACCTGGTCTCGTTCACGTACTTGAAAGACCGCGCCGAGTTCTTCGTTGAAGAGCGTTTCGATAATACTCTTTGTGTCCATGTATTCCGCGTTGCATACTTCGTCCAGGGTGATATTCAGTCCACATCTTCCTGCAAACATCATCTCTGCAAGAGTAGTGAAAAGTCCACCATCAGACCTGTCATGGTAGGCCAGAACGATACCACGAAGCTGGCCCAAGACGTCAAAGAAGCTCTTCAAAAGATGTGCGTCATGAACATCGGGAGCGAGATTGCCTATTTGATTGAATACCTGCGCAATTGCAGAACCCCCTAGCGCTTTTCGATTTTTTGCAAGGTCAATCAGAAATAAGGCTGTTTCTCCAACGTCTCCAGGTCTCTGAATTGTCGGGGTCCAGGTATGATGGATATTTCGAGTTGGTCCGAATGCCGATACGACCAAAGATAAAGGCGCAGTAACTTCTTTCTGCTTGGACTCGTCGGTCCACTTCATCTTCATAGACAGCGAGTCCTTTCCGACTGGAATGCTGATGCCTAACTTGGGACATAGATCGGCTGCGACTGCTGCGACTGCCTCATAGAGAGCAGCGCCTTCACCTGGATGGGAAGTAGCTGCCATCCAGTTGGCCGAACAACATACACGCGAGAGTCCTACCAAGTCAGCCGCTGCGAGATTGAGTAGAGCCTCAGCAACAGCCATACGAGCCGAAGCAGCAGGTGAAATCAAAGCCAACATTGGCCGCTCACCCATTGCCATGGCTTCGCCAGTCTTGATTCCAGCTGTGAGAGAGGTGGCAGATACGGCCACATCGGCGACAGGTACCTGCCATGGGCCGACCATTTGGTCTCTGACCGCTAGACCTCCCACACTCCGGTCGCCAATGGTTATGAGGAATGACTTGGAGCCAACACAGGGTAAAGCAAGTACTCTGGATACCGCTTCTTCCAAAACGCCTTCAACTGGGATGCCGGGAATGTAGGTCGTCAAACTAGCTTCGAAAGGAGGTAGTGCCAACCTCCTCGAGTCCACTACTCTGGTCATTCTAGGCGGCTTGCCAAATAGGACGGACATCGGAAGATCGATCGGTGTTGGAATATCTATCGACTCGCGGTCCAACAAAATCAGTCTCTTCTCCCCACTCTCTGATACAGTCGCCTTTCCTACGACCGAGTATCCACACCGCTCCCGATTCGCTATGCGCTTTATCAACGGAAGATCATTTTGATCCACAATCACGACGTAGCGTTCTTGTGCCTCGCAGCACCAGATCTGCATCGGGCTCATGCCCCGGTCCGCATTATCAATCTCGCGCAGCTCGAAAGTCGCTCCAAACCCAGCGTCATGCACTATTTCAGGGAGTGCATTCGCTAAGCCGCCACCACCGACATCATGTATCAATTTGATCGGCGAGGCCAGTCCCATAGCGTTGCAGGCGTTGATGACTTCCTGCACACGCCGTTGAACTTCGGCATTCCCACGTTGGACACTGGCGAAATCGATATCGACGGAACTGGCGCCACTGCTGACGCTGGAAGCGGCGCTGCCTCCAAGGCCAATAAGCATTGCAGGACCCCCTAGAACGATTACACAGAAGCCAGAGGCGACGTGACGGGGATCCTTAACGGCGAGTTCCGGTCGCACGTTTCCAACGCCGCCAGCCAGCATTATAGGTTTGTGATAACCTCTCATTTCGCTTTGATTGTCCTCGAGTGGTAGTCGCGCGAGTAATGTTCGGAAATATCCGGTTAAGCATGGTCTTCCGAATTCGTTGTTGAAGTACGAACTGCCAAGAGGCGCTTCAATCATAATGTCCAAGCTGCTGGCAATGTGATTAGGCTTTCCTATCGCCCATTCCCACGGCTGTTGAAATCCCGGAATCAGGAGGTCTGATACTGCAAAGCCGCAGAGCCCCATTTTGGGCTTGGAGCCGCGTCCGACCGATCCCTCGTCCCTAATCTCTCCTCCGGAACCAGTAGCAGAACCAGGGTATGGCGAAACAGCAGTCGGATGATTATGAGTTTCGACCTTAGCCAGATAGTGGACCATCTCCGGAACTTGGTTCCACTCGTGAGTCTCTGGGTCTACCGATAGATGGCTGCCCATGAAACCTTCCATGACGGCAGCGTTGTCACTATACGCGCTAATGACCGACTGTGGATTTTTGGCTTGCGTACTGCGGATCATTTCAAAGAGACTTCGTTGTTTAACCTCTCCGTCAATGATCCATTGGGCGTTGAACTGTTTGTGCCGGCAATGTTCAGAGTTAAGCTGCGCGAACATGAAAAGCTCAATGTCGTAAGGGTTTCTCGCAAGCGGTCCGCTCAGTGAAAAAGATTCAATCAGATAGTCGATTTCTGGGCCGTCCAATGCCAGACCGAGCTCCAAGTTAGCTTTGTTGAGGAGCATACGGGCGTCCGTGCCGTGCTCATGGATGGGTACTGGCTTGGCCGCAGCAGGGACATGCTCTGCGAACATAGCATGCAAGTCCGGAGGATGGGCAGATAGCTCCTCGGTCATCCGATCATGAAGCTCATTGGCGAAAGAGGACAGGAAAGGCGGCAGGTTGGCGTGGAATGTAATAGTCATGACCAGGCCCCTTTCAATGCGCTTGACGGTGTCTTCGTAGCCGCACACATGGGCAATGTTGGTCGCTTTGGAACTCCATGGAGAAATAGTGCCGGTTCTAGGTGTTATGTAATAGGTGACCTGTTGGTCACCAGAGTCCATTGGCTTTGTTCCTGTACCAGTACCGACATCTTCTCCTAGCAGGAGTCGGTTGAGCGCAGACTGAACCTCTGGAGTGACTTTTTCTTTCAGGGCAACGTAATAGACTTCAAAAGCTCGAGCGCCCAAAGCTCCGATTTTGCTGGCAAGGGCAGCACACCGAAAATCCGAGAGGGCAGGAGGTCCTCTGAAGGTCAAAAATAGCTGCTCCATGCTGAATACCGTGGTGGTCCCGGAGCGTTGGGCTTTCACACTTTCAAAAGGAGTACAAAAGTATACCAGAACCGAGAGGTAGAAAACCAAACGTGTGATACTGAAGAGGCCGTTTGTGCGTTCATCATGGGGATTCGAGTTCTGGGTGCAAAATTTCCAAGATAGCCTTGGGCTTCACCGGTCACGGTAACAGGCGGTGTGGAAGATTGCAGTATTCGTCGAACCGGAGCAGAAATCAGCAGAGGGACGCACGCTGCTGTATCGAATCGTTGCAAGCCAGGGAATATACTTGACAAGAGTCGCAGCATGGGCCTCAGGCTCTGCTCCAGGATCAGGCATTGTGAAAAGCGCCCAGGCGCAGGACATCCCGTTCCAAGATCCTCAATTGATTGGACACCGGCTGGGCAAACACAGGTGTGTTCTAAGCTACCGTGTGACAGGAGCAAACACCTGCAGCACGAGCGCCCAGGTGGCTGAATTTACTGCAAGCGTCCAAATAAATCGCGGACAGCCTTCCCTTCAGAATGTTGGACTGGGCCCACGTGTTAGGAACCCGGCTCGCGGGCGCAAGCCTAGGGTTCTTTGCTTTTGCAAAAGTGCAGGCCTGAACAAGGCATGAGCGATCACCTGTTGTTGATTCTGAGGACAACCTGAATTTAGGTGACTGGATTTTTTCCTGCAAGGCAGATACACTGACACACTCCTGTAGGTTCTTTCTTGTCTTCGGGTGGGCTAAATGGTCGACTTCTCTGGCTGGCGGAAAGCGGACCTTAAAATTGCGCTACTCTACTTACGGCCCCGGTGACCAGGTTTCGGGCCGCAAAAAGGCGAGTCGAACTAGTTGGTTGGGCGACATTGCCTAGCGTATCTTCTTCTCTCGCAAACCATCCCCGAATTTTTCAGCCTGATTTTGAAGATTACAGTACATCGAACCTTTCGAGGCAGGTTCCTTCTTGCGTAGTCTCGCGTCTTTTGTTTTGTACAGGCTTAGAACAAGCCCTCAACGTGCCCCTGCGCGACTTTTCGACAAAGGAAAAAAAACACCCCCTATTGAATGCCATCAGGCTGCGCAAGAGAATCAACGCAAACATCCATGTTTCCCTTGCAGAATGAAGCGGGACTAACGATGATGAAACTAACAATGATTTGTTGCTCAAAAATGCGACATGGGTCGTGCATAGATGCTTAATAATCGAACCCGCCCTCGCTCACCAGATGACCCGCTGCGTGTGGATCGAGACAAGCTTGATAGTCCGTTCCTACCGTAAACTTTGATCTAGTAAGTAATGGCTTTACCTCGTGCCTTGTTGTGGTGGAGCCAAGTCTCACGGGCAGAAATCAGCAGAACGGTCCTGCAGATATGCCTTTTGACAAATTATGGCACAATCCCCTTTGCCTCTTAGCTGAAGCAGAACTATACCAATTGTAGAAGACAATTATGCAAAGAACAGCAGCGCTTTCGGTCCCAGCGACACTTTCAACAACCCGGTGCTCAACGTCTGTCACGATACAAAAGCTACTTCTCCTTCTGATAGAGGTGATTTTTCATATCTAGTCGTCTTCTTCCCTTCTTCGCTTTCTGCCGACCTCTCGTATGTGAGAAACACAGAATTCCTTCAACGGGGCGACAACCCTCTCTTTGAGTAGGAGACTGATTGGTGACTTCGACCCCTTTTGAGTGTCCATGTCCCGGCTGCTTTGCACGCCCGTGAGGCAGGCTCTGACGACATTTGCATATGCTGATCCCATTAGAAACGACAATTCGGGGACTTTCTGTTGCAACAGGACATTGGAAAAGGTCTGATTGTCGACTTTATCAAATCGGCTCATGATTTTGTCTATCGGTGACCAAAAGCCGACTTCAACAAGCAGGATGCCGAGACTATACCAGTCAAAGTGAGGTCGGAACCGTTTGAAGTTGTGGTCTTGTACATCGATATATTGTGGATGATGATAGCGCTGATGTCTGCGGTCTTGCAGTGGACCCTCTGTCAGGTCATCGGCGGCGTTGTGACTGTGTTGGAAACCGATAAGATAGAGTTGATGCACACGTGGTGCAACTGGTCCTACCCTGTTGTGGAAAAAAAGCACGTTGAAAGGCGTGAGATCTTTGTGGTACCAGTTCACATCGTGAAATGCGACAAGGGACTCTGTGAGCTCCAGACTCAACTGCACACGGCTTTCCCAGGGAGGACGCTCGAGAATCTCATGCTTCTCGAGCAATTCATGAAGCGAAATAGGCCGTAGCTGGGCCAGGTCTTCCTGATGCTGCGTTGGATAACCGTAGACCAAATCGAAGCAGAAATTGGCCTTATTGTCGTATATGCCAACGAACGGAAGTACTCGGAGCTGTGGAGCAAGGTGTTGATCCGTTAACAGACGGCAAAGGCCATCGATACGGAATTCGAGATGTCGACGACGGTAGACATCTTGATAATGTACACTCTCGACCACAACAGGTCGATCTTGTCCAGAGACCTTGTCTGTGACGATCGCAGATGTATACTGGCCAATGTTTCCTGTGTAAGTAATGGGGTCATGTAGGAAGTAAGTTGAGACGTCGGCTGATGGTGATGAGGTGTCTTCAAGCTCCGCAACTCGATGTCTTATTTCTGCCAAGCGGCTGATCCTGGAATCACCTAACGAAGGTTTGAGCATTTCAAGCACAGGAGCTGGCTGCTGGGGATTGGACGGTAATTTCGAGAGCACTATCGATTCAAGCCAGGAGCCTGCACTGGATCGTCGTTTAGGACTCAGGTGGTTCAGTAACTGTGTGTTCAATATGCTCACTTCCAAAAAGGGCTGACTGCTCGAGGTTGAGTTGCCGGTCCTGATGTTTTCTAGTGACCTGTGGAACTGACGCAGGATTTGAACTGTTGAGTGAAAATATTCTCCAGTTTGCGTTGCGCCGAGTGAATCCGAGTAGAGCTCAAGATCTTGACAGTGCTGCCAACTGACAAATCGGGCTTCTTCAATGGTAGCGCCTGGTGATGAGGCTAATTTTGAAAACAATGTTGAGAAGCGTTCCGAATAGGCTTTAATGGTGCTGACACAAAGTCTCGCCATGACCATTGAGGCTGAAGGTCGACTTTGAGGAGAAATCTCGAGCATCTCGGTGATGAGTTGTACGACGTCTTGAATGCTTTGACTGCCACTTTCTTGCGCAATGCCCTGAAGCCAGGTACTCACCGCGGTATTTGGAGCGTCGCCATTGTGGTACAAAAAATAGCACATCGGAGGCATCGTAAAGGCTCGAGCATCACGGAACTCTTTCACCCCGGACGGACCTTTCACCAGATAGACAAGTACATCAGCTGCGATGCAGCCTAGAGAGAAGATATCGGTAGCTCGAGTTGTATCACGCTCTTGATATGGACGTCTGAGGTCCACACATTCGGGTGCCTGACAATAATCGCGCCGGCCTTTGAATGGAGTCAAAGAGGACTCTTTGATGTTTCGGATGCTCGAGAGTCCAAAATCCGCAAGGATGAAACGATCCCCTTCGACGAGAACGTTGTCCAGGCTAAGATCTTGATGGTGGCCTTTATGTGATGGTTCGTTATTGTCAAGGACCAGTTCATGTAGGGCCCAGAGTCCACAGGCGAGACCTGAAAGAGAACACAGTATTCGCTCCTGGGACAGACCTTCAGGTTTCGGATTCGCCAAATAAGTGCGAAGCGTTCCACCAGTGACATAAGGAGAAATCAAATTGTGCTTGGATTTGTAGGTGTAACACCCGACAAGTTGTAAGATATTTGGATTCTTGAGAAGCTGCAGCGTAGAGAGAACGCGAATCTCGTTGTCATACGTGGTATCATCGAAGTCGTACTCTTTTCGGACGAACTGCACGACATTAACAATGACGAATATCGAAACAGGTATGGATGAGTCTTACATTGGTGGTGCCTTCAAAGGATTGAGGTTGGTGAGAAGGATGTATCTTAATCATCGATACAGAACCAGAACTTCCAGAACCCATGACAGTATCTTCCAGGTACGGCAGGATGGTATGCAGCTCCAGCAGGCGGGGCATGATTCTGCCTGAAATTACTGGGACACAGAATTCCCACTGCTTCTCGAAGAATAATTCAACATAATAGGCATCTTGAAGGACTCCCTTGAGAGTGTCCTTTGCAAAAGGGAGAAGGTCGTCTGTAGGTCGGTTGCGGTACTGATCCTTTCGGATGAATTGGTCGAGATGAGTGATGGCTCCTATCAAGGCAAGGATTCCAAAAACTTTCCGAGCGTCCTTGATCACAAAGTCGACAACCTCGTCTAGGTGATAAACCGGCAAGTCTCCACGAATGATGTCTTCGACCGTTTTTCTAGAAAGCAGCTCGAAATATTCCTTTTCGGGCACAAATTTCCGTCCGTCCGAGTTCTCGACTCGAATCTCGTTCACACGCCTTTGAAATGCACTGCAACGAGCATTCATTTTGCTTTAAGCCCATCCACTAGTGAATCAGAGGAGACCGAATCCTGGGACTTTTAGTCACTGGCGGTGACGATGTCTCGGTTGGCTCCGGTTGAGGTTTGGGGCTTCGATTTGTTGGAAATGGACTCGATCTCTTTCTGAGTATTATTAGCTAAGTCTTCGCCTGTGGTGCGCCGATGATGAGAGTAGCTGACATCTGTAAGCTCACGAGGTATACCTGATACTATCCAAGCGTCGGCATGCTCCTAGTTGACGTTTGGCTTCTTGTTTCTCACAGCGGAAAAGAGCCTCGTACCGTCACATTGTAAGGCTGGTCAAACAGCCTGTCCAGCAGCTGAACTAAATCAGCGCGCTTGATGTATCTGTTTGGAACGCGCGAAATGGCCATCGAGTAATAATTGCACACAAGAACAGGGAAACCGAAGGAATCAAAGCTCAGCACACATCAGTCAAGGCAGATATCATTTGAAGGGTGATATGCCGAACACCACAAGGCGTTGCTCAATTCTGCCCGTGGAGCGCTGAGGAGGGCGGAGCAGCGGTCAGAGCCACAGAAGGATAACATGTAATATTTCGCGAGACGTGGCCCAAAACCACCCCAAGGCTTGATTAATATCATTTGATTTGCTTGGGCACTCCGGTGGCTTGCGCACTGCCGCAGCTTGCGACAAATGGTCATGAAGTTCCGGCCAAACCGGTCAAGGCCCATCTCGTCTAAATTTCGCCCAAAAGTAACGTTAGACCTTTCCCCCCAACACCAAACCAATCCTTTTCCGTTTTCCTGCTTTGACGGCATTTTGTCCCACAGAGGCGTTCTTCAATGCGCTGGGCAAAGGCAGTTTCTTAACCGAGTGGTGTCTTCTACCTAGGTACGCACCTTCTTTACGCTTGGCGGCAGAACCCATCAGTTGCCTTCTGGGTCAGCTAACGATGTTGGATGCTGTATTGTTACGTTAAAGAAGGGTGGCCATAGCGCCCCAGCCATTGGAAACGTTGTCTTTGGACAGAGCCTCATATCACTCACTCTATGCCCGCGAAAGCTCACCACAAGCTTGCGGGAATTCATTTGCAACCATCTCGCATCGGTATGATGGTTTCCAGCTCGTTATGCCGTGTTTCATGGGACGACCATGGATACTTCCAGACCGTAAAGAGGAAACTTTTCTTGCCAAACGTTGTCGATGCCCTTGCACTCTCTGTCAGTCTAGATCAGCCGACGAAAACCCCACGCCTCTCCAAGAAGCGGATCCGGAATATCTCAGACCTTTCTGAATATATACATGATGCCAATGCAGTCAAACGGCAACGCACGTTTCTGTATGCACTTTGCTTAGATCCGTTACAACGTTCTTCGTATTCACATTTTGGGCAGCATCATATCACAAGAATACTCTTGGGGTCGTCTTCGCTTCACCCCCGAAGCTTTTCAGAAGCTTATGTGCTCACTGGAGATCTTCTCCCCGTTCTTGGACGTCGTGTGCGCCTTCGGTGTCAAGAGCAGCGATGATGAGCGTCTGATTCACGGGTTTCGATCTGATGCGCTGTGGGAAGGCTGTCTCAATCGACCGCACGGTAAGTCTCTATTCTGCAGACTCTCCATTGTGTTAATCCTATACCATGTGCTGATGGGTTCAGAAATCTGTTACAATATTCTGTACATGGAAAAACATGACCGTGAGCTTCGGGACCCTTGGTCCTTGAGACAAATGGGGGTGTATCACCAATTAGGTACACCGGTCCGAGATCCTCGATGGATAATTTTGAATGCCACTAGAGATGTGCTATCACGACTGGAATTGCTACTTCAAGCTGGATCACACCAGTGCCAGATGGCGTTACATTGTGAATTCCTCTCGATGCTCAGCTCCAACTGGATCCTTTACCTCGAGTACCTGAACTCGGAATGGCGTAAATACGTAAGTCATGGATCAGGTTCTGACTTGGGCCACCTGACAGGAGCAGGATGACAAATCCCGATACGCGACAGTCGATGCAAAGGAAGAAGGCTACAGCATATCCTCTCTTGACGTCCAAGAGTTGCACGCACTGGAGATCAAAGTTCACCGTGCCGAAATGGCCATTCGATCCTGCCTGGATATCAGCAACAGCAGTCAAACCTACTTTAGATCGTTCTCTCAACTTGATGGCCCGGAGCTGAGCTGTGTCGAATGCCACAGCGTGCTAGAAACCGTCGCTGCGACTATGGCACGCCATATTCATGAGCTCGGTAGCTTGGACCGGCGCTTACGAAGCACCCGCGATCTGGTAAGCCCGTCAAAGAAAACTGCACCACGCGTGAGCTCACCATCGATCATTAGCTATTGCAGATCCTTGCGTTCCGCAATGAAGACCTTCTCCAAACATTCAATCGCGCGTCGTGTGCTACGCTCGAGGCACTTTTCGAGATCACAAATCAAGGGAGATACCAACAGGAGACGCTCACACGCCTCCTGGGACAGGGTCAAGCAGATTCAGCCATGCTAAAAGCTCTCTCGGTAGTGTCGACAGTCTGTTTACCGGCGTCCTTGGTTGCGGTAAGCATGGTCCGAAAATTCAAAAGTTTTTCTCAGCTAAGATCATGATAGTCAGTATTCTCTTCGAATCTCATACAGACAACAAGCCAAAGGCATCAGGACCAGTCTGCCTCGGGACTTGTCCCATCGCCACAGTTTTGGCTATATTTCGCCATCGCCCTTCCACTGATGGGAGTTACGTTTGCGTGGATTACCTACCTGGATCACAAAGCGCGTAGAAAAGGCCAGATTACCTAAGGCTTGAGGCTTGCCATTAGGTTTCAGAGGCGAAGTCTGCTTTGAAGAAGTCATTCGATATCACCAGGTCTTTGGTGATATCGTGTGATAAGAATGACATGGTCCCTTGGTGAAGGAATTTGTGAGTGCAAGTATAAAAGGGAAGTCGAGGCGTCCCAGTGCGCGCCGCTCCTTTGCCCGTGGACATGCTCTCTTCTATATCTTCCTGTAGTCCGGATCTCGAACTTTTGCTCGAGCAGATTCCTATTAATCAGTAAATGATATCAATAGCTTGGATGGAAGATGTAGATGTGGACTCGGCGGGGCGGCACGCACTGATGCTAGCGCGATATAAGGTGGACGCTCTCACCGCCAACAAGAGTTTTTCAAAACCTTGGTTGGTGGGTCGTGCCCTAGGCATGTGGCATGGTGGGGTCCGGCATATCCTGGGCGTTATCCTCTCAATCCAGCCATTCACGGTTTCAAATTGTTGTCGCTGCCAGCCAGCCTTGTTTTCGGGGGCTGACAGGCAGTGGCCGTGCGACAATGCCACCGGCAGTGAAGCTGCAGCACGAGGTTTGGCGTAACAACCAACCGGTGGCTTAGCGCCAGACGTGACTGGCTGTGCTGGCAGCAGCAGCAAAGCAGTTGCGCCGAGCGACAAAAAGAATGGCGCTGTTTTCTCTCATCACCAACTTTGAATGGCAACTCTGAGTGACACCTGGAGCGGCTCTTAACTTGGGAGCTTGGCGAGTGTGCCCGCGCAGGAATACCAAATTTGCCCATTTTTTACCCGGTTGCCTTGCTTTTCCTCGAATAACGGTGTCAGAACGACGAGGATCGATTGTTTTGGGAAGACGTTACCTGACTTAAAGGCATCATCGACATCTTTCCATCCTGACTCAATGTCCTCTCACACTCAACATCCCCCGGCGGCGCGGCCTCTTATTATTTCGGTCGTCGGTGGTATCAACATGGATCTACTGATGAAGGTACACCGCGCCCCAGACACTGGCGAGTCCATGGACGCCCTATCCCTCATCCACCTCCCCGGCGGCAAGGGCGCCAACACTGCCATCGCAGCACTTCGGGCCAGTCGCCCCAACCCTGCCCGGGGCACCACTCCAGGTGGCCAGCGCGTCACCCGATCCACCAGTAGTGGCGACCAGGACATCAAAATCTGCATGAACGGTGCCGTCGGGGATGACAGCTATGGGACCGAGCTCAAGGCCAAATTGGCCAATGCTGGCATCAACACCGCAGGCGTTCGTACCATCGAGGGCGTCAGCAGCAACCTCTGTGTCGTACTGGTGGAGACCGACACGGGCGACAGCCGCAACGTGGGCTACCCCGCGGCGAATTTGCACTGGGCGTTGCCCGCCGACGGGTCCCTGGCGAGTTTGGGCGACGGCACGAGACCGGATCTGATCGTCACTTCCCTGGTGGTGCCCCGCGTCCAGGTCGAGCGCATTTTGGAGATCGCAGGCGAGGAGGGCATCGACACTCTTCTGAACCCATCCTCGCCCGAGTACCTGGTCAGCAAGGTGTATCGGCACCTGACGCACCTCGTGATGAACGAGTCCGAAACGGCCATGTTGTTTGGTCGCCCACTCGAAGAATTGGTCGGCCTGGCAGCATACAAGGAAGCAAGTGCCCATTTCGTGGACATGGGCGTCCAGAATGTGGTCATTACTCTGGGCCAAAAGGGCGCCTTCTATATGACCGATAAAGGCGAGTCGGACTTGGTGGACGCCGTCAAAGACATCGATGTCGTGGATACCACTGGTGCTGGGTAAGCCAATCCTTTTCCTTGATGTCAAAACAGAATCATGATTCCATCTACGTATATAGCTCAAGTTCGCTAATCAATTTGTATAATCTGCTTAGAGATACTTTTGTTGGCACGTATGCGGTCGAGTACATCAAGCAGAAGCGATTGGGGAAATGGGACATTCGTCGAGCCGTTGCACGAGCCTGTAGCGCAGCAGCGAGGACAATCGAACAAGTGGGAGCCCAAGAGTCTATTCCATGGGCCGACGAGATCGAGAGGTCATAGCCCACAGTATCTACAGCATGACCACTTTTACCATCACGTCCGAGGACCGACGACACAAATGATGTATTCTTCATTACACATGTTATCATCCAAGGTTGCTCGAATACCACGGAGCTGCCGCTGCAAGGTATGAGATTATCATGCAACCTCTCAAATACAGATAGAGCTGCTCATGCCAGTCATCCAATTCATTTTTCCTTGCCAATGCTACAAAGGGGAGAGACCAACAGGCTAACCAGAGACACCCTCTAGCCTCTTGAAGCCCTTTACTAGTGCAGCGGGCAAAACAGACTCTGACGTCCAGGATCCCCTTGCAGAAGCATTATACCTTGATCTGCCGAAACCCTCTGTTCCGGGTCTTCACGGAGCATGTTCTCGGTGTTGTAAATCAGGATGTTGACCACCACATGCACACCTTGACCACGCAAGGCGCCGAGCCAGTTGTGGACCTGGGGCAAATTGGCCCGAAAGGCGATCGTCTCACGGTCTTCAGTTGTGAGCTTTCGTGCTTCTTGGAAATCTCGCAGTGACCGCCGGCAGCAAACAGTCAGCATCTCCGCGAACGCACACCCCAGTGAGAACACGTCAGCCTTGGTGCCGCGAGCCTGGGGATGGTCTGGCCGGATTTCGGGAGCGCGGTAAACCGATGCCCCCCAGACAGAAAAGCTTGCGTTTCCCTCAATATCGTCTGGGACGTCGTCTTTTGCCATGCCGAAATCAGCCAAATAGATATCGCTGCCCTTGATCAAGATGTTTGAAGGCTTGATGTCTTTGTGTTTGATATTTAACCGGTGGGCAAAGGCTAGCGCGTGCATCAAGCAGCCAGGCCACGGCAGCATTTGCCTCAAGGCGTCTTGAGGGTAGCTCCATCTTATGCAGTCTTCCAGGTAATTACGGAGATCCATCTCGCAGGCCGGCTTCATGAAGATACTGCAGACTGTGTCGCTTCGCAGCCAGAAAATCACGGTGGTAATGTGAACGTGGGTCAACTTCTCCATGATACGGAATTCCTTTTCGATTTCCTCCTTGCGCCGCCGTGCAGTTGCACCGCCGACCAGAATGTTTTTTCGGGCATATATATTTCCAGTAGAGATCTCTTCCACTTCGTCAACCTGCCCGAAGGAGCCTCGGCCCAGCCGCCGCAATGTTTTGAATCTTGGTTGTGTCTCATTGCCAGAATTGAGGGTACTCAGTACACCGTTGGTATAGTGTTCGTGGGATGGAAGGGAGGGTCTCGAGTATAGTTCTTGTTCGGCTCGCTGCAATGCAGCCTCAAAGGTGGCACGTTTTTCAACGAAGGTCTCCACTAGTTCTTCGTAGTTGAGAACAGTCTGCGGCGTTCGAGGATCAAAACCAGTAGCTGAAATAAGAGACATGGTGAGCATCCGACGAAGGACAGCCCGTGTTTTGCAGAGACTTACAAGCGGTGCGGAGGCATCTCGTCAAGGATAACAGTCGATCCATGTACGCGCTGAAAATGTCTTGTAACGGCTGCTGGACGTTTGGATCATTGGGGAATCGGTTGATGTCGGCACCCAAGCGCGGAACAGCAAGATTGAGTCGCCCCAACAGGTCAATGATATCTGTCCGTCGTACGTGAACCTTGCTGTAAGCATACTAGGACTGCGTCAGGCCAGCTCGTCTTCGCAGGGCATCTGGGTATCTTCAGACCTGGGTAACAGCGAAGAGGCCACCATACGTCAGGCCAGCCAGTGTGTTGGGCGGATTCAAGCCCAACGCCGTATCAATGGCACAAGCGTAGCTATCGACGCCATTACTGTGGATCTTGGACAGCGCACGCGCAGGATATTTGTCTCCGTATTCGCGGCAAAGAGTCTCAAAGTGGAAGCGAAAGGCACTTTCGTTGACAATCTCTGATGGGATAGGATGCCCGATGTTCTCGAATGAAGCTTTGTGCTCTTCGAGCAAGCGGCGCCATGTGCCGTACGAAGAGTGCGACATGAAAGCATGTGAACAAGGGTCAAATGCACCGCGCCGGTAGAGCAAGCAGCGCAGGGGATTGAGGTTTCGCCCGACAGTGGCCGAATATTAGCACAAAGCATGCAGCAAAGAAAGAATTGAAGACGACAGGCTAGGCTGGTGGCTGGCGAGCTGGTCAACGTCGAGGCGCAGTTTGATGCTCATCAGTCGGGCGCCGCTTTTAAGCGCGACTCAGGCGAGTTCACCACACAGACGAGGGGAAGAGCAAAAGTAGCCGTTCATCGCCCTATCAAGCAGCTTAGATGCCAAAATGCGCCATCTGATTGCTGGCGAAGATGTGAGATGGTTTCCTAAGTAGCACCATAGTCCATTTCACACAGCGGCTGATTACCTGGGTAGTTTTCTGTGCCTTTGAAGATTTACCCACTTCAAATGGGTCCCTTCTATCAGGATTCAGGAGGTGGAGGCCGCCCCAGTATCCCTTAGCCTCGCTGCGGGGCGCCTTGGACGTCCCGAAAGCTTCACAAGAGAGTTTCCCATTGGATCAACCTAAGCGGCTGTTCTGCGCTCCATGAACGTCCAAAGAATTCGCAAGGGCTGCGTGACGTTGAGAATGCTATCTGTTATTCATCTGTGGTCGCTCCTAGATCGTCAGCAATCTTCGCCCATCTGCGGTCGGGGGGCCCTTTCTGGTGAGAAATCACTGCGAGACACGTACCCAGATCCCCCACGAGCACAGTCCAATCCCAACTTCAAGGCTGGCATGCTACTCGGCAGATTGATTTCAAGTGACTTTCAAAGGTTGTCTGCCAACATGCCCAATGTACAAGTTCTACCGCATGGAAAGACTACCGCCACAACCCTCATGAAGAGTCGCAAACCCGCGAGTGCTCGACCTCTTCGGAATATCTCAACCATGGGGCTACTTGTCAGGAAAAGATCCATAGTTCTTAGGCATCGCCCAGAAAGACCAAGACTTCTGTCATGATGACCGAGACTAGACCTCTTAGTACAGACATACAGATGCTTATCAGAATCTTCGTTCACGACATTTCTTCAACAACCCGCGTATGCTACTCTCCGGCGAAATCGGATCTTCACTTACCATGACGTGAGGAACAGGTTTGGAGGACCCTCCTGCCTGCCATTCGTGACAGATGGTCTAGGTACCTATGCAAACAACCATGGCGCAACCTGGTGTAGGGTTGCACATTCCTTACCCGATTGGATATAGTGCGGTGAAGGTTCACGGCGGCGCGCACATCAAGACACTTTCGCCTCAAAACGCGGCCCGATCCGACCTACCGAGTATGTCAAGGCATATCGAGAAGGTACCTAGGTACCTAGGTACCGTACTATAGTGCGCTTCGAGGGAGCCCCCCTAGAGCCTCGTTTTGGGTCCTCGTAAAACTTGATAGTCTAGAGGAGGGACGACCTTTAGGCTACCGTAATGGCACACCCAGCTCGGCATCGAGGTTTCGGTGGCGGACGTGGTAGTCGGTTTGATACATAGTACTCAAGCAATGGTAAGAGATCAATTGAGCCATTGCTTCAGCAATGAACAGAGAGCTAGGCCCCCTACGATAGCTTCTTAGCCTTCGTACAGAGTCTCAGAAATGGAGCATTTTGGTCTTTCGTCGCCTGTTCATCTACATTCCAACTTGACTTTGTCAACAATGGGATCTCGTTTCGAAATCACGGAGAGTGTGGATCCAGCCCTTTGCCTGCAATGACAACTCCTCTATCGAAACCAGATGTCTTAATCAAGCACGACCTTACATCCCTCCAAGCTGGAAACCACCAGCGTCAGCATTTGCTTCTCCTTCCCCGTAGGCACTACTTCGGTTCCGGGAGGAAGTCGCAGAGCTGGGTAGGCCTGCAGGAGACGAACGAGGGCATAGCTTGCTTCCGACAGAGCAAAGTCCTTCCCCAAGCATGTTCTGAATCCGTGAAGGAACGGGATATACGCGCAGCCAATGTTGGAAAGCTTGCCGTCCAGCCACCGTTCCGGTTTGTAGTCGTGCGCATCCTTGCCGAAAAGCTCCTTGCGGCGATGCATATGGTACGGGCTGAAGGTGATTCCGGCGTTCTTTGGCACGAGCACCGGAGACTCCCCATCCGGACCGCCGCCTTTGGGGAGGAATGTGGTCTTGACTGTGGATCTGGTGTTCATCGGTACCTGTGGGTAGAGTCCCAGGGCTATAGTAATCGGTTAGCTGTGCTCCCGACGAAGAGCTTCCTAGATGATATTCACGAGGAAACTCACTTTCGTTCAGCACCGCATTCAAATAAGGCATATTCTTCGTATGTGATCTTTTAATCACTGTCTCGTAGCCGGCGACCTTGTTAATCTCTTCACGTAGCCGCTGAAGCATCTCAGGATGACGAACAAGATGAAAGATGGTCCAAGACATAGTGCAAGCTGTGGTATCCCGCCCAGCAAGCAACACGTTGACGAGCTGGTCCCGTACTAACGATCGGTCTTGGTATTCCGTATAAAGATCGAAAATGAAGGGATATTTTTCCGTAGCCTCTCCTTGACCGTGCTTACGCGCGTACTTGAATGCTCTCTCGATAAAGTGATCCGCATAGCGCCTGACGATTCTGCAAGACTTTCGATAGCTCGGGGTGTTATACAGGAAGCTTAGATGCGCCAAAGGTAGTCGTACCGCGGTAACCCAAGTTGCACTGTCGAAATGTTCAGCAAATTCGTTTTGCTCTGCTGCTGACAATGTTTCGATAGATTCGCCAAAGAGTAGCGCTGTCGTTGTCGCAAGGGTAAACCGAAAGAACGCTGGCTGAAGGTCCACTATGCCCTTGGAGTCTCGAAAACTCGAGATCAGAGTCTCGACCTGGTCTGTAAACGTCTCCAAGTCTCTGGCTTGAACTCGTGCGAACTGTCGTCGAAGCATTTCCCGCGAGTGCTTCCAGGCTGGGCCATCTTGGGTAAAGATACCCTCACCGAAGAAGGGGTAACAAGCAGGCCTTCGCACTCCCAGACCCATATCTGCGGCTACTGTTAGCTGCGTGAGTTTGATATCGGTAGATGTGACGGACCTTGAAAATGTGTCTCTGTGATGGCTTTGATATTGCGAGGATCCGAAGTGAAGTACCCAACGAGACCAAACATATACGCAGCAAAAGTTATGCCCATGCTCTCGGTGAACTCGACCTGTAGCATCAACGCATGGTTGGTCAGGACAGTCTCAACATGTCTCTTAATCAGATCAAGAGCCCAGGGCCAGCGGTGCTTGAATACGCTCTGAGGTGGCAAACAGGCGTGTGATTTAGCGAATGCTTCTTCCTCCTACGTACCATTAACATAGGCCGCTGTTTGAACCAATCCCACCTACCTGACGTCGCTGGCGTGTATCGTACAACCACTTCAGGACAACCACCGCAAGTAATACTATGAATAGCAACTTGTACATTATCCGGACAGTATACTCGATCGCTACTCTTGTGATGAACGGGAGAAGAAGGAGTAGAAGGAGTCCTCAGAACGGAATCCTAGGTCGGCAATCCGAAATGATTTATGTGTTTGGACGTGAGTCTGTGACTGCTAAGGGCGCCTGCTTTTCATGCAAGGGGGTGGCGCCAACCTCAGCATTGTTTAGCAATTGTCTAACTCTGTCAGTCTGGTTGTACGAATATGTCTCTGCCCCAGTCCCAAAGACGGCCTTGAGCCCCTTGTATCAATCAATCATGACTTGTTATGTCCAAACGAGAGGCCCGAGTAGTTCGTTCCAACCTGTCAGCCAGTTCTAAACAAGTAGTAATTAGCGTAGGGTCGAGTGATATCCTCATTGGATGGCTATAGGTACCTACCGAGCTACCTACCTAGTAGGTATCTAGCCACGCTAGGTCACTCACTATCAGCAACTCTTTATACTCGTAGGGATCCTCATATACCTACCTAGGTACCTAGATAATCTACCATAGGTCGTAATAGCGCGTAACCCGCCCACCAACAACGGAGGGGGATATTTCTCTTCTTTTGCGGGAAAAAAAGGACAAAAGGGATCATTGAGAATATTCGAGGCACTGTTTCCTTTCAAGTCACAGTCACTTCCGGGCTTCAGCGCAGGCAACAAAAAATCGCGTAAATATCAATGAAGTCACTCTCTCACTTCAGTATCCATTTCTCTTTTTGCAAAACTGGGCGTCTTGACAGCCCTGATATCGATCCTACAACATGGACAGATCCCAATCAAATTCGTATGTATTCTCTCATGCCTGTTCCTGTTCATGCTCGCCGCATTTTGAGCGGATATAGTAGAAGACTGTCAGCCAACGAGCCGTGCTCTGCGATCGGGAATATGATCATGTCGCGTCTTCGAGCCTTGCATTACCCCCGTGTCCATAACGGCCTTCAACCTCTCTTTTCCCAAGCCCGAACAACAGCCCTGCCTCTAATCTCCCCTTCCTGTGCCTCACACCTCTGGATAGCCCTCCTGACTAGATCCTGTTCGAACCGCACCTCTGCAAGCTGGCCCTTAGCCCAATTTCGATGTCGCGGACATCGGTTCTTGATACAGACGCCGCCCTTCTTCGGCATGTTGTCGTTTTCCTCTTCTTCCTCGTTCACGACTGGGCTTTGGGAGTGCGCAGCGTCGCCATTGGGAAGTTTCGTACTTCCCTCATCATTGGGTACTTCTTCGGGCGGTCCAATCCTCCCCTCAGCTCCAGCATCGATAATTGCCCGTCCGCCATTGTGATCGTACCATGTCGCAAACTCCTCATCGGACCACGACATCCTGGGATCAAACCCACACAGATCTTTCATTTTCGGGTGTGTCTTTCGGAATTCCTCGACTATAGTCGACGATCGAGCTTTGACAAGCTCCAGGAATTTTTCTCGTGCGAGGAGCATGTCATATCGCACCTTTAGTCGTTGCTTTTCGTCTGTGATATTGGCCATTTTGCTCGTTTCCAAGTCATCATATTCTAGATCCGGTGGTGCTGTTGGCTTCGAGTCCGCATCGGCCATGTTAATGTCAATCTCCCGAGGCGGGGTGTCGGGTTTCCTGCCCAAGGCTTTTAGTTGCTCAATGTCCTTGCATTTCTCGATAAGGGCTTTGATTTCGCCAGCTCGCAATGCGGATCCCCGATTGGGAAGCATATCATCGTCGAGACTGCTGTCAGTTTCATATTCGGTCTTTTCTTCGTCGCTATATGCTGGCGTGGCGAGTCGACTGTCGGGATCCACGCCGTTGACCAGGTTGAGGAGCTGCTTCGCAGGTTTCTCTCTTCTCTTCTGCTTCTTCCGATGCTTCTTTAGAGGCGGTCCTTCAATGATGTACTGACCATCCTTACTGGTCTGAGCCTGAGGGTCCCCTCTCTGCACCAGTTCCACAAAGAACATTCGCCCGCAGGCATCAGAGCAGTATTTGCTAGGAGGGACCTGGGTAACACGAGCAGGCTTCCTGCAATCTTTGCGCCGGCACATTCGTTTCCACGTGGTCTGCAGACCCGGTTTCGTACAAGTTGGGCAAATATACTTGTCGATCAGCTCGCCGTCTCGTTCCTTAATGTTGACACAGTTTCCATGGAACCACTCATCGCAGCCGCCGTCACAAGCAATCATCCATGTATGATTATCTCCTTTTCGGCATATACAGAAGACCTCCCCATCATCATTAGAGCTCGATGACGTATCTGCAAATGAAGGAGATGGCGAACCGATCTCTCGTGATGCAGCGCGAGATGAACCAGGTGTGGGTGATGACTTCACACTTGCAGCCGAAGTTTGCGTTTTCAGTTTTGAGGGCCCCAACTTCAGATGGTTCGTGCTGGGAGTAGCGCTAGGCGAGCGGAAGTTCGATCTTCCTGCAGGTGGACTTTGGCCGGACTCGCTCAGCCTCGCTTTCTTGTTCGATGTGCTCTTAACCTTGGCTGTGCCTTTCTTCCTCGCGGCGGCAGAAAGCAGTTTCGCAGGGTCATCGGGGGCTGGTCGCTTTTTGCCTGCGAGAGGTGCTGGAGTAACAAACGGTTCTGCGGATGATGCCCGTGACCCTGCGATAGACGGCACTCTCTTCAAAGTTGAAGCGGTACCAGTCGGTAGCAAAGACGAATCAACGACGGGCTGCGCAACATACAAAATCTCCTCCTCATCATCTTGTTTCTTTTCTTCCTCTTCTTCGCCAATGTCCCCTGGGTGCAGCTCCTCATCATCATCTTCTCCCTCTTCATCTCGTTTTGCTGTCCTCTTCGCCTTTTCCGCTTTACTCAGTTTAGGGGGCGGAGGAGGGGGCCCTCTCGCAATGATATCATCGAGAGGTTCCAGAGGCTCTCCGGTCGAAGGTTCGACAATGATTTCCAAACTGCGCACCGGTTCCCACGTTTTCGTGTTATGAATTTTCGAAATGTGATCTCGAACGGAGCGACGTCTAGTGAACAGTTTGTTGCACAAGTAACACAAATATCTGCGATCCGTGTGCTGGCCTTCATTCTTGGACGAGTGAATCGAGGAGCGAGGCGGAGCTTCTGGATCGGCCTTTCGCGACTTGCCAGGATGTTTTCGCTGTTTCGGGGTCTTCTCTGGTGTCGCTTTCGCCGGAGCATCTTCAGCGTAGAGATTTTCCTCTACCATATCCATGAGGGAAGAGTCGACCGCAATGTTTGACTCTTCATCCAAAGGAGGGTAGCCTATGTCCATCGCCTCCTGCTTAATGTGATCTTCATCGTTCGACCCATCGAGACCGACCATATGCTCGCTCTCCTTAAAGAGGGAGACATCGTCCATTGGAAGGTCATTATTTTGCGCACCGGAGGGGAGGGTATCTTGATGGTGCGGCGCATCATCGCTGGGCTGGAAAAGTTCGGGGGCAAAGTACGCTGAAGGCGGCTCCGCGGTGTCCATCCTTGAGGAGAAATTAGTCAAAGAATCCTAGGAAGCAGTCGGAGCAAATCGATCTCACCCATGCGACTCAGCGTTGACGTGGGCACCACCTGCAGAAATCGGATCGGTAGCAGGTTCGGGGTTGAGAAGTTCGGAGAGTGCGAAAGCCATAGACGCTGGTGACAGATGAGCCGGGGTGAGAGAACAAGCGTCGCTTTGCCCGGTTGGGCGTCTGTGGGGTGGCTGTCAAGTTGCTCTCACAGCCAACTCTGCTGGTCGCTAATAGGGAGAAATGGTCAGGGAGTCAATTGCGTCCATAGGACATTGTTCTGGGGCCGTCCAACAAAGATCTGAACCTTGAGTCAATGAGTCTGCGAAGTGAGGCGGAAAGGGCTGCGGTGGTGAAATTGGCAAAATGGGCTTCTCGTTGACTGGCGTTGCTTGCTGGTAACGCGCTCGCAGTTGCACAACGCGATGGGCGCCCTTTGTGACCAATCAACGTCCACTACCGCACCCAGCGAGCCAGCAAACACTCTTCCTTCTGGATGGTAAGTCACTTGCTCACTTCTCTCATACAGTAATAGATCTATCACTGCTTTTTCACTATTTGCACACAATGATGTGCACCAGTCAAGATCTGATGTTAATACACATTCCGACTCAGAGCTCTACAAGTTCGCTGGAGATGAAGGCACTCGTAGGCCGACACAGGCTCAAACAAGCTTGTTCACTCACCCGCTCTCCTAACGTCGTTCCTTTCTTCCCTCTTCCTATGATCAATGCCAACTTTGTCCAATGCTGAGTCTGGGAAGAGCTCTATCAATATCTGTTGAGCCAACAACAGACCTGTAAAGACGGCAATAACTCCGACCTCTGGAATTGAGTATTATTTGAGGGATACATCCGGTTACTTCCATCAGCAGGCCTTGCTCTGATGCTCAAAAAGTATTCTATATCGAGGAGAACAGATACAGATACAGGCCAGGCCACCTTGACAAGAGACTGCTGCATCGGCATAAGCAAGTCTGTTGATGAATGGTGGGTGGAGTAGTGCTGTCTTTGTCGTAACCAAGTATGGCAGCTTGTTCTCTCCACATATTCCCCCACATTGATCTCTCTCGAACTACTTCTCCTTGCATGAGAGGCGAACAGTGACTGCTTGAAGGTGGAAGGCGAAACTCGAGGGGCACCGCGGTGTTATCACCTGCCCTTGCAATATGAACAATGCCTAAGGGTAGTCAGTTCATCATTCACGCCTCGGGCGAGACAACGCACTACATCGCCGACGACTTCACCGATCCCTGGAAACCCGATCGACAAACAGTCCTGCTTCAAGGCGGGTTTGCTCGCCATGCAGCCTTCTTCTACCATTGGGTTCCTGCTCTATCTCGGCATTACAACGTGATCCGTCGAGACTTGCGCGGACACGGGTACTCCAGTGCGCCATCCATCTCTAAGAGACCAGACGTATACACTCTTGACGCTATTCTCGGCGATATCATCGACACGCTCGATCAGCTTGAAATTGAAAAGGTGCATTTCTTTGGTGAGAGTACCAGCGGCATGTTAGGAGAGATTCTCGCGGCAAAGCATCCCGAACGGCTACATAGTCTGACGATCTGCTCTTCTCCCACTTACCTTCCGGAGGGTACCCAGAAATTCCTCGCGTTCGGAGAAGAAAGCTTCGCCACGGCTTGCCGGGTACTAGGTTCTCGAGAATGGGCGAGTAGGTTGAAATCCTCGCCGGGGACCATGGCCCATCCAGATCCGGGTTATCATCGCTGGTGGCTAGAACAGATATCAGTCAGTTCTGGTGAAGGACTGGCCAGTTACGCTGAGTTCCTCAGCACGCTTGATGCGCGACCGTTTCTCTCTCAGATCCGGATTCCCGTCCTCATTCTGGGGCCTGCAAACAGTGCTGCGACAAAGTTGGAAGAGCAGAAAGCAATCCAGCAGCAGATCCGAGGTAGCAAATTGGTCGTGGTGGAAGGGGCAGGACACGAGATATACGTGGACAAAGCTGACGAGTGTGTTGGAGAATTCCTGGATTTCATTCAGAAGTTCAAAGGATAGCATGGGCCCTTGCTCGAAATACAATATGCGGATGAGGCATTCCTGACATTATCCTGTACAACTTCCACAAATCGTAGTATAATTTCTTCTCTAGCGGACAATGATTTATATGATCGTGTATTGACATATCTCAAAGGGAATCGATGATTGAGTCTGATAGTGCGCGTAACCCATAAGAATATAATCTTCACCTTCTGGTTACTCTCATTTGTCTTGGAATCCTCCCAGTATAAATCTTGATAGAGCCACCATAGCGGAAAGGTGGATAGACCTCTGGCGACAAGAGTGCAAGATACTCACGGTAATAATCTCGGGCAGCTGGTGCCTTGTCGGTTGGCAAAACACGCATCAAATCCGGTGGAGTTGTGTTCGCATTGAGATGAATTCAGCGAGAAAGGACATCTAGTGTTCTTTGTAGCATCCATGTGAGGTCTTTCGTTCAAGCAGCGATAGTAGGTGTTCAACGCCGCCTCTTTCTGGAAGGACGTCGTTGGGCGCATTGGGATAGACCTGTTCAATATCATATAGAGGCGATATTAAATCCAGTCTTGCAGCATTGGCAAAAAGACAAAGCTCATCTGGGCATCACGGTAGCGTAGGCGTTACTGAAGAGTCAATAGTTGATCCCTAGCCATTGGTGACCACGAGTCCCCCAGATCGAGAATGGTACCAGCCACCTGGGTGCCAGCTAGAAGATGAAGCCAAGAGTCCAGATCCCTGGAGTGAGGATGGGAGAGGAACGGCAAAAGTGAGTTGAACTAGCACAGTTAGTTACGCAGTAGTTCCCGGGGTTGCAAAGGCGGGCAGCAACGTCACTCGGCAATCTTGAGATCGCAAGAGAGAGAAGTGGTCAAGGAGAAGGTCGACCTCCAAATGTCTCGCTCCAGTCTCTTATTAATTGGGTTTCAACACACCTCACTCTTCTGCGCTGGGAGACAATGACTCTATCACCTCGTGCTTCCTCCAGTTTGCTACACAAATACTCTTTGACGTACCCCGACCCTGCTAGCAGCTGCTGAGTTGCGCTCACACTTGGCTTGACTGCGACCTGGTCTTCCCCAAATCAGCCTGATGCCGCCTGCCAACTCGCCATCTGTAAGTTCTCGTCTGCCGCATCTACTCATGCCTGAGCACGAAGTTGGGCGGTCAAAGCGAATGCTTGGTCTCGGAGGACTTCTTCAGACAGAGCATATTGTTATCATCACCTCTTGTCTTGTTGTGACCCAGATGCCTTCCTTGGGCGTGCACTTTGACTTACTGTGTTTACGCGCAGGATACTCGGCCCTCGACTCCTCCTCACAATCCCTACCTGCTACAAATCGAAGAAGCCATTGCCACTCCTGTGCCCGACCTCGCCTCTACCCTGAACCTTAACTCGCCCGATCCAGGTTCACAGAACGAGAGATGGGCAAACCGCCCGCGGACTGAAGCCAGCGAGGCTGAAGGTTTCAATCTACAACGAGCTGGCACTAGTATGGCCGAACTCACAGAAGAAGAGTTCCAAGAGTGGGCTGCTGAGAGTCAGGGGAGGAGGACTGCCACGCAGGCTCGAAGAGACGAAGTGAGAGGGTTAAGAGAAGAGAGAGACCCTCCAGTTCGCGTGTCCATTGCCGATACCGCGGAGAGTCTCATGTTTTCCAGACAGCGCCCGCCTGACTTCGGAACCACCCCGACAATAGCACATTACTCTGACGACAGCGACGCAGATATGGAACCTCTGAGATTTGCAGCATCTCATAGCTCCACCGCCAGTTCAAGGAGCCAATTTCTGCGCCTTGAAGGTGTTCTGCAGCGTTTTAGATCAATTCGTGGTAACCTGAGGTATCCCAGAAACTCTGATATGGGAGCGGTGCCCACAGCCAGTGCCCTACGAGCCTTCTGGAACGAGGAAGCTGACGACGACTTGACTGTCACGATTCCTGGCGTACCGGGTTACTCCTCTGCCCAACGAAGAGAGCCTGTCCCAAGAGTCAGACATTCCCAGATCGGCCGAGAGCCCGCTGAGTCTGGATCTGCGGCCCCATCTAGCCCGAGACGATACGATGCTTTCAGGCGGGTGAGGAAACTGATTCGCTATCTCTCCCAGCTAAGACATACTGGTATAGAAGGTGGTCTCGAAGCAGCCAGAGAACTAGGGCTTGACTCCTTGTACGCATCGGACGACTCCTATGCCCCCAGTGACCTTCCCATGCACATTAACAGTCTTCCTGTCCCGCAGTACAGTTCTTGGCTACAAGCCGGAATGGTTTGGCATGGTCTGCAGTCCACAGAACGCGAACCAATCCGCGCCTCTTCTGTCTCGGCTGCAAATTTTCGGCGCGAAAGACAACGCGAGCTGATACGCAGAACCATAGCTCGACGGAGGGAAAGGTCTCGTGGCACCGGCGGCAACGACGAGGCTGCAGAGTTTGACACTCAGACGCTGGTTGTTGCAGAAAATTACCTCTCGGATTTAATATTGCAGGACACCAGTGGTCGATGGGGTTCCTTTCAACGTTCGACCCCATCGTTGTCTTCTCACCCTACACGGACCGCTTCTCAGCCTGCTGAGCCTGATCACTGGCCGGTTAAGGTGGCGATTCATTCCGTAGACTGGGAAGCCATGACAGTAACCGGGATAATGTCCGCGAGCCAGATGCCGGAGAAGCTCCCTTCCCTATACCAGCCTGATGCTCTACACCAAGGCGCGACCACCGGCGCGACAACCTGCATGTCCAGTTTCTTCGTGGGAGAGATTATCGATTTTCGACGACAGCCTTTGGAGACGGAGAAAGAGGGCCGAGATTACGAAGTGGGTGGTCTCGGCGTGGACGCGCGGTACTGGGAACGCCTAGGACCTTTCAGAAAAGAAATCGAGCGAATTCGACATCTGCGGGGAAAGAAAAGAAGCGAGTATCAGCAGCACAGCGCACTTTGGGACGCGTTCCGCAAAGCGGCTGGTGGGGAAGGCGAGAACAAGGACTCGCAGAGTCCCTCGGACGCACCCTCCCCTTCGACAGAGGACACGACCGTCGACGACTCACCCATGAAGGTTTTCGAGACTCCAGAGGACAAGGAAGCCGAGGGCGACGAGATTATGGCCCGCAGCCTGGGCAGTGCAAAGTGGATTGAGGAGAAGCTGGGAAAAGAGTGGATTCTAATGCGCTGGAAGGAACGATGTTTTGTGACGCCTCCAGGAACTTCTACAAATGCAAGGCCTACAAATGGCAGTTCTACGAGGACCATCTTCACCACGGCTCCTTCCGGGGCAGGGCGGTCAACCGGGCGCGGACCAGGCGGAAATAGCAATGGATCTACATCGTGGGGACTGACGATTGCGGGCTTCTACTACATCGCCTTGAACCGTCTCACGGGGGAAATTGACGGGCTGTATTACGATCCTGGATCTCAACCCTACCAAACTATCAAGATGCTACCAGAGGGCACAACGGTGGCACAAGCCCAGCCCTGTGGCTGCGGGGAGCAGGATTGCAGAGAGCCGGTTGGGGTCAAGAAATGGTTTCCGGCCGTCGAGTTTCGGTAAAGGTTTTCTTATGGATCAGGACGGAACAGATGGAGCAGGCAAATTATAGCATTGGGTTAGGTTTCAAAAAGGGGAGCCGTGCACACGTTCAGCCTATATGAATTTGGTTTCGTCTTTTTGTTTTCGAATTGAAGGCTGAGGTAAAGCACCAAAGGTTCAAACAAAAGGTTGAAGCGTAGGCGGGAGTCAGGCTATGACGTGCTTGACGCCTCACTCCTCACTCCTCACTGCTCATTCTCACTGCTCACTCCTCGCTACCCCGAGCATCAGATCGAGTCTAGTGGCGTCGTTGCTTTTTATTAGCTAGTCAAATGCCACGCGTGTTTCAAGCTTCGGGAGCCGATGATGTAGGTCGACAGCTTCGGCGTCGCTTCTTCTCCCCACATTTCTTTGTATCCCCCTCAGCTCTGAACCAAGTCATATACAAATAGCCAGAGCATTCGATCCAGATCTTGAACTTCGGTGTAGTCGTTGTTGACCATTGACCATGGCGCCCACCGGACTCCTCAACTCCTTCCTGGCTGCCATCCAAGCCTCTCTCTCTGTGCTGCTGGTCATCTTCTACGGAGGGTTGGCAGCCCATCTGAAGCTGCTCAATTCGGCCAACACAAAGGCAATCTCCAAGATATGCGTGCGCATGTTCCTGCCGGCGCTGCTGGTGGTCAAGATCGGCTCGGAGCTGCACGCAGGCTCGGCCACCCGCTATCTTATTGTGTTTATCTGGGCCATCATCTGCCACCTGATCTCCTTCTTGATTGGTATCGTCGCGCATCTGTGGCTGGGCATGCCCGACTGGACCACTGTGGCGTTGATGTTCAACAACACGACCTCCTACCCGTTGCTATTGATTGCAGCCCTGGACGAGACGGGGATCCTGCGTGCACTGCTCGTGACGGACGAGACGACCGACGCGGCCGTCGAGAGAGCCAAGAGCTACTTTCTGGTCTTTGCGACCGTCAGCAGCTGTTTGACTTTTGCGGTAGGGCCGAGATTGATCGACACCGAGCATGCGCCTGAGGAGGACGACGACGACGAGTCGAAGCCCAACGGTGGGCCTCAGCAAGTGCAAGATGAGCCATTTGACGCTGTCGAGCGGACGTATCGCGATCCCGACGAAGCGGCGGCCAACGAGGAGACGGGTCTGCTGCAAAGCCCAGACACTTACACGAATCGTCAATCGACGCTATCCTTCGCCAGCGTGGCCGCCTACGCCGAAAACTCCTTCTTCCCATCCGCGCGCCGCTCGTCGTTCATCGACGGGCAACCACCTCAACCTTCGCGTCGGGCCTCTCTCGCGGTGCCCCTGAACCGCCGCCGCGCGTCAATCGTGCCCAAGAAGCATTGGTACAAGCTCGGCCCGCGCGCGAAGTGGTGGCTACTGTTCGTTTCGGATTTTTTCAACGCGCCCCTCCTGGGAGCCATCGTGGGTGTGATCATCGGCTTGATCCCGGTGCTGCACCGCGCGTTCTTCAACGACACCTACGAAGGCGGCATCTTCACCGCCTGGCTGACCGCCTCGCTCAAAAACATTGGCGGCCTGTTCGTCCCGTTACCCGTGGTCGTCGCGGGGGTGAGCCTCTACACGGCCATGCAAGAAGCCCGCAAGGCCTCGGCCGAGGGTTCGAAAACGACGCCCATGCCCTGGCTAACGGTGACGTTTATTATGGTGATCAGGTTTGTGCTGTGGCCCGCCGCGTCCATCTACTTTATTTTCTTGGTCGCGAAGAAGTCGACTGTCTTGGGACCCGATCCTATGCTGTGGTTTGCAATGATGTTGATGGTGAGCTTGAACCCTAGAATTTGGTATTATAAGTCTCAGAAACTGACTGCGTCACTTTCTCTATATATAGCCAACCGGCCCTCCAGCAATGAAACTGATCACGCTCGTCCAAGTCAGCGACGCTGAGGAGGAAGACGAGCGCAACATCTCGAAACTACTGACGGTAAGTGAAGTACCTTCTCCTCCTTGTTTTCCCGACTTGTTCCCCGTAACTGTACCCGCTTCTCCCTCCTTGTTGTTTTCATTTTCATCCCGTACCTCCTGTTTCATCAATCCGAAAGTCTCCTCTTTGACTACCTATAAATCAACGGATAACCTAACATGTTTCGGGGTTAGATATCCTACCTCATCTCCCCGATCCTGAGTTTCACCGTCGTGGGCGGGTTGAGGGCTGCTCAAGCTGCGATTCCGTCGTGATGGTCGTGATGGCTCTGTTGAGAGGAAGGCGGAACACTGAACAGTATATTGCACATACATGTGCCATGTCTGGAAAAGATATGTGTGATATGTGAGATATGTGTGTGTATGAGAGCGAAGGACTGGGAAAAAGAGTACTCTTACGGAGGAAAGAGAAAAGAAAGGGCAGAAGAAATACGCATATGGACAGGGCAAGTACATCTGACCCCCTTTTCCTCCTAGGGATGTTTCTTTTTTCCCCTTTGTTGGAAAAGAAGATGAGGCAGGAGCTTTGTGACCCCGCTATGTACTGTATATCTGGATGACCAGGGCACATCAGGGTGTCTGCGACGTTCATGGAATGTAAATGGAATGAAAGTGCAGCGGGCTCGAAATGTGAAGGGTTTTATTATTTTGAGCATACGCGCATTTTCTACGATGCGACATACGATACGTTCACGATATGAGAATGACACCCACAGTGGACTGGCTATGACTTGACTATTCTATATACATCGGGGGTTTTATCTACCGAACAAGATCAACAACAGTCTCATACATACTCCAGGGTTTTGTCTGGTTTGCTAAGTCCGCAGTCTTATTTTTCTCTACCCACACACCACTGTGTATCTACCTACCTATTTGAGGTAGTAATATGATCCAGCGCCTTGACAAAATAGGGCAAAAACCGCTCCGGATCCTCGCTAAAGGGGAAATGTCCCAGACCCTTCATCTCCTCAAACACGGCCCCCTTGATCTTGTCGGCCGTGGCGCGGCTGGTGTCGGGCGAGCAGCTATAGTCGTATTCGCCCGTGAGCATGTACACGGGGCACACGTCCGTGTCGATCTGGTGCATACGGTCGCGGCCGTCCCAGCCGTCAAAGTAGAATTTCAGGTCGCCGGGGAAGATGCGGGATGCTTGCGCGGAGTAGAGCCACCAGTTTAGGCGTTTGTAGATTGCGGGGGAGGTGGGTGAGATCATGCCGCAGACCCGTTCGGCGTTGAGGATCGATTCGTCGCCTTGGAGGGAGTAGATGGTCGAGGCCTGCTGGGAGGGCAGATAGTCGCACGCTTCGCAGGCGATGACGCCCCGGACGTCCATCTCCTGGGAAGAAGCTCGTAGTGCGACTGCCAGACATACCTGGCCGCCCATGCTGGCGCCACTCACGATAACGCGTTTGAGCTTGAGCTTCACAATCATCTGATGGATGGCTGAGATGTAAAATTCCTCGCTGTTCGCGTATGACTGCGGGTACTGGTGTGTTCCTGGGAACGAGCGCCCGTGGCCCGGCAGGTCGAAGGCGTACATGGTGCATCTTCTCTGAAGGGCGGGGTTGAGCATGAGCGAGTGATATTGCCGCGAATCGGCCCCCGCGGTGTGCAGGAACAGGAGGTCCTGTTCGCCCTGGCCCGAGGTCTCGTAGAAGATCTTGCACTTCCCTACCGGTGATAGAGTGAGCCAGGTGTAGTGGCCCACGATGGAGTCGTCGTCGCGCTCGTCGTCCGGGGTATACTCCTCCGCCACGGTCGACGTGGCTGCGGGGGGAGGGTGCAATGCGTCGCGGACCCGGTCTAGCACGATCCTCCACAGTCGGGCGTGTTTGGTGAAGGCTTGCTTGTCGCCGGTGACTTCGACCCCGGAGCTCTGGCCCAAAAGTCGGAGCATTCCCCAGTATGACTGAAAGGGCCGCTTGGGTACGGGAGCGAAGACCTCTTGCCAGTGCTCTGCTTGGGCGTTGAGGTCGAATTGGGGTGTCCAGTCATCACCTGCTGGGGGTCCGTCTCGGACCGTCACCTTTCCCTGCTTGATGCCGAAGAGCAGCTTGTCGCTAGAGTTTGGCGCACAAATTCCAAAGCAGACATTGTCCACCGTGGCTGCGGACGCTTTGAATTCAGCGTCTCCATTGATTTCGGCCTCGATTTTGCCCAGTTTGGCCTTGTCGATGGTCGCGAATAACGCCCCGGCTGCTGCGGCCATGGTCTCAACACTGGTTCACTCGGCCTTCTGGCTGTGCCTGACTCTCACTGCCCGTACAAGAGCAATACATCGTCAACAAAACCGTCAGGAGCAAACATCCTTTTAAATGAGGACCGTATGCCTGCAGGAATCGACATCCCCGCACGGAGCGTGTCGACCCGAGGTTCACAGCATTCACGACTGAGAGGTCTTGATTGAGTTTGCCCCATTTATATGCTTCTAGAGCTCGACCCCGGCAGTTGGTTGGCAGTTGAGTCTCCCCCACGCGAATTTGAGCAAGCACAGGCTCGTTCCTCTGGTTTTCCGATGTTTGGCGTCAGGGTATCTGATATTGCGGGTTGGGGCATCGAGAATCTGTCCCGCAACGTCCTCTTCTCCAACGACCAGCATGTTTGTGTCGAATAAAGCAAGTTGCTGTTGCTGCCGCTCACATTCCCAACCGCTCAACACGTGCGCAATTTGGCGTAGATTTGGCCATCGAGCACTGGCATAGAGGGCATTGCCACTCTCTCTGAATGGGCCCCAGCTTTTCCCTCACCTGCTGAAGAACCAGAAAGGGTTGTGGCTCAATTATACGAGCGTAAATATTTGCGGTCCGCTTTGATTCGTGTACCCCTCCATTGCAGCTCAACCGGCACACGACTGGAAGATGATCTATCTAGATCTGCACGCTAGAGGCTTGAACTCGGTCAACAGAAGCTCCTTTATCCGAATTCAGTTGACCGACTCCATCTGAAAGAGAATGTGCAATGTCGCCCTTGGCAAGGACTCTTCTCTTTCCGCACCTCGAGGAAGATGTCCCCACCGGAGAAGGAGAACAGCTTCTCGCAATGGACTGCGGAGGACATTGAGTGCATAAGTTGGGAGAAATGCTCGCGGAAAGGATGGTTTACCTTTTAGCTCTTAGTGTATGACCACCCATTTCCTGTCACCCACCTGTCTCGCTGATTGCAGGCGGGGAGAAGAGCTATTTTAGTGACCTCGTTTTTATATTCCGGTGAGCAAAATGATCGCGTGCTGATCCTTGTTGTTTCCCACACAAGTAATTTCAAGCGGGCAACGTTTGAACCTGCGATGTCTGTACTTGTCTCGCTGTTCGCAGTCATACAGCAAGCAACTCACACGGCTTATCAGGGAAGAGCCGCGTGATAGGTTGAATCGGTGAGCTCATTGACTATCCCAGCCCGGTGGGCGAGTGGACATCACAGCATCCCACCTCTACGTCGGAGTCCGCTGAAAGGATACGAGCAGCGTCTCAGATTTTGGACCACCCGTCAGATCCTAGTGTTGGTATGGGGTCTCTCACAATTACAGCAATTCTCGCCGCAATTGAGTACCGAAAACATGATCATTCGTGCAAGACGAAGCCGAATATTGTGTAGAGCGATTCCTTATCAGTGACAAAGATTGCTTCATGGAAATAACCTTCTTCCAAACTCCAAGACCTGGTTTGAAATCTCGACAGACGAAGGCTCTGGGCCAGTATTTACTATCTTCACATCCAAAAAGGCACAGAAGGACTTTCAGATGGCCAATGACAAATGACGCATGACCGGTATTTCCAACAGGCGTCTGAGAGCCGGCAGCTGTCCAGTCGAGGCTGCCAGGAGTGTCCGGAGTCAGGGTGGTAATTCTGTCCTACTCGTAGGCTATTCGTCGGATGTGGTCAGGTCACTGGTTCTCAGCCAAGGACAAACAAGCCAGTGGCTTTCGGGAGGTGAAGCAATCTCGCCTTGGTTGAAAGGGCGAGAGAATGTAAGTGGTGGGATAACTGTGATGCCGACCCATACTGGAAGAAAGACCTTGAGCCAGACAAGCACAGACTCCCTTGAGCGGTGAGAGCTTGCTGAAAGCGAAAGTCCCGCGCCCATCATGCAAGTGGCTTGATGTAGAGTCCTGTGTGTCTCTGACTGATTCACCAACTAGCATCAACTCGAGGATTGACCCATGTTCGCAATAAGAGATTGATTGCCAAGCAGGGCGCGGAGCAAGCAGCATCGGTAGACGCGGCGGAGAAGTTAGTTTGATCCATTGGGTGCCGTTGAACACGCCGTGGCTGTTGAGGCGCTCGAACTACACGTATGCATGCGGCTCTCTATCGACCAACTGTCGGGGGTAGCCAAAAGCAATACGGAGAAATATGGGCATCATACCATGGACTTGAGATCACGAAACAATGTGACTACCTATAATTGGTGTTCAGGCGGTGAGTTCCCGGAAAGACATTTCGGACTACCTTTCCTCCTTCAAGCATCGTAAAGAAGTACCGAGTAAGCGATCAAGCGTTCTCTCACAGCGCGTCGGTGCTGGTTTCCCGGTCAGCATTGCAGAGTCGCAGATTTAGCGCATGGAGAAGGCTTTGTGCCGGCACCAGTGATTGCTTCCTCATATGATTGTTTCGCGAAAGTGTTGAATTACTCGTCTGGAGCAGTCCGCATCAACGACACCCTCGTCGTTGTACTCGTGTGCCGTTTCAGGTGGCTGGTGTCCAGGTTCCCCATTCGCGAGGAGCATTTCTTGAAGGGATGCGGCCGAAGTTGGTGATCTTCGAGCCTTGCGTAGCGCAACGGTAGCCGCAATTAAGACCAGACAGGCGGCCAGGTCATCCTGGCCAGAGATACCGCTAGCAAACCAGAAGCACATGGGGAACTGGAGATGAGGCTCTGACAGAGAGCCCCTCCACTCGGACTGCGAAGAGAACACATCAGCTATCGGGCGGGGCAGCTTGAGGAACTGCAGAATCTGAGCAGAGACAGGAGTCGTGATTCGACAGGACTTCGCTGTTCGGACAAAGACACTGCAAGATCGGAGGTCGTGTGGACAATATCATTGCTCTGTCGGCGGTGGTGGTGGATGGGGAATTTTGATGACCAAATTTCAATGAGTGGATTGATGATTTGCCGTAGCTCGGACTCGTCATCTCCGTGGCGGGCACTAGCCACTCATAGCCAGTGTTAGCCACCCACTAGAAGCACCCCCCAGGCTAAGGTTTACGCCAGACGCAGGAACAGGTGCGCTTAAGACCCCCCCGGCATGCACTATGGGCGCGAGCTAGGCGAGGCTAATGGGTATTCGAGTCCAGTGGGCGGCTGGGAGGCAGTGGGAGCTCGTCTGGCCTGCTGGGGGTGCCTGGATATGTCTTCCAGGCCCAATTAAGGTCCCCACTACGGACTTTGGGGCGTCAAGTGGGCGTCGGTGGGCGTCGACCCTCCCTGGTGCTACGGAGCAATTCCTCGACCTTTTTGAGACTTGCATGAGTTTTTGGCTGCCACACAGTCCACACTGCGTGACTGCGCTTCAGCTCAACTCCCTCCCCCTGCCCTCGCCTTTCTCCCTTGCTTCACCACCGTTCCAGCATCGTACACTCTCTTTCTCCTCAGCTCAGTCCATCGCTCGCTCGTTCATTGTCCCGTATCGTCGTCTTGTTTGTCTGTCCTCACGTTCGCTCGTACAAATCAACAACCCCTACAGAGTTCCCACTGACTATATTATAATTCGTGCCTATTTGCTCCTTTGGCTGAGATCAAGGCACAGAAAAAAAGGAGCTGCCCTCGCTTCCACTCCATTCGCAACACAACCAGGGACAAATTCATTCGATATCGATTCAGACCACGTTACGGCGGCTTCCTCTCAACTGCGTCCCCTCTTGTTGAATCTACTGGCAGCGTCACTGCGAGGTTATATCGGGCGGACACCGTCTTCGATATGAAATAGCTTGTTGAGGTGCATGACCCTCTCCGCCTCCCCATCCCCATGTCTCACATTCTCTGACACCTCCCGCTTTTCGACAGATACCCTGAGTCTGCCATTTTTCGCTCTCGCTGTGCTCTTTGCCAGCTGCCGCTCATTACCTTCATTCGTTTGGACATATCAGACTGCAGATTCCACACACCCCCTAAACGCGCCCTCGCTCACCCACGATAAAGACGTTCTCGCTATAGGCTTCGATACAATCGCTACCCAGATTTACAATCCTTAGGACTGGAGGGGAACTACAAGTGTGCCCCTCGACGACGGTCAATCTCGCCTGCCATTTTCCTTGGACCTCTGAAGCAGATACACAACGCATTGCATTTCATGCATCTACTATAATATACCCATGATGGAGAGGCCTGCGAAGCGACTGAAGATTACGAACCCAGACGTACGAAATCCGCGGGATACAGGCTCAAGAATGACAGAAGGACTGTTTACCTCAGAACTAGGCATGCAGGGAGATGATACCGACAACACAGTTCAGCCCACTCGGACGATCAGCTTGTCGGATTTTCAACGACAGAACGTGTTCGGCAGCTATCAGCATGCCCCGCGACCTGTTCTACCTCGCAGAAATGCTGGAATCTACTTATTCCCTAGGGCTCCTGATGCCACTGTTACAGCCAGCGTCGTGGAAGTCAATGTGAATGACGGCACAAGTACCTCCAAAATTACAGAAGTGACAGTGGCCACGACTGGTACTGTTGTTTCCTTGTCAGAAGTCGGCTCGCTGACTACCGAGGTCTCTCTAACTATCCCTGGAGTCTCGAACAGCACCAGCGTCAATGGAAGCTCTACAGATTCATCTCAAAAAACGATCACAACTCCTCCCATAACATCAGCGGATACGTCGACAATAACCTCATCAACAAGCATTTTGAGCCCCGGGCAGTCTATCACTTCCCAGAGTACAAATGGCACCATAACTTCTTCTGGCACGACAGGTACCGCAGAACGGACCGTCACAGTCACCGCCACCTCAACCTTCGAGCTGTCAGTGGTTAATGGCACGGTTATCGCAACAGATACAGGCTTCGATGCAAGCCCCACAAGCACGACCGAAGTGGGAACTACGGGATCCAGCAGTAGCAGCACTTCGAACACCTTTGTCTTCGGTGACCTCAACTCAACACCTACACCATCGTCCGACAGCTCTACTTCGTCTGATCCCTCCGCCTCTGGCACTTCCTCCGACTATTTCACCAATGGCCCGGGCGGTGGCGCTGCTGGCTCTCCTACGGCTACAACCGACTCAGCAGCTACCTCGGGTTCCGGATCAGGGTCAGGTAGTGGCGGGGGTGGAAGTCCTGGTCTAACACCAACTCAGCAGCAAGTGGTGGGAGGTGTTGTTGGAGGTGTGGCTGGCGTTGCGCTTACGCTAGTCATCATACTCTTTATCCTCCGCTGGTATCGGCGTCGACTAAAAGCACGAGGTCAACTTCCTGAACAAATTGCCGCTCGCGACTTAGCGGCTGGTAATGGTGACGGAGGGGGGGAGGCATATCCCATGTCTCAGAGATCTTCAACAACGCCTCTCGCAGTTGCTATGGCTCACGGCCTGAAGCGTCTTCGACCTCGCAGCAGTCAAACTCTCGGGACTACCGCCACTGGGACTACAGAAAGCAGCGCACCAGAATCGGAGCGGGGCTTTCAACGTATTGCTGGCCGCAAGATCGCTCCCGTCCTGAGCAGTGGTGGTGACCCCTACGGAGGAAACTTTGGTGCTTTTGAGAAGGACGCTGGTGTGGGACCCTCAGACATGCCGCAGATTCCGGAAAGAGGCCTTTCGGAGGCTTCGTTCTATCAGGACAATCGTGGCTTCTATGGGGGAAAGGGGACGCCAACACCTCCACAGTTACCTTCTTCGCCAACGACTGCCAACACGCCTGCAAAGACAGGAGACTTATCGACACCTGTTGGGACCGCCTCAAGCGCGAGGGACTTTGCAGAGCCGCCGCATGCGCCATCGGTACTCAATAGCAGCCAAATTTCCCTGCATACGCCTAGCCGGCCCGAAGGGTATGCAATCATGCGGCCGAGTCCCGCTCGAACTCCGGTCACGCTCAGTCCGGCAGCCAGCTCTATCCGGTTACCTATCCAGCAGCCACCGACCATGGATGAAGAAGCTCCCCCATTGCCGCCGATGCTGCGAGATGGCGTCGGCCGCAGCCTCGCTAGTCAGGATGGAAGCCGTGTCAGCAAAAGCAGTGGACGCAGTGCTGGACGTTTCACGGAAAATATGTGATCTCAGCATCTCAAGCCCAATCTCCGGCAACAATGTTTGAAAAAGATCTCTTGTTCACTAGCGAGGAGTTTAGCGTTTTTTGGATGGACATTTTGTGGCCAGACACCATTTGTCATGGCAGTCTCGAGCATCAAGCTCGCCCTTGGATGTCCCAAGGTTTTTTTTATTTCAGATATGAGATACCCACCAGATATTTTGTTCAAAGATGAAGCAGCATATATTGTCATATATACATATGTACAGCTCGGCTGCTATGATGAAGTTATGTACTCCGTACGGATAAGTGAAGCTACTACAACAATCGCCAGTGTACTCAGTACCTAGGGCACGTTCAACATCTTCGTCCTTGACCGGCGTGTGCTCTTTCGGTCCTTTCCCTTCCATTGCTCTTTAGTTTTCATCGCTCATCATCTATTATCGTCGTCGTCGTCGTAATCACTCCAGGCATGGTTCTTCCATTCATTTTATCGAGCCACCACGCGGTAGATTTCCTTAATACTCATACGGACTGTTCCTCACGGGCTCGTAGATGTACAGCGTGGAATTGTGCTGATCGGGCAAGAAATACATCCTGAGTGTCTCATTGACGTACGCGACGTCAAAGGGGTTCTGCGTGAGAGGCGTACCTTTCGAAGACGTCATGGTTATGGGCACTTCGTAGAGCGGGATCATGGTGTCGAAATCGACCAGCGCGAGCCCGCCAATTGTGATGTTCCCGGGCAAGGTCGCGACGCCCGAGCAGATGATGACGGCGCGGAAGTCGTAGTGTTTGGAGTGGCCCAGGAATTTGCAGTCTTGGTAGTCGACGTAGAAGGACGGGTTTTTGACCACAGATGACGGGGTGGAGAATGCCGGGTACGGATTGTTGGATGTCGCGTTGAGGTTCCAGATCGAGGCGTTGCGTGAGCCCCAGTTCAGGGTGTTGAGTCTGCCTAGCTTGGTGTCGTGCACGATGCCGCCGAGGTGGTCGGCGTAGTGGAACAATGGTTGGTAATCCATAGTGAGCGGGTTGACGGCGACGATTGTAGCGGTGGTGTTTGGGCGGTATTGGGCGAGCGTGGCCCAGATGTATTGGCCGTCGTAGTCGATACCACCGATGTGGTATTCGATATCCCCCGGAGGAGTCAGGGTCGCGTCGACCACTCGTTTGCCCTCACCGTCGTAGATCTCAAGGTGCCCGTACCCGGCTCCTGGGGCGCGATCTGTGCCGTTGATGATGGTGCCGTTGTACGAGGTGGTAGGGGCGGTCCAGTCTCCGCGGGCGGTTATGATTCTCGTCTCGTTGATCACCACCATACCCTCCGGCTCGCCAGTGTCGCCCTGAAAGGTGATGTTTTTCACCGAGCGCCAGACAGTGCTGCGGCCTAGAGTGGTGAATTGCTCGATGATGGCCTCGAAGTTGGAAGTAGCACCTGGTGCTGGCAGCGGGACTGGCACGAAAGACACATTGGACTGGTAGACGGTGAGGTTGGCCGCCAGCGCCGTAGCTACCAGGCAAGCGCCGGAGACCAGAGACAACGATGTTCTCTTCATAGACACCATATTTGAGATTAGCTATACTTCCAATCTAATATTCTGAGAGTAATGAGCTTTAAAAGGGAGCACCTTTTGTCCACTGGACGTTCCATGGTCTGAGTTTTGTAGCTGCAGACCATCAGCCTACCCTGCATCTTCATCGCACGTTGCGCATGCATGGAATCTTCTTTCAAAAGCTCTTTCGAGCAAAAGGCACTAGGACGGTCGGTAGAAAGCCGGATTGCCCCATCACGTGTGATGTTGTAGAGCAGAGATTGGTTCCATTGCGCCGTTGCGACTTAAGCGAGCCTTCGCGGACGATGGAACGCAGGGAAACTCGGACACTTTGTTGTTCCTAATAGTGGATAGAGCATCGTGGCCAGGGAAACAGTTTCTTGTTTCGGAGAAGAGCAGCAGGCACGTTTTCAACATCTTGATGAACGAAAGACGATCTGGGGAGCAAGCTGATCCAAGCAGAAGACGCAGTGATGGTGGTGGCACCAACGACCATCAGCAGCGAGCATTTATGGGATGATATACTCCACCGCAGACTCTACGGCGGCGCAATTCCATCACTCGATGCTGGCACCCAAATTTGTCATGTTTTCATGTCGCTCTATCTTTTCCATCAACCATCACCACCCACGGCACTCCAAGAAATGCCAAATAGCGCTCCCTGCACGTGAAATATCTTTGCATCAGAGTATTTTGGCAAGGCCTCCCTTTCTAAGTGCCCATCGATGGCAACTTGGCGGGCCAATCTGACTTGGGGAGACCTGGGTGGCGTCCGATTGACTATTGCAACATTCCCGCCCCATTCGAGGCCACTGTCATCGCTAACGGAATGGGATGAATCCTCAATCACTGGCTACCGGTAGCGCGGTAGCGTTGGTAATGACACAATGCTTCTTATTATGGACACATGGATCTCGAAATCCCATCAGCAAAGGCGAAAGGATCGGGCTGTATCTAGCCGTCATCCTTTCGAGCATCCTCTTCCTCCAGACTTGCCGAGTCACAATTTTGAGCTGTTTGTTTCTTCTTGCTTCCATATCAGGCGGCTCCTTGCTTTTCATACACCGTTCGAACATCATGAAGTCACTTCGTTCTTTCAAGATGCAAGGAAAGCCACGAACCCGGTCGTCCGGCCATCAATCGCGGCAACTGTCTACCAAGGTTTCTCAAACGTCTTGTGCAGACTTGCCTTACGAACCTTTGGCGGAAGGTCAGATACGGTTGCTCAAGTTCACAGATGACGACCGCTCTGACGGCGAAACTCTGCAGTTCGAGCTCTTCCACGCGAAACTGAGCCAGAGACCTGACTATGTGGCTTTGTCGTACTCCTGGGGGCAGGATGCTGCCCATGGGAGAGTAAGCATACTGGTGAGCAACCAAAGGTACGAAGTCTCCCAAAATCTTGCAGACGCGCTCCGCAAGCTGAAGTCAAACAACATTTCCACCGTCTGGGTTGACGCCATCTGCATTAATCAACGAGACACCATCGAGAAAGGTCGAGAAATAGTCAGGATGTTCGCGATTTACAGAATGGCAAAATTGGTGGTCATTTGGCTTGGAGCTGATACCGTGCCAGAAGAAGATATCCGAGAACTTCAGAGGGCGACATCCGATCTAGAAAAACCGGTCAATAAACAGCATCGAAAGGGCAACCTAGACTCCAATCTGGAAGCCCTTGAACGACTGGTGTCGCAGAGATATTGGCATCGAGTATGGATTATCCAGGAGGTCGCTGCAGCAAAAAGGGCACAGATATTCTGGGGCTCCTACATTTTTGACTTTCGAAAACTGGAAATACTCCTGCTCGAGAAATATCGTTCAAACGACAGAGACGAAGACCCTCCTGGGCTTGCTCAGAAAGTTGTATCTGTTCGGGCTGCCTGCCGCGCACAGCAGAAGCCGCGGTTGATGGATATTCTGGCAATGACGAGCATGTCCGAAACGAGCGTCTTGAGAGACAAGGTCTATGGACTTCTGGGTCTCGCGTCAGATTGGGCCGATTTCGTCCAAGAGCCCAACTACTCACAAGCTGTGTCAGAGAACGAGCTTTGCTTGGAGATGACGTCCAATCATATCAATTGGTACAACTCTGCGGATATCATATTCCTCAGGAGTGTGGATCCCCAACAGACAGAGCTGCCTTCCTGGTGTCCAGACTATTTCCACTTCCGACCGCACCAATTCGACAGGAATCTGATCCCATACATATGCGGCAGAGATGTCAATTTGGGATGGGAAAGGAGGAGAGTCTTTGGCCAAGAATCCCCAAACATGAACGAAGTCATACCAGACACTTTTCAGGTTACCGGGAACATACTCAGACTCAAAGGGAGGTGTATTGGCCGAATCTCAGCTTTGGGCGCTTTGGTGGACGAGGATACTCCGGCTTCTAGATTCAGCGGCCGCTTTTCTAAGTTAGATATCACGGATCCTGACATTGGCAGAACATTCCGGCGGCTGCTGCTAATCTGCCACAACCAGACTTTTGGCATTCAACCGTCGTCGGCATTCTTCTCGCTTCTCTTCTCGCTACCCGACCACGTCTTTCAGGACAGAGGCTGCCTACAGGTCAAACAATGGTTGGAACGCCACAAGGACCTCCTGGCAAGATTCGAGGTGCAATTGTCGCCGAGCTCGGACGAGTACGCCTTCATTTCCCGCCGAGCCGGCCGAGCCGGCGGCGGCGGCGGCGGCCTCAGTGCAGCATCCAAGGTCTTGCCCGAGTGGAGAGAGTTCTTCAGCTTGAGCGAGGACAACACCATCAGCCGGCGCGGTGAGCACCCTATCTACTCCATGCTCCAGTCCATCTCATCCATTCTCGACGAACACTTGCGACTTATGTTCATCCAGGACCAAGCCCTTCTTGGCTGGGCACACCGCGATGCGGAGCTCGAGGACACCGTCTGGCATCTCGAAGGCTGTACTCTTCAAGCCGTGCTCCGGAAATCGACACAGCTGTCCCAGGAACATGGCGAAGATATCTACAAGCTCGTGGGGCATGCGTATGTCGATCCCGTCCTGGCGAGTGGTCGCTGGATGGCGAAAGAGACCAGGAGCAGAGCGGTGAATCTATGCTGATCTAACATCCGTTCCTCAGGGGAACATTGGATACAACCACAAACCGAGAATCTCATATTGATTTTCATTTATTTCATTTTTTTTTTGGCCTCTAACCTATCCCTATTCCTATCTTGAAATGCCGCCTAAATCTTCGCCCGCTCGTACTTCTTCCACAGATTCCGTGCCTTGAGCAGCGTCGGCCGCACAATGGTATTGTCGGTCAACTCGCTCTGCTTGGCCACATCCAGGAGTCCCTCGTAAGGGTTCTCCGAAGAGCGCGCAAAGACGCTGCCGAGCTCGAACTCGGTGAATCCGAACGCCGCGACCAGAGTGTCAGCATGGGACGCGAATTTGGCGATGGCGTCCTGGTACGCAGCGCGCAGACTCGCCACTTGCGTTGCTGAGAGGTACGCTTCGCCCGCGAAGGCGGCGAGGCCCTCGACCATGGCGTTTAGAGCGAACTGGAGCATTGTCCGTCAGCCGATTCGTACCACCGAGATTGCGTTGTCTATGATTGTTTTTTTTTTTTTTTTCGTTTTGAGGAGAGGCACAATGACAAAGTCCACTTACCACGTTCGCCAGTGCCTCCATGGCCGCCCTATCGTCCTTGCCCGTCTGCTTCACCTGGGCCTGCAGGCCTCGCCAATATGTGAGGTCCGCATGTGCCATGGTCAGCTCGAAGACGTCGTAGCTGGTATCTTTTCCCCCAGCGACATCGGCGATATGCCGTCGCGCGAGGACCGCGGCTCGGTGCTCGAGGAAGTTTTCTTGGACCTCTGCGCTGAACCAGTCGTCCGCGCGGTTGATTCGGGCTGTTTGTGACATTCTGCCGCCGTCTCTCAAGCGTGCGAGGTATGAGAGGGCGTTGATCGAATGTTCGGATTTGCTGTGCGTGGAGTCAGTGTATAAACGGGAGGCATGATCAGAATATGAATGTGACATACTTCTTCCAGTGCTTGACGACAGCGTTGCCAATCTGCTGGGACAGGACGTATGTCTCTCCTTCATAGGTCCGAGACGGAGAAAGCTGGGCGTAAAGAGACCCGAGTCCTGTGGCTGCCATGTTTCCTGTTGATGCCGGCTCTCAGCATTCTCGGTCCCCTTCCTGCGGGCAGTCTTCAACAATTGACTGAGACTATCGACTCACCGTGTCCGCCGCAGCTGAGACGGGCCACCTCGACGTCCCGCACGCCGTGTTCACTAGCCCAGATCTTGGCCCCGACGGTCTGCAGGTGGAGATCCTCGATGCTCTCGTTGACGATATTGTCGATGCGGGCGCGCATTTCCCGCCCGAGCAGCATCATGGCCACTGCCTATACACCCGGCCCACGGGTCAGTAAAATGAGTGAATAGTCAAGGGGGGATTGTACACGGGTAGATATCCAGGAGACTCACCCTCGCCAAAGCCGGAAACAAGCGATTCTGCACGCTGGCATACTCAACCACCTTCCTCTCCAGCCCGTCCTTGGGGTTAAACTGCCTGCGGAACTGGACATATTTCAACGCGATGACGACCGCCTTGGCCACTTCGATGCCCAACTCCTCGGACATGAGGCCGCGAATGATGACCATCGAGGTATATGCGTGCTTCGTGTTCCTGGCGGCGTGGTACGTGCCGTCTTTATCCAACGAGACCATCCCCGCCAACATATTCGCACGCGGGATACGACAGTCCGCAAACGCCATGACGCCGTTATCCATGGACGCAAACGTGCCCATGCCCTTCTCGCCTTGCTCGTAGATGCGCACATTGGGCATCAGCTCGTGCGTGTCCAGGTCGCGCACCTGCACCAGAAACACATGGTTGCCCAGGTCCTTGCCCCGGACGATCAGCCGCGCGATCACCAGCGCGTGCGTCGCCACCACGCCCAGCGACCCGATCCAGTACTTGTGGGACGACAGCGTGGGCGAATTGACCACGATCTCGTCCGTGACGGGGTCGAAGGTGGCCGTCGTCTCGATCCCGCGCACGTTGGATCCGTGGCCCAGCTCCGTCTGCGCGTAGCAACCCGAAATCTCGAACCGTTCGGCCTTGGGGATCCAGTATGCTTTTTGCTCGGGGCTCATCTGGGCCTCGAGGTTGCGGATGAATACTTCCCGGCTAGTCAGTGATGTTTCTTTCCCTTATCATTCTCGCTCTCTCTCTCTCTCTCTCTGCCTTCACTCAACGAGAATAGTCCAATCCATCTCCCCATTTACCACCATCACGATATTAATTATGTGACTTACTTCTGAAATTGACACCAATACTCAAAAGATCCCCCGCAATCTTAGTCGCGTCGACAAACTGCTGGTTCGACCACCCGAGCCGGAATTTCAGCTCCAGCAGCTCCACGCCCTGCTGGAGCCGCAGGACCCAGAGATCCCTCCTCGACAGCGCATGCGGGTTCTTGGGTTGCGTGAAGACCGGGTTTTTGGTCACGGCGGCGAGGATCTCGCAGCGCCGGCGGAGTCGTTCCTCGCCCCAGAGGAAGTTGGCTAGCGGGGTGGTGCTGGGCGGCGTCGTTGCTGGGGCTGGCATTGTTTTCTTGTGTCTTCGTCTTTAGAACTCGGTGGGGGTTTTCTTTTTCTCCTCTATATAATGATAAAAAAGGCTTAGGAGACACACACACGCGCGCACACACACACACAACGCACGACTTTCGACGTGATGTATAGTATCGCGTCCCCCGTTCGCAAGGGCTATTAAGACCGCCCAAATAGCGCCGAGGCGAAATATCGAAAACGCCCGCCCGACACCGGCACACGGCAATGATGCGCCCACTGCCGAGGTATTGTATCACTTTTTTCAACGTCTCCTGTGCGTACCAAAACTTTTATGCCTGACGTAGGCACCTACTTTGACAGGATTTCTTCTATCGGTCTCCTGATCTCACGCGTCGAGTCATCAAAATGCAGCATGGCAGAATGTCACGGTCGGTATTGGCAGAGTACCTAAATGGCCAAAAGGGGCACACGAAGCCTTGTTGTCTATGTCCTCTACATCATTTTGCTATCAAACACCATCTCACGATCAACCGAGTGCTGACAGTATCCCTACGGGAGGTCAGATTGTGTCACACGTGTTGAAATGTGCTTTTCCGTGGTGATACCCAAGCTTCCCATCCCCATCCCCTGTAGAGAACCACATATCCATCCACTCTAGCCGCAGCACCCGGTGATGTCGGCCGCCTCGGGCTTTCCTCTGCGTCGGGCGGTCTTCAGGTCAGTCTCCCGGACGTGCAACACAAAGGAGTGACAACAGGAGGGGACGGAGACAGAGGGACGGAACAATGTAGCAGTACTGACTTTGGTTCAGTCAAAAGCTGGTCCCAGCTGAAGATGAAAGAGCCGAGGAAGGCGCCGATAATGATGCAGATGATGATGTATCCTGCAAGTATATACGAGCCGGTTAGTCTCTGTCGGGAGTTGCCTGGTAGCTCTAAGAGCTAAAGAATGGGATACGGGAAGGAGGGGCGGAGGAAGAGGGTCAGGGGCCTGTACCGTTGTAATACATGGCCAACAGCATGATAAAGTATGCCACGCCGAACTGCACCATGTGGATGAGGGAGCGCACGAATTGGCGCTGGAGAAGGGTCATTCGATCAACAGTCCGGTGCTGCTGATGAAGAAGAGGTCTTTCAGGAAGTGGCGGACTCGTCATCATCGAGACTGTTTTTCTTGCAGAATCCGCATCCTGTTCGGACGAGGGAGAGGCCCCATACCCATTCTCGTGACGTCCATCGGCGGCAGATGTGGCTAGAGAGGCCAAAATTCTCTGGTCTTTGCGGCGGATCCAGCCGTCGTACTCGCGCTGGACTCGGCGGAGGAACTCGAGAGAGATGACGAGCAAGATAACGCCGATGCAAGAGAGCGCGAAGATGCCGCCCGAGGTGACCTGCCATGATTTGGAGATGAAGCCTGAGGGTAAGGATAGGGGTATGGGTCAGCCCCCAGCCCGGCGTGAAAATGGAAATGTCGTGCTGGGACTGCAGGTGGACTTACAGGCTCCAACCGTGTACCAGTTCCAGGTCATGGAGATCTTGCATCCTCCCATGCTCATTCCACTGGAGGCCGACGCGGATGCCGTAGCCATCGACATGGTGGAGGTGGGCATCGACATGGACATGGACATGGACAATGAAGACATTTGCATGAATGCCTTCTGATGAGTCGGTTGGTTGTTGGTAAGGGTTTCTTCTTGCTCCCAACGGTAAAAATAATCAATGTGAGCCTTTGTCCACGAGAATTGATTTGAACATCGAGGGTCGAGCAACCTGCTTTTGGTGAACCCTTTTAAGGATAAGATGCGTATGAGAACCAGGCGCAAGATTCCCCGTGCAGAAGCGATAGCGGTATGGTGCTTGGGACTTACGCTGCGCTTGTGCTCGTGAGCAAGTTTTCGATTGTGGGCGATTGGCCAGCCGCTGGGAGGTACACCCTGAGCATATATCTTGGGAGCGCCGCCAGTATCACCAAGGAAATAAAAATATGCTCGCCGAAACAACAAGGTCGCATGTCTAGCTCCATGCAGAGGAGCTGGAGCAATAGATGCCGACAAGCATACTCGCACCTTCCGCAGCCATGGTTCGTCCCCTTTCCTTATCAGAGTAGTAAGGCTCAGGGATCAATGAAGATGCCATTTCCTGTCCCCTCCCTCGACCCTCACTTTCGGCAGATTCAACCCTTTGGCAAGATCATGCAAACTTGCTCGTCTCGGGTCGTGCTCTTGGCTACTGCTGGGCCCCAGATGCAGAGAGTATTCCCCCGAGCCACGATGACGAGACTGCTCGCGCGACGACCAAGGCAGCCGCCGAGGAGACTTTTCTTCGCGCTTCTGCTCGATGTGGTACACCCTGCCATACCCGACGAGGAGCAAAGCCAGGAAAACCAGCGCCGGCCGCGTGATAAGGATCATGCCGCCCATCAGGGCTATCATCATGTAAACACAGTTTTCTTGCGGGATCTGGTTGCGGGGTTCCCTTCTGGACGAAGCCAGGTGAGGTTTGTGGTGGTTCTGGGTGAGCATATTCAGATCGGACTTTCCTCCTTTCCTTCTTTTTGCGGAGGAGAACGGTTCGTTATCACCAGAATGTCGGGGCGCCTGAGATTCCTTGGATTTTGGTGTTGGATACCTAGTACTAAGTAGCAATCGTTCAGAGTCGGCGGACAAAACTGGGTCCCGTGTGTTCAGAGGAGGCCGAGATTTAGTTATTAATTCTTCTTGTCCGGAACCGCCGGCTGGAATCCCCAAGCTTCGCCTTCGCACATGATGTCGGTTCGGGTTAATGCTCGTGGTGCGCTTTTGTGCTCAGCTCATCCAGGGGCATGCTGCCGGGAATATCTCACATGGGCTTTGTTGTGCTGTTACAGCTTCGGCGTGCTCGGACTCACCCGAATGGTAATATATCTCACGGTGTTGACGGTTCCGTGGTTCTGGTAAGGTCAAACGCTGGCTCGCCCACAGAAGTCGCCCAACAAGCGCAGCTCCTGATCGCGGGAATAGCTCCCATCCAGCTTTGTGACCGAATTCCGGGCACCTGTCAGCGTCACGCAACCTAGCCGAATCCCTGGAGAACCACTGCCCGAGCGCCATAAGGGGTATTTTCAAGGTTTCTGCTTAGTGAACGAGCGTCGTTTACTAGGAGCTCAGGCCCTCCCTTCCTGAATATGTGTGCCCTGCGCCCTTCTTCACCCACGGAGCAGTTGTCTCGCATCTCCCTCGCATTCCTGTCAGATCTGCAATGCCTTTCGAGCTGAAACTTCATGCTCTCTCAACGCCGTAATGACAACTGGTAGGTCGGTCAGCTCGCACACTAGGTTTCACCCATGGACGCTGAGCATTGGCTCTGTGGGTGGTGCTCGATGGTAGGTTGGTGGGGCCACATGTCTGTCTAGGTGGGATATAAAAGGTATCAAAGGACGATACGCCGGTTCTGCATAGCAGGTCCGATTGTTGTGGGAGCCTTGTCGTTCACCTAGAAATCACTCTCAGCTATGTCCAAAACAACCATTCTTCTCACAGGAGCAAGCGGAGCATTAGGGGCTGCGACTCTCGCCCTCCTCGCGACCGATCCCAACGTCGAAGTGATTGCTGTGCTCCGTTCTCTCGCGCGATCTGAAGCATCATTGCGGTCCAGATACGCTTCACAGGTCTCAGAAGGCCTGCTGTCCTTTGTGGAAATTCCCGACATGACCGTCCCCAACGCCTTCGACGAATCCGCCAGGAAAGCCGACGCTATCATACACATAGCCACGCCCTTAACGTACGACAACCTCATGGAGACGATGATCAAACCCAGCTGGGCCATTCTGCACAATGTCCTGAGCGCGGCTGAGAAATCAGGCGGCAGCGTGAAGAGAGTGATCGTGACGGGAAGTATGGTCTCGACCATGCGCGTCGACGATTTGTATTCCTCTGAAAAGACCATCTCCGAAGAGAGCTGGAACCCCATCGGCCTGGAAGAAGCGGAGCTGAATCCCCTCAATGCGTATTGCTACTCGAAGGTCTCAGCCGAGAAGAAGGCCTGGGAGTTTATGAAGGAGAAACCACGGGACTTCGAGCTCGTCGTTTTACTGGCGCCGTCCATAACGGGCAAGAGTCTGCAGCCAGGCTTCAAACCCGACAAGCGAAATCTCGGTGGTCAGCCGGGTCTTTACAGAGGTCTGTTCGACTGCGACAAGCCTGGGTTCGTGTACCCGTACTTCATGTAGGTGTTTGCACCCTGTCCTGTCCTATCCTGTTGGCCTGCCTCTCCTGTGCTGACACATTTTGTTCCTCCCTCTTTTCAGGGACGTCGAGGATGTCTCGCGTGTGCATGTCCAGGCTCTTTCGCCCAGAATCCCAGGCAATGAACGATACATGTTCCACTCACCCGAGCTGATGATCGGTGACGACATTGCGCGCGCGGTCCGAGAGAATTTCCCTCAGCTGAGGGATCGGGTTCCTGCCCCGGAAGAGGGGGCAGCAGGAGCAGCAGCAGACAATAATAGTGGAGTGTCGCCCAACCTGGTCAAGACGGACATGTCGAAATTCGAGCAGGCGTTCGGCAGACAGCAATGGAAGTCAGCCAGGGACTCAGCCCGGGAGACCGTCAAGGACATCGTGGCGTATGAAGAGAGGCAAAAACAGGCCGCACAATGAATCCATGAATCCAGATTCTTGGATTGCCAGGGAACGCTTGCGAGAAGATCGTATTGATGGAAGAGCTCTCCAAGCGTATTGCATGCCATCGCGGCAGACCTGGCCATCGATGCCGATGGCGATGTGGGTGACGGCCGATTTTAATAAGGATGCAGTTGTGGACAGTGACAAGTACAAGGGGGTTGCTGATCACATTGGACATGAATACACTCCATCCTCATTCACGAGCGATCAAAGGCTGCGGACGTCGTCGTCAGCATCGTCGAATATATTGGCAGATGGGACCAGTCTTTACAATCGATATCACAGAGTCCGACCGCAGGGGACCTCCTGAATCTCCACTATCTTCCATTCATCAACGTATATCTCTGCACCAGGAAATTGGAATTTGCGCTTACCAGCCTTGAAAATTAATTTTACGCTGATAATGGAGGACCTCTCAGACTCACCTCACGAATCGGTGCGTCACCTCCCCCTGCCAAAAAGGCACGAAAACGGCGTAGAGAATAGCCCTGTCGATTCCCTGGCTGTGATCACGTCGAGAAAGGCGGACGCCTTAACCACACTACAAGTTGGTGTACAACATGTCGAGGCCGCCGGAGAGGGTGGTAAGGGAGTTTATGTGTACACTGTACAAGAGATGGCTGAATTTGACGACTCAACTGGGGCATTTTCAAGATCAACATCCTAATCACGACATACCAAAGTTGTACACGGTCCGGGAAGCCGACCTGAGGGAACAGCTAGATGCGGATGGTGATGATAACGAGGAGATGGACCTGGGTTTCGAGGGAGAGACGGTCCGAGACGCACCTCGGAGGGTGACTGCGGAAGACTGCGCCGAGTATACGAACCAGGTCTCGCGTGCACGTAAGCCTATCCTCTCACAAATGAAGGAATACGTCCAAAAGGTTCCGGCGTGTGACTACAAGACCAGGGCGACAATCGCCGGAGAGTAGCGCTGAACGCTGAGAAGACGCCAGGACCAAAGATGCAAGCCAGTATGACAGTAGCAAACGCCGCATTGTTATTATTATTGCCTACGATACAATTTCAGGCTTTGACAAAGCAGACGTCCTCCAATTTCTTGACCGCCTTGACACATCGACTTTCGACCTCCCTCGTCCAGACGTCCGCCGCCCACAAAGACAGCATCAGGCTGATGGCCCATCCGATGGTCATGACGGCCGTCCAGACCAGGTCGGTCGTGTCGATGCCCTGAACGCCCATTGACCACCAGATCCGGTGGGGGATCATGTATCCCACCGCGTGAAGAATGGGACCGTGGACCAAGTAGAGACCAAAACTGATCTTGCCCAAGTACTGCGCCGGGCTGCTGTTAAGTATGCGGCGCCAAATCGAAGTTTTGGGATCAGAGCGCGCCAGCAAGAACAACAAGATGCCAGTGCCGATGTTCGGATAGAACTTGTCCTTGCGTACCATCCATTCCGGAATCAGCTTATTCAGTGTCATGTACCCCGGCGCATAATCTCTTGAGCCGTCAATCGGGTAGGACAGAAAATAGAACGTCAGCAAGAAGCCGAAGACGCGAAGGCCACGTTGCCATCCTTTGGGAGGAGTCGACACGTAATCAGACCAGGAAGGAGGCGGCTTGTAGTCTGGTTTCGGCGAGTGTGGCGGCGAAGGAGGCAGTCGGTCTGGCACCAATGTAAGTCTCTTTTCCTGTTCGCGTTCAGTGAGAAGGAGGTCGATCTGTGCCACGACCGCTCCAATGATGTAGACCCAAATCTCCCAGTGGTTCCACAGAAAGAACATGTATGTCATGATACACAACCCTGCCAATCGAACATATTTCCGGCATTGCGCTGTGCCCACCAGGATCATGTAGAGAAAGATTGAACCCTTCAACTCGGCCAGGATGGACCACAAATGCTGATCGTGATAGGGATAGACAGCGCCAGGAGCAAATATGTTTGTGAGGTCGAACATTTCTCCCGCCCAGTTGCTCAGCTGCTGGTAGTAGGTCGGAAACATTTCGGGCTTGATTTCATTCCAGTCGCCGGGGAAGAGCTTGTCGTGATCCATGATGTAGCCACGATTTCCTTCGTAGAAGCCGAAATGGATGTAGTGAGCCGTGATGAGAGTGACCATGAGGACAGGCAGGTAGAGTCTGAATGCTCGACGGAAGAGAGCGCCCGAGACGTTCAGCAGGACCTTGGACTGTGAGATTTGATCGCCTTTGTCGAGCAGCTGGAACAATCGTAAAGAGGTCAAGTATCCCGCAATGCCGAAGAAAACATGAGCCGTGAAGCCGGAATAGAAATATCGAATGATGGGAAGCTCGAGGAAATAGCGGTGGCGATCGTTAGTGCCCCAGGGCTGGAAGCCAATGTCGCTGTATGCCATGATGAAGTGAAAGGTAAAGACCTTGATCGCGGTGATGCCTCGTAGGCCATTCAGATAGCTGGTGGGAAACTGCTTGGGCTTGGAAGCGTGATCGTTCCAGTACCGAGAACGCGCAAACTGAGGGACGAAGCAGTAGGCAAATCGTTTACCGAGTTTGTAGACAGTGGCAGGTCGGACGTGCGCAGAAGCTGTGGACAGCACTCGTTTGGGCACTTCTCGAAGAGATTCGATGTGGAAGCCATCGTTGGGAGGAGCATCGGTGTCCAAGAAGACATCTCTCTCATCCTTCATGAGAGGCTGTCGGGAGGTCTGGAGCTCGTGTTGATTCATGATGCTATCATGGTAAGCGGCCTCGCTGGCCTCAATTTGGAGGGAGGGGCCGTTGATGGCGTATCTAAGATTGTCTTGAGGACTTGGTGTCGAGTGGTTGTGAAATGAATCGGGTGGTGGTGTCAAAAGAGAGAACAAAGGCGCGCCCGCGCCCCTAAAAGGTCCGCCTCACCCTGGGATAGGTTTGTTGACAAGAATGAGCGATCAAAGGAGAGTTGGTGAAAGACATCAAGGAAAAGAGCGTGCAACAATCACTCAACGAGCGTGAATAGGACGGTGGGATGGACCGGTGAGTGCAATCGACGCTTGAAATCACGACATTGAGCTTGGACACGTCCGATGAATCGGTCTACGACCATAAAGAGTGTCTTGGACGCCCCCTGGTGCTTGGCTTACTATTTGCTCGCGTGCCATAGCGCCTCACACCAGCCTGATGAGGCTGAACCTCAGCGATTCTAGACGTTGTTGGCCCGCGATGGCATCCGATGGGATCCTATGGGTGGTCCCTCCCTGCATTAGCGCCCACTTGGCAAGACTGCCAATCCTGCGAGTGTTACCTGGTTCGAATAAGATAGACCTAAGACAAGTATCAAGGGAAATTGTCCCATTGAGCCATTTGCGGTCGTGTGGGGCGGGGGCCGTGTTGGTTGGTGTTTAGAATTTGCCTCCAGCCGCCCCCTGAAATGCGGGCTAACGCTGTTTGGGGACGAGTTCGGGTAGCAGGGGACGGTGTATATAGGCATGGACTATCCGAGTGCTGTTTGTACTTTGCCATGTTTGCTCCGTGCACGGTCTCAGGTCGTGCATATCTCCTATACCATACACGACTGGGAAGTTATGAACTGCTAACACAAGTCCGCGCGTATACGATTGTTTATGTCAGCAAGAGCCACCTCGGTCACGTGATGACACTAGTGTCTTGGAATCCGGAAAATCCTTCTTCCCAACCTCCCTCATCACGTGGGCTGTTGCAAGGCGATAAGCGGGTTCATTGACCTTTTTGGCCTCTTTACCAAAGAGCAAAGAAAAATTCAACTGGTAGAAAACGTCTCAACCCCCACTCTCCCTGCAGTCTTTTTGTGCGCTTGCGGTACCCTCGAGCCCCTCTACCACGCTCTGGACCAGTCGAGTGACTCGATCTGCTGCTTCTACCGCTACTGACCACCACAAGCGCACATCATTTCGGTCACCACCGATCACCAGATGCAACATGCGAAAAAGACCCTACAAAATGTCCCTCCCTGCTTTTTCTTCTCTGCTCTTTTCTCTTCTCTCCCATCGTCCTTCCCAGGCACCCTCAACCCCATCTTCCACAGTGAGCGACTTCGGGAGTTTTGCGCTCACTTCTCGACATAAAGCTCCAACTTGACCAATTTCGCATATAGAGACCATTTGACGATTCCTGATTGCCGACAGAGCTACTCACAATGAGCGACTCCAAGGATATCAAAGTTATCCGCGCCACCAGCGTCGACCTGGGCCGTGAATATGGCACCGGTTCCTCCAGCTCTCACTCTCCCATCGAGCATGGACACCCCGAGATCATTGAAGCGAGTCCCGAGCGCGGTCCCATCGCCCTCGGTGACGAAACCGGCGAAAACAAGAAGTCCTGGCGCTCCAAGTTGGCATTCTTCAAGACCAAGGATTTTTGGCTCATTCTGTGTCTGGGTCAGATACTGGCTATCTGCATTACCGGCACAAACACTTTGACAAGCTTGTTGGCGGCTGAGGGGAACAGCATCCCCGCCTTTCAGACCCTGTTCAATTACATATTGCTTAATGTCGTCTACACGGGTTACACTCTTTACAAATATGGCTTTAAGAAGTGGCTGAACGTGGTCATTCACGACGGTTGGAAATGTAATGCTCTTCCATGTCATGTTGAACCGCTCCAGAACTAACGACTGACTACAGATATCATTCTTGCTTTCTTTGATGTTGAGGGCAACTACTTTACTGTCCTCGCCTACCGCTACACCACCATCCTCTCCGCCCAACTCATCAACTTCTGGGCCATTGTCGTCGTTGTGGTCATCTCCTTCACCTTCCTTCGCGTGCGATACCACTGGGCTCAAGTCCTCGGTATCTTCGTATGTATTGGCGGAATGGGCCTTTTACTGGCCTCGGACCACATCACCGGCGCCGATGGCGGGGACGTTTCTTCCGGCAACCAACTCAAGGGCGACCTGTTTGCCCTCTTGGGTGCGACGTTCTACGGTCTGGACAACGTCTACGAGGAATGGTTTGTGTCCGGCCGGCCCCTCTATGAAGTGATCGGCCAACTTGGCTTCTGGGCCACCATCATCAACGGCGCACAAGCCGGCATCTTTGACCGCCACTCTTTCCGGACTGCGACCTGGAACGGCAAAGTCGGGGGCTACTTGACGGGATACACGCTCATTCTGTTCATTTTCTACACTCTCGTTCCCATCCTGTATCGCTTCGCCAGCGCGGCATTCCAAAACATCTCCCTCTTGACCGGCAACTTTTGGGGTGTTATCATCGGGTTGCAGGTCTTCCATTTACACGTGCATTGGATGTACCCCATTGCATTCACGCTCATTATGGTTGGCCACTTTGTGTATTACTTTGGAAAAGGTGTCATGGGAGAGGCGGCCAAGGCGTGGTTGGGCGAGAACCAGGAGAAAGGGATTGACGGATTTGGGAGTGCGAAGAGGAAGCTTCGACTGATGAACGAGAACGCGGCTGGCGTGACCAGGGGTGGCGAAGGTACAGAGAGTATGGGTGTGGTGTAAGGGAGTCGAGGAGGTATACGATCAGCCAGCTGTGAGTGTACATGACCCCCAGTCTCAGCAATTCAGTTGCCCAGGCATCGACCTCTTGGTCAGACAAAACATTCATTGTCGATCACTGCATCATCAGGGCGCTCAACTGCCCTTTTGGCATTGATTGCGAACGAGTTACGAGAATCACGGCCCACCACCACAATACAATATACGCTCATTTCCGCATTGTTTTACAGCTAGTAGTTGACATGACCCCAGATCGAGATGTACAGAAATCCAGATATCAGAGGCCATCAGCCATCCTCCTGCCACCTACAGAAATCTATGTGTTACGATGCCAGAAAACATGATCATAAAGCAAGCCACTGAAAGATGACTCGTGGGAAATAGGATTTTCGACAGAAAAATATGAAGCCTGTAGGAATTCATAATGGAGATGCAGGACAGACAAATTGGGCTTGCTAGAAGGGAAAAAAAAACACAATAAACTCAGTCAGTTTGTTAGGTGATGTGTCCAATTTCAGTGGGAAAAGGCCTTTTTTTTGGATTCTCTCTCCATGAAGAATAGTGAGATATGCATTTGAGTGGTTTTCTTTTCCCCCATTTCCTCCATGAAACATGTTTTTTGTTTGTTTGAATTTGCTCTTCCCAGGTGCCAGGTTTCCGTTCCCCCTTTTGAGGTCCGAGGTCCTTGGGCGCTGGGGGCCGTGCCAGGTAGGTACAGTCGAAGTGTAGTAGAGGAAAGTAGAGCCAGGCAGAGAGGGTATTTGAATGTCTTTCCACCAGAGCCATCTTGTCGGGTCACAGCCACCACAACCACATGGGGTCCCCTGCTCTCGCGCCTGCTTGCGCATGTCTTGCCTTCCTGTCCCCTTCCCACGCAGCCGTACCACGTTGTAGAATTGTGAGAAAAGAGTTTGACAAAGCCAAGAGACAGCCGCAAGCGACAGCAGCATATCCGTCCTTGCGTCGCTTATTGCTCAGTCTGGAAGTAGTTCAAGAGCACGCTCCTCTCCTGGCTCTCCTCGCCCCAGTCCCTAACCACCACACAACTGCAGTTGACGACCTTGCGAGCGTTTCCTTCTCGATCCAAGACACAGAGACCGGCCCACTCTCCCAACATCTTTCCATCCGGAACCTTAATCAGGGGGATCTTGTGTTCGGAGCACAGAGCAATCACCAGCTTCTTGTAGGCTTCCTCCTCGCAGGCCTCGTTGAGGACGCACATGTGCGCCTGGCGGCGGTCGAGGGCCTTGGAGGCTTCGCGCAGGCCGCGGGCGAGGCCGTCGTGGATGAGGGCGAGTTTGAGGACGCCTGTTAACATCACCCACGTCAGTTTAACACCATCATGGTATGATCTCCTCAAACTCTCATCCTCCTTTTTGGTGTCGTTCTTCTTCTTCTTCCTCCTCCTCCGTGTATCTTGAGAGTAGTACACACCTTTCAGAGCGTCAAGGACGGACATGGAACCACCAGAGGCGCCGACATCACCAGAGACTTCGACCTCATCGGCCGCGGCGACTTCTTCGATGGGGGAAGTGGGCTCTTCTCCTTCCGACTGCACAGGGTCACCATTAGTTTATGTTCTGGCTTTTCACAAGACGATTGGGAATTTCGGCTCGCGGCCTGTTGACAGAACAAAAGGGACGCGACATACCATATTGGTCGATTCGTTACTTGTAAGTGCAAGTACCTTGATCTATCAACAATCTGTCGGATGATCCTCAAAGAGCGTCAACTCGGGAAAGGAATGAATAGTATCATGTAAAACGGAAACTTTTTCGCAGGGTCGAAAATGGGCGAAATTGACGGTGCGTGGCCCTCCCAAGACTTTGCCAAGACTACGATGCCACACGGTCACGTGCCTCGAAATCGATGGTACTATTTGGGTGGCATCCCTAGAGAGACGAGGGAGCTAGGGTGCATGAACTAACCAGGGATTCAAATGGCCAGCAGAAACACCGGAATTAAGCGAGATCACTAGACTAGCAGAAAATTGCATGGGTTTCAAACATTTGCGGTATTCATTGAGCGAGAAAAGCCTCCGGTCATGCACACTGTGTTGTGCCTGTGGCCTCAGTCCCATGATTGCTATCTACAGTCCAACAGTCGATCGAGACGATAAACCTCGAGTCCGATCCTGAAAACAAATCTGCAAGTGGCAAAACAAGGTCATTGTTCTGATGGTCATCAATCATTAACCCTCTCAATGTGTGTACCCGGATCCGTTACCGTTAACAATGGGCGACAAATGGGAAGTCATGCCATTCGACAGTTGGCCTGATTTTACGTGACTCCCAAAATCAGGGAGTGCAGCAGGACTTTGTGGAGACGATGCGTCTGCGTTGTGCTGCTGCAAGGAAAGGACTCGAAGGGAGATGGGCTGTTTCCTGATCTTCAGGTTCGCCAGGTGCGGATGTCGGAAGATCTGATCTTCAAAGCCAGAGAGCTGCATTCAAGTTAACTTCCAGATCATCACTCCCCAAACACGAGACAACCACATACCTTTACCCAGAAAAGTTCGTCCATGGCAAAGAACTTTGGCCGCTCCTCTCGCTCGCGCTGGATCGCCATCTTGATCGTCGTATTGTACTGATTGGTTGGGAACTCATATGACAGGTTATTCCTCGCTACCTGCCAAAGACGCTGTCTTTCGTGTGGCGTGACAGGTCGTCTCTCCAGGGAGGTATAACTTCGCAGGTTCAGATCCTTGGTCGCAAGCAGTCCAGCAACTTGGAAATTCGGAATCCAGAGGTCGTTCCGATTGGCATCCGGAGTATTAGGGTCGAGCTGCGTGGTCTTGACAGTATACAATGGCAAGAAAAGCTTCAACCAGGGCTCGCTTCTGGCCTTAGGATCGCTATTGTCGATGAGAAGGGCACAGTGCTTGAGCAACGCCGGTAATGCCTCCCGACGGCGCTGCTCGGCCTCGAGCCGTTCTCGGCGTTGTTGCTCTCTGAGCTGCTCTTCTTGTCTGCGTTGTCTTTCTTCGAGCTCACGCTTTATGCGCTCTCTCCGTTCCTCCTCTTCCTTCCGCTTAAGCGCAGCTTCCTCTTCAGCCTTTTTGCGTTGCTCGGCCTCTTCCGCCAGTTTTCGCTCTGCTGCTGCCTTCTCAGCTGCAATGCGTTCTTCCTCCACCCGCTTGGCCTCTTCGAGCCGCCGGGCTTCTTCGGCTCGTCTGGCCTCCTCGGCCTGTCTGTCCTCTTCGAGACGTCTTGCCTCTTCGAGCAGTCGTGTTTCTTCTAGCCGTCGTGCTTCTTCGGCTCGTCTAGCCTCTTCACGGCGTCTATTCTCTTCCGCTCGTCGCGCCTCTTCGGCTAGTCTCATTTCTTCCCGTCGTCGTACCTCCTCGGCTCGTCTGGTTTCTTCGATCCGTCGTGCCTCGTCGACACGTCTGATTTCTTCTTGTCGTCGTGCCTCTTCGGTGCGCCTGATTTCGTCCGTTCGTCGTATCTCCTCGTCTCGTCGAATTTCCTCCAGTCGTCGTGCCTCTTCGACTCTTCTAGTCTCTTCTAGTCGTCTTGCCTCTTCCAGTCGCCGTACGTCTTCAAGGCGCTTGGCCTCCTCAGAACGTCGAGACTCTTCAAGCTGTTTAGCCTCAAGTCGCCTGAATTCCTCAAGTCGTTTACTCTCCTCGAGGCGCTGAGCGTCTTCGGCGTCAGGAGCCTTTTCTTTGCTTTGAAGCTGAATGTCAGGCTCAGAAGGACCTGCCTGGGCCGGCTCGGCTTTGATGGATTCGGCCGTCATAGTGCGTTGAGGCCCGGCACCACGTTGAAGGCCCGCCGACGGTATGATCTCAATAGAGTCGGACACTGTGTCTAATCCAGGCTTGTCAAGATCCATGGCCTCATTTGGTTCTCTCTCAACACTCGGCTGAGATTTTGATTTCTCGCGCTTCAAGCCCATTCCCTCTGCCGATTTGCGGTCAAGCGTGGGAGATGACGCGCCACTGTTTTGTTTCTTGGGACCAGGGCGGGTTTCTTCCGGACTGCTTTCGATAATGGTCCTCCGCTTCTTAGCTGCGCTACGACCATTGTCACCTTCCACGGTCACCGCTGGCCCTGGCGAAACACTTTCTCGATTCCGTTTGAGCACCGTGCTCGGTCTGCCCTCCGTCTTCACCGCCACCATGAGCTCTTCATCTGAAGACGCATCTAAATTGCTCTTATTGCTGCGATGTTCTTTGCCAGTAACGAGACGTCTTCGTCGGTGCGTGACCTCAGATTCCAGATTGGACGGTGGTGGCAGGTCGCTCTGACTCCGTCGTTTGGTATGGCCTTTTCGAGGAACGTGTATGGTCTGATCCTGATCAGAAGAGACTGCCAGAGGTGAATCGCCGACATCTCGTTTAGAAGCATGGTGCTTGCGCCTGTCTTGTCCGTCCACAGAACCAAGATCTCGGTCTTTTCCTTTCTCTGAAAGATAGGTTAACTTGCCCGCTAAATGTTTCTGCGTCAATATCGGGCTCGAGGAATTCTGCGATTTATTAGAGACCGGAGATTGAGAACGACGATTAAGCCGGGTTTTCGCCTTGTCCACATCTCTGGTAGTTCGTGGAGAGCTTAATCTTCGATGCTTGCCCAGGAATTTGTCGTAGGCGGTCTTCAGAATCTCGTGCTCCTGCTCCCATCGCTCACCTTTCCGCTCGGCAGCGACCTCAAAGTAAGTCTTCCCCTTAAGAATCCTCCTTGTAGGATTGAAACCTGACTGCTCAACAAGTAGTTCGACAACTTCTGGATGTCCCTTCCCAATGGCTGCAAGCATGGGAGTATTGTACCCAGGTCTGAGACTTCGAATCGGGTCAGGGTCAGGTTCGGGATCGCCCATGGCCAGCATCAGCTGCAAAACCTCTTCGTGCCCTGCTTTAGCGGCTGCTATCAAAGCTTCCGTTTCCGCTTTTTGCAGAACGTTGAGGATGCTTGCCACGCCTTGGACATCACCTTTTCCAGCCAACTTCTTCAGATTTTCCTGAGTATTTGCTTGCCAGAGAAGATCGTTTCGAGTCGATTCACTGCGGCCGGTTCTTCGCCTTCCGTAACCCGCATGGGGACTTCTGGGGCCCATCAAGGGCGGGGAATCACGGGGACTGGCAGCAGAAGCCGCCCTCGATGAATTCCCGTCTCGAGCCGTGTCGTTGTGCTCAGAAGACACCCGCCTGTTGCTGAGTTTCTCTTTCGCGTCAGCAAGCAGCCGTCGGATCTGTTCATAGTTTTCGTCATCCTGAGGAACAAGTTCGTATGGCTCATCGCCCTTAGCGTTGCCCATTCGTGGATTCGCTCCGTACTCGAGGAGGAGTTTGACGACCTCAACATGACCATTCTCAACCGCGTCAATAAGTGCCGTGTCTTTGTCGATGTTCCGAGTATCGATTTCACACCCGTTTTCCAACAGGAACTTCACAATATCGACATAACCCTGGAGCGCGGCGATTTGGAGCGGAGTGTTTCCTGCGTTATCTGGTTGGTTGAGATCTTCTGGTCGTTCGGAAAATTTGGTTTTCGCCGCTGCAAGGTCATTGTTACTACAGGCCCGTGACAGGAAGGTTCTGCCGTTCTTGTCGCGCCACTTGCGAGGACCGGGAGGTTTGATGGGCGACATGGTATCATGCTCTGTAGACGAGAACTTGTGCAGCAGGACAGGCCGCGGTTGTCGAGGGGAGTCAGACACGTCCGAAGAGATGGATCGGTCACGAGTGTTGTCTGCCGAACCACTTCGTCTGGTGTGAATTGACGGAGGTCGTCCACGCTTTTTCCTCTCATGATCGCCAAGCGTCAACTGGGTCGATATACCTCGCCTGTGTTCCCGTCTTTGTGGCCTTGGCGAAGGAGAGCGGTCTGGTGAAGCATGGCGAGGATAAGTAGCTGATCTGGTTTCGCGGCGTTCTGACGAGGTCGGATCCACTCCGCCACTACTGTTCTTTGTGCGATGTTTGCTTATCGGAGGCAAATCGCTTGGACGACGCCTGCGACTTTGATTCTTGACTGGCTTCCCTTCGGCATCACGCAAATCGCCGATCTCGTCCTCACGCTTGCGCAGCACCGGCTCTGGCTTTGGGGATGGCATAGAGTCCGATACATCTAAGCCGCTCTCTGGCGTTTGCGGCGTCCTTCGAGGCGATGATAAAGGTGAGCTGCGACGACTGGAGACGGAAAAGGCATGATCGTCCTGCGCATCATCGACGCTACGCTTGCGCTTTCTGGAATTGTCATCATTTGCAGTCGCAGCAACTGCAGCGGTTGACTGTCCATCTTTGGGCCTGGTAATACTTGCCGATCCTATTACAGATGTGTTATCGGTGGTGGTCCTCTGCTTCTCTGGTGACTGAATCAATGTCTCTGCCTCCGAATCGCCATCCGCATCTGCCTCAGCAGCTGGATCAGCCATGACTCGGTCATTTCTTACTCCAGCTGGCGTGGGATCCGAAGCCATCTCGATGGACTTTGAGACCGTGGCAGGTGCACTGTTCGATCCGCTGTTGGTGGCCTGGTCGGTGGGCTTTCGGAGGGTGGCATCTTGAGACTCCTCAGAGCCGACCGCATCAGTCATAACGATGTTCGCCTCCTCTTCATTATTACCCTGCTTGGTATCGTTTGCCGTTTTGGACGGGAATTGGGCGTTGCGGATAGAATGGGAGGTTGGGGCAGGGAGTTGTTGACGGGCACCGGCGGTGAAGGGTGAGAGACGTGGTTTCCCGGGCCAGCGATAGCGTCTGAAAGGCGTGTGTGAGTCTTGACGTTAGGAAAGGATTCCTTGACCAGCGCAGGGAGATGAACGGCCGTGTCTAGATGGGCGTTTTGATGGGTTCACTACATTGAAGACACAGAAGTACAAGCCCAACGAGACGGGAGACGAAACTCGATTTCGACTCCAAGTGCTGGCTCGCAGATCTTGTTCACGTGAGCAAAGTGCCCCAGTCACCAGCCGCATGGGGCTTAAATTGGAATTGGTGGCTCCCCCACTCAGAGTTCCAGGCCTTCCCCTACACCTTGCTGCCTAGGGTACCTAAGGTGTTGCCCCTAAACCCTCTCCCTACGAGTACCTCGTAGAAACAAGGCACTTAGCTGAGGGCCCCCCAGTAGATGCCCAGCCACGCAGCTTAATCACAACCAGTCGGAGGCGCCCCTGGCAAAACCTTCCGGCTCTCGACGGATCTTTGAATCAGGAGCCCAATTTCCATCTCTTCTCGAACCAGATTCCATCTCTGGGGACGCCATCCACCATCACCACGACTGCTTCAGCCCTTTCCTGCATCCGCCGTCTGCTCTCCCTCGTATTGTTTGCTTTGACTTCCCCGAGCGGGCCGGTGCTCCCAGACTCGCCTCTTCCGCGCCTTGTGCGACCGCCTTTCTGATCAGCAAAAGCCAGCAAAGCGCGGAGAAGAAGATGGCAAGGCCAACATTGGCGTAATTTTGAATCCTCCCGCCTGAAATTCCGAGCTCTGGAACACAAATTCTCGTTGTTATACAGCTAGATAGATACAGACAGCCAAGAGAGACCCTGATGCTCACTCCGCTCATTTGGGCGATCAAAGCCTTCTACCTCCTCAGCAGTCTAACAATCCTCACCGTCCGCCTGGTTCCTGCACTCAGTGACCGTTTCCTCGCCTACGGAGCTCGTGCGGGAGACGATGCTCGCGGTAATCATGAGAAGAGCAAGTCCACAAAGCAGAATGAGCCTTCTGTAGGCGGAAGATTTCTCGACTATGTTGCTACTCTCACTGTCCCTCATGCATGGTTCACTCATTTCTATGTCTTATCCATTGCATGCTCATTGGCTTGTCTGTTCACTTCCCATCACTATGCAGGAGCAATCACGAGCCAGAGCCAGAACATGGACATCCCGGTCTTTTGCTCAATGTTGATGCTCCTTCAGGGTCTGCGCCGACTAGTGGAATGTCTCGTCCTTGGTCAACAGAGCAACTCGCGGATGTGGATAGGTCACTATGCCATCGGCCTGGCATTCTACATGGTGACAAACATCGCCATCTGGGTTGAGCATCTCGACGCCAACAGCCTCACTCAAGCACAGAGAACCGATCCAGAAGACAAGGATCAAGGAACTATTTTATGGACGGCCAAGACCATGATCTGCACAATCCTCTTCTTCTGGGCTAGCGACCAGCAGAACCTCTATCACCGCTACCTGTCCGACCTGAAGAAATACACCTTGCCAGAGAAACATGCCTTTCGCTGGATAGTTGCGCCACACTACACTGCCGAATGCCTCATTTACCTAAGCCTCGCCTTCCTAGATGCGCCTCCTCCACAAGACTACCACCGCCGTCATCACAAACCAGCAATGACATCTATAAATTGGACGCTCTTCTGCGCCTTGGTGTTTGTTATGGTAAACCTTGGTGTGACGGCCGACGGGACAAAGAAATGGCTTCGGGCAAAATTTCCCGACCGGAGCTGGGAGATCATCAAGAGATGGAGAATGATTCCACTTGTGTACTAAATATCATTAGAACTGAGCGAGCACTCGTTACAAGTACGATGGACTTCAACCGGGAGAAACCTAATATGAAGGGGCGGAACCCTGGGAATAAGAAGCGGTGGGAAGATTGATGGCCATACCATTCGACTTGCCCGGCCTGGAGTGAACCCTAGAGCTGATAGCAAGGTGGAATTACCCAGGTGCTTCTACAGTGTCCATTAGTGTGTACCAAGGTATGTGTCTGTGTCTCGTGTCTCTGTGTCTTTTGTCTTTCCAGTCTAAGCATCGTCGTACTTTTCATCCACGAGCGGCATTACTCTTCTTTCAGGCCAGGTTTGTCGCCGTTGGCGCCACCGTCCTTATCCTCGGCCTTCTTGTTACCATCATCAGCAGCGGCAGGTCCTTCTCCTTCATTTTCCTTATTATCACCACCCTCATCCTTTCTCTTACTCTCACCATTAACCCCATCCCCATTCCCCTCTCCCTCTTCCCCTCCGTCCTTGACGTCCTTAACAGCTCTCTTAACCTCCTCCCTAAACCTCCTCATTTCCTCCCTCTTCATCTCCCTCTTCCCTTCTCTCTCCTCCTCCTTCTCCTCCTCCTTCCTCTCCCTGTCTTTGGCCACCTTTTCCATCCACCTTGGCAACTCGGCCAGCGCTTTGTTAGCGTCCTTTTTGTGAACCAACAAGTAATCCTGAAGGTCTGCGGGTGAAAATTCTCCCTCGGGAATCAGCGAGGAGAATTTCTGCGCGAGCGAGCGGAGGTGTGCTGTCTCCATGGTGTCGGGCACTTTCTCAGTCTCGTCGCCAGACGAGGACGTCTGATCAGTAGTTGTGCTTGTGAGTGCTGCTGCTGCCCCTCCTGCCTCGTCAATGCCTCTCAAGTCTGAAGTTTTGGGCAATTCCAGATACATCCGCAAAAAGATCTCCTCTGCTTGCTTTTTGCTTGCGTTCTTGAACCCGACTCTTACGCTGATCCGGCCTGCCCGCACGAGCGCGTCGTCGAGTTCATTCGGTTTGTTCGTGGTCCTTTATAATCACGGTCAGCATATTTCTCATATCGGCGAGTGTGCCGTCGGGTGAATGAGTGAGAAAGCAAACGGCCACCGAGAATGTGAAACCGCATATTCCTGGAATGGTAGAGGATAGACTTACATGATCAGAACATGGCCCTCCGGCGCTGCCACACCATCGATCGCATTCAGCAACCCACTCAGCGTGACGTGCGTGGCAGAGCCGCCTTCTTGGTCGTTGTCGCCATCATCAAAGTTAGGTTCACTACCGGGCAGCCTCATGCGCCGAGTATTAAAACCTCGGGTTGACGTGGTGGACTTGGCCCCTTTTCTATTCAGACCTGCGGTGTCGATGTCTTCCAGCAGTAACAAAGACCGGCCGGGGAGTTGGTTGAGAAGCGAGATGAGGTCCGAGTCCGTCAGGTCGTTGTCAAGCAGCGAAAGGTTGTACACGTCGAGGTTGAACTTTGAAGCGAGCGCAAGGGCGAAGGATGTCTTGCCCACTCCGGGTGGGCCGTGGAAGAGATAACCCCGGCGGTAGGGGATACCGTGGCTGGCGTAGAAATTCATGGTCGCTTCGTCCATGTACTCTGCCACGTCTGCGATGACCTGCTCCTTTTGCTCCGCCTCCAATATGACCGTGTCGAGTGCTCTTCGGGGTTTGGAAGTGACTCGGCTCCACGTCTGGCCCCCTCTGTAGGGTCTTCGAATGATGGTCAACGAGAGTTCCTTGGCCTTGTTCAGGTAGTAAACATGCTCGATGAGATCCTTGATAGGCTGCGCCGAGCGACCCAGACACGACAGGGAGATGATCTCCATCCTCTTGTAGCGATTTCCATAGTAAGTGTGTCCCTCTCCGTACTTGCGACTACAAAAGAACAGCCGGCCCTTGTGGACGAACAACTGCATGCCCTGGCCCTGCTCGTACTTGATTTTGGGCGTTTCGTTGGCCCGCCGCGTCTCCTCGACGTCCGGTTCATGACGCCGACCCCTCCGTCCTCGGCCGTTGTTCTCCTGGGAATTGCTGGACACGGCGTTCAGGACCTGGTCCGCGCGGAGCGTCTTGCGCTCGGACAGGTAACTCGTCAAATACCCAAAGAGGTCTTCTTCGGACGAGACGTTGACGGTGGCGACAATCACCGAGGAGAATTGAGACCAGAGCGACTTCAGCCGGGCGACGGGGCCGAAGTAGTACAGGGCCAGCAAGACCCCGAAGAAGCGGAAGAAGGATGGGTGTTTGTCTAGTAAAGGTCGTGCTCCGGGCAGAAATGATGTGATGATGTATTCGGGCAGGTCGACGAGGCTGCTGCCTCCCGAGACGACCGTCTTCCTTACTCGTTGGAGGTCCATCTTCAAAACACGAAGAGGCTGAGATTGACCTTTTATCCACAAGCAACTCACTTACAAGTGAGAGACGATCCGATAAAACCTTGACCGGAATCTAAACAGCTAAATATGCAAGTCCAACGTCTCACAAAAAGTGAATGCAAAATGTAGGCAGCCTTGGCGGTGAAGCAGTCCGACCAGATTTGTAAAGGCGACAAAGACGCCGGTAAGCTGAGAATTCCTATCAGACGCACTTCACCTTCTGCCTGCTGCCAGAACCTGCTACTGTTGATTTGCGTGGAGACATGTTCTTTTTTCCCCTTCAACAGTGGATTCAGACCCTACGATTCTGGACAGTCTACTCGGTCTTGTCCCATATGGCAATCCCTGCATTCGGGGTTTGTCACCGGTTATGCGCGAGACCGAACCAGTTATCTGCAGGTAGATCTGCAGGCTACCGGTTGAGCGCTATGTCGTTGCAAAAGCGGGCGCAGGCAGCACAGCATCAGGTATGTTACTTGAATGTGCTGATTGGATATTTGATTATATACCTTGTCGTTCTGTGGAGCCGTGTAGGAGGTAAGGCACACAGGCACACAGGACTATGTTTTCACGAGTGGCGATAGACACGGCTGGGCTGTTATGCAAGAGTCATGAATATATGGGAGAATCCAATCAGCCTGGTCAATGCCCTGCGCCACAGTCTAGTGGCGCGCCTGGGACGACGGTTTGGAAGCTCGAATTTGCAGATCTATTTTCTGATAGGCATATAGCCAGAGAACAGACGAAGAAAGGTATGGCCGTGGGTGAGCCTGTAGGGATGCGATATTCTTGAGCAGTTGATGCCGAACTTATACGGAAGCACTCTCCGGATACTCAGGGATATAAACCTCTCTTCGACGGACGCGGTATTGCTCTTCAATCCAAGGACATGTCCCTTCACCACCTCTTTGAGCCACTCGCCGAGATAGCCTCAGGTCTGCAGTGTGTGGCCGCATGTCCTCCTCATCTGGTTCAACCTGGATCGCAGCTCTCGTTCACTCTCGTGGGGCGGTCATCGACAGGATGGACACGGAGGGGGGAATCCGGCGAGCACGAAGAATACATACAGCCCGCGGTAAATGGATGGAACTCTGATGCGAAGAATGAGAGGCAGAGACAAAGAAGCGATCGCAGTGCGTTTGAAAGTGTAACATCATGTAGTTCAAGTTCTGGCGGTTCTTTTGGTTCTTTCGAGAAAATTGACGTCATTTGGCCCAAACAGCCACTGCAGCTTCGGGTCTTTATTCTTTTCCTCTTGCACCCGTCATCGCTGCCACCACCATCATCAATTTGTGGACACTTCTCCTTTGTTCCTGGAATTGTTAGAAAGGCCATGTTGCGTTCCAGCTGACATTACTGCCCTCCTCCACCCCGTGTTCCACTCCGTTCCCTTCCTACCATGCCTGCGGTACAACGCAACGGCCGGACAGTCGCAACGCAAGAAAAGCAACAAGCCACACAGCCAACTACATCTCGCTCAATGTCTTCCACACAGCAGAGGCCGTCCTCCTACCTTCTCCTCGTCTATCCCGTCATCCTCACTCTGGGCTCCCTCTTCGCCTCGCTCTCCCCTGTTGCCAGTCCTCCATCCGCCGAACCCCTCGCTCCAGGAATCACCTCCGACCTAAACGTCCCGCACTTCCATTCGACAAACTACTTTGCCGGCAAACGCAACATCATCAACGTATACTTTGTGAAAATTGGCTGGTTTTGGACAACTCTAGCCTTCTTGCTGCTTCAAATCACCACTCGGCCACCACCAGCCAGTGCGGCCAAACACTACATACAATCGAGTCTGCGCTATGGCCTTGTTACCATTTCATGGTTTCTAACCACACAGTGGTGTTTTGGACCCGCGCTGGTCGATCGAAGTTTCACCATCACTGGCGGCCACTGCGAGCTCCAACCGATAAACACCACCGGGCTGAAAGACGCACTTGAGATGACCATGATCGCCTCGGGCCCCGCATGCAAAGCCGCAGGTGGAGACTGGCGCGGTGGACACGACATCTCAGGCCATGTCTTCATGCTCGCTCTGTCCTCGGCCTTTCTCCTCTACGAAATCTACATGGCCGACCGGGACTCCGCGCACCCGTCTGTCTCGCCTCGAGCCGCCGCGGCGTTGGCCCACGACATGACCGAGGAAGAACGCAAGGCCGTCGGAGGATGGGAGTCGGAAACCCAGGCGCTGGTGCGGATATGGTCGCGGTATTTTCTGTATGCGGTCGTCGTGCTGGACTTTTGGATGCTCATGATGACGGCCATCTGGTTCCACACGTGGACGGAGAAGCTGAGCGGGCTTTTGATCGCCGCTGTGACGATATGGGTGACGTACTTTCTGGGAGATTTCGTGCCACAATGGAGGGAAATCGTGGGTGGACTATGATGGGAGTGCCAAATGCCATGAATGTACATTCAGTTACGCGTGAAACGAAAGAAAACGAACCTCTGTCAAGAGATGGATGGGCACCCTGACTCTGCTATACATTTGCCGGGGATGGTTCGAAGCATAGCGTGTCGACGATACAGCGCTCTAGCTTTAGTACTCAATCCGGAAGCATTCTTGAATCACTACATATGTAATATATGTCAGTCTATTTGGCCTGTATGTATGCATACCATAAATAACCCCCCACTTTCAGCGTGTTCTTCTCTATCCTTTTCCCCAGAATAGTAATAGTAGCTGCTCCAAACCCCTGAATCGACTGAAGCCCCCTTAAAGTAATTAAGCCCCGGGCTGGACAAAAATAGACTCAGATATACATTTTCCTCAAACTTCTCTAGAGGGCCCTCGTCCTCGTCGGAATTACTTGACACATTTCAAAAGAAGCCCTTTCCGAGATAAAAAAGGAGTTTTCCCCATATCCTAGATATAGGTCCTGTCATGCATGTACTCGGTATGCCCATGTCCATGTCCATGGTTCCAATCCAAACGAAATCACCTCCCGAGGTGTAGGTGCGTGTAGTGTCCCTAAACGCGATCCAACTTTGCCAATTTCTTCCTCTGCTCGTCGCGCTCGGCTTCCTTCTTGGCCCTCTCCTCTGCATTCAACCTCCCCGTCTCCCCGTCGTCGTCACTAAACTCATCATCGTCATCGTCGTCGCCAGCGAGTTGGAAATACTCTTCCGCTTCGTCGGCCGTGGGTGCCGCGGTGCCTTTCTGCATTGCGCCGGGTCTCCGATTCCTCGCTTGGCCGACCACGAGCGTCAAGACCACGACCTCGACCACGGCGAGGGCCACGCAGAGCGAAATGACAGGCCAGCCGTATTGTCGGAGCATTAGGCCGGAGACGACGTTGATGACGCCGACGGGGAAGACGACTCTTCCCAGAATGACGTGCACGGTGCTCATCCAGGTCTTGCGGCCGCCGCTGGTCACGAAGACGACGTGGTGGCGCCACCCGAGGACGAGCTGGGCGGCCAGGGCGCACACGATCAGGATGCCGACGTACTGGTGCGTGATGGAGATGCTCCGCGAAGTGACGAAGCCGATCAGCGCGCCGATGGAGACAAATATCGAGGACAGCGCGTTGACCGTCCAGTGGTAGTTGAAGGCCGTGCCGGCGGCGCTCGTGCGGGGAGAGCGCAGGAGGTAGATTGCCAATGGGTAGCCGATCAGGAAGGGCATGGTCATGAAGAAGCCGTGGAGATGCCTGTTTATTGTGCATGAGTGGTTAGTGGTGGTTTAAAGGGGGTGCACATAGGAAAGCATGAAGGTAGAGACGAGGGGGATATACGTACCACATCATCGATCTGATGTTCCACTGCTTGACCGTCTTGACGGGCTGTTCGACCTTGCTGCCATCGTCCGCGCCAGGCGTGGTAGCGTCGCTATCGGGTTTGGCATCTGTTGCAGGTGGAGTTGAATCATCGGGTTTATCCGCAGGTTCTTCTGGTACCGCTTCTTTCGAGTCACCTTCACCTGCGCTGCCCCCACCAGTCTGGGCCGCAATAATCTCATCGCCTTTCTTCAATTCATCCTCAGTCGGCGGCTTGGGCTCCGCCGTCTCACTGATTCCCGAGTGATCGTTCAATTCATTGATGTCGCCAAAGAACGCGACGTCGCTCCTCGCATTCAGCAGATCCACCCACAAAAACCCGAACCCCAGACCAAACTGGTGCATATCGATGTTCCTGTCCACGGAAAAGTCGCCTTCAAAGTCTTGTCGGAAATTCGAACTCCAGATCATAGCCTGTTTCGTGGTGTCGTTGTGGACCCCCAATTCCGCGGCGCCCCATCGGTCGTATCCGCGGACGATGAAGTCCGCGATGCCCAGGTGCGAGGGCTTCGCTTGCATTTGATCAGAGTACCATTCACCGGTATAGTCCTCGAAATGGGCCGTCACCACCTCGACCTCGGGGACATCGCCGCTGTAGAAATCCTTCATGTCGTCCGTGGGTCGGGGCGGGTGGTGTCCGTCGACGGTCCTCACCGTCAGGGTCATGCCTTTATCCTCAGACAGCGGATCGCCGTAGATGATGAACATCATGGCCCCCTTCATCCGCGGGCCCAGTCCCAGGGCAGCCCAGCCCTTGTTGGAGTCCTTGTACCGGAACATCCACATGCGGACATAGAGGTCGGATTGTTGCGTCGTCTCGTTGAAGTAGTTGACCATACTGAAAGCCTGATCCGCACGGCCGGATTGGCCAGTGTGCTTGACGAATTGGAGGGGCCGGTAAGCAGTGGCGAGTACGCTGAGGAGTAAGATGGCCAGCGTGGCCGGCAGCGACAGGAAAGACCCGTGCATCTTGACAATCTGGACCTGGCGTTCCAGTTGCTATGTCGCAAGGAAAGAAAAATATGATGAATGCAGTGGTCTAAGTTATACAAAGTAATTGAACAAGTGGCTGAGAATCTCCAATGTACCGAGTAAACGTGTGCTCACAACATCCGCTCGCGTGAGCAGTTGGGAGTTGGCGTAATAGGGGGCCGTCTGTGTGTGACCCGCTGTCAGAATACTCCGAGGTGTCCGGTCAGGCAGGACGGTTCAGTGATGATCTTCCCCCTTTTCCCTTTCATGCGGGACTTGCCTGGAGGCAATTGGGCGAATAAAAGAATCTCTAAAAGCGGTATAAGAGAAACCACAGAACAGGGTGATGGATTTAACGAGCGGCGGGAAAACAGCGATGGGTGCAATAAGGGGAAAGAGGATGGATGAGGATTGAAGATTGCGACGTTGAACATGAACGTTGAGTGGCCACCGTGTGGAGTGAGACGGCGAGACGGTTGGGCTAAGAAAAGACGCTCCATGCCGCATTGGGTTCCATGGCGCTGCCTCGGGAAATAATGCGAGCATCTCGCTCCATCCAGGGGTTGCCATTGATAATCAGCTACGAGCTACAAGCCTACAAGTACCTCGTGCTCGGTAACGGGTGGATAGTGCAGCTGATCGGGTTCAGTGGTATGATCTTTCACTCTATAGCCCCCTGATCTCGCATCCGTTCGGGTCTCCTATGTAAAGTGCGCGTCTGCCGCGTCAACGGGAACGTCTAGTGTTGCAAACGCGTCTGTGTCGATGTGCCGTCTTCTCTGTCAATGCGATTTGCAGGTATCCTTCTAGATTCGTTGCAGTGCAATGAGAGAACTCTCTAACTAGCAACACGCTGATAAAAAGCGACACATATATCAAGAAGTCATAGAGGGCATTTGAGAGCTGTCGACGCCTCTTTTGCCCCTTTGCCACCTCGCACAACCTTACGACTTGACCATGACTCTCTTCTCAATCGGCTCGAACGTCTTGTCCTGGGGTCCACCTGTCGGCTTGCCGAACACCAATTGAGCCTTGAGTTTCCACGCCTCAGGGATATCGAACGTGGACTTGATGTCCGCGGTGATGCCGGGGTGGAAGTTGAAGTGTTGGAGATTGGCGCCCAGACCCTCAGCTTCGAGGGCAGTCCACACTGCGTAAAGAAAGGAAAAGGATCAGTATGTTGCCAACACGATTGCTGACGATCGGTGCTGGGACCCAGGTTTTGACTTACCGATGAATTGATGCATACCAGTGGAATGATCAGACCCTGCAAGAAGGAATTTCTGTGGTCAGCACACCGCCTCGCCCCAAACCAGCTCCCCTCAAAACGGTCATCGGGCGTGCTCTCTCACATTCAGTCAACATGGGCTTGACCATGGGATTCTTCTCCCCCAAGCCATCCAAGGCCGTCTGGTCCTCGAACCACAGAACCGTGCCATAACTGCCCTTCCACCCGGCGATCCGGCCGTTCATGTACCCGCGCATGCCCTCATCCAGGGGCACCTGGTCCATGTGCTTCTTGACAATGTCCCAGAGTTGGGCGTGGTTCTCCTTGAACAGCACCACCGCGCGCGCCGACTGCACGTTGTACGTCGAGGGCGCCCACGTGACGGCGAACTTGACAATCTCCTCGACCTTGGAGTCCGGGATGGTCGACTCCTGGGACAGAGTGTAGATGGAGCGGCGGCCCTTGACGAGGTCCAGGAAGGCGTCGAGGTTGCCCATGGTTGGTTTGTTATTGAAGACGGAAATATATGTGAGTTTGTTGAGTGTTATCGAAACAAGTGTCGACCAACGGTAAGACAACTATTTGTTCAAAAACCACCACCAATTGCAAAAAGTCACTCGAGAACGATGTGAGGAGGAGTTGAGAAGAAGAAGAGAAAAACGACCTGCCAGTTTGAAAAGCAGGTTCCGGACGCGGCCTTTTATCTTTCCAGAGCCTTACCTTCACCGTCTGTACTAACACCACAACAGATCGCAAGATCACGCAACAACGAATTGAATTAAAAATCATTTTGAGCACCCTCGGTCCGGCCATCCTATCTGTCCAATGCACGGCTAATGGGACCCCCCTTGTACCGGGTATTGGGGGACCTGTCCAGACTCCTCAGAGGCGGCAGTCCCGCGGGCATGAGGGAAGCTGCCTCCCAAACCTCCGCCCAACGGCTAGCTACAAACAGAAAAAGGCTTGCAGTAGTAGAGGTTTTGATATCTGTTTCGGGCGCCCCGCCTCACGGCTGGTGTCCAATGACTTCTTCTGATCTGCGGGTTAGCTCCTTTGTAAAAAGAAAGATGAATGGTTGGCCCCAACACCCTACATACCTAGTATGTGACTCGGTGCTAATGCAAGGGCAATACGAGTACCAACCTAAGGTACTTAAACGACGCGGACGGGCATCGGGCCCCGATGAATGACTCGGCCGACAAAGGACGGAGGGCTCCGTATGAATAATGTAATAGCTATGTATCGAGCGTATCTAGTCCTACGGTAGGTTAGGTACCCCCGTATACGGCGGGCTGGCAGCTCTTGCCGCGCTGAGACGACTCCCCCGTCCGTGGAAAGGTATTATTGTTATCCGACATAAACGTCGTTTACTAGTACGCCAGTACCAGCATTCGAGCAAGGCGGCTTTGTCTAACAGCAACTGCGTATACGGGCCGGCTGATCTGACCTGCATACGAGAGAGTGCATAGAATCTTATGCTGGGTAAGGGTTGCGAGAAGATGTGTGGGTAAGCAAGAGCCAGAGGTGGGGGGACCACAAGGTGCGAGGGTGTTTTTCTCAGCCTGATTGGAGAATTCCCTCTGCAGGTAGGTATCAACCAGCATACAAAGCCATACAAGCACATACCTAGGAATGTATCTAAATAGGTGGAGTACTTCTGGAGAGGAGAGGGGGGCTCCTAGGCAAATGCAAGTGGTGGCCGAGGTCCGTGGTCGTGCGGTTGATACATAGATACAGATATCCCACCTTTGCGCATGTCGGGAGGGAGAGAGGTGGGTAGGTAGGAAAGGAAGCCCAGCCAGCCGTCCATCCACTACCAATCAGCAAGCCTCAAAGAGGATGTTGGGCGTTGATATGGCGACATTGGGCTGGGTCTCGGCTATCCAAGGATCACGAATCCCCAGACAGATCGGGTTTATTCAGGCTTTGGCGATGCGTCAAAAGCAGCTTCATTGTTCTCTCGGGCGAGAGACTCGGCCGCGTCACGTGACAGGAGGTACCATCGAGTCCTTGCGGGCATTTCCAATTTGTCTGACGAATGCTCGATGCAGGAGGGCTTTGTCTTGGTCAGCCAGTGGAGACAATGCGGAATATAACAAGGACTGTTCTTGTTTGGAAGAGCTCACGACCATCCGTGACATTGGGACTGCTCAATTTTGTGGGACGCCACGGACGCATATGTATATACAAAACTCCAATCCAAACATCCCATCCTCTCGACTAAATAGTCTCGATAACACAGAAAGGGACTTGATCATGTCGACTTGGTTTGATCGTAAACTGCTGGCATGGAAGACGGTTCTCCGACAGGCTCTCAAAAATGACGCCCCATCTCCCTCACAGGCCGTGAATTGTGGAAAGCTGTAAGTGCTCATTTATCGCATCTTCCGGGGCTTGAAGCGGCAGTAGAAGTCGTGCTCTTTGACAAACCAAGCTATTCTGAATCAGCGCCAATAGTGCAGGGCTCGATCTTGAGAAGACTCACCGTTGTGTAGTTTCCAGTCCTTGTTGGGATTATCGAAACGAACCTGAAGTGGAGACCAGGTCAGTCTTATGGTCTAGCACTTGTGTCGAATCAACCTTTCTCCGCCGTACTCACCTCGAATCGACGTAAGAACGCCGGAACCAACTTGTACATCTCCAGCAAACTGATGTTCTTTCCGATGCAGGTTCTGGCGCCGGCCCCGAACTGGAACAGAGTGCCGTTCATCTCCTTCAGCTGCTCCTTTCCAACATTAAGCCACCTCTCGGGAATATAGCTGTCGATCTGGGATCCGAAAACTTCTTCGCGTTTGTGGATAACCCACGCATTGCAGCCGACAATCGTGCCTCCGGGGACGAAGTGTCCATCGATTTCAATCCCCTGCGGCGGTGTGATTCTTTCCAGCGGCAATCCTGCAGCCGGGTGCATTCTAAACGCTTCTTTGATGCACGCGTCAAGGTAAGGGAGTTGTTGGGATTCGGCCCACGTGATCGTTCCTGTAGGTGTATCGGCAATCCTCCCTTCTTCGACAGCTTCGTCCAATTCTTGCATCAATTTCTGATAGCATCGGGGGTTGCGGAGGAGATAGTAAAACACAGCTGCCAAACTGATAGCTGTAGTCTCGGACCCAGCGAACGCCATCGATATCGCCATGGTAAGAACCCTCTCATCGGTCATAAACTCCGGGCGGTCATTTTGCGCCTTGAGGAACATTGACAGTAGATCTGGCTTCTCGGTTCCCTTCTCGACGCCCTGCGCCTCCATTTCCTTCAGCCTCTCCTGCATTCGCTGAACGGCAAACGTCGCAACCGGAAATGCAAAGAGCTTGACTCCAAGTCGATCAAGCAAGAGAACCAGTGGATTTTTCAAAAATAGTAGGTCTAGCCAGGGCATTTGTCCGATCTGCTGATGGATTAGCTTGGACGTGCAACATTCGGGATGCAGGAAACTCACCGGAGCCACATAGGAGAATAGCCTCCCGAGGTATGCGATCATGCCGTCGACATCCTCATTTCTCTCGATGAAGCCATGTCGCTTACTGTATGTGATGTACCCAATGACCTGGAACATGGTCAGAACCGGCCGTTCTGGGGTCAATCCCAAGGACTTACGTCGAATGCAAAATACTGAAGCCATTCTGCAAAATCACAGACCTTGTCGGTCCTGGCATAGAGTTTCTCCGTCTGATCCAGGAAAACCTCGACACATTCGGTGACGCCAGGCTCATACTGGACCAACTGGCTCATCGAGAATGCGTTATTCACGGATCTGCGAAGGTTTGCATGGTATGACTCGTCTGTCGTGGAGAAAAGCGAAGGCAGTCGTTTGCCCTTGCTGACGCCCTGTTGTACTGGATAGAATCCAGACTAAATGCGCCGGTTCAGTAGCTTCCAGAATACAGATAGGAAGGGGCCATACCTTGGTAAATCCCTTGTTCAGGCCATAGATGGTCTTCAACGCCTTAGGACTTGCAAACGAGAGGGAATTTGGTCCGAGTCTGACAACATCTCCATGCTTGCGATGCAATTTGAGGTGTGTGATGTCTGGTCGTCGGCCATATACGTCAAAAAACCTCCACCAATCCGTAAATCTAGCCAACACTGGTCCGGGATACTTGTTGAGGCCATGTTTGAAATAATTGCTGAGTAAATAGCCCACAACAACAACGGCCAGCGCTATGGGCCAGTTATTGACAATGGCCGGCACAATGGATTCGATCATGATCACACAGTGTAGCTGGACAAAGAGTCAAAATGCGGCTGAATCGCGAAGGAGGGCTCACGACAATGGTTTTCTACCTTGAACCGAAGGGAAATAGGATAAGTCGAGGCGATCTAGCGAGGTCATGTAAGTTCTTTCAGTGCCGTGGACGTCAAAACGGCACCCCCGAAACCGAGCCATGGTGCCGTCACACTGAGAACCAAGATCCGTCCATCTGATCTCAACAGCCCATAGCTGATACTGGAAAGAGTCAAGTGGCTAATTGAGCTTCGGCAGTTCTCTTTTGCACGAGGGGAGCCATGGAGCGGGGGCCGTACACCAAAAGTGTAGCACCTTCAAGACGCAAGGCCAGCGAATCGACAGTCCGCCAGAGGTCATGATCTATCAGGGTCCATCGACCAGCCCTGCCCAGAAGCAGCCATGAGAGGGTCACGGCACATGCTCCCAGTCAGACCTCCAGGACTTCGAAAGCCAGTAGAGGGTCCTGTGGCGAGCAAAAGAGGCAAGTCTGGGGTCCAAGTGGAAAGCTCGGCTCAGAGCGGCATTGAATGTGGGGTGTGGCGCGGCTCACTGAGTCTGAGATTCGGCGGGTGGAATCAGGAAAATGGACTTTCTCGAGGGCTTGGAATAGCAGCAAGCATCTGAAGACTGTGGTAAGCTGAGCAGCACAAGGAGAGTAGACAACGGAGCCTTGAGCTTGGGGAAATGACGGATCTGGCTGGCTGCCGCAGCCAACGTTCGGCAGATGATCTCGAGGTGCAACTGCCGACAGCGATCTCCGTCCTGCGCGACTCTCTCTCTCTGTGGACCAAGCTGACCGAACTCAGCAACTGCCTCTCTCAAATCAAAACATCCTGATGCCGAAATTGTCAACTGCCGACATGGAGCCGAGACGACTGAAAGCGGGATATTTTTGATCGTCGGGTCGCCGTCGATGAGGATTAGGATGAAGAGGGGGATACGAATGATACAGAGGGATACATACTACACCTCGCAAACATCACCAGGTAAAACGGTTCCCTGGTGATACGACATCAGAAGAGAATAGACACACTCATACGTCCTGCCTTCTCGTCACCTTGCGGCAGTTGTTCGGTCAGCAACTAGTCGGGAAATGAATCAGCCTGCTACCAGGTACAAGCTCAAGAGACGAGACTGTGGTGGCACAGAAATTACTTCTGACCAAGACACGATCACGATAAAGGATCAAGTGAAATCCCATTCTGGATGCAACGGCTTCTGGAGGAACAAGGAAGGATAATTCCTATCTTACACGAATTCCAAGCTAGCCAGATGGAATTGCTCGAGATGGTAGAACAAAATCCCTCCTTCTCCATTGGATCCGTCTGCTGCGCAAATGCCCTTTTTTGGTGTGATTCAGTGCCATTTGGTCAAACAAAATCCGATCTTTCTCCTTGCAAATGCTTTGCTCTCTGCCTCCGAAGTCGCCAGTACAGTAGTTTGACGCGATCGAGTCAACGAGTGTTGCCTTTTACATAGTACAAAAGTCGATGGGGGTTTTTCGTGTCGAAGAGAATGGTAGGTGGTGACCTTGGGCGTTTGTTGCTTTGGAGGATGGACGACAGCGACGACCGACTTTACTTTCCACCCAAACTGGGGAAAGCAGATTCGTCGTCGACAGCCACCGGTGGAGCATCGCCGCGGCCACCACGGCCACGTCCACGATACTCGCCACGATGGTCGCCACGATGGTCGCCACGATGGTCACCGCGATAGTCACCACGATCGCCGCGTCCTCGGCCACGTCCACCGCGGAACTCTCCACGGTCTCCTCCGCGTCCTCGCCCAGCTCCACGGCCACCGCGACCACGGGACTCACGTGGCTGCTCCTTGAAGCTGTAGTCAATGTCGAGGAACTCCTTCTTCTGTGCACGTTCGCGTTCACGCTTGCCCTTTTCTTCGCCCTTGAAATAGTCCTCATCATCGGCCTTAGTGAGTTCCTTCGCGGCAGTCCATTTCTTGTTCTCTTTCGCGCCTTCATTGGGTGCACGAGCCTGTTTGAGACCGAGTCCTTCGAGCCTCTTGGCAGCTTGCTCAGCCAAGTAGTCGGCATAAGACTTGTGGTGATCCTGAGGCTCTTCGGCCTCGCCCTCGGCCGCAGCCGGGTTAGCGTCTTGAACAGGCTCACCGCCTTCAGGAATAGTGGTTGGTTCGGCGTTTTCGTTCCACGCTGGGTTCTCGGCGCCAGCATCCCATCCCGCCTGCTTTTCTTCTTCCTTTGCCTGAGCTTCTCCCGCCTTTTCATCAGCCCATTCGGCGTTGCCAGTGTTTTCACCCCATCCATGTCCCTCTTGTTTTGGGTGGTTGCTTGTTTGGTCAGCCTGGGAAAATGAGGCATGCTCAAAGTGCACTTACGCTACGCCGGTGCGGCTGTGGCGATCACCTCCTCGACGAGGTCCACGTGGACCGCGACCATAACGTTGCACGCCAGGGCCTCGGTCACGGCCAGGACGGTTGCCATAGCCATCCTCACCACCACCTTCGGTAGGCTGGTCACGGTTGTAGTTCCTGCCTGTGGCTCTGTTGCGGAAAGCTTGTTGAACAGTCAGCATCATGTAGTTTTCCCTTTGATATTCCAATTGAAGAGTTGTGTATACCTGCTTCGTTGTCATTGAAGCCACCTCCAGGATGACCACCCCGACCGCGGGGAGCTACATTCGCACGTTCGGTCGGAGCAGCTGGGGCTTCCTTGGGCGCATCGCGTTTCCCAGAACGAGCGACTGGCTTGTCAATGGCCTTTGTAGGTGGATCAGGCTCGCGGTCAGAATCTTGATCCGAAGTATTTCCTGAATTATCAAAATCAACTGCGGTGAACCCAGTGGCGCAGGCGGAGAATCATACCCAACAGCTCGTAGAGGTTCTAGAGAGATTGCGGTCAGCGATTGAACGACGATAATGATGAGGAACTGGGCAGAGGGAGGTTCATGTTCGGCTGATGCTCACCTTGCTCTTGACGTCCGCCATGACGTTTTCCTCTCGAGCGCCTTCCGTGAAGGCTTCCTGTTAATGAAACTCCAACTTGAGGAGAAGGAGGGTGAGACGCTCGACCAAGACAACGTCCTCAACTACCACGTAGTAGGACCTTGTCGTGTCGAGATGAAGTTGGGTCTGATTGAGCGGTGTTGAAATTCAAGCCAGAACCTCGGACGCAGAGCGAAATCATCATGCGCAGATTTCGCAACAGGATCAATTGACACGCTAACCACATTTGGAGAAATCTTGGCATTTCTTAGGGCTAGGGCATGGAGCAAACTTGGTTGCTGGCTGCCGGCTGCCCATGGGGTACCTACTAGGTAGGTAACTACGAGAAGCAAAGTCGCAAAGAAAGCACTACAGTATGTTTATTTTCTTGTTCGTGCAATACGTGTCTACAAGAAAGTAGCAAAATTGCCATGGTCATGAATCTGCGTGTCGCTCGGAACAAAATCGAACATACACATAAACAACCCCGTCGCCTCAGCCTCGGCCCCCCGGCTGGCAGCCAATGCACCGTCGCTCAAATGCCCAGTTGTGTGAATACTCATGAATGAAGATACTCATGCTCAGATAGCAATGAGGAAATACTTTTCGTGGCTAAAATGCTCACATCTTCACCTCCTGGCTTGTGTGGGTGAATAGGTGTAAGGGTTGGGGAAATGCATGCTGGCTGTCAGACCGAAAGGGTCAGCATCCAGCATGGGGTCGTATGGATCGATGACCATGCTGCCGCCGCCGCCGCCTCCTCCACCGTCACTTGCGGCACTAGTGGTCGTCGGAGGTGAGGCTTGCATACCCATGGACATGCTCGCTGTCGTCGTGGTAGGAGGGAGGCGAAAGTTGGGAATGAAGCTATCGGTATCGACGTCGTCGCCGTCCATATCGTCCATGATATCGGCTTGCGCATCGTACTCCTGCTCTGTACTCACGGAATCAGTCTAGGACGAACAAAGCTCCACATGCGGAAAAGGGGGACAATGGAACGGGTCAGCTTGCCGAGTTGAGTGTAGTGTTTCTGGAAAGAGGCTGGATAGTAGCTCTCTGGTTCGGTTCGTGGAGGGTAAGCTTGCGGCATGCTCTGCCCAGACATGGGATGTCCTTGGTGCCTAGGCTGCGCAAGAAACGAGCTGCGATGCGGCGGAGGTAAGATTCGGCCCTGGAGCTGCTGTTGAGGTTGCTGAGTTGTTATCTCCATCGCGGGTGAGGTCATCCCACCTTGCAAAGCAAAACCGGGCGATCTTGCTGTGGAAGGCGAGGAGTGCTGTGAAGGAGGAGTGGGCTGTGCTGTGGGTGAGCCTGCGAAATTTCGCGTACCTCCGACATGGGGAGGAGGATTTACAGTCTGGATTGGGGGGGCCATCGAAGTTCGAGGTCTCGCTTGCTGTCTGCTGAGCATGGCCTTTTGCATTGGTGAAGCCTGCCCAGTGACGGGAGGCGCGCGATGTGGTCGAAGGGTGGGACTCCCTTTGAGCGCGAGTTCGGCTTGGACATCGATGCCTGGCAGGAAAGAGTTAAGGATTGGACCTCGGCGCGAAAGCGTAGAGCAGGATTTTACCTTTCTCAAGCAGAATCCGTTCCAATAACGAGTTTTTGTACCGTAGCATTAGACACTCGTCGGCCGCCGCGCGGTGACTCTGCTGGAGATTCTGGAGAGTCTCCTCATGGTGCTGAATGGTGGTTTCGAGTTGTTTGATGTACTCGGTCCTTCGTTCGCGGAAAGCCGCTTGCGCCTGGCGGTTACGTTGTTTGCGTTCCTCTGAGGTCGCATAAATCTGTGCCGTCAAGTGAGTCCAGTAGTCCAATCTATTACGGCAATGCTTCCCAAGGACTTACCGGCTTTCTACCTCCTTTGCGCTTCGGCGCAGGAGCAGGCTCTTTCGACGTGTGAGCCTCGTCGCCTCCTGCGTCATCCCCCGGCTCCGGGCTCGAGGCTGGCGAGGAAGAATATCGTTCACCACTCGACTCCCGTTTCGGCACCACAGAGTCGGGTAGCGTGACGTCGGTGTTTGCGACAGAGCCCATTCCTTCTCCACGCAACCGGGTCTAATGCAATGTGCCTGGCATAAGCGCCGATAAGAAGATCGATTGTCGAGATACGCGACCAGGGGCAAAACAACGATACGCGCGTGCCGCGTTAGGTGAGATGATATCCAACACGTAAAACAGAGAGATAGTTGACAGCAGGAAACAGAGATAAGAGATGAAGGTGCAATGAACAGCCTGGAGGTGAAACGGGGGTGAGGTAATCAAATGAGCTAACAGAATTTTTACGGGAGGAGGAGGAGCACGGGATGGAGTGGGAGGCAAAAGCAAGGCTTATGAAAAGTGGTTGCAAAAGCGATCCAAGAGTGGTGGCTCCGTCCCTGTTTTCCCGTGGGTCACGCCCTGGTCAACCCCAGCTCGACTAATCCAGGCCGTGATATGAGCTTCGGGCTGGGAACAAAAGAAAGAAAGCCGGGGGTGGCACATCCGAGAAGGCAGAGAGAATGCTCAAACAGGCAAGTTGGATGGAACGAGAAGGTGAGGAGAACCAGACGATCGTTGCGCCATCCACTTGCAAATGAGGCGGTCAAGTCTGGGCAGGTGGATGGTACGGAAAATATTCCAGCGCCGCGCCCTGGGTCCCTGTTGGGTGCGTGTCAAAGGCCGACAACGCAGGTCAAAGCATTTAGGCCATACTTCGTGCTTGAGGGGGCCTCCACGAGAGGGAAAAAAGTTTTCATTCTCGAAGGCCGGAGGAGGATGGAAACCACGCCATGAATCTTGGGGCGGGATTGGAGGGAAGGCGGACTTGCGCCACGTGGGAAAAAATTTTCTCGCCGCGGTTTCCATGTGCGGGAACCAATGATAGACGAGAGTGCCCGCAAACTGTGCCTTGAAGTAGCTTAGCGGCACGTACTAGCCGTCAAACAGGAAAAGTGAAACAAGGCTGATCCAACGTCAGGCGAGCGCCGGGCTGCGTCAGATGAGCCTAATTCAACCAACAGCAGCGCTGCTGGAGGGCCAGGCTAGCCTAATGAGCCCAGTGAGCCCAACCCTAGGCTTTCCGGGGTCCCTGCGCACCCACGCACCCTGCCCTAGCCTGCCCTAGGTGGCTTCCCCGCTCTTCAAGCGTCGTCTTTCTCCGTGGACTAAATCTGCGTCAATGGTGAGGGTAGATCCCTTGGTATGAACCCCGTGTTTGTTTGAGGACGAAGGTGAGGGTGTGGGAAAGGCAATGACGATTGTTCCAGCTCAAGCCTCAACCAGCATCATTTCCAGACCCTTTGCACAAGTCTCGACACTCCTACCTCCTCCTTGCGCCTCCCAGGGATCGGTTGTCCATTCACCGCCAACTGCACACATGACTTTGTGGGAGGGAACCGAGGAGACCAAACTTAAGCAGTTTCAGCAGGCGATCACCTGCACTATGCATGTTTTCTGTCACTTGGACTGCGAACCCGAAGCGCTCGGGAAGCTCGAGTGTGCCGCTTGTCCGCTGGTTCCTCCACAGCACCTACTCAGTTTAGTCTAACGAGGCAAGAGGTTGTGTTGGATTTGTGAATGTAGCCATGCGTTTGTGTGCTTGAGAAGAGACGAGAAAGTCCAATGCATCCTATTCGGTGAGTGCTTGTTGGATGTGCAACGTTCGGAATTCGGAAGCACCTTGGAGACTGGACTTACCACCACCTTCTTGTTTACGTTCCCGCACAGGCAGGTGCGGTACTCGTCGTTGTCTCCTGCATCATCCGAACAAGGTCCAAGTGCAAGTGCAAGTGCATGTGTTGGGTGCCTGTTCTCTCACAGTCTCCTCTCCTGTGAGGTTTCGTGGCTTGCTCTCTTGAAAAGCAGGAAGAGAGCCGCTGTAGCTCAACACCCATTTCTTTGTTTTACGAACCGAGACTGCTACTTGACAGATAATAGGAACCTCTTTAGCCACATGCCTAGCACATGACTGGATCAACCGCGCCCTGATGGAGGACTGAACGACTGAAGGTGAGTTGAGAGACGATTTCTCTTGCCTCGCGTCTTCTTGCAGGCCTCGCTCACAAAGACTCAGATCTCTCGAATACAAGTCCATCTGCCTAAACGAATGTCGACGGGTGATGGAAAGCTAGCCCGACTTCCGCTCGCTTCAATGGAGGCATCCACCCGCCCCAGACCTGCTCTCGCTCGGCATCGAGTCCATCAGCTTTCAAACATTCGAGAAGTTTCCGGATCTTCAAAGATGGCGACACATGGCCATTCGGTAACAGAGTGGAATGACGGCTGCATCGACAGACCCACTACCCCCGCCCGTCAATCCGACGCGCTCTCACATACTACATCATCCGAGTATCTTACACCAAGTGCATTTCGTTCTGACACCAAGAATCATACAACGGGCTTGGGAAGTCGTGCCGCAAGCGCAGTCAGCCTGCCCCATAGGCCCGTCCCCCAACGGACGTCGTCGGCCAGCATTCTGTCGCGGAGTCTGGGTGGTCCTGTTCAAGCGTCGATGCACGAATTTCCCACCTGGAAAGTCTCCGAGCTGGACGGTACAGAGACACTGGTCCGCGACAAAGTTCGAGCCGAGTCTCCGGTTCGACGATCAATAGGTCGTGCGGCTCAGTCATCTGAAGCCCTCCGCCCTGCCCTTGCACGCACCTTCATTCGCACCTCGCCGCCTCATGAAGTCCTAGACCATGGCAGCAGTCGTCACCCTCGAGTGGAGCTTTCGGTCAGCCTTCCCTCACCACTTTTTGTGGGAGGTGGTACTGTGGAAGGACAACTCACCATCCAAGTGGATGGCGGAGTAGTAAGAAAGCCAAAGACGAAGCCGATCTACATATCCAAAGCTTGCATCGATGTGATTGGTGTGGAAGAAATCAACGACGGCCGACGCTGGGTATTTCTGTCGCTTGCAACGGACTTGTTTGATAGAGAGAATCCTCCTCCACCCTCCCTGGTCACGTCGCAGGACCCGGAACCTGGCGCAGATCTGTGGTGGGAGATGAGGTCCGCGACGTCGGTTGTTCCGTTCTGCGTTAACCTGCCTCTGAGGCTAGGTCCTCCTCCGTACTTTTCCAGACAAGCTTCTATTCGGTACCTGCTGTGTCCTTCAATCGTGGTCAAGACCGGAGACAAAAGAACTGTGATCAGACAGACATAGAATGTTCAGATGCTCACCGTTCACGACCCAGAGAAAGCACTGGCCAGTCTAGCGAGTCCCCTCCTGGCCGCGGATACACTGTACCTGGCGAGAGAGCCTGATATTCAAACAGTGAAGCTGACCGCTGGCCTCCATCGCCAGACCTGGGTCAACGGGTCGTTGATCTTTATCGATGTCCACATTGCAAACAACACGGCAAAGTCGGTCAAGAAAATCGAGGTTCAGCTGGAGAAGACGACGCTCTGGTACACACACGCTCCAGCTGGCACTGCAGAGAAGAGCGCAAACTATCTCCGTCTGCCCAAACGAACAGACGCCGAGGTGGTGAGCGGAACCACACTGAAGAAATCAAGCACTTGGAAGGGAGTGCCGTCTCATTCTTCAGATGTTCGCACAGTTGAGCTGGAAGCACCTCGCGGACACGTTACCATCAGCACCGGGAGGTATTTCGAAGTTCGATATTTTGTCAACGTCGTTGTGACGGTAAAAATGTTCAAGACAGTGGCGGTCCAGCTCCCTGTAACCATCATTCCGATCAACTCATTGGATATCCTACCAAACTCGCTCGCTCAGGTGGCCGCTTCCATCGAAGCCAAGAGGTCCAAAACAGTACCAGCACCGCCTTCTGGTCCTAGTCATTCAGCCCATTACCCAGGGCAAGCATTTACAGCTCCCCTCCAACGGTCCGCCGAGCGTATGAGACAGGAGAGGCTAATGGCCCAGGATGACTTAGACAGCCTAGCAAATGACATTGACAGGTCTCCTCGACGGTTAGCGCATGTCCACACGCATTGCAGGGGAGGTCTCTTCGGTACGACTACAGACGAGAATGTCGCTCCCGGACGCCCAAGTATGGCGTCATCGTCACACCACCATCTTCAGAGGCATCCGAGCTGTTACCACTGCCACATCATGCCTGATAACTGTTCTCCTCCAAAGCCATCGGGTCCCCGCTTGCCTCGGCTCCAGGTTTCGACATCTGGATTAGGATTTTCAGAATCCGAGTTCGAGATACCTCCTGATTCGCCACCTCGAAAGGTCATGTTAAGTGAGCATGAACGAAACATGATCAATCGGCAGAGAGAGCTCCAAAATCGACAACAACGGAGCCAGTGGCCCCAGAAGAGACCGAGTGGGGAGAACAAACGAGGCGACGGCCTACGCATGTCAAAAGATCAGCCTAGCTACACCAACGTTGTGGCGGATCCAACTGCTGGTCCAAAGCAAGACGCTTTTGGAAATCTCAGTCCCGGCATCGGGAAGAGGGGCAATGTCTCGGCATTTCCGAGACCAATGCTCTCCAAGGAATCTGCTATCACCAGATCAAGGTCCAAGACGAACCCTGAGGGACCGAGGTATCGGCGTAGCATCAGCAAGCCTCGACGAAGATCGAGCGCAGATAGGCACGACCATGTTCGAGCGACGGTTGACGGAGCAGCCTTTCCGGCTGTGCCTCGCAGATTTAGCAAGGACTTGGTGCAAAGAGGAAGCTTGGATCGATTGTTGTAAGTTTGCAAGGATAATTGATGGGTTGTTTCGGTGGAACGTGAGCTTTTAGTATCGCTCGATGGCAAGAGTGATTGCATTGGCCTCGAAGCAGGGTATAGGGAGTTATGATATGACACAAAGCATCAGTCAACAGCTGGTAAAAGGTACAGTAGACTCATAGTAATATGACGGCCTCGCAGCCTTACGAATGGATTCGGTACGTATGATTGGCCAGTCTATGGCCGAGGTTGGTTTTCGGGCCATGGCTCAGCCTCGTCAACTTCCCCATCTTCGAGCGAGTCAGCGTCTTTCGTGTCATGTTGCTTGTATTGCACCAGTTCCTGGTAAGTCACTGAGCTTCATGTCGTTGAGGATATCCTCGGCACTGTCCGATCCTTGAGTGAACAGTGTTATACACGCCAGCCCACATCTATCTAGTAACTTAAGACCACCGTCAAGAGAATTCTGTTCCCATCGAAACGAAGTCCACGTAACACTCCGCCAACCAGAAGGAGAGTTATCTGCACGAAAGGGCTGTCAAGGGGAAGACATTATAGATATTAACTTTTGAGAGAAGAAAAGGCACGAGGAAAGACGACACAAAAGCGAAAAGTCCTCACCTGTTTTGTTTATTCAGTCCGGAAGCGACAACGCTCACCAGGCGTTCTCACTTTTATTGAATTCATTCCCCTTTTTTTCCTCTCTCTCTTTCACCCTCCTTTCTCAAAGGGAAAGGGGAACTGAGCGTCTGAGGCCTCGAGCTCGAAGCGAGAGAAGGAAAAAGAAAGAAGAGGGACCCAGGGAGTCCACAGAAAGAGTTACTTTGGGGCCGTGGGATTTCCCCTCTCGACTTTTCTCTTGTTTGTGTGTGTTCGAAGGTCCTCGGCAAAGATTATCAAAAGGGCAGGAGAAAGGCTGGGGGGCTTTGCATTGCAAAAGAAATGGCGGCCATCAAGGATTTTGATAGCCTGTTCAGGCTGGATGGGAAAATTGCCGTCGTCACTGGTGGTACGTTCCCAAAAAAACTCTTTTCTTCCTTTGAAACACAGTCTCCGTCTTTGTCGATTGCGATATGCGTGTCCCAACTCCAAAACAAGGGCTTTGAATGGACTTTTGGGGGGGATGGGTAGAGACAGGAAAGACAAGAGGGTTTTCATCGATCACCGTCACGGTCTCGTCTACTCCCTTTTCTCTATGCCCCTTCTCTTCCTCCAAAAAAGGAGCAAAAAAGGCCCAAGAAAAAAAGAAATTTGAGCTCAAACCAACAAAAAATGAATGCTTTCTTGATCTCACCACTCACACACAATGTCCTCCCTCTCTGAACAGGCTCCCGCGGCATCGGCCTCTACTGCGCCACCGCCTTCCTCCAAGCCGGCTGCTCCAAGGTGATCATCACGGCGCGCAACGCCTCCAACCTCGCCCAGGCCGTGGACCAACTCAACGCCCTGCCCAACATCCGCGGGAAGGCCGTCAGCATTCCGGCCAACGTCGGCCACACGGACGAGATCGAACGTTTTGTCCGCGACGTACAGGCCGAGATTGAGAAGGATGAGAAACCCGGCAGGGGGTTGGATATTTTGGTCGCCAACGCCGCGGCGAGTTGGGGGGGACCGTTCGAGACGTTTGAGGATTGGAAGAGCGAAAAGACGTTGGATTTGAATGTTAGGGGGGTTTTCAATTTGTGCAGGCTGTGCGTATTACCCACCCTGTCTCTCCCTCTTTCTGTTTTTCTGTGTGCTGCTGATCAACTGGCGCTGTTCCTTCACTCTGTTGATTTTCCGTGCCCTCTTGATCTTGCGTCATACCACCATCTTGTGACCACGACGTGTGGATGACTTTATCGAGAAATGGACATGGGGCTGATAATGTGAGCAACAGCATGGTCCCCCTCCTCTCCAGCGCCGCCACCCCGTCCTCCCCCTCCCGAATCCTCATCACCTCCTCCGTCGGCGGCATCATCGTGCCCCACGTCGGCGCCCGCGGCGCGATCATGTACTCGGTCTCCAAAGCCGCCGCGCACCACCTAGGCCGCAACCTCGCCTTGGAACTCGTGCCCAAAAACATCACCACAAACATCATCTCCCCCGGGTTTTTCCCCTCGCGGCTCGCGAACCCCCAGATTGACTACCTGGGCGGCGAGGACGTGGTGGGCGCGCAGAATCCCATGGGCAGACTGGGTAGGGCCGAGGATATTGCGGGGTTGGTGGTGTATTTGTGTTCTCGGGCGGGGAGTTATGTTAACGGGGAGGATATTTCGCTGGATGGAGGCGCGAGGTTGAGGGTCGGCACGCATCCGGGGAGTTTGGACAGGAGGAGTAAGCTGTGAGTGAATATGGGATGGAAGAAGATATAGAGAAAAGGTGGGCGGAGAAGGGGGAGAGAGAGAGTAGATAAAGGGAGGGAGGAAGGATGAGGCTGCGTACTGGATTAGGTGGCTAATTAAACAAAGTAGAGACATTCCCCGTTTGTCTTCTTGATTTCATTGCTGGATTGTAGTAGGCCTGACCTCCAGGTTAGCATGGCAAGGCCAAGCAAGGACGTCCAGCTCCTTGATAGATTTCTTTCTTCGCGTTCCGTCCATCCCATGAAGCTCGACCACTGGGTTTGCAAATACAGTCACATAAACTCTTCCCCTTCTTCTTCTTCCTCCCGGCTTAATCGACTAGCTATCGGCCTCCCAAAATCCGACAGGCTCCTTCACCAGCACCAGACTCGCTCCGATCCCCTCACTATCCAGCGCCATCTCGTCAACCTCATCCTCGCCCTTCGCCTCTCCGAAAAGCCTCACCTCTCTAATCCCCACCCCTCTCTCTTTCAACCACGCTTCATCCTCTTGATCCCTCGGCGCCCGAATCACCACCCCGACCCTCCCCTTCAGGCGCTTCATAGCCTCCTCATCGGGATTCGGCGTACTCAACAAAAAGCTCACGCTCGTGGTCGGTCTGTACCGGTACCCGCCCTGGACTTTGGGTTTCACGCCCAGAGCCGAGGTGTATAGGCGTATGTAACTGTCAATCTTCTCCTCGGGGACCAATACCTCGACGGAAACGATCCCTCGCGCGCCACAGGGGTGCGTCTCGGAGATGTCTGTCTCGGTGTACGGCACTCTCAGGTTCCGATCCGTCACGTCGTGGCAGAAGAACGGCGTGTCGAGTCGTCCCGTTGGGAAGTATGTTTCGAGCGGCTGAGGTACATTCTCTGCGGAGTTGTCCAGGAGCGGTTTCGTGACGTGCCATTGGACGTCTTGGCCGTCTTTTCGCTTGCGACCGCCGGCGAGCGGAGGTCTGAAACGTACTCCTAGCCCACCGTCACCCGCGCCGGCACTACCTTCTGAGAGCTCCTCCGTTGACGAGGATTGAGATTCGGAAGGAGGCTGCGGTTTCGATTCTAAGCGCCTCGTAACTTCGTCAAAAGTGTCGTGTGCAGAGGACGGGGTTGTAAGTGCAAAGTCAATTAGTCCCGGTGATTTTGACGCCCAGTCAAAGAACTCTTTGGGTTCGGTAATCCAGTTTATTAGCTCGATGTAAGTGCCATCAGGGAAGATGATGAGTTTGTTCCGTGAGGAGCCACCTTGACGCAAGTAATGTTAGATGCCATTTGAATCGCAAAAGAACGGGACGACGAGCAAATTAAAGACGAGGCGACACTCTTGGTGTGAGGATTCGCCGGTCTTTAGCTCTCAAATCCCTCTTTCTCTGGTTGACAAACATACCGGCGTGGGTCCCGCCCTCAATGATGGTGAAGTTGTCACTCAACCACGGCGGCGGGTTCTCAAAGTCCGGCGTATCAAGGAGCAGAATCACATGGTCGAAGCTATAAGGCGAAATGGTTTCGCCCGCCATGTTGCCGGCACCAGTGGAGGCGAGATATGACCCAAGAGGCAATGAATAGGGAGCCTATCAATATGTAAATCTTTCTCTCGCGGGCCGAACAGAAGTTCTTCGTCGCCTGAAAACTAGGTCTCGGGATAATATTCGCAGAGCAGGGGGGAACAGGAGAATCTAAATTTCGTTAATGAATGTATCCGAAGATGAATGGATGTTCACAAACCTACTGGATCCGAATCGTTGGGTGATCGACAGAGGACCCAGCTGAGAGCCGATCAGGGCAAGTTCAGCACGTGTTGCAGATCCCGGACTTCATTATCCGACTTACTTCAGGGCAAGATCCCTTGAAAGAACACGCTGTAGATGAGATTCACCGGCGACGTAGAGGAACAGGATGAGTCATGATTTACTCTTGTCCACCAGTTGTCGACTGATGTAAAGAGAGACTCGGATACGAGGATACGGAGTGGGCAAACGTGACAAACATGCCAAACGGGCCAAATTTTCTAGATATGTTTGACATGTTTGCAGACAAGGCTGGTGTCATGCATCAGGCAGAAGATACTCGTTACAACTGAAACGTCGACATATGTACCTAGGTACTCTGTAGTGAGAGGGAAGAGCATGCCAGCAGCAATACGACGTATACCATGACATTCACTTTTGCATTTGCACAAGGCCGCCCATAGTGGACTACTGTGATGGGGGATAGAGCCTGGTCGGAGTAGACAAGATACCCGTCCCTCAACCGAGTGGTTTGGCTCTACCCTTGACAAGTTGAGGAGGTTCTCGACTTGCATCTTGGTGTTTGGTGTCTTCACCCTCCTTCCTCCAACATCCTTGCCGCTTACCGCAATAAAGCCCAAATGCCGCGTTCGGCGGATTGCAGAGCATCCAACGCACTGCAACGGCTTGCTTCGCCATCATCATGCATGCATGCTTGCAGATCAGATACCTCGATGTCGAAATCCGACTCTGCCCTCGTCCCTCTATTGGTCCGAATCAATCGATCTCGCCTTCTACCTCATAACCCCCAGATATTGGTCATATTGTACAATAGTAGTTCGTGGACTCCATCAAACACCATCGCGAAAAGAGAAGCAATGTGGTCGCATATAACGCAGCTTTCTATCCATTTCCTACTCTTTGGTTGCCACTGACTGCTGTTTATTCTGCAGCTTGACGTCCGTGGTCGTGGGAGGTGCATCGTCAGATTTGTTCGTTACATTGGAGAGACTGATCGCGATTTTGCGAGGTTTTCGGCCGTCGGTGTGATTCCCAGTCTCCGCGGTATTTGTCGATATGGGGGGGCTCTCACCGCCTGCCTGCTTCGATCGCAGAAAGCCCTTTTTCCGACGTAAGCCGCCTTGGGAGGAAAAGCTAGAAGTGCTGGATGATGAATTTCTGCGTTTCGGACCGCTAGAAAGCTTGCCGAGCTCGTCGTCTTCATCATCTTCTTGCCGTCGTCGTTTCTCCGTCATTCTTTCGGGCGCTTGCTGCAATTCGCTTTCGGCGACTGACTTGATCTCCGGTGATGGCTGCAACTTCTTTTCGGGTGTTGCTCTTGGTTCGGGGGAAGAGACATCCTTAGTGCTGTCCGGGGTGAGTGGAGTATTGGGGGTTGCATCAGCTTTGGCATCCATCGCTTCGTCCTCGTCATCGTCAGGATAATCTACAAGCGGCTTGCTGATCGGACTGGCGCTCCCGTTCATCATTTCAGCCTTTATCCGTCTTCGGTGCCACTGGTTCACCCTTTCAGACACGTCCTTTATATTGTCACGGTCAGAATCTTCATCTGCTTCATCCTCTTCGTCATCGGAGGCGTTGAAATAGTCCTCTTCGCTTGCATCCATTTCCGGCAAACCCTGCCACCGACCATTGATATGTGTCCGACTCATAGGCGGCGTTGCATCGTCCTGGCTGAACAAGGTGTGTTCGGGTTCCGGGTGCTCGGTCGTCAACTGCTCAAACCTCAGAATAAGATTCTCAAATGTGTCGACGTAGGTGATATCCTGGATCTTTTCACGGTAATGCTCCCCAAGGTGGATAATGATCGGCTTTATTGTCTCCTTTCGGATAAACTCGAACAGTTCTAGACACGCTGAATTGAGGAGGTTATCGCGCGGCATGGTGTCAATGACAATTCCCAGAATGGAGTCGAAAGCCCCGCTTTTGATGACCTGCGCGGCATAGAACTGATCTTGCAATGAGATTGCTGTCCTGAAAAATTTCAAAGCAGTCAGTTTCAGCGGCTTCTGGGGAACTTGCAAGAGTTGGGCAACTCTTGGTGCTAGGTTCTCAGACAGGACGAAGGGTCGGCTTCTCATGGAATGTTGGCGGACAAAGAATGTCAATATCTCGACCAAATACGAGAACAACGACACCTCTTGATAGCTGAAGCTCTGCATCGATTCCCTAGATTCGAGGTCCTTCAGCGGTTGGAACAACTTTCGACATGATCGGTCAAAGTTGTCCTGTGCAAATTGCTCATTCGCCTGCTGAGTTGGGGTCATCTGCGGCCTTGAGAGTTTCGTCATGAATTCGGAGTTTTGTCGGTTGCCCATAGGGTCATTGGAAGGCGGTTGCGGATCAAGTAAGATCTTGATAGCGTCTGCCAGCTGGTTTTTCACGCCCAAATCAGTCTCGGCATGCAGCAAGTCGATCAGCGTGTCCGTCAATGGAACCTTCCTTTCGGATACAGCCTTGAGCATGTAGCCTCGCATCATATTAGGGTCATGGTCAAGTAGTGCCACAAGGATGTCAATGCCAGTCGTTCTCATTGACGGCTCTGGATGCTTTACCGCAAAAGTAATGACCGAGAAGAGACCGTGTGCGATGAAGTTGTTCAGGAGGCTCGCTCTCGACTGCATCTGGAGCGTCTTCGCAATCGCCGCACATTGCTGCAAGAAGTGCACGGCCTGTTCCTTCCGCTTGATATCCGTATTGTCGTTGCTGAAGATGGCAAAGAGTTCCTTCAGAAAGGCAGTGTTGCCCTGGAGATGTTGTACAATGTCGACCTGATTAAAGAATATGAGGGAATTCAAGACGCCAAAGGTGGGGTCGTCCAGGATGCGCGCCAGCACCACGTCCTTCAGATACTGCAGCCGCCAAGTCTGTCGGATTTTCCGTTTGATATTTTGGTCTTTGATCTCCACCACCTCTTTATATCTCGATTCATCCGATAAATACTGTCTATGGTTGGCTTTGTGCGTGGGAAAGTCCGGATCATACTCGAGTGCCCCGACGACGCCAATGATGATGTCGTCCGTGACCAAGTGCTCAATGATGGTATTATCGTTCATCAGAATCAGGGCCTTCATAATATTGCACAGCCGATGTAGATCCGGTAGACTCTCCAGGTCCTCTGCCATTTCAACCAGTGGTATCAATTTGAGAAGATATTCTTCACGGATCAAAAACTTGGCCAGAGCTTCGCGCCCACCCTGGGTTATGCTCGCATGTCGGATACTTTGCTCGATCTCGTCCAGATTATTCAACTCGGGGGGATTGAGGGTGAAAGAGCTTGTGATATTTTCGAGAGCATCGTCCGAGAGGCCATCATCTGTAATATCAACTCAGCCTACGGACTCGGCAAAGTCGCGTGAGATGCTTACCGGGAAGGGACAACAACTGCTGCTGGACTTGGTGCACGAAATCCCTGGAGCATCATTAGACCATCGCGCAAGCCAAAATGAGCGGTGCCCGTACCATATCACTGCACAGCCTTCGGCCTCCTGGAAACTGAGGGCCATGTCAGTGCCATTGGTCTCGGTCCACACAATGAGTGTTTCTAGAGGCGCGTCAGCCATCCCCCAAATCCTCAGACTTTGTTTTCGAATGGTGTACCTTGTTGCTTCTGATATCCATCGTCTTTGACAATACGGGTTTCTAAGAGCATGCGATCGGGCTGGTCTTCGGACTCGACGTAGATCCGCGGTTCATCCTGTGGACCCCATACGTTAGCGCGCGTGCTCTTTTTCTCGTCGCCGACGCTGCGGCTCCAGAATCTACGAGGCAACAGAGGCTTTGGAGGCATACATTGATGACTTGGCCGGTGCAAAAGCCAGTCCCTCTGTCGAACCAGTCATTGTCGCGCAGCTCATAAACTTTTACTCGCTTCTTGTCGTTGGCAAGCGGCGCCTGCATTGCCATGACTGAAGGAGAGAGAACAACGAATGAACATCAGCAGGCAGCGACCCTGTTATCAACTGCCGACTTTGTGTTTGATGGGTGGCGAGATGCGCAAAATTGAGGGAGTTTCGGGCGCAGGTGATACAAGAACAGGTGGCGCGGGGTGGATTTGCGGTCGAGGCAAAGGTTGCGGCCGATAGGATGAGACAAGCGCGCAAAGCTCCAGGCCGCGCTCAAACGATCGGATCGATGGGAGCGATGGGATGGATAAGGGCGTCTATTGCTGTGAGCCGAGAAGAGGTGATGTTGAGAAAGGTGAGATGGAATGGGTAGGGGATGACGTGCATCAACGAGTTGGGATGCCTTGTCTGGTGTCGCGATAATTTTGTGACGAGAGAGAATGGAAGTCCGTGAGGGAGCGAAGCCAGAGCCTGGGCCCGGGGCCTTGCGGCAGGCGAGCAGGGCTCTTTTGGACTGCGCAGATGCGGCTGGTGGAGCGACGGCTTGCCGAGACTGACAGCTGCCCACCGGGAAGTTTACGTGGACTAGCGTAATGGTGTGGGAAGACAGTGCGAGAGATCCACGCCGGGCGTGAGTGAGCTGATTAGGGAAATCCGAGTCAGCTAGTCGTCTCGATGGAATGCCTCTGGTGATGCTCTTGGCTCCCTTTAATTAGATTGTTTGGTTCAGTATTGAAGGACAGCGTATTGATGCAGCATAGATCGTGAGGTAAAGGCAGGGAAAGGCTAGAAAGATGGAGGCGGGAGGCGTGGGTAAATGCAGGAGGGAACATGGCGAAATGCCAGGAACCCGAAGCTGGCCTTGATCGTGGGCGACGGGTGCTTGATGGGCATCCCTGGGCATCGACAGGCGCCCCCCTGTAGCCCCCCGGATGTGATTCGATTGGGTCCATCTTGCAGCCTCGGGCCCCCTTCGGTCCATGTGACATCATGCTCGGGCGCCCCAACCAGGGTCAGCTAGGGCCCATATTTAGCTGCCACGCCATTATTCTTAGAAGCGGTCGCGGTTGGTGGTACATCTATATCAGTGACGTGGGAACCAACCCGCAACCACCGTCTCCCTCCCCACCTGCAGCTTGCTGCTCCCATACCAAAATTATTACGGGCTTCAAAATGTCAATTCTACAGATCCAAGAGCTTTTCGAAGTCTCTTGCGCATCCGCTTCAGAGGGCTAATATATCGCTACAGCTCTCTCCCACCACCTGTCACCGATCCACCACCCGACCGTTCGCGAACCTTTCTGATTCCACGTCCACCACCCTTCATCCTTTCCGCCTGGTCCAAACCCTATCCCACGGAAGAGACTGATCGGGACGGGCTCGAAAAGCCAAAGTCCAGAGTTTGCAAAGTCGTTGGCTAATAATGGCCCTGTGGAGTAAAGATACAATACCACAACCAGCGCGTTCACTGTCTGGCCTACGGCCGACGGGAGATTCTTGACCCCGGAAGCGTGTCTGTGCAAGGATTTGACTATGAAAGATTGTAGGAGAATGCCAATCCCTTGTAGGAAAAAGAACAACAAGGGGCCGGAAAACGGACGAGAGCCATTGAGGGAAAATGTGGTGTAGCTAGCACTCGCGTGGATTGATCCTGACAACGTGAAAGCGACCAGAAGCTGAACGATTCGAGCTGCCTCGCCACGAACATCCATGTTCAATCTCTCAATCAAGACTCTGGATGGTTCGGAGATGCCAAAACGAAACATCTGGTGCCAGCATCTGCCCCATAATCCTGCTAAGCCAGAGTACAGGACCGAGGTCGACAATGATTGCCAATAAGCCGGATACATCCATGGTTCCAAAAGAGGCGCTTTCGTGATCTTTGTGACATCGACAAGCGCGGGAAGGATGCTGGCGAAGAATAACGGACTCAGGCTGAAGATTAACGTCAATGCAGACACCACTCCAGACATCGAAATCCCAAGCCGAACAAAGCGTGTGGCGAACGGAACAGTATTGTTGATGTGAGCAAGCCATTGCCAGGGTGTAGGTGACTCCAATGATGCTACGCCCAGAAAGTACGGGTCTGTGATCATGACTGTCTTGACGAAATCAAGAACGAGATAGCTGAGGATAAAGCCTCGTAATGCTTTCAATTGAGGAGACCACGGGTATTGCGAAGTAGACGAAGATGCCCGGCTTTGGTCATTGCTGACCACCGCGGCAGAATCGGGTTGGAATGTCTCTCGCGGTGTTGATGGGTCAATTGGCCCTACTGTTGAGATTCGATGTCCCCAGCCCACTGCTCGAAAACTCGTCATAAGGTCGAGCGTCCAGTCAAGGACATGGATCTTGTCCGAGTTGTAAGGAAATCCCTGCCATACCAGCTCGTATGCTTCTCGATAAGGTCTCTCAGGGCGAGGGAAGATTTGCTCCGTGTTGGAAAATGGATACGCAGTGGCCACCCTCTGGTTCGTCGTGTCAACGTCTTGACATGTTGCTAGGAGCTTGTCGGGCTCAGAATCTGCACTCTCTGTCTTGACTGCTCTTCTTTCAAGCCTTCTGAAATCTCGCCCCACGTCGTTGCACAAGAGAAGAGCGCCAGACATGATGACGCCCCAAGCGCCCGACAAACCAATACCGTAGCCAGCAGCAAACCAGAGCGTCCTGCGATAGCATGCCACATAGACCCCATGGAAGAGAACCGAAACGAAAGCGATATATCGGACCGCTCTGGCCAGCTTAGGGCGAAGCTTGGGAGTGATTGCGAGAGCGAGGAGTAGATATAAGGCTGGTAGCGAGTCCCATGGATATAGAAAGGGAATGTACTCGTTTGTCGCTATGGCCAGGTCATATTGACGCTGACGCTTTGCTAGCGTTGCACGGTAGAGTGAAACATGTTCGTTGGTCATTGCTGGCCCTGACAAGGAGTACGGTGGTGAGAGACAAATGATAGAACTCGAGAAGAGCGGCAGAAGGCCAGTTCAGTGTCTCTAGTCATGACGTCTTGGAGGGCGATTGATCTAACCATCCGCAAGGAGCTGTACGGCTGCATCGAGCAGGATGTGTACGGAGAATGTAGGCTACTGTCCTTTAGACCCATCATAGCCTGGGCTGTCAGCTATCCCGTGAAGTCACTCTGGAGAGCTCCGTCAAAGTATCCCAGTCTCTTAATAGCTGCACCATGGCTATCGTCCAAATTGGGTTTGGTCTTGGGATTCTGGAGAAACATCAAGACTATTTCAGTCACTTACAACCTTTGGTTTTTCACGTAGAACCAAACAGGCTTCTTATATGTCCCAGGTACATGCTCTTGGGCGATAGTGTACTCAATTGTAAGTACAGCGCGTCGTCTCTCCGCTATGAATCCCATTGAGGGGTTACCCTCTTCGTGCTACTATGTTCCCAGTTTCATTACTCTGTCCGAGGAGCAGCAGATCCTTGACAACATCCACAAACTTCCCGAGTCCAAGTGGACTGTTCTCACCCACCGGCGTCTGTTGTCCCTGCCCTCGACCTTGACCGGTTCTGCGCGTGACACCCTCCTCGCAGCCCCCATGCCAGCCTACCTCGATGCGATTGTCACCCGTCTTCAACAAGGCGGATATTTTGAGAATTCCACGCACAAGGCTCCCAATCATGTCCTGATCAATGAATACAAGCCAGGAGAAGGAATCATGCCTCATGAAGATGGTCCTGCGTACGACCCAATCACGGCGACAGTGAGCTTGGGTGGTCACACTGTACTCGAGATCTACAAGAAGAACGAAGCTGGCGAACGAGAAGCGAAGCCCACTTGGCGAATTTTGCAAGAACCCCGGAGTCTGCTGGTGACCACGGGCGAAATGTATATCAACACACTACATGGTATTTCAGAGACTCGGACGGATGAGAATCTTAACGGCCAACAAATTGTCAACTGGAATCTCCTCGGTGACCAACAACCCTACGAGATAGGACACGCTGAACGGCAAACACGCATTAGTCTTACCTTACGTGACGTGATCAAGGTTGCCAAACTGGGAGGTGCCCTGAAGTTCATGAACAAAAGGCCGTAGCGCTATCTCTCCTATTTCTGGCTCTTTGAGAGAATCTCTCCCCGTGGTGCTGGCATCATGGCTCCTTCGGGGGGCTGGTGTTTACTTTTAAAATGGTCCACCATCTCCGCCATTGTCACCCATTCGACGCCTTCGTGTTTGTTGATGTGCTCGATCAGTCTTTCATGCATGAGCAACACATGCGGTCTGCCTGATACATCTGGATGGATTGTCATGGGGAAATAGAATACCTCTTTCTCTTCTCTGTAAAAATAGTCGAAATGATCCTGGCAGCACTCAGAATTACGGATTCAGACGGAGGACGGTTGCTACTTACCCGCCACAAATCTTCAACGTCTCTCGGATTTACCCAGCCATGGCTGTTTGGCACCTTTTTCTGCACAAATCTATCAGCTTGTCTGACGCGGAGTCATGCCTCCATCGACTCCCGGAACTTACCATGAACATCATCGGCGGCAAGTCATCCAGATACCAGTTTGCTGGAATTTCCACAAGGCCAGTTTCCTGGCCTTTGGTAAAAGGCTTCATCCATTCTTTGGCAGGTTTCCCAAAGTCGATCTTTGTCCAATTGTCTCCTGTCCGGAGATAGTATGCCTGACAGTCATGGTGACTCATGCTGTGGTCATACTCAATGCCGTACTGAAGCAATAATTCTGTCGCTTCTCTGCTGACCTCCCACCATGGGGCCACGATTCCTCGAGGCGTCTTTCCATGACAGAAATCTGTGAGCATTCGATACGTATAGTCAAGCACATCGCGTTGCTGTTCGAATGTCATATCAACGGGGTTCTCATGGCTGTATCCGTGCAATCCTATCTCATGGCCAGCGTCGCGGATCATAGCACATTCTTCCGGGAACGTTCTGTTTACGAGGCGAAATCAGCTTGCAAAGCAGTTGAAGCATCAACCTACTCTTGGACAGTCAATTCCACGGATGAGCAGACACTTACTCTAAGCTATGACCAGGAATAAACCAAGATGCCTTGATGTTGTATTTCTCAAACAGCTTCAACAGCCTTTTCACACCTTCTGTGCCGGCAAAGTAACCTGCTCAAACAGAACATGATGGGATTTCTCTCAGCTCTCTGCAGTATGCTGTCTCTCGCACCATTGGTTGAAGGTTGACTCTGGGGCTTGCCAGCCAACGATGTCTGGTCTCGACGTACCTCGAGAGATGTCACTAGTCGAGTCTTCGCCCTTGTACGAGCCCAGCCATCCTGCTATAGCGTCTATGTCGACGCCATAGGACACTAGGATTCGTCTCTTCGGCTTCGAAGTGTCCTCAGACATGATGGTAATTGATTCCACAAATCTCCCCTGTCGTTGGCAACAATGTCGTGGATTACCCAAAGTCTATACAAGCAATGCACAAGAAGACTGGTCAGAGCAAGAGAACTTCACTCGCCAAAAGAGGACGGGTAGACGACCGATAAGGCCATATCTTCTCCGTGCCTGGAGATGTCCGCCATGTTCGTTTCCATGACGTTTAGAGAATGTCCGAAGATCTCCTGCGGTTTATCCACTACTGTAGCTGCGACGAAAGATGCGGAGAGGCATGATCCACAATCACTGGGGTATCAGTCCACAGCACTCTTATCTCATTGCCGACATCGACAGCCTTGGTAAACAATGTCTCTTTTAACCAGCTGCTTGAATTTTGACACAAGTCAAGTCAGGAGGGCAGAAGCCAGGCGAATCGCTATCCAAGCCAAGATTAACAAGATCTTTTGACCATGTAACACGTGCCCCAGAAGGAAGACAATTGGCGCTCCATCATCAGGGGGCATGCATCTGGTGGATCTCGCATGGCCTACGCTTCTGTCGTCCTCATGGGACAGCTGTTGCGAACCACCAACAACTCCTCTGCCTTGGGCAAAATGTTATGGTGAACGGCGAATTCTTTACATGCCCAACTAACACCACCCTCGCCCTGACTCGTTACAATCAGCTGTCTCAAAGCCAATGGATGGAACCAACGGCGTGGTCGATGAAGGCTTCAGTATTTTCCTCTGCCCAATCGTCCTGCCCCTCGTCTACCTCAATAACGAACCTTCCCGGCCAACTATCGTCCGCACCGTCGCCTCATTCCTAACTATCAATGTCGGAATCTGAGGAAATCAAATTGGACCAACACTGTCGATATGTTTTGATTGACTGTGGCCGGGCTGATTAAGAGTGGTTGTCCTGACAGTCAGGCGCATACATTCAACGCGAGGTTTGGGAGGGATTCAATCGCAGATGTAGCAACGGCCATCTTTCGTTTTATCCCTTCCTCTCTGGTAAGGCCTTCACTGACCAGGTAATACTGATGTGCCTACGGTGATCTCCTCCATATGTTGGGCGATACGGCTGTCTGATATCGAAAGTTGATTGACCATTTGGCGGCGTCGTTCATTCTCGGTCTGCTCTTCCCCCTCGTCGGGATCTACCTATCTGGTGGCGGGTATTGGATGACTGAATGCTTCAACGAGAGATGACGGTCTCGACCTTCTGGCACTGTGTTGATCCATATGGTCGAGAAACCATACGAGGGCACATGCGCAGGAAGGGTCCAGAATAAGTTTTCATCGTGTGAGAGTGCCAGTTATCTACATATAATGTATTATATCCTTGTGCAAGGTCTCCCACTTGATCCACTTCTCCGCTTGGAGAACATCAGCCTTACGGGCCCCTTCCCCTTCCCCTTCCAGTTTGCCCCAGTTATACCCACAGCTTCCACGATGCAGTCCTGCAAATATAAATATTTACTCATACCGCTCTTTACAGCCTATATCTGGAGTCATCGGTACATACCTTGTCTTTGAACAACCCGCTCAAACGTGTACTCTGCTCCCTGCAGAGCATGCCGGAAACATTTGCCCTGGTGGGGAGATCAATAGGCGCTTGGGCCACCAACTACTCACACTCGTCCTCGTACCGAGTGCACATCCCCCAGCTTTATGACTGAATCTGCCCCCTCAATAATGCAAGCCACAGGGCCACCAAACCATCCACATTGTCATTACTGGGAGTCCAGCCACGGCCTAGGCCTTTGCTCATTCAGTGCTATTCCTCCGTGGCATCATGGGTGGGTGTTACAGGAGTCGAAGCCCCAATCTCTTGCTTCCCCCCTAGCCTTCTGATACGAGTACTTCTCGTGTTTCTTCCTCGCCCAATCTCCTTGGCTCTTTGCCGGCGACCCGAAGGATCTCATCGATGCGATTATTTAATCGAACCTTACTGCTCACTGCATTCACCCGGACGGGCATGGCGCTCTGACGGATTCCTGCCACAATCATGCCGGTGCGTAATGGCAGCTTGCCAGCGTGTCGTTCTGCCGCCCTGTTCGTCTATTGTCCAGTCAGGCATGGTTCCCCCCATCGGTTCCGCGCCTGGTGAATCCTTCTGGTGATCACCACCGATTGCGTCCAGCCTGTCAGTCCCTGCAGCTGGGCCGGTCCCACCGGGAACCAGGGCTTACCTACTCGTTCTCCCACCTCGGCACCGGCTGAGCCGACTTCGATCACCGAAAATCAGGCTCTTTCTCATACAGCTGTGTCTTGTTAGTAACCTCATTCCCCAGTCGCTTCACCGAGTTATATGACTCCCACGGAGCACGAAAGCAGGACAAAAGCTGCCGAGTTCAACACAGCAAGCGCCCTGGGGCGCGGCAAGGGCGCGACGGCAGACCAATGCCTGTGATCTCGCGCTTACCTGATTGCTCCCATCATTGCCAATCAGTCGCATGAGCGAAAACTCGATGGCTTAAGCCGCGTGGGCGACCATGTCGAAAGGATCATGCCTGAATATACCCTCTCTGCGGATCAGCTACGGGCTATCGACATCGCCGCCCGGGTCTCATCATGTCTGTCGCTCTCAGGCTCGTCCTTCACGATAATCAGCTTCCTCAGTTACCCGCCGCTGCGGAAACCTGTCAACCGTCTTGCTTTTTCCATTGCCGTCGCCAATCTCTTTGCATGTTCGGCGTATAGTTGGGGGATCCATCCGATCAAGGCTGGGCGAAATTCTGCATGGTGTCAAACGCAGGGGTTTTTCATCAATTGGTTTGTTATGACGGATCCGTTACTTGTACGCTGATCCCACATCGCCAGACGATCTTTCTCTGATGGTGTATATCCAGGTTATGATTATGGCGTTCAATGTTCTTCTCACCGTGCGCACGAAACGAAACGCTACCGAGCTGAAAAGGGTCGATGTGTATGCGATATTGTTGGCTTTTGTCCTCCCGTTCATCCCGGCTTTGGTATTTTTGTGCTGGAGGCCCAATGGGAAGACCGTCTATGGACCAGCGACAATGTGGTGCTGGATCGCCAAAGAATCGCAGATTTTGAGATTGGTGGCCTTTTATGTGCCGATTTGGTGAGTTTTGGTTGAGGCCGAGATCATCGCAAACTGTGCCGATGGCTGATCTACCTGCATAAGGTGTTTCATCCTAGTCGCCATCTTCCTATTCGCTTTGAGCGGCAAACAAATCCTCCTGGTGCGCCGCAAGGTCAAATCCGCCAAAGCCGAATGCGCTCTGCCCTGCGACGAGCCAGGCCTTGAAGGGAACAGTCCTCAACGAGACCGCCGTTTTTCGTCCTTTGCCCGAGCCTTCATGTCCTCCACGGCCACGGCGACGAGGAGGGACTTGGTCAGATCGGAGGTGCCCGGCTCCACTACAACCAGCAATCGCCACCATAACGGCGACGCGGACCGGGTGCCGGACCACGAGTCGCCCGAGTTCAAGGGCTTCGAACCGCTCGTGCCCATCTACTCTCGCGAAGTGCTGGACCTGGAGTCCCAGAACGGATCGTCGTCGCATGAGTTCTCGATCTCGACGGCGGCGGCGACGGCAACGCCCGGCTCTCCGACCGTCACCCTCGACCGGTCTGGCTCCGACCAGACGATGCTGCGGGTGACAGACCAATTCCCGCCGCGCAAGTCGTCATCGCGGTTCGACAGGATCCATTGGAAATATGCAAAGTTTGCGTTTTTGTGTACCATTGTTTTGTTCATTACCTGGGTATGTCCACCATTTTACCATTTCGCGCCCTTTCGGAGATGAATGGCCTCCGAGACACATCCCCAAATAAAGGCAGAACGGAAGAACGAGTCTAGCAAGCACCATCCCTCACCATCCCTCCATCCTCCTTTCCATTGCCCTTTTCCTTTGTGTCCACCCTCCGTCTCTCCTCCCAACCACAAACATCCTGATAACCCTGTCCCCGACCTCATCCCCATCCCAAGACTAATAAATCTATATATATGTCTCTGATATTTCTACGTCCACAGGTCCCCATCTCCGTGAATAGGGTGTACAACAACTTCATCTCCCCCAACCATCAAATCTACGGCCTGTATTTAACGTCGGCCGCGTGCATCCCGCTGCACGGCTTCGGCAATTTCGTCATCTACGCCACCACCAGCTGGGCCGAGTGCCGGGAGTTTCTGGCCTGCCACGCCTGCTCGGGCGACCGTCGGGGTTCGCGAAGGGGATCGTCGATTGTTGTCGTTGGCGGTGGCGGCGGCGGCGGTGCTAGTGCGGGTGCTGTGGGTGTTACGGTCGGGGGATTAGCGGCGGGAGGAGCGGGAGAAGGAGAAGGCCAGGGCGGGAAGAGGAAGAGGGAGAAGATGCCGATGCCGTTGCTCAGAGCGTGGGCGGAACGGGGAAGGGAGGCGTGGACGCGAGCACGATGAGATCCCCGGTTGCCCGTTATCGCTGACGACGGACGCTTCCGGTGTCAAAGCGCTGAGCAACACTGAGTGGCTTCTCCCAAGGAAAGTGGTTCACCGTATCAGCCAACTGAGTAACCAAACCAACCAACCAACCACCTGCAACCCGCCTACAACCGACGACGTATCTAGATCGTGCTCGCCCCGGGGGTTTCAATCCTCCACTCAGAACGATATGGAGTTTTGAATCAAGAATCAACCGAGGCCGGAAGGGTATGCGTGGGATGGGATGGCTAAAAAAGAAACCGAGCCGGACGGTGTGAGTGTGGGCGACTTTTCAGATACCACCTCACCTCGCCGGACGCGGTACCATTCTCAGCAGGATTCGAATAGCGATGGGGGAAACACGTACAAGGAAAAACCCCCGGGGGGTTTGTTCTTTCTCCGACTACAGGCTGGACATGGCGAGGAAAATATACCTAAGGGGATCTAGGCGACCTAGGAGCGTGTAATGGACGAATGATATCTGTGTCGATGGGGATGATACTACTACCTAGATAGGTAGGTAGGATACCATCGTGCACGAATCTGGATGACCATCAGGTCGTTTTCGATGTACATAGTCAGAGAGCATCGATACGAGGAGGCATGTATTGGGAAAGCAGTGCGAAGAAAACAGGGAAACAATGGTAGTGATCGAAGGGCAACTAAGATTGTCAGTTTAGTGCAGCTCCAGTAAAGCCCCAAGAGAAATGCTTCCTCTCCAGACCACAACCCCCTTTCCGCAGCGTTGCCTTTTTTATTTTGGTTGATACAATGTCCCCTGGGGCTCCAGCTTAAATGATAGCCAAATCTCCATTAAGCCGCGTGCTGGTCCTGATGATGGTGATGATGCTTCTTCGCATGCAGATCCTCCACTGGCGCATCAACGACGTAATTCATCGTCTTGCGCAAATCACCCAGGAACAAGCACATAATACAGGCCAGCGCCCCAAACGGCGCGGCGATAATGTACACGACGCGGATGGAATCCGCCAACGCTTGCTTCAGGGCCGTCACGCCAGCGGCGATGATGGCGGGAGTCACACCTGGGATGCTGGCAAGGGCGTCCGTTTTACCCGCGGCCAGAGCTTCGACGAAACTCGGGATCGAACTGGCTGGCAGGCCGGCTTTGGCGACCGCTCCGCCGACGCCGTGGGGGATGTTGGTGCCGAGTCGAGTGTTCAATGCCGCAGCGTATATGGCGGTGAAGACTGTGGCTGCTACCGCTCGAGACGAGGTCGTCACGGCGGTTGCCGTTGCTATCAGACTGTGTGGCGTGGAGAGCTGGACACCCGCAATGATCAGGATGAGTGGTGCCCCGAACCCAAATCCCGCGAGGCCGCTCATCACGACAGCGGTGGTGCTGTCCTTGGGTTGGATGGTAGTCCAGCCGATGATTGCGCCCGTGAAGATCAGAAACCCCAAAAGCAGCGGTTCGCGAATTGTGCGGAATCGAGTACTGGCATACCCCCAGATCACGGTGGAAATTCCGCCGGCAACCCAAAAGGGCATTTCTCGAGACACGAGTAGCAATGGATCCGTCTCGAAGAGCGACGTTGTCCTGAAAAAGCATGAGGTTAGTGTCTACCTTTGCCCTGGTGTTTAGAATAAGTGTGAGGGTAAGACGTACAGAACCGGATAGAAGACAATGTATGAGAACAGCATGATGCCCTCAATGAAGATCAAGCCAACACAAATCGCAAATGTGCGACCTGCCGCATTACCACCACGGAAAAGGGTGTGATTCATGATTCCGGTCTTGGTGCCTTTCCACTCGTAGATACCGAAAGCGATGAGGATGGCAATGCCCACAACAAGAGTCACCAATGTCCGCGAGTTTGTCCACGGGTACAGATTACCTCCCAGGTTCAGGCCAGTTAGGAACAGAGACAAGCCGGCAGTAAGGAGACAGCAGCCGGGAATGTCGATATGGCCTAGTTTCTGCCAGAAAGAGAGGTGGTCGAGCCTGGTGTGTCTCTTGGGTGGTCTATATCCCACAAAGATGCCTGCAGCCGTCGCTCCCCAAAGGCCGACTTGGATCCACTACTACCGATGAGCACATCTCCCGAGGTTTGGATGCATTGGAGGATTGTAACGTACGTAGAATCTGCGCCATCCGTCCTTTGGGTTGTGTTTCGTCAGGGCACCGATAGCCATGGGCCCCATAATAGCACCCAGAGCCGCGGCCACGTTCATGAATGCCTGAGCCACTAGCGACATTCATTAGTCGACTCACTCAGGATCGAGGCATGTTGCACTTACTCGGGCGCCATTTCCTCGGCAAGATCTCACTAGGAACGCAATATGCAAGCGGTACTGCTGCGAAGCCAAAGCCAATCAAGGTTTGGGCCACGATCAGTCTGTAGATGTTGCCTGAGCCCGGAGCAATGGCAGCTCCGATGAGCGAGATGAGGGACGAGCCCACGAGGATGCTCTTCCGAGCTTGGAAGGTGTCCGAGGTGAGAGAAATGACAGGTCCCAGAACTGCTTGCACAAGCGAAAGACTGTTGGGGACCCATGTTTGGGTTTTGGAGTTGTTGAGGCTATCGCCAATGAAGTTGAGCTGTTATGTAGATGATGAGCCACCGTTGCTACACGGACCGATCATGGAGGAACACTTACCACGGCCGGAGGGCCTTGCAAAGCCACAACTTGGACCATATTCAACAGGAACATGGAAAACAGGGCAATGTAGGTTCTCGCGTGAAGCTCTGGCTCTTCGTCGACTTCATCGTAGTGGAGATTGTGGTCATTCGTGTCGACATCCTCAATCTGCTTCTCACTAGAGACCTCTCTCTTCTCCTCGACCGAAACCATTTCGGCTCCACTAGGCTGAGCAGCCTTGCCTACACCGCCCTCGGCAACCGCGTGAGATGTCATGTCTATGTGGAATTCGATGATTTCCTTGCCCAGGGGCTTGGTAGGTATGGTAGGTCACAACAATCATGTCACTCGACAGGAAGGGACGAGTAGTGTCTTTGTAGTCTCGAGGCAATGGCTAGACCGATATTACCGCGATGCCAAATGCAGCCCATCACGGTCGAATCTGATAGGCTCGGGATATCCGTCTGTGTGCGGGGAGCAGAGATGAGATAGGACATTTGCGGATTTGAGTTCACTTGTGGTGGGAAGTTTGACCGCGATTGACAATGCCAGAGGTGTTTTGTGGGACGTGAAGAGAGGCCCAACATGCAGTGCCATGGGCGAGACTGCACTTCGCCCACTTTGGCAGCCTTGGCCACCTTTGGCCACCCACCCACCACCCACCACCCACCACCTTGGCCTGCGCTCTTGTTATCTGCGACCCTCTGCTAAAAAGAACCACCATCATGTGTTGGGGGCCCGTCAAAGGCCTGTCAAAGCTGCAATTCATCAAACGATCATCCCAAGAACAAGAACCTGACACGACTCAAGAGCCTGAAAGTGAACACCAGTCCACGGTTAATCATTTCAACCCACGCCAAAGGCCTCAAGGGGGACGGCGGCGGAAATGCCTCTGACTACCCACCTAGGTACCTCGATTAGCTGTGTGTGGGTAATGGCTATTCACTAATTGACAGACCGCCACAGGTCGACTTCCCACAGCAGACTAGGCCGAGGCCTCCCAGTCCAACATCTTATCTTCCCACAACTGGAGAAAGCATCTCTCCCATCCACCTTCGCCCTCACTACCCCGTAAACCGGGAATGCGGGGATACGAGAACGAGCGACTCACTGACCCCACAAATTGCTCCTAGCCAAGACCAGCCATGCCCTCCCCTTGACGCTTCTCGAGTTTCATCAGCGCCCACGTTGTTGCGGGGATGTATCGGCCTTGGAGCGAAAAGAGAGGTCTGGGGTCGACTGTTGCTATGGATTCGGATCCGAATCACAACGTCCACACAAGAGGCTGTCAAAGCCCAGGCAAGCTTTCTGCTCAGGCTACCTAGGTAGGGGGCCCAGACCAGATTCTATCACCTCGGTTCCGATCTTCGCGCCTACCACAGAAGACGGCCCAAAGTCTCTTTGAGCAAGTCAAGGACAGCAACAAGAAGAGGGGGGCGAAATCGCCCCCTGCCAATTTGAACTGTCTCAAGAATCACATTGATATACCTAGCATGATCACCGGGAAGTTCGCATACTAACAAAATGCCTCCAAACAGCTACAGGAAGGTGAGGTTCTATTCAACAGGATATTACTTGCCCCCCATCAGATTCTCCGGGGTGACTGGCTCGACCATACTAGGCAGACGAACTCAAAAAACTGCCATACCTTGCGCATTCTTGTCGACACCCATGGCAGCCAATTGGAAATGCTGAACCTGCTTTGCTGACCCCGGACCTCCCGAGACATCCAGCACCGTCACTGCTGCAGGCGTGGTTCCGTTGCCTGGAGATAGAGCATAGATGAAGTTGCCTGCGGCTTCCAAGTCGACAAGTCCAGGATCTCCATTTGCTGACAGGTCCAGGATTGAAACGATGCTGGCATCTGACAAGCTCATCTCCACCAGACGATTCACCCCCACGTCGGCGACGAATGCAGTCCCAGTCACGGGAGAAATCGTCGCCCAGCAGGTGGCAATTTGACCCGCAATGACCTGCTTCGCCACAGTTGACGCTGTGCCGCTTATCGCGTCCACCGACACAACGGCGCCGCCAAAGGATGCGTCTGTCACAAAAACATTCGAAGTCCCAGGGATGTTTTCCGAGCCGAACAGGACAGCCGTTCCTGCTGGTGAGCTGCGAGTGTCCACCGTTGAAAGACTTGGTTTCACGCGCCAATTGCCTCCTTCGACAGGGAACACCGAGAAGAACCCTGTGGTGTTGATTGCAGGATTGCCCTTGACGGTCGCGAACAGGTGAGACTCGTCCTCAGAGAAGAACAGTTGCGACACCGTGTTCGTCGGACCGACAGGTGGAGTTGTCTGGACAAGGTCAAACGAGCGCAGGCTGTCCATTGCGCCGAGTCCTTTCTGGGAGAAAGACGAGCAGGAGACACCATTGGTAACGCCGGTGGTGCCGACACAGACCAGTTGGTTGTTTGCTGACGCAGCGACAGTGTTGGGGAATTGACCCGGGAGACTGGCAGGAGCACCGATCAAGGTGAGCTTCGTTGGGTCCTGCGGATCAATTGACAGCATTGACAAGGTATTACTACCTGCGTTGACGGCGAAGATATTCTGGCCGCGCTGTCAGCAACGTTCCACATGTCCTGATTCCGAATGCTGCAAATTTTCCTTACATTTCCAGCGATTGTCACAGAGGACTGCGAAATCAAAGCGTCAGGAGCTGCAGGCTGATTCGTGGCTCCGCTGATGCTGTTTCCCCCTTCACCTCCAGTCGGAGTCAGGCTGCCTTCAGATAGCAGGCCGTTCGAGGCAACCGGCACTGCTGCTACAGAGTTACTGGCATCATTGGTGATGAAGTATATCGCTCGAGCTCCTTCGGGGTGGAGGTGTCCTTTCCCCCATTTTCCAGGGTATGGTGATGGCGCGGCTGGGACGGAGGTTATGAAAGCCGCCAAAAGCAGGAGGGATTGGGAAAGGTTCTTCAGCATCTTTGCTGCCACAAATGGTCAATGACCTTCTGATCCAAGGTAAGAATGACTTAGAATTGGCGGTGTGTCTCCTTACAAGAAGCCGAGCAGTGTTTTCCTTCCATGGAGGCGCGCCTGCTACGGGTTTTATACTACGCGACATGGCTCAGGATCTTGACGAGAACTCCTCTTGAACCCTTTGGGAGACACATTCTTCGGCACCTGTGCTCCTGTGCAATCTCAATGGGCCGTATAACGGCTTTGGAACCTCTGTTGGAACATGGGATCTCCGTCTGGATTACCCAATATTTTATTTCCTGTTCGGACAAAGCCCGTGCGTGGCGTCGACTGCGTGGTCGCCCTGCTAATCTCAAACAGGAAGAAAATGATTATCCATCAGGGGCCGAAGAGCCAACAAGGCTCCACTTGCGAGGCGTCGAACCCAGGGCTTCGTGTTGCGGGGCCGAGACGCAAGCGAAACGGAGCCAGCGGCTCTCCACTCTACATGTTTCTTGAGGCGGACGCTGTTCCTTGCTTCAACCACTTCAGGTCTTTGCCTGTATCGTCGTTATCATGCTCATCCAGCTTCTCCTCTATCAGTGAGCGCGAGATTCGTCGTCGCTCTGAGGTGCAACAATGTCGGACATATTCCGACCCTTTTTTCGATCCGTGGAGGGTACGTACCTGCATATCCTCCCGAGACGACGTTTCCTAGGCCTGACTCAGATTTCTATCTAGACAAGGTCGCCAACAGACGCGAGCAATTGCGCAAGGCACAAAAGTCAGTAATCTTGCCTCACGCGAATCAGACAGCTGCGATCTTGAGATCATTGCTGCAGCCAGGATTGGACTGACTGACTCGGTGTGCGCGAGTGTTCACCAGGACCTTCCGCGAAAGACGAGACCAGTATCTCCGCGTCTTGGAGAAGTCCGTCAGGCGTCTGCAGGCCACCGAAGCCAAGCTGCAGAATGAAGTCGACCAGCTTGAGCGAGATCTGGCTGCGACGAAAAGCAAGCTCGCCCAGTGTGAAGCTGAGCTGCGCAAGTCAACCCCTTTGACACACTACAATTACGCCTATTCAAACAAGAGCGGCTATGTGCCTGGATCCGGAGAGTTCAATCTCGCACCTGAAATAGGTGGCGCAGAGAAGCCGGCCTACCTTTCGCCCCCCTATAGCTGTGCTGAGAGTGGAGCGGGTGCATCCGTCAGTGGCACCTCCTCTTGCAGCACTCTTGTCTGGATCGAGACGATGAATGGCCAGCCGGTTCAGATGCATGTCCAGCAAACGCAAGACTTTGGGTTTCTGCCACCCAATGGTAGCAAAAATGCGTATGCCGGCGCGCTATCACCGGCGTCAGCCTCGCTAGGTCCAGATAGAAGCGCGACAACAATCCTTGTGGCCCAGCTCGACGCCGTGGCTGTTGCGATGGAATTTGTGCTCAAGTATGTAAAAGTGTCAGATCCTCACAGGCCAGATTGATGCCCCTGCCTTTAACGAAGCACTATCTCAAACCCATACTCTTGGAACAAGACACTGAAATGATGCAAATTACAGGCTCGAATCTCCATGTCTCCCTCATCTGCAGAAAAGCGAGGAAGAAGAAAACAACCCTTCCACCTCCTCAAGCAGCTCTCCCCACGGGCACGTCCACACAGCCTCAGCGGCCCTTCTGTGCTGCTATCCGTCTCCTTCATCCTCTTCCACGGTCTCACCGCCAACATCGACGTCATATGCAGACACAAAAATAAACACATCACACGCCTCACCACTCTCCCCACCAGCGACGTCCTCATCATCGCCTTCCTTTTCGCCACTGACCTGGCCCGCCCCAAAGGCAACTCTCGAACGCCTTCTGGAGATCTCCGACAATTTGCCAATCGACCGACCCTCGGAATTGACGCCGGTCCAAGCATGGCACTGTGTGCGGCAGTCGCCGAGTTTCACGTCGATGAATGTGCAGGGCTTGAACCGGATGGCCGAGAGGTTGGTCGCGCACGTCAAGTGTTATGGGTAGGTCCAGCCTGTCCGTCTCAATCAGTGCTTTTCTCGATACGCTGAGCCTATCTCCTTCTTCCCTTTTGCCCGTCGCATGCAACCCATCTACCATCTATACGGCAGGCAGGTCTGCTGCTAGTCCTAGTCATCCTCCATTCACGACGATGATCCTTTCCTTATTATGTATGATATGGGGTATTCAATGCTAATGATTCCTTTTCTGTTCGTCACACATTCCAGATTCGGCGCCGTCATCCGGCGAGACTTTCTTGCGAAACTATTGTCGGAGATATGATTCCTAAATCTGGCCCCCGCCGCAACTTTTATGCGGATGGTGTCTTCCATTGGCGTGTTTGTTGTACTCTCCATTCTCATGTGCAATATAGATCCGCCCGGGAGAGCTCTGAGGCTGACAAAAAGCGTCTCATTGGGGCATGATGAATCTGGTGGGAGAGGGTTGGAATTGTCGAGAAGGTGCGCATTGGAGATGGAAGTTGGATCTTTCACGGAGGATGTGCTTACGCAGCAAACTACCGTGGGTTCAGTAACCTCGAATGGAAAATCAACGGTGCAGATTATCTCTAAATCGTAGCCAAAAGCAGAAGGGAGACTGTTGGTTGGTGGCACAAAAGGCCCCGAGAGTGGCTAGGGAGTGCGAGCCACGACCTATATCAATGGAAGATGATGTCTACAGTCTTTGTGTAGCTGTACAGGTCTACAGCAAACGTGGTTGGCCCTTTGAGTATTCTATCCCATTTATCCAGATGCGCTCAATCTTCCTGGTGGCTTGGATATCCTCCAAAGGGTCAGCAGACAGGAGGACCAGATCAGCACGAAATCCTTCCGAAATCTCCCCTCGCTCCACCAGCCCAAAATGCTTCGCCGGTAGGGAAGTGGCAGCTCTCAAAGCGTCCACGGTTGACAGGCCAGCTTCAACAAGCAGTTCCAACTCATGATGCAAGCTCTCGCCATGAGGTACAGGGCATATTGGCGAAGAGTTCGAGTCTGTCCCCGCTAGGACTGGCACTCCTGCCTCGTAGAGAGCTTTCAAGGATGATTGGGCAGGCTCGTAATTCAAAGGTGGGCCTCTCGCTTTTGGCAGAGCTTCGCATATCGCCAACGTCGGGACAGAGACGTGTTTGCCATCGACCATCTGTGCCACCATGTCTGAATTGAGAGGCTTGTCAAGCGGTACATGTGTGATGACGCGGGCCTTGGCTTCCAAGGCCATGCGGAATGCCTCATGTCTTGTCGCATGAGCAATCGTGAGCTTTCCTTGCTCGTGTGCAGCTGAGATGACTGCGTTGAGTGTTGCCTGGTTGGGTCCAGGGATGTCTGCGACGACCTTGATATAATCTGCGCCCTCCTCGATGCGGTCGCTTACCCATCGTGATGCTTCCGAGGGGCTGGAGATCAAGTAAGGCTCAATTCCTGGCATCCGACTGTGCCCGCTTCCGGGGGATGTCGCAGGAGCTCCGGCACTCCTTATGTCTGTAAGGCCGGTCTTTCCTCGAAACGAGTTAATCAGGCTTGGGGGAAATGAGGCCATGTCAAGTGCCGTGGTAACGCCAGCAGCGGACAGCTTCTCCAATTGTTCTTCTGCGCGCAGATGGACATGGGCGTCGATGAGTCCTGGGATGAGGTACCGACCCTGTCCATCAACGATCTGGACATCGTCCGCCTCTCTGTCAGCTGCTATCTTTCCGTCTCTGATAACGACATCTCTCGTTGTGAAGTTTTCGCCATTGAAAGCATGGACATTTTGGATGACAATCTCTTTTGCAAAAAACTGAGTCATATCGGCGATGGCTGTTCGGCAGTACCTGTTAGCAGAAGCAGTCGAAAAAGAAATGGTCTCTTCGTGTGAAGTGGGACGTGGGACGAGCTGAAGTAGTGACTATATGCCAACGGGATGCTGATGCTGATCGTGGGGATTATCCCGATAGACGTGGCCCCTAGACTTTATATTGCGGTAGTGATCACGTCTCCCGTTACTCGTCCGAGGGGCGACATCCACCACGGTAGGCATTATGTTCTCCATAGCACCAGTAAAGAGGCGGTCGGAGTGATTTCGTTGACGACCGTTCACACCGAAGCAGCAAGTCTAGTCGGATATTGAAGTCTGTCGCGATAAACCCCATACTAGACTGTCGGCTTATACCCCAGCGAGCATGGCACCCACATGCAAAGATTGATTCGCTCGCTGTTCCCGAGATTCTCTGGACCTTTTCGTCGCCATGGCATTGCCTACCGTCATGAACGGGGTGAAAAGAGTCCCTGAGAAAGCTACCTAGGTAGGTTATGTCAAAAGGTAATAGCTATCAAGTTGTCGTCGAAACTGGAAGCAAAGGGACCGAGGCCTTGGCATCGCATGCCAACCACCTACCACTGCACTGTTCAAGTTTCTTTCGACCTATTCCGTCTGTACGAGGTACATGCTGTCAGCCTGTGCCGACCTGAGCAGTGAAATCGCCAATGTCGGGCGCAAAATCCCATAAATGCCCACAATGCGAACAACGCTTCGCGCGTCATGAGCATTTGCAACGCCACATCAGACGACGTATTCTTGTGAAATGCCCTCATACTATCAGACACTAACCACTGTCTAGATACTGGAGAGAATGTCTATCAGTGTCCCTGTGGAAGGACATTCTACAGAAGGTAGGCGGTGCACCTCGTCCGCGGTTGTTTCTCTATAACGCTGCCGCCAGCTGATCGCAAGCGCTCAGTGATGTTCTTGCCCAACATATAAACAGCTGCGAGAAAGGTCTCGATCACCACCAAGTGCTCCCACAAGCCAAGCAGACGCGATTGAAGCGTTCCTGTGACAAATGTGCAAAATCCAAGAAAAAGTGTGACTATCGCCGACCTTGCCAACGCTGTGTCACCAAAAGCCTTCCATGCCACTACACTCGGGCAGGTCATGTCGACCTGTATGGCTCGTATATCATTTGCAACCCAGAGCGAGCATCGCGTCCTGTTCATAAAGAAGCATGGCCATCAACAGACGGTACAACACTGCACCCGGTCCTAAAGCCTTGGAGAGTCGAAGAACCCGCTACTAGCTACCTCACACCTGCAGTGTGGAGGCGAGCAACTGCGTCCTGGCCAACAGCAAGGGGCCGGACTTGGCTGCCAGATACAAAATCCAGCAGGCGTAGCAACAGGATCAAGTGCGCGAGATCCAGATGCACCAGGCCGTTGGACAACTTCTCCAGGTGTCCCGGAACACCTGTTTTCGGATTCACAGGAGCGATCTTGGCTGGACGAGTTTATCTCCCTTGACCCAGTCATTCCTCCAATCATGCTGCCCAGATCACATGAAACTTCAGGTATGTCGGCAGAACAGATTGTTCTCAATCATGACTATCCGGGTTATCCAGTCACCGGCTTCTCAATGGAGCAATGCGATCCCATAGAGTCCAAATGCGAGGAACTCAGAGCACTGCTCAAGCAATCGGGGCCCCTTGTGACGGATTCATTGTTGGCGACCTATATCACTAGAGAGAATCTCATCCATTGCACCCAATTGTTTGGACGGCACTATCTTCGACATTTCCCGATCCTGCATGTGCCTTCTTTCAGTCTCATCAAAACACCACCAATACTGCTCCTTGCCGTGTTGTTAGTTGGAGCATGTTATTCAGAATCTCTTAATAATGCTACGCATATCTGCAGACTCGCCATGCAGCTTCTTATGCTGGTGGCCCACGAACCTGTCGGTGCTTGTCGGACGCCTTTCCAGCCCAATGCTAACGAAGTGCAGCATGAAGCGACCATGGGCATCCCTGACCTACCGGCCATTTTGGCAAGTACAACAGCTTGTTCTGTGCTCGCTGGCTGCCGTAACAAGACAGCTTCCAGGTTCGTCTCTCTCTACGGTGCAAGAATAGTTTCGGTAAGTCAGAGGTACGCTCCGTCACGCACTGCAGTTGCTAAATATCAGTGCACAGATGGCCAAGCGAGCCAATCTGTTCAAACCAACGGATCCTCCGGATTATCATAGTTATACGGAAGAAACTTTCGACTGGAGGTTGTGGGTTGAAGAGGAGACCCGAAGAAGGTGCCCAAGTCAATTCGCGGAGAGATGTCTGTGGCCACTAACTGTGTTAAAAGAGCAGCGTGCAAAATATTCTGTCAGGATGTGGCTGCTTGTATCTTCCAGCGGACCATGCCTATTCTTTCACCGCGAGAAATCGACGTTGAACTGCCTTGCTACGAGGTTTGTTGGGAAGCGACATCCTCGGCTGAATGTCTCCGGTTGTTGCAGACGTTACCGTCACAATTGCGACTGTCCACTGCGCTGCAGAACTTGAGAAGCCATCCTGCTCCAGACGAACCGCTTTTCGTAGCATCCGCTTTTGGAATGTTCGTCCTTATCAAGGGTATGCGCGTCGGCCCCTTCTTGATCCAATACTAAACAGGCCTCCGAAGGACTACACTCCCTTTTATACCATGTTGGGAGGTTTTCCGACGAGTTTGAGTTGGGCAAAAGGAATGGCAACGTGCCGGAAGACTCGAACAGGGTCATTTCTCGTCTACAGACTGACTTCTCTGCCATATCGATCGAGGACCTCGCTCAAAGGGCGATCAGGTCACACGGGAATGCCTCCCTCAGAAGTGTCAACGACGCTCTTGACGCCTGGCGCGCCGTCCTCGATCATCGGAGCTTTCGCGATTGGGGCACCGAGGACAGGACCTTTGCGAGTGATCCGATGTTATTCTGGTGGCTCGCGAAACTGCTCATCGTCCTGCACCATCACGGCGACCGAAGCTCGACGACCACTTCTGAATTCAGCATGCCGCCCTCTAGCGGCGCGGAAGAGGAGACCAAACCCCTCTTTCAAAAGAGAGTCACCAAATGGTTATCCGTCCTTCGCGAGCGACGACAACAGACCACTGGAAGTTTTCAGGAAGAATATGTCCCCGCGATGATTAAGTTGGCATGGAGCCAACCGTTTGGCCCAAGACATGAATAGATAGGTAGATAGCGGCGATGGACGCTGTTACAGGCACTCGCATCTCCACGCAGACGGGTATGGAATGGTTCCTTTGAGAATATTCATATCGATGGAACATGGGAGGGCAAGGCTTCCTTCCACGTTCAGGCATCATTCCCGGGGTCGATCTTCCTTGGGTTTGACCGAGAGTGTCATCAATTTTAAATGGGGGAGATCTGATAGAAAACACTTCTTAATAGCAGTATCTTCCGGCCAGGCTCTATGAATTATTGGTGTCGTAGCGAAGGAAAACGTATACAAATGCACAGAGGCAGGTTCAGTGAAGACGGGCCAAGTTGCGAGGCAAACACGCATGCAGCCTTGCGGTAAGCCACGACCCACGACCCATGACCTATCGCAAGCAAAGCAGAATCAGTGATAGACAACACACGACTTGAAACCCGGTCAACGTTAACGGCGCCATGTGGATATCTCAGCCTTAGTTGCAGTGCCTTGTGTTTTTGCAATTGACCCAGCCCGCTCGTTTCCAGCATACTCAACTCCCTTCCAAGACACACACCGACAGTTCTTTTCGCTGATCCAGCAGTCAGGATGGGGAAAAAGGAATGGGAATTGGTATGGTCTCTATGATGCAACAAGACAAATAGTGCATTGTTAGCTCGCCTTGATACCGGCACAGCCGGCAGCCTGGGCTTCTCGTGCATGCTCAGACCAGCTTGGATGATGATCAATAAGTCCAATTATTATGTGCCAATGTCCCTTGCTCGGATGCCCACGCATCTCATGTGCTTTGTAATGCTTTCCACCATGCAATGCTCCGTCGTCGGCCGGTAAACCGTCTCTATCATTCACGTCGTTGCTCCTGGTCGCACACCTTTCATGCAAAAGTCGTCTTCCACAGCTTATCCACGCCGTCAAATGGTACATACGATGCTCTCTCATTCAGAGTGTCAATGGAAGACCATCTTTCAACCAGCAGTAAAACGTGCATTTCCTGCGCCCGAAGAATGCCAACCTAACCAAACAAGCGTTCTTCCTTCATTCTTTGGCCACAGCATCTATCTTCTTCATCGTCTCCTGGATTTCGTTCAAAAGGCCCTTCCGAAAACCTCGTGCGTCCGTGGAATCCACATCGATTGCGTCCGCCTTTAGGATAACGTGAGTCATGACACTCTCGCTCAACTTCCGGTGTTCTCTCTCACGGTCTTGAGCAGAAGAAGGAGGATTAGAGATGAATTTGCGGCAGAGGGGAAGCCATTGTTCATGATAAATATCTGAAAGAGTTTGTAACTTTCCCAATGGGGTGTTCGGATCTGCTGCAGGTAGTGACGTTGGAACCGGAGTCGAGGTCCCCGAGGGGTGGGGAGACGTTCCTCGGGTGCGAGACGGCTCTCGTCGCAGGGGGCGGTCATCAGGCTCTGGTCTCAAATTGGTGCGAGACTGCCGTTCTGATGTTGTCCCAGAAGACAGATGGCCATTGGGATGGAGGAAGCTGGAGGAAGCGGTGGGTCTCTGCTCTGGTCTCTGCTGTGGCAGGTTTTCGTCGCTACGATGTCTGACTGAAGACACGCCGCGCGGCCGGCGTCGAGGGTTTTGCTCAGGAACGTCCTCACCACCCGAGGAATGACTATCTCTATCACTGTAATCCACAGCCTCGGTCTTGATGACTGCCACCTCGCTGTTTTGCTTCATGTTATATTTTCGCAGGGGCCATCCATCGTGCTTGAGGACGCGTTTCTTGTACACCAGTCTGACTCTTCTGGGATCGGTCTGCAGGTATCGGGCGACGGCTTCTCTAAGGTGACTGACATAGGCAGTCTCTTCGCTGATGGAATATGGAGGGAACTCGACGGGAAACACAGATGCCATGTATCGCACGAGGATGACATCTGGGGCATCGGGATCTTCTATCGGATTCTCATGTAATCTGGACACCGAGTGACGATGCGGCTCTTGAAGCATTCCATGATCGGCATCAATGTACTCGAAATGATTAGAGAGGTTGCGAGCATAGGGATCGACGACGGAGCTGGTGTAAGGCGAGCCCCCAGTACGACCACCACCGTAGGCGACGTAGCTACCGTAGCTACTCATGAGATAGCGGGCGAGGAGATAGATGAGGGAGAGGAGGAGGGCGGCAAGGGTGGTGTAGGAGGCGGTGGAGTACTCTGTCAGTAGAAGGTTGAAATTGTTGTGGAAGTCAGCAGGCAAATGTCGGAGGACTGGCTGGGCAAGGCTGTTGAGATTTCGTAGGAGATCAGAGGACCAAGTCTGAAGACTTGAGGACGCCACGGTGAAGGACTTGACTTGGCCGAGAGGGGGACAAAGGATGTGTGAATTTTCTCGATGGATTGATTCACTGATTATTTGGACGGCGAAAGGGGGAAAAAGCTGGTGTTTCTGTGCTTGGGGAAGTGCAAGGGCAGATCGACGTCGTCACTGAGGAGCAGGGAGTGTATGTAATATTGTGGATCTGCAAGACAGGGGGATGGAACAGTGAAGGCGAAAACAGCCTGTGTTGGAAAGAACACCAGATGACAAGGCGGTCGCCGCAGTGGGCGGATTGGTGGTGGCCTGGGCGCAGGAAGAATTGGCTCCTCTGAAAAGGCGCAGTTTGGTCGGTGCGAGTGCGTTAGTCTGTTTTAGACTCGGCTGAAGCGGGCAATAGAGATGAAGAAATCGAGGTGGATGACGCAGATGGGGGGTGAGTTGTGGTGCGAGAAATATATCTTTCAGGGTTCAAGGGGGCTTTGGATGGTTCTTTGAGCTCTTGGGACTCTCAGGGGGGACTTTCTTCGGAGATCTAGAGATTCAAACTAGGTCTGGGAATGATTCGGGCCAACAGGGACTTGTAGACAAAAGGAGAGAAGAGAGGCACCCAAGAGGGGAAGCGCAGCTGCGCAGGTGGGATGATTTTGTCCTGTGAGGACAGGAAGCGGAAAAACAGTTTTGCCGATACGATGCGACATGTGACTCTGAGCTGAACGAAAGACCAGGGCAGTGTTTCAGCATCCACCTGTACTTGTAATTAATACATTTCCACCAAATGTCTCAATCGAAAAGAGCGCATCACAGAGTTCAGCTTCAGAAATAGCAGTCTGACACAGATTGCACGACTTTCTTTGATACTAGTAGCCAGAAAACTCAATCACCACGAGGTAGCCGCCACATCGATGACAGCTATATTTTATTAGTAAGGGTAGGGACGCGGCGTCCAAGAGCAGGTAGAATAACCTTACAAATGGATAGGAATTCCTTACGAGATCCTGTGGTGTTACAGTTCCCTCCTCTTGCCTTGCCAAGTTCTCGGTATCGCAAAGTATCTTTCAGCCTCATCAATGCCACGCTCTGGCACCTCTATGCACCGAGATCCTTTGTCTAATTCTGTCACGAGAGGCTTTTACCGTCTCTTTGATCTGTCTGACCCAATAAACGAGCGCCGCCGCCTACTCCTGGACCGGGCTTCGCCATCAGCCAATTTACCCCAGACTCGGATCGTTGGATTGCCTTCAAATTCCAAGCAGTCGGGCATCGTGGGGCTCAGGCAGGCAACTCTTCCTCGTGGTATTCTGATTTTAACCTCCAGGCAGTAACACCATCAGAATTTTGCACGTCGCGTGAGCATTGATCTCGGATTGATCCTGGTGGCAAGACACCTCACCAAGGTTTCACAAACGGCTTTGGTGCCCGTGAGCTTTCCTTCCGTCTCCTTGCACGCAGACCGCACAAAACCACTCAGGTCCATCTCCAGCAGACCCGTCGTGGGCTTGATAGGCGGAAAAGGACCACAACAAACTCGGCGGAATATGCAGCGAAAGAAGAGGTGCAGGGCGCTACCCAACCCCGCGAGCCCCGGTTGATGTCATGGCATGCTCTCGTCTGGTGCCTCTGGACAAAATCCCGCGTGACTTTTTAGCTGCAGAAAAGTGCTGCTCCAGCCCAGCATCCCCCGTGGTGCCTGCGCTCTCCTTGGTGGCAGAGTTGTGCCTGGCAAGGCAAGGCCCGGTTTTTCCGGAATACCTAGGTGCAGCTTGGGTGCAGCTTGGGTGCAGCTAACTAAATTTCCAGGCCTGCGTCTCTGCACAACCCACGTTCCCACCACGCCCGAGCTGACTTCCCCCCACGTCCCTTGCCACAAACAAGGGAAGACCCTGAACCTGTTGTTTTTTTTCTGATGAGGAATACCGAGTATAATCATGTCCCTCCGCCATCCCCAGGTCCAATGCCTACCAAAATCCTGTCGGCTATCGCCTGTCTATAGGCTATTGTTCGAGGAAGCCGGTCCAGAACTCACTCCACGTCTTGCAGAGAAGTCGAACCAAGAAGCGGGCTGCACTGCATGTCTCGAAAAGGAATGATACGAGAAACTTGAATCGTGGCTGTCCAAGTGACCTCACGCATGTTCTGAGGCTGCCCTGCGTCACTGGGCATCAGTCAATCCTCCCAAGAGACAAATGAGGATCCACTCTCTGGTCTGCTACATCAGATCATGTTGCCTCGTCATTCCTCTTGCTCTTCTCCCAATGGACCGCCCTTTCTTTCCTCCTGCTGCTGTGTGAGACTGGCATCCTTTGGCGTATTAGTTTGGCGGTAGGTCTTCCGATACGTGCTATGTCCCCGAATTCTATGTGCTGCTTCCTCTTTTCGAAACCTCACATGCATTTCAACAACGCAGCCAGCAAACCTCAGCCCGTCGGCGTTCAACTGGCCCTCGAGTCGACCATAATCACACCGCCCACTACCTAGTACTTCTCACTCTTCGCACATAAAACTGGCATTCAAGTACCATTATTGCTCCCGCTTTTCCCTCCCAACCCTCCTCATCTTTTCTGATATTCCCAACCATGGATTTTTATAACCTTCCCAACGTCACCGATCCTCATCCTCCCACTGCTCTGGCCCTCCAGAGGGTGACTCCAGTCCTTTCTTACTTCGCGGTCGCATTTTCTTTGGCCAGTTTCATCTGGTGGTGTATACAAGACTACCGCTTCTTCAAATCGTTGGGAGTTGGCGGCCCTTCTCATGATATCTTCGGCTGGTTCAAAGTCCACATACTCGTCAGACCTTTCACCCTCGCTCCTCGAGATACCACGTGGACTGGCGACTATCCGGGCTATGGGGCTCACAAGGAGATCATGGCGCTGCCACATCGAAAGGGTGAACGGCCAGTGATCATGGGCATTGCCCCTCAAAGACAATTCACTCAGTGTCCAGACCAAGAAATGAACTCGGTGAGTGAGACCAGGCACCTGTAGTCCATGGCACCAGATCACCGAGGTGCAATACAGCTGTGTTGCTTTCAAAACTAATCTCTGGACAGCGCGTACTTGCCTTGTTCTCGTCTTTTGTCCACAAAAACCCCAACCTGCTGCAGCAAAGACTCTCGGTTGTCGAAAAACACCACTATGCACTCTTTGTGCATCCAAGCATACTTGCCAAGGCAGACAACCTTCCGGAAATTGCAAGCATCGCCAACGGCGAACTGGGGCATATCCACGGAGAGACCTCACTGCACCTTTACTTCTCACCGGCAGACGCGAAAATCCTCATTGAACGGGGTTGGGCTCAACGGCATCGATGTGCCAGGACTCAACCGTGGTGGTTTGGTGGCCTGAAGAATATGTGGGGTATAGGAGACACATTCCTCATTGTGTACGCTCCGAGGAACCAGGAGGAACTTGAGGTGTTATGTGTCCTGATTAAGGCCAGCATCATGTTTATGACAGGCGAACAGGATGTCGTCAAGCCGTAACATCGCCCAAGGACACCGACGACTCGGGCGTGTTAGCATACGTTCCCTGCAGGAAGAAATCGGTGATCGTCGTGTGGGTGGGGCAAGTTCCAGTATTCTGCCGTACATGACGTGACGGATTGGCGGTGCCAGCATGTGGTTCAGCAGAGGTTCAGCAGGTCCGTGATGAGCGAAATGAGGAGACGCCAGGATGGGCTGAGGATGGTTGCGGTGGTGGTGAGATGGAATGGTTCAAATTGCTTATTTCCATAGGTATGTAAACACAAAATCGCAAGACTGGCCGGGCTGGTGGCCTCGGCTTTGTTGCCGCCAGGAGAAATAGGGACATACGAGGTGCAGTAGGGCTGTTAAAGCAGCATTCGCCGGTTCTAGCCGCTCGCCCATTCAGCTGGAAATGATATGTCAACGCTCTTTGATGCCGCCACACCTCTACCAACACCATCCTCATCATCTGCAAAGCGCTCACTATCATGGCCGCTGCAGTCTCCCGCCATCGTTGCTTGAACGGGCTTCCATGGTCATCTCCATTCAAGGTCTATCTTCCGTCTACTTCGACAACCCCGTCACGGCCATTCGCCACTACGACCGATGACCTCCCCACCAGCAAACCTCGAGTGCGCGCGACCACCTTCGCCGACAAGCTCAATGTCGGCCCATCCTTTTCAGATTTCGTGTCCGGGAAAGAACCGCAGTTGGAGGCTTCAGAAGCGTACGCCTTGAAGACCGCCCTCGTGGGTCCCAAGGGAAAACAGAAACAAATCACCCGCCTGCCGTCGTGGCTGAAGACGCCGATTCCCGACAGCTCCTCGTACAAGAAGATTAAAAATGATTTGCGCGGCTTGAATTTGCATACTGTGTGTGAAGAGGCCCGATGTCCCAATATTTCGGATTGCTGGGGCGGGAGCAGCAAGTCCGCAGCCACGGCGACGATCATGTTGATGGGCGATACCTGTACGCGGGGGTGTCGGTTCTGCAGCGTCAAGACCTCCAAAGCACCTCCGCCGTTGGATCCGCACGAACCTGAACACACGGCCGAGGCGCTTTCACGATGGGGGTTAGGGTACGTTGTCCTGACCAGCGTCGACCGAGACGATCTGGCGGACGGAGGAGCGCACCACTTTGCGGAGACGGTGCGCAAGATAAAATCCAAAGCGCCGACCATCTTGGTCGAGTGCCTTACGGGCGACTACGCGGGGGACTTGGAGATGGTCAAATTAGTTGCAACCTCGGGGCTGGACGTGTATGCGCACAATGTCGAGACAGTCGAGGCCTTGACACCCCAAGTGCGCGACCGCCGCGCCACGTTCCGGCAATCACTCAGCGTGCTCAAGGCCGCCAAAGCCGCACAACCGGGCCTGATCACCAAGACATCCATCATGCTCGGGCTCGGCGAGACCGAGTCCCAACTTTTCGAGACGTTGAAGGAGCTGCGCGCCGTCGACGTCGACGTCGTCACTTTCGGCCAGTACATGCGTCCGACAAAGAGACACATGCCCGTGCACGAGTACGTCACACCCGATGTCTTTGAGCAGTGGCGCGTCCGGGCGCTGGAGATGGGATTCCTGTACGTGGCGAGCGGGCCACTCGTGAGAAGCAGTTATAAAGCTGGGGAAGCGTTCATTGAGAATGTGCTCAAGAAGAGGAGGGCCGGGAGGGGAGAGACGGCGAATGCGGATTTGGCGGGGGATATAGACCTGACGGATGTGAATGATGTGAAGGTTGGGCAGATTTGATTTAATATTCCGCAGGGTCGATATGAATATGAATAGGCTTGTATGTCTTATTTCCTGTTCCATCTGGTACTCCCTCGCTGTAGGAAATCTCAAACAATATACTCGATACGTTGTGGTTTCAATCAAGCCGCGACCCCCCAGGACGCAGGACATAGTGAACGAGGCGCGCAACAACAGTCCCAGCCGTCAATTATCACCATTCACTTCTCTCAGCACGTTGAAAGTGCTTGGCCTGAAGAAAGCACGGTGTTGTAATGTGCACGTTGGCTTAGCACCATGCCACGACTGTGAGAAAAGCTGGCCCAGCCCTGCATCCAACAGCCTCGCACGGGAGGATTAGGAGAACCTGGGTATGTACCTCTTTCTGCTTTGCTTTGCTTTGTCAATGGTATTTGTTTAGGACTTGTTTTTTTCGCTTGCCTCTCTCTGTCTCTGTCTCTTTTTCTAAGGTTCGTTCACCCACAGCTCCCACACTCCGGCGCCCGCACATCATCAATCCCTCCCATCCTCCTTGTCCCACCATTCCCACCGCTACTACCACCACCGCCACCGCCTCTTCCCCAGGTACTGCTGCTACCCCCACCGCCGCCGCCGAGACGATTCGTCCCGCCGCCACTCCATCTCGGCCTCTCCTGGTACGCGTTCGGCCGTCCGCGAGTATTGAACTGGCTGTTCTGCGCGGCCGTGTACGGGTCCAAGGAGAAGAGGGATACAAAGTACAGTCCCAAAAAGTTGTAGAGCGAGTCCGAGAGGCGGAGGATGCGGGCGGAGAGCGGAGGTCTATTATAGTCCCGCACGAAAGGGGTGTTAGTTTTTTTTCAAACCGTGGAAAGTGGTGACAGGCCAACAACGGTTCAGGTATATTCCGATGGAAGAAGCCTGGGGAGAATGAGCTTACGTTTCTAAAATGTGGCCTGACGAGGAGACGTAGCCGTGCGACGAAGAAGGGTTCTTGTTCGACGACGAGGGGGGAGCTGATGGGGGTGGTTTGTCCATGGTTTTTGGATCGGTTCGTGGACAGGGAGGGCTGGGGTTGAGGAAAAGGGACGCAATAGGCAACACTGATGGGAGTTTGCGCTTGGAAAATGTATGTCGGGAGAGCTTCGTCGAAGGGTTGATGCGGGATTTCTGTGCAAGGCTGGTCGAGAGTTGAGAGGTAGAGAGGATGTGCGGTGGTCTTATCGTGGAGGAAAATGTACGCAATGTTTGACACGGTGGTGGGAAGCCACAGGGAGATGAATGAGGAATAATGGATGAGGAGCAGGCGAGCAAGGGCACGAATGATACGTACCTAACTAGCGATAGGCGGGGAATTTGGGGCGCAAGGCTGAGCTCAGACACATCGCCCGCCCATCAAGCCTCCTTGTACCTAGCCTAACTACTGTATATTACTCGGTACCTAGGTAGGTAGGTATACGATTTGACGGTCGAAGCATCATATTGCTTCAATAATCAACACATTTTATTCGTCTGAACTAGCTTTTTCCACGTCTTGTTGAAAGATGGAACAAAACTTTTGGCCGGTCCCCAGAATGCTATGTACACTTTCCTTCCCCGAGTGTGTCTGTGCCATGAGCCCATAGCGTTAACCCTGTTGAAATTCGTGTCGTCGTCGTCGTCATCGTCAAGGAATGAGCAAGGAAGCTGACAGGTTTGCCCCGTTCAACCAACACCACCTCTCCCTCTTTCAAAACACACACACATAATAACTCCACCCCTCACAATCCCAACCGCTCGCTCGCCATCCTCGCCCCCTTGACGCGGGCTGCGATCTTCTGAAAGGCGACCTCGCGCGCAAAGTCCGGGTTATTCTTGTGCTTTGGCTTGACGTCGATACTAAACGGACTGAAGCCGCAGTCGTCGGTGGCGCCCAGCTGGTCCTTGGGTATGTATTTGGCGGCCTCGACGAGAGCGTCGCAGACTTGTTGGGGAGACTCGACCTCCGGGTTCAGCGGGTTGACGACGCCCACAAGGGCGACCTGCTTGACACCGTTGGCGTCGCGGCGGATCGTGCGCCCAATCTCCTCGTATACGCGGGTCTTGTTCTTCTCTGATGCCAGCTGGATCAAAAAGTAGCCCGCGTTCATCTGGAACAGGGAAGGCAAAAGGTCGTGGTAGTCGACGTCGGCTGAATGGACCGAGTCGCAGTCGCCGCCGGGGCAGGTGTGGATGCCGATGTTGGCGCGTTCTTCGGGTGTGAAGCGGTCTATGTATGTCACCAGTGAGTGAAGGAAGGGTTTTCAGGTAAATGATGATACTCAACCTTGCGGCCAATTCCAGGAGTAGAAAACACTCGTTCACTGCCAAAGGGGACCACTTCTCCTCTGGTCATAGGATTCACTTACCCAGGACCTGATTATTCAAGTCGATGAACTTCTGCAGCAAATGGGCCCCCGTCCACGGATTTCTCGAGTCGTTCTTGGTCGCAAGCCTCCCCTCCGTAAAGTCGATAGACACACGTTTTGCTCCCGCGGCGAAGCAGCCGCGGATGTCCTTCTCGCACTCGTCGACGACATCCCTTTCAAATTGCTCTCGAGAGTATCCCTCGACGGTGCCGTTGAGCGGATACAGCAGGTACATCATGGAGGGGGCGATGACGGCCTGTTTCATGGCGTGCCCTCCCGCAAGCGGCATCGACCTCTTCAGGTTCTCGTAGGCGTAGGTCTTGTACTTAAACGGACCCTTGACCAGGCGGGGCAGCTGCCTGTGATGCCCATCGTCAAAGATGGCAAAGTACTGGCCGTCCGCGGCGAGGTTGTCCGACAGACCTGTGCCCCCGAGCGTGTCGGTGATGGGATACGTGGCGAAGGAACTCGCCCGCTGTTCGCCGTCCGTGATCAACACTTCACCCGTGGCGGCAAGGTTTTTCAACGAATCCTCCACGGCTCGGTCCTGGGCCTTGATCAGCTCGTCGCGCGAGATATTGCCGGCATCGTAGTCTGCAAAGGCCTTTTGTAGGTACGTGGGTCGAGGGAGACTCCCGACCAATTCGGTGGGGATGGGCATTCTTTGTGCGCAGGCCAATGTCCACTGGTCGAAGAGGTACGTATGCAAGTGTGAATGTGTAGAATGTATCAAAGAGGAAAGAACAAACAGGCGTTACAAGAACGGATCTAGTGGGCTTTTTTTTGCTCTTTTCTTTTTGTTCCCCGCCCTATGCACACAGGCATGACGCCGGCGATCGTCTCGAGCTGCGTATCCGTTTCAAGTTCTTATTGGATCGCGAGCAGCAGCAGCAACCTGTGCAGCAACCTGTGCAGCAACCACCGAGTACAATGGGTACCGTTTGGGACCTAGCGAGCTACTTAGGTATTAGGTAGGCGTGTCGCTGTCTTCGGGAGGGGTATAGGCATTCATCGCTTTCCCCACAAGGAGATTCATGATGACCTTACCTTGATCAATACTCATAGTGGCACTCACTGAAGTGAGCGGGGCACGCGGCTTCGGCATAGTCGAGTTTGGACTTGTCGCGGGTGGATCGACATCATCAGCCCGCGACGTCGACTGCTTGAAGGAGATCGCGGGTGCAAGCAGCTACCAGCCTGGTACATCTGAGGCGACCCCTGTTTTGCGAACAATGTCCACCCCAGACATATCTTAAGCTGACATCTGGTGATTATGGTTGGCACAAGAAGGCATCTCGGAATAATGGCTCTGCTCTGAAAGCGAGCTCGTTGATTTTGTTGTACAGAACATAGCAGACACCCCTTCCCGCCATGCATTTCCATTTCACCAAAGCCGAAATGCTTTGCAGCTCACGCCCATCTCCCTATTTTAATCAGATTTCAGAGAGCCAGCCCACGAATGCCTGTACCGTTAACATGCAATAGATCTTCATCCGTATATTCTTGAATTCCCCCAGCAGAGAAGTTGGCTGCCCAGACAGGCTACTGTGCCGCAGCGCCTTCGCCGCGGATTCTCTTCCCTAGCCCACCGCCATCTGCAACTTCGCCCTCCTCTCGGGCTCTCTTATTTCCTCCACCAGGATTAAATTGAGCAGCTTGAGGATTCAACGCACCTCGACTTGGACTGTTGCCGCCTCCACCTCTGCCTTGCTGTTGGTTAACACCAGTGTGTACACTGGGGCCGCCACGACCACCTCGGGGTGCTCCACGACCTCTGGGAATACCGCTTCCTCGACCACGGTTCGCTCCACCGCGGGGAATTCCAGATTGGAGTTGCTGCATCAGCGCCGCGCCGGCTTGAGGCTTGTTTCCAGTTTCAGGCTGAGTGGCCTGAGGAGTTTGAGCAGGTTGAGAAGGACTAGGCTCAGAGGCAGGCGGATTGAAGGGATTCGGCTTTGGTTGCTGCAAGGCGGGTTGGGCAGCCGCTACTTGCTCGGGAGCAACACGTTGAGGCTGGGTAGCCTCGTCGGCTTTGACAGGGACGTTCGGCTTCGCAGTGGCTTGTGCAGGGGGAGTAGCAGCGGCAGGAGCAGACGGCTTTGGTGCTGCTGGAGCGTTTGCAGCAGAGGGTTTGGCGTCTTTGGCGATTTGCCAGACCTCTCCAACCGGCTTCTCAGGAGTCTCCTCTGCTGCTTTCTTCACCACGTCCAGTTTCGCAATTGCCAGATTTGCTCTGTTCTGAGACATGTTAAGTTTGACAGTACCTCGCTTCTCCGCCAACTGCTCGGCATTCTTGACTTGTTCTTCGATCTTCTTCGCCGACTCTTCGTCGAAATGGAGCTTCTGAGTCTTGAGCTCTTCTTCGTGCTTGCTGGCCATGTCTTGTTTTTCCCGAGCGAGCTTCTCTTCATACTGTTTGATCAAGGCTTCTTTCTCGGTCTCGAACTCGGTCTCCTTTTGCTTGACGATGGTCTCTTTCTCGGCATTAAACCGCTCCTCCAGTTGCTGAAGGACTTCTGCAGAAGCACCTTCGGTTTGAGAGCCTTGCGATTCCGACATTTCTTTCCGGATACTCTCCCTCTCTTTCTCTACACTCTTGTTGATGTTGGCTCTGAGAATCCGTCGCACAGTTTCGTTTTTGTTCACGAGAAATCTTGCTTTCTCTTCGGGCAGAGACAACAATACCTCATCAGGAATCTCGCCATTGATCACAGGAGCAGCGGCGCTAGTCGTTTCTTCGGCAGGCTTCTGCAGCTCGCTGGCAACAGGCACTGACTGAGCTCTGAGCGTCTCCATCTCCTGCTGATGCTGGGCATTGAGCTTGGCTGTCAACTCCTCAAGGGCAGCCACTTTCGCTTGCTGGGCTTGTTGCTTAAACTCAGCCAACCGCTTGTTAAGGATTGCCTCATTGGCAGCCACTCTTGACTTGAATCTTTCTTCCTGTGCAGATTGCAGCTCGTCGAGCTCCTTGGTCTTCTCTGCCAGCGACTCTTCCAGTTCCTTGATCTTCGTTGCCAGCCCGGCCGCGTCGGCGCGAGCTGTGTCGCTCGTGGTTGAAGAGTCAGCCGTTGCTGGGTGTTCGCCATTGACTTGAACCGGTGTTGCCGGAGCAGGACGTGCTTCGGCGGCGGCCAGTTGTTCCTTCAGCGAATCGAGCTCCGTGTTCAATGCATCTCGCTCGGCCACGAGTGCATCAAATTCGGCTTTTCTTTCACGAAGGGTACTGTTTTTCTCTTTGAGGACTCCTTTGAACTGCATCTCCAGCCTCGTCTTCAACTCGCCTTTAGCAGAGTCGACTGCCGCCTGTGTGCTTTCAATCTGTGTCTGAAGAGCTGAACGAGCCTCGTCGCGCTCGGCAATAGCCTTGTCGAGCTCTCCGCGGACTTCGTCACGTTCTTGCTCAAGGGTGGTCATCTTCTCTTTGAGGGCCTCCATTTCTGCAGGGTCGACTCGGTCATATTTCGAGAGAATGTTCTGGGTGCGTTGTTGCCAGTGGTCGCGGTCTTCTTGGCTCAGTTTCAACTCGCCCTCTTTCAATTCCAGCAAGTTCTCAAGCTCCGCAACACGAGCGTGTAACGAGTGTACTTCGCCTTCCAACTCCTCCACGCGCCGAGTCTTCTCAGCTAAAGCTTGGGTGGCTTGTTTCGCTTCTGCTCGCAGGGTAACACTGCTTTCGCGGAACAGGTTCAATTCGTTCAGAGTTTCGATGAGCTTGTTGTGGCTGAGGGCGTTGCGATCCGCGTCCGCTTCGGACCGGCGCTGCTGGTCGAGCTTCAACCGCGTTTCGTCTAGTTGCGATTGGGTAAATTCAAGCTGTTGCCGCAACCTCTTTGCCTCTTGAACCGAAAGTTGATATTGAACGTCGACGATGTCCTTCTCCCGGCGGAGGTAGGTAATCACCTCTTGTAGCTTATCGAGCTCCGCAGAGGGCTGGGCAGGCGCTTCCCCATTCACGCCTTCCGTCAGCGCTGCGCGATCGCGTTTCAGAGCCGTGATCTGCTGGGTGACACTTTCGAGTTGGCCATGCAAAAGGTTGTTCTGCTGGGCGAGCTCCTCGCGTCGTTTCTTGAGGTCTGCAAGCTCTCTCTCGTATCTCTCCTTCATCTCTTCCCAACTTGCCTGCTTCTTCTCAAGATCTGCCTTGGACGTCTCAGCTTGTGTTCGCAAGTCAACCATCTCTAGTTTGAGTTGATTGGCTTCGTCTCTGACTGTGTGCAATGTCTTGGCTGCTTCCGCATGCTTTAACAGCTCGGTTTCATAGTTTTGTTGAGCTTCCGTGGCAATTTGAGCTTGGATCTTGGAGGCCTCCAGGTTGAATTGTGCTTGCTCGGCACTCTTTTCCGCCTCTTCCTTCAGCCGCTCAATCTCAGACTCGAAACCAGCCTTCTGCTCATCGAGTTTCCGACCAAATTCTGCTTGTTCATCTCGCAGCCGTGACAATTCTTGATTGGTGGTATTAAGTTCAGCAGAAATATCTTCAATTCGCTGCTCGAGATCCTTGATCTTTGCGTCCTTCTCAGCAAGCGCGGCCTCCGTTTCTTCGCGATATTGGTCGTTGGTCTCGCCTAGTTCTTGAAGGCGCTCTTCACTCGACTGACTAATGTTCTTGAAGAATTCGACCTGCTCGGTGGCGCGTTCAAGTTCCGCCGTCTTGAGCTCAAGATCACGTTTGAGTTCTGAAACTTCCACTGCTAATTCTTGTTCTTTGCTCAAAACATTGTCCTCGGAAGCGCTTGTCTCTGTCGTAGGCTCTGCAGGTTTGCTCAGCACTTCCAAGCGTTCTTCAGCAGACCGGAGTTCCACAGTGAGCTCATCAACTCTGGCTTGCAGATGGTCCTTAGCCGTCTTCGCGGAAGCCAGTTCCTCTTTCGTCGTGCCCAGGCTGGTGACAAGATCGTCTATTCGCTTCTGAGCTTGTTCATGCTCATATTCTCGACGTAGGGCAGTCTTTTTACTTTCTTCGACTTCGTCATTGAGTTTTCTCTTGGTCGATTGAAGTTCAGACTCTAATGACTCTACTTGAGACTGCAGACGACGTCGCGTTTCCGAACCTGTCTGTTCCCGCTCGTTGATGATGGTCTGGAGGCTTGCATTGAGGTTGTCCAGTCGACTTCGCTCGTTTCGCAGGGATTCGTTGTCCTCGATTAAGCGCCGTTCGACGCTTTTCCACAAGTCTTTCTCCGCCTTCAGGTTTGCTGAATCACGACGCAAGCTGTCTAGAAGATTACGCGCCTCAACAAGCTCTTCGGCAACTTGCTGCGTCTTGAGCTCGTTCTTGGTCGCGTTCTCCATGGCAGTCCATGATCGCTTTTGAATCTCTTCGTTTTCGTGCTTGAGCGAGTTATAGTTCGCTTGCAGCATTTCATACCGTTGATTAGCAGCCGTTAATTGCCCCACAGTCCGACTGATCTCGGTCTGCAACTGGGAGTTTTTCTTGCTTAACTCAGCCACCTGGTTCTTCAGAGCGGTGTGGTCAGTCGAAGCTTCTTGTCGATACGAATCAAAATGTTGTTGAAGGTCTTTGAGGAGCTTGGCGTAATCAGAGTCGCCGCCAGCCACAGACCCTGCAGGTGACTCTCCGCTTGGGACTGGTAACGACCGGGAGAAGTCATTCGGTTGGACTTGGCTGGGTAGATGGCCACGTCTAGTCAGCATGTTCCGGAACATGTCTCTTTCCTTGACAAAGCTCTTGGTCTGAGCGACCATCGTCCTCAGCTCATCCTGGTACGACGCGATTTGTGCACGAGCTTGTTCAAGTTCGCGGCTGAGAGTATAGTTCTCTTGTTCTCGATCCTTTGCTTCGTTGTTCTCTAATTCGCTGACTAGATTTCGAATCGTCTTCAGCTGGTTCTCATTCTGCTGTTGTAGTTCGGTAATGTTTTTGAAGACGATGAGTCGCTGATTGATCAGTTGTTGATTTTCAGAGAGATTTGCCATGTCCTGCGACATTGCTGCTTCAGTCTGTTTCTCCAGTTCCTCGAAATCTTCGCGGGTGAGAGTCTCGCCTCGCTCGCGAACATATTGCTCAACCAGGAGCCATCGAATCTCTGAGCCCTTATCTCGGAGTTGTTGAGCCAGAACCTCAACCTCTCGCGACTTGCTCTCAAGTTGACCTTGGCAGTTCCTTAGCTCTTTCACTGTGGCGTCCCGATCAGCGTTGGTCTTGTCGACAATCGCAGACATTTCGACGACTTCGCTCTGCAGTCGGGCGTGGTCGGCACGCAGCTCTTCAATCTCAGGCTTGTTGTTTTCCAATTCGTCGACCATGGCGTCGAGACTTTCTTGCAATTGCTCCCTAGCACGCTTCTCGCTGGCCAGTTCCCCTTCGAGCTTCTTGTACTCTGAGAAAAGTTGAGTCATGGTCATTTGAGATTTCCCTCTGGATACTGAAGCTGGAGAGAAAATGCCACTAGGGGTTCCAGGTCGAAGTGGTGTTGTGATACCTGAACCATTAGTTGTGCGTTGAGGCGTGCCCTGTCTTGCGCGGGCCTGTTCCAGTTCACTTGACATCTGCTGCAGAGACTCCTCGAGTTCGGCCACACGTTGCTCAGCAGCGACCCTGTCATTGTGTTCGGTTTCAATCTCAGCGCGTATGGTGCCAATCTCTTCTGCAGCCTCCTCACGGGCTTCTTCCAGAGCAGCAGATAGCTCCTGAACGCGCTGTTTAGCTGTCTCAGCAGACGCCGCTTGCAGCTCAGCTAGTCGATTTACACTCTCAAGCTCGACTCTGAATGCGTCCTCGGCAGAGATCTTTTCTTCCCGAACCTTCTGCATCTCCTCCAACGTTTCTTCAAACCTGGCCGTCTGCTCCTCCAACCGCTGTTTGAGAGAAGTCTCCGAACGTCTCAGGGTCTCGGCTTCAGAGATGTATTGTTCATTCAACCTCGAAAGTTCTGATATGCGAGCATTCTTTTCCTTCCGGAAATTTGTGTGCTCCTCCGCCTTGATTTTCCGCTCTGTCTCTAACCACTCGTTGTTTTTCTTCAGCATTTCAACTTCTTGCTGAAGCGACTGCTCTTTAAACCTCGCACTCGCAACGGCAGCATTCGCGGACTGCACGGACTGGTCGAGAGCGTTGATCTGCTTTCGGAGTTCTGCATTCTTTTGGTGTTGTGTTGCGAGGTCTTGGGATAGGCTGTCGTATGCGGCATTCTTGGACTCGAGCAGAGCCAAGGTATCTCGGTTGGAGCCTTCGAGGGAAGAGATACGTGACTTGAGAGTGTTGACCTCTGAACTCTCATTGGCCGTGGCGGAACGGTATTGTTCGAGCTCGCTTTCCAACTTTGATCGTGCATTTTCTGTGACATATATGTCAGCTATTTCTGGGAGACACCGTGAGAATTCAACCTCGTACCGGAAGTTTGCAACTCGACGCGAAGTTTACTTGACTCGGCGAGGGCCTTGTCGCGCGAGTTTTGCAGAACTTTTGCTTTGGATTCACTTGTCCGTACAACCGTCTCGAGCTCTATTTCGAGTTTGACCTTTTGAGATTTGGTCTGCTCAAACTCTTTCACTTTTGCCTCGATCGCGCGGAGGAGAGCAGTCACAAGCTCAGTCGTCGGCTGGCTGATGAGCGAAGTGACGGAACTCTCAGGTAGGGAGGAGAAGGCAGAGATGGCGCGAACATCCACTTCGGCCGCCATTTTGAAGGGTGTTGAAGAAATGTGATTGTTGTCTTCGCAGGTCGAGGAGGGAAAGTGACGTGCAGGTGAAGAATGCGCCCACCACAAGCGCAACCTCAGGGAGAAATGAAAGTTACCTCAACCCGTCTCACCATGGCGCAAGAAGCTGCCTGCGCACGCGATGATAAGAAGGAGAGAAGGAGCGGACGTGGTGAATGGTGAGAGGTGGAATGTTGATGGTAGGATGGAATTGGAGATGTTCGAGAATGAATCTCTAAACAGCCATGAAGCGGGCGGCGCGGGCAACTGAAAGAACGTGACTTGGGGGCCTTCCCACGAATGTAGGCGTTCGGCTAGGCTGCAGGCGCCTAGTTATGTAAGCCCAACCTTAACTTGTTTGGCGCTGTCACACCTATTGCAGTAGCGACTGGGGCTCCGGGCCTCGCTTCACCTGCCCTCCCCCACCTATTAACCAGGCATATCACATAGCTCAACCGCCACACAGAAGACCTCGCATTACTCTTAAGGCTTCTTCACTTCATCTCTCATTCATATGCTCAGTCTTCCTTGACAGGCTCTCTCGCTGTCATCTGTTCGCTACTTCGAAATGAGATAGACTGTCCGCCGCAAACGGAAGCGGAACCTTTGACTAGGCCTCCCCTTCCATCTCTCTTGCGCCCACCCGTACTCTCGCTCCGCCGCAACCAGAGGGAACCTGCAAACAAAGACTACATTCGCACTTTGAACAGATTTTCCAACGAATATGTCGTCCTTCTACGCGCCGCCGGTAACCGATCCGGCAGGGACAGACGTCCGCACGAACGCCGTGTACGCTGTAGGGCGGTTACGCGAGAAATTCCCCGAACGCATTTCTGCCTCCGATCTCATCACCTTCGTCCTCCCCGTCCAGAGACGCGATGAGACCACGGTCCAGCATTTCCTGGCCGTCCTCAACGCCAACTCAAAAGTCACATATGACAAGGAAACAGACAGCTTCCTGTTCAAACCGGAGCACAACATCACTGATGCCGACTCCCTGCTCCAGTTCCTGCAGAAGCAAGAGACGGCCATGGGGATCCAGGTGTCGAAGTTAAAGGACGGCTGGGCCGACGTCGAGGACGCCATCGACAAACTCGAGGCCGAGCATCGCCTGCTCGTGACTCGTAACAAGAAGGACCACCACCCGCGAATGGTCTGGATCGACGACCCCACACTCCACGCGCCGCTCGACCAAGAATTCAAGGATCTCTGGAACCAGATCCCGTTGCCGAGCGTTGAGGACACAATCAAAGAGCTTCGTAAGATGAATCACAAGTCAACGGGTGAACCGGCTCGGACGGATCTGGCAGCGAAACCCAAGAAGGAGAAGAGGAAAGTCCGCAGAGGGCAGAAGATCACGAACGTGCACATGCAGGGTCTGTTTAGGGATTACTCGGAGAAGAAACCAGAGGTCAAGAAGTAGGCGTTGGTTGTCCTAGTCACGGACAAACATCATCGGCGCGGCTCTGTATTTCTTCCAAGCATGCTACACCTTCGGGCCTGTAGCCTCTCTGGAGGCCCCAGCTCACCGTCTCATACTTTCTCGGCGGCAGGCCTATCCTGCCTCTCCAAGTCACAGGCTCCTAGCCAGTTGCCAGGCGTTCCGGAATATGATTTTGTGCGGTCGGAATGGGAACGGAAACGGAAACGGAAAATGAGTCCCAAAAGGCGAAAATGGAGAAAAATGATAGATACCCAGATATATCACCGGCCCTTTATCGCTGCTTTATAGAGAACAGGGCAGAAATAGGTCCTTCCAGAATGGAAATTACCATTCAAAGCCAAGCCATATGAGCAGATATCCGTTGCCATTGCACACTCACACACACACATACAGACATACATAAAAGGTATCATACCTAGGTAGGTAACCAGCGGAGAAAGACCCGGAACTCCGTACTTAAAAAAGACGGGACGTATCAAAAAGAACCCATACCCACATCCCAAAGGAAGAGAACCAGACATAATATCCATGGATACTATTGAGCGAAGAGAAATAGTAGATTAGGTCAGCTTTTCGTATCGACATCGACCATGCCCTCCTCCCGAAACCGCGAGAAACTCCGTCTCCGATCCCCATTGACGCTTCGCTGATCGACGCTCAGGGCGCGCGGTCTCCCCGACCCCTGACCCCCCTCCGAGGGAGCTTCCCTGGTGAGACTGCGTCCGCGCTCCCGCGCTGGTGTGTTGTTGTTGTTGTTGTTGTTGTTGTAGTTGTTGTAGTAGTAGCTCGCGGCCTCGCCCACGCCTTGCGGTCGGAGTCCTCCAGCATTGTTTCCACCTGTGGCTTCCTCGTACCTAGGCGGCGGGGCGGAGAAACTGGCCACGCTGGCGGGCCGCTGCACGAGATTCAGGCTGTTGTCGTACCCGAAGCCGTCCTGCGTGGAGTCGGCGTGGGATTCGGATGCGCTGCCGGGATGATCCCACATCACGATCGCGGGGGCCTCGGCGTTTCCGAGCAGCGAGTGGTTCTGGTCTGCCGTCGCGGTGTAGCCTCCACTGGCGCTGTATTTCGAGGGATCGTTGGGGTGGGTGGTGGTGGTGGTTGATGAGGGTGGGTGGAGGGTGATGGTCGGGGTGTGCGCGGTTCTGCGCATGCGACGACGACGGTGAATGCGTCTGAAGATGATGAAGGCGACGATGAGTCCGATGACGGCGATGGCGATCACTATACCCAGGATTGCCCAGGTCGAGACGCCCTTGCCTCCTGGACCATCCCTGTGGTCGCCGAAATCGCCTGGACCGTTGCCGTCGCCGCCGAAACCTTGGCGAGGGAAGAGATTTGATGATGTAGTGGGAGCCATAGAGTCGATAATTGATCAATTCAGACGGGGAGTGTTTCCTTTTGGCCCAGGCCGGGCTCTCTGGAGCAAAGTTTGTTGTATTTTCAAAAACTGATCGTGGTATAGATCTCGGCTATGCTGAATCAAGAATTGTAGTATGTGGAACGCTTTTTTGCAGTGTTGAAAGAGCTCGAGGCCAAAGTCGAGGTTGGTTGGGCGTGATGTTGGTGTGGAACTCAACGACCGCCTCAGGAGGAGTACAAAACAACCAAGACAATGTGAACCCAGTTGGAGAGAAGAAAACACGGCAAGAGACAAGGCAAGGTATGTAATCAAACTCCTTCTTCCGTGTATGTACGTATGTATTGGGTAGGTAGTCAAACGAGTGAATAGCGAAAAGAGAGGGAACAGAAGGAGAAGGTGAGAGACGACGGCCGCACAGCAGGCTTCTTATTTGGTAGTAAGGAACAGACAGGTATTACCGTGGCGCCGGACAAGCCTCAGAAAGATCCGTCCGCCTCTCTTCCACGTCAGGCTCAGCCGAGAACTGCTCCAGCGAAAGCCACAAAAGGAGCAAAACAAGCAAAAATCAAGAGCGAGGAAGAGGTTGAAGGAGAGAACGAAGTACGGAGAGGAAACGGTCCCCAATCCTAAACAGATCTCAGGCTTGCGTATTACTTAATTTGGGCCCTCTATCATGTCCGGCTTAGTGTGAGGCTGAGACTGGGGGCGGAGCGTTATTCGGCGATAGTGGCTTGCAGCGGGTCAAAGAACGGCTGCTGGGGCCTGGTAAAGGGCGCTCATCGAGGGTTCGGTAAGTCGAGAGGAGAACTGGGGGCCCTGAACAGGTTGATTGTGCTTTGTCTGAAAAAGAGAGGCCTCCCTGCTGTCTTGGAGAATACCTGGTTAGCCGGGATCCGGGTCTCACTGATGTTTCTTGTCTTTGCTGAACCCGAGATTGACCCGGAGAGAGCAGGCACCAAATTTGGTGGAATTCGACACAATACCGCCCACCTTGGCCCTGCGCCTTGCCGACGGGGATCGGAAGATGTAGGCAGAGCGAGCGCGGTTTAGGCCTGTTGTGGAAGAATTGAGCGAAATTGATTTCTTGGGAAGTTTTGATTTCTATGCAACAAAGTTATGACCTGGCGGACTGTGACAGTCATTTCCATCACATTGTGTAGGAGCGTGTGTTTCGGGAAGCATTGGGCGAGGAAACAGATGGACAGTGGTCAGTGCCAATGCCAATGCCAAAGCATTTCGAAGCATGGGGAAGCCTGAGCTGAACTGATGGTACTGGTACTCCGTAGTTTTGTGGTGGCTGCGTGAAAGTAAGTGCTGAGGTGAGAAAAGGTCGAGCGAGACATGGGAAGAGTGGAAGCAGCTGTCGCTCGACGTCATCCGTCGCCTACTGGTAGCCTTGCTGCCTTGTAGCCCTGATTGCGACGAAGGCTTCAAGATGGAGTGCCATCGCGAGAGAAAGCACAAACGGCAAGGATCTTGGAAATTCAGTTCATCATTCAATAAGTTCACTGCAGATGTACGCGATCTTTGGTCATGTCTAGCAACATGCTTGATTTGTTCATTTCAACCACCGTCAATGAGCCCCATTCACCCCATTCGTCACATGCCCATTACCATTCCTCGCCGTCTTCTCCTTCTGCACATATTCGACCAGGTCTTCGATGGTACAAACCTTCAGTCCCCACTTGCGGCCAAACTCAAGACACGCATCGCGCCTCATCATGCCGGGTTCGCGCATGGCGGTCTGTCCCGGGACGGGCTCTCCGTCGTCGACCATCTCGCAGATGACGCCGACTCGGGCCTTGCCGGCAAGCCGACAGAATTCCACCGCTGCTTCGGTGTGGCCTGTTCTTTCCAGCACACCTCCGTCGCGGGCGCGGAGCGGGAAGACGTGGCCTGGTCGGCGGAAGCTGTCGACGGTGGCTTTCTTGCCGGCGAGGGTGCGACAGGTCAGAGCTCGATCGTGGGCGGAGATGCCGGTGGTCACGCTCTCGTCAGTCGAGTCGATTGAGATGGTATACGCCGTGCGGTTGGGATCTTCGTTGTCCACCACCATCTGCGGGAGTGCCAGTGCAGCAGCGAGTTGAGAAGTGATGGGAGCACAGATCAGGCCGCTGGTGTAGCGGACCATGAAGGCCATCTTCTCGGTGGTGACGTCCTCGGCGGCGATGATCAGGTCGCCTTCGTTCTCACGATCCTGGGAGTCGAGCACCACAATGAACTCGCCATTGCGGAAGGCTTCGATGGTGGATTCTATGGTATCGAACCCCTTGGACAGGTTGTTTGGAGGCTGCATGTTTGATGGACCTTGGTAAGGGGGTGTTTCGACGCACTGGACGAGGATGTGGTAATGAGCTTATGTCCCGTAAGCAGTTTGTGCCTTTTCCTCCCCGTGTGTCTACCGCGGCAAACCCTCGTGTGTCTGTCTTCCTTGCCACGTCCTCTGACTTTTCTGGGGGGAACAACGAGCCAGCAAAGAGTGCTTGGGTACGCTGTAAGTTATCCCAAGCGGTCAAAATCAGACGTAGTTGTGAATCAGTTGTACTTCTGCCCTCTCCACAAGACTCGAGACTCCTCGCAACCTCTTCAAAACGCAGCTTCGCGAACCGCCAAACTTTTTGTTTTCTCTCTACCAATAAAAAAAGCTTGCAGACAGAAACCCCGCGGTGAATAAATTCCGAGACGATTTCAAAACTCCGTTACACTGTGATCGGATTGGCAGGCCGACCGTCCTGTAGATAGTTAGAATAAAAAGCACCGGGTATCTTTCTGGAACGGTTGAGGTCGGTTTACAGAGGCGACATGGAGGAGATCAGACTGAGAAAAAGAGGGAGGGAGGGAGGGGGAGGGAAATGGAAAGTCTCGGAATGATATACGTGAGTCGAGGCCCCGGGCGCCCGGGTCAGCGTAGCGACCAAGAAGCCCATGGCGGCTGCTATACCGCGGTACATTTGTCATGTGCGCTTAAAAATTGGTCAGAAATGATCAAGCGCTGGTTGCAAGCACCATCGGACAGGGCAATCATGCAATCATTAGGTACGTATGGACGAGCACTTTGCCTCGGCCGGAAACACTCGGGCGAGATGCTTCTGGCGGAAAAGCCAAAAGTGAGAGAAGAGGAAAGAAGAAAAAGCAACGCCTAGTGACGCCAAGTCGTGATGGACCTGCGCCCCCCAGTGCCAGTGTAGCACCGCTTTTCTCATACGAGGCCCCAATACCGAGTATTGTCCAACCTCCGAACTCCGAACTCCAAAATGTGTCTTATGCTTGAGGAAAACTCCCCTCATTTTCTACTTGTATGCCCTGCCCAAAGTCGTACAATCATAGCCTCGTGTCGAATCAACATTGGTGTCCATCCGTCTCTCATGCTTCTTGACAAATTCAGTCCCAACACTCCCCAAGGAACACCATCTCAGTCGGCAAAGACGTCGACTTTCCGGCCCCTTGGACCTTTGGATGGTGTCTCAACCTCGGCAACGTCGTCTTCAGCCGGTGCTTGAATCGAGTCTGGATCTCGCCCATGATACAAGACCCGCCCATATCTCACTCGCTGCCAGATCTGTGCCATAAAATTGGAGTCCCTAGATCCCGCCGCAAGTGCACTAGCCCTCTTTGATCCAACCACTATTGTGTCATTCTCCTCCAACAGCGACTCTGTCTGTGAGCCGCTGACAGGAGGGCTGCTGGGCAAGGTCTGGTTGTCCACGTGGTCACCTGTAAACACCTCCGTCTTCAACTTACTTCCAGAACGGACTCCTGGCGTGAAGGGCGAGAAAGCAGGTCGCGTCGGAGTACCTCGCTGAAGATCCGAGAGATCCATGTGGTCATGGATCCCGCCAGCGCGTGTAGGACTAGGGCCAGGTGTGAGAGGGGAAAATGGCGGGCGACAGGGCGTGCTTCGTTTGACGGGACTTAACAGGCCATCATCATCCATCCTTCGAATGGGACTCGTAAATGGCGAAATCTGGGGTCTTTTCGCTTGTGCCAAAGGCGAGAGTATTGCTCGCCCAGGGTAGTCGGAAGGAAGCTTGGCCGTCTTTGGCACGGGCCTGTTCTTTTTAGGAGTGCTGGACGGCGTATGTCTGGCCTTCTCCGGAGAAGGGATATCCACGATGATCTTGGCCTTCTTCTGGGGTCTGTTCTCCTTCCCCGTACATTCTTCCATGGACTTTCGTTTTCTCTTGGGCTGTTGCGATTTCGTCACTGTCAAATCAATCTCGCCTTGCCGGAGCCATAGATCATGCCGGCGTCTCCTTAGGTCGTCAACCCAGTCATCGCAGTCCATGGCGACAAAGTCGTCGATGATGCCGTCCCACACACTCTCCGCAGGGCGAGTTCGGTTGACAAAGATCACTCGTCCTTTGCCATTCTTGTGCGAGTGGACCGCTTTGGCAAATTCTCGTACAATCTTCTGGAGCCCGAAAACTTTCAGTGACGTTCCCATAATGACCAAAACGTCTGGTTGGCAGCTGGCGTCAAAGGGGATCAGCGGTGTGAGCAACGTGTTGGAAGGATGGTCTTCGCCATAGAGGACGATGTTCGGTCGAAGCGCTCCCACCGCCAGGCCTCGTTTTCCACTCGCTTGTCGCTCGTCGCTCTTGTCTCTGCACTTGGGGCAGTCGGCCGCAGTCCCCTCGAGATAGACCTCCGTCTGCTCATCAGTCCAGGGATACTGGGTAGAGCACATGGTGCAGCGCAGCTTCTCCAAGTCACCATGGAGTTGTACAACCTCGCATCCTCCATCAAAGTCGGTGCCGGCCGTGTGTGCAGGACGGGGTGCCTCGTAGTGCTTCTTCATGAACCTGCGCTTGTTTCCCTTTCCGCGTGCTAGATCTGCCACAAGTCCTTCTCTTAGCTCAAGACCGTCTATGTTCTGAGTATAGCACCTCATCAACCGACCACCATCACGCAGCACCCTGACGAATTTGTGGACAGAGCTCGTGGACCGTACCTCGTCGCGGATTTTCTGCCGGAGAGAAGCGATGAACTGGTAAAAGATGGTGGTGGACTCGGCATGTTGAAACACGCGGGAGTCAAACAAGTCCTGGCCTCGCAGTCTCGACGACGGGCTCGACGATACTCGCCTGCTTCTTGACTGGGACGAAGAAGGTTCCTCGTCGCCAGTCAGGTCTTTGAACCGCGCATGCGTGGGCGTTGAAGGTTCTGATGGTGGCGGTGTCGGTAGCATAGTCTGCCCGGGGATCATGTTGTAGAGTCCATCTTTGGAGCGGAAGTCCTTTGCACAGTTAGTATCACTCCCAAACCCGAGTAGGTATGACACGCACGGGAATGCCACAGCTGGTACTGATGCCGGCGCCAGTCACAAGCAAGATCTTGTGCGAGCCCGCCAGAGAGTCTGCGATCTCTTGCAGTGCTCGCTCATCCTCACACGTCACTTCTCGAAGGCCCATGTTGTTATCTGGGATGTCGGTTTTCAATGTCGCCGGGCTGGTTCGCAATTGGGATACCTCTCTTCGGATTTTCAGTAGAGAAAGTCAAGAGGTTGGCTTGAGAAGAGCGATTCATAGGCAAGACAGCGGTCCTCACAGGCCAGTCGTGAAATATGTAGCCCAGATGGTGAAGCTGTCGTCTGGACCAATACTCCGTGCACTTCGCGTCACTGACCGACGCGTTAATCGCGTGCTTTGGTCCAAAAGACGCGTCTTGGCTAAGACCAAGCAGACATTTGAAACATGGCAGAAGTTCGCCTTTGATCGATCTAAGTCGCGGTGGATGTTTGCGAACAATATGTGGGATGAAGGGTGGTCAGTTGAGTGTTCAATGGAGAGCTCCAGGTTGTTTACAGATCGAGACGGTGAATTTCCCGAGTCGGAAGCTCGACGATCGGCCGCTAAAAAGTTAAGCTTCCGCTAATTCTCCAGCCACTGAGATCATCGTATCATCCGCCCGCCGCCTCCGCCAAATATGCCTCCAACCTATGAACAACAAAATCTCCCTCCCATGTTCGACTCTCTCAGTTTTGGTTGCTGTGTGGGAAAGATGCCTGAGCCTCTTCCCAACCACCGTCGCTCTCAGGCTCCAGTCTCCTCCTCTTTGACGCAGGCTCAGCGAGCGACGGGCTCTCGGGAAGCAGCATTCTCCCATTTCGCTCCCACTCAGCCTCGTATGTGACAGACCATCCCATACAATCTTCAACAGACTTTCTCAGCACCGGCGGTCGAACTCCTAAATCTTCGATTGCTTCTTCTTTTGAATCCTTCTCCTCTTGAATATCTTGAGTTCCGAGCAGGGACAACAGCCGTGACTCTTCCCGCCTCCGCGCTTCTCGATCCATTCTCTCCAGGTAGTCGTCTTGGTCTTCTTCGAGAAACTGTATTCGCTTCTCCCTTGACATCCGCGAAGTCGAAGGCTCCTCGGAGGATGAGCCATCATCTTCTCCACGAAGGCTGTTTGCTTCTGAGCCCTCGCTATCCGCATCGGAGGAGCTAGTGTCTGCGGAAGATTGGTCATGGACAACAGGATCACGGGCGACAATATTGTTGTTCGCAACATGCTCCATGTCTGAGGTTTCCTCCAACGTTGATTGACTCCTTGTTGATACCGTGGACATTCTCGAGCCAGACCTCGTCCTTGGGCGACTTGACAACATCTTTTCCACCTTCTCGTACGACATGACAGCCTTTCCATCTACTCCTTTCCGATGTGCGTCATCCACAACTCTCAAACCGTTCCTCCTCGCCAGCCCAATCCAGAATGACTCGGAGTCTCTCTTGACGCCCAACACATCGAGAGCTGCAAGTACGTCATCAGATCTGACAAGTCCTCCGGGTTGGTAGTCTCTGGACGCAGCAGCACGAACGCGAGACATGGCAATGAAAAGAGATGCTTGTATCAACCGACGTGCAAAGTTGACGATCAAGTCATAGAAAAGAGTTACCGAATCCAATGCCAGTGCTGGACGTTGACCTTCTTCTGCTAGATTTTGCCACGATTCCGAGCTTTTGGCATCTCCGTTCATGAAAAATCGCTCGCTCAGCACGAGAAACGTTGAGAGATGGAACGCCTGGACTGCTCTTTCAGAAATCGGTGCCATGGCATCGTCAGACTCTTCGTCTCTGGTGCTGCCAGATGCTTCCAATTCATCAGCTTCCTTGTCCAGCTCAGCTGCCACGTTGTGATCGATGAACCATAGGTTATTGCCATTTTGACCCACGGTTGCGTCGTACTGTTCTTGAAACGCTGACAAAGCAGCTGCGGCCGTGTCGAGGACAGCTTCACATTCGCAGCCGATCTCAACAGCAGCGGGTATGTCGGCGTGGGAGATGTTCTTCGGCTGTGCCTCGAAGCGTTGGCGGTCGGCCTCCTGTTCTCGCAGGTGGTCCAGGTACGCCTTGATCTCGACCTCGGACTTTGTGCCCACCAACAGCGACAGAGTCTTCAATTCATGTCGGCCTTTGCGGCAAAGCGCATCGTAAAGCCTTGTCTTTTCGTCGGTTCGCCAAAGAACGGCGCCGAGCTGACTTGGAGGCAATTCTTCTCCGAGACTGTCTTCATCTGCCGTCTCAAATGTCTCCTTGAAGATTTCGAGGTACTGGTCCTGGTAGTGTTTGCGGAGACGATCCCATTTGCGATGGTGGAACGCCTTCGCCTCAGGAATGTCTGTGGCTGTTTCGAATGGCAGTGCATGTACATTTCCAGGGTCGTGAATGTCCACGTTGGTGACTTCTAGCGAGGGATTGTTGAGACCCGTGATGATCGTAGCATCGGCGGTGTCATCTTGGCTGTCGTCGAGATCCATGCTTGACTTGCTCCTTCCAGGCCATATGGCAGGACACCGACCGCGTGCAAAAGGGCAATCTGCCAAGTGACATGTTAGTTCAGGGAGAGTGATTCCCGTGACATCTCTGGGATGATCCAGATGTGGATGAAAAGAGTTCTACAAGATGAATCCTTCACGCTCTCAGTCTCGCCGTTTAGCACATTCGCCAAGAATCCCGTCTAGAATTTTAGCGCTAGATCTGATTGGCTATATCTCTCAGCACATAAATCTACGAGTACCGACGAGCCGAGTAACCCGCCGTACGACAACCAAGATCGACTGGGCACTTATCCTGGAAACTCAATGAATCATCAAGAAAATGATACCTAGGTACCTAGGTAGGTATGTTATCAGGCCCGACACTTACCAGGGTATTTTGTTTGGGATCAACCTCTAGCTTGGGCGACAAGGCTGAGCAGAATGTGTGGATCGGACCAATAACCCAACAACTGCGACTCGGACTCGGCCCAATGGAGCTCCGTTGGTACCTAGGCACCCAGTCAAGTGCCAGTCTCTGCCAGTCTCTGCCAGTCAATGCCCCAGAAATACGAATTGTGGTTAGCGCCTCATCATGACCCGACCCTCCGAATGTTGTATAGACCGTCCATACAGCAGGTGCCTCCATCGCCGTCTCCGTCTCCATCACGTCCTCGATCGACCACAAAACCATTTTCCAGAGCATTTGTTCGGACTTAGACAGTTACGCACCCTGAAGAATTGCTTTTAAGGGCAAGATGATTCTTCCTAAATCCGAACTGTGGATGTTCCATGCCACTCCACTGCGTATGGAAGCCATGGGAGAAGGTGTATAAATGCCACTCGTGGTCCAGTGCGAACATCAGTCCTGAATTCACTCACCATCTGCAGTATTGACAGATCGTCGCCCAAATTCCACCTAAGCCATAACAACCCTCCAGCAACAATGCTCGTGTTCGTGACCGGTGCGCCTGGCTTCATAGGCCGTGCAACCATTGAAGAACTTCACAAGCACGGACATGAAGTGTTGGGCCTCGCGCGAAGCGATGCCTCTGCGGAAAAAATCTCCAAGCTCGGTGCACAGGTTCACCGAGGCGACCTCGAAGACTTGGAGAGTCTGAGGACCGGTGCGAAGAAAGCTGACGGCGTCATTCACCTTGCATTTGTGAGAGACCTCGTCCTAGCACATTCACAACAACTGCTAACCGCGAGGTGTAGATCCACGACTTTAGCAACTATGAGCGAGCCGGAGCAGCCGATCGGGCGGCAATCGAGGCCATGGCTGAAGCAATGGCGGGGACAGGAAAGCCACTGGTCATCGCTTCTGGCACCATGCTTGCCGTGAAGGGACAACTTGCTACTGAAGACGCCGAGCCAGAGCGTGGGACGCCGTTTGCGATGAGGCAGGAGTCCGCCGACCTTGTTGTGAAGTTGTCAAAGGAAAAAGGGATCCGCGGCTCGATCATCCGCCTCCCACCCACAGTCCACGGTAAAGAAGATAAAGGACTCATCCCCATGTACATCGACGGCGCGCGTAAGGCCGGCGCGGTCAGCATCGTTGGCGATGGATCAAACCGCTGGTGCGCTGTTCATCGCCAGGACGCAGCTGTTCTATTCCGCCTGGCACTTGAGAAGGGCGTACCAGGTGGTACCTACCATGCCGTCGCGGAGCAAGGTGTCCCATGGAAAGATATAGCGAATGTTGTTGGCAAGAATTTGCAGTTGCCAGTGGAAAACAAGTCTTCCGAGGAGGCCATGAAGACGCTTGGGTTTCTAGCTCTGGTGTTCGGTGCAGACAATCCTGCATCGAGCGAAAAGACGCAGAGGGAACTTGGATGGGATCCCCGGGCTTCTGGACAGCCTGAGCTACTAGCAGACTTGGAAGCGAACTACTTTTCCTGAGGATACCTGTATATACCTACCTAGGTAGGTAGGTACTATTACGTACACCTAGTCATCTAGATATCAAGGAGATCAAAATGGAAATTGTCTGTTGGAAAAGAAATGTCTCGTTCTTCCAATGCCACTCCATAACTGTCTGGTCAGCTAGCTGGTTCTTCCGTGAACATATGTCTCTGATATCTCCCGGCGATGAAATGACCAATCCCGTTGGCGTGGAAGACAAGGAGCTCGTTATTCAAGTCGAGGCCTCACGGTTCCACGAAACACAGAGTCTGTTTGAGGATGAGGCATGGTATTCTGTGGGAAGTAGATCCCGCTGATGATTTGCACAAGAGAGGCGGATGGTGTGGTGGAAGGCGGACTGCTATACTTCCCACCGTGGCCACCGTGTCTTCGAAGGCTGGTTGCAAGCTACACGTCTGGCTGTGGAAACCGTACAGGACGGTTAACCTCGTATGTAATCTGGTGGGAGTTGTCAAATTACCGAACTTTTCTTAATTAATCAGCGTCCTATTGTCACGAACGTGGCCTCTGCAAATGACCTATATCAATCGGTGTGTTTAAACTCCATGTCTTGTCTTGCCATAGCCTTGGACCTCTGCATTGGCCATGGGGTCTTAGTACCAACTCCTTATTCTGGAGTCCAACCCAAAACCAGTCCTGGTAACAATGGGCCACGCGAGCGAGACACGCACCAGCAGAATTAGTCGCACTCTACGCACTGATTCATTGATACCGACCGATCCTCCCCTAGGGCACCCTGATTGAAGGTGCCTCCCCATCTCGAACTTTCCGACGGTCCGAATGTTCGGTCCCGCCAAGCTCGCCTCAGTTCAAACACACTTCTCTCTATTTCATTTTCGAAGCAGCTTTTATTCTGGTCGTGAACATTTGGAAAGAATTCCTGTTCAGAAGTCCGACTGAACTATCAGAAACGTCAGCTTTAGAAGCCGCATCGACTTCTTGCCCACGGCGTCCGGCATTTCTCTTGACCGGCAAAGGAAGTAAGGATAAACAACTTCAAACTCATAAACACGACATACGAGAAACATGACCGATTCGTCAGCCTCAACCGTGGAGATTGCCAAGGGCAATACGCTGTCGACAGGCGGCAGCTCACCAAAGGCATTCAAGGACGGCTACTTTGACTACAATTTCGCCCGATTCTTGGGCTTGTGCCCCTACTCTGGCGCCGAGATTGGAGAATGCTTCGCCACGGCGCACCGGATAATCGACGGCGACGTCGAGAGCTGGGTGCGTGAGTGGACCGCAACCGCGCAGAGGGTCGAGGCACTGGCCGAGGATTCCTTCAAGAGGGGACACAAGTTCAGCGCCCGCGAGGCCTGGCTACGCGCCACGACGTACTACCAAGCAGCGTTCTTTTTTGTCCTGGATGGCGACCCACGCAAGCCGGAGCTGTACCAGAAACACACGGGCTGTTTCCAAAAGGCCGCCCCTTTGTTTAACCCGCCCATCGAGCCACTGGCCATCCCCTATCGCGACGATCGCGATGGCAACAAGGAAAAGTCGTTATTTGGGTACTTTGTCCGTCCGGACCCCCGTGACTTTCCCGGGCCGCGCCCTACCGTACTCATCCAGATGGGCGCAGACGGCAGTTCTGAACAGATTTACTTCTCGGGCGGCGGCGCTGCCGCAGCGCGGCGCGGCTACAACGCCATCATCTTCGAAGGCCCCGGCCAGACCGGCACGTTCATGCGCGACCGTACCCTGACCTACCGCTTCGACTGGGAAAAGCCCGTGGCCGCGGTGGTCGACTTTGCATTGACCCGTTCCGAGCTGGTCGATCCGCAGCGCATCGCGCTGATCGCGTACAGTATGGGCGGATACCTAGGCCCGCGGGCTGCCGCTTTCGAGAAGCGACTGGCGGCGACCATCGTCAGCGGGCTGGTTCCTGAGATCAAGGGCTTGGCTAAGGGATTCGAGGACGCCGAGGCCGCGCGCGCCGCTGGCAAGCCGCCCAACCACTCACACCGCTGGCTGCTTAATGAACACATGCCCAAGTGGGGCCTGAACGGTGGCTTCGACGACGTGCCTAAACTGAGGGAGATGTCTGGGAACTGTGTGCTGTACGGGCTCGAAGACAAGATTACCTGCCCGCTCCTCGTGGTGCAGGCGGCCGCCGAGGGCGACGAGACCACCAACAGGGCCAAGGCGTTTTTCGACAAGCTGCCCAATCCAAAGAACAAATTCCGCCTCACCACTGTCGAAGACGGCGCAGATATGCACTGCCAGAAGGGTAATGCCAGCCTCCTACACGCCATCGAGTTCGACTGGCTTGAAGAGGTCATGGGCTGACGGCGAGAGTTTTCAACCCAAACCAAATTTAATCCCTACCCACCTCCTCGATCGCCTACTTTATAATTTAGTCGGCCATCGTATTCTCATTATCACGGTGGCCCTAGGGGTCAGGGATGGTCAAACGCCTAGCCGAGGAACTTGGAATGCTTTTACATAGTCGAGAGTCCAGTGTACAATTGCCTGGCCAGAGCTCCTTCAGGGTCTAGTATTCGGTTATATAGCTGACTGGATGCGCAGGTCGAAAAATAGAAATGGGCTTTGGAAAGGTCAAGATTTGTCTCCGAGTACCTCGTACTATACCATAAGATACGTAGTCCCTCAGAAGCTCACCAGCTTAAGCTAGTAAGATAATCGCTTTCTCAGGTATAATGCTGAAAAAATCTATTTCACCGACCTAGTGATGACGTTTTGATGGAAGGCGATGCTCTGAAGAATAGTGATATCACCCACGGCACGGAAGCCAAGTGGAGCTTCGCAGCCTCTCGGGTACTGGATGTCTCCGATTTGCTAATGATGCGCAGAGCGCTTCATCTGGCATGAAACATATTTCTTGAGTTCAATGTCTAACCTCAAGGGAGGAAAAACCACCTTTGGACGGCGTACGCTTGGGCCGCGTTGAACTTCGTGCATCCCTTGCGGGCCAGGCCCATTCTGCGAAATGATCGCCATGTCGACGCCTTTGTCGTTCATTTCCTTCAGTCGTGCGTCGTGCAGGTCGAGTAGCGCCCGAGTAAGGGTCATGGGGATTCCGACAGACTGTTTCATCTTCTCCGCCGCGTTGTCTTCTGGCATGACAAAATGCTCTTCGGGAATGATTTTGCCGCCGCATACTCAACACGCCGTGCTTGCTTTCTGGCTACGATCTCTCTACAGGACTGAAAGTACAGCGCTGTATTGAGATTGACAAAGGGAGAATAACTTACCTATCTATGCAAAATCGATAGATCTTGTATAGCTCTGTAGGACGAGAACCCTACGCGCCCGGATTGAAGTTCCACTGTGACCTCTATGTAGAGTATTCCGTCTTCCGAGCGCGACCACTCTCAGGCTGTTTTTCCAATGCAACACGGACTAGCCTTTGGTCAAGAGCATTTCCGAAACAGCAGAGCACCGCCCTATTTTAGACCTTCAGCTCACCTGAGCCGGGCGATAGGGCACGAGCGATCGGAAGTGTGCCGAGCCTCTAGGCACTATCTTCAAGACTCCAAGATCCTGTATCTCCCCGGATCGCGTCTCTATGACGGTGGCTGCGCCCGTCAAACGTTGTCGAAGTCGCACGACCGGATAAATTTCTGGCCTGGCGTCAGCTCTGAACCTCAGTCAATGATAGCGTACTCTGCCCAAGTCCCAGCGTAATTGATTGAAGGTACGTCTCGCAGACCGCGCATGTCGCGCCATCGTGAGGGACAGAGGAAGCGTTGGGATGGCAGTGAGTCAAGAGGTCAACCGAGTTTGAAGGAGTAGTCAATCTTTTATACTTTGGAGGTTGGTGGGCATCTGCCATCGTCGCAACTTCTGGCTTAGACTGCCGAGATCATCGGGTCAAAGTTGATAGATATATCTAAGCATATGTAAAGGCCTTCAAAAAGATCCAGAAGAGCACGGAACGGAAGCATCTGCCACCAATATTTGACACAGCCCATACCCAGGGTGGAGAGACCCTATGCGAAGACTATGATGGGAAGTAACTTCCGTGGTCCTACCTTGCGTGCCAGAATTGCGGCAACAGGCTGGATCAGGATGTAAGTCAGGAAGAACACTGCCAACGCTTAGTGGGTATGCTGGATCGGGAGGACAAATTGACCCACAGAGGATGATGGTCTGATAGCGATAACCTGTGAGATCGAGGGCAGTGAGCATGCTGGGTGATGGTAATAGAACGCACCTACGAAACCCGGCCCCAGTACTCCAGCTCCTCGCTAGCAATCGGCGGGTTAACCGACCCATAACAGTGAACTACCACTCACACCAGAGGTCTCAGTCACGAGGCTGAAAAGGGGTTAAAATGCGGCGTCTGCGCTCTGGTCAGTACCCAATATCCGGACCGACGGACTGGGCTTTAACATTTAACATTCGGACCGAATGAAATGGGCTCTGTCTCGATATTGATCTCAAACTGTTACTCTGTAGGGAAGTCGGTTAAACAATGCAAGAAATCGATTTTCAGGATTTGTCATTCGTCATAGGTAACTCAACGTCGGCTATTTCGCGCTCACTATCTTACTCTTTGGGGTGATTCAGGTCTATAGTGTGCTATTGTCAGGAACGATGGTGCTGTTTAGATCGCCGCATCCAGATGTCGCAGGTGACCGACCCCTCCATATCATCTCATTTACTTCTGAATGAATGCCATACTGTCCCGTCCGGCCAGGCCCCACGAACATTACTACCTGGGAATGGGTCTTAGAACCAGGCAAGTATTCGCCCTCGTACCAATCGCCCAAGGTTCCATTGGCGGCTCATGTCAATGCCACTATGAAGAGCGCCTGGACTCGGCGCAAGTCAAGGCAAAGGCGAAACAACTCAGCACGGCCTTGGTGAAGACGTATGCGTTCAAGCCCGGCGAGACGGGAAGTCTGTTCGGTACCAATACGATTTGGTATCGGTTGCCATGTGAGCTAATCTCCGGGCTGGTACGCCAAGTTTCCCTGTTTCCTTCGAGGTGCCTCATTTCTTGTGTCGTTGACGTTATTTAGGCGGACGAGCCAGTGGCGCCTCACCCACCTATACAACTGAGGAGATGACACACGCTCTCAAAATCGCACAGTCGTGCATCCCCATGACACTACCTACCTCTCTTAAAGTCACGCTAAAAACCGCTGTCAAAGCCGGTGTCCCCCGTAGCCATATCTTCCTGCTTAAAGTCAATGCTGAGGGCTATCTGAGTATTCAGGATCTGATGGAGGTTGGGCCGCAGAGACTCCCGACCCACCGTTCCGGATACCACAATACTCAGCGGCGAATCTTGACCTCTCCAAAGTCCATTTCCGTTCCCAGACCTGAGCATCCCGCCATTTAACCTGAGTTATGAATAAGCTGCTCTGGGCTGTGGCTGTGCGATTCTGAGCACCGCTTGACAAGCCCTAAGGCGGAGCCTGAGTGGCATGAGCACAGTCGCGTAGCAGATGCAGGCACCCATAATATGGGACCCCAGGTTCCCTGTTTCGGGCGTTTCACGTGCTCCGAAGGGCCAAGTTCCGTGCTTATTAGCTCGGTTATACCTAGGTAGTTGCCAACACTCTCACGGCCGTTTTCCAGGCCAAAGCTACTGCCTGGAAGACCACGTGAGGTTTACATTTCGTTGCTTCCTGCTGATAACGTGCATCCCTACGCAATGAAATGCCCTGGGTGCGGCCCCACTTTACTTCGCATGCCTCTCCCTCTACAACGACTGCGAATATTGCTCATGGGAGGAGAAGAAATGATAGCAGAGACACCGAGTTGTTCATAGACCTGACTCCCACCAAAAATTACCGCCGTTGGTGGCCCATAACACGTAGAGAAATGCGGCCGGCTTTTGGCTCTCTGCAATGACGGCGCATCGGCAGGAGCGATATGTCGGCCCATCTCTGACCAAATTGCAATTGCGGACAGCCGTATCACTTCTCTCGCGCCCTGCAGACATCCGATGTGGTCTGGCTCAGTTGTGCGTGCACACAGCGCTGCGGTGCCTCTGACCTTAGAAAACTAAAGTTTGCTGGGGACCCAGTTTGGCTCTCTCTTTTCAACAAAAGCCTTCAAGCCTTCCCGGATATTTTCACTTGCCGCCAACTGAGGCCCAAACGTCTCTGCAAATAGTCTCGCCCCTTCTTCAGCGCCGACCCCTTCCCAACCCATCATGACTCCCTGTCGACTCACTATCACGGCATCCGGGCTGTTCGCCGCGATTGTATTTGCCACTTCCAACGCTTTCCCGACGACCTTGCTTGTATCTCCTTCCACGATGTCATTCACAAATCCCCAATCCTTCGCCTCCTGCGCAGATATGACACGGCCTGTAAGTACCATGTCCATTGCTCTTTGCTTTCCGACGGTCCGGACGATCCTCGGCAGCGCCCCGGCACTGGCAAATACTCCACGCTTCACTTCGGGAAAGCCAAACGAGGCATGCCGTGCGCTCGCGAATACCAGATCGCAGTTGATGACAGCTTCGCATCCTCCCCCGTACGCCAAACCGTTCACTGCTGCGATGACGGGTTTTCTTCCCGTGCGGCGCGAAAGACCCGCGAAAGCGGACGAGGGCGTCGGTCTGGCGGTGGCCGCACGAGGGCCATACTCATTTTTGTTGCCGCCGGTGATCTGGGCCCATTCTATCAAACGAGCGTTGGGTCTTGTTAGCTTTGAAGTTCCTCTAGAGGTTTGAATAGAGGTTTTTGTCGTAGCAAGTGCCATAGCAACTGACCTTTCAAGTCGGCTCCTGCAGAAAAAGCTCTTCCGGCGCCAGTGATGACGGCCACTCGCAATGATGGCTCGCCATCGTACCACTCCCAAAGTTGGTGTAGTTCTTCATGGCTAGATTGCCGGAGGCTATTTAACGCTCGGGGACGATTCAAAGTAATCAGAGCAATTGCAGGTTTTGGAAAGGAAAGAAGTGCATCGTCGAGAGCTGGTGGCGGGCTGATGAATTGTAAGGTTGCCATCTTGCATAGTATAGAATTTGCGGTATAAAGTGTTAGAAGAATATGTGAAACTACAAGTAAAGTGAAGAAAGCTTGTCAATTATATAGAATGTTGAATAAAAGCGCGCCTTGCATTATTATACGATATGAACATTGGAACCGAAAATATTTTGAAGGAACTGCATAATACTTTGCCTTTAGAAATTCCGAGTACAGATTGTGCTTTTGGAAGGCTTGGACGGACCCCGGGTCGAGCGGTGCTTCGCCTTTGGGGGAAGCCATCATGATCTCTTCCGATTCTGATAGGTCAGTCCGGGCAGATGGTGATGGGAGCCGCTCCTACCAATCGGCCTCATGCAACCGGATTTGAGTCCTTGTCGGGTTTCCAGACGACTAACAATGCTGTCGAAATGGCATCTTATGCACTTGATTGTAATCCAGAGAATCCTCTAACTGTATGAATGAAACATGTTGTTGTGCTTGCTGTTTCATGCGATAGGTGGTCATCATTGTATTGCTTGTCTTCCGTCTATTCCCAGTTGCTTCCTCTCTCTATACATAGTTGCTCGCATGACAGAGGGCTCTGCAGATAGAGAGACAATGTCTCAAATAGCTGGTACTGTCCCAGAGTTATTTGCGTTATTATTTCAATGTTGCACATCTCCTTGCTGTCGCAAATTACGCGGTCGGTGTGATTGTCAGGCCGCCAAGCATTGTAAAGACGCGCTTGGCGTGTCGGAGGGCGCTGTCAGGGTATCGTAACGATCACGAGACCCTCTGAAAGTATATACCTAGCTCGCTAGGTAAGGTAGTCAGGCGTCTCCCCAGACCCCTCTGAAATCAATGACGGTCCTGAATTGAATCACATCGGTGTTATGTCCCTATCACGTGATAATCCAACACATGTTGGTTAAATCCGATCGCTTCCCAGTGAGAAATAAATGTCCTTGACATATCAAGACCTCTTCAAGGCACACAATCCTCATTGGTCAATTTCTTGACATTATGATCTTCAACAGCCCAGCACGCTGGCGTTCGGCCATGGCCGACGCGCCAGATTCGATCTCCGTTACCCAATTCATCTTGGGCGAGGAGTACGGCCGGTTTCCAGTGAAGAAGTCTCGGCCGCCCCAGATTTGCGGTGTTACGGGCTTTTCATACAGTGCATCTCAGGTACGAGATCGAGTCGAACATTTGGCTCGAGCGATGGCAAGAGACCTTGGTTGCAGTTCGCGCGAAGGAAAGGACGAAGAGAGAGTCGTCGCAATCTTCTCACTGAACAGTGTTAGTGCCATGAAATGTGTGCTACAGCAACTCAGGTGTCTAATTTAAATTCATGTTGAACCAGATTGATTATCAGACGCTGTCTTGGGCAGTCCATCGCATGGACGGCGTTGTGACACCCGCAAACGCCCTGTATTCTGTGTCTGAACTGACATACCAGCTCAAACACTCTGGTGCCAAATGTCCTTTTGCCTCTGCGCCGCAGCTAGAAACAGCATTACAAGCGGCCTCGAAACCTGGAATTTCCAGAAAACGAGTATATCTTCTCGAGCTTCCAGTGGAAATCACGGGGAAAGTGGCCGTACCATCCGATATCAAAACGTTAAATCAACTCATTCAGGATGGCTCAGCCATGGTTGAACTGGAACCTCAAAACTGGAGCAAGGGCCAAGGCAAACGCCAGGTCGCATATCTCTGCTATTCCAGTGGAACGAGTGGTTTGCCAGTAGATCCCTTCTCTCCAGGCTCTTTTTGAACAAATCAAAGGTTCGGACTCTGACATTACGATCTCCAGAAAGGTGTCATGATATCACATTATAACATCATCTTCAATACATTACAGCTTGATGCGGTTGAAAAGCTCCTTCGACAGGGACAGTCTCTACACCAAACGGAGACAATATTAGGGCTGCTTCCGCAGAGTACATCTACGCGCTGACTGTAGTCTGTCATGCCGCTGCGTATCGCGGAGATGCAGTCATTACCTTTCCAAGGTACAGTCTTCAGCAGCTTCTGTCCTCGGTGCAAAGATGGAAGATCAATGTGCTGGTCCTCGTAAGTCCACTTATATCTGCGCCGACAGATCTAATGATCATTTCCTAGGTCCCTCCAATCATCATTGAAATGTGCAACAACTCGTCGTTGTTGGCTAAATATGATCTGAGATCCGTCACGAGACTCGTTACCGGCGGTGCTCCCTTGCGGGAAGAAAATGCCAAAGCTTTGTCTCAGGATCAGCCAGCTTGGAAAATCTGTCAGCTCTATTGGTTCGTCTCATGATCCAATTCAGACGTAACGTTCAAAATTTGCTCTGGTTGATATTACGTTCGCCTAAAGACCCTTCTTTCCATTCTAATATCTCCCTCTTTGATTAGCTATCACAGAGACTACCGGTGTGGTCTCTTACACCGGCGCCGACGACATTTGGAACGGGTCGTGTGGCCCACTTCTTCCATATACGGAAGCACGTCTCGTGACGCCCGAAGGTCTCGATGTTTCGTCTCATGACCGGCTTGGAGAGTTATGGCTCCGGTCACCTAGCATCGCAATGGGCTATAAAAACAATCCAGCAGAGACATCGAAGACTTTCGGCGACGATGGATGGATGCGGACCGGTGACGAAGCTATTGTTAAACGATCACCCTAAGGGCACGACCATATATTCATCGTGGACCGGATCAAGGAACTAATCAAAGTCAAGGTAATCTCCCTCTGCCTAACCAAGAGAGCCCGTCGCAAATAGCAACGCGTTGACGAGGTCTCATCTCCACAGGGCCACCAAGTTGCACCTGCCGAGCTTGAAGCTCATCTTCTCACCCACCACGCCGTCGCTGATGTCGCAGTGGTCTCACTCCCGGATGACCGATCAGGCGAATTACCCAAAGCGTACATCGTGCGATCTGAATCTGGTTCGACACAAATGTCATCCAGGAAGGACGAAATGAGCCTCAAACAGGAGATTACACGTTACGTTGAGGATCACAAGGCCCCCTACAAGTGGCTACGAGGGGGCATCGATTTTGTTGACAGAATTTCCAAAAGTCCCAGGGGGAAGATTCTCAGGAGACTTCTGAGAGATTTCGCTAAGGGGCTCTCGAAGAGTGGTGCATCGAAGTTGTAATTATATCATAGGAGACGCATCAATAGTTCATCCTGTTATCACACATTTCTTCGTATTTGGTTGACTCCCACGATTAATTGCAAACATGATCCAACTCAATGACAAGCAGGCAGATAGGCCTACAACACATGCAGAACTCTAAAACCTCCAGATAACATCAGCGTCCTGTCAATCTGGAGCACTCGACGACCCGGACCTGAACTCTGTCCCAGAATCGGCTGAGATTTCTGACCTCTTGACATAGATAGGCGCAGGCGTAAAAGCTTCATAATGTGTTCAAAGCCCCTCTGGACATGGCACGAAGCTTCTGGCCATAAACATAAAATAGGACGGGTATGGGAACCATAACTAAAGACAAAAATCCCAAAAGGCTGGTCGCCCAAGCCACCCCAAGCTTGTGATACATGGGGATAGCGAAGAGAGGGAACCCAGCCGCCGTAAGACTTCTCACCGCGGTGTTGGCTGAAATAGCACTGTTTGCGACCAGTAGATAAACATCAACTAGGTACTTGAGTCCTTGGATCATGACAATATAAATACCGGCGCCCACAAGAGCAGTGGAGATGACTTGTGCGGGCCAGGGAATTGTGGGGTCGCTCGTCCACGCAAACCAGAAGAACCCGATGGGAAAGACAACAGCTCCCGCCATCATGGGGGGAAGACGTCGTTCGGGAACAATGACACCAGTCGTCGTCAAGGCAACCTCGCGAGCGTAGACGGTGAGGGTGTAATATGCAACTAAGACAAATGCGATGAGGGCGCCAACCAGCAGACCAAGGAATGACAGGGCTCCGATCTGAGGTTTCCAATGCCGATCTTCGACGAAGGAGATCGGAAAGCTCTCGAAGAAGAGAAAGAGGACGGCGTACGCGAAGGATCTGGACCGGGCAGTCAGTCGCAGTATCAGATTGGAAATGCATGATTGTACTAACATATACACCGTAATGAGGAGATGAATAGGTTCGGTTCCCAGAAGAACTATAGGGTTTGGAACAGCCTGTTAGAGACGAAACTTTCAGTGGAACGCAAGAAGTAGACGATGAGCTTACTCCATGGTCGAACCAAATAAACCTTGGCCAGTGTTTTCAAGTCGGTCGTTGTTTCCTCCAATCTGCTGTGAAGAGCCCAGTTCCTTGTCTGTATCCGCAACCTGGCAGCCTTCTTGGCGAGAAGAACCGGCGCATAAGTCTCCGGGAGAAGGAGAAATGCAAATATCAGATCAGTGAATGCAACAATGGCCATGATCCACATCGTCCAACGCCAGCCGAGATGACTTTTGGTGACGAACGCGCCCAGGACGGGGCCGATGACTGGTCCGATAAAGGCCATCAGAACAAAATAATCGACGCCGATTCCCCGGCCCACGAGGGTATTCCAGATATCACTCATCGCGCCAGCCGTAATGGCCATCGACGAGGAGCCGAAAAATCCCATGAAGAACCGGCATATCATGACAGTGTACAGGTTTTGCGCCAGGGCAATGGGCAAACAGAAGCTGGCGAACCCCAGCAATCCGATGATCAGGGGTACTTTTCTTCCCAGTCGTTCCGAGATGGGGCCGAAAAGGAAAGGTCCAGTGGCATAACCCTAATTCATAGTTTAGCAAGTGGCAGGGTGGTTTTCAGGCCATCGAGCTAGATATTTACCATGAGATAGAGGGATGTCGTCAGCGTGGTGACCTCGGAGCCCACAGAATATTCTTTTCCGATTGCGGTGCTTGCACTGCTCATTATACTGGAACCGATGTTGACCACCAAGGGAAGCGTGTTTATCACCATGGTGATGTAGATTTTGCGAGCGAAGGACCACGAATGTGGATTCTCCCGGTCACCTTTCTCCCATTCCACGATATTTGTGGCTTTTCCCACCTCGGTTGCCCGCCGTGGAGATCCGACGGCTAGTACTGGCGACGACGACCTCATCGCTTCTGGCAAGTATTCTTTTGGTTCAGTGTCGTTGTCCTGCCTATCATCTGATATTAACTCGGAATTATGCAAACTCCCTCCGGAATTCTCGAGCTCTTCCACCATTGTGCAGTCCAAACCCTAGAGAAAGTGGTTGACGAAACGCCTTTTTCACGGATGAGCTTCAAACGATCCGTAAGACTAGGAAGGAAGTAACACGAAGCCAGCAGAAAATGTGGAAGACGGCGAAACAAACATTCTCCACGAAGGGAAGGAAGAACACACAGTGAAATACCTGTTCCGTGACCTGCCCTGGCCGGTTAGGTAGTCGAAGATTGTCATTAGATGCCGGGTTCCGCACTGCGAAATTTGCAGATCCGCCTGGTTGTCTCCACGTTATGGATGCTTCTCTATCCACTATGTTTATAATTTGTAATTTTCATAGAGGATCTGTCATGCGAGGCAATGGAGATTGCCACCGTGGCTTGTGCTATCCCGAAAGCTTTTGTTGGAGATGCAAGGGCAGACTCATGTTAAAACCTCCTGAATGCGTAATATTTCGATGCAACTTGATGGGTTCGTCTGTGTCAGTTGCTTTTCTGGAGTGAGCATGGCATTGTGCATGTACGGTGTCTCCTTTTGAGAGGGCTTAATATGCCGAAAGCCCGAAACGGCCAATAGGATTGACCACTTCCGTGGACCATCGGAGTTGGATGTCCGGTCGAGCCTATCAGACAAGAACAGTTCTTTCTGCAATTGATTTCAATGAACATTAGAGTGCCTAAAATTGCTTCAGTCATCCAGACCCGATCAGCGGGAAGATAAAACTGAAACGTCCATCGCCCCTCAGCTTCCTGTGCTTTGGGGCCGGGGCACGATTTCGATAGGACTCCCGAGAGCGCACTTTTGATCAGTGTTTTCGGAAATCGCAGTCTCGCAGAGCCGATACAGAGGCCCCGCGAACCCTCTTCTGAGTTTTTCTTTCCCACACAATCTAGATGCAGAAGAAATGGATGAGTATATCATTAAGTTTCGGGCCGTATATCACAAAGAATCCGAAGTCGACGAACGAACGATGCTGCGGACATAGGAGGATTGATCTTTGAGTTGAACTCTATATAACAACATCAAGCGATAAATGTCAATGGTTTATAAAGTGTTCTTTCGCTAAGAGAAAATAACAGTCCTCTCAGATATTATATTATACCATTTCCTCGAACGGAACTCCTTGCCCCTTCAATAACAATGACAATCAACTCTGAGAAAACCGAGCCATCGAATCCGATGATGGCCCGTTGTTCCTACAACGCCAATTGCCATTGTGGCTTAGTCCGCTACAGTGTGACTCTTCCTCACCCGCTGGAAGAGATCGACATCAGTGAGGACAACTGCTCGATCTGTGTACATAACGGTTACCTCATGGTCTTCCCGCAACGGCGATCAGATGTTGTTTTCCATGCCGGTGGGGACAAGATGGCACGGTACAGCTTTGGATACGAGCTCCGGAAGCACTTCTTCTGCCCTCGTTGTGGGTCCAGTTTGTTGGTGGACCTGGGAGACAGCGGCAGGTCCGAAACAACGAGCGATTCCACTCCTAGCGAGCCCATCGTGGGAGAGGTGAACCCTGGCCAAGGAGGTCTATGGGCGGTTAATGTTCGAAACCCTCAACCTTGCACATATCCACGACTTCGCTGATTGTGGGCTGACAATGCCTCTAGGTCCGTCATTTTAGGAATGTAGATTTGGCAAAGTTGAAACGCTGTTATCGGAACGGGAAGGATGCGGAACCGCTTTATGAATCGTGGATTGATAAAAATCTCTCTGGCTGACTGCGAGTTACCAGCACTTAGTTGAATGACTTCTCTTGATTGAGATTAGAATGCTCTTTTGGATCGTGATTCATGTTTTTCGCAAGTTTCTAATTTTCCCCCTTGATAATTACTGCGTCAATTGTGACTCGTATCAGATCAATGGAGTCTTAAATAATACAGGTCCGAAGAGCATTAAGCCCGTTTCAGGTAAAAACGAGATCCCCAATTGAAAGATGTAAAGCCAACCATCAGGGCAGGTAACCAGACGAATTTTATATCCTCAAAATCACTAGTATAATCAACCGCCACCTATTCTACTTCGGAAAAAAAGTCTTGAAGGATTCTGTTCACCTCATTTTTCGTTTCAATCTGAACCCAGTGACCTGCATCAACCGAATGGATTCGAAGATCTTTCGCGAAAGGTCGAGTCCACGATTCCATCATCGCCGGAATGGCAACTGGGTCTCTTGAAGCGGTGATGAGAACTACCGGATGACGAAGATGAGGATCAACCACGGTCTCTTTCTCATCCTTCTGATTCAAGTTGGCCATGAAAGCTCGATACCAGTTCGTCGCCGGGCCATAGTTGTCTTGAAAGATCTCGCGATGCCTGATTTTCCCCTGGAGATATACAATGGTCAAAGCCAGCTCCGTTCTATGACGCGGTGGCAGAAATGTTTTGATGATTTACCTCTTGGGTTATATAATCAGCTAGAGGTCCGATTTGGTTTGTAGTGAGCCATGCTCGGAGGGCATCCTTTGGGCCCAGATGGTCCTTCCACATGGCCGCATCTGCGGCGTATAACAGCGAATGGAACGAGTCGAACTGATGTCCAAGAACGTGTTCGTTAACTTGCTATCATGGTATGCACAGATACATGCGCATCCTTTCTGACAAGAAGAGGAGAATCCTGCCTTACATGCTGACCGATGAGTGCCGCGGCATCGTCCTCGATAAGGAACTTCCAGAAACCGAACTGCACGTATCCGAACTGGGCTTTGGCCGATTCTTCAAAGGCATCAACGTCAAATTCCACTCCGGGAACCATGTACGCCACGTCGAGAAATGAATAACTCTGAAATCGTTCACGGTGGTAGTTAGCTAGTCGAGAGAGGAGAAAAGAACCCCAGTCGTGACCAACGCCATGGATGGGACCACGAATCGTTTCATGGTCGAGGATCTCGACAATCTCCGATGCCATCTTCCGGGCTGTGTACTCCTGGGCGGATTGTGGTTGGTCGGTGGCACCGTACCCCAAGAGATCCGGGGCCAGAACACCATATCCCGCCGAGGCAAAATGCGAGACCTGATGGCGCCAGCCATAGCTGGAAGACGGAAAGCCATGGAGAAAGAGAATGGTGGATTTGTAAGGAGAAGCGGCAACATGGACGTAGCCGTAGGTCACCCCAGAGAGCAGTGTCAATGTTTTGAAGTTATCAGGAAAAGTCATAACGCTCCTTCAAATTCCTTCGCAAGTGGTTCGAATCAGACGCAGATATGGAAAAAAGCAACTCAAAGATCAAACGTTGGACAATACGTATATGTTGAAATGGAAAGCAAAAGGTCTTTTCCCCAAGGAGTGGTTTGACCATCAAATCCTTTCACAATTCTGACTCACTGATGCGTAAAACAGGAGCTCTCGAAATTCGACCATCGTCACCTCCGGGTCCGAGGCAGAGATCATGATTTATTTCCGAGCCGAAGAGGCCAATTACAGAGATTGGATTCCAATCCGGCCCTGTAACATCCATTAATGGGGCCCGCGTCTGTCCATGCAATGCATGAGTTTCGGCGGATCTAAGATCACTGTACTGGGGTACATGAATGCTGGAAGTCATGTGACTGTACAACTGTACGGCCGCATGTGATTGGTCAGTTCGGTGCTGCAATTGGCAGGGCCGCCGATAGAAATTGCCAGTTGACAGGCAATTAGATAGCAACAGAAAACCAAGAAGACAAGCATTCAGGCAAGTCTCAGAGCGTTCGCGGCGCGGCTCTCGCGTGTCGTGAAGGTGTTCTCTTGTTCTAATTCTTTCCTTTTGATCCCTTGCGACAGTGAAGAAGACGAACGGTGGTCTGCGGAGCGGACCACGAACGCTGGCGGTGGTGGTTGGGTTGCTCGTGCGGCCGGTGCAGCGGCCAACCTGACGGAAGACGAGACGGTCGAGTTCGAGTGCGAATGGGAGCGCGTTGCGGAAAAGGGTGCGTTCTTGCACTGGTCTGGCGTTGCTACTGCGTGATGAATGGCACCTGTCGTACGTTCTGCTGCCACGGTTGGTGTTGGCGCCGCAGTGCCGGGTCATCTAACCAAAGATATGGACTGTGCTTCCTCTTTCCCTGCCTACAAAGACCGGTGGCGTGTTTCGCCACCTCCCCAATCGCCCGTTGCACACGTTTTAATACCTACAGTATTCCGATATCTTTCAGGCCTAAGAAAAACAACTCGAGCCAATTTAAGCGCGGGCAAAAAGTTCTCTTTCGGAAATGAACTTAGTATTCTAATTCGTTGGGATTGTACTTTTGGCATTCTTTTGGCTGCTTGAATCGTCAATCCACTTCAAGATGATATTGGAAGTTGTATATTCGACCTGAGTGCGCTACCACCAAATATTAGGCTCGTCAAACAAACCTGGTCTGTTTACCATAGTATCACTATTATCCGTCGCCGCATCCCAGTAGACAAGACCAAAGGGGTTCCCAGATAGACCCTCGTCAATGTCCCCAATCACAGCCGCCTCCTCTGGAGTCCACTGATATTCCTGCCGTCCCATGATCTGTGAGACATCGGACGGTCCGGTGAGAGCAGCCACACCAAGTTGAGCCGTTTGGTGATCTCTGAAAAATGAAACCGATTCTGGGCCTGATTGTAGCTTGTCAAGCGGATCCCACGCATTAGGCAGACGGAGGTGATACTCCGAAGTGGTTGCAGCTGCCACCCGGGAAGACGGAGATGTTTCAGTGAGTATCGAATCTCGAGCCTTCTGAGCCTTCTGAGCCATCACCAGCAGTTTTTTGATGCGGAGCCACAACATATTGTGGGGGTCGTCTGTGATAATGTTGGTCCACTCGTCAAATGCTTTGCGTGCAATGATCCAGGCGCGGTCGATCACGATGCCGCGAGTGCGAGTACAAAGTTCAGAGAGGATAAAGGCTAGAGCCTGCCAGGGAACATAATTTTGAAAAGCCCATCTCCACTGTCGGAGGTTGTTTTCTGTGTTGAGGGAGAGCCAAGCCTCGACAATTTCCAATGAGGTACTGAAAATCCGTTCTTTGATATCCTCCGATATAGTTCCTGTTACTACTCTCAGCCGGAATAGATGATGAACATTGATCCACATCCTGGCAATCATCATACGACTCACAATTTCCATGAACGAGTGAAATGGAACCTTTGGATCGCAGTATTTGAGGTAGTTATCCTTAATATTCTTCCTGCATCTCTCCGTGGCTGTATCAATCTCTTGTAATGTTGGGGTATATTTGATGTTCCCAGGGGCATAGGATTGGCTTCGCAGGCGCCGCAGGACGGTAATGATCTCATATCTGATTAGGGACAGAGTCGTCTCCGTGAAGCTGGATTTAGGTACTGGTGTTTCAGTCATGGAAGGATCTAGCGCGGAATCATCGATATTTAGAGGAAGCCTCGCGTCAAAGTTCCGTTGAGAAATATCCTGGTTGGAGCCGTTGTTTTCTGCTGTACGCACATCGAGGAGGCATAACTGCCACCATAGTCGACGTCGCATTTCAGTTTCAAAGGGCGACAGGTTAAATAAAGTCCCATCGCGGTGAAGTCCAAGAGACTGGGCTAAGCGGATAGCGGTACCCGTCATGACCCATACCAGCGAGCTATCCTCAGACCCACGGTCACAAGCCTGGTATCAGTTTAGCCCAGATATAATTTCAATCTATTGTGGCACGTACCAAGTAGATCAGCAGAGATTGCAAAGTCACTATGGTACGGGACGAGAGAAAGTTTGCCCGTGCCAGTGCTTGCTGAACGGCAAATCGGTATCGATCCAAAAGAGCCAGTCTTTCTTCCTGAAATAAGATCCGACAGTCTTCAGCTGACATGCTCGTGACACTTGCCAGGTACACAGCAAAAAGTAGCGCCTCAAAGGGTTTTGTCGGTTCGCTGGTATGATTGTCGGTCACCCTCATCATTTCTCTCTGCATTCCAGGTTTGTGCAATAATCTCACTAATGGATCCACGTTATTGATAAAGACGTTCCACAGGAGTGATTTATGATATATACTGGGATGAAAGGCAGATAGACCGCCAACGAGCGAATTGAAGGCGAATATGAATCCATGGTGTGCTCGTTCCGATGATAAGGTGTCTGACACTGGTGGAGTCTTACTATCCGCCTCGTTCTCATCCTCGTCCTCCTCGTCGGAATGAGAGCCTAGAAGATATCGAATATCATCTACCTGTTGGTCGAAACGGGTTCCACGATTAGCTGAACCATATGTTGACGGGACGCATCAGGAATGGACTGACCTTTTCTGATAGAATATCCCAGAAGCTGTTTTCCATATATCTACTCTGTCCTTCTTTACCTATCAGCTTTCCAAGGTCGCTATGCACGACTTCGGCCATTTCCACATCTCCCTCCTCAGAAGGGAGCCTAGATTTTCTGGGGTTCTCTTTGATATGGCTACGCAAATCATCGACTAGAGTCTCGAGGTTCGCTATACGAGCCTTAAAAGCTTCCTGCGACTCAATCTGTGTCTTCTGATGTTGTTGCTGTCGCCTTGACATCGGATAGGTACAGTCGAATTTCAACTTTTGACATCCCGAACATGGAAGCTTCTTGTCGCACTTTGTCTTGCGACGGCGGCATGTGATACATGACCCGCGACACGCTTTGGTGCCGGTGGAAGAAGGACGTGGTGGGTGTTTGAAGCTCCCAGCGGTGCCGTCGCTCTGACTGGTAGTAGAGGACATTGAGGACGCTTCTCCTGGGGCCGGCAAAATACTGCGGTCCATTCTTCCGAGGATCCTGAGCACAGAGAAATGAGTCGAACACGAACGCCCACGAAAGGATTCAACTAAAGAATACCCTTCAGTATTACTCCTACCGATGGAAATAGAAAGTAGTGCTCAAAAATTCCACATTGATACATTACTCTGGTCATCAACTAGCTTTCCACAGACCAGATCTCTTCGCGATGGGCCTACTCAAGCGGACGCCAACGCAGCCACTTGCCGTCCAAAGCTGTCAGGCTAACGATGTCATTGCCGTGATTACTAACTAGTAACTCGGACAAATCTTGGAATCCTGCTTGATTGGTTCTGTCGGAGTGTAGGACCGAGCGCCGAAGAGAGAAAGACTATTGGTCGACGGAGAATCTTGACCAGAGGATCCTCGTCTTTATTGTATTACTACTTCCCCCACTTTCCTACGAATGTACAGGGAATATAGCTGGTAGTTCGGCGCCGCCATAATCCATTCATAGGGTTCGCAAAACTGTCAATCGGTGCCGACTGCGCCGATTGTGTCCGTTGTGTTGGATTCTGGGTTACCAGAGGAGCATTGATTGTCTGACTGACTGTCTCCCAGAGACGAGAGAATCTCGCCTGTATATATACACAAGTTTCAACGGTCGACCGCGCGTTGCAACGGACACAATCGGTGCAATCGGCGCCGATTGACCGTCTTACGAACCATGCGAACCATGAAACACCAAGGTTGACTATGAGACTGAGCAAGGCTGATTTCTTGTGTAGACTGACAAGTCTAGCTGTCTCTGATAGTTTTTCTCCGTTCCAAGCTCAAGTTTCCGGAAAGTTGGTTTGCCATCAACAATACCAGTGTCTCGTGCAGAGCCCTTCTCTTTAGCTTTGCGAAGAGTTTCGCTGGGGGTCTGCTTTTTCCCCATGGCGAAGAACTAGAATGGAGCGGTAGGATAGGATAGGAAAGCAGGGCTTAGAAGATGAGAGAGTCAATGGGATCAAGCCAAGCGAAAATGAGAACGAAAGAAGCAGTAAGTGATGGGCAGATAGGAGAAGGCACGTCCGAGATGAAGGACAGACGGTATGATAGGGAAGACGCGACGTGTACTGCGTGCAAGTCGCTATCAGGAGAAAGGATCACTAAGGAGAATGTAACATAATGCGCTCCATTTTGCGCGGAGGGCGTTGGTTGCGAGAGATTGCATCCACGGTCTGTGTAAGGAGTCCCAGTTTCGGACCTTGGATTCCCAGAACTGTACCCCCCCGGATGGTCGTGTAAACCTTCCACATCTTTAAAGGAAGGTACCGACGAGATAGGGCGTGAGCATCTAATGACGCCGGGGCGTAGAAATGGGACTGAGCACGGCGGATGAGAAGGGTGAGGAGGGTGAGCGGCGCCCTAAGCAGGCTGAGCAGCTCACGCTGAGGCTGAGCCGAAGTTGAGCCAGGTCACATGATGCTTGAGTAAAGCGGCAGATCGTTGTCCCAAACGGGTGCCAAGACGAGGTGCTCTATGGACGCCAAATACCAGAGGGAATGACCAACGCAGAGATCTACGGATATTTGAACTTTAGCAGTGGGAGAATTGGCTTGCCCAAGGACGTACGTTGAGTTTGAACGACGGTGAGATAAAGGAGAATAACACTGACATTGTCTACAAGTCACGCTGTCACATCAGAATGTGATAGCGCAGTGTCACTAGCTCATACACGTGCCACCAATTATCATCCGGATAGTGAGAGACAAAATCGTTGATCATTACGACCTCCGCAACGTCAAACGCTGGTCCTCGGACTCCGGACCCATCTCCCCATGGAATCATTGCCCTGTTGCAGAAGAAGTTCCTCAGGATCGGCTTCAGGCAGGGCTATGGTGCCGCAAAGTTAAGCGCTTATGTCGCAGCTCACCCGCCAAGTTGCTATAGCTATAATTAGGCGTGGGAGCGAGCGAGCCAAAAAATGATACATGAAATCCTCAATTACACGTCGTCCAATGCAATTTTCACATGTTCACACATATTTGCGGTAAAACTTCTATACGTTCCACTATTATTTTACGTGAGGTCTCATCTATGAAGATGCCTTTGGTAATTATGTTGCGTTGCTCGATCGGATAACAGTATTCTGCTTCAGCCTCGTAGGGAACGGAGGAAGCGGACTGCCAAACCAGGCGAACCTTTACCAGATACCGTACACGACAGTGCACTACACGATGTGCTGGAAGGCACTTAGAATGCCACGATCCTAAGCTGAGCCTCGGTGTCCGATTCGACGAAACATTATTGTTGCGGATATGAGATTATACTCGGACTTGCGATGTTGCTTATTCATCGTTGTATTGTTGTTGCCCTTCACAGTCATGGGTATGTACCTGCCCATCTATATACCTACTCCTAGCCAGTCCACCGCTGAGAATGTATTAACAATGATGACCAAGAAATGACCAATCCTTCTCCTTGTCATTCCACATCTGAAGGTATCTGGACCCCATCTTCAACAATGATCATATGCCTTCCTCATTTCCATTTCAATCGTTGAACTTGCCCTGTGACGCTGCTGAAAAGCCTGCGCCTCCTTTTTTTCCCCCAAGTCTCCGTTGCGGTGTCTTGATACTGTAAGTATTACTCACTTGACTACAACTCGAATCATCAGTGTTGACATAATCAAAAGGTGGAAAACTTTCCACCGTGGAAATGCCGCGGATTGCCCATGGTCAACGGGCTGTCTGGCGAAGTCATAGATGCGTGCATAGGTAGGTATGTCGATTAGAAATTATCGTTGGCATAATTATGTTCATTAGTATTGCCGAATTAAGGTTTATGATCATAGCTGATTCAATTATTTGTGTTATGCAAATATTCTAATACACCTTCTGTCTCTCAGTTCCTGTTCGCATGATTGATGACCAGGTTGCGTGGATCAGTCATTCGATCAGCCAGCCAGCCAGTCAGTCAACCAGTCAATTGATCAGTCAAGCCTAGTCCAAAGATTCAGTCTCTAAACTTTTCAAGAAACAAATCTCCTAAAACACTTGGCCATGAAAGCGATTGTACTACAAGGAGAACCCGGCAAAGCCGTCCTGGAACACGACCGACCTTACCCCCAACCACGATCTGGCTATGTTTTGGTGGACGTAAAAGCGGTGGCGCTCAACCCGACGGACTGGAAACACATCGACTACCTCAACGTGGAGAAAGGAATGCTTGCAGGGTGCGATTTCGCTGGAGTCGTCGCGGAGACGGGCAATGGCTATTCGAAGCAATGGAAAGTCGGCGACCGGGTCTGTGGCTTCGTACAGGGCGCCAACAAGTTGCAGCACGAAGACGGAGCTTTTGCCGAGAGGATTGCGGTCAAAGCAGACCTCGCCCTGCGTGTTCCGGACGATATGTCCTTCGAAGACGCGGCCACGTTGGGCGTCGGTGTGGTTACTTGTGGCCAGGGACTGGTTTATGAGATGGGAATGAATCGGCCCAGTCAGAAGGATCAAACTCCCAAGAACGAACACATTCTCATCTACGGCGGAAGTTCTTCCACGGGGGTGTTGGGGATTCAGTTTGCGAAACTGTCAGTTTCCTATTTCCCTGTCTTGCTGCTCCCGTTTTCTGTCAACGGCCTCGTTCTTTTTACTCGATCATTGTCATTGCTAAAGCTTTCGTCCCATACCCCCTCCTCCTCTTCAAAAACAAATTGAAAATGATTGTTTCTTTCTATCCGATGACTAAGAAAATCTATGCTGATACATTGCGCTGGAAAATCCAACAGAGCCGGCTACATTCCCATCACGACGTGTTCGACGTCCAACTTCGACCTGGTCAAGGCACTCGGCGCCGCTGAAGCCTTTGATTACAAGGACCCGAAATGCGTCGAGAAAATCCAGAACTACACCAACAACGACCTCAAATACGTGTGGGACACCATCGGCACCACGACTTCGGCCGAGTTGTGCAGCAAAGTTCTCTCCGCCGGCGGCACGTACGGGACGATCGTGGCCTTGAAGTTTCCCCGGACCGACGTCAAGACCACCTGGTCCATCGCGTACAGTGCCATGGGCGAAGCAGTCCGGAGAAAACCCGCCTACGATGCGCCGGGTCAACCGGCGCACTTTGAATTCGCCAAAGGTTGGGTCGAGGAGGTCGATCAGTTGTTGGCGCAGAAGAGGTTGAAGGTTCATCAGATTCGACGAGGAAAAGGATTGGAAGAGGTGTTTGACGGAATGGACTTGATGAGGAAAGGGAAGGTCAGTGGGCAGAAATTGGTCTACACCCTCTAGGTAGCTATATGATGGAAGTAAAGCCAGGTAGCCGCCGACACTCGAATTAAGGGTTAGGCATTTGTTCTCCATAGGGAAATCTAGGTGTTGCAGCCGGTGATTTAGGGCCAGTCTGACCGTATACATGGCGCCGGTCAAGTTGGTGTCGACGATCTTCTTGTCAGGGGCTTCGATGACTTTCACATCGACTGGGCAAGAAAGAAAAGTCCGTCAGCATGGAAAATCGCTCCATTTCCCACCAACAAAAAAGATGAAACACTCACGGTCGATGTAAAATGGATCCTCGCCAGACATGCCGGTATTGACGATGACATTGACGATGAAGCCATTGTGAGATTTCTCCACGGTTAGCTTGAACGCGGCTTTCTGTTCTTCCCAATTGCGGACACCACGTTTGGAATAATGGACACTGGTCATTGAGTCGGACTCTACTTTTATCTTTGTCAAAAAAGGTCAAGCATCAGCATGTTGGGTAGAAATGGGAGGTTGCTCGGTGGAGGGACTTCAAATCGGCATTGATCACGACCACCCAATCAAGGTAGTACCATATTACAGAGATGCACAAGTAGCGCCAAAGTAGACCCCTACTCCCGACCTACCTAGGTACCTAAGTACTTTAGATTCATCTGGATCTCACAAAATCATCCCCCTGATCAGCTCCTCGTCCCCCGAGGACCATTGACGGCTAAGAATCTTCTCGATTTTTATCCGAGTCCCTGCATCATTGCATGGGCGAACGAACATCCCCTACAACGGCAGTGTGTATCCCACCATTCCCAAAAATGCCCCTAAACCCCTCACCTCCTCTTTCTGCGCAAACTCCGAGAAGAGGAAAACAAAATGAGGGCCCAGAAGAATCCAGGCGAACAGACAACTGACTACGGACCCAAATTCTGTTTTCCCGTTCCCCCTGTTTGTCTCCGGGGAAGACTAAGCATGAAGTCCGAGCGGACAGTTTGATGTCCACTCGACCGCGTGCTCACCCTGCTTATTGCTTTCAGCAGTAAAATTTGATTCCTTCCCAGAGCCTCAAGGACGGCGAACAGGAATGAAACGCTGCTTTGATCGCTACTCCATCTCAAGAGCTGTAGCGCATATTACAAATGTGGCTGGCACCCCTTGTGCACGGCACTGAAGGTCGCCTGTCGGACTGTGAAATCAACGCCCGGGAAACCCATGGAATTTCCGCGGATTAGTCGGATATGGCGTGTAGTAGATCAGCTCTACACGAGGCGCCCGGATTTGGAGCTCATGGTGATTCCTGGCTTGATTTTCTTGTCAGACTGCCAGGACTGCTTGCAAGGTTATTTTCTGAATGCTTTCATCAAGCATCGCGCGCAAGTCTAGCAGAGGCAGTGAGTGGTTCTGATCGCAAACCGCCCGAAAGTATCAATGGCACGAAGCCGTGTGGGGTTGTTGGGAGCATCTGGAGAGACGGGAAGCTCTATATTGGATGGATTAATCGAAGATGGAGGGTTTGTATGACATCCGTTTTGTCCATCACCAGTCAGTGCTTCACGGCTGATTATTGCTTTGGCAGGAAATCATTGCACTTGCACGTCCAACGTCCTTATCAAGCCCGGCCAACGTCGCGATCAGAGAGAAAGGTGTAGAGTTGCGTGCTCTGGATCTGAGCTCTTCTGAAGACTCTATCGTCGATGCGCTTGCCGGCATCGATATCCTGATATCCGCCATCGGGCCCCGAGCCCAGTTGACGCAGGTTCCACTTGCTTTCGCGGCAAAGAAGGCCGGAATCAAACGCTTCGTCCCGTGCGCCTGGGCGCCCATCGTTCCCGTTGGGGTCCACAGGTCAAGAGACCAGAAAGAAGAGGTCTTCAACCTCGTCAAACGCCTCCACGTTCCTTATACCATTATTGACATTGGCTGGTGGTATCAATTCACGTTGCCAAAGCTTCCGTCTGGGAAAATTGACTACGCCCTGACTATACCAATGAAGACCATTCCCGGCGATGGTCATGTGCTTACAGCCTTGACCGATGTGAGAGACGTCGGTAAGTATGTGGCGCAGGTTATCAAGGATGAGCGGACGCTCAATGCGATGGTGTTTGTCTACAACGAACTGTGGTCGATGAATCGTGTCTACGACCTGCTCGAAAAAAAGTCCGGCGAGTCCGTCCGTCGAGAATTCACCAGCGCGCAGGAGTTCGAGCAGCAGATTACCGATGCGGACATCCGGCTCAATAAAGACCAGGAGGACGTGGCCGCTAGACAACAGAAAGTCTTTGCTCAGTATTATCTGTCTACCTTTATACGCGGGGAAAACACCCCCGAATTCGCCAGATACCTGGGTTACCTAGACGGGAAGCAGCTGTATCCAGATGTCAAGTTCAACACTTTCGAGAGCTACGTTGAAGAAGTGCTCAACGGCACGGGAAAAGCTGCGTACCAAGATCGCTGAAGCACTTTCATTCTTAGGCTAAAGTTTGATGCGCCGACAAGGCAATTAGAGACTTGGGAGGAAACTGGCACCGCCAGTCGAAACTGACTCACAAAGTGCTTGTCAATTGCAGCACTACCTGATATAGAAGGGTAGAGGACAAGTTCAATCCAAGAAATGTTGATCAACGCGCATTCGTCTACATCAACCATTTACTTCAAGCGCAGTTCATCTGACTAAAGTTAAGAAAGGAACTGTATCCTTCCCACTCCTATCCTCCTTGAACCTAACGCCTGCTGTTAGCCTGCTTGCAATTAATCCGTTTTGTAAATATGGACGCTCGTCAATAAACGATCAATGCACTTCTTGAAGAAACATGCTCATGGCTGCTTTCGCATTCTACTTACAAATCGTGGCCAAAACGTCAAAATGTGAGCCTCGATCGAGGACTTCTTTGGGTTAAGGAGAAGCCAGGCTCTGGCAGATCGACCCTCATGAAGGCAGCCTTCCATTCTGCTCAACGCAAGAAAAGCCTGGCGATTACTGGTGTCGCATGTTCCTTCTTCAATGGAGGCGGTAGAGAGCTCGAGCGAAGCCAACTGGGCCGTTTTCGCTCGCTGCTTTACCAATTGCTATCTCAAGACCGCGAGTGTCTCCAGCAATTCATGGTTCTGTACCAAACGAAGGACAAAGACCAGGGTAAGCGCGTCCAATGGAATGAAGGAGAGCTCAATTCTTCCCTTTACTCGATATGCACCAAGCGTCGAATCGGCATTTATCGACGCAATCGATGAATCCGCTGGCGAAAACTCATCTCTTCTAGGTTATAACTCGCTCTTTGGTAAAGTGGAAGCCTTCTCTTGCATCAGTTTCTCTGCGCCGGCCCACACAGGATTACTTTTCCAATTCTTGAGCTCCAATAAATGGGGCAACAGGTCATTGCTGAAGGCCTCACTTGCCTCTCTGGGCAACAAACTTGGCAAATGATCAATGCTAATAACGCTGAGCGGCGGCTCGCCGTTGACCTCGACAGAAACAGTGGGTTTATCGAATGTGGTTGCTACTGTGTAGATAGGGATCGGGTTATTTGGATTTGTTGTGTCTGCGGAAACGTCACAGACGACAGACAGCTTGCGACTCGGTGTATCGAGCGATGGCATATCGACAAAGTTGGGGATCTTCTTGTTGAGGTAAATGCAGTTGATGAAGATGTCGCTCTCAACGATCTCTGGAAAGGGGCCACCCTTCGCTATTGCGTCTGTTAGCTATTTGAATTTCACTTAACTCTGACTGATTTATTACCTGTCTCTGCCATATCCCACCGAAGGACGTTCTCAGTTGGGACACCAGCTCTCGAGCATAGGTCAACTGCGCCACTGCCACAACGCCCTAAAGCTCCAATGATAAGCACTCTTGGTGCCTTGCCGGTCTTCTCAGCTCCTTGTGCGAGAGCCTTCTTGACGTCGGTAATCAAGGCGTCGACATTGGGATATGATGACACAGATGGCAATGGCCGGTCCGGATGGTTGATTTGCCATGCCCTACAATGCTCTGCGTCAGACCTGGCTAATTAAGAAGCTTTGGGGTGCCGGGGAACTGTTTTGTTGTTGCAATATAACTCAGGTGGTCTTCTCGGCACCCACAGCAAGTCAAGAAAGGAAGTTTGGGAGTCCATAGAGTGATTTACCAGTTCATGACCGCTAAAGCTGCACTGTTCAATCCAACAGATTAGTAATTACTCCCTGAAGAAGTCGAAGGGTATCGAAACACTGTCACAGCGGAGTGCCACGCAGTGTTACACCTTAGACAGGGGAAAGACGATATGAAGTAGACGTACCCAGCAAACCCAGCGTGATACCCAAATGCCTATAAGATTTCAGACTTGATATCCAGGCAGAATAGCTGAACGAGGACATATTACATACTGCTACTCTCCTTCCGCTCGAGTCGGTCAAAAATTCGAGGTCCAAGAGCACACCATTTCCTCGGACAAATCTGGCAAGAACCTTTTCCCATCCCGCCTGTTGCTTATAACAGTGGGCGAACTGGACGTGTACATGCTCAAGGGGGACTTCAGAGACATCAGCTGCCATCAACCATATCTTTAGAAATCCATTAACTCACATGTCTCGACTGGTAGCTCCTTGAGACCAACGATGATGTGGTCCTTTGGGGCATCACGCCAAGTATTCTCTGGTATTAATGTGGCTCCAACCTTCTCGTATTCCTCGTCATCGAAGATTCTTTGAGGGCTCCGCTCAACATTAACCTGGTATCCTGCAGTAATGAGGGCTTTTGTGGTGGTGGGAGTCAGGGCCGCTCTATCTCCAGTGTCAGCAGTTGCTATATGAGGAGGTTGAATCGTGCTGAGGCGACGTCTTGAGTGCAATGCCTGGTGGCGATGCAACTTGGACAAGTCCTAGACCTGTGTTTGAAGGCCCCGGACGGACTCGAAGAGATAGACTAACCTGCGCTCGCGCGGCTTTCCAACTAGAAGAACATCAGCGAATGTGCGTGGTTAGACAAATAGGTAGACTTTACGTTCTGATCGTAGATGCAAAGTGGTTGTCTTCATTTTCGTTGGGCAGGCCGTTTTTAATCCCTTCACTTAAACAGTCTGAGTCGATTTCAAAAAAATAAAGATGACATCCAAAAGGCGCAGTTTTTGTACGGGGAATCACTGCCGACCATTGGCAAAACACCTACGGTGCGGTAGAGGAAACTTTCCTACAACCCGTCTCGCCGTTTTCGTGAAATCTACCTAGCGAGGCTAGGTTCGAAACTTGAAGGACAAGCTCCGCAGGGAGGAGAAATCCAATTCAGCTACTCGGTACCTCGTACAGCTGCCTTCAAACATTTCCCAGTAGCCTCTTTCGACATGTTCCTACGAAACCACCCCTCCAGCCTTTCGAGCTGACAATCACGAGTCCAGAAACCGTCCTGTATCATTCTGGCGTTTTCAGGCCACTTCCTTCTCCACCACCGCATGTTCCCCCTGTTTATATTCTATTGCAGCATCTGGGTAAACTTTGTCGACCACTTGTGTCGTTCTTTCTCCGTCACCAACAACTATCTGATGGGTATTGTCGTCAACGTATAAGTTTTCTGAGTAGACTGCAACCTGATCCTCGTCTCCGAATATCTTTGCAATCTCTTCGAGCGGGATGTTGCGAGTTTCTGGAAGCACAAAGCAATAGACTATGCCGCCGACGAAAGTAATGCAAATAAAAACGAGGAAGAATCTCCAACCTGTGACAGATTAGCTGGCCGAACACTTGTCAAAACTTGTTCTTAGTTATACTTGCCAATATGTTGGAAAGCCGTCGCCGAGACTTGCAGATACAGGAGGTTGGTAAGAGCAAGCGTTGCAACACAGACGGACAGCCCCTTTGCGCGAATGTGATTCGGAAAGATCTCGGTATACCATACATAACCGCATGAGTCGACTCCAATGCCGTTGAATGCGATCAACAGATAGAGTGCAACAACGCCGAAGGCGAGGCCAACTTTGTTGGTTCCTGTCTCGGTGAAAACAGCAACCACAACGGTTTCGAGGATAAGACAGGCGCAGCATCCAAAGATGGCGGTAAGCATCAATGGCTTTCTTCCGATCTTATCCATCTGCCGAACAGTTAGTTAGTTTGATCTAGGTATCTACCGGAATGGAGATTCACAATCAAAGCGCTGAGGATATTCGTGATAATAATGGTAGTAATCCATCCGCACTGAAAGCGGAGCTGATCTTCGGTTCCGTATCCAAGTTCAGAATACAGAAGAGGTCCGTAGTTGTTGATGACGAGTTCAGCAGTGGATTGACCAAGAAAGGCAAAGCCCATCGCTAGTATGGCTCGTTTACGATATGAGGGACGACGGAATATCTCGAGCTGGTACAACATGGTCAGTTGAGAATCGGCAACGATGATAGAGAAGGTAGACATACCCATGATGGGTTCATCGTGCGGTCGATCTCGACTTGTTGGCTTATTTGGTAAAATTCGGCCCGAGCGAATGCGCAGTCCGGGTCACCTTTCACAGAGTGCAGGTCCATGATAACAGCACGAGCCTCGTCTCCCCGGCCGCGCAACAACAACCAGCGCGGTGACTCTGGCAAAAACCAAGTGATGACAAGCATTGCGAGCGGAAACACTACATCACTGTCAGCACAAAAGCACCATTATGACCCATTATACCCGTCTCCAAGTCTGACATGAGGATACGAATGTTGATATACTGACCTAGAGCAAGACCAAGAGGAACGCGCCACTGAACCTCACCATATGGTGCATAATAGAATGCCATGCCCATGTAAGCGGCTGGAGCTTCGGTCAGTTCTTGGCTAGCCAACGTCTGAGGATGGAAAGTCTGTAGGGGCTTACCCAGACCGTATCCAAGGGTGACGCAGACGCCGTTCAATCCAACAAAGAATCCTCGGAGCCTTGGTGGTGCAACTTCTGCGGTGTACGTCGGCGTGATGGCCACAAAGGCCCAGGCCCCGAGGCCTACAAAGAAGCGAGCCGTAATAAACATCGCCACACCGTTAGAGCCAGTGACAATTGCACCCCCAAGGATTGAGAATGTCGAAGCATAGACGAAGCCGGCTCTTCGCCCCCAGCGATCCATGATGTAGGGAGCGCCTAGCACACCAATAACGGCACCAGCTTGATAAACGCCGTTCATAGCTCCGATGAGCTGTGTGATTTTGGTCGTTGGTGTAAAAGAGCCCGTCGCTCCTTTAGTGTAGAGACCCATGTAGATGAGGAAACTTGGTTCTCCGAGAGTGGTGCCAATGAGAGCGGAAGGATATCCGGCCGCAAGCTGCCCAAGTGAAATCAGGAAGGCGATCCAAAAACCTCGCCATGTGAACTGCGCTTCACCCGCTGCCATCGCCTGGTGTGGCGCGTTGGAGGACTGAGGCGCCATTTGTGCCGAGAAAGAAATTTTTCTAGACGCACAGGTACGAGTAGACTACCTTGGCTCTTGGAAGAAGCAGTCCCAAAAGTTTTCGCAAGCAACAGCAAATGTGACTATGTATTTTTCAACAGAGCCATTCCAGCAAGCATTTGCGACCATGGAAACATTATACATACCTAGCCACAAATTGTTCCTATATAAGAACCGCGGAGTCCCCGCGGCTCAGCCGCGGGGATAACTCTGTAAGTAGAAAGCTTTGTTTCATTACCTGGAGTCTGGGGAATCCTTTGGGTCCGACAGAATCCCCACGGGGAGATTGAGGTCTGGACCAAATTTTGGGTCTGGAACTGATGACCTTGGGAGACGATTCGCTCCACACCTTTGATGCAACGAGCACTTCCGCCGGACATAAATTTCGTTTCCACCTGGGATAGGTATTCACGCCAGGATCGAAGGTGTCTTGACATCTTGACTAGCTTTGAAATTGTCAAGGCATAGCATGAAGGAGCGTATGTAATTGCCATACCCCTCGAATGATGACTGTTCTCTTTGAATTCGACCCGCGACGACTTGAATGCAGTTTCTTCTCGCAGTTCGTTGCCGGCATAGATCGCGGTCATTCCTTGTTCTAAACTGCTCATCTTACATGACCTCATCCAGCCGCCGTACATTGGTCTCTTAAGCTTCACCACGGTATTAGCCTCATCGGGCGGAGGGTAGCTCGGGCGGGATATCTGCCGTTCCCTAGATATGTGTCGTCCTGGCGTGATTTTACACTGTTACTGTGCTGCAGTAATAGCAGGCAACATGCGCCCAGCTGACGGCAAAGATGGCAGATATGTTGCCCACAATGGTGCACAGACGATATGATAAAGAGAGTTGTGGGGGGGCTGGCATAAGGCCGGCTTATTGGGTACTCATCAAATGGAGAAGAAGAATTCTGACGCGAGAGGATCGCACGAATTTCGCACAATGTAATGTCTTCAAGGTGTTTCCGTGATCTGTAGTCATCTTCATTTCGGGTGCGCTGCATGTATCAAGATACCACCAAGGAAGGATATCCTGCATTCTGCTCCGCATTGCACATCTCGAAATATGACGGAAACCCTCCAAACCAGAATAGCGGACGCACAGGATTTCCAGGCACATTTGCACCAACGAACCAAGACGCCGCCTTTCCCGCGGACTCGGCCATTACCGTTGCGCTGAAGACCTCCTGTACTTTCTCGCTCCACCTATCCATCGCTTCTCCCGAGGGGTCCGCTGTATGGTAATTGTTCTTCTGGAGGTATGCCAGGCACTGTCCGATCCAATTCGCGGTATTGTCGAGGAGCACCGGAAAGTTGCCAATTGGAACTTGCGGACCCGCCATCATGAACATGTTGGGATAGCCTTCAACCATGAGGCCCAGGTGAGTCTTCAGCTGCTCTCTCCACTGCTCTCCGAGCAAACGGCCTTCCTTACCACGGACCGCTAACCTTGTCAAAGGTCCGGTGGCGACGTCGAACCCGGTAGCATAGATGATAACATCGAACTCGAAGACATCTGTATCGAAACGCTTGTCCTTTTCGGTGAGCTGAACGCCATGTGCGGTGATCTCCTTGATTGGATTATCCTTGATATCGACCAGGGCCACATTAGGTCTATACACACGAGTCTGAATTAGCAGATATTCAAGATTATTCATGATGGTGAGCCCTTGGGTGGTGCCCAAGGTGTTAGATCAACGTTATTGGCATAAGGGAATGCGTTGGATCTCCACGAGAAGGGGGGAAGAGGTTCCCGCAGGCTTACTTGTTGAACCTGCAATATGTCAGCCATGTGCGATTTCAATGCCATACACACAGATGGTGTGTGCTGTACGTACGTTTCGTAGTACGAATGACCTAACGGCGGTCTTTTAGCCATTAATGGATCCTTAGGGCACAGAATCTCGGCTGTAGCTTCGTCTTTGACGATTGCACGGATCTTGTCGCGGACGTAGTTGGACGCAATCGTATTTGCTTCTTTGTTGACAAGCAAATCGCAATATGTCTCGAACACGAATCGGAAGCCGCCCACTTCCCAACCGTAGTCAAGGGCGCGCCGAATCTCAGCCTCATCTTTCATGTCTTTCAAGAACACTTTCGAATCTATAATTGAAATACCAAAAATTTCGTTTCTCGCCAACTGCCACACGTGGTCGTAATTTTTCTTGATCTCGTCCATCTGGTAAGAGCTTAAAGGGTAGTTTCGTGCTGGGAGGACGTAGTTCGGCGTCCTTTGAAAGACCGTAATTGAAGCAGCGCAATGTGCCAAAGTCGGAAGGAGTTGTACACCGGTGGCTCCAGTGCCGATGAGACCGATTCGCTTTCCGGTGAAGTCCAGGTCCTTCTTGGGCCACGCGGACGACACATACGATTCTCCTTTGAACTTCTCCGCGCCCACGAAAGGAACGCCGCGACCGACCGACAGGACTCCCACCGCAGGAATGAAAAATCTCGACGTGAAGGACTGGCCAGAGACGGAGGTGATCCGCCAGAACTGCAGACTATCGCACCACTCGGCGGATTTTACCCGAGTGTCGAACTGAACATGTTTGCGTATATCGAAGCGATCTGCAATATGTTTCAAGTAGTCCAACATCTCTGTCTGGCTAGGGTAACGTTCTTTCCAGGTCCAATCATTGTTCAGTTCATCGGAGATGTTCAGAATGTAGACCCAGCTCTCACTGTCGGTTCGGGCTCCCGGGCTGTATCGACAGAGGAGAATGAGAACATGTCGTACTTGTAAGTCAAGACGTGGGACAATCTTACTAGCTGTTCCAGTACCTTCACTTTGGGTCAGTAGACTGTGTCCAGGCGTGAGCTGTTGATTGATGCCCATGGACACTCACCATGTTCCCCCAACTTCGCCACCTTCCTCGAGTATTAGGAAACTCAAGCCAAGCTTGCGTAACTCAATCACTATCCGCAGTCCAGCCATGCCAGCACCGACCACGATTACATCGTAATGGCGAGCTGTCTGTTCGCCTGGGTGAGCAGGATCCTCTACGCGAGGAGCCATGTTTGCGTTCGATCGCGCTTGTGCTATCGACAGAAAATGGTCTACCACATTTAGCCTCGTCGAGAGACGGTCAGACACTCAACAACCGTCTTATCTACCATTGCACCTATGCTACGCTCAATGACTGTCCGGCGACGCTAGAACGACCGGGTCGCAGAGATGCGCCGATGAGGTCTGGCAATTCCTCCCAAATCCCGGCACATGTCCGGCTCGTCCGCGGACTCTTTGGAATCTCATTGGTGGTGTTTGTCACCTGGCAGGTGGCGCTCCAAGTCCCCATTCCTATTTTCGATACGGCCAAAACTACACCCCGCCATTCTGGGGATCCCAGCTTTCCCCCTCCCTCGCCCCAACATATGACGACGCGGATGAATAGTGAGGTCCTACAAACAGTGTCGACTGCTGAGGGTCAACGCGCGAGAGGCAAACATGGTGTCAGATCCGGGGGCTAATATACGGGGTCAGACAGAGGATGATACGCGTCGCGTAGGTCCTATAATTTATCTACCTCAAAATCTTAACTTACGTCGCAATAACGATATAAACTTGAAGAGACTAAGTATGTAGCATAACGTATCGTTAGCGTAACTAGGTATATATGTCGCTCTATACGAGTATACCGCATTAAGTCTAGCGGACCCTTGGCATGTGCGCAAGCTCCCAGGTTTGGTCGATCAGAACACCTCGGCACATAGTCTCAGACTCGCGATCGCCATTATATCAGAATGATTTGAGATCTGAGAACGACTTGTGCTCGTACTGTCACTCGAACGAAATGTCCACTCCTACAGGATCTCAAGGCCGTGTTCAGGCTGCAAAAACCAGACGACACCGACGGGATCCGGTGTCGTGTGCTTTCTGTCGTGAGAAGAAGTTGAGATGCGACCGACTTACGCCCTGCTCAAATTGCTATCATAGAGATCTACCTTGCAGTAACCAGGCAACCAGCCGTTCGCAGAGGGAGTCTGCATCCGAGCAAGCAGCGGTTTTGGATCGATTGAAGCAGCTAGAAGCCACGGTCCTGAAGCAACAGCAGCTTCTTGATGCGTATGAGCACAACAGTCCGCGTTTCCGCGCCCTAAGTGCGACGACAATGTCGGGGGTGGAACACGCTCGCACCGGATCCTACACAGCAGACGACCAGAACGACGGTTCTCGACGGAATCAAGCAGATCGCTTCTATGCAACACCAATCTCGGACTACGCCGAAGCCTTTCGAACTCTGGAAGATACAGGTCTACACCAAGATTCATGGCTTACTACGAACAACCACAGCAGCTCCACCCGAATTGTGAATACTCGCCACATCGCACTTGTAAGTTCTGACCCGGCATTGCGAGACCTCGTCAAATCCCAGCCCACTATCTCGTGTATGCTGCCACCCGAAGAAGAAGCACTGCTGCTGCTCGATTATTACCGCAATCACCTGCACGAATTACGGAACTTCCTCCATATGCCAACCTTGCTCAAGCATGTGACCAAGTGCTATGCAGATCTACGGAATGAACAGCCAGTACCGCTCAGCATTCTTGTGTTGATTCTGAGCGTGCTTGCCAGTTCATCGGCAATCATGTCGCACAACGAAATTTGGGACGGCATGCCGTTCTCGCAAACGGATAGCACTCGCGTGTCTACGTACTGGGCCACTTGCGCCGTAAATCTGCTGAGCGACATGCATCGCAAGCCATGCGACACAATCGAAGACGTACAGGCAACAATACTTCTAGCATTCCATTCCGTCAACGCCGAAGGTTTCTCTGCAAAGTTGCATTACTTATTCGCCGTGGCGATTTCCAGAGCGCACGATCTCCTAATACACAAAATCGATGCTGTGTCGCCCACAAACCCAACAAACGCGATCGAAACGGAGATCAAACGCCGAGTCTGGTGGTATCTTGTCACGGCAGACTGGTAAGCAAATTCCTTTTTCTAATTAGTGCCATCATGCTTACAAGAGCTTGAAGGATTCTTGCACTCTCTGGAGGACCGCAGGAAGGCACGTACTCTGTGCAACCACAACACATGGTGGTCAATCTCATCCGAAACGTGGATGACGAAGACTTGGCTTCCGCCGACCAAATCAGAGATCGACCTCTTTCTGAGCCTACGAGCATGTCATACTACATACAGCGCATCAGGTTGGCCGAACTCTGTCGCGAGGCCGCTGACATGATTCCAATGTCTCACAACGTGACAGCAAGTGTCAATTATGGAGCAGTCGTTGCTCTCGATAAGCGATTTGAGGCGTTCCTTGCAGGGTTGCCTGTGTTCCTGCGGCATGATGAGGAAAGCATTCGCCAGAGCGTGGAGACGATTGCCACCCGTCCGCACATGAGGACTCAGCGCCAGTCCTTATTCATGACAACCAACGCCAAAAGGTGCAAGTTGCACCAGCCTTTTCTGATCCGTGGATTAGTGCATGAGTCGTACTCCTACTCTCGCAATGCATCTTTGAAGTCGGCGCGCGCCGTGCTCGAAGAGAGTCGTCGGGTAGAGGCTAACGCACGGGGCATTCATCCATGCGCATCCCATGCGTTCCGACCCTATTTCATATACTACACCTTCATGGCCACCATCGTCCTGGTCATGGAGTTATGTTTCACCAGGAAATCTTCCTTGGTGGATGACCAAATTCACGATGGCGCCGAACTTGATGACGAAGAGACTTTGGTCACCAAGGCTGAAGTCATGGCGGCTTGCCGCAGTCTCCGTCAAGATCACAGCACCACCGGAATAGGTGCTATGTATCTTGCATCGTTGATGGACGTGCTCAGAAGGTTCAAGGTCAAGCTTCGGTCGGAACCTGTACGTAGCGTGGATTCTGGCCCGGTAGCTGAGCCCCGAAATAATCATACAGCTACAGCTTGGCGATTGCAATCAGAAACTCTCGCTGGTCCATCGTACGGCTTCAAGACGCCCTCCAACAGCTCACAACAGCTTCTCTCGCAGCCAGTACCCCCTGGACCAATTCCCGAATGGACGACGACCAGTTATACCAACCCCAATACTATTGGTGGCGCTGCCTCCTCCTCACCGTTAATGGGCAATGTTGGATTCATGGACATAAACAATGTGCAACCGCGGTCACTCAATCAACCAGTTACACCCAGCTCTATTCCGTTGGCGGGATTCAAAACCTCGCTTGCCGACTTTGACGATATTTGGAACGACTACGTCGAGCTAGGGCCGAATCTTAACGGCTTACAATGGGACAACCTCTTCTCTAGCCTGGAGATGGACATAATGTGATGCAGTACTGTACTATATCTTTCTTATCGTGTTGTTGGCCGCGGACAGCAACTTTCTGTCTGGAACTGTGTGAAGAAACGTAGTTGCTCTGGAAGGGAAAAGTTTCTTACCTCTTCTGTAGGATGCTCCAGGAAGGATGACCCCAGACGACGAATATGTAGGGATTTTAAGCGTCATCTCTTTTGAACATTCCAGCTGTGGGTGCTCCAAAAATCACCTCACAAGCCTTCTCGACTGCAGACGTCGTGCTGGGTCTGATACCAAAACACAGGCGGCTTTGTGAGAGTGTGCTAGATACCCCCGCAAGACTTCCCTATTGAGACGATGAGCCTGTACTGAGCGCGCGTTATGACAGCCTCGAAAGCATCGCACACATAGCGTCACGACCCGCACTCCACGACCTTGACCAGTTTCCGAATCGACACGCATCAACAGCTTCTTACGGCGTTGCTAGCATCAACGTCGGATGTTTACACGGAATTTGGTGGTTTGACTTTCGCTCCTCCCAAACAAAAGAAGTTGGGCGAGAACTTTTCGATTCACTTAATATCAGTAGATTGCCATGAGCAGTGTTCAGAAGCTACGGAGAGGAGACTTGCGGAGCCATGTTGAGCTCAGTATCCGCGTACACGCCGTAAAATGAACATCACCCAAAGTCGCTCCATTCCGCGAGCTTGCCGTCCTCCACCACGAAGATGCTACACACCGCCAGCTCAAACGGGACGCCCGCTTTCCAGTCAAAGAACCCTGGATCCACGACAGGAGTACCGTAGTATGTGTGTTCGACGAAGATGGCGTTGCCGGTGACGGCCCATCGAATCGGCGGCTTCACAAATCGTTTCGGAGCTATCTCGATGATTTTTCGACTCAACTCGAGTAGTTGTGCTTTCCCTTCCCCTTTGAATTGGCGGTGGTGTTCCCATCTGAGGTCGTCCGCCATCATTGAACCAAGCGCGTCGAGATCTTTGGCGTTGTAAGCGTCGCAGAATCGGTGCACGAATGCCAGGAGCTGACTGGGATCCATCTTCTGGTCGGTCATTCTCTCGGCTTGGGCTGATGTCTGTTGGTGGATGCTCGGCGAAGGAGCCGGAAGAGGAAGACCGTGTTGTTCAGTAAGAATTGGACAGCTCGACCGCCTTATTGTTATGCGATCTGTGCCGCTTGTTCGACTGCCCCAAGCAGCGCTGGCTGGTCCCGGCGAGCCATGAGAGACTGCTACCAAATTTTGCGCACACCTTGCCTCGGGTTACGTGCAATGTTGACCTCCCGCGGCAATTCCAGCTCGGAAAAGTTGTAGGTACGCGAGCACACCTTGACCGGGCCATCTGCTCAGAAGCCTGATTCTCCGAACACTTGCAAGATGGCGAACATGGGGATGTCCATGGAAATTCCGGGGGGCCCTTTCGCCCGATTGCTACTTTCGCCGCTTTACCCAAGCTTTACTGTGATGTATATTGCGCGAGTCGTTATAGATCTCGATTGATCTGGCACTGGTGGTTCCTTTGGCCGTGCAAAGAGTATCAATCATGGCTGGACAGATCGCTATCGTGTTTGGTGCGGGAAAACAGATCGGCTTATGCGCAGTGGAGGAGTTTAAGAAGAAGGGCTACAAGGTTGCGGCTGTTGCTCGATCACTGGAAGCAGGGGAAAGAGACGGCGTCCTTTACATACCCGCTGACCTGACCTCGCTCTCCACCGTCGGCGACGCATTTGAAGCGGTCCGGAAGAGATGGGGCGAGCCAAGCGTGGTCATCTACAATGGTAAGTAATCTCGGAGCGCAAAACCCATCCATCCATGCTCCCGGACCTCGAAGACCAAGCAGAAGCTGATGTTGTTGCGCGGCCAGCCTTTAGAATGTATTGGACGAAAGAGTCCAGCACGTTCGACGTCCCGACAGACGTCTTCGTCAAGGACATGGAGGTCAATACCACCTCTGCTTTCATCGCGTTAAAGGAAGCCCTGGCCAGTTTCGCAACCCTCCCCAAGGAGGCCCCGAAGACTTTCATCTACACCGGCAACATACTGAACGAGGGGCCACTCGCAGGGGTCTTGACACTCGGCATGGGAAAATGCGCCTCGGCACATATGGTTGAGCTGGCTGACTCGCGCTATCGCGACCAGAACACTCGTTTCTTCTTTGTGGATGAGCGCGATGAGCATGGCGTTCCTATGTTCACAGGTGCGAGCCCTCAGGGACATGCCGACATGTTCTTGTCGCTGGCCCACCGGAGTGCAGGCGACGTACCCTGGCAGATCACTTTTGTTACCGGCAAAGGTTACGTGGAATTCCCGCACAAGGTCATCTTGCCGACAGATAACTCAACCTACACGACTGACACGACGAAGGCGGTAGACTCATCAGTATTGGGCACATCTCATACTAGGCATTGACTGGTGTGTCAACTGCAATGTACTACCGTCCTTGAGCATGTTCACCAAGTAGTGCCTACCTAGTGTCATAATTGCTACGAGTTATGATGATGTATGCCTCTTTGAGTGCAGCTAGATAGATACCGGTGGGTGGCAACGTCTAGACAAGCAGGGCGACCATCTGACTGCTTGCGGATGTGAAGACTGCGACGCATGGGCATGTACACTGAACACCCACGATGTCGTTGGCAAGCGCTTTTCCGCGTCATGGCTAGGTTGTATGAGCATAGTTTACTCTCATGGAAATCTGACCGCCGATGGATAAGAACGACCTCTTGCAGATTCGTATGGAAACTCTTATGTTTAGCAACACCTTGACATGAATTTGACGATGTCGTGCTTGGCTATGTAATTTATTGGGGCACAGGTGCGTCGGTCGCGTTTAGCACCATGGACATATAACAAAAAAAGCCAACACAGTGCACAAACCCGATCGTTGCGTCCTTGCCGAAGCATTCCAACAGCTTGTCCCAATGTTCCTGGGGCATCGGACCAGGGATGTACAGCAGGTGTCGCATCGCGTCATACGCTACGCTGCAGCGCTTATTCAAGCCCGGTGGTTTCCTGCCCTGGCTGAGGAGATCGACCTCTGTGGAGCTGAGAATTCCTGATTTCTTTGCCGATGCGCCGTGACTGTAGAGCGCGTACCCGGCCTGGTGTTTGGCCGCCACTGCCAAAACAACGACCTCCTGAACATCAGAAGGAACCCCTAGTTTTGCTATGCCGGCCATGATCTGCAGAAACGCTGGAGCCATTCGGGCATCGTATGCGATCGTGGGAAAGGGTCCCATCAGAGCTCCGCGCTGATCTTTGTATATGAAAGCGTCGCCATTCTCCCCAAATACTCTTTCCACGAAGCCGTAGCATTCTTTCATTTGGTCGCGCTGGTCGGCAGGATATTCGTTGACGAGACGCCCCGCCAGACGTGCCGTGAAGTCTTTTTGGGATACCGAGCCCATGTTTCCGAGTAGTAAAAGAACGTAGCTTCTTGTCGTTTCACCTTCAATAAACAATCCAGAGTCAGCCCACACTACAGACTGGTCACTCGTGCGGCGTTGACTCGCCCATGGCTTTATCATCGGCTGTAGAAGATGACTTCACAGATACATTGCGCCCGGGATCTCCGTGGAGTACTGTGTCTAGTAAGCTGCTCAGTCGGACTTCCGCGGACACGATCCCATGTAGGACAATACAGCTGCTCTCCTTGGGCCAACTGCACTGTGAAAAACCCGAGGTCGCTTCCGAGCCTAGGAGCTGCTGTGCAGGAGATCAGGAGAGTAAGCAGTAAAATTATAGTTTGTATTTTCTCCCCGTCAAGCGTGCTTTTGAGAATAAGTATAGTCGAGTGTTGAGAGAGAGGCCCAGGTAGCCAGCAACTCGAAGAATGAATTCTGATTAACTTTGGCGGATGAAGAAGAAGAGCAATAGTTGCAGGTACCAACATAATTCCCTTTCAGGAGGTTCAACTTCCAATTTTGTTAGAGACCTCGGGAAGTTGTCGTACAGATATACTTTATCGGGTGTCGACACGTGAATATGGTCTTGATAACAGGCACAAGGAGATTAGGATATTCTGCACTTACTTTTTGATACTCTCTTGTCGCTATTTCGGTGCGAGTGTTAGGAAGATGGATATAGCGTATTAACTCAGTGTGGTAGTGGTGCTGAGGGAGCAATCACGAAATGCGATCTCACCAGGATAGAATGATATTGGTGATTCGGTGCATTCAGCAAGGAGAAGGCATGATTGGCGTACTAGGTACCTAGGTAGGCTGCAGGAGCAATTGATCCTTGGCGATCTGGACATCACAATAATACGGGGTCAATCCCAAAAAGGTCTAATTAATACACGCTCAACTCAAAGCTACTACCGAGCCATTTGTCCCACAATGCAGCATTGTGCTAGACTATGATAATATCCTCCAGATGGCTGTTCGCACTTGGCCGTCCAGCGAAATGCTTGCTGATTCCACCACTTGCAACTCGGTCGCTGGCGACCATTGTCAACCGTACGCCACCAGTGGCTCGTGACGAAGTGATCCAACTTCGAGCATATCAAGAAGAATGCATTCAATCAGTTCTCTCATATCTGAGCAAGGGCCACAGGCGCCTGGGCATCTCATTAGCTACTGGAAGTGGCAAGACGGTGCGCTTGGTGTCGGAGGTGGTGGCTACATCAGAGCAATGCTAACGCTGCTTCCGCCAGGTGATATTCACACGATTGATCGATCGAATCGAGCCGCCGACCCGGATTGCTCAACAGACCCTCATTCTTGCTCACCGGCGAGAGCTGGTAGAGCAGGCAGCACGGCATTGTGAGAGAGCATACCCTGAAAAGAGCATAGACATTGAGATGGGAGACATTCATGCTTCAGGTGCCGCAGACATTACCGTGGCGTCGGTCCGCAGCATGGTCTCCGGCGAACGGCTGAGCAAATACGATCCCGAAAAATTCAAGCTGGTCCTGGTCGATGAAGCTCATCACATCGTGGCCCCAGGGTATCTCCAAATCCTCCAACATTTTGGCCTGGAAAAGCAGACAAGCTCTGGTCCAGCGCTGGTTGGCGTCTCGGCCACTTTCTCCCGCTTTGATGGCCTCAAGCTGGGGGCGGCGATCGACCATATTGTTTACCATAAGGACTACGTCGACATGATTGGCGAAAAGTGGCTTTCGGATGTCATGTTCACCACGGTGAAATCAAAAGCGGATCTATCACGAGTTCGAAGTGGCAAAGATGGAGATTTTCAGACAGGTCAACTCTCTGCGGCCGTGAATACGGAAATCACCAACGACATCACCGTACGTGCATGGATGGAAGAAGCCAGAGATCGGAAATCGACTTTGGTCTTCTGTGTCGATTTGAACCACGTAGCGAGCCTGACCTCCACATTCCGAAAACACGGCATCAATGCGCAGTCCATCACCAGCAACACGAAGAAAAGCGTGCGCGGTGAACGACTCGACGCATTCAAGAACCGCGAATTTCCTGTGTTGTTGAATTGCGGTGTCTTTACTGAAGGAACTGATGTGCCCAATATTGACTGCGTGCTCCTTGCGCGACCGACCAAATCCCGCAATTTGCTTGTTCAGATGATTGGCCGCGGTATGCGATTATACCCGGGCAAGACGGACTGCCATGTGATTGACATGGTTGCCTCGCTTGAAACTGGCATCGTGACAGTTCCAACTCTTTTTGGCCTTGATCCGTCTGAGATGGTCAAGTCAGCCAAAGTGGACGACTTGAAAGCGTTGAAGGATAGCCGAATAGAGAACGCGGTTTCTACGGAAGCGTCAGGACACCTTGTTGGCTCTAACGGCGGGTCTGGCGACCACCATCTCGAGTTCACCCACTATGATTCTGTGCACGATCTCATCGAAGATACCTCGGGCGAACGACATCTGCGTGCCATATCGCCCAATGCATGGGTTCAAATCGATTCCAACAAGTACGCTCTCGTTGCGAAAGGCGGCTTCCTCATTCTCGAACGCCGTCTCGCCCCCAATCCCCTCGAGTCTCCATCCGACTCTGATGCCGGGTCTCATCAAGATGACGCCTCATTCGTGGTCACATGGAAGCATTCAATCCCCGTCTCTAAGACTTCCAAATCGCCCTGGTCCCGTCCTCGCACCATCGCGACCGCCGCAACGCTAAGCGACGCCCTGCACGCCGCCGACACGTTCGCTTCTCAAAAATTCGAACGCATCTTCATCGCCACGTCGTCCTCCTGGCGCAAATCCCCCGCCTCACAGGGCCAGCTCGACTGGCTCAACCGGCTCCGCGACGTTTCCGAGGACGAGCAGGAGCCTCTGACTGAACGCGACCTGACCAAGGGACAGGCCGCCGACATGATTACCAAGATCAAACTCGGCGCGCGAGGGCGATTCGACAAAATGATGAGGAAGAAGAGGGGCGTGGAGAAGGGCCTGCAGCGCGAAAGACGGGTCAAGGAGATGAGGGATCGCGAGACTGTCACGGTGGGACCTGTCGAGGCTTGATACCTGGTTTTCGACGCCTTTGTTAATAAAGAGACCGACATTGAAGGAAACAAACCCAAACCCACAGTCTTGCCTTGCCTTGCCTTGCCTGAAGTATTGTGTCGTGGCCCTCTTTCTCTTCTCGGAATCTTCCTATCCTGGGCAATATATTGTTTGCCGGGGTTTCCCGTCTTCCTTCCGACCCACCCATACATTGCGCGCATTAAAATGCCTCATTCAAGCTTACCACCAACAGACCGACCGGCCAGCTAGCAAGCTAGCTATTCCGTCCAATGCGTTTCTTCACCAAAGGGACACCTTTCTGTTGTTGTCAAGGCAATTTGAAGGAACAGGCTAGCTAGCCATGAGATATTTTGTATGCTCTGCTGTTTGATGGAACAGGCTCGCACCACACATCTATCGTGGAAACAACTCGCATGGCTCTTGTTCAATCAATACGTTGTTATTTGCATGACTCTGCAGGTCGATCGCTCTAGTGTGATACTTGTAGATTCATACATCAACCATACCAGACCAGAACCAAATCAAAGCACGGATAAAAAAAAAGTGTGAACTTCTTGCTTCTCTCTGCATCGTTCCCGACCATTGCCATCCACACGTTCGCATGGGTTGTTAGAGGCGCCATAAACCACGCACGGGTGCATCGACTTTGTATCGCTCAGCTCGTCTCTTGTGGTGCAAAGGCGTCGAGGACGTGCAACAAATTTGTGTCCTCCATTCCTGCCATGAAGGAGACCCATGCCCGTCTCCCCAAGCTCAATCTGCGATATTTACAAATGGTTGATAATAGCAGCGGCGTATTCGTGCGTCTTTGCCTTTCCGCCCAAGTCTCCCGTCAAGGTCTTGCCTTCCTTCAAGGTCGCGAAGATGGCGTTCTCAATCTTGACCGCGTGCTCGTTCAGTCCCATGTGCCGCAGCATCATGATGCTACTCAGCAGCAGGGCAGTCGGGTTCGCGAGGCCCTTTCCTGCGATATCCGGGGCGGAACCGTGCACGGCTTCAAAGATGGAGCACTCGTCGCCAATGTTGCCCGAAGGAGTGAGACCCAATCCACCGATCAAGCCGGCGCACATGTCTGACAGGATGTCGCCGTAGAGGTTGGGCATGACGAGAACCTTGTCGGAATATGGGCCCGGGTCGGTCGTGATCTTCAAGCAGGCATTGTCCAGGAGTTCGGCGTCGAATTCAATATCGGGAAAGTCCTTGGAGACGTCCCTTGCGGTGCTGAGGAAGAGACCATCGGACATCTTCATGATGGTCGCTTTGTGCACCACTCGGACCTTCTTTTTGTTCACGTCCCGGGCGTACTGGAATGCGTATCTCAAGACCCGCTCGGAGGCGGCACGGGTGATCAGTTTAATGGACTGCACGACACCGTCCACCACGACGTGTTCGATGCCTGAATATTCTCCTTCCGTGTTTTCTCGAATGAGCACAGTGTCCACGTTGTCGTAGGGCGTCTTGTAGCCTTCTATACTGCGGCACGGCCGGACGTTGGCAAACAGGTTGAAGGTCCGTCGGAGAGTGAGGTTGAGAGAGACATGGCCTTTGCCTACGGGGGTTGCGAGGGGTCCCTTCAGAGCGACATAGTTCTTCTTCACGGACTCGATGGCTTCGTCGGGAATCACAGTCCGGCCCTCCTTCAGGCGAGGCGTGACATCGACGGGCTCCCACACAATCGGCACCTTTGCAGCTTTGTAGATGTCCTTGACGGATTGCGAGATCTCGGGACCAATGCCATCTCCTTCTATTAACGTCACAGTGTAGTTTCCGTCTGATCCTTTCTTGCCCTTGAATTTGGCGACCTTGTCCTCTTCCGCGGTCGTAATGTAGCGTCTAGGTTGAGTCTGAATGGCCGGAATCAGTCAATTATGCACTGCGAAGCTTCTCGCAGCATTGGTCAAGTACCTGGAAGTATGCGGGAGCCCATGTTGGCTGAGTGCAAGCTTTTCGCAAGCACTGGCGAGCTGGAGCAGCGAATACTCGCGAAGCGATCATAGTGGGCAAGTGTGCGGGTGCAATTGCTGAGCGAAGGGAGCAGAACAGCTTCAGCAAAGGGTTCCTGTTCACCACATGGAGCAAGGAGTGAAGTTGAGAAATTGGCGCAGTTCCTTTACTTTGCAAAGATAGTGCCAGAGCTTCAAGTGGTGGAGCTTGTTCTGAAATGTTTTATCGACCCAAGAACGTGCCAGTTACATCACAGTTTGCAGGGGGGCAGCTCGAACCCCGTTATGTAAGCGCGCACGTGATGCCGAGAAATGTCCCGAGTCTCCTGGCTCGGCTTTCACTGGGTCTGACACGACAAACCACAAGCTGTGTCTCCAGAACATCAATGAATGAATCGCCGTCGTATTGTTCGTCATGGCCCAGGCACGAGATGTGCTGAACTACTACAACATAGCCAACCCGTTCCCCACAGAATATCCGAAAGAGCTGGACAGCGATGATGAGGACACGGATGCCGCCGGCGTCCGGCGGTCTCGCTCCCGTTACTCAGCCCTGGAAAGGACCGCTAGTGAGAGGAAGAGTCTTCTTCCTGGGTCCCAGAGGACGGTCGAGGGAAGAGCAAACCTGGTCCAGAAAGATGAACCAGATCCGTTGGGCGCTCCGTTAAGCGTCGTGACCTCTTTAACGAACCTGGGCCACTCGGTGGAAAATGATGCCCGGACGAGGAACAAATTCATGCTCTCCTCGACCACGTTTTCTCCCGAACTATTTCTGGCCACAACTCATTCCGACGATACCACAGAAGACCTGATACAAGGATCCAAATATCTGGCTAGGTCCATTGACCAGCAGTCGGCGCCACTCAAAGCCTTGGTGGAGACCAACTTTGAGCGCTTCGTTCGCGCCAAAGCCACTATCGACAATGTCTATACGGAAATGCGGAATCAGGGAATGGAGTCGCATGCTAATAGCCCTCCATCTCCCAAGCATTCTCGTCGTATCAGTGGCATCCACTTTCGGAACATTAGCAGTGGCAGCGCTGCTGGGATGGCATCCTCTCAGCGTCCGAGCAAAAATGCACTACGCAAGGAGACGGACTACGGCGTGCAAGGAATGAAGAGCTCACTCTCGGAGGTCAGCCAAAAGGCCGAGGAAGTCTGGGGACCAGCATTAGGAGGAAAGGAACGAGAAACAAAATTAAAAGTCATTTTGAATGCGTTGGAGAAGGACAGGGCAATCTTTGAGCTGGGTTCGAATCTGAGCGAAGCCATCAACCAGAGAGACTACGACAGAATTGTAGAGCTATACAATTCTGCTCGTCGGTATGCTGCTGAGGCTCGAGCCTTGGGCGAAGAGGTGAAACAAACTGGACGGGGTCTTTCCGATGATGAAGTCTATCGAGTTGTCATCGTTGGGAAAATGTGGTCAAATGTGGATGAACAAATAAAGGCCCTGAAACGGGATATTTGGCGCAGACTTTCCAGCACTTCGGCCGCTCTTCCGCTTTCCGGGATCTCCCAGGCAGAAGAGCATATGGAGCTTATCACGGTCTTGTTGCACCTGGGTGTGGAAGAGAGTCCGATATGGGTGTATCTCTTGAGCAGGTACGATTTCTTGAAGAACAAGATTGCCGCCGTCGTGGAGAGATCCAAGATTGAAATCGAGATTCTGCGCCGCCGACTGGCAGTTGGAGAACGTCCATCCTCCGAGACTGTTGCGGTGTTCTTGCGGCAAGCCTCGAAAGAGCGGCCCGAAACTCTCGACACTGAGGACGTTATCGATTTCTGGAACTGCATCCTGACCTACTTCACGAAGCTTCTATCCTTGTCGAGCGGATTGCTGGGAGAGGTTGTCGACTTTTGGGAGACAGCACAGTCGTTTATCGACGGCAACAAACAGAAAAGCTTACCCACTGGCTATGAAGGCGAGAGCAGCAAACATCTCCAAATGTCGGAATCAGAGGCCAATGGGTTGCGGAGCGGCGCTACCGAGCTGGTCAGCCAGCTGAGGGATGCTGTCTTCTCCCTCTTTGCGGATCCGCCCGCTGAAGACATCTCGTCTTTGTTCTCGCCAGTACCAGGATCCGCCGGTACACCCACTACCCCTCACATGGGAGCCGCCTTTTCTCCCACTGATGGCCGAATAGGCAGACTTGATCCCAACAACCTACCTGCGGCAGCAGAAAAGAAAGGCGAGCCATGGGAAGATTATGCATTCTGGCCACCTCACTCCAATGCCCTGAGCGCTGTGCACTATCTTCAGAAAATCCTTACCCTTGTCGGAGTCGGTGCCGGCGAAATGGTGGCTCTGGGCCCAGTGAGCAACAACAACGCGATGTATGAAAAGATCAAGGCCATGATCGCAGGAGCCCGAGAAAGATGTATGAGAGCTGTCTGTGAAGCCTGGAGCAAAGATGCGGAAAGCTGTAAGTCAATGGAGGATTGGGTGAGGTCGCCAGAGAAACGCGACCAAACTCGCATGCCGATGTACATTGAAGCCTTTGAGAGAAAAGTGCTGCTGGGTATGCAACAAGTGTTATATCTCTCCGACACGACCACCAAGCCAGGAGGTCGCGACATCCTTACGCCCCCGCCTTCGAAACTTTTGCAAATGGTACGGACTCAGCTCGTTAGCAGCATTTACAAAGCAGTCAGTGGCATGCTAGAAAATACGGAGGCTTTGAACCAGGGGGATGAGGATGACTGGGTCTTGGTGACGAGCCTCAACTCAATTGCCGTCGGTGCTACTCCCAGCGAAACGCTGATGCAAGACGCCATCAACGCCTCAAGCCGCAATGTGCGCATGCTACTGACGATGTCGAACCTGAAAGCCCTGCGGAACGAATATGTACCATCACTTATTCAACTGTTTGAGTCTTCATTCTCCGTGAAGCTGGCAGAAGAGTCCAAGACTATCAAAGACGTCTTTGGTCAAATCGATGCGAAACTTTTCCACGCATACACCCGACCCATGGTTGCGAACCTGACTCAAATCATCAAAGACGGTATCAATTCCCCCAGTTGGGTACCTACAAACCCGAAACCAGATCAAGTCAGACCATACGTTTATGCGGCATTGATGAGGCTAGTGATGGTCCACACGGAAGTCTCCACGACCGTCCCAAGCACCACAGGCTCGAACAGTCCTCTGCTGGGCGAGATCCTGTCCTACATGCTCGAGAACATCTCGCAAGCTCTCCTTGATGGGTTCAAAGAGCGCAAACCCAACACGTACAGCCTTCCGGCGTTGATGCAAGCGACCCTGGACACGGAGTTCATTGCGCAGACGATGACGCATTATTCGACACCCAAGGCCGGAGAGACCCAGGGCCAGATATACACAGAGTTGGACAAGAGGACGACAAACGAGGCGAGGACGAGATTACAGCAGGAATTGGGCGATATGCGGATGGTGTTGAAGAAATTGAGGGACGGCAGTCGGAATAGCTTTGGCTGTTTCAAGAAACAGAGGAGTAGTGATAAAGACAAGTCGAGACAGCAAGTGCCGGCGTTAGCCTAGGGAGAATGGTAAAGATCAACACGGGGTAGGATGGTTGGAGTTGGTAACGCTGGTGATGATATTGCCCGCGATGGTGCCTGTTCAGAGCGCCTGGGGCGCACTCAGGTTTGATATCTGCCTGCGGAGCAAGTTCACTGAACGACCATTGTAGTCAAAGGTCATGTCAATGGCATGCTCTGTGGTTTAAGCCGCAATGTTGGGTCGATGTAGATGCCTCATCCGTCTCATCCCAAATGAAAGGCCGTGCCTATCTTCCATTGGGCTCAGGTACATGATTACCTTCGCCCCCGTTTCCTGCCTCTTCCTCTGCGTCCTCCGCCGCGACCTCGTTTCGAAGGCCCGCTCCTCTTCTGCTCGGCTTCCTCTTCCTCGTGTTCCTCGCTCTCCTCCTCGTCCTCGTCCTCCTCGGCGGGCGTACTCTCCTCGTGCTCCTCCTCTTCGCCGTCCTCGTCGTCCGCGTCCTCCATCACCTTGTCCTCATCCTGCTCCTGCTCTACGATGCTCGGCGCCTTACTCGTCCTTCTGCTTGCGCTTCGCTCGCCTTTCGGCGTCTCCAGCTCGTTCTGCAGCCGTGACAGCCTGCCGCCGCCACCGCCGCCGCCTGCGCGGGTCGAGGCGCGTCCTCCTCTGCCTCCTCTCCCTGACATCCGACCTGAGACGCTGACAGGCGAGCTCCGCGGCTCGTCCGTGTCCGCTACTGTGCTCTCCCGCCTCGTGCCGGCGGCGGCGGACACGACGTCCGGGCTCGGCGGCTGCGTCAGCGGACTGCTCTCGGTGCTTTCTCCCAGCGCCAGCCGTCTCTCCCACATCATCTCCTCGAACTCGTCCCGCGGCAGTTCGAATTCGCGCCAGTACTCTGCGCCCCTCGAACTGCTGACACTCCTCCGTGACTCGTCGCCGCCGCCGCCACTGTCATCCTCGACGCCGCTGGCGGCCCCCACGCCCGAGCCGTCGAAGATGATGGAGTCTTCCCGCTCATCCAGCTTTTCCAAATCATACAGGCTCGCTAGCTTTCGCCAGATCCCTGCCGTGGAGGTGTGGCTGTCCTCCGGGTTGATAGCCCCGCTGGACAGGAGGTGGTCCCGGATGGCGATCATCCGGAAATGTTTGTGCATCCCCACCGGTTTCCAGCGCACGATGGATTGGAGGAGTGCCGATTCTTGTGCCGGTGTCCAGAGGTTGGTGTCGTCTGCGGAAGAAGGGGTGTTTGTGGTGGAGTGGTGAGGTGATGCCTCCATGACGGAGGCTGTGATCGTCGCCATAGTAGAGCTCTGATTTTTAATGCTGAGACGGCATGGAAATTGTACGTGGTATATTCTTCTTCTGAAAGAAGGGAAGGGGAAAGGGTCCAATCGGCCCCGTCTCGCGATCTCCTCAGAGTAAGGTTTTCTTGACCTGTCCGTACAACCGCACAAGGTCGATCGGCCTTAGCGAGACAGTCAGACTCCCGTTGGAACCTTTTCTCTGTGTGAGATTTACACTGGACAGAGTCCTTGGAGTCAGAGTGTTGGACTGCAATAATCAATCTCTTCCTTTGTTTCCTTTTCTTGTGGAAGCCCTCTATGTCGCGTTGACTGTTGAAAGAGTCCTGCGAGGTTTTGTCAAGCTGGATTTTGATTCGTCGTGCGGCTTAGTTTCCTGTTTCAGACGCGGTCAGGTCAAAAGGGGCAAGGCTCGATTCAATTATCTCAGCCTCGTCACTCTGCGGCAGCCTCGCCACAGCCCTTCACAAGATGAATCTATCCTCCATTTCGCTCTTTTGTATTTTTCCGTGGCGCGGACATAGAAAGACCCGGCTTGCTCAATTAAACATAAGCATCCCGCCATTCTGCGAAGGGACAATTCACACCCACGGAAACCACATTCATTCCTGTGTGGCCACATAGTTCCCCCTCCCTGGGCCGCTTCGAGATGGTAATGGTGGAACATGCATGCATACGAAAAGCATAGCATCGGGTCAACGTCACCGGGCCTACGCACAGTGCGTACATAGCTCTGATATAGTACCGGGCCATTCTTACGACCAAGATCTCCGCCTTGTGAGCGAAAGGTGTGGCCCGTTTGTGGTCAATGTGTCTATGTTAGAGAATCTGGAGATCAGGCCATGGAGGCTGGTCCCAGATCCATTCCACACTTAGTAGTAAAACCATTCGACGGTTAAGCAGTCAAACCCAGAATTGCCGTCATCGATAGAAGACGGTCGCTCAGCCTCGTCTCAAACTAGTACTCCCAATGAATCCCCCGATGTTCAATTGGCGTCGAATATTATCCAACACCGCACGGAAGTCTCGCCAATTTGAGGCCTGGGTGGTTCTCGCGCTCCAAAGACAGGGCCCCCTCAGCTCCGTTGATACCGCAAGATGAACCAGAACCCAACAAAGGAAACAGACAAATTCTTCAAACACCCTGGCTACTATGCCGACGACTCGCACAAGGCCGGGCTCGTCTATGGAGGTTGTAGGAGGCCTGGACTCGCAAAACTGATGCGCCTTTATGAGCCCTAAGCTCTCTACCTCCACGTCGCAGCCAGAGGCGTTCCCTACTCCTACTTCTTCAGAGTCTGGGATGTCAACTCCGGAGTCTAGAACCCCCCATATCGCCTTCAGAAGAAGGATGTGAGAACTCTGGTGTCCTATGGATGCCTAGGGATCCAGGCCATTGTTTATCGGTATCGACGGATCCGAAGGCATGCCTGTAACATGGCTGAATTGCCAGCTCATCAGGTCTGATGATCTGCCTGTGGACGTTGTACGCATAGAATACTCTGAAATCGAGGCGACGGCTCGACCCACGGTAGATTTGAACAACCTGAAAGACGAGCTCGTCGAAGACCTCAAGGAACTGGCGAGTGTCGGGCCTGGTGACGGGTCTCTAACAAGAGAGCTCTCACGTTCCATGGTGGCAGCATCAGGATCAGAATTTGGTGGAAACAAATCCGCGTTCGTTGGGTCACTGGCCTGCCTCGAACGCCGGATAAGGGTCTCGGAGGCTCTGGGCGTAAGCGGTGTCAAGCCGGCCAACTTTGCGGCGCAATGCACAAGCTGGCGCCTACACGAGTCGTCGGGAATTCGCTCAGTGGTATCTTTTGAGCTCAATCGCAAATACTCATCTATGACTTGTTTGTAATCGCTGCTTCCTGGACCTGCGTTCAAGGCCCGCTGAACGTCAGAAATTGCGCGATAAAGAAGGCGGAAATACCAGGATTCATCTGAGGGGACATCCGTAGAGCGGTAAGTGATTGAAACTTCCCAACGTGAAGACACAAGGAAGGTCAACGTCACAAAAGCTTGTCTGCAAAGCGTACCATTGATGCGTTGGTCCGCTTGGCTCCCAAGTACGCCATCAGACAGTTGGAATGAAAATGATTTCGACGTGTCGGGGTCTTCCAAGAACCAACGAAGCATTAGCTGTGCCAGATCAACAGATTTCGCGCCGATAAAAGACCCCGGCAGAGCTCTTTCCATGAAATTTCTGAATTACGCGTTTCTCTTCCGCAGGAAACGTTTTATAACGATTAGAGCATGGCGGATAGTGTATTGGACGACATCAGAAGTATAGAAATACGCAATAGCGGCTGATGGGCTGGCTATGGGCCCTGGGATTCTGGTGTCAATGGAAAGACTAAAGCCAAGCTGCGACAGAGGAAGTGTAGATCCAACAATCCGATGGGCGGCCTGTTCAAGCGTCTCCACCTCCAATGACTTCACTCCGACTTGAAGGACTTCTCGCATACACTTTATGGTGTCCGGGTCCGCATACTGCTGAACCGCTTCCACCCATCTGTGTAGCTTTGGGACAAGGTCTTCTGCAGCCGTCTTCTGCTCTCGAGTCCATGCAGAGCGAACGCAACACATGGCAAAGAAGAGAAAATAACAGCTGGTCTCGATCTGCGCTCCTCCGAGAGTATTGAGTTCAGAAATAATCAGGAAGAAGATTTCAAAGGCTTCTGTATAGCACTTCATGTTGAAAAGTAGCTCAGCCAGGTCACTGACCCAGCCGACAGCCCGAAGGTGTCTATACTCTAGCCCGATGCTGGTTGATTTGTATGAAGGCAATTCAAGCCTCGGACAGGTCGTCACTTCAGGTTGTAAATCGGATGTATGAGTTTCGTCTGCGAATGTGCTTCTGGGCAAACGCGGAGCTGAGTGACCGTCGGCCGGGACTGAGCGCCCAAGGTCACTGGTTTCCGGCTCGCGCGCAGCAGTATCTGAGGCTGGTTCGCCCACGAGGTTCCCCAAACCTCCATTCTGCAGTCGAGATGCACCGGTAGCCTCGGCTTGATCGATTGAGTGTGCTTCGAGTTCCAGACCTTCCAATTGCTCTAGCGTGGAGGCTTCGAAGTCGTTAAAACTGCCCCCAATGGGCACTTGCTTGTCAATTAACACAGCCTCTGTGTTAGAGTTCGGGATCTGCGTCTCAGGAGCGACCCGAACCGTAATTGGGAGATCTAGAGATCCCCTTGCGCCCCGAAGTAGTTGCACATTGTATTTGGCGAGCCCCCATTTCTTCGTCTGGGTGTTGAACTGACTCCTTGTGACATGAATATTACTAACGCTGAGTTGTCGTAGGATTTCTGAGATGGGGACACCTTGGTCAACGCGGTTGGAGATCATTGGCTTCAGTTCTTCCCATCGCTCCTTGGAGAGGCTTGGGTTCTTGGATGGGATATTTGGGTGCTGTTCCTTGAACCGAAAATCTTTGCTGACCTTTAGGTTCTCGGATAAAATGTTTGGTTTCTGTTCCTCCAAGCGAGAGCCTTCCGGGAGACTTAGATCCTTGGACGTCATTCTCGAGTTCTGTTCCTCGGAACGAAAATCTGACAAATCTCCCATCGCTGTGTTCCCGACTTCCTGATGGCTCTATTGACGATGATGAACCAAGGAGAAGCGTCTGTAGAGCTCGATCGAAAGCCACTCTCCTCGAGGACATTCATGGCTTGTGATGGGATATTAAATAAGGCTGAAAAGGGCGGGGACTCCTTGCGGCCGTTGAGAATCTCCTGAATCAGCCTAGTTCAGGGGCCAATGAGGGACAAGGATGAGGCAGCCAATGGATGCATGTCTCTATCACAACCACTTTGCCAATAACGTCTCTAAATGGGGTATATTTTCCTGTGCCGAAAAGAATATAGGAGGCAGCAGGCGTGAGAAAGCCAGGCTGGTGGATGGGAGAAACATGGACTTCCTATTATGGATATTCTCAAATTTAGGTGCATGCCAGGTGACCTGGTGGTAGGTCGTAGAACAAACCAGGTTCTTGCATGTCAACAATACGAGGTACGAGACACTCGACTGATAAACCTCGGTCATCGGCTTTCGTCTACCCCTTGTGTTGAGGCAGGCTCTCCCTTCAGCGTCCTTCTCTTCTGACTTCGTATGAGATAATGCCCGACTGTCGCGTGGGTCAGAGAGGCCCACGTACGGCACGAAGTGCGTTGTTTTGACTTTGGCGCTACTAATTGCGCGATGGGTTTGCGGACAGGATGATCCTGATCCTGCAGCCTCGCTCCGCACCTGTCGCCAAATATTCCAAGGCCGACATCTACGGGACCACAACGAAATCTCGTGGGCTAGATCTACCTACCAAGATGTCTTGTCATGGAGACGACAAGTGGGTGGAGTCTCTGCTATCGATCTTGATTGAATATCAGTGCAATCGATGGACCAAGGGCACCGGCAAGCTTGCCGACTTCCTCGAACCCACACAACTGACTGCGACAGATCTGGCAAATGCGCGCGTGACTCTTACGATGCTGCTGAATTACCTTCGTCGTTCTTTTGTACGAGCATGGACGGAATCAACGTCACTCACAGCCTGCTAGCATTTGGTGATTTACTTATGAGTCAGTGACCTGGAAATCTTGCTCTTTGCCATAGCCCAAAAAGATCAGTCTCCAGTCTCGATCTCAACAGCGACGTCTGGCCTCGATTTTCTTCGTTCCGGGGGATTGTCGTTTTCGAACTCGAGGCTCTTCTACTGAAATTTTCTCGTCTCCTCGACTACAGGCGGGACCGAGACCATTTCAGTTACACTGGAATGAAAAAAGGGATCACTGGTCTGATTAGTCTGCATACTATCTCCCGCCAGACATGGCCGCCCTGAACGGACAAGACGAGCCTCCAACCCAAGCCTGCCAAAACTCTGAAGACGCCAGATGCTGCAAGAGCGAGACAAGAGCCCATAATGAGATATCAGAAGCAATATCACCACCCAGAGAGCCAGCAAAGCACCCAAGATCAAACTTGAACAACGTCTCTTCCAGGTTGCCGGATCAGGCGACGGAAGCCACTCCTGCGGACTTACAACCCAACCTGGAATCACAAAAGAAACCCACCATCACTGCTCAGTCGGAAAGGAGAGGGCTCTTCGCTTCCCTGACGATAATTGCTGAGGTTGATGACCCATATCTCTATCCCAAAGGCAGAAAATGGTTCATAACGTTCGTGGTAGCTTTTGCTGCTGCGGCTACTTCGCTGGGGAGTGCCATCATTTACCGTAAGTCATTTGATCTAAATACCTAGATATGACTATATATCTGACCACTGATCTCCTCATCAGCGGCCCTGGCCGACACAGGCCGTGACCTTCATGCCAGCCCCACCGTCACCAACCTCTCCGTCGCGCTCTACATGCTCAGCATATCCTTCTGCCCTCTCTGGTGGTCAGCCCTAAGTGAAACCGTAGGCCGTCGCACAACCTACCTTGTTTCTTTGTCTCTTTTTGTCCTCTTCGCCATTCTCTCTGCGACCGCCAAATCGATAGGTGTCTTCGTCGCTATGCGCATGCTTTCTGGAGGTGCCGGTGCATCGGTACAAGCAGTCGGAGCAGGTACCTTGGCCGATATTTGGGAGCCCTTTGAAAGAGGTAAAGCCATGGGTCGTTTCTACATGGGCCCTTTGTGTGGACCGCTGCTCGCTCCCATTATTGGCGGGTAAGTATCAAACATATGGCAAAATCTCAAAATCCCGAGGGGCTTCGTTCTCTATTCTGTCATTCCCTGATGTAACATGTTATACGTGCTGATATCCTCGACAAGGTTCCTGGCGGCCCAATGGGGCTGGAGAAGCACCCAGTGGTTTCTGGTAATCTATGGAGGCATTAGCCTTGCTTTCCTTCTTTTCGCACTACCCGAGACGGTCAGAATGCGCGAGGAACCCAACAAGAGCGTGGCCCAAGATGGAGATATGATACCCTTGGCGTCCACAACTCGTTCCAGAACGAGACAATATCTTCGCCTTTCCCGGCTGGTCCTGTTCGACCCCCTAAAGATGGTCCTGCTTCTCCGTCACCTACCTATTCTCTTCACGGCTTATTGGGCGTCGCTCGCATTCGGCACGCTATACATTGTCAACATTTCTGTCCAGGACGTCTTCGCCAATTCTCCCTACAACTTCTCCGTCTCCAAAGTCGGCCTGACTTACATACCTGCTGGCTTTGGGTTCTTGATCTCAGCCTTGTTCAGCGGCAGGTGGGCTGACTATGTCGTGGCACGAGAAGCAAAGCGTGAGAACAGATATGATGAGAATGACAAGTTAATCCTGCGCCCTGAAGATCGAATGATGGAAAATGCTTGGGTTGCTGCCATCGCCTTTCCCATCTCCCTGATTTGGTATGGCTGGAGCGCTGACAAGGGAGTGTTCTGGGTCGTGCCGGTATGGACTCTCTTCTCCATGCTAATTATCACTCTGTTTGTTCTTGGGATAGGTTATGTTCTTTTGAAATCCATCTAACAAGAACTCATAGTTGCTGGCAACCCTCGTCTTCGGCCTGTCCGCAATGCTCATCTTCGGACTAGCCGTCACAATGCTGACCGAGTTTGTCCCTCGCAAACCCAGCAGCGGCGTCGCGGTGGCCAACTTCCTCCGCAATATCTTTTCCTGTATTGGCACTATTCTGGGAAACCCGCTAATTCGCGCTGAAGGTACTGGATGGATGTTCACGGGCCTTGGGATCCTTGTCAGCACGGGCGCTCTGGTTATTTGGTGGATGAGGGCGAGGGGGGCTCTGTGGCGGGAAGCCAACAGAGGGAAGGTTGGCTGACAGAAAGTCGTCTGTGCAAGCATCTCCAAGGACAGATGTGCAATGTTAACGTGGAGAGGTGCTCCTAATCGGAGACGTGCATCTAGCCACCAATATCTGCTGCATGTATGGAACGGTATGGCCTTGTGCACTGTCTATCCATGGGGTATTCTTTACCCTCGTTTCTGTAGGAAACACGCCATCCGAGGAGCATAGTCGCCCAGTACACGTCCGCGTGCACCGTCGCAGGATTCATTATCGGCCTCTATTGCGAGATACCCACAGTCCTCTAGGAGGATTGCGCGCTGGTGGTAAGAAGACGACTCGCTTGTATCGCTCGAAGATCAGTCGGTAATCATTAGATGTCAAAAAAGTAAGAGGTCAACAGCGGCCTAGATTAGGGATATATATATATTGTGAGAATAAATCCGGCGGAGATAGTTGTCTGAGACGTGGATGCACGGGACTCGGTTCAATATCCCGTGATACCGTGTCTGGGAAGCATCGGCAGCAGACCTCAGAGCTTTTGGAAATCCGAAGACAGTTTCCGTCAAGCTGCACGGACGTAGGTCTCTCTCTCGGGTCTCGACGAGTTTGGATTGACAAGGCTGAATGCGACAAAACGTGGATACCTAGGTACCTACTCGCTAGGCACGGTTTTGGAGCAGCTTCGGGTACTCCATAGACCCATGGCCGCTTTAATCCCCAAATCTCTATCTCCGTGTGGAAGGCTGGCGGGGTCTTAAAGCAGCGAAGAACTGGAACGCGTCAATTCGTCGTCCTACGCGTTGGAAAGAGCCGCAGTTTGTTCACCCACCACCACCACCAGCAGACGAGAGACCGCAAACATCCCACAATGACATCAAGCATGTCACTATGTCAACTTCAGAACCCCTGGACCCGTTCTCGGTAGAACACATCAAAGACTCCGGTCCTGCACCTCTGCCCTCTGAGGCAATTTGGGACGGATTCCTGTTCCATGGACATCTTGAAAGCCAACTCCTTCGGCTGGATGAATCTGCACTAGGACCTCTCCCTGTTCTCAAAACAGACGTTTTCCAGTTGAATTTGGAAGATGTGTCTCTACAGGACCTGTCCCAATCATCTTCCGCGGTCACGTCCGACTCCGAGAACGATCAGTTCGAGAGCCTCGACGGCGATAGCGTGCAAGGAGAATGGGACAATGTCTGGATCTTGCCAGAGATTCAGATAAGAAAGAGAGGGGGGCTGGTGCTGACTTGGGACAAATTTCTGGATGAAACACATCAGGAGCCGGCATCAGCATATCTCAGCGAGACGGATCCCTGGGTCTTTAACTCCATCCTCGAACCAAACGATCAAAGCCCTCCAAAATATGTCAAATCAGACATTTTATTGAACGCTTTCTTTGAACTGTGTATGGGGCGAGACTCTGTATTGTTCAGATGGGACGAGAAGGACGCTATGTTCGTTCCTCAGTGGCAACTTCTTTCGGCTCGTGGATACAGTTCGACACTGGTGCGGAATTGCTTCGACATCTTTTCGACAATTGGAATAGACACCAGATACCTGAAGAGCTCTTTTCAGTCATTGGACAACAGCCCTCCGCATCTCTCATCCGCCAGAGTAACTTTCCTCTCCGCTGCCAGGTCCGTGCTGTATTCTGTCCACAAGTATCTCATTGAATTGAGACCAAACATTCTGTCTCTGCTCCAGCTGAAAGGCATCATGAGAAAGGTCGAAATGGTTGTTGATATGCTGAAACAATGTGTCGGCGCCGTACAGACCAACCAAGTGGAAGACTCAATCATCCTCAGCTTGATGCAAAAAGCAGCTGGACCAACTCTCGATCATGGTGGCCTATCTGCACTATTACAAATGCTACTTTCACGGACATGCTGCCCGATGCTAGTTCTTCTGAGCGAACAGATAGGACTTAGCTCAACGCAACACGGGAGCTCCAGGGGCTCTTTCGCACTAATTTCGTCTGCCGACGAGGCAACATGGGAATCACTATTTGACTCAAAGCTCTCACATGCGATATCCGAGGCCCAGAAGTGCCTCGAGATATTGAGCACTCACTCTCCAGACAGTTCCATCTTTTCCGCAACTGTGCTCGAATCTTCGCCACTGAAGAAACTCGAAGCCGGGTTTCATCTATCAACCATTTCGGCACTTCAGGCTCGAGCCGTTGCATATGAGGAGGCGATGAGGTCGTTAATAGTGTCTGCGGACTCTTCCACCTCTACAAGCTCCCTTGAGACCCCTGCCTCTGAAAGCTTCGATCGGGAGGACACTGTTAGCATGCAAGCGGCCACCTCGTGTACCTTTCGGTTACAAGTGGACATTTTTAAGGACAGTACTCATTATTTGGATGAGAGCAAATATGACGAGCTTGAAGACCAAGTCATCATGTACCTTGAGGGACAGGATTTTGGAGACTCGCCGCTGCAGTTGGACCTGTTAGCCTCCCTCAATTTATCTGTCGCACCCCTCGTCTCCGCACAACACAGGTTGCTCTCATACTCGGCATTGCGGCTGCTTTTCGAGCAACATAATCTTCTTGGTCACCTCAATCTGCAGAAAGATCTCCACTTGCTCGGAAATGCGTTCTTCTCCTCTCGTCTCAGCACAGCTCTGTTTGACCCGGACCAGAGCAGCGGTGAGGGTAATAGAAGGACAAGCGCCGTTACTGGCCTTCGTTTGCATGTTCGAGACACGTGGCCTCCTGCAGGCTCAGAGCTGAGATTGGTGCTCATGAGCATCCTATCTGACAGCCTCAGCCCAGCAGACCGCGCATTGGACGAGACGATGTCTTTTGCAATACGGGATTTGCCTCTCGAGGAGCTCGAGAAGTGTCGAGACGTCGATTCCATCTACGCACTTGACTTCCTTCGACTTCAATATGCCGCGCCCAACGAAATACTGGGGGCGGTCATAACGCCAGAAATACTGGACAAATATGATCGAGTCTTTCAACATCTTTTGCGTACGCTGCGCATGCAAGCCGTCGCGCAGAGTATGTTGACGGAGGGGTTCAATCACCAGTCACAGAAGACGCCCAGGGGTGGTCTCTCAAATCACAAATTCGTTGTTACGATGCATCATTTCGTGTCAAGCATCGCGGAATACTACCACAACACTGCTATTGAGTTGAATTGGAGGAAATTCCAAACCGTGCTCCACGCTGCAAAGGCACGCCTCGACAACAGGGATTATATTCAAACCTTGCGTGTCGTGAAGAGTCTGGACCATCTCCGCGTGTTGCACGAGAGAACATTGAACAAGATCCTCGGCGCCCTCCTGCTGAAACGGAATCAAGCCAAGTTGAGACATATGCTGGAAGAGATTTACGACGTGATACTTCGATCCGCGGCTGAACGGCGCAAGAGCGTCGGACCGATGGATGCCGAAAACCATACTATATGTGCTACCACCGATGAAACTACGATGAGACGACTGCACAAGGAGTTTAAAAGCAAAGTTGCGCTTTTCATTGATGCTTTACGCGTTCATGCGCAATCTGCTGAAAAAGGGCCTGGAAAGAAACACGCTGATGAATTGGATGTTGACGATGACGAGCCGGATGTCAATATGTTCGAGTACCTGCTGTTGAAATTGGACATGTTTGGATATTGGACGTTGTAGATGGCATGAATATATAGAGATGCCGCATGTCGGGGTTCTGAATGGTAATGAGGAGAGGATGAAAAAGAGTGACGGCTGCCACGGAAGGGCTCTGGCTCTCGCAGTTGCTGTAATGAACATGATACCCCACGTCAAGCAAGATCACATCTTGCGATATTTACAAAGATGTTGGACCTTGCAAAATCTATCGCTACGTAGATGCGTCATGTTCCTTACTCCTCGTTATGCAACTGCACATGGTCTCTAGATGATTTCTCAAAGGACTCCATCTCTCCACCTCAATAGGTAGATATAGTAGGTCAAAAGACCCTCCCCAAAAGCGCCGTCGAGATCTTGACGCCGACCCACCCTGCGCAAATCAGGACACCCGTAGCAGCCAGCAAGGTATTCAGATTCCTCCTTTCAATGCCCACCTCTTTGGCCTTCTGTTCGTCGTCCTCACCCTTGGCAGTCCCCAAGCCTAACTCGGGCACGTATTTGAATTCAAAAACGGTCGGCTCACCCGCTAACCCGTACTTTCCCTCCACAATCAGCGCCCAAAACACTTTTCTAAGCGTCGCGATCTTCCGTCTGTCCAGGGCGGGTATGGAGCGGTATGTATAGCACAGACAGGCGAAAAAGATGCACTGCCCGGTCATCAGGGCCCAGTACCACGGTCCCGGACGACCCAGGCCAAGAGCGTCGGCGAGGTCGTTGCCGTTGAGCCAGCGGGCGTTGACTTCCAAAAAGCTGCGGCTAGCGTATGTAGGTGGTTGATTTTCGAGGCAGCGGATGATGTTGTTGGCTAGGATCTGGGACGTGTTGGATGGGTTGATCTCGTTGAGGAGCAGGGATTCCATCATGCACTTGGCGCGTTCGGGCGTGGAGAAGTATTCCGTGGGTGTGCCTACGTAGTAAGCGATAAGGCGCCACAGGGCGATGTAGTCCTCGGTTTCTTGTCGGCGGAGCCATATCCCCTGCCGGGGTAGGGAGAGGTAGATGATTGTGGCGGAGAAGGTGCCGATGGTGGCGATACAATCCAAATCGTTGATGGGGATCCCGTACTCCTCGACGCTGTAGTAGCTCGGTCGCGTCTTTGTGAGATGCATGATCCGTTGCCGCACGGCGGCGTGCAACAGGCGCACTCGCACGGAACTCGCAAACCCGTCGCCCCCGGGCTGGATGCTCTCGAGAGACCGCGTGCACTCGAGAATATGCTGCGTCGTCTCGAACAGGCGATGTCGCGCCACTTTCACGGAAAACCCGCCCGTGCGCGCCAGCACTTCTACCACCCGGTTGGCGCCCATACCGCCCAGAAGGGATTGATACGCGAGACCCGTGAGTGTGGCGGCGCCGTAGCGGTAGAAGACGTCCTGTCCGCGGCGGATTTGCGCCCAGTCGACCCAGTCGGGGACGGTGGTGACTTCGTCCCAGAGTTGTTGAAGTTTGGGGTGTGAGGAGTGGTGATCCCGGAGAAGTAGGTAGAGGTCCCGTTTCGACGACCTCTGTGATGCTGTCGAGGACGGTCGACTCGTCTTATCGACTGAGTCATTCATGGTCGAACTAATTGACCGCTGGGAATGGTTTGCCACCACGCTCTCCAATTGAGCATCGTCCGTCTTCTGTTGCGGTGGCTTGGCTTCATCTGCAGAACTGCTGCCCATCTGTTTTAAAATCTCGTAGCACTCTTCTCCGAGGACATCATAGGTATGTTTTAAAGGATGAGCTTGCTCGGGAGTAAGATGGCCAGGAGTTAATTGGAAGGTATATCCCCAGGCTGTTCGTGTGTTTTCATCGCGCCGCCGGAATGGATTCGGCCACGCCATATTAGTATGAGATCAGCCGACGAAGGTTTTCGATCGACGGCATACAGACCAGAGTAGGGTAAATATATGCTTGAAAGGCGATATGAATATATATTGTATGTTTCTCGACAAGTTCTTGATCTAGATGAATCTTGATGTCAAGTGGTGACCCGATGATCATCCACGAGTCATGATCTCGCTTAATCTGCGGCAGTTTTAGTCACGCAGCTTGATGGATCTTTGGGAAATTTGGTTCAGGCTTGGATCGCCGCAGAGAAAAAGGAACCTTGACCTTCATCCAAAACTGCCTGTACCATTAGCATCAGACTTCTGGGAGTCAGACCGTGAGATCCGGGAGGTGCTTGAGAAGAGAACATGTCTCTCAGCATGCAGACCAGTAACAGGGTTTTTCGGACCGTCAAGACCATCTCGAGACATTCTCCACGCGCATTGTCTCGCCGTGCCCATACCATAGCGTTCTCTCCTCCACTGAAATCCCACGATCCATTCCCATCGTTGTTGAAGTCCAGCACACGACCTACACCCACAGTCCTGACGACATCTGTGTCTCGAGATTGTAATGTCCACAAGAGGCGGAGATATTCTTCCCAAGCACACGCGGCCACGCCAGGGGCCGATACACTCTGGGATGCGCAGGCACCAACGCGAGGGGAGGGTGTACAACAACACAATGAGACAAGACCGGTCCGAAGATACGACCGCAGAAGTGACAGACTGGGACAATATGAGGATGGAGGGATGGTTGTGATCTCGTCCAAGGGTCATTTTCGAGACAGGCATGGTCGACCATGGTCAAAATCATCCGAGGAGGGAATTGCCAATAGGACAGAAGACGCGGGTGTGGGTATTGGTCCTGTATCAAAGCCCAGAAGGAAACCGCGCCTACAGCTGCGAGACTTGAATGTGAAGCCGAAGAAGAAACTAGAGCCATGGCAGGCCCAAAAGGCTACTCTCTCAAGGAAATTTGGTGATGACGGATGGAATCCGCGCAAGAAACTCTCGCCTGATGCCATGGATGGGATCCGTGCTCTGCACGAAGAAGATCCGGAGCGGTGGTCGACACCTCTTCTTGCAGAACATTTCAGGGTATCTCCAGAGGCGATCCGGAGGATATTGAAGAGCAAATGGCGGCCGAGAGACGAGGAGGAGATGCAGAAAAGGAGGGAAAGATGGGCGAAACGATACGATCGAATCTGGGATCATCAGGCAGAGCTTGGGTTGAGGCCACAGAGAGTAAAGGACAGGGAGGTCGAGGACCCCGACGCCTTTGATGAGGAACTGAGAGCGAGGGAGATTCTGGACAATGCACGCAAGGCTTGATTTCAGCATCACCGATTCAGCTGATTCTACTTGATGCTAAAAGCTAAGAATGTTGATTGTGTTGGAGTATGTGCCTGAAGAGGCCAGTGTACATGAAGCAGCTCTGGCCGACCTGGGCTCCTGTGACTGATAATGATACCGAAGGAAAAGAGAAAAGAAAGAAGGACAAAGGGAAGCTCTCCGCCTGTCTGCTGTCAGTCCGTCGACGCAACCACCCCTGGCAGAATCCTTCACCTTCAATATCACAGTGACCGATGCTCGGGTGATAACAAACACGATAATCCTTGAGCTCTTGTGTTATACCCTGTGTGCTATTTCTGCTCGGTGTCAATCCTTCTCTGTCTCGACCGCGGTTTGACGCTTTGACATGTGCTGATACTGATGGCTATGCGTTCTCTTCTGTCAGGCGCGGTCAGCAAAGGTCTGCGCTGCCAAGCGTTGATGCCAGACTCACTAGGCTCCTGTTTCTGCCGTCGACTTCATCTTCCCTGCGAACTTTTCTATCGACTCACCATCAATCTTCGATCACGTGTCATCTCACATCTGATACACCACGGCAAGAACGGTGGCAGTCCAAGCAAGACCAAGGATGTGAGGCACGGCTAGCCACTAACTAGCTGCGGTGTATTTGATGCCCTTGAACCCCTGCATTGGCTTCCACAGGCCAATCTTGTCGTCATACACCATGCTGTCACGACGCTCCGGCATGGTTGGTGGCCAGATGGCATAAACAACAGGTGTCAGGTACAGAGGGATGGTCTCAAGGAGAGCAAGTCCAGGAAAGCCGACCGAAGCGATGAAACGAAGCCAAAAGGCCTTGTCACTGATGAACTCGCCGTCGACGATCGCCGCCTTGAGCTCGGCATGGACTCTGAAGATGACCACAATAGACATGACAAAGAAGAGTACAACGTGCCACAAGATACCTTCACGGCGATGGAGATCCCAGAGTCTCTGAAAAAGAGGTGGGCGGTTGTTGACATCTCGTTCTTTGACGGAACCACCTCCAACGCCGCTCACTCCGAACCCAAGACGAAGACCACCCAGACGCTTTGGAAGCAAGGTTTGAAGAACATCGCGAGAGAAGTGGTGACCCATCCAGACTCCAGTTGCAACGCGGCGACGGACGCTAAGGTAGTATCTACCAAAGACGGACTTGATATCTCCAATCAGTTCCAGCATGCGAGTGATCCCGAAGAGCATCACCGCCCAATACAACGCATTCCGAGATGGGGTGGCAATGACAGGACGACCGTGATAAAGGCAGACGAAAGCGATGACAGAGTTGGCAAGCTTGGTCAGCGTCATCAAATAAGGTCGGCAGCTATGGTGGAGCATTGCGAGGCGTTGAAGGCGCGACGCTTCCTTAAGCCGGGTGTCATACAAGGTGAAGTTCATGCTGAGAGCGTCACGGATATGTCCAGTCCACTGTCACTGTGTCAGTCATTGACAGAATTTCGAAAGATCATGTTCACGCTTACCCAGCGTCGGCGTTGCTTCAGATGAGTGAGGATGCAATCTGGCTGCAATCCCCACTGCAAAACCTCATGGATCAAGACGATCTTCCAGCCTTTGCCATGAAGGAACCAGCTAGTGATGAGATCTTCGGTGATGGAGAACTCTGGGAAGCCACCAATTTCCGTCCAAGCCTCCTTGCGCATGATAAAGCCACTGCCCGGGCACCAGGCGACGTTGACTGAGTCTCGGAGTCCATCATCAGCGGCGGTCCCAGTCGAATTGCCCTGGTTCAAAGGGTCATCATTGGGAATGTTATAGTGGTGCTGTCACTGTCAGTATTCTGGAAGTCAATGAAGATATAATCCCTTACCTGAGCGGCAGTGACCATCCCGATCTTTATATCTCCAAGGGCGTGGGGGACAAGGGCACGAAGGAACTGAGGTTCAGGCATCATGTCGGCATCGAATACCGCCAGAAAATCATTTTGCCCTCCGGGAAGGTCAATGACGAACTCGCGCATGGTCTGGTTGAGATTGCCAGCCTTGTATCCATGGTTCTTGCCGGTGGGCTTCTTGCGAGCATGGTAATAGAGGTTGGGATATCTTTCCTGCAGTTTTTCGATTTGGAGGCGAAGGCTTTCCATGTTCCCGTCATCGGCCACGACCACTCTGAATTTGTCCTCAGGCCAATCAAGCTTGCAGACGGCTTTGACGGTATCTAAGACGACATCGTCCGGCTCACCGCAACAAGTAACAAAGACATCAATTCCTGGAACATTGGTACCAAGGATGCGAAGTGTTGGTCGTGGTTTGGAATCACGCACAAGACCGACGACGATACGCCAGGACCCGTCTAAGATGGATGACACTTTGACAACATTAGCCGATTTCAACCAAAAGAGGGCGACTACACTTACTGTTATCATAGAGCTGCCCAAGGGCGAAGAGATAAGGAGCCTTTGGAAGCCCATGACCTCGCCACCAAGTCTGGAGCACGTTGAGGAAGAGTACGCCTAGGTACGCGCAGATGCTGATGACATTGATCCCGGTAAGAGCGAGAGAGAAGAGGGAGGTTCGATAAGGCTGTTTCTTCTCGACCTCGACAATGCGGTATGGCGCTTGGACTTTGACATTGTCAGCATTTCCATCGTCATTGTTGGTCTGAATTGTGACGGCTCGGTGACGAACACCTGAGTCGTGCTCAGCAACAGGGACAAGCGGGTCCACAGCCATGCTGAAGACTACTCAATCTTTGGCAGAGCGTCTCGAGCTGGATTGTGTAAGGAAGGTTTGTAAAAGTGTCGAGATGGATGATGTGCAAGAAGAAGGAATGTGCAGTGTCTACAACACAGTCCAACGCAGTCAGCGCCTCAGCTGTCTCCAGAGACAGCTTTTGACGGAGGCTACGGGAAGGTGAAGATACACAATGCCTGCAAAGGTTTGGATTTGATGAAGGATGATTGAAGAAGGGAGGGTGATGATGAAGGAGATGATAAAGGGAAGACGAGAGAGGAGGGGTGAAAAGAGGAAGAGTCTTCACTGCAGAGCCGCCAGTCCCAAGTTGGAAGGGGTGCCGGTCTGCCTGCGCTGTGCTCTCTAAAGTGCTGTGTCAAGAAGGAACGCAGGCAATGCTTTGGCTTCGGACCTTCTGTTCTTCTGCTGTCTTCTAGACGGGCAGGTTGTGAGCTGGGTCAGAAGGTGAGCAGCGTGGTGTTGGCCTTCTGGTTCAACGGTATGTCCGCCGTTGAGACTGTCTCGCACAATGATCCTAACTGCTGCAGAGACGCGTCTGTCACAGGTAGTGAAGCTCCTCTCACTTCTCCAGTGCCATTTTCACAATGGCTGTGGGCTCCGGCTGCAGTACAGGTCTCCCAGCCTTCGCGCAGTTCCATAGATGAATGACGAAGTTCAGCACCATTCATGATCCAGCCTCTTGACAGACTGTTTATAATTGCCCTACCATTGACCTTCTCAACTTTCCATTCTCCCTGCGCCATCCGACCATCAACACCCGTTTTGGTCCAGGCCCCTGCGTTCTCAAACAAAGCCTGACAGACTCCAATATGTGGGATCGACGGTCGTTTCCATGCTGTCCTTCTGGAAACACTCAGGCCACACCCCATTGCTCTTTAGAAACACACAAGCAAACACTGCTCCAGATCCAGAAGCCTGCCTTTGTTTCCCTTGTTGTACTGACTCAACAGAACACCAGAACTTTGCAGTTCGACATCGATTCACGAGGAAGGAGAAAATGATCCTGTCTCACAAGAAGGAGTTAAGGATACTGTTCACACTATGACTGCGGTCAAAAGCCTGGATACTGATACATCGGGACAGACAAGCCCAAGATTTGCAATACTGAGTCAGAAGAGTCATCACACAGCAATACAGGCTTTGTTACTCTTTGCCAGACCGGAGCTTTAAGGGTGTTTGCCAATTCAGAAAGAGGTCGAACACGAAATTGACCAAACGATTGGCTCATGCCACGCAAAGCTCAAAAAAGCTCGACGCCACACCCCCATAACATCAAGAACCGATGATTTGAGGCAGCATACAGACTCAGGAAACATAGATGATCGTCAAAGACACTTGGAAAAGACATGACCGATGCAAATAACCAGGCAGCCATACTCAAACTCCTCATGGCTTCGGAAAAATAAAAGCTCTAAGGGTCTCTCTGTCTCCTCAAGTTAAGACTGTCACATCTTTGTCCATAAGAATTTTGTGCACCACTATATACAGTATGAACACTTTCAGCTCCGTTGGACCATAGACTCTTTGATAGCATTCAAGATACGTATCGAATGCATTGTCTAATTGTGTTCTGAAGCAGACTTTGTTTCGCAGGAGATCCTTACCGGTTTGTTATGTTTTCCTTACAACTCAACACCCGACATGGACGCTACTCGTCTATGACAAGCGTTCAGCACAATGAGAGCATCCTCTATACTCTTCTTCCTATACAGACCCCCAGCGTAAACCACCCCTTTTTGGAGAGAGCCTTGTCCGAATAGAGTTCAGATTTCCTGCAGCGGACCCGCCGTCAGCAAACATGCCGAGCCGCAGCCTTGTCTCGGCATATTTGTAGGAGGCTCGAAGATTGCAACTTTTGGCCCATGCAGCATGCAGATGGAGTGTATATTGCCGGTCAGCTAGCAGTGGGATTTCCTGAGCAGACTGCGGACCTGTCTCCTTTCGTTGTTGTTCTTTCCTCCTTTGTCCACCGCATCTCGTGTCACACGAGAGCTACGGCGGTTGCGTCAAAATGGTGAATGTTCTGAAGCGCATGCGCGGTCTTCAACCTGTGAGTCCTTTCTCCTGTCCTGTAGAAGACTTGCTAAAGAGGCCTAGAAAGTAAGTAGCTGAGATGCGATGACGAGATCGCCTGCTCATCTTGCAGTTATTCAGAATCCGTCATGGCGAGGGCGCAGCTATTCTACCTCCTCCACCCTCTCCCCAATTAACGCGCTTGAGCCTACAATATGACCGAAAGCAATGGAACAAAAGCACGAGACCTGCGAGAATATTTCAAAAAGATCATCTACCACGACTGAAATACCACAACCCCGGTCTGCCTGTCAGGGTAGAACAGGGGCCCAGCCGGTTACAATTGACTTTTGAGAGTGCGGACCAGCAAGCATTGAAAGAGCTGGAAAGGTCATCTCTAGAAACGAGTGACGACGGCGAATATAGAGAAATGTGGAGTGAAATAGAAACGACATCCAAACCTTCCAACGAGACAACTTCAACTGCACCGGTGTCTTCATCACAGACCTCTCCTGCGACGCCCATTTTCACCAGGAGCGTGGAACTGCGGCTAGGGCCACACCAACCCGGGAGCATATGGAAATGGTTCCAGAACACCACAAAATGCGAAGACTTCCCCGAGAACCCTGAAGAAAATGAGCAAATGGAAAGACTCAAGGAGTTCTTTGCAAAGGCAGAAGAGGACAGGCAGCGCGTCAAAGCCGGCATCGATGCGATACGGAAACAAAAAGAGGACTTGAAAAAAGCAAGGGAGGCCGCTGAGAGAATGGCCAATGAGGCATAATATCTGGCCATCTTCTCCGAGAACTATGTACATTACCCGACACACTGTACACCATTCTGTTGGTCAGGAAGTGGTATCAATGGAGCCAACTACAGTTTTCTCGCTTGGATCTGCAAATCGACTTGCTTGTCAGGTCGCCGCTCGAGCTCTCCAACGCCGCCCCTTCTCCCCTGTCTGGCGAGTCAGCAGGTCTTTGTGAGCGACTTGTTGTTTGAGGACATCCAACAGCTGTGAAGGTGATTCGTGAAGTTGTCATGAGTTGAGACCCGTTTGTCTACGGCTGTCGTTCTGTGAGTAAGTCTCCCAATGCCTCGTCCTTGTCACCCCCCGGAGGCGTTTGGATTTTCCCAGCCGCAACTATTTATGCGTGCCCTTGTCCTCGATTCTTGGAGCCGTGTCATTCTTCTCTTTCTCAAAACAATAAATATCGTGCATGCTTCAGTATGGTGCGCAAGAAGTCAAAACAGCCCCGAACATTCCTGGAAGAGGCAGGCCCCAGCAGCAAGGCTGATATCCATGCAGCAGCATCTGACTCGCCCCAATCGCTTGATGGAGTGTCATCAGCATCTTCTACATCTTCCTCCTCGCGTATTACTTCCATTCGCGACCAAGAAGAGACTGTCCATGCTTCGCAGCGGCGGAAGCTTGACAGTCCCATCCCAGCGGCTCAGTCTAGTTCTGAGTCCTCTTCTGAGGCTCTCTCAGCGCCGCAGCCTGATGTCCCAGGAGCAGCATCCAGGCAAAGCTCGGCGGAGCAGCGAGCACGCCGAATTCGGAGAGAACAAATCAGACATCAGGTCTGCCGTACTCTGGACCTCATAAGCATGGTCTGCTGGGGCGACGAGGAGACAGCACTCGCTACGCTGCGCCGCTCATACCTCGATGCGATGGATAGGATCGACCGTGGCGACGGGGGTGCTCTTCTTTTCCGTCCCGGCGACCCCTACTTTCGACAAAGCAACCGCATTTCTCCCGAAGGATATCAGGACTGGGTGCTTCCCCTGGGCCACTTCAATCTCGACGCACGTCAACAGAGACACGGACGCCGACGACCGAGACATAGACCCTACCCGGGTGGAATTAACGTGATGGTCGATGGTCGAGACCTCGATCTCGATCTCGAGGACCAGGCTCTTGTCGTTAGACTGTATGGTCGTGGTGGTCGATCCACAGTACCACAATCTGAAGCCCGCCAGCACCGTCGCCAGGGCCCTGGGGAATCGCATGGGGGCCGACGACATCCTCGCCGTCCTGCCTGCGAGCGATCTCCTCCACCTCCTCCCGCCCAACGAGGACGAGGTCAAGGCAGCCACCTGCGGGAATCTCTCCGCGATGCCTCGGAAGAAAACCAGCCCGAGCCGGAACCCTCTGCATCTACTCTTCGAGCCTCGCAGAACCACCACTCAGCAACGCATATTGCCAACACCACAGCCCCGTCTCGCACCACTGGGCGACTGCGTGCCCGCGCCAGCCGTTCCCCCGAGCATACCTGGATCCCCGGGCCGGCGGAACTGCACTCGCCGCACCATACATCCCGCTACCGCCGAGCATGGGAAGCCTTCAACCGCCGAGAAGTGGACAACCCTCTGATCCCTCCACGGGAGAAGCAGCGCGGGCCTCCGCAGAAGCAGAAGCCGCGCCAACTCACAACCAAAGCGCAGTCATCAACGCCGCAGCCGGGGCCGGATAATCAAGGTCCGGACCCTAAACCCAAACCTCGACCTAGACCTAGTGGTCCGACACCAATAACGACGCGCTCGGCAGTGACAAGCTTGTCCGGACAGAGTCGGCATCATTGCCTAGGGTCCCTGCCACATGGAAATGGAAACGGTAGCGCTGGCACTATTGGGATGGGGTTAGATACGGTCCACGGAGTCGGTGTTGACGGTCATGATGGCGGTGGTGTAGCTCTTGAGGACTATGGTGTTGAGTTTGTAAACGTATAATAGTGCTGATATGCAGGTGGTTTCTGGGGTGTGATTCCCAGGCTCGAGGCTGGGTGAGCGTGCTGAGGACATGGACGGATGCATGAAGGGCTGTATGGGGCAGGACGCGCTCACCCATGGCACTCACGCCACTCCACAGGCTAATCAACGGACCTGATTGACCAACTAGCTAATGAACTAGCTAGGTAGTATTTCCTTGACCTATGAGCACATCTTCCATCTCCCATCTAGATCGAGAGCACACAGCCGAGCAGAGCAGAGATGAACCGAGTAACACAAAGCCGTGGCATAGCATACTATGTACCTACCTAGATAGTCAAAGAAGTCAACTTTCAAAAACCTCATCTTCATCACATCTACGGCTCCAATCCACCGTCCAGCACCTCTTAATACTGCAGGTGTATTTATGAAATCGTTCTTACGACAATCGGGTCTTTCACTGCTTCCTCGGTATTCCCAGAAGATCAACGGCCCCGCGTTCTCGTCTATACAGTATACTTATAGCCACCCGATATACCTCACCTCACGTACCTATAGAGAGCCTAACAGGAGGGGCGGGGAAGAGGGAAAGATTTGAAAGATCGGAAAGGAATGGAATGGATAACGTAGATGGGTGGGTAATGAGATATTTCGCTATACTAAGATATTCTAGTACGGTAGTTTATTTGGATGTACTGCCCTACTGCTACAATATACTCTAGTAGAGAGAGAGAGCTAGTAAAAGGGGGGGATGGAATGAAAGAAATGAAAACAAACCAAATCAAATCAAAAGCTTCGCTCCTTTGTATTGCTATTGAATTGCAATTCAGCGCCTGTACTGCCCTGCTACTACGTTACATTGCACTACACTATACAACCCCTAGGTCCTCCCCAGCCCTCAACCCTCCCTGGACAATCTTGCGAAACAAATCCTCATCCTCTGCACTCCCATTCCCCGACGGGCCCTCAATCCAATCGACAAACCCTTGGAGTTCCGCACTCTTGCCCACGACGCCCATCTCCACGCCCCAGCTCCACAGCTTCACATCCACCATATCCGCGGCGGTCATGTGCACGCGCATATGCCGCGGGTCCATGTACTTGTCGTAGCCGACCCAGAGGATGTCCACGCCCGGGATGCCGCGGTGGCGGATCACGCTGGTCTCCTTGTCCAGATGGCCGCAGCGGTCGTTGGGTTTCGGTCCCCGCGGGTCGTGCGTCGGGTAGCGGCTTCGCGACGGTCGTGGATCGTCCACGCGGCGTACTCCCCGCCATCCGATCTCCATGGCAGTCGGGGGAGGTCGAGGTCGGCGCGGTTGTTGCTGCGCATGCAAGTGCGTCACGTCGTGCATGTGGTCGTGGTGCAGCACGTGTCTGGTAAAGCTTTGCCGCTCGAGCAGTTTCCAGCTGAGCTCCGAGTACGGCGCCCCGGGGTTGTACAGCACGTCCGAGAGCGTCATGACGCTGACGTCGAATTCAATCCGGCGCTTGGGTCCCGGCATGATGGGAAGCACGACCGTGCCCCTCTGCCTCCTCCTGCTTTCGGGGCCTTGTTGACGTTGGCCTTGCCGGACGACGACGCTGTGACTGCCCCCTCGTGGTGGTTCCGGCCGCGGAAGCCGAAATAAATTCAGATCCGCGCATTTGTGTGTCTCCGCGGTCAAATTCAGTATCCACGGCGTAAACTTCATGGTCTGCTTATGCTGGGCCGATCCTCGCGGCGGTTCCGGGAACTGGGTCGGTTGAGGCGTGCGCGTGAGTGGATAGGGGTATCCGTCGGGCAAGGGGATGTCTCGCGAGGTGGTGCGAATAGGGACTGGCTGCCGGATGGTTGGCTGCCGGATCACCACTGGAGGGCGTCTCGGTGGGAGGGGGTAAAGCTCGTCATCGTCGTCTCCATAGAAGCCGCCGCCTACAGGGCCATATACCCAGCCTCCTGGGCGGATGGGAATGAGATCGCGGCCGCCTAGCCGGGACATCTTTAGATGGTGGGTGTATCTAACTGTGTGTCTCCGGATTTGATGTTGATCGGGATCTGAATTAGGAACAGGATCTGGAGATGAAGTACAGCCAGATGAAGAAGGCTTGTAGGTGGAGGATAGGAAGGGGCAACTTCAGCATGGGAAAAAATGAGACGAGGAATCGAGAAGACAAATAAAACGCCCAAATTCTGCGCTTCGTGGATCTTTATCACCTTTCCCAGTATGAGATGTGTGTCTGTGAGAGAGTGAGGAAGGAACGACGACAGCATAGTGCCGGTCGAGATCTCACGACGCACTGGTCACCGTCACTTGTCCTGTTTACCGTCAAGGAGAGTCCGAGTTGACAAACAGAGGTAGATATCAGTGGTGCTGGAGGAACCGTCAGCAGAGTTCACTTGTGCAGTGTCCCTCCCACCTTTGAAATGACTCAATACGTTCATATCGCGCCCCGTGTGTCAAGTCATATAACAGCACCCAAATGTAGCCCGGCACATTCCCCAGCTGCTGGGGCCCGGGTCTTGCTGCACTCTATGGGCAAAGAGTGCAACAGTAGTCTCGTACACAGCTACTCCAAACCCTACATGCTAACCCTCACGATCGTACTCGTCCACAATAAGCAGCGCCTTCCCAGTGTCGTCGGCATGCTCGATCGCAGTGCCGTATTTCCCAATCTTTATTGTCTGACTCAGGACCAGCTTGGGATAGTCACATTGCAAGAGTTTGAGATTGATGATGTTGCTCGGCTTGTCGGTCTTGTAGTAAAAAACGTCTCGGAGGCGAATGGCCGTGAGTCTCTCGCTTCCTATGATGGGGATCACGACATCGCCCTTCCCCAGCACCATGAAGTCCTTGGTACGATCGGCGGACGGGTTTTCGTCGAGGTTGAAGAAGAGAGATCGGTCGTGGCAGTAGTGGTGCGGGCTGTCGTTCCAGACCATCCATCTTTCTTGCTGCGGAGGCATGATGAGTGCTGATTTTGAGAGACTCGAAGTCGTCAGATGTAGGAATGTGCAGACTATGCTTGTAGTATCTCTGTCTGGCGTTTGAGATGGAAAGATTCCGGTGAAGGGTCCATATCAAGCTTAAAGGCAGATTGATAAATGATCATTCAGTGAAGATTGAGATCGGTCAACCATAATGCCTGAGGAGGCTGAGCAGCGAATGTGACAATCTTGGCCTGTTGGCAAACAAAGTCTGACTCCTCGAAACCAGCATAGGCGTCTGCGTTTGGTCTGTTGTCAAGCACATCAAGTCTGGTTTGCCCTGCAATAAGACTAGTCCGCGGTAGCAGCACAGCCATGCAGCACGAAGATGATGGCGCTCATCAGGCGTATCGCCTAAATCCAACATCGGCAGGACAGAGTAGACAGCCCGCTGCAAACCATTTGTATCGCTGGAGATGATTAAATAGTCTCGACTGTGAAGTATTCATATTCAACCATTCAATTCAGGACATAAGTTCGTGAGACAAGCCCGCCATCACTGTGTCGCTAACCCATCATCACTGACTTTCAGCCTTCCAACACGAGGGTCGAAATCAGATCAAAAAGCCCTCGTAGAACCGCTGGTAATAAAGTGGGCGTGCAAGACATGAGACATCTTTCACAATTCGTCGGCCTTCATTAATAACTCTCTGCCCAACCTTTGCAGATAAGCTTTCGCTATGTCCTTTGGCATGTTTGTAAGCATGAGATCTGAGCTCACAGCGGACTTGCTAAGTGCAGTTTGTCCATTGTGCTGTGGCACAGAATGGCAAACATTCGAGAATCTCTTCACAACATTCTCGAGGTCTCGTCGCCCCTCTTCATAGGCTGCCAGATCACGCGGTGAACCGTGACGGGAAGTGGCGCTAAAGACATGGGGCGGTAGGTTACGGAAGGAGAGATTGACTGTCACGTCGACCCAGTCATCTTGAATGCGTGGCGCTTCTTTGACATTGGACACAGACTCACTTCCCGAGATTGAGCCATTGCTGCTGAGCCCGGATAGTCTCTCGCTCGGGGTGCTCGGGGTGAGAACACCATTGCACAGACGGTCTTTATCACTGCCGCCATTGAGGTAGATCACACTGGCTGCAGACCAGAACGGTGGAATGAACAAAGCATCTCCGGGCCTCAGTATGGCGATGTGGGGACTTGTGCCAGATGGTGCATAGAAGGTATGCCCCTGCAATGGTGTTTTATCACAGAATATATCAAGATTGCTCGTGCTGGCTCCTGGTGGGAATTCGAGCTTGCTTAGGTCGCTGGGTGGAAATAAGAGTAACTTTCGGGTACCGTGGAGTTGGAACACAATATTTGCCATCGCACTGTACTGAAGGTTGGTGGAGATCTTCTTTGATATTAACAGCTGGAGCGAGTGCATAAGAGGCGCAACGCTGCTTAATTGAGCGGGAATTGGGAACTGATCACCAAGAATCCGCTGATCTCTCCGGTCGCATACTGGATTCCTGTTTTCCAGCTTGGCAGCTGGACTGCGAATGTCGAAAGTTGTTGAGCACATACCGAGTGCGTCCAAGATTTGGACGAGCGACATATTTGCATGTGTCGAACCTTTCAGTAGATTGCTCATTTCCTCGCTCATCGTGTTCTGAAGGATTGCTGTTTTGAGAAAGTCGACTGAATACAATCGACACGACCCCAGATGAAGCCGGTTCATGAGCAGAGGTCGCGATACACGTACTGCAGCATGGAAGTCTGCAGGGTCGGTCAGCAAGACCGGGGCAATCAGAACCCCCTCGGGACATCTGTCACCTGCGGTGAAGCTCGAGTCGGAGTTCGTTGGAGGATATTTGGAGGCCTTGCTGGGCACCGTGACCCAATCAGCGGCAAGTCCGGCTTCTTTCTCATACAGAACCCAGATTCCTTTGTTGAAGTACTCGCCGTAGTTGAAGCAGTCGGCACCCCCGCCCAGGATAACGTACATCCCAGCGCGCGTTCGTAATGTGGAATGACCAATGAGGAATGGCCGTGGACAGTCCTGCGAGCAGACTGCCTCCACGCATGACACCCGGAAGCTCGGTTCCTTGCTCTCGTCATGCCAAGTGGAAAATGACCCGGTCATCGACAAGATCTCGTACGTTTTGGGTATACATCCCAGTCTGGCTATGCCGCCGATAATCAGAAGGTAGTCTTGTACGAAGCCATAGGAAGCACCGAATCGAGCAAAGTATTGGTATGACCCAATGCTGGTATCCAATCCGTGTGAAGGGCGAAATCTCAGCGCTAGCACGGCATTATCACGGATCACGAGTCGCCAGCGCCAGAAGCCCTGGCATATGACACCGTCTTGTCTCATGCCGCCAAACAGCAGGCCATGGTTGAAACCTAGACACACAAAGTTTGGTGCAAATCTAGGTTTGGGGTCCTTGCCGAAAATTCGCAGCTCGCGCCAGCCTTTGTGCGGGTCCCACAGCAGTACTTCGGTGGCCACTTTAGTCGGGCTTACCTTGCCGCCAAAGCAGATGGCACCGAAGACATTGTCAGGCAAGGTCACCGGTGCTAATCGATGTCGGTACCGTCCTTCGGGCAGATCGTGGATGCGGTACCAAGTATTCCCTTTCTGTAACCAACAGTCCTTTAGAGGTTGAGTTGGTGAGAGCCGGCCACCAACCAGAATGTTATCTCCATTATTCAGTGCAGTTATGACATGACAACATCGAGCACCGACTTCGGGTGGCAAAACCACGGGTGTCTCATCATTCAGATGGCGTGGTCGGCAGACGGCACTTGTCGAAAGACATGATTTTGATCCAGCACCGCCAAAGATGGCAACGGCGTCCTGGTCGGGTATGGGATACGCGGATCCGTGGTGGCGCTGGCAGAGTTCACCCGGGTCGTTGTAATGGCGGTAAGCGAAATGTTCGGAGTCGGGATTGTACGGCGAGGAAGTCCTCGCCGAGATATCAGAGGCTTCGCTGGACACAGAATTGGCACGAGCCTTGAAAAGCTTTCCTGGAAGAATGGGATGAACGCTGTTTTGTGCGATCACCAGACAGTGGTGGCTCGCCCAAAGCGCGAATTCTTCCCAGTCATCGAACGGCTCAACATGGTCCAGCTCCATGCGTTGCGAAGGAGATAGAAAACGGGGGTCAGCCCAGAGCTCCCAGAGGAATTGGTAATCAATTTGAATGAAACCTGCGTTACTAAAGCGCTGGACCTGGGAGCGATCATCTGGGTATTGGAAGACGGATTTCAAGGGTGTGCCGAGGCCAGCATAGTGATCGGTCATCTTCCTCGTAAAAGGATTGTCTGGCTGATCGGGGCTGCAAGGCTCAAGGAGGCAGAAAGTGACATCTGATGATTATGCGTCGTCAGGAAAACGATGCCGCAGCCGTTTCGAAACGAAATCGGGTACCGACTCACCTTTTGATAACCTTGAAGACCAAGAGATGAGTGCGTCGGCAGCGCACACAGGCATGAACGAGGTAGAATCCTCGGCTATACAAAGGACTGAGCACTCATCCAAGTTGAGCATTGACTTGAGCAGTCTTTCCAATGTCCGGAGGTTACGCATGTCGCACCCGATTGCAGCATATTCTTCGCTATCGACCAAAACCGAAGGGTCGCTGCCGGCGCAAGATGAGCCGGAGAAATGCAGCAAGTCTCTCAACTCCGGGGTGCTCATGATAATGTCTCGCTTGGTCTCCATCACTAGGTCGTAGTCGACATCGACGAATTTGGCGCCGGCACAAAGCTTGTCTCCCTGGGTCAACCATCGAAATGGCAAAGGATCACTGAATGGTTGCGCGGCTCTTTAGCTATGGACAAATGCGGGCCTGGAACTTTGGACTCACTATCCCGCGCCGAAGTTGATGATGACTTTCTTCTGGTCCGAGGGTCTTTCGAGGAACTGCTGTATCACCCATTTGATGGCGCGCATTCGAAGCCAGTAGCCACGATGGACCGCGGGTGAGGCTCGTTTGACCTTCTTTGCGAAGAACTTGTGGAAATGTGGTTTCGGTAAGTACAGGCGCTCGGCGCTGGCTTTGAAAGCTGTCGTTGCATTGTTGGTCTTTACGCTTCGAGTCAGTGCTTGGATGTACTTGACAACTTGAACGGGATCTGGTCAACGTACGGCCATGATGAGCCCGGCATTGCGTTCATACGGCAGTACTTCCTCGCTTCCGCCGCCGCCGCCATTGTGTCCGGAAGGCCGCATTGTTCGAAGCACAGACTAACAAGCCATGGGGAGCCCCGAAACGCACTCTACGCTCGAACCAATCGCCGTCAAGGCATTGACCGCCGGCAAGAAAAATGGCTGGAGGAGTAGTCGGAAAATGTCCGCATCAACAGAACAGACGAATGTAAAACAGCAACTCTCACTGTAAGATGGAAGAAAGCAGGAACAGCCCGGATGATGTTCTGTTGGCCAGGATGAGGATGAGGATGAAGATAATGATGGATGGAAGGTGAGAAGGTAAGAGATGACTAACACGGCCTTGTCGCTTGACATGCAACGATGTAAGCTTTTACGCGAGATCCTGACGGAGGCCGAGGCCCATACTAGAGTCGCTTTATCTTTCCTCGTATTACAAGACAATCTTGCCCTGGTAATATACCTAAGTACTTAGTATGGTACTTAGTATGCCCCCAGGTCCATATATAGGTGGAGCTGTCCCGATGCTATTCCAAGCACAAGCACTACTACTATCTACCTACCTAGGTAGCTATCTGGTCCCTCGTATGCTGCTGATCCAGATTGTATCTACGAAACCCTACGCCTCGCAACAATGGGGCCAATACATATCCCCACCCAGCCACTCCCACAACATGTTCATCTCGTGTCTTTGCCTGCCTGTGGTAGCGCTCCATACGCCAGGTTACCCCAGTGCTTGCGTGCAGCCTCCCTCGGTTTCGGTTTCACTGGCGCACTGCCTTGAGAGGGGCGAGATATGTTCTTCCCAGCTTTGTCATTTGCCCTGTTAACCGGATCTGCCACTGGCTTTGTTGGTTTGTTCTCAACCAGGGCTGTCGATCTTCCAAGTTGGCCCTGCAGTGGCTTTGCCGGTTTGTTCTCAACCGGGGCTGTCACTCTTCCAACTTCCGCCGGTGATAGCGCACCATACGCCAGATTCCCCCAGTGCTTGCGCGCAGCCTCCCTCGGTTTCACTAACGCACTGCCTTGAGTGGGCCGAGAGATAGTCTTACCAGCTTTGCTAATTGCCTTGTCGACCGCACCCGCCACCGGCTTTGCCGGTTTGTTGTCCTCAATTGGGGCTGTCAATCTTCCAAGTTGGCTCTGCAACAGCCCAGCTTCTTTCTCCTCTTCTCGTGCGTTTGCCCTCAAGATGGCGGCTTGCAGTCCTCGGGGTGGTCCTCCTTCCGCTTGCGGAGTCTCTTTCGCAATAGCATTCTGCAAGTGCTGAGGAACTCTGGGAGACTGGCCATCTCGCACATACGGACCAAGCACGATGCGCATTTCTGGGTCCGGGAGTTCCGGCGACCTGATCCCGAAGACCAGTAAATTCCCGTCACGTCTTATGATCCAGTGGTCCCAAGGATCAACCTCCAACGTGCAACCGCTGGCCAAGAGCTTTTTCAGACTGAGGAACAATCTGTCGTACGCCCTCGGCACCCGAGGCAAATGAGGCGAGTAGACGACGTCGTCTAGAACAAGCCGCACGTTCGCTACCAGCTCCAATTCAACCCGCCCTTGACCGTTCTCATTGAGGTCTTGCGGTGCGAACTCCTGGAGGACCTGAACGCATGGAAATTGTCGAAAAGTCTTGTAGAAGCGCATGCTGTTGGAAAGGTGCTCCGGCAAGAAGGCTGTGATGACGTGTTGGGTATGATACATGCCAAATGGTAGAACGCCATCACGAGAAAGGTGCGTATAGAATCCGTTGATCGTGCGCCCTTCAAGATTCATAGTTGAATGCAGCGAGGCAGGCGAGTCTGAGAAGAAAGAAGATGGACATATTCAGCCATGCAGAAGATTTGAGGTGAAATTATATCTGTCGAAGATCGACTTGTCACTGCGCGGTGTCTCTGGTGTTTTTGCATCCGAGGAGTGATAATATTTCGTTCTTTCTGGAACCATGAAAACCACCGTTGGTCCTGGCCACATGCACGCTCTTTACCCTCACCACCCTCCCTCCCACTAGAAACGGCGATGACGAGTCAAAGTCACCACATCCCTAGTAATCGGGTAGTCTTCCCTAACTAAGTTTGGCAGTAGAGAGTGACGACACCAGGACAGCACCTAGGCTGGAGAAACAGACAACTTGCGTGAAGCTTCCTGGAATAATTGAACAATGTTCGAGAACGCGATGTATAGTGAAAGGTACATCGCTGGGATCCGACCTGCGGAGACCCGTCTGATCGAGGGCTTCTGAACGCTTGGTGAAGTGATGATGGCACTCTCGTCACCAAAGTCCGTCCATTATGCCGATCGAGCTAATGAGAAAACAATGCGCATCCTGATGCTTTCGCGCTGGTGGCGATCTCCTTCCAGACGATGAGATCCTGTATGATGTCTTGGGCCCCGTCATATGAGAAGTTGACGCCAGCAATCTCGCTTGCCGCCAACGCCTGACCCGCTCGTCGTTCAAACTCATGTAAGAGAGCACGTTTCGTAGTTTCCAAGGGGAACGCGACCAGCGAACGTCCGATATAACCCAAGCTGGGTTGTGAGAAGTATGGCACAGACCGAAGAAGAAGCCTCGTGGTCTCGAGCACTTCTGAGCGCAACAGGAGTATCTTTTCGTGCGACCCGCTGAGCTGGAAGTCATTAGTGCTGCATGCCTCGTCGACGGTCTCGACTTCTGGGGATGACCGGATTGAGATGTCATGTTCGAGCATCGAGATATAAGTCTCGAGGGCACATATTTTGATGGAAAGGTAGAAGGTCCAAGGCGTCAGTACCTCAAGGTTTGGAAGTGTAAGATCGCTGTTCCGCGAAGTGCACACCAATGACTCTGCGACTGAGTGGGCATCATTTGCGAGGAAGTCTTCGGCCCACGTTTGCAATTCAGTTGTAGTATAAGACAACGTCTCTAGAAACGTGCTCAAGCGGCCAACTTCTTGGTCGCTTATCACAGTGCCACTATTCAATCCGTCGACGTAGACCATGATCGGGGGAATTTCGCCGGCAATATGTACCAATTTAGTGAGCTGGCTCATGTGGGAATCCCCAAGATCCGGATTGTCGGGACGTTTTGCCTCCTTGCTCAGAGTCGTTCCAGAAAGCACCGATGGTTGTCGGTTTATGAGGCAAAACACCATTTCGAGAAGTCGATATTCCTCCAATATATCAGAGATATCTTGCGGCATCGATTTGGCCTCAAGAAAATGAGAAATCAGCAAGCAGCCTAGACCACGGACATGACGAGACATGCCAGGGAGCGACCCGCTGACGTTCAGTTCGAACAATGCACCCGCGTGGCATGATAACATCAATGGCGAGTAGTCGTTGGTGGAGGGCTTATTACCATCCACCAGAAGTCGTAGTTTCCGACTGACCGCTTGGATAGTAACCTGGTAGGTACGTCGCGCTACCGACTGGATGTCCTCGCGCTGGTGCTCGGCTCCAACAAAAGCGAGACCCAACGCACGAAGCATACCGGTCAGGAGAGGGTTTTCTTGGACAGCAGCTAATTCATAGCCTCTCACCACCCAAGGAGCGCATGGTGTCGTCAATCGCTGTTCTGATGGTCCTGGACGTCGTAGTGTCACGCGGTCTGGCAAAAGGCGCGTTCGAAACAAGGCCAACAGGCCAAGTGTGTATTGCTTCTCAGGACTCGGATACATCGTTAGTCTGCACTCCGCCTTCGGAGGCCTTTCACTGCGTGGTCCTGCAGACTCCTCTACTTGGTCCTGGTCGCGACTGTCTGCTGTCCCCTTGGACTGCCATTTCGTTTCCTGGATCCAACGGAGCTTGGGCTGGCATGGTCTGTCGAGGTCTTCGAGCCGCTTCTTCAACCTCTGGCGCTCTCTGTGTGCTTGGACATTCAACCTGACCTTCTCTCGTCGGATGGCCAGCCTTTCATCCTCGGTGCGCTGAGATGGTGCTGCTGCTCTCGCCATCAGTTTCGAAGAACGGCTGGTCCAAGCTACAACCGCTGTAATGGTCTCTTTGAGCAACTTATGAGCTGAAATCTTCCAGTTCTTGCGCTCTCGGTACCTGCTGGCTCATCTGACAGGCTGATCGCGCCATTCGGCAATATCTGAGGCTTCTGCGACTCTTGTTGTTCTGCGTCAAAGAGGACCCTAGATGTTCGCAACGCAACCCTGCCGCCCCAACGCTGACTCAGAGAGAGAAGGGGCCTCGGGGGGCCTAATTACCCACCTTTATGCGTTGGAGATTTCTGGGCCGCATCTTCGAACTAGAATCGACTTCGGGCTTGGGTTCCGTGAAAGCTAAAGTATAAAAATCGCAAGATCATGTGAGGTTGTGTTTTCAGTGGATCGGTGCTTACTAGGTATGTGGCTACCTCAGATACGCGTTTGACCACGCTGCAACCACCAACTTGGGCACAAGGATGCTTTGAGTACGGGCATTGACATTCCAGTTATATCTCCATTGCGAACTCTGCTACGAGTCCTTCAGCCTCGCAAGGGTGGCTTTGCCGGCCCTTGAATCATTGGCCCTGCCGAGCTGGGCAGTGATCCATTGCCCAATCTCCGCCATCTTGACCATATCAACACCAGTCTCACAGCCCAGGCTGTGCACCAGGTGCAGCAGATCCTCAGTGGCAACATTCCCTGTGGCACCCTTGCTGTAGGGGCACCCACCTAGTCCTCCAACAGAGCTGTCAAATATCCTGACACCATGTTCCAAACCAACGACAGTGTTCACCAACGCCATACCATACGTATCGTGAAAATGGAGAGCAAGGTCTTCATCCAAAATCCCGGCTTCCTTCAATGTCTGAAGGAGTTTCCGCGTTCGAGGCGCTGTTCCCATCCCAGTTGTGTCGGCAACAGAGACTTCGTCGCAGCCCATCTCCAACAGTGTCGCAGTGATTTCCGCCACCTTGTGAGGGTTGACATCCGGTCCTTCATAAGGGCACCCCAATGCCACGGACACATAGCCGCGCACCCTGATGTTATGCTGTTTTGCAAGCTCCATTATTGGTTTAGATCGTTCCAGACTCTCTGCGATACTACAATTTGTGTTCTTCTGCGAGAATGTCTCTGTTGCTGCTGCAAATAGCGAAATCTCCGTCGAGTTCTCTGACTGTGCTGAAGAACTTTGGCCTTGGGATTGTTCAGGCTCCGGGGAAGGCGGTGGCGTAGGATAGCCCGATGGGTTCTGGGCTCCTTTGGCTTGGAAGGTCTTGAGTAAATTCTCAAGTCCGCGAATGTTAGGCACGAGGTAATTGTACGCAATGCCGTGGGGTGCAGGTGGCGGTTGAGTCAGTATTGACTCGAGTATTTCTGCCGTTGATGCCATCTATTTCAACACTAAGGTCAGTTTGATTCTGTCTCTCCCTCTATGGCGCTATTTTCCGCCGGCAGAACCAACAACACACCTGTGGCACCCATTTTGCGGGCACAAAAGAGCCCGCCTCCATATGCGTGACGCCAGTCTGCGCCAGCCGCCTGATAAGCTCGAGCTTTGTATCCAGGGATATTGTGCTCTTCTCATTCTGCAAGCCGTCTCGGGGGCCGACTTCGACTATTCTGACGTGGTCTGCGAGGCATTGTCTTGAGGTGCTGAAGCTGCGAAACGGGGGTCTCGAACGCGTTCGCGGGAGGCTGCCGATGAGTCTCTTCATCGTGATGGGCGGTGCGAAAGAGCTTGGTTCAATTACTGTAAAAACACTGCTCTAGGGGTCTGCAGATGAAAGTGTGTTCATGTGCTGGAGAAGACCAACGGCAGAGGGCATTGTACAAGTCAAATGCGCAGGTGTCGAGCGAGGCCAAAGTTGTGGAGAGATCTTGTATGCTGCAGCCTCCTCACGGCTAAATACGGCAAAGTGCGGGGAAGCCTTGCCGAGGGCGAGGCTGAGCAGATGGCGAGACCGATATCGGAATCTACTCCTATGTGAGTCGGGATTCTCTCCATACTACCTACATACCTACGGAATACCTCTCCTTGTCTATTGAACCCTACCCCAATCAAGCCTTCAATTTGAACTTGCCTTTCTCCGATGCATCCAGCCCGCGAACAGCAATAACGCAAACACTCGACAGCATCAACAGTCCGAAATCATACCATATGAGTCTGACAAATGCCTGCGGATGTTGGCCATCAGCAACCAAAGCGCCACCGACTGGGGAGCCCCAGAAGGCGCCTAGACCGCGGATGAAGTAGATGAAGCCGTTGACCGATGCGTATGCCTGAGCACCGAACACTTCGATTACCGTGGTAGGGAAGAGAGAGTTGTATCCTCCAGCGAAGACGCCATAAGTCACCACGAAGGTAACCCATAATCCCATATCGTCCCCATAGGCGCTGGACAGCCAAAATGCCACGACGGTTATGGCACTCCCGAGGACGCTGAGGACCAGAGTGTTTTGTCTGCCTGCAACATCGGCGATGAAGCCCATCGCAATCCGACTTATCGTGTTGACTGCATTATTGATGGAAAGGAGCGCAGCGCCACTAGCACACATAGTTAATGAGTCGCGGTCAATTCGACAGTGCGGATACTTACAAGGCAGCTGTGTATCCCAGCCTCGTACTAAACTCGGGGAGAAAGGTCAACGGGACCAGATTCCCTGCCGCTTGAGCCATTGCAGCTGTCGCCTGGAGAATGAAGGTGGGCCTTTTTGCCAGCCTGATATCCACCAGCGTCGGTCGCTTGGAGAGACTCCGCGAGAGCGGCGTTCCCAACACAATGGGAATGCACAGGGCGAAATTGACCAGGCCAAAGACGCGTAACGTCCAGGCGGCACCCATCTTCGAGAGTAATGCACGAGCTGCTGGTGCGTAGACGAGGCCTCCTACTCCGGCTCCTGACAGAATAAAGCCCATGGCGGAGCCGCGATGGGCGTCAAAGTACTCTGGGGCCACGGCCAGGACGGGGAAGTACATCAAAGAAGTGCCGATACCGTAGATCAAGCCCTGTGTGAGAAGGAGCTGCCATACCTAGAACAACAAGTGTGAGCAGAGGGTCAAGATGGCTGGGTAATCGGTGCAACAACCTTGTGACAGAAGCTTGCAAGCACGTAGCCAGTTCCAATAAGCACTGCCCCAGCACCGGTAAGCCACCTTGGATCCTTTGATCTCGCCATGAGCGGGTTGACCACAATGCTCCCACCCCAGGTCAAGCCAGCAGCCAGAGTGCCCACAAAGGCCAACATTGCTTTGCTTGAGACCTCGCTTGGCGGGAGAAACGGATCCTTCGAACTGCTCCCGTTGGACAGATAGTAGTTGAGAAAGACGCCGTAGGCCTGATTCAGCCCGATGGTGATGAAGACATCGAAGAAAGCACAGAAAAGGATGACAGTCTGGCGTTTCCGAGAAACTGGTCGCATGGCGGGTTGAGCATTGGCTGGGACGACTATGCCTTCATAGCCAGACTCGTCGTCCGCAGCACGCAGTTGAATAGATTCCTGCGCTTCGAGTCCAGTGGGCGCGTTTGCCGGTCTATAAGTGGTTATTTCATCCATCTTGTATCATTGAGCTGCAGTGTTGAGAGCGACTAGCACAAGCAAGAGGAAGAGAGGGAAGCAGGTAAGCCCGGGATGAGAAAATGCGGAGAAGTAAAGGGCGCACAGTGGCTGCTTGACATGTTGGATGTGCATATCCGACGACAGCCTCGCGATGTAACCACAAGGAGAAAGTCGGAAGTGGGCAGCGGAACTCTCCATACTCTATGTCACTTTGGTCATTTGGCTGCGACGATCTCAAAACCAGCTTCCAAGGTTCGTATTCTCGTATTCAGACGTGCCATGCTTCTTTCTGACTCACGATCCTCTAGATACCTAGGTACTCTAGACACATCAATCCCCTGGGTACTTACTTAGTCGAGCATAGCTATGGTACAGTCCAGTGCCTGTTGTTCATTCTCGACCTTGTCTCATTCGCCTTTCCCCTGGATCCACGATCACGTTGACTATCACACTCACTCCATGCTGCTTCCCCCTCGCCTCTTCATCATTCACCCTCCTTTCTCTCGTGCCTCTCTCTGCGCTTCCTTATTGCTGTCTCGTCCCTGGGATCATCAGACTTCGTTTGGCTTGGCGATTTCTTTCCATTGTGCCTTCAATCTACTGATTGAAATATCCCGCCCGTACTCCTCTTCGTAAATCCTCTGGATGGTCTGCCACAACAGATTATCGATCTCTTCCACCGCTTAAGTCCTAGCCTCGATCACTTTTTCTCTTTTTCCATTTGATCTCTCTTTTGTTCGGCAATGAGCTGATATTTGTAGTCCTCGGGATACTTTTCCAGCCATTCGACTGGGAGCTGAGCACAATGTCAACTTGGAAAAACAACCGAAGTGAGGTAGAAAGCCGGACATACCCTAAGTTCTCCACTTGCAGCAAATTGCTCCATCAGCCTCAAGAATCGAAGTATCATGTCGTCTCTGTCGATCGGTCGTCCTGACAAACGTTCGTATTCCTCATGAATTTCCTTATGCTTCGCACCGTTGATCTTCCACGTGTAGAGCATTTTGTCCCATTCATTCGCACCTGCGAATGTTGCAGGGAGCGGCTCCGCCGGCGCCTTTCCGTCGGAGGGAGGAGGGTTTTTCTCAAGCTCTTTCATGCGTTGAACGTATCTTTCCCAACTTGGATGCGCCATGATAGGTGTCGCCAGCTGAAGGAGCAAGGAAAGGCGCAAGTCTAGGGCAGATTGCAAATGGAAAGGAAGAGCGATGTGGAAGAAGCAGGAGAAGAAGGAAAATTAAGCCCCATGTTGCGTAAAGTAGCAAAATGGATTTTGGAAACAGACTAGGAACAAGGGCATCAAACAATTCAGCGCACACTCAACGACGTCAATCACAATGGGAGCACGCTGGCTGTGATGGAAATTGAGCTTGCTGGCAGATAATGGTGCAAGCGATGATCAATTGGCTTTGCAGCATTGAAGATACCCCTTCACCCAGGTTTTGCATGGCGCACACATGTGGATGACATGCCCTTCTCTGTCAATTTATTTCCACGTCACCGTTTGCATGAAGATAACGGGTTGGCGCAGAATTTAGTGTTTCAGTTTGATATATTGCTTTTCTGACAATAAATTTAGGACTGGTTGACTCTTTGAGCAAAAAATTCCTGACCCGTCTGTACTGCCGCACAGCTGACCAAGTACAGAAGGTATCGAGAATGAAGACAAAGCGTGATTGCAAAGCCCAATCGATGTTGGAAGCAGGGGGTGATTCGGTGCTGATGCGAAGCTGTAAAGTCTTGTCTAGAAAGGGAGTTATGGGCCGAGACCTGAGCGCATCACCTTAAGCGTAACTTGCGCAGCTTTACCTACAAAGGGTAAGCTGAAGGCTTTCAGAGCAGAGATCATTAGTGTAGCAGGGAAACGTGATTGCCTCTATGGCCCAACTTCAACGTCTGCAAGTCCAATGCTAGTGTGGTGTAGCAAGGCTGCCTGCGTGTTCCCACAGCGTATGCTTCTTGTCATGAGTTGTAGAACTTTTCCCCTTTGCTTCCTTGCCTGATAAGGGCAATCAGCTCCAGCTCCGCCTTTCCAAGCCCCTTCCTTTGTGAGTCCGGTGTTGCTGGTCCGGCTAGCAATCCGAGCTAAAAGGCACAGGCAGGTCAGAAGGGCATTTGTCTAGTGAGCAAAGCATAGGGCGTTCATAGAGTCCGGGTTCGCAATGATACGGCGGCGTTGCATAGTCCAGCAATAACGGTGTGCAATGGTGGTTTGTTCCGATTGACAATAGCAACGGGCGTTCTCTTCAGCAGCTGGTCTCATTCCAGGCTCTCATCCGCAGGCCAGAGACCAAAAGTCCCTTCCCCATGCCAAGATCACAAAAGCGGCATCGGCAATCTGGCCAATCAGCGTAGTGGGGCATTGCTGCTGTTTTGACCAGTCATATTGCACCCCTCGACTTCTTCATTGCCTTTCTTCTTACTCGAGTACTAGGCCCCATGTTGCTTCGCCCGGTGCTCAACCCAGTACGCCTTGCTTCTGCCAGAGCAGATATTCAGCCTCACTGCTATATCTTCCCCAGATAATGCATCCCCTCCTCTCCTCCGACGTCTGTTCGACTTCAACTTTCTCCAGACTCTCTAGATAGCAAAATCACAGTCTCCGAGAGGCTTGCGACGCTCCCTAATTCGGGGTCACGAGGGGGAAAATTGCACCTGCACAGCCACATGCTGATGGCCATTGTCACTCCTTGCGTGCTATTCACGAGGAGGCGGTGACTGTCTTCTTGATCTGACTTTCCATTCGAGTCATCATTGAGTGGCCTCTGTCAGCGGACTGTACCGCACTTGATTATGACATTAAGCGCAAGATCTGGTGGCGATAGAAAGGATCTTCATCTTTCGAGACCTGTGCGACAGCCCCGATGACGGTCGAATCTCAGCCAATGTGCTCTCTGCAAGAGACCATCCGCACTGGGAACTTTTATTCCTTGGACGAAACTACATTGCTCCACCAAATCAAAGATGCTTTCTCCCCAGAACTGGAACGACTGAAGTGCGTAAGAGCCGTCGAGGGCACCGAGGAGCAACGCGCTACCGCAAATGGACAAGCCGATGTGTTGAGTCCCTCACAGATTCTCTATGGGACCAATTATGACGAGGTCAACCGAACGCTTGTGGGCATTCTTGCGCTTCGATGGATTCACAACCGCGACTATGAAAGCTTCACTCGGCCACAAGTTCCCGAGTCGCGCCTGACCGAGGAATCATTCGAGTGGCTGCACGACCTCTTCTCAAAAGGAATCGAGAACTCAGATGATCTTCTGGCCCTGGTGGTGTCGATGATCATCAATGACTTGGGAAAAGATCCCAACCTGGAAGAAGACTACTACTTCAAAACCCGCGATCGTCAGAACCATGATTCCTTACTACTGGACGCAGCAAAGGCGGGGATGATCTCCGCTCTGCAATATCTCACGCCGGAGAAGAGAGAGGACCTAATGCGAGGTCTGGAACTCGGATCGGAGCTGAATGCAGGGCAACTGGCCCAGGCTGAAAGCGTGCCTGTCAATCTAGAAGGACTGCTGGCCATGCGAGACCACAAACACGCATTTGAACTCAAGTTCATGGAGCAAATCCTCGACGTCGCCGGCGCTTTGGGCCATCTTGACCCTCGTGGCTCCAAGACCTTTATCGAACCAGTCTTTCAGGCTTTCAAGACAGTGCATGAGGTATCTCTCGATATCATTGACGGCAAGTCCAACCCCCGACAAGGGTACGACAAGGTACTTACAAAACGTGGAAATTTGCTTTATGTCAAGGGCTTTCGCAGACTTAGTGTAAGCGATCGAGAAGATCGGGCACTTCTCCGCTTGTTGACCATGGGCCGGACTGCAGACAAAGAGCAGGCTGAATTATTCTCCAAAGCGTACAACGCTCTAAGGCCGGAAGACAAAGATCAACTCGTGGCGGGGCTTAATGTCGACGGCAATGTGAATGAGACGGCTGTGCTCCCTTACTACATGCCCGCAATCATATCCACCACCTTAGAAAACACGAAAGACTCGGATGAGGATATCAAGCGCGAGGCACTCACATCCCTTATGCGTTACCTGGCCAAAGTCTTGGGCAGCCCGAGAAACAACCTAACAGCTGCACCCGAATCCGCAGTATATGACCGCGAAGTACCCGGAATCATCATCGAGAGGAATATGTCGAAGGTCCAGGACGTCATCAACAGCCCAGGATTCAAAGATGATCCGACTATTCTCGATAAGCTGGATATACCAGATGGGCAGATTCTTCAACGTAGAAGGACCAGTCAGTCTTGGTGAGAGGCTGTCACCCGCCCACGACGACTTCCTCGGCTTGAAGGACTTGGTCTGCCGCCATCAGTCAAGGCCCAGTGGAAACGGACGGCAGATGTTGTGGTAGCCATTCAGAGATCCTGGCCAGATGTCGCGGAAGTAATCCCACAAGCTTCCGTAGGACTTGGAGCAAACCATACCTCAAGATGCCAGCAACGGACAAGGATTTTTGACCTTGGAAAGTTTCCATGGTTCTTGCCTGTGCCAACGGATCCTCCATTATCCACAAGGCATCTTCCCGTCTCATATCCACATCGTTCTGCAAGGTTTTCACAGTATGCAAATATAAAGAGCTGTGTTCTCGCCCACTTTACCTCCCGATACTGGCCATCACCTGCGTCTCCCTTCATACCCAGCGTGACTTTACAGAGCAGACACCGGAGTCGAGGACTTGCTGTCTTTGGCACTACTTGACAGGACTGGCAGTATTTCCAACTATCGCTCAACAGACGATCATCCACCCGAATATCAACAGTTGCAGATCCACACCCTCCACCTACGATGCGCTGGAGAATATTCGCCGGCAGTACACGACTTCCAAAAATGGCTCCCTTCAACCAGACATCCCCCGACGCTCATCCGTCAGACTCCTCTCGCGCATCGAATCAAGACTCTGATCAACAGTACATCATCGTTCCTATCCACCAAGACACTCCTCAGAGAGCACCAGCACCAAGCGATTCCAATCTCCTCCATCAAAACGCGGGTAGTATGCCGGAATCCAAACCCGTCAAAAACTCCAGAAGAAGCCTCCTGCACGACCTGGCCTCGGAGCTCGAGATCGGTCTCGAAAACCATCAGAAGGCCAATACCTCCGACTTCCCCCCTCGCTCCTCTGAACTGCAATTTCCACTCACAGCCACCAACAACTCCAGGGGAATCTCTCTCAACAGGAGCGAACAAACCCATCCTGAGCATGCGGGTAGCAGCTGGCTATATTCTATACAGCAGCAACCACGCGATGCTCAATTTCATGTCCCATCACAACTACCGGCGTTCGTCACCTGGGACTTGCTACTCCTCGACGCGCTGATCACCTTCTCGTGCCTCGCCTTCAATCTGTACCTCGTCTGTGAGGTTTTGTTTCTTTCTCTCTTTCCCGGGGGGAATGAGAGAGTCGGAGATGGAGCGAGAGCGAGAGCGAATCCAGCGAGAAGCAGGTCGTATCGCCCTCGGACAAAGAGGGGAAATACAGAAGTCGAGCATGCGGCTTTGGAAAAGGCGAAAAGGCGTGAAAGCGGTGGGGATGGGGAGTGAGTTTCCAGAGAGATCAAGAAAGGGCCAGAACAGGAATGACATGATGCGTTGCACGCGTCGAAGTCCGAACTGGCCATGAAGGGAAACCGCGAGTCGAATATCTAGCATGCAGGACAGGTTATCAGAGTTTTGGATTGGGGTTGACTTTCCTGCAGATAGAAGGATGAGGGAAGAGTCTCGATATTGCTAACCAGGGTACCCGTGTTCTCTCGGGGTACTTTGCTGCTGCCATGTACAATGCATAGGTAGTCCTGCTTGATACATAGCTTGCTGTGTTAGTTCCGTTTATCTATCTATCTATCATCTATCTATATCGATTCATCATCCACATGTCCTTTCCATGTACTCTACATAACCTAGGTAACCTACCTATATGGGAGTGGATATCTATCACAATGTTGTCCCTTCTTACTCAGACATCAAACAAGATGCCTCTTCCCTCTCCCGCCTAGACTCTGCTTCTGCGCCCCACCAAACAAATCCCGCCAGAACTGCTTAAACCCATAACTCTTCTCCCCGCTCTCGTCGCGGATCGTGCCCTCATGGCCCATCCACTCATCACCACCAAGCTTCTCGAGCACCCCACCCTGGACCTTCTGGCGGACAACGCGGACCTTGGGCAGGGGCCGGGTGCTGCGCTCGCGGATCTCGTCGGCCAGCTGCGGCGCCACGTCTGCAAAACACCGCCGCAGTTCTCGGTCTAGCGTGTAGTAGGGCTTCTGGGCGATCTTGGGCGCCATCAGGTTGTAGGAGCGCGTCAGGGCGTTCAGGTTCGCGACCGCCAGTGTGTGGTATGCCAGTTCGGATTTCTCCCACGTTGGGTCGCGGAAGGGGTAAGGCATCGGTAGGACTTGGGCGGAGGTGGACGATGGAGGGGGGGAGGGTTGGGATTGGGATTGGGATGGGGAGGGCGTGGGCGTGGGCGCGGGTGCTTGCTCGGACAAAGTAGATATAATCTCTGGAGGTGCTGCTTCTTCTGCTGCTGTTGGCGGCGGCGGCGGCGGCGCATCCGTGCTTAGATCGACGGCGATGGGGGCATTCTCGGCGGGTTGCTCTGTGACTTTGATTTCGATCTGCTCTTGCTCGTCTCGCGGCTCGACGGCCACTCCGGCGGCAATCCTTTCCTCGACACTCACAGTCGTCAACCTGCCATCGCTCGAAATGCTGCTCAGATTCTCCACCCTCCGCGCCGGACGGGGATTGACCCTCTCTTCAGCCAGCGCATACCCTTGGGCCCGGCGCACCTGGTCCTCGACCGTGCCGCCACGGCTGGAAATCGTCCGTGCGGCGTGCCGGCGCCAGTCGCTGCGCAGGCGGCTCCGAAAGGTCGCCACTGCTTTCACCAGCTCCTGCTGCTTCTCGATCCAGGGCGGGACGATCTCCTGCTTCTGGATGATCTTGTTCATAAAGTACTCGGTCGTGTCGAGGAAGGGTGAGTTGGCGTTGTAGTCGCGCTCCACATTGATGCCCTTGCCGCGGCTGATGTTCTTGAACTGCCCCCTGGCGATGGCGTCCTCGATCCGCTCGTTAGCCAGGCTCGTGAGACCTGTGATGCTCGTCGGCATCGGCCTGGCCCCGGGCGAGAACCGGTCCTTGAGCTCCCTGCGCCACTTTTCCCGCTCTTGCTCCGTCATGTCGCTCTGCTGGCTGATGGCGTAGATGGACGTCTTGTCCCGTGCCCGCGCCAGTCGGTCCGCCGCCGAGATGTTCTTCTTGGGGGCCGGCCGCAGGTTCACTTTCGGAGCGATGGAGGGCGCCCGCGAGGGTGATCGCAGTTTCTTGTGGCTGTCGTCGAGCATGCGGAGCACCGAGTCGTGCATTGTCTCTGTGCCTCGCCAGGGTTCTGCGCCCGCGATATCGCGTGTGCCCTTTCCTGCGGCATTCTGTCAAGTAGATAATGATCTTATCAGTCCTCGATCTTTCTTCTGTTGTCGCTAATGGAGGGGGGTAGGGTTTATTTCGTACAGGCATCGTGACTTGGCTCGCGGCCTGTTGATTCTGCGCCGCAAAGCTCGTCTGTGCAATCCTCTCTTCCAGCTGCATCTTCAGCTCTTCCGAAAACCCGGCATCTTGCATCAACTTGCGGTCACTCTTGCTGCCCGTGTCCATCGTCTCCTCGGCCATCTCGGCCAGCCTGCGCGACATGGCGCCCTGTTGCTCTTCGCCATCCTGACCCTCGGCACTTTTGGGGGCGTGCGGATTCGCGGACTTTGGAGCTGCAGGTCCATCATCGTATCGGACTGCTGTGGTGCTGAACGGGTGGCGTCGTGGATGAGGGCGACGAGGGATCGAGTTGCTGCCGCCATCGAGCGAGGGACCCCGCAGCCTCTGGGCCCGGAGACAGCGGGCACAGGTCCAGAGCTGGGAGCTGGAGCTGCTCATCTTGGGCGTGGAGAGGGACGCAGAAATAAACGACAGATTCTCTAGAAAAGGATGGCCCCCAAAAAAGCACCGGGTCAACTGAATGGGAAATGGACAGATGCGATGCTCGTGTCAATGACTTTCGCCGTCGCCAGCTTCTTTTCTCCGCACATTCCGCCCAATCACGACATACAATGAAGTGTACGAGGTATACAATCTTCTATCCTCGTACTTGTCCCCGTAAAGGGCGATACTGAATATGCGCGGTGGAAAGGCCTTTCTCTTTACTAGTTGCTTGATAGATTGACTGCGGAGTTGATGTCGATGGACTATTCTTTGTCTACTCATATACCTAATAATATTGACTAACAGCATCGCTTTCTTGCGATGCCTGTGTATCGGTCGTCGTCATGATGCCCTGGCACGCTCCTCGCTTCTCGCTCATGCTTCAAGGGTAAAAAGGCATCCTCTCTCCTACCCAGCTGGTCCAGCCAAGTCCGACATGCAGTTTGTGAATCAGAACCCAAATGTGGTCTATCTCGTCCACGATATATGCTCATAGTTAAATCGTAGTCATTCTTTCTTCTCATCCAAACCCTTCCCCCGGAGAGCCATGCAAGCATACCAGAAACTTAAAAGCACAAGGCAATGCACCGATCATGCCCAACCCAAGGCACAGGCACAATACCCAGAATGAGGAGCATCACTCATCAAGGACAACAATCATGCTCAATGCACCATGTTTCAAAATAGTGGGATATCGCTCAGTTTCATGCCTCGCTTGCGAAGTCGACGACGAAGGACGTCTTCGTCAGCGTCGAGCCAATTGTCGCCCTCGGAACCGTCCTCCCCGAACTCGTCAACTTCTTGCTTGACTCGTGGGGGCCGAGCAGCACCGGCTTCGTCTCGTTTGACACGAGGGAAACTGGTACTTTCGCTCGACGGGATGGCCGCCTCTAAGGCCATGCGATGTCGGTATTCGTGCTCCCGAACGTGCTGCTCACTTGCGTACAACGAAGCCGTAGCCACCCCTGGATTGTAAGAAGATCTGTAGTCCAGCTGGTGGTGCCGACGCTGTCCACGAGCGTTCTAAGCAGTGGCGGCGACGTCGTTGAGCTGCTTGATCCACGAGTCGGGGCTCTGTCCAACCCCATCAAGCTTCATCATCTCTTCAGTAGCAGTGCCCCCTTCTGTATTGCCCCCATCTTCCGAAGGCTGTTCCGCCTTATTTTTAGCAGGCAAGTGGTTCTCCTTTTCTTCTCCGCCTTCATGCAATCGACCAGGAAGACCCGTGTTGCCCCAGGTTCTCTCCTCTGTCCTCGCAGTGGCCTTTTCACCACCGAATAAGGGCTCTTTTCTGCGGCGACTCAATTTTGCCAATCTCTCTTTCTCTTTTGCTTGGGCAATGGCGATCTTTTCCTTCATAAGTTCGAGACCCCGTTGGCGGTCCGCTAATTCCTCTCGCAATCTTTTGCGTTTCTCCTCGCCTGTTCGCCCCAGCCGCCGGTTCATCACGCCGTCATCGACGAATTGGGTCTTCAGAACCATGAAACTCACACCATCATGCGGTGCCTGGTGTTCTGCCAAGGTCTCTGCACTAGGTTCAGGCCAACTGCGACTCTTGATTCCAAAGCGGACACTGTCCGCGTAGCTTTCCAATTGTGGCAGTACAACCAGAGTGATGTGCAGATCCTTTCCCTCTGGCACCGGAACTGGCTTATCCGGCGCTGGTAGACCTTCGATTCTGGGGTTTTGCTCATCAATGAGCCTGTTCAGAAGAGTGTCTTCGATGTGGGCAGACTGGATGAACCCAGAATGCATTGCAGCTGCCACTGGATCAGAGTCATCCGTATAGATACCTGATCCCCACAGGTATTGTTCGCAGCCGATGAGGTTCCTTTCTTTCTGTTGAAGCCACATGCTGGACACCTTGATGGTATAAGTACAGTTAATGTGATCTGGGTCCTTGAAGGAAGGCAAGAGATTTGGCCGGATGGAAACGTCGAACTTCTGCGGCTGCGCCCGGTCGAAGTCGGGAACACCGACCACAGGTTCATATTTGAAGAAACCAAGGTGACGACGTGGATTTCGTCGAACTTGCGCCAGGACTGACGAGATCCTGATCACCTTCCTAGGTTTGAAAGTAGATCGGCCTGCCGCCGAAGACGGATGCGGAAGCTGTGGGTTGTGAAGGTGTTGCGCAGGATTGGATGTTGGGGTGCCTACTCGTCGAACAGGGTTCGATGTTGGGAATACCCCATTCTTTCGCTGCCCCGGCGGAGTGTCGTCAAGGTCCAGCTTGTATGAGTGGGAGTACTTGCTTCTCTTGCCTCGCCCCGGGCCCGGCTTCTTTACGTCGCCCACATCACTTTCGGCTCTAACATCTTCATCCAGCACCTTTCGATTGCGTTTGCTGATTCCTGAAGTACTTCGGGACATCTTCATAAGATTCTCTTCACTTAGGCGAGCACCGCCTTCATCCCGCTTGAACGGGCTGGCAGGTAGAGGCTGGGGCGTGGGAGTGGGACCAGCAGAGGTAGTACCGAGTCCACTCCCAATACCAGCAAAAACTCGACCGTGTTCAGTCTTGATACCAGCATCTGGTACTGGAGTCTGGGCTTGAGCGCCTTGCACTGCTTGAGGCACAGGCGAGTATCTGCCACGTTTCGATTCATTTGCTAAACCGAGAATGGTTCTGTGTTGTGATAGTTCTTCGCTGCCTTTGCGAACTTGGTCTTCCAGAGGCCCCGACGCGACCGACCCGGCAAATGGGGAGTAGGCTCGGTTAGTTCGCAAGCGATCGCCAAGGACGGAACGATCGCTTAGCGACTGCACAGAGTCTTGCCGCATCATATTTTGCGCCCCGTATATCGGCTCTCCTTGTTGATTTAGGATGCCTGCCAGACGACCCTCGCCGCCATTGAGGTGAGTGCGTCTTATTTCGGGGGAGAGCGATTGAGTAGCAGGCCGTTCATGGGGAACGGACACAGGCAGTGGGGGAGGTGCCGTCTGTGGAAGACGAGACAATGTTGGCAAGCTCGGTGGACGAGTGTCGTAGGCTCCGGTCAGCCCGTTTGAACGTGGAGGGTCGTGACCGCTCATTGGCTGGGCCCCAGCCCGGTCGATCGGCGGAAGGGAGGGAGGTATACTCTCTGGTCTAGCTGGTGGATGTGACGCGGGCGGGAATGGTGGCGAGATGTTGCTCGGCTGCGGCTGACTTTCCGGTCGCTGCAGAATACCTCCAAGACTGGTGCGACGGGCGCGGTCCTCAAATTCATCCTTTGGCATGGCCGTAGGACCGAAAGGAGGTGTATATCTAGGTTCCGGATACGGGTTCATGTTTGACTGACTTGGCCCGGACCGCGGAGGAGGTTCATAGAATGGTCCTGGTCGCTGGGTCATGGTTCCCGAACTTGAGCGATGCGGCCTTGCGCCCAGTGCTGTTCCTGCCATTCTGTCAGGAGTTTTCGATCTTGGCTTGTACGAGTATTCCCCGGGACCCTGTTTGGATGGGTACTGGGGCGGCGACATGACTGCGCCCAGTGACATGGAGGGTCCTGGATGCGAGAGCTGCCCTGAAGGCGGTCTGGACGGCTGGTTATGGCTGCGATATTGCTCGTGAACCGGCTTTTCGGGTTCGGAACCCAACATCGAAGATATCGACATGCTGCTTCCTGGCCTCTTATGGGGGAGTGGTGCTCCGCTGTTCACGGCAATGGCAGCAGAGTTCTCTGGGAAAGGCTGCTGACCAAATCGGGGAGGAGGATAATGCTGCGGAGACGGTGGTAGCATCGTGCGAGGAAGGCCGTACATTGTTTGAGGCTGCTGAGGTTCGGAGTAGCCTGGACAAAGAGGTTAGATAAGGTAACAGCATAGAGACCCTGGTGTGAGAGGGAAAGTGAAATGTGGGAGTGAATGCATGGAGGTATGAGTCGTCGCATGATCACCCACAGCACAACGCGCCCTTGGTCATGGTAGGAGAAATGATCCGAGAGGAGTCCAAGCATACCGGTGAATGAACGAGGAGGACTCGAAGGTCCATTGAAGGCGGGTGAGTGGCCTTGCATTGCCATTGCGGCCGGATTGTGGAATTGAGAGTGTCGTGGTAGAGGTGAAGGATGGTGGAATGCTGGATGGCGATCAACAGGGAGGAGATGCTGGTGTAGCAAATAATGATGCGGAGGCTGCGCAGAATTCGATGTGGAGACTGGCGCGACTGGAGTCGGAGAAAAAGGAACAAGACGTTAGTGATGCATGGAAAGGGTGCCTATGGCCGCAGTAGGAAGCATAGCAACAGTGATGGGTAGTTTACAATGTGGATGCGGAAAAGAGACAGGGTGGAGGATCACGCATCTTTGCGTTGAAGAGAGTAAGGGTGGAAGATGAGAATGAGAGATGAGGATGAGTGTGAGGATGGAGAGAATCATGCGCAAATGTGAATGGAGTGGATGCGTGGATGCGGTGTCGCCAGCGAGTTTGGGGTGGATCTGGGAGCGAAGGTGGAACGCCCAGCATCACAGTATCCGGGAAGGGAGCCAGAAGAACACGCCCCCGACCGCTTTCCGGGGCAAGCAGCAGAAGCAGCAGCAGCAGCAGGCAGCTTCGAGCAGCAGGCACCAAGCAAGGAACCAGCAGCAGACCCTTGGAGCGAGCTAGCTTAGGTACCTAGGTAGGTACCTATACCCATCAGGGAGGGTGGTTCCATGCCCGTACCAAGACCCAGGTATCCGCACCCGCCCTTTCCCCCATCTCCCCCCAAACAGAGGGCTGATCCTGATGGTTGGGCTCGCAGGGTAAGCAAGGTACCTGGTAGGGTCCGAGTAGGGCAGGTCCCGTGGGTACCCAGCTCGTCAGTAGTGGGTGGAGTGGGACGACAAGTGACGGGGGTTGTCATCCAAAGCCAGTCAAATAGGTAAGGATGCTTGTTCGAGAGGTGGAAGGCCGGTCCATCCACCCAAAACAAGGATCCTAGGGCGCCAGATCAGAAAAGGCGCAGCTGCAGGCTGCAGGTGGCCTGCCTACCCTTGGGAAAGAACCTTGGAAGCGTGGAAGCGTGATCGTTTGGCGGCGTCTCCAAGGACACAAGGGGCGTGCCGGGTAGTGGATGCGCCTTCCTCGTTAGCTAAAAGGGCGCCTTGCCCAACCCAAGGAAGGCCACACAAAGTCTATCTTGCCAATGACGTCGCTCTCTTTCCAAGAGTTCTGGGCCCTGAACTAGGGTCCTTGCTCTGGCGCTGCTCCTTTGGGGGTGCGTGGCTTGTCTTTGGAGCTCGACAAAGCGGTGGCCGATGCGGAACGCGGGCACAGGCGCAGGCATAGGCGACATCCTCGCGTCGGAAGACGGTGTAGAACTGATCATCAGTCATTGGGGATTGGTGGTCCAAGTATCCCATAGTGTGTTGGATCATCGTGATCAGTATGCGTCTAGGAAGACTATCCGACATTGATTGATGCGACCGTGCTGATCATCTTGTCCCTTGCTGCCGCTGCTTCTCCTGTTTCTTGCCCGTTTCTGCTGCTCTTACTCGTGGCTGTTTCTGTCGGTTGCATGACATGTCCAGCGTCTGCACGCTGACAAAACTAAAGGGGGGGGGAACTCGCGGGAACGTGCATGGAATGGCGCGCATTGGGTTGGACGAACCCCCGGAGTAAATATATCTCCTCTCTCACTGGTCTGCAGCTTTCGACACCTTGCTCGCTGACAGTCTCACAAAGCACAGCAAAAAAGAATGTTTGCATATTCCCTCAGAAACACACGTACCTGGTCCTGCATCATCGTTCTCATAATCAGCCTGGCTGTCGAATCGGCGGCCTTCTTTTGATACACCCCTTCCCTCGAACCATGTTGATCTCGCTTCTCCGTGGTGCTGACGCTGAGGTTGTGGTTGCAACAGTCGCTTGTCGTCGAGTCCAACAGTGTCTGGTGTCAAAGGCGTAGTATTTTGGTCGTGAAAGGGAGGGTCACCTCCATTTCCGGTCCTCGTCTGGCTAGAATGTGCTGTTCCCAAAAACCTGGCTCGTTGGCCTCGGCTGGAATCCATCTCGTTCCCTTGCGTCAAGCTGTGCTGATTGTGAGATCGTCAAGTAGGCCGAGATCGCCAGGGTCTGATTCGTTCCGTATGGCGCGGGTCCGGCAATGTAGATCTCAAGCCTGAATGGTGTTGCTTTTTGTTGTTTCGCTGGCATGCTACCTGAAAGCTATGCACTCTTCACTGAATCTGTGTGCCTGCGATAATGGCTTTCTTTCTTTCTGTCCACGGACCTCGGCCAGTGCCTTGGGCTCAAGCAGCGCTGCTGACAACCGATTGGGTCCTATGCATTGGCGGTGAAAGAGGGCCTTGATGGGATGGATAGGTTTACTGTTCAAACAGAGCGCGATCCTCTATCTCTCCGCTCTCTGCAGGAAAAGGTCGAAGGGGGCTGTAGACAACAGAACAGGAAAGCAGTCAATGGTAATTAATATCAAGGCATGGGAAAAGGCCATTTAGCAAAGTCTGGAGAAGAAGCTTTCTTTCTTTTTCCACTACTGCGGCTCGGCATGCGACAAGCTGCGTAGAGTTGCGTGAACCTTGCATGATGCATGGACTTCGGAACAGTCGTTTGGTGCTCTTTTCAACTGCCTGCTGAATCGAGATGGCATTGATGGCGACAGAGACACCTCTGAACGGGTTTTTGGTTGCTTCGACCCATAAAGCAAATGGCTGATGCTCGAAATCCCAGATGTTCCGCCCGCTCCTTCACCGTCTCTATTTCTCGATTCCCTTCTCCCAGCTCGCCGTTATACATTGTTTGCTCCTTTTCCCTGTGCCCTGTTTGAATCTAGGTTTCGACTACCGACGTACGGTTCGACCATGTCTCCGGCACGGAACACGCTCCCTGAGTAGCTCACCACGCTATCGATTGGATGCAGATATGGCGCATTTCTTACTTCGGAATCACATAGTATTCATCATGGAGTTTACCTAGTAGCACGAGGAGGATGGCTGGGTCTTGTAGCTTGCATTGCCGGTCTAGAACCCCTAGATGTTGCAGCACACATGCCACACAGCCCGGCACTTATATCCAGACAGCCTTATCCAAGAGCAGCATCACAATACTCGTCCGCCAGAAAGTGTAAAATGCTGCCTTACCTACCCATATCCCTCCTGACTTGCGTCACAGCTTCTTACAATAGTCTTTCCCATGTTGGACCTGCCAGTTACATAACCACACTTCAAACGCCATGCCGATAAACCCGGCAATGCAAATTCCGCCCGAGTCGCTCACTGTGGTCGCCGACAGGGAAAATTCCCGGTCCTCCTTAGGTACCGTTTCACTGATCTCGGCAAATGTGTTGACATAGACGAGGCCGCCCAGTAAACCTTCCCAGAAGATGATTGCAAAGACAATATACACATTGGGAATAAAGCCGAAGAGTGCTTGTAGCGTCAAGACCACCAGATTGACCACTTGCAAAAACGACGGCAGATATAAATTGTGAACGCGGAGAAACGGCGTCGAGGACCGGGAAAGGAAGACCCCTAATTGGTATATCGCATTGTAGGTCGGGTAGAAGGCCCGGAAGTGTTTGAAAGGGCTCCTCTCTAGCGGAAACAGAAGGGTCGGGGCGACGCCTTGGTTAATGGTATATTCGGCCACGTATACCATGAGCAACGGTAGCATGTAGGGGAAGAACAGCCCTTTGGCTCGGGTCAAGTTGTATCTGAACAACGACCAAGTGGACATCCTGGAGTTCATGGGAAAGGGCGGCTTGACCGCGTCTGGAGACGAAAGTAGTCCTTCTCTTTGCTCTTGATCGACGCTGTCGTCATCCCGAAGGAGTGCATTGTCGCCGTGATGTCTGTGGGAATGTGATCGCAAAGGCTCCATGGGAAGGACAAGGAAGAAGCTGACCAGCATAATGGCCGGGAGGCAGGCAGAAGCCAGTAATGTTGTGCCGACGCTGAGGCCCAGTGTTGTGGTCGCGAGTGCGTATGCTCCGGCTCCTATCAACCCAGCACCCCCAGTGCCACTCCCCCATGCTGCGAGACTGAAAGGACCGTAGTAATGAACCAGGCCCAGAAAGCTCAATTCTCCTCCACCACTGCTCAGCGACGCTAGAACCACACCGGCCAACTTGGTAGTGATTGTTCCGCCATCTGTGTAAGCGGGTGTGAGGGCGATCAACAGCATGCCAACCACGGACAGCACCACGAAGACCAGGATTCGAATCGAGTAGGGAACGACATGGATGAAGTACGGGGCGCACAGCTTGACCCCGAACGACGGGATCACATCGGCGAGCAGGACAACTCCTTTGGGGATATCGGGACCGACAAGGTCAAGCGCAGCCGAGAGGATTATCACGTAGAGGACATTGTTGATCAACCCTGCCCACCTTCAGTCTCGGTATACAGCCGTTCCACTCCCTGTGCCAGAGACTTACCAAAGAGCCAGAAAGCGACACAGACTCGAGGGTCAGCGCCGCTGAAGCTTTGCTTGAGCCGCTCAATGAAGATAGCCCAGGACGACGAAGGGGAGCCTGGAAGAGGCAGGGCCATCTAGTCTGGGTCTCAAGACTATCTCGCCATAGACATACCTAGATAGACCTCGATACAGGAGGGAACAAGGAAATGATACAAGTGGTGACTTACAACAACGCTCGAGATAAGATGCGGTCGTCTACAGCAGCTCATATCGAGGCTGGTGACATGTGCCGCACACGCGACTCCCACCATCTAGGCAAGTATCACATGCCGCTTTACATGATCATGCGGGACTAAGTGGATATGACATCCCATTCTCTCCTGCCACTTTAACCTCTCCCAGAGCCGGCAGTCCCGCTCGATTTAATTTCCGCTCAGCCTCGAGCAGTGGCATCGATGGCGGAGAATCTCGATTAAGGAGAAATGGACCAAACACATCGTCCAGCAAATATCTCAAGAAGCCTGCTACCAATGGTCATTAACATCAGGGGCACCACCAAACTACCATATCCTTCACTGACATAAACTGCTTGTATATCATGAGCCATTTGACTTGACGGCATTTGACTTCCCCAGAGCGGCGGCTGCAGCCTCACGACCCGCGATACGGCCAAAGACAGCACCTTTGGTCAACCCGGCTCCGCCAGGGTAATTGTGATAGAAGAGCCCGCCAGCGATCTCTCCTGTGGCCCACAGATTAGGCATGGGTCGTCCCTCGTTGTTCAAGACACGGGCTTCAGTGTCTGTCGCGATTCCGCCATATGTGAAGGTGATGCCACAGGCCACCGCGTAGGCGACAAAGGGGGCCTTCTCGATCCTCGTGGCCCAGTTCGTCTTGGGAAATGGCAGGTTCGCCGCGGGGGACGTGCGCAGCCCGTCCAGCTTCGTGGGGTTGAATTGGCTGACGTCGTCGGAGCAGGCGGCGTTGAAGGTCTCGATGGTCCTGAGCAGGCCCGCGGCGTTGATACCCATCTTCTCCCCGAGCTCCTGGATCGTGTCTGCGTAAATGGGCGTCGCGGTCTGGTATCGCTTAGGCAGGAGGTGGACGGTCTGCTGGTCGAAGATCTGGAACGCCCGGGCCTCGGGCTGGTCGCCGATCTTCTTGCCCGTTTTTGCGTACGTCTTGCCGAAGTCGTCTTCCCCTTCGTCGAAGAATCGCTCGCCCTTGATGTTGACAGTGATGCCGTAGGGGTACGCGTACCGTGGCATGTGCACGGAGATGTTGATATCGCCGGTCAGAGGGCCGTTGGCGTCCTGCGGCGAGGCGTGGGCTGCGCCCCAATGGCCAACGGGACGGGCGCCCGCGGCGATGGCGCGGTTGAGCATCGTGCCCATGTTGTATTTGGTCCCACGCACGAGAACAAGGTCCCAGCCTTCGCCGAGATATTGGCGGCGCATGGCTGGGTTGGATGAGAAGCCACCACTAGCAAGCACCACCTTCCCATACACGTCTGTGAAGCCATCGCGGTGTCGGACCTTGACGCCGTGGACTGTGTCTCCGGTAGCGATGAGGTCGTGAGCCGGGCTGTCGTACCAGACAGTCATTCTGCCGCCAGGGACGAGACTTTCGGCCGCCGCCCACCATGCATCCGTCAGGCCGACACCACCGCCAACCGCCATGACCACAGCGCCGGAGTTCATACTGATCTTCTCGCCTCTAGCGGCCAGGTTCTCGACGTTGTGATACTTCCGAATCATCAACTCCCACTTGTGGCCCTTGGACTTCATCCACTCCATGGTCTCCCACCCCTGCTTGACGAGCACCTCGGCAACGTCCTTGTCCAGACGGCCGTGCGAAGTCTTGGAGAGATCGTGGAAGAACATCTCGTCCGTGTAAGGGTCAATGGTGCAGTACTTGGTGTCGTCTAGGGCCTCTTCACAAAGCAAGCTCTTGACATGCTCCATACCCTTGTGTGAAGCCCGAAACACTGTGCCTGCAAAGCGACTGTTTCCCGCGCGGTCCTCCTTTGGAGCGGCTTCTAGAACAAGCACACGAGCACCATTGTCGTGTGCTGAAATTGCTGCTGCAAGGGCAGCGTTGCCGCCTCCCACGACGATAACATCGAAGGTCTGCGAAGTACCTTGGATGTCTGCCGGTGTCACGCTTCCCATGATGATAATATCAAGATATAGTGCTCGCTAGCAGACTGTTCAAGGACTGTTCGATTTTATAGTAATTTGGAAATTGTTGAAGCTTGGCTGGGTTATGCTTCTCGACTCTTGTAGGAGAGAGAAGCCTGGGGCCGTTTCTATGGAAATCCGGCCGAATGTTATCTGTTTTCTCAGTTTTTGTATATGGCTCAATCACAATGCCATTCGGTCCGCTCTGCCTCCGAAGTAAATGGGTACAATGCTCATGCCACGCTCAAGGTGGAACCGACGACAGTTGAATTGAGCGACAAACACCAGAAAAGTAGAGCAGCATTAGCGCGTCCTGGCCTGAAGATATGCACCAACTGGCTCAGACCCTGACCTCGACTCCTGCATTGTGGCCGTTCTTTAGTAGCCTTCCCTTGTTCAGACCAGGCGGGACAGTGAGCGGGGTATTGAGTTGGAGAATACATGTAGTGTCTGATGATGCCGAGTGCTAGTGAGGCTCCGGCCGCAGCGCGGCCTGGTTCAACGTTGTGTTCCCAGACCATCTGCAGCCGGGATTCGGTCCATTGCCGGAATGTATAGAGCGAAGATGTCCTGATTGGCGGTGGCACAACATGGTCTTGCAAGCAGAAGAGGGGACTAACAGACTCTGGCCCTGCCTGATATCAAGTTCTAATCCCTGCTACTATTCGTTGAAGGACGGAATGAACATGTTCCCACCAATTTGCCGATCAGAACCGAATCACTTCGATGTGGTTAGTCCAAAGCACCGCTTCCAATATTATTATATAAAGTATACTCTGAATCCACAAGAGTAAGCTGCAGGTGATTTACCTCCCAGGTGACCCCCTGGTCCGTACTGGGATAACGTAGAGGATTGTCCGCCTCGCTCAAAGAAGATACGATCTGTTGAAGGCGTGGTACAGCAACAGGTGGTTACCATCATTCAGAAGGCTCTTATCCGCGCTGGGTGTTGAAAATGTAATCCGAGTGCAGTTCCATGCCGTCAAAGTCCGCAGCCATCAAAGTCGAGATGCCGCTTTGATTCCAAAGCCAGTGATTATTACTCTCGTCAACTAATCCCATGTCCATCTCTCCAATCTCTTCGAGCCATGTTGATGTAGAACGGGATAGTACCGGGGCATTGGAAACTTTGGGACCCGTGTCAATCTGGGCAATGAGAATGTCTGGCTCCAGGTTCTGTTCCCTGGCTCTCTCAGTGCAAGTGGAATGTGTGTTGCCACCTGCAGCAATACCCAATGAGGCAGACGACGGAGAGCCACTATTCTCACCTTGGGAGGCAGTGACTGTTCTACCACAAGGCTGCCCTCCAAAGTTCTCTCTCCATTTCCAAAGAGTGTCATGAAGCAGGTTGGCTCCGAGGCGACTTCTCACCTTGAGCTCTGGTTGCACGGCAGTCGGTTCCGTTGTGGCTCCCCAAAGCTGTGCAAGAATCTTGGAATATCTTCCTAGTAGATCATTGTCTTCAATCGAACACTTCTTGACCAGGCATACACCGAGGTTGAATGCTTTGCGTCCCTCGTCCATGTCAATGAATTGCGAATAGTAGCCACTCCGAAGGATTTTCAAGGCAAAGCTACAAGCAGCACAAAGCCCATGGATGAATATTTCCGGACCACAGGTTAACAGCTTAGAATGTACTTCCCTCTCCTGGCACTTCCAAATGACGTTGAGTGAAGCACGATATGCTTTGAGGATAAACTCTTTGTGTGCACCCTGGTGAGAGCGCTCTAAGAGATAGTAACTTCGGAGCTGAAGTGTGGCATAGAGAAACAGGATTTCATTCGTTTCTGCGTTCAAGTTAGGACTCTGGTAAAGACAGCGCCCTGAGTGGGAATATAACTCACTGGACAAATCTGGCCCAAGAGTGAATCGGAGGTCTTTCAATTCAGACTCATATAGAGGCAGTAGTACTCCGCTATCATTCTCTCCCAGACTGGCCATTCGTCTTTCCCGGCTGGCCATTACTCTGTGAAAGCGATTGCAAAATCTTGTAATGAGGACCATATGGTAAATTTCCAGAGGGAGATTTCCGTGATTGTCGGAAGTGCAGATCATATCAAGGGTAGCGTCAGTGACAAATAAAGGGAACTGTCCAACGTAAGATGTTATGCTAGAGCCACCGTCAGATGGATAACCGACCAGCAAAAGGGGCGGGTAGGTACTTTTCTGCCGCTATAAAGCATGCTGACCATACCAGCAGGGCGTCTCTCAGTTCTTCCGGACTAAACCGAAATTTGACGCGTGAAAAATCCTGGGCAAAATATGGTTTGTGCAGTCCAATATGCATTGCGCCGGTCTTTGCAACTGAGGCTAGTATGAACGAGGGGTCTGTACTCATGGAAGAGGTTGGGAATGGCCAGAGACAGATCAAGATCATCGCCTTCAGCTCCAGCCGAGAATGCGGAACTTTGGGCACTGTCTGCCACAGGAGGTCTTGTACAGCTTGTGAAAGGCTTGTGAGCATGGTGGGTTCCTCCTCGTCTCTTCTGGAAGCGATGGCAATGATAGTCCAGAAAAGCAGCGGGGACTTGGCATGATAATCATCGGGTGAGCCACTTCCCTCGACGAAGGGCAAAAATGGGTGGTATTGAGAGAAGAATCTATGTTCACCAAATGAGCGACTGTGATGTTTATCCGGGCCGTACTCACGTCTGAAACAGCCTGTCTATCTGAGAAGGCGTGACAGTCACGTTGCCGAGTGTTTGCGGATTAACTGCTGGAAGCAGTTGTACTTGAGCAGCAACTTGTGGTTCACGAAGTTGTGAGTCTGTCAAGGCAGGTGAAGGATGCGAAACTACAGGACCAATTCGAGGTCCATTGATGGCTAGATCTGGACAATTTGCTTCTTCACGGTTCGGTGGCGAGTAGGAGTCATCCAGGGTCGGCGGTGAAATATTGACGACGTGCGGTTGTGCTGCTCGCAGTCGTTCGACTTCTTCCGCGAGTTCTCGCAGCTTCCTGGTCTCGTCAGAAATGCCGCGGCAGGCGTCACCCAGGACCGGCATCCCCACTCACACTCGTTTATTGTGTCTCTTATAATCATTGTCATAGACACAGGACAAGCCAAGATCTCGACATCGGATACATACTTGCTGAAGACCTATGCTCTCGCATCGTAACTGGAGACCATGTCAATCCTTGGGACATGACATCGAAGTTTCGGGGTATAGATTGAAGCTCTGCGAAGGCTAGGCGGAAACCACTTACTTTCCCTTGTCGGCATTCTCTACAAGCAACCCGCTTGCGCTTTCCAGGTGCCGAACACCCTTGCGCAGGGGCTGGTTCATTGCTGCTACGTGGTGCTAGGGGCACTAGCGAGCGAGTGCTAGTCGCAAATGGCGAATTGGGATTGCCCGGCTGAATGTCCATTCTCAGATGCTCATTATTCGATCCTCCTCTGGTAGTATCGTGGAACAGCTGAAGATGTGGAGGAAGGTGAAGTGTCTCGTCCAGGTAAGGTTCCGTTGAGACTAAACTGGACTAGCGGACAAAACAGTCAGCATCTGAGAGTCCGATACAAGCCTCAAGTTGTGGGATGGAGAGAGAAGAATGAAAATGAAAGCAACCACAAGTGGGTGGCAGGAGGGAGGGAGTCGGGGTGGCCGATGCGGAGGGTGGAGAGTCCCCGGATTGCCAAGACCTGAGGGTGGGTGGAGCCAATTATATGCAATGCCGCAAACCGGACCGATCAGTATCTGCATGTTGAGGAGAACTTCTTCAAATACCATTGATACATCTCCACGGCCAGCTTGCCGACTACCCCCAATCTGCTACAGGTTCGTCCCAGATAGGGAAAGGTAAATAGCGGGACAACATGGTGGTGAATTCTGGGGAACCTTCAGACTCGGGGATCCGCTTGATATCGGACATGCCTCGCGACCCCAGCCTGGGCAGCTTGTGGGCGGGCGACTATAAAATTCCTTTTCAGGCAGCGATTGGACCACATACGCATGGTCTTCCACCTCTCTTCATCCTGTCTCTCTTCTCTCCTCTCCAGTTCCAAGACTCAGCAGCTACTTGCATCTATCTGCTGACAAGGAGAATTAAATCACCGACCATTGTCCGGTATGGAAGCCTCAACCATTTCCGATCTTTCCAAGCCTGGGCATGGTACGAACATTGAAATGCTCGAGGATGCTGCAAACCACGATATTCCTCCTACCAAAAATGAAAATGCCTTCGCCGGCCACGCGCAACGCAGCCTGAGCAAGCGCCCGGAGGAGAAACGTCTCGTCCTCAAGCTGGATCTGATCCTTATGCCCTTGTGTTGCCTCATCTACTTTGTCGCTTACCTCGACCGAAATTGTATTGGCAATGCCCGTTTGATGGGCTTGGAAGAGGACTTGTCTCTCACTCCGAATCAGTTCTATAATTGTCTGGTGGGTCACCCTCAATCCCTTTTTTCCCCCCCAATGCACGTAAACCCAGCCTGGCGTGACTAACGATTCTTTCTTGATTCTCGAAACAACAGACCATGTTCTTTGTTGGCTACATCATTTGCATGTTTCCAGGAAACGTCGGACTCAGATTGCCCTGGATGACAGCACCAGCGTTGATTGGGGGCGGGGTGCTAACTTTTGGCGCCTTCTGTGCCGGTATTGGCGGTGCCCAGAACTATGCAACTGTCCTGGTCCTCCGGGTTCTCATCGGGTGTGCGCAAGCATTCATTCAGGGCTTGGGCCTGTATCTGTCTTTCTGGTACAAGAGAAATGAATTGGCTTCTCGAAGTGGTGAGTCCACAACATCAACCCTTCTTTGGCCTACAGCTGACAAAGTTGAAATCAGCTGTCTTCTACTCGGCTGCCACCATTGCAGGCGCTTTCTCCGGCCTTATATCGTACGGGATCTCGAAGCATCTCACACTGGAGCGAACCGGACTCTCCCCATGGCGGTGGCTCTTCATCGTCGAAGGGGTCTTGGCCGTGGCTGTGGGCATCACTGTTATCCTGGTCATCCCCAACTTTGCGGATCGGATGAAGAAGTTGAAAACCTGGCTGCTGAGCGAGGCCGAGCTCAAATTGGCTATCGAGAGATCGAAGGACTATAACACCACGGGAGCCAACATCGACATGTGGCAGGTCTGGGCATGTTTCAAGGACCCTAAATCGTGGATGTTCGCCATCATCAACGCCGGCGTGGCACTTGGTATTGCATCCGTGGGCAATTTCCTCCCCACCTTTGTCAAGTCTTTCGGATACTCTGCAGGTACGGCCCAGTCCCTCTCTTCCTTTTTTTTTCACAAAACACTCGCTTGTCTCCTATCAAACCCAGCTGCTAATATCTACCTGTCCAGACAAGGCACAACTTTTCACCGTCATCCCATACGCCTGTGCGGCCGTGTTCCTGATCGCCATCTGTTTCCTTTCTGACAGGTACAACATGAAGGGTCCCTTACTTGTCGTCACCCTATCGGTCTCGGTGATCGGCTACATCATCTTGTTATCCGTGCGCTCCGTGCCCGTCCTGGTATTCGCCACCTGCCTAATCACCGCGGGCTTATACCCGAGCGTGATCCTTTTGACATCGTGGTTGGGCATCAACACCTGCGGCTTCACCAAGCGCGGCACCACCTGGGCCATGGCCGAGGTCTTTGGGCAGTGCTTCTCCATCATGGGCACGCACGTCTACGACAGCCCCCCTCGCTTCATCAAGGGCCATGCGATCGTCTTGGGCTTCCTGTCTATGGCTATCATCATGACCGTATCAGCTGTCTTCTGGATGAAACACGAGAACAAGCGCAAGGATGCTGAGATCGAGCGATACAGAGACTCTGGAGAGCATCATCCGCACTTCGAACGCAGCCTGGAGGACGAGGGTGATCAGCACATTGCCTTCCGGTATATTCTTTAAATATCTTGCGGTGTAGGTAACCTGCGTGATAAGCCGCGGGAGCACAAGCAGCAGGCTGTTGATTCATCGAGAGGGCCTTCTCCATTCAGTTTGGACTCCACTACATACAATACAACCTCAGTAACGTCCTGAGTTAGGAAATGTAATTTCAAGACCCACATATATGAATATAACTGTGTGTTCTGCTGAAGCCCAGACGCGAAGAAGCACTGAGGGCCAAACCCAGCCATTTTGTACACGAGTTCAATGCTACTAAATCAACTCCCTGTCTGCCTGCCTGACAAACGTTCCAGGGAAATCATTTGACCGCAAGACCCATGAGCAAGCTCACTCAGCGGATGGAGGATCAGGGCCCGCCTGGTGATATAGATATATCCTGCACACGAAAACAAGATGACTAGAAGACTCGCTCCATGAGAATCGGCACTGGTAGAGCAGATTTTGGAAAGCTACACATAGGCGAAGTCTGCATTCTGTAGCAACGAATAGATCGTAGTCTTCTGGAGCGACAACGCAAGAGGTATAAAGTTGCCCAGGGACTTTCCTCATTATAGGGACTTCTTACTCAGATTTTTCCTTTTAATCTACGAGAGAGACGGAGTAAATGAGCTCCATGTTTGTAATCTATGGGAAAGACAGAATAAATAGCTCCTTTCCCTGTGAGAACACAGCTTCAAGACAGAGCTCGTCACTCCCGAGTCTCGAACTCAAACGTCAATGGGACATTTGACCGGATCCTCGAGCAGGGCAGCGAGCTGCCTCACATCGGGGACTTTTTCCAGCGACAGCACACAGCGCTCGATGGCGTCGCGTCTGTCACCGTCCAAGATCTCGGCGGTCAACTCGCGCCACTTGGCCACAATATCCTCGTTGCTGACGGGCGGCTTGATACCACGGGGCGCGTCGACGCGGCCCTGGACCTCGGTGCCGTCGGCGAACGTGACGGTGACGACCGTCTGCCAGCGAGACATTTTGGTCGCGTCAAAGGCCTTGTTGTGCGTCGGCGTGGTTTTGGCCATCAACTCACGGAGTAAAGGTCGGTTCAGGCGCGAAGCCCCGAACTGTACCATTGAGACTTGGCGGTCGACCAGCTGCGCCGCAGCAGCGTATTGGATCGACATCTGTGCCGCGACGCTCGAGAGAGGCCGCGTGGGATCCGCGATCCAGCCGCCGTGCTCGAACGCGGGCCGCGCGTGCTGCGTCACGATCTTCGTGATGTTGGCGAGATTGTCCGGCGCAAAGAGCTCCGGGTGCGAGCGCTGTAGGCCGGCGACCGTGTCGATCGTCCCGTGCAAGCCAGCCATCGCGGCGTGCAGTTTCACGCGGATTCCCTCGAGCTCCCAGCGCGAGCCGAGGCCGCTGACGAGCTCATCGGGCAGAGACTTTGGCTCGAAGTTCGCCCCTTGGCTGAAGCAGCTCAGGAAGCCGCCGTAGGGGACCTCGTAGACCTCCTGGATCCCCGTGTAGTTTTCTTTGGCCATGAACGCGGCAAACAGGCCGTTCCGTGCTGCGAAGCCGTGCTGCATTCGTTTCGCCATGGAGCCAAACTGTGCGGACATGAGCCCGCCTGTTTGTGTGCACGCCATGCCCAATGCCCATTCAGTCTGCGCACCTGACAGTCCAAGTAGTGAAGCGACTGCGGCCGCCGTTGCCGAGGGGCCTTGAATGGCGCCGCTATGCCACCCTCGGCTCAGTAAGTCTGCACCATGTAGTGCCATCCCAACCCGTGGTCCGACTTCACACCCGACGATATATGCGTGCAGGAAATTGGCACCCGTTGAGAGCGAAGTTTCCGCAGCGCTAGTGGCATCAGAGCTGGAGGGAGCGGCCTCCACCGAAGCCAGCAATGCCGGTATCAGCAAGGAGTTTGAGTGTAAAGGCGCCGTGGAGTGATAGTCGTCGAGCTCGAAGCCCTGAATAAAGGTACTGTTGAGGATGGTTGCCGCCACAGGGGGCAGCTTCTTCTCCCTTCCCCAGCCAATGAGGGTGCATTGGCCGGCACTCGAGGGTTCCATGGTGCACACGCCTCTCACAGCAGTTTCAGACCACGGAAGGTGCGCCGCGACCAGAGCACAGGCGAAGCCGTCCAAGATCAGGTATTTGGCGCGCTCGATGACATGGTCGGGAACCTCAGACAGTTTGGTGCTCGTGATCCAGGTGCAGAGCTGACCTGTAATTCCGTCCGGCTTACTAGGCGTCGTTGGGTTAGAGGACGGAGATATTTCAGTGCTTGGAGACATAGTTCTTCTTTGATTGCTATCGATGCTTGCTGGACTGACGTTACCAAAGAGCGTGATGCACTGTCAAGATGGAACGGAACGTCTTGTATCAACTAAGACAGGCTCACCTTTGCTGGGATGCGAAGGTTTTCTCATAAATTTCCTGGCGACCAGAATCGCGTTTAAAAGGGGTTTGGCCTCGTCGGAAGAGATGAATGGCTTCTGGGGAGCTTTCTGATTTGATGTTCCACTTGCAGAACGGTGACCACCGGTCCACAAGCAGTATGCCCGTCGGACTGTCTTGTCAGTCGAACTCCTGTTAGAACCATAATTACCCCAGAACACTCAAAAGCTTCGACCTTGGGAGTTGCATCTTTGCAGGGGAGTCCATAGCAAGACGGCCCCTCGCACAGCTGAATGCGACTCGTCGTTGTTGTGGCAGGGCGAGAGGGTTTAGTGATGATTCAACTGTGATTGGTTTCATCGCATCGGCGCCGCACGCGGCCCGGGTGCGGATTGCTTGCTAACTGGTCATCTAGGCCGATGTTCGGCCTCGATATAACCGCCATCGGACGTGGTTCCCTGACAATCATAATGTGCATATCATGCCATTCACACACGTCGCTGGAGTCGAGACCTCAAGGAGCGCTAAAGAGCTTGGGAATAAACTCAGAATGCTAGACTAAAACAACAACTCCGATGGTGCGCTGGACCGGTCAACGATCGAGCAGGAAGAGGAATCCAATAGGTGGAGCAGTATATGTGCATCCGATCCGAGGTATCTAGAGCAGATAACTAACCTTCTGTTGTATGAGCAATGGGGATATGATCATGTACTTGTAGGAATCGAAGTCTATCATCGTGCCCAGTTCTCCTGAGCGAGGCCAAACGGGTGACGGTGGGAGTGGGAATCGATGACTGCGAATAGATATCGGGCTTCGAAACATCTTTCCGCAAGTAAGTTGGGCACATCACTGATAGAGCGTCTCTTGAACTTTAGCCAATGACGCCGAGTCAGATTTGGGAAACGAGTTTTTCCAAAGGCATCGCTGCTACATGCTCAGCCTATGTTATGACAAGGCCCTTAGTTTTTTCCATGGCGGGATCCACTCGCGATTTCCAGTGGGATGATCGTCTCCGAGAGCCTACTACAGTACAACATGTATTCTCAGTATTGGACCACGAGCGTGCCATGGTCCAATTCATCTGTTCTTCCCTTTTACCATAGAGCCTCAGGCTCCAGGCTTAGTGGCATATTTTCTAATAGAATAGTGACCGCGTGAGAGGATCAGGCTGGTGGTTAGGGGATCCTCGGATGTCATAATCCACTGCTTCCCCGGAAATCTGCAGCAAATGAGGTTTCCCTACCATTAGCTGAATGCTTGTACAGCCTATACTGTTACCGAAGCGATGCTGGATAAACGGCCTTTGAAGAATCATGATTTTACATTTTTGCCTGAAAATGCCCAGGCGTTCTTCCAATCCTTCAGGAGTCGACGTCTTTCTCCGCCTACGGTTGACTACTTCCTGAAAATAAGAGGACATTATTTGGGTCACATACCTTGAATTTGCTACGCGATCGGCAACGAAAATATGGCAAACATCACCACTGAGGTGCTCATCGTTGGGACTGGGCCGGGAGGAGCGTCTCTGGCAGCGTTTTTGTCGGAGTACGATATTCCGACCACAATCATCGAGAAACAACCGTTCACCACTCCGGAGCCCCGAGCTCATGTCACAAACATGGGAGCGATGGAGTGCATCAGAGACATGGGACTCGAAACCGCCGTCAAGGAGCAAGGTGCCCACTATTCCGCCATGCCATTACGAAGGTATTGCCACACGATCACGGGCCAAGAATACTTTCGCAACTACATTTCAAACCAAGTCCTCAGTATGAAAGGAGAGTACGAAAGCGCCAGCCCCTGCACACATGTGGATATTCCTCAAAACCTGCTGGAGCCGATCCTGATCAAGAAGGCCTGCCAAAGCGACGTCAAGGTTCGCTGGAACACGGAATTTATCTCGTACGAGGAGAATGCCTCTGGCATCCTTTCCACCTGCCGGGACCTGGAGACTGGACTGAGACTCTACATTCAATCTCGTTTCCTCTGTGGAGCCGATGGTGGACGATCAACCCTGGTGAAGCAGATTGGCGCCAAATTGGCGGGCCCACGCGAAGTGCCTGACACTTGCTACAGTATCTCTTTCAAGGCGAACATGGAACACATTTTCGCCCGTTGCCCCGTGTTCATGCACTTTATTGTCCAACCTGACAAAGAGTTCAATCCTAACTGCATGGTGGCAAGTTTGAGAGTCATTCGACCTTTCAGTCAATTCCAGCTGATCGCGATTCCCACTCCCGGTGCTCCGCCGCTGAAGAAGCTCGACGATGTGAACTGGGTGGAGGTGATCTCCAGATTGATTGGCGATCCCAGTGTTAAAATAGACATCTTCACCAAGACAAAGTGGCGTGTCAATGAAGTCGTCGCAGACTTTTATTCCAAAGGAAACGTGTGAGTTCTGCATGAACCGCGAGCCTCTTTGAGGCAGCTTTCTTCTTCATTACTCAACCAAGAAGGGTCTTTTCCTAACCATTGCATATAGATTTTGTCTAGGGGACGCGGTCCACCGGCACCCTCCCGCAAATGGGCTGGGGTCAAACACCTCGATCCAGGATGCGTACAATCTCGCGTGGAAGATTGCATACGTCAGCAAAGGGATTGCTTCTCACGAACTGCTGGCAACGTACAATGCGGAACGTCAGCCTGTCGGTGCACAAGTGGTGAAACGAGCAAACGATTCGTGGCGAATTGACCAGGAAGTGTTTGAAGCTATGGGAATGCTCGAGCCGACCGTCGAGAAACGGGCTGAAATCCTAGCAGAGATGGAATCAGACAGTAAAAGGGGGAGAGCTCTAAGGGGGAAACTAGACAAAGCATTCCACAACACGGCCTGGCAATTCCAGACGTGCGGGGCTGAGATGAACCAGTTTTACCGCAGCAGGGCCATCTATATTGACGATGAGCCAGCAGGCGCCAGAGAGCCGAAGCACCCTGTCGACAGAGATCTGTATTATGCGCGAGGGACGATCCCTGGTATGCGGCTCCCTCACGCTTGGTTGGCTACTAAGTCTTTAGATCATGATCTGTCGACCCAAGATCTGGCTGGCCATGGTTGTTTCGCCCTGTTTACGGGAATCGGAGGTAAAAGCGTCTGGACCAAGGCTGCAACAGATGCCTCAGAGAAATTTCCCGGTCTCAAAATCAGGGTGTTCGGCATTGGATGGGGGCAAGACTATCTGGACGCAATGCATACCTGGCGGGACGTGCGAGGGGTGGAGGAAGATGGTGCTGTTTTGGTCCGACCAGATCGGTTTGTTTGCTGGAGAACATCAAAGAGTATGAACGTCCAAGCTGCCGCCGAGAAGCTTGAGCGAGTCATAAAAGCTGTTTTGTGCTGGTGACTGTGAGATATGGAAGCGGAAAGTCTCATGTAACCCAATTTGAACACCTGTGGTGTCGATAAAGTCTCAACGGAAAGAGCTTCACGGTCGGAAATTCGAAGGAATTTAGAAGGCAGCTTGTTCAAGGATAGCCTTTGAATGCCATGAACAGAAGGAAATCTTGGACCGCTGACTGACCGTTGGATTGGCCAGCTGCCACGAGGGTGCCTAGTTCTGTCAGGCAGGCCTTGAGGCTGTTGGACTTTTTTTCAGGCCATTGGACGTGGCCCGGGTACCAATGACATTAGTCCACATCGTTGCTCGCCTCTAATCCCCGGATGCAAAAGACGCCACCAAATATCAATGGTGCTTTGTCGGTCGGGAGCACGGAATGCTCTCGAACGAAACAAGTCCTGCAAGGTCTGAAGCTAAGACCTGTTCATTTATCTGCTGCTCAGCTGGACAATCATGCAGGCCTCCGTGAAATGCTCTCAAACTACTAATTGTAAGAGAATTTTTGAAGAATGGATATAGGAGAGTCGGCCTCTGGCTGCTAGAGACTATGTGTTACTTCGTCTCAAGGAAGTACTTCCACTAGCTACGGAAGCATTATTGGCGCAGGCGTTCGGGAACTGTCCTTACAACCCCCTCCGTATGGTGAATAGAGAGGAAATAAATGAGCCGATTATACCCTCATCATCCACAGCTCTATTTAACGCAGACACTGGACTCTTTAGCAGACGACGAGACGGGATGAATTGTACAAGGTATGAGAATTCAACCGGTGGATTCCAATTCCGCAAGCTCTGCGTCGAGCTCTTTAACGAGCTGAGGAACGTCCAGCTTCTCCGACAACGGGTTCTGATTCCATTGCGCCACTTCATGTGCGATGGTGTCGATGGTCTCCAACAGTGCTGGCGCGATTCCAAGTTGCATGGATGCTTTACCATGGCTACGCGCCTGTCGTAGTGCCCCCAAGGCAATGATCGCAGAAGTAACGACGATCTCGCACTCTTTCAGGGGCAGAGTGTTGCACGCACCCATCGCATAGCCGAAAATCGCCGTTGTACCGAGATACGCTGCGGCGGCGGCAATTAACCAAGTCAGTTTTGTTGCTTTTTGCTCGTTTGCCGGGGCTCAAGACGTTTCTTTACCTAGATCTGGCAGGTATTGAGCGACCATCTGAGCGACTTCTGGGTTCCCAACACCGCGATAGACGCGTTTCAGCGTCGCATTGCCGAGTTCCCCGTAATCGGCCTCTTGGAATCCGGCTCTGAATCATGCCAATGTTTATTATCTCTTCCTTTCCACAAATGGGGGTGATGCAGACCTTGGTTTCAGTGGCACTTCGGCGATATTGCGCTTCTTGAGCTGCGCAATCAATCCGAAATTCGCTGGCATGGTATTCGGGAGTCCCACGAATCCCAGGGCCACAGTGACGGATTCACGCACCACTGAGAATAGTCCCAGTACACGCTCTTCACCTTCGGCCTTGAGCGCGTCATCAAATAGCGGCCCGGCAGCATCACCACGTCGCTGGGCGCAGAGCATCGCAGTCTGAGTGGAAACGATGAGCAGTTTTTTGGGGGCAGAAAACTTTGCGCTTACTTACCAGGATTCCGTACGAGAGCCCAGGCGTGTAGGATTGTAAGGCTTGCTGTAGTCGGGCGGCCCACCCGGCGAAGATCTCGCTGTCGTATGGAGTGGCATCCTTTGACAAATTGGCATTGACGTATTGGGAGTTGAAATCAGTCGCCATATTGGGTAGGACTCGTTGTGCGAATTTGTCTGAGACTGAGCGGACTTTGGTGGGCCATTTGGTACCTTTTATGTACTTCGTTTCCGGCCGTCTCTAATGCCAATATAGGTCGGGTTTTGCAGGGTAGGCCACTCCTTGATCACCATCACTGCCTATTTCCTCATCTCTGAACTCTCATTTCCTGTCTCTCGCAGGATATGTAATCAGCTATAATCTCCGAGGCTTTGCAGACTAAGTCGCGACATCGTGGCTCGTCTTTGCCCGTCATTCAATCACGGCCTGAAAGGGTTGAGGCGTGGGTTGACGGGCGATGTGCTCGGGTGCTGTACGGAGAATTCAATCTCGAGCCGCACGGTGCAAGGGATTTTCCCAAGCTACCTCTCTATCCCCAAGTTGCAGACCATTTTACATTGAACATAGGGTAGACAAGGGATTGACCAGCTCCATCGCTTCCTCGGAATCTGCTCCACTCTTCCCTGGCATCTACTCTGCTCTTCCTCTTCCCCGGAATCTGCTCCGCTCTTCTCCTCGCGCGGGGCTGTGGTAATTTCTCTGTTTCCCCGGAACTCTTGTACTGTTAAAGCGGCGCAATCAATTAAATCCATTAGTGCTGAATACTTGAATTGGATCCATATTGTGAACAGTTGTGAGATTGCACCGATCACCCATACTGAAGTGCGCGGTTACAACAGGGCCAGGTGGCGCCATGAGGTGTAATCGTTGTTGAATACGGGAATTGGAGCACAAATGAAGAGTTCTGCTCTTGTCGAACACAGTGGTTCTTCTGCTTTGAAGAAGATTCAAGCACCGTTCTGGTCATGTGGAACTTCCGTAGACCCGTTGCTCGAGCGACTTCAGCATTTTGTCAAACAGTAGCTTTAAAGGCGTGCTGACTAATGGCTCCGGCACGTCGTTCTCGAAATGTATTTTCCCAGCTCGGAAATGCTCGAGGTCTGCCTTTGCTGATAGTCGATGGGGGCAATGAAATGTGTTTCTGAAGAGCTCGGCGAGCATCGTCATGTAGTAGTCCGTGGTGTGCATAATTGGAAATATCCTCTTCTGCCCCTGATCGTCGGTCATGTTGTTGAGGGTCTTTATGAATGAGCGAGCGGCGGCCAGGCAAACCATCTGGCTTGACTTCATGCGTGGACTCAAATAGGACCCGTTCCCGACTTTATGAGCTGGGATCGAAGTCAAGGCGGCAAAATGGATGGCGCGAATCATGTTGTAGTACTCAAGATGGAGCAGAGCAACCACCTGGTGTAAGTCAGGGGAGACTAGAATTTCTTGCTCGGGTCGAAATTCGACTGGAATCTCATCGCGCCAAGTCGTTGCTTCTTGGTCAATATCAGTCAAAGCGTCGAGTCTGGCTTCGACAGATTCATGGCGATTGATCAGCGCACACAGGCGGTTTTGAACAAGGCCCAACTTTACCTTCCAAAGGTAAATTTGAGCAAACATGGTCGTCTCATCATCACATTTGGACGAACTGGGATCGACTGTGGGTAACTCGACATCGTATGTCGACTCCGTCAGGGCGGTTGGTCGTCCTTGCGTCATTGATAAATGTCTGTCGCTGTTAATCATCCACCTACTAAGACATTCGAGGGGGCTCCCTACGCATCGAAAGTGAATGCAACCCACCACAGCCGTGATCTCAAGGTGACTTGCTCTTTGGTCAAGTCAAGGTCCTGAGGGCTTCGCCTGTGCAAGCCAATACACTGTGCATGTCGAATGGCAGAGCCACACATGCTCCAGGCTATGCCTCCCTTTCCCTGGAAGGAAAGGTAGATAACCTGCAACGTCAGACTTGGATGAATGATAAAATGACGGTTTGACTCACATGCAGCAAGAGGACCTGAACAGACTTTATGCGGGGCGCCACCATGGCATCACCCAGCATGTTCCAGGCTTGCTGGTAGAACACTCCCGCCCGTCGCATCGCTTCAGAACTGTTCGGCAGCGTAGCATGACACAATATCCCGATTGCCACAACGAGGAAAAAACATGAGACATCAAGCACGTCTCGGGCCGGCACATTCGGGTCATACACGAGGGGCCACATTTCCTCAAATTCTTTCCAGTTTATAATGGGATAGAAGACATGTGCATTTTTCAGATAAGCTGTCACAAGAATTAGCAAATCAGACCACTTCAATGAGACGCGTTGGGGAGGCGACCTTCGATGCTTGTTGCAGCAACCTCCTGAGAAGGAAGTTCTGCAGTGGAGAAATTCCAGTAGGTACGAACACCAGCCTCGTCAACATGTTTCCCAGTCTCGATTAACCAGTCGAAGGTGGTCGACATTGATCCTGGACCCGAAAATTCCAAAGCCTCCCGAATGCTGAGGGCCAACGTTGCGCCTGTCGAATTCAAACCTGGATTGAAATATGTTAGTCGAGTTCAAACCTTCCATCGTAAGCAGCTGACCGATGAAATGACTCGTTAAGGCGTCATTCCGAATGAAAAGTCCAGGTAGAATTCGATCCTTGCCGACATCCGGAGCTGCATTCTGGTGAAGAGCCTGTACGCCAGAGACCTTCCCATCTTGTGAATATGTTGCCGAGCTGATGGAACCCGGGACATTCGCATAGCTTTGCAACGCCTCCGGCGCATTTGGTGGATATGATAGAGGGTTCGGTCCCAACCCCGAATGATCCAAGAGGAGCGAGGACGGGAGCAGTGGCGCAGAGACGTCAATGTCTCCCCCAAAGAAAATAGTATCATTGGACGGGAGCGAGGAGTCCCAGAAGGAAAGGGATGGGGTGAAATCCATGTTACTAAAAGTATCAAGAATCTGAGGCATACTGCCTTGCACTGGCTGATCTGGTTTCATATTAGCATGACAGTGGGTGCCAGCCGTGGAAACTGACCGTTGGAATGAATATCCAGGCTCGGTACAGGATAGTTTTGCTTACTGGTTGAGAGATCCATCTCATCTGTGAGGCCAGCCGAAGCGTCTTCGAGCACTTCAGCAGATTCTGCTGTCGGAGGGTTTGTCGAGGATGCAGCGGTCTTTCTACTTCGTTTCTTTAGAGTCCGATTGGGTTCGGAGGTGCGCGCCCTCGGCGGCCTCGAATCCAGACATTGGGCAGAGTAGAGTTGACAATTGAAACAAGGCCTTGCACTCGGCGTGCACTTGAGCTGTCAGGAAGCGTCAGCCGAAGGCGATACTTGCTAGAGACCGCCCGGACGACTCATTTGTTACCCGTTTCTCGCGACAATAGTCACAGGCCCTGGCCGCGCGTTTTTGTCGCAGCCGCGCGGGCTTTGGGACAACATCGACACCACTCGCCTCAGCACCCGTCTCGACCATAATTGCGGGCTTATTCGTTCTGCTGTGTTATGGTGAAGACTGGGGTCGAGAGATGATGCGAGATCTTTTTTCAACTCGGATACCTGGGCCACTAGCACCCAAGCAGCAGCGGCAGATGACATGTGGCCCTAGGCCAGGCTGGAGTTAGCCTAATCCTACCTGCCACCGTTCTTTATTCTATTTACCTACCTAAGTAGGTGGTCGAGTCTAAGACTCTCTCTTGTTTGATACTTGGAGGGACGCATTGAAGTCAACGGCTTAGCCACTTTTTGCCATTGCGGCACCTTTTCCATCTTCCTTCATGGTATGGTCACTAGATATTACAGAGGGTCTTGGACTTGACTCCCAGATACATTCCGTGCCTACCCGTTTGCTAGTGAAGTTATTGGTAGAGCAGGCCCCAGGTGCATGTGGGGTTTCGCCATGCCGGGCAACTGGGGAATTGGGGGTTGCTTAGGCTGGTTAGGGCTCACCGGTAAGGACAACGGCTAGTGAGCTAGCGTAAGGGAAGATTGAAGGCAACTTTCACGGGCAGGCGAAGCTAAAGTGTGGCATCACTCTCGCCTCAGGATAGGAAGAATGCTCGTTTTCTAGGATAGACACTCTCCGAAGATGCAATTGTGCGGTTATATGGATGGAGGTGTCAAGAGAGAACAAGTGCCTGGTTGCTAGCATGTATGGATAGCGATGTCTCCCAGCATAAAAACCCCCCATATTCCTCCTGCTGAAATGCGGTCTCAACTATCATTGGATGCAGCCTGCCTTTTTTTTGGTTCTCTTTGCATTGCCAACCACTCCCTCCCATAGTCATTGCCGTTGGGTGTCCTGAACACCGTGTGGATGTGGTATTTCATAGGCTCCTGATTAGTCAAGAAGACACCAGAATGATGGTCGAACTCTGCGCAGACGACCGGGCTCTGTATCCGGTAGTAGAAGGCATCTTCGTCTCCATATCCACCAATCCAGCAGAAGTACGTCTCGTCAAGGTGATCTCTTACCTGTCGCAGACGAGCTTGCAGCACCGAACCTGGAAGGATTTCCAGGAAGCTCGCCACGACCTGAACGACCGCTTCTTGGTCATGTTCCGACATTGTCGACACCAACAGACCTTCATACGGAATGATTCGATTATCTTGGAATGCACCTCCGAGATGGCGCTGAATGCTGTCAGACAAGGCTGCGTGAAAGAAACTGACTTTAAAACTTACTTGGTCAGCCGGGTTCCATCGGTCTGGCGTCATGGCCGGGTCGTGCATCAATTTGTAGACTTGGGCTTTCGCTTGCTGCTCAGGTGGCAGGGATTGCATGAGAGCCAGGCCTCTTTCCTCCTCGCGAACACAAATCTGTAGGCACTTGTCCGGGCCCTCGTCAATGATCTTGATCCGCGTTAGAGCTAAAATACAAACCAGACAACGTAACTCACGTTCGGCTCAGCGCCAATGAAAAAAGGGCTGATCGTCATTTGCTGGGATAAAAAGAAAAAGTTGAGGCAAGTATGATGCCCAAAGAAGCTGAATGCCCAGGGCTCAGTGGTTGAAGGGTGTCCGTAGAATGCCAAACTTGAGTTGCTCATAATCAGCTTCCAGCCCGAAAATAAGGCCAATCAATTTAGACTCACAAATAGCTCCCTGCAGTCAAAATCGACCGGGCATGACATATCTTCCCGAGGAAAACGTTGGTTTTGATAGAGCCGGTGACTTTCTCATAGCCTTCTCGGCTAAGAGACGCTCTCAATAGCTCCATTATGAGTCTCTGGCCTTCTAGAGCCAATTGCTCTAGGCGCACTCCGACGTCGTACGCGATAAATTCTGGGTTGATCCATTTCCGCCTGGGAAAGGGAGATGGCTCAGTATAGAGCCCGAGAAGGATTCGCGCGTTACTAACCATTCCGGATCGTCCAAATCGTACGTTGCCTTGGCTCGCTCCAGCTCCGTGAAAGATGCTAACACGGCATCCGCTGCTGTAACCTATGCACTGTCGTTAGTGAGAAGCATACTTGATGGCCTGCTCCTACTAAGCCCACCACTGCTGCCGTTGGTGCTCCTTCGTCTTGCAACCGGAAGATTCGTTCTTTCTTTTTACCATCACTCGTGACTCCATAGAATGGTTGGTCCAATCTCTGCTTCCACAAGGCCAAGACGCCCTTTGCGGCGTCAGATTCGGTGATGGCCTTAGAGTACACATAAGGATCTAAATCATCCAGCCCGCGTACCCGTGGGTGGTCTTATGGCCATCAGAAAGATCTTGTTCCTGGTAGATGGAAAAGTCTTACCTTTCGTTGGGATGTAAGGCTGGAAATCTTTGGCTCGATTGGACGTTGAGGCAACCATGTTGGTGGTAGTGTCAAGCGCTCACATCAAAGGAAAGGACCCCGAGGCTCTGAACAAAATATATAAATATGCACACAGAAGACGTGATACTGTCTAGATTGGCGTTCTGGTCTTCTGATCTTCCCGGCCGGTAAGATTTGAGCCTACTTAGCCTCATTCCGGGGGACGGCCGTCACTAGATAGTTCTTGTGGAGTACATCTCCGGGACTTGATTCCTCAGAGTTCATTGGCCCTCTCCGGTACTCGAAAAGAGGGTCAATATATTCTATTCTTACAGCGGCGTGGTCTCCACGAGCAGGGCGAACCAGACCACCAGTGTGGGAGCTGGGTTTCCCCGGAACCTTTGATCTCAACATTGTTCAACGGATCAGAATCCCATTTGACAGCTGCCCAGGACCGCTACTACTCTGAAGACATGCGCATAAAGTACGACAATATGATCGGCAGAGGACGTTGTGGGAGCAGCGACAGGTCTCGTCGGACTGCACCGAGAGCGCATTGATATTGAGATGCAGCAAAAGCTTCGTCTTCTACAGAAAAAGTGTTCGACTGAGCTTACAACCTACAGGTTGCTCTAGTTGCAGCTACGGTGGCACTGACTGAGGGGACAGAGCGACGGTCGTGGGTGAGTGGAAGGTGGAGGGCAGGTGAGCTGGGGTGGGCGGTGGTTTAAAGGCGGCGCCAGCCGGTGTGCGCTCGGCGTCAATGGACCTCCCTCCTCTTGACCCGCCAAGATAAAGTGTACAATAGACTTCATGCCAAAGACTTTGTACTTGAAGCTCCCTATATGATGGTTATCTCTCGTTGGCTGGACACTTTCTGCCACTCCTTCCAACCATAAGCCCCGTAACTCCGCATAATGCCTACCCTCTCCCATTTCGTCTTGTCTCCCGATGCCGCTCTCAATACCATTGCCCAGAAATCCTGCTTCTCGTCACCCCGGTTTCCAGAAGGCTCCCAGTACGCCGTCAGAAGCAAGAGGTGTGGTTGACTGGCATCCACACCGTAATCGTTGCTTTTGATGTCAGGTTCCAGGAAGCTGTAGGGACAATGCGCCTCTTTATCCAGGTTGGCAGGATCTGGATAGCTCCGGCGATTGTAGATGACAGCCACCGGCCCTTTGGTGTTCCTGTCCGCTCTTTGGTCGGTGAAGGAGTCATCGGAAAGGACGTCGGGAACCATATGGAAGTCTGGCTCGACAAGGGTAACATGTTCTTGTTTCTCGTTGGTGCTATTTTTGACATCCCTTTCGCTGACAATGAGGAACGCGTCGTCCTCGTCAGGCCGCACGGAGGGGTGGACATCCCAGTGGCCAAGATTCAGTGCGTGGACTTTGGTCCGCGTCGTCGGCCATATGCGAACCCGCACCATCGGTCCAGATACTTTGATACAGCCTCTGCGCACAGGACCGTAGGGATTGAGACCAGCGGGCTCGCAGTGCGCCTCGAGGACTGAGATGGCAGAATGCATACGGCCTTGTGGATGTCTTTTGATGGTAGAGATCTTGTCTTGCTGTCGTTCCCACACCTCGGTATTCCACAGCAGGCTCCACGGAAGCTCTTCTTTCCAGATTCCAGCGAGATATGAGTATGAGGTGCACTTGGACATGGCGGCGGCCAACCCTGAAAGTGCCGGCAAAAGGTCCGAAGTCTTTGTGCGGTCCCTCGCCGTGTAAGATTGGATCACGGCGGACCAGTCCAGATGTGGCCAGACGTCAACGGTGCCATCTTCGGCAACACATTTGACGTGATTTTTGACATACTTCTGCTCGAAGGTCTGGACAGCAAAGCTGGCGCTGGTCTCGAGTTGACACTCACATTTCAAGCTCGATGCGCATTCCCACGACATTTCACTTGCCGTGAAATGGAGTGTCCGGGGTGCAAGAATTCGTTCCTGCAAGACCCAGCCGCGGGTGGTCAATTTGCTCCGAGCGGATGGGCCAATACTATGCGAGACGTTTTCTGAACTCGTGCGTACCATTTGCTTTCGGATGTAAATCTTGCTTCTTCTCGTCCAAAGGCCCGGAGCCGAATGATCCTTGACTTCTGTATTCCGCTGACTCCCTCCCACAAAGAGTCCGCCGTGACAGTCCACCGCTCCATCAGCTGCGATTGTGAGATAGGCTCCGGCGTAAACGTCCGCCATCTTTGCTGCTTCTTTGTTCCAGTCTTCAGGATCATTCTGAATAATGCACAGCGAGTCGATCCTGAGATATTGGATACTGAGGCGACGCGAGACGGTGATGGCATCTTGAAATGTCTTTGGAAGGTCCTCCATAAGAATTTCCTTCTTTCTCTTCGTTAGATCTTCCTTGGTGGTAGTCAATGCAACCGAATCACCCCAGCAGTGACTCAGGGCGATGTACTGGGCATCCTCGCCGCTGGATTCGTACAAGAAGGGAGCTTGGCCATCTGAGCCGACATTGATGACACGCGTGGGTAGCGGATGTCTGGTGCGGCGGTGGCAATCAGCGTGGCCCTCTGCACATTCTTTGATCCACCGAGAAGCAAGATTCATACAGGCGTTAGAAGACGAATTCAGGGAGACGTCGCGAGCCGGTCCTATGATGGGCCACTTGACAGGCTCATCTGCATTGAAGGTAAGCAAAAATGGTATAGCAAAAGAATGCAGTTCGTACTGGGGCGGAAACCACCGAAATGGTCGAGCGCATTTAGGAATGCACCCCCAAACACAAAGGGCATATTACGCGTTAATTCGTACTCAACTGGGTGGATAGTGACTCCCTCAGCTGGAAAAGGTAGGAAACGAAAACGAAATACCTACTTTCTCGCGTATAAATCTCCAGATACTCTGAGTTTCCGTTTTCGAGGTCAACAAAGACCACGAGAGAAGATCGCGGCTTCACCGAGTTTAGCACAATAGACTTAACATCATGCATTCCACTACGGAACCACTGGATCAAATTCCACAGCGTGCCACAAGCGTCGCAGCCAGCGGCCGCAGTCCCCATAAGATCACGAACATCGACCGTGACCTGAATGGGATACTTGGTATATTCTTCTCGCTCGCGACGGAAATTGAGATCTTGGCACGTCCAACACTTCGGCCAGGTTGAGTACGGAGGAGGGGGAGGAACAAGCCACGAAATTATCCTGTTGTAGGGGGTTGAGGGCTGTTCATGGCTGTGTATGACCCGTAGACGGGTGTACTCCATTCGATCCATGACGGGCAGTCCAATCGTTCGCCTCGCCGGGTTCTCAAACAGCCTGCCCTCGTCGTGACTCGTGAGAAACTCTTGGGTCGATTCAGCAACGAAAGATTGGAGAAATCACTATGTGAAACGAAGATGGCAAATAAAAGTCAAGAACTGGAAGATATTTGTGCGTTTCGAGATCCGCCAGAGAGGTGCAGCTCGCGCGCACCTTGGCAGCGCCATCCTTATTCTGAGCCGGCAAAAGCTTGCATTGGCGGACGATCGAATTGCTGAAGACTCTGGGCGTGATGATTTGCGGTTCAGTTCCAATGATTCTGGGATCCGTTGAACAGAAGGCGAGAAATGTCAGCAATTTACACAATATAAAGCATGAGAACTAGTTGAATGTTGTGTATGCTCTCTGCCCGGAACTAGGAATAGAGGTCAACAGCAGCTCATCAGGCAGCGCTAGTAGTCTGGGTCCTGAGGACGATACAAGAGACAAACCATCACTTTATCCATTGATTAAGCCAGGTGTTGATGATCTCGGCTGTCTCTTCTGGAGCTTCCTCGGGGAGAAAATGCCCCGTACCGTCTCCGATGGCCCTGGTCTCTAGCTTAGTCCCTTCTGCACACCAGTCTCTCCACATAGATTCCACGTTGTTCGAAGCTCCGAGATAAGCCTCCGAATAAACCACTAGGGTCGGAATTGTGACCTTGTTGCCGATCTTTTGATCTTCTCTCTGAAGGTCATCATCTTCGAAGGCACCAGCACGGTAATCTTCGCAGGAAGCTCTGACAACGGATTCTTTGTCAAAATGACGGTAGTAGACAGCCAGTGCTTCTGGATCCAACAGCCTAGCCCTCCTGCGCTCGTTGTGGCCCGCCCAACGATGGATCAGCTCCGAGCACCAATTGCCTCCGCCATGGCTTGTGATGAGCTTGGTCGCGACCTCCACATTTGCGAGAAGCGACCAGTGGAATTTGGAGGCCGCACTTTTGGGGTTGCCGAACGTGTCCCACTGGGCTGCCGTGGGGACAATGTCGAGGATGATGACAGAGACTATCTCAAAAGAAGGGTTATCTCGAGCATCGACGGCGAGACGATGGCAGACCCGTGCGCCTCGATCGTGTCCTGCAATGATTATCCTTTGGCGTTCATTCCCTTGGCTCGGGAGGCTCCTTTCAAGGGCTTCCAGGACCGTCGTGCCAACGGTTCTTTTATCATGTCGCAAGCCATTGGCTGTGCTGTCGCCATAGCCGGGAAGCTACACGTGAAGCGTAGCGCCGAGGTCAGTTATGCTCTCTTTCATAAAAGCCGGAAAGCCTACATCTGGAACGAAAAGGGGCAGGTGGGGAGGCAGCAGTGGTATCAACTACGGCTCAACCATCAGTATACTCGGTGCTTTCCTAAGAGGATGAATTCAGGTGGTACCCATCGAAACCTGTATGGCACCACAGCTGTCAGTCGATAGGCTTGAGACAGGAATGACGGACAGACATGTAGCTCCTGTCGTAGTCAGTACTCAGCCGTGGACAAGGCGAGATCAGGCCCACGACTCACGATTGAGGATAGCCATGCAGGAGCACAAGAATGGCATCACCCCGCGAAACGCCGCTCAAACCTCTCGCGTGAAAATTGATGGTAGCTCCACTAGAAGTTGACACTTTGCTTGCGTGTTGGTAGAAGTCTTGCACCGCTCCCGACATCTTGCTTGTTATTTCGTAATTACCGGCGACGAGGCGGTCGTCAGGTGTAGAGCAGATGGTGTCTTGGTCTTCTTCGTCTCCTGCCCTTGCTCGACTTGGCAATTGCTGATGGGGAAAACACAATCTACGTGCTAAACACAATCGTTGGATGACCGAGTTTCGCAATGGCCGATTTAGGGATCCGAGTCTCGGAGAATGATGTAGAGTAGCCTCTTATTTGGGACGTTGGTATGTCTTGACAAGAGGGATGTCGTGGCGCGGGCTACGGAGTATCTCGTCTCTCCAACATTGAACGCGGTGCGGGGGGTGGGGCCCGGAGGCGGGGGCCGGTGCGGGGCGCCGGGATGGGAGATATTCCGTACTCCGCACATTCTAAGAGGTGAATAGGAGTATGGAGTATTGTTCCTTCCAAACTATAAGCCATATTTGCCCGTGCAGTCGTGGCCCGACGTCGCGCTTGGCACCGCTCCGGAGGACTCAACATATTGCGTGTTCTTCTCGCCTAGTCTCCAGATGCATCTCACGCACGGCATTGCGGGATCGAGCCATGGCCTGTACCGAGTGTCGGCAACAGAAGGTATGTTCCTTCCTAACCCCGTATCCGCGCTATTCGACTGCTCCCTGACCCAGCCTAGATCCGGTGTGACCGTTTCGATACTTTTCCTGACCCATGCTCCCGCTGTCGTCGGGTCGGCGTTCAGTGTGTCTACTCGAAGGACTTCAAACGACAGCGGCGTCCCACGTCAGTCTCTCCCCGGTGTTCCTTGAGATCGCACAGTCCAACCTTGCTCTAGAAAAACGGAGCTGCAGAGCCAGCTAGACTCTTTGCGAAAGCAGCTGTGTTTGTCGTCCAGCAATGGCTCTCCTTCAAACCAAGTGCAGGAAGTGGTTGTCCCTACAGCAAGCATTTCGTCCCCAACAACCGCCGCCACGCAGACATGCCTTGCGCCGAGCCAACAACAGGAGTCTATCAGCAATATCGCTCACAGCTCCTCGCCGGCGTCGGGGCCCATTCCCGTCAATCAAGAGCCCGCTGGTGGTTCCATGTTGATGTCCACTCCAAATTTCCAGACATCCCCCCAAAGTCTGGACGAGCTCCAAGTCACCGCTCGGGACATTGACAATTGTTTCGCCATGTGAGTCTGGAAACTTGGTACCGATGGCACACGGAGACTGAGATTTCGGCAGATTCAAAGATCATTGCATGACTTATGTGTGCATTGATGACACCCTTATGGCCCCCAATGAATGCCACGAACAATCGCCGCTGTTGTTCTGGACAATCGTTGCGGTGGGATCGCGGAAATACAGTGACAATCCAACCCTGATTATCCTGCTTGGTCCCAAAGTCTCCCAGTTGGCCAAGTTGGCCCTGTTCGCACAGGAACCCGTGCTCCTCACCATCCAAGCTTTCCTCCTGTTGTGTTCATGGCCGATGCCCTTTGAAGCGCTGAGCAATGATATCACCCCAATTTTGGCTGGAGCGGTCTTACAGCTTGCTACTACCATTGGACTACACGTCTCGGGCGTGGGGCAAGAGTTTGCACGAAGTAGAGTCAATCAAGATCTTACCTACCGCATCGCACGTGGCAGGCTGTGGACTGCCTGTGTTGTGGTCTCACAAAGGTTGGTGCTACCCATCCGCTGAATAAGTTGCAATTTCTCTGAATTTGGACAGGATCATAACAGTGAACGGGACACCGCCCCTTGTGATTCCCGACACGTATGGCGACGACTCAGAGGAACTCAGCTCTTTCGTGACACCGAGTTTCCGCTTCCAGAAGAAAGTGAGCGAATTTCTCAGCAGGACCATCCTTTACATCCAGAATCACGCGTTGTACAAGCCCGCAGACGAGTTAATCGTCGCACTCGATCCGATCATCCGCTCTGCCGTCGACCGGCTTGTTCAATTAGAATCTGATGCACGGGACCGCATGGGTACGTCAACACAAATGGAATCAGTGATTCTTGTTGGTCGTGGAACGTACTAACACGATCAGACCGATTCTACGCCTTGTCTGCGCAACTCCATCTCTTGAATTTCCACCTATTCAAGCACCGATCTGCAATCGAAGATGCAATACTATTGGGAATGTACGAACTTGCGTGCAAGACGATCGAGCTCGCAATGGCGCTGGACTCAGAGCTGAGCATGGCTGAATACGGCCCTATATACATCACAAAGTTCCTGCATAGCGCAGTGATCACCATTCTACGTGTGGGAAGAGCCGCAATTGCTCAACAGCTGGACCTAGAGCGCGGACAACGGGCATACTTCGCAGTGATCAACTACCACAAGAGGCACGCCGTGCGCCCGGACGACGCCTTTGCTCGATTCAGTATCATCCTCACCAATCTATGGACCAGCAGGAAAGTCTTCCAATATTCAAATGGGCTGGTGGATAGCCTCAGGGTAAGAAGCAAAGCCAGACTTGGGATGAGCATGGTCTACGACTGCTTCTGGTGGTGGCGACAAGAGTTTGGAGGGCAGAGCAATGTATACGGAGACAACCACGGTATGACTGCCCTTCCCTTCTGAAGTATGTTCCTAGAAGGCCCTTGATCTTCCTAACTGATTCTATAGTGGACGAAAATACCGACGCTACTCTCGACAACTTCGCTCCTGGCCTCGATAACGACCAATTAGATTTGGTCAATTTGAATTTGACCCCAATTCCAGACCTACAATGGCCTGTCTTTGACAAGTTCTTTACCGAAAACTGGCCGAGTCTGGATTTAGACATAGGCATATCAAAACAATGACAGTGCCACATTCGTCGAAGAGACGGCTCAGCTTTCTGCAGCTTCCGAAGTATTCTGGACGCGCGGGCACAAGTATTCCCGGCGAAAGCGGCCTTCGCTTTGGCCGAAAATACGGCCCGGAGCACGGATTGATAGATCATTGAGGGCTGCATATATTGCCACAGGTCATCTTGTTCGGATGCTTGTCTCTTGCACATTGCTGCCTCCCTCGCCTTTTCATTTCCTGACCCAGGAACAGACCTATCAACTCGACAACTGCGGTAGACGGACCCTTGCACTTTGGTTGGACCAGCTCCAATGAACACCGCCATCGGACATGGACAAGACAAGGGCCCTGGTGACACGCCAGTGACCGTCCATGAGGAGAATCTCAAGCTGTCAATCAAATCCCTGGAGCTACTCGAGGAAGAGTCGGATGCAGGTCTCGACAAGCGCGTCAGGCACAAATTCGACCGACACATCCTGCCGTGGCTGTTCGGAATCTGGCTCTTCTCGTTCCTGGACCGCAGCAACATTGGCAATGCCAACATCGCCGGGATCTCACAGGATCTCAAGCTCGTTGGCACCGAGTACAATTTAGCCCTCATGCTCTTCTTCATCCCCTACATCTTGGTTGATATACCTTCAAACTGGATCCTCAAGTACTGTCGCGCGGGTTACTATCTCCCGGGTCTCATCACATGCTGGGGCGTTGTCTGGTGAGCGCGAACTGAGGACCTTCCATCTGTTAGCCGATGGCTGATTCCGCGTGAAGCACTTGCATGGGTTTTACCAAGAGCTTGGGAGGACTAATCGCATGCCGCGTTTTGCTGGGCCTGTTCGAAGGAGGTCTCGTGCCAGGTATTCTCATCTACCTCGCCATGTTCTATCGCCGCACCGAGATGGCGTACAGAATTGGGATCTTCTACTGCGCAGCTCCATTGAGCAGCGCATTTGGCGGGCTCCTTGCTTCTGGCCTCGCGAAGATTGAGGTTGGATCCTACCGGAGTGAGATATGCTGCTCTTTCTGGAACCAGATCGCATACTGACGAACTGCCCTCGCAGAATGGCCGTGGATTTTCTTTGTGGAAGGGGTAAGTGGTAGCCAACACTTTTTCCACGACCCCTCTATTAACTTTCGATCACGGTAGGCTGCAACCGTTCTCGTCGGGGCCACTGCGGCGTTGTTCTTGCCGGACAGTATCTCGCATGCCAAGTTTCTGACCGAAGAGGAGCGAGGTGTAGCACACAGGCGGGTCGAGGGCGATGCGCAAGGAGCGACCGGCGCATCCGGAGTCGAGCAGGAGACGTTTTCGTGGCATTGGGTCCGCATAGCACTGGCTTGCCCACTGCCTTGGCTCAGTTCCCTTGGCTACCTGATGATCATCGTGCCTCTTTATGTGCGTTATCTGTTCCACGGTCGTAGGTTATGGGATACTGACCCGTGCAGTCTTACGCTTTGTTTCTGCCTACAATTGTCCACTCGCTTGGATATACCTCGACGACAGCACAGCTGCTTACTGCGCCACCGAACGTCTTGGGTTTCATCAGCGTCCTCATAGTCACCAGGCTTTCGGATAGAGCCTCGATGAGGGCGCCTTTCATGATCGCCGGTGGCCTTCTCGTCGCGATCGGCTACTCAATGCTTCTCGCGTCAGATGCCCCTGGAGTCAAGTACTGTGCCACATTCTTCATCGCAAGCGGCCTGTACCCTTGCTCTCCCCTTGTAAGACCACCACCCACGACCTTATGCCAATCCCAGTCGTTGTTCTCTGACTCATGCATATATGTGCATATACGCAGGCACTAGCATGGCTGAGCAACAACTCAGCCCCTCACTACGTCCGCGCGACGACAAGCGGGCTGCAACTTAGCATTGGCAACTTCGCGGCCTTTATCGCAACCTACTCGTACATTGCGAAAGATGCGTATGTTCCGTATCACCACCCTACATGCGCCCTAGTGTGATCGAGGTTCACTCGAAGTATCATGCTGACCAAGTTCCAGTCCAAAGTACACAATGGGACACAGCATCAACATCGGCGCTGCGTGCTTGTTCTGCGCCATGACGGCCTTGACAATGTTCTACTGCAGCTGGGAAAACAAGCAACGGGAACGAGGCGCCCGTGATTGGCGCCTGGTACGGCAAGATCCTGCGCGGCTTGGCCATTTGCATCCGGAATACAGGTATAGCTTGTAATATGATCATGTCACAAGCACGTATAAGGTGAGGAGAAGGAGAGGGAGGGCTGGGTGGAAGCTTGGGATGGACGGGATTACAGCCCCGATTGAGTTACCGTTGTTCTCCGATATGAAGACAGGAATGTCATCAAGGAAACTGAGGACACTGTGTTTTCGCTCCGTAGGTTGGCTAACTGGTGTGACTGCAGTCCCCAAACTAGAAGCACAGCAGGGGCGTCTCTTTAGGCAAGCCTCCTCGGCCCCGTGGATCCAGCAATCCCTGTTAAATGCAAGCACGTATATGCTTCACCTCCACGCGGGCCCGAGTTGTCGTGTATAGGGAGGTGACTCCCAATCCGGACTCAAAGAGGACAGCATGTTTGACCGTCTGTCGAATAGAAGCCAAGCTGCCGTGCATAGCGACTAGAAGACGATTCTAAAACTTGTGGCCCACTGCACCTTCGGGGGCAGGTTAAATGAATGAGTGAATGCCGTATTGAAAAAGGTATACAAATAAGGCAGATACAACACACATGTGAGCATAACTGTCAAGATTTAAAAAAGCCGCATGCGAACGTCATGTATCAATAGCATGAACGAGGTTTAAGTCACCCTTCTTTTCTTTTCCTCCACCTCCTCCATCACCGACCACTAACCGTCTCGGATGTCAATTCTTCCCACTCAATTGTAATGCTTCAATTGAATACCCGCAATGGTCTCCTCTTGCACGCCTGTGCCTTTACCCTTGAAAACGGCAGTCTGTCCATACGCGCCGATGCGGGCAGACCTGTACAGCTTCGAAGTCGGCTCCGTCCCCGGTTCGAATTTTCTCTGTACGCCCGCTTCTCTCAACACGCTCGACTCGTCCAACAGCGTGTTGACCTTGACCTCGTCATTGGGGACGACAAAGTAAAACCATCCGCAACGGTCCTGGTTGCGCTGGTCCGAGGGTGGTTGGCACACGCGATGGATGGTGGCCTTGTAATACCCCCCAGTCCACCATTCCATCATTTCCCCGGCGTTGACGATGATGGCGCCCGGGACGTAGGGCACCCACCGCCACTTCTTTGTGAAGTGGTCCATGAGTTGGAGGGATGCCATCGGCTGGCTGAACAGCATGGTCAGGGACCCGAAGTCGCAGTGGCCCTTGAGCCAGACACCGCCCGTCTTCTCCATGTCCTCGGGTTTGTGGGAGTGGAAGTACATCATGTACCGGAACCAGGAGTCGTCCGGCACGTCGTACCGGTGGAGGTTGACGAAGAAATCTTCCGGCAGGTCCAGCGAGATGGCGAACAAGGTGAGCAGGCGGAACAGGATCTCCTTGTGGATGAAATCGTTCAGTTCCTGGACCTCGTCCATGAAGGGAGTGAATGTGGAAGGGTGTTCGCGCAGCGTCAGGTCGCGGTTCCAGTTATACTGTTCAATCTGGTCCTTGACACCCTGGTCGATCTGCCAGTAGTTGCGGAGTTTGAAGCCCTGGTAGCTGCCGTCCTGTTTCATCCGGCCCTCGAGGCGCTGCTTCTCCTCCAGGGGAGTCTTGGTGAGCACGTGATAGCCAATGTCCACTTGTCGATCGATCTGCTCGATGGAGATGCCGTGGTTGACTACCACGAAGAAGCCTTGTGTTCGCATGGCATGCTTCAGCTGGTCGGCGAGCTGTTTGCGCGCGTCCGGTCCATGGTCGTACGTGGAAAGGTCTAATGTGACTAGCTCGGCGTATTCCAACGACTCAGATGTTGGTTTGACTGGGACGAAGTGTTCGATGTCAGGCTTGGTGATGGTGGACGGCATTTTGCTGGGTTTTGGTGTTGACTGGACTATATATGGTGACAAATCAGCTCGTCACAACGAGGCGCGAGGGACTTTACGATGGTCTTTTCTCTGAAAAGGTATCGCCTAGACAAGATCCCGGTGTGGCATCCTGGCCTGGCTTCTTATGTTTGTTCGAAGCCAACCCGGTGCATTGCAATAAGATGTGGGGTTATACTTTGCGGGCAGCGGACCTCGGAATATGCGAGATCGGCCTCCACGCGAGGGGCGACTCTGCAACAGATCAAATGGCGAGGACCGGGGGAAGCTTAATGCGACCCGGATTCTCCTTTGCGCATAGATTAGGTCAAGAATGGAGTCAATTGAATCCCTGTCGAAGTGAGTAGCCCTGCCGACTTACCGAAGGGTCTCGAGGGCAATGTCAGAGCATGACTTTTCAGACACGGACAATACAGGCAAAGCTCTTAGATGTGATTACAAGTGGCCCTCTGTGCCCCTTGCCGTCCCAAAAAGCTGCCGTTCCATTATTGCAAGCCTCAGACTCTCCTGCTGCATCTGTGAAATGCCAACTTTTGCAGCCAACTAGCTAGCCATCCAAGGCACGGATACGACACCAGCAAAGTCGAGTCTGCCAGATGTAGAATAACAAACCGTTATGCTCGGAGGGATGTGCTGCTCACATTCGCCGCGATGGGGAGAAAGGAAAACCTACGCTCAACCCTTGCAGGGCAAGACTCGGCAGAACCACTGCAACTTCGTCGAGAGTGTGTACACGGAGGGTCATGAAGTCATCCGAGAGAACAAATACCAGCATCGATGGCGCACACAATGCCCTCTAGCAAGCAATAGAATTGACATTTCTGCTCTCAAACACCTCAAATCTGGCAAAAGAGCGAGCAACCGTCGACTTCATAACATCACGCCGGTGTGAAGGTTGTTAAAGACATCAAAATGCTAGCCTCAAACCGGCATTTTCCGCCACGCCTAAAACGGTCAGTATATTAGTGGATCAAAGTTTTTCCGATCCTCATTACTAATACAATTTCACTTTTCTTCCATCACGTCTTCCAAGTCCTTTAAACCCTGCGGTCCGACAACGCGATGCAGACAATTCCGACATCCATGATTGTAAGCCCCGTTTCAGGGGTTCATTGCACACCCTTGGGGAGCAAACCCGAGGTGAATCTTTTGCTAACAGCCTTTGATACTGCCCCTCAGCGGGGCTGTCGTGCTGAATGGCAACTCGCGTGCTCAGGACCGAGTACATGTATCGCCTCACGACCTTGATGACGAAATAAGGTATAAATGCGTTGCGCACTAGATTTTGAACTCTTTCTGTTGTTGACACTCATGTTTCAAGTTCTACCACGAATTCGCTTAGCCTGCTATACCCTAGCTTGATTCAGTCTTGTCAGATATCTATCCTCAACAATGGCGACCTCGGGCAAATCCGTCTTTCTCATCGGCCCCGGTTTCATTGGCCGGGAGGTCTTGGATCTCCTCCTCCAGGAGAAATATGCAGTGACAACCCTGTCCCGTCGCGAGGCTTATGCGACTGAACTCCAGCAGAGCGGCGCAAAGACCGTGCTCGGCAGCCTGGACGACCGAGACATCATCATCAAGCAGACTCTCGCAAGCGACATTGTCATCCACACGGCCACGGCAGATCATTTGCCCTCGGTCGAGGCTGTCATTGCAGGCGTCGAGCAACGCGCAAGCCAAGGAAAGCAGACCATCTTCATCCACACCAGCGGGACTTCGCTGCTCAGCGACGACGCCAAGGGTGAATACAAGTCCGACAAGATCTTCTACGACGACAAACCTGAGGAAATCGATGCGCTTCCTGACAGCGCTTCGCATCGCTTGATCGACCTCGCCATTGTCCGCGCTCGCAAGAGACTGGGGGACAGTGCGAAATTGGTCATCATGATTCCGCCGTTGATCTACGGCGCCAATCACAAATACAAGCGTCTCTCGATTCAATTACCGACACTGACTCGGTTTGCCCTGAAACACGGTTATGCGGGCTACGTCGGCAAGGGGGAATCTGTATGGTCGGAAATCCACGTGGCGGATCTCGCCCGGGGATACCTCACCCTTTTGCACTGGCTCGAACAAACCGACGCCTCCAAGGTCCTCGAAAATCCTTATTTCTTCTGCGAGAACGGGCAAGAATTTGCCTGGAAAGACGCAGTAGCACAGGTTGGCAAAGCCTTGCATGCTGCTGGGCGGATCAAATCAGCGGAACCCAAACCGATCCCTGAGAGTGATTTTGACGATCTCTTTGGGAAGTATACGGCGTGGGTTGTCGGGTCGAACTCGAGGAGTAGAGCGAAGCGGCTGAGGGCGCTGGGATGGGAACCACAGGAGAAGGGACTGATGGCATCTCTGGTGGAGGATGAGGTTCCGATTTTGTTGGAGGAGACAGGCGAGTTCCGTGGGTATGCTGGAGTGGCAGCTTCTGGGGGCTCGTAGTGCTGTTCTCATAGCTGAGAATATACCCAGGTACCTAGGTAGGTACTTAGGTATATAATATATGGGAAGTCAATGGCTGATGAATACCGGCGTTTGCTTCCGGTCACACGGGGAAACGGTCGAAAGCCTCGGTTAAATTTCCGTTTCAGTAAATGCGGAGAGTTGCTCACGGCGAACGCTGCGTCATATCTCGATGCTGCTGTCGTGTGTCGTTAGACGAGGGTCAGGAAACTCGAAGGTAGATAGGCAGTGTCGTCTTTTTGGATCTTCCCTGACACCATCCAACAGGTGTCCCCTTATACTCCATCCTCTGCCAGACGATGACTGCGTCTACTGAGAGACAATGCTGAAAACAGCGCTTCGGCGGCGGGCTCTCCCCGTCTCGTTCGTCCAGCGAAGATGGACAACGCAGAATTCACAAGAACCATTTCCTCCCAACATCGAAGAGTGGTCACATCCGCCGTCAAATGCCAGCATTTCAGATGAAGAGATACAAAGACTAGCAGCTTTGCCTCGCCGACCTCTGACTCTGGCAGATCTCGTCAGGTAGATACCGCTCACTCGGCCGACTTATCGCGGATGACTTCTGACTCCTACCACAAACAGACATGGCAAACCTCCCTTACGAGACTCTGCTCTCCTCTCCTCCGCGAACTTCACCCTGTCCCTTCTCCCGGCTCGCCTCGCACACCGCATCCAAGCTCTTCGGAACCTGCCCTTTATCGTGGTGTCCAACCCAAATGTCTCCAAGATATACAACAACTACCTACATTCTCTCTCCACCCTACAAGCCTTCTACAAGAAGCCGATCGAGACCATTGAAGAGGAGATCAAGTTTACAGAGGCCATGGCCGACCTTGTTCGCACACATTCCAACACCATCCCAGTCCTTGCTCAGGGATTTCTCCAATGTAGGAAATACGTGGACCCGGCAGAAGTCACTCGATTTCTCGACCAACATCTCCGTGCACGCATAGGCACCAGACTCGTCGCAGAACAACATCTGGCCCTGCACATGGCTTCGACAGGTGAGCAGGCCAAGCAGAAACCAGATCCAACCCACGTCGGGGTAATCGACCTGGCGCTTCGTCCCGCAGACATTGTCCGCCGGTGTGAGGGCTTCGTGAACGAGGTCTGTGAGTACAAATACGGCGTTCGGGCCTCTCTGGTCATCGATGGGGATCAAGATGCAGAATTTGCACACATTCCCATGCACCTGGAATACATTATCACCGAACTCTTGAAAAATGCATTCCGCGCCACGATTGAGAATGGCAACGAGAAGGAGCCCATTGAAGTCACGATTGCCTCCGCTCCCGACGTCCAGACCACCAAGCTGGAATCGCTCAAGAAGCTGTCGGTAAGCAAAGAGAATGCATATGATTTCTCCCAGGAAGGGCTGGACGAGTACTGCGCTTCATCTGACGAGGACGTTGTTGGTTCTCTCAATTCCGCCGCCCCTTGCATCACCTTGCGCATCCGTGATCGAGGAGGCGGCATCCCCCCTGAAGCATTGCCCAACATCTGGTCATACAGCTTCACCACTTTCAACAACGAAGAAGCCGCAGCAGCGACCAACACCACCAGCGACGGCTCCGAGGGTCTAAGTGCTATCTCCAACAGTGGAACGAATCAGTCATCTATTGCCGGTCTAGGCTATGGGCTACCATTGGGACGTGCTTACGCCGAGTACTTTGGCGGGGGAATCGCCGTACAGAGTATGTGGGGTTGGGGCACGGATGTCTACCTGACGTTGCAGGGTATTGGGAATACTAAAGAATTGAAAGACGCGCCCAATGGTTTTGAAGAGTTAGAGAAAGAGATGGGCGATAAGGGAACGGACTAGCAGCTCCGACTCCTTCGCGGCACCATTTCCTCCGTTCGCGCATTAGCAAGTCTTCTCAAGTCGGAACCATCAAGGTATACCAGTTCCGCGACGCACCGTGCTTAAGGGCTTCTGACGCTTAAGCAGTGCTCAAACAGTCTATCATTTCCCAGCAATGCATGTTTGGTGTCAAGTAAACACCGCATGCAGCTTGCCAGAGGCTCTATCCGCCAACCGCTCCTGCATCGGGAGACCATACATCTCCCTCGTCCAGCGACAACAGATCTTCCTCGTGTCCTTTGGATCCACAATTTCCTCCACATTGAAGACGTTCGCCGTCCGCACCGGGTTCATCAACCTGATGTACTCGTCTTCCAGCTCCTTGTACCGTCTCTTCCACCCTTCCTCACCTTCCTTTTCGCGGATCATCTTCAGTTCATGACGGTGGCCGACCTCAATTCCGCCGTCCAATGGCAAAGATCCCCAATTGCCCGAGGGCCAGACGATCCGCATCCATGGTTCGCGGCTGTCGAGCATGATGCCGCCGGCGACCCCGTACGCGCGACGAGTCACGACGTTGAAGATTGGCGTGGTGGTGCTGTAGTAGGCCTTGCCGAGCTCGACGCCCCATTTCATGGTGGCGGTCCGTTCGGCGACCGTGCCGATGGCGTAGCCAGCTAGAGCAGTCAATATATCAGCAAATAGAGTAGCAGAACTTATGTAGAGGCAGAGGATATGTGAATATGTACATGTACGGGGGAAATATAACAGAGAAAAAGAAAATAAAGAAATATACTTACGAACGTCCACAAACTGCACAATAGGCAAATTAAACACATCACAAAACTTGAGCATCTTCATCAACTTCTGGCTCCCCAACGCGTCCAAGGCGCCGGAGTTGACTTCACAGTTCAGGGACAGAATCCCGACCGGCCGGCCGCCGAGTCTCGCGAGCCCCGTGATGCCCGTGCGTCCCCAGAGGGCGCCGATCTCGAACCACGAGCCTTTATCGACGACCGAGAGGATGATGGTGTAGGGGTTATACATCCTGCTCTTCTTGCGGGGCACTATACTTCTCAAGGCCAAATCTTCTCTGTCGACGGGGTCGTCACAGGTGTCGAGAACGGGAGGGGGCTGGAACTGTCCGCACGACGGCAAGTAGCCCAGCACGGTACGGATCTGGTCGAAACACTCCTGCTCGTTGGCGGCGAGGTTGTCGATGGTGCCGTTTGTGCAGTGCACATTGGGACCGCCGAGGTCGGCGAAGGAGAGGCCTTCTTCGAACGTGGCCCCCTCGACGACCTTGGGCCCCGCGTTGAAGAGGGACCCAATGTCCCCGGCCATGACGCTGAAATGGGTGCTCACGACGCGCGCGGCGCCCAGGCCGATCGCGGGACCCAAGACGGCGCCGATGTTGGGGATGCCCATGTTCAACTGCTTGATGACCGTCGAGAGCAGCGTCACGTGCGGCATGTAGCTGTACCCGTTTGTGATGATGGTCGAGACGCTGCCGCCGCCGGAGGAGCCGTCGACGAGTTTCACCACGGGGACTTTGAGGCGCAGGGCCAGCTTCTCGCCGTACAGTGTCTTGATCCCCACGGATCCGTCCGCGTGGCCGGACCGGATCGCGAAGTCATCGCTCGTCAGATAGATTTGTCTCCTGATCCCCGTCCTCGGGCATGTGATCCGGCCGAACCCCTGCGGGTTGTTGCTCGGTATGAAACCCCCGACGTGCTCGGTTTGTGGGTTTTGCGCATCTTTCTCCCACGAGACGGTCCCCGTCACGGAACCGATTTCGCGCCAGGTGGACGGGTCGAGGAGCGTGGAAATGCGTTCGCGTGACCAGAGTTTTCCCGAGGTCTTTTGGCGTATGTAGCCCCTCGACGAAGGGTCGGGCGTTGTGGCGATGCTGCGGAGGGTATGCAGGTGCGTGAGGATGTCGCTGTAGTCGGCGGGTAACTCGGAGGGGTCGGAGGATTTGGAGGATCTTTTGGACTTGCGGGACCGTTTTGTGTTGGGTTGGGTGGTTTGTGGTTCTTGTTGCATCGGCGAGATTTGGGAGCTTAGTTGGTTGAGCCGGCTGGAGGCTGTGGAGCTGGCCTTGGATTGTGGTTGGGAGGACACTGGATCGTCGGATGGAGGTGTCTGACCTGTTCCGGACATTGGGGCAGGAGGATTTTCTGGTGTGGACGATATAGATTGCGGTTGGCCGTATACGGGGTCATTGACGGTGGTGTTCTGTGTCGAGCTCGCCTGTGGTTGAGAATACACTGGATCCTCCGACGGAGATGCCTGGCCAGTTCCAGATACTGGGGCAGGAGGTGTTTCTGGCGTAGACGAAATAGATTGCGGCTGGCCGTACACAGGGTCGTTCACGGTGGTGGTGTTCTGTGTCCCTATACTCGATTGAGACGAGACCGGGTCGTCTGCCGTCTGAACCCTCCCAGCTCGTAGCCCCTGCCCTGGTGCACTCGGGGATGCTGAAGCGGAGACAGGCTGGGCATAAACGGGGTCACTCAGCACACCGCCTCTCACGCCCCTCGATTGAGAATACACAGGATCATCCGCCGCCGACACCTTACCCTGTCCAGGACCCATTTCACGCGAACCTGGCGCCGAAGGAGCTGTCTGGGGCTGGCCGTATACCGGATCATTGATTTGACTCTGACCCGCTGCTTGTCGCCGAGATTGCGAATACACAGGATCGTCCGCCGGCGGGACTTTGCCCTGTCCCGGGCCCGGCGCAGGAGGGTCTGACGCCGAAGTAACTATCTGGGTTTGGCCGTATACCGGATCGTTGACCTGGCTCTGACTCTGACCCCGTGCTGCCTGGTTGTCTCCCGCGGCGGCATCGACTTGCGAATAGACCGGGTCGTCTTTCCGGGCCTCTGTCTCTGTCCCTGTCCCCACGACCGATGGCCGTGAAGCTGGCCGCGACGGCGCGCTTGTTGACTGAGCGTAGACTGGATCATTGATGCTCGTTGAGGACCTCGAGGACGGTCCGACTTCAGAGTCATCGGCACGCGACGGGGTGGACTTTTTGGAGCCCATGATTCCTGTGGCCTGTCGTGTCGTGTCCCGTCGAGCTCGTTTCAATTCTTTCCCTCCTTCCTTCAATTCTTCTTCTTGATCTTAGGGTGGTTCGTCTCGTGCTTATTGACACCCACGACTACAAGTCCAGAGAGCAGAAAATCAAGCCTAATTGGACTTTTGACCATGTAAATTGAGGACTCTCTTCAATCCGAGTTCACAATCAGCGTTGGCTATCAGTGCTCTTCTGATGTGTCTTTTTGCCTTTTCCCTTCTTCCCTTTCCCTCTTAGTACAAACAGTCCGAAGGCCAAAAAATGAAGAGAGAGCAACAAGGTTGGAAACGAGGTTCCTGAATGCCTAGGTACGTAAGAGTGTCGTCTGGGGAAGTTTCAATGGCCAATGAATGGCTAATCGTCGGTTCCTCCCCCACAACTTCACAGATCCGGAGAACAGCCTCGGTTCATCATGTTGGAGTCAAGGGAGATTGCTTGAGGATATCCGAGATCAAGACTGGTAACGAATGGGACATCGAGCCAAGGCATCGGTACCAAAGGGAGTTGGCCTCTTTGTCTCAGGATGAGTTTTTTCTTGCCTTTGAGCAGCTATGTAAGGGGGGCTTTATGACAGACGTTTTTTTGGAAGCTGGAACTTCGAGACCGAACATATAAGAAGGATAGACCGATAAATAGAAAACCAGGTATTCTGACATTAAGACAACATCCAGAATATTGCAATATGCCACCACCTCAACGCCCGATCTCGCGCATCCTCGTCGCAAATCGTGGCGAGATCGCCATCCGAATTCTCCAATCATGCCACGAACTGGCACCACAACCTCCCACAACTTTTGCAATATACACGGACAACGACTCGACGCACATCTCCTTGGGCAGACCTCACCACGCCATCAAAGCCGCTTTTGGGCCGGCATCGTACATGAACATCGACTACCTGATTGGTGTGGTCAAGGAGCACAAAATCGACGCCGTGCACCCGGGGTATGGATTTTTGAGTGAGAGTGCAGAGTTTTCGCGCAGGATGTGGGAGGAGGCGGGATGTGTGGTCGTTGGCCCCGGTTGGGAGGTATTGGAGAGGACGGGGGATAAGTTGATGGCGAAAGCATTGGCGAGCGAGTGTGGTGTGCCGGTGCTAAAGGCGATGGAAAGACCGACTGGTAGTGTGGAGGATGTTAGGCGGTTTGCTGCGAGTGTTGGGTATCCCTTGATGATCAAGGCCGTGGACGGTGGTGGCGGGCGAGGTATTCGGTTGGTGAAAAGCGAGGACGCGCTGGACAATGCAGTGCAGAGATGTGTAGCCGAGTCGCCTTCTCGCTTGGTGTTCGCTGAACAAGCAGCCGTGGAAGGGTACAAGCACATCGAGGTGCAGATCGTCGGTGACGGCAAGGGCGGAGTCACGCACCTGTGGGAAAGAGACTGCAGCGTCCAGCGCCGGTTTCAGAAGATCGTCGAGTTGGCGCCGGCGCCGGTGCAGAATCGAAAAGTGATTGCACAGGTCATCGACTCGGCCGTGAGGATGGCCACGCAGCTGAAATACTTGGGTTTGGGGACCTGGGAGTATCTGGTCAATGTCCAACAGGAAAAGTTCTTCTTCCTCGAAATCAACCCGAGACTGCAGGTTGAACATACCATCACAGAGTGCATCACGGGCGTCGACCTCGTGAAGCAACAATTGCTTCTTGCTCAGGGTCTGCAGACGAGACTGGGAGGATCGCACGACGCCAACAAAGCACCCCCTTCTGCGTCAATTCAGCTACGCCTCTGCGCGGAAGATCCCACCGCCGGCTTCTCCTTGAGTATCGGCAAGGTCAGCGACGTGCAGTTCCCTTCTGGCAACGGCGTCCGGGTCGACAGCCATCTGTCGCGCGGAGGCGTGGTCGGGTCCGACTTTGACAACATGATGGCCAAGGTCATTGTCACCGCCTCAACCTGGGAAGAGTGCGTGGGCAAAGCGCGCAGAGCGCTGGAAGAGACAAAAATCGTGGGCGTCAAGTCGAATCTGAACCTCCTCAAGGCTATCTTGACGCATGAGAGGTTTGCGGCCGGCGACGCCGACACGAGCTGGCTCGAGCGGAACCTCGACCAGCTCGTCGCTCTCGGAGAACAACTCGGCAGCATTACTGAGATACGAGAAAGCTCGCTTCCCGCTCTGTCCTTGTCCAGCAGCAACACCCCGGGTTCCGCCGTCGGTGGCGCAGGCGCATCGACACTGTTCAGAAAAGGCGACGCCTGGACGTTGGTTCTTGAAAACTCCGGCGAGAAATCATCCTCAAGCGTGAAACCACCCGCTCACCACCTCTCCATCTCTCGCGTCACGCGCAATGAATTCCCCGCGGCGCTCATCGCCGACATCTCATACACCATCCCCGGTGCGAGAACGCACTCGTACAAGATGACTTTGAACAGCACGACTTCCTCCGCCGACGCCGCTGCCTCAACTCACCGACGGGGTGATCCAAGCAAAAAGACACACATTGTACTGCCCATGAGCGGAAAATTGGTCGAAGTGCTCGTTGACGAAGGGGACGAGGTGCGCGAAAACGAGGTCATTGCCTTCGTCAAGCAGATGAAGATGGAGTTGGAAGTCAGATCGCCCAGGGCCGGCAAGGTGAAATGGGTGATTGAGATGGAGAACGAGGAGGAAGGTGATGATGTTGCTGAAGGGGTGTTGTTGGTGGAACTGGAGGATGAGGAGGACAGTGCAAAGAAGCCGGAGGTCAGATCTAGATTGTGAGGCGAGATCGATCAAGGAGGATATATATTCATACAAGATATAGAAGCCTAGATATTGTCATGGCGTCTCTAATCTTTCACGTTGGCAATGCCCGAGCCACACAAGAAGCAATTAACACATGCAATTCCTTTCCTGTCCAGCTCCTTTTTCTGTCCTAGAGTAAAAAGGTATAGTATAGCAGCCTTATCTTCGCAAGAATTCTTCCACCTCAAAGCCAACCCTCCTCTTCGCCTTGTCCCAATTTTCCATCTCCTTGGCCTGCTGTGCCGCTGTTAGTGTCTTGTTTGTCCCCTTCGGATCTTCACCAGCTGCCAACGAGGTGTTGACTCCTGCTATACCAGTCTTCACGATCACCGCCCTAGAGTCTTGCAATCGAATCTCTACTCCTGTTCCTCCAGTATGGGATTGCGATGAAGCCACGCTTGACAATCTATCCCTGCTAACGCCCGTGTTTCCATGAGCGCCGCTCGCGACACTGGCATGGGTACCTTGTATTGGTATCTGTTTGACAACGTCCACACCGTCCGCAGGCTCTTCATCTACGCCTCTTATAATGATAGTGACGTCTGGTCCAATGCTTCCTCGCCACAGTGTGGCGAACCACTGCCAGTGAGCGGGCGGGGAGAAGCCGTCGTTTATAGGCATACTGATGGAGCTCGCATCGACAGTGGTCAGTTGGAAATGTGGAACGATAGCAATAGGTATGGCTCCGCTGGGATTGGTGCAAGAGGTTGGCGAAGGGGGGGTTGCAGTTGGCAGTGGCTGAACAGATGCTGGACGAGGCACCGAAGATGCTGGCAGAGGAGGTGGAATTCGTGACAGACTGGCTGCGGCCGGAGGCGGAGGCGTGCATGGCGGAGGTGTGCTTGGTGGAGGGGGAATGCGCTTCGAGTTAAGAGGGCGTGGGAAGGTCAGCAGCGATTGTGTTGCTCGCGAGTCCAACTCGCTTGGTGTCAATCCTTTGTTAGCCCACATGCCCGGTGTACTCTGGCTCCTGCCCTTATGTCCGACCGGGTTGACGAAAGGCGAGTTGATGGACATATCTGCAGCCTTGCTGAGGGTCTTGGGTGAAATTGCTGAGTCAAGCTGGTCTGTCCTCCCTTCCTGTATCGCACTAGATGATTGAGATGCGTTTCCTTCATGTAGGCTTCCCTCAGACGGCATCGGTGGCTGATGGTGATCTTCCGCTTCAGCCATAGGATGGTCCTCGTCGTGCTGGTCGAGCACAATGGGGTATGACTGCGATCCAGACCCAGGCCTCGAAGTAATATACTCGACCATGTCCTTGTTGATTTTGTGCCACTGACTCATTATGTCCAAATACGCATCTGGGGTCATGCCTCTCTTCTTCCCTCCACCGTGAACGGCCTTTGCGTCACGCATCGTAGAGTATGGATCTGGTCCTCCAAATATCCTCACGGCAAACTTGCCCTCCTTCTCTAACTGCTCAGCAAGAGAGTTGGTCATGCTCTCGACACTGGCAGCGTCCATGCCCTCAACGGCAATAATGGCCCCTCGAACTTCTGGTTTAGGAGATGTGAGACCTGGTGCCGGCAACGGACCCGAGATCTGAGAGAGGACTTTGATTTTGTTCAACACTGGGATGGACATAATCATGGCTTCGACTCCAGAACTCTGAGATTGCGTGGACGGCGTCTTGACTGGAGTCTGCGTAACCATTGTCTCTATTGGAGGCAAAGCTACACTCGGTCGGTTTCTCTGATGAGGAGGGGGTGGTCGTATAGGTTGCAGCTGTGGTGGGCGAGGGTATGCTGCTCGAGGAGGTGACACCATCTGCGGATTGGCAACTTGGACATGTTGGATGGGGATCTGTTGGGGGTGCTGCAGGACTTCTTGACGGGCATATACACCACCGGTGGTGGGGGAATGGGCATAAGAGTATGATGCTTCAGGATAAACTTCACGAGCTGGCAGATAAACGCCGTTGCCATTGAATCGCCGCCTCTTCGCATCTTGTGATTCTGCGGATGGGGGAGTCGGCAGTGTTTGAGAGGGAGGCGGGACAGCAAAGACCAAGCGAGGGTCGACTCGCTGGAAAGTGACATGTTCAGGCGAAAGAGCTTGCTGTCCGTGGATCCTCGAGCCCGGCGGAGCAGCACTGACAACGTAGCCACGTTTGGCAGGGACCGTAACAGCCATCGTTTGTCGTGCAGCAGACGCTAGCGGCGTACATACAGGAGCCGGGTTGGTGTAATAGTTCATCGGCTTACCACCACACTTTGGGCAACACTCTTGGGCTTCGGCAGACGAAGGGCCAGACAGAGAGGATTGATTGCTAACCCGGCCGTTGCGACGTGGATGGTAACGATAACCGGGATACTGTCGTTGATGGCGGGTTTTTTCTTCCTAAAGAACGCAAGAAGTCAGGGCAACAAAGGTCTTTGTGTGGTTGATAATCAGGGCAGTCTTTATCTCAACGTACTTCCGCAAGCAGATTCCATTCCTCTTTGGCCTCAGCGGACAGACCACGCCATTGTTCGCCAATGATCTTTGATACTTCCGGATTCGGAATACCTGGATTCTGCGCTATGATACTGGCCTGTTGATGTTGACGGAACAAAATAAAGGCTGTCGCAGAGTCAGCACTCTCTCATCTGCTAGAAAAGGCAATCTCACAGTTGCGAGGTCTGGGAATCTTGGGACTCGCTGGGCACAAGCAGATATTCTCTCTAGAATTGGAATCTTTTCTCACAGCAGCTGGATGAGGCTGAGTTTCCATTTCCAAAGAACGGCCTCGGCGGGAGGGAGAAGTGGATCCGGAGTCACCATTGGCAGTATCCTGAGGTTGTTCTATATACTCTTCACGGGTGGTACCAGTATGACTTGAACGCTCAGGTAGATGGTCCGGGCCACCATCTTGGGGAGACGCATGTCCGGTTGGAGACCGGTCACGAAATAAATGATGCTGCGCGAGGGATGAAGTACGTCTCAATGCGAGGTTATGCCCAGTGGGAGGCTTGGGTAGCAAACGATACCATGCTGGAAGGTTGGGGAGGTGATGGTTACTGGTAGCTGCTGAAGTCATAGCGCAAAGAAAGAATTCTTTGTACTCTGGCCATCCAAATTCTTTTCAGAGTGCAAGTGCGCGAATAGCAGACGCAGGAGGGCCACAGGTCTTTGTAGAGCATCAAAGAGAGCGTCTGCCATCCTCGCCTCACCTTCTTTCGTGGCCCTTTGTTCTGTGTATTGAGTCTCTGACGGGATAGTTCATCAGGAGCCATGGACATGAGCGATGAGCGATGAGCGAACATGTGAGGCTGGCGACAGGTTAGGTGGTCTGGGTTTGCTTTGTTCCCAGGCGAACGCAACACGGGAAAATGCGGTCCCAATCACCGTGCACCCGAAACAATAAGCAGTGGAATGCAGAGAAGACAAAGAATGAGTTCATCGCTGCTGTCGCAAAGGTGGAGCACTTGGAGGTCTTAGGAACGTAGGAAAGCTGGAAGTTCAGTTGCCTGTCGCACAGCTCGTGTTTGATCAGTGCTTTAGGTGCTAAGACTGTAGTTGAGTGACGAGGAAGAGAAATTCTCGGTCGGCCTGTTTCGCAATCGGATGGAATGCCCACGGGTAGTACCCTGGAGACCGCGATGAAGTGTGAAGCTGTCAGTCAGCTGCGATTGAGAGTTGAGACAACCGAAAACAGCTCGAAGAGCGTCATGTTTGTTTCTCTCCCGCCCTTGAAGGCAATGTAGAGAGGCACGGGCAGCACGAGACTACCAGAGGATGATGGAAATGATGATGAACGAGTCCAGACAAGTCCGCCAATTGATAAGTTGAGGTGATTGAATTTACTTGCACGTATCGACAAGACCCTGTGGCACTCCCTCAATCCGACGGGACGGTAGGCCGACGCCATCGGAGGCAGTCATGGTGGTGAATTTCATCCTCGTAATGATCGTACAAGAGTGTTTGTTTTCGAAATGAGAGCAGTCTGCGTCCACGGGCAGCAATTTGGACGGGGTAGAAGGGTTGTTTGAGGTGAAACGAACGTGTGGCTGGGTTTCATATATTTCGTAACTCGTACTCATACACTCATCCTAATCATCAATTTTGGTCTACCATCCAACGCTCCCACGATCAAGTCTTGCAAAACGATTCCCAAGCAATTCAGAAAGGCATTCAAGTTCCTTCCAGACTAATGCTCTTCACCCAGCGAAGACTCGAACGTTGCAGTCAACGCAGGCCGTGGCGATAACACAGCGAACCTTGCCTCCTCCGCCACTGTCTTCCTTCTTGACAGCATTGCCTACGCCATTGGCCTCTCCATTCATGCTTGGTTGGACTGGAATATCGGGGGCCCACCGGATGCTGGTGATGAAATGCTGGTGAGCATCATCTAGAACCTTGACACATTTACACTCCTGTGACAGATCCCAACAACGGATGGTTTTGTCGTCAGATATCGAAATCAGATACCGGCCAGCAGGGTGGAAGACCAGCCCCCGTACCCAATTATCATGTCCAACCAATGTCTTGTGGCATGTTCCCCGATTGTCCCATATTTTGATGACTTTGTCTCTTCCTCCCGTTGCGAGAAACTCTCCGCTACTGCTGGCTGGAGGCGGCTTCTTGTAACCTGCAACACTGGAGAGATGGGCGTAGGACGAGCTTGGGGCAAAGGCGACACACTCCACCACGTGCTCGTGGCCTAAGAAAGTGATCTTGACCTCGCCCGAGCTTGCATCCCATAACCGTGGTATTTGATCGTTCCCTGCGCTTAGTAGCCATCTACCGTCGATTGAGGGGACAACTGCCCGAACCCAGTCTGTGTGTCCCTTTAATGTTTTCAGGCAGTATCCAGTTGTGACATCCCATATCCGAAGTGTTTTATCTCTGGATGCAGATACCAATGTGTTCCCCGATAGAGGAGCCCCAGCAGCACCCGAAGGAATAAAGCGAATAGAAGAGATGGAATGGTCATGACCCGGTAGCGTCCGGATGTTCTTGTATTCGTCACTGGGGTCCCACAACCGGATGGTGAGGTCGCTGCTGCAACTGGCCAGAAGCGTGCCTCCTCTTGGACCGCCAAAGTCGACATCCAGCACTGCCTTCGTGTGACCTTTTAGAGTCCGTTCGAGCTCCCCCAGCTCCCAGTCCCAGATCTTGATCGTAGAGTCATCTGAAGCGGATGCGAGAGAGGAGAAGATTGGATGGAATGCAACGGCGGTAACAGGATCCCGGTGACCTTGCAGGGTGTGTCGGGCGGGGGCTCTAGGTAACCACGTCTGAGGGTCGATTTTTCGGTTCGAGGAGAGGGGTGTAGCAGTTTCTATCTCTTGTTGAAGGGCGACATTCTTGGCTTCGAGATCCATGATCTTTTTCTGTAGGCGGACCACTGAAGTCCATTTCTTCTCCAACAGGGTCTCATACTTTTTGGCGGTAACGTCGTCAAAGGTGTCGGCCAAGTTCGTTTCACGTCGCAAGGTATTCGCACTTTCGGTCATGCCAATCGAGAGCAAGTACGCGACCATGGACTTGTGCCTGGGACGAGGAGCGTCAGTCTCAAGGCGCGGGGAAAGGACAGCACGAGACCCTACAGTTCCTCTGCTTGACGCGAGGTCAGGAGCTGGCTCATTGCTGAACTGCTTGGGCGCGGAGCCCCTGATCGAATGTCTCCAATGCTCTAGATGCTCATGCAATAGCGAGAACAGTAGCTTCAACTGAACAAGTGGCCCGCAGCTTTCGTCAAGGATCGGACGTGTCGACCTCCCCGCTGGTGGAAGCAATTGACCGTCTACCACCGCTTCAGTCAACCCCTTCTGTGGCAATAATAGCTCTGTGTGAGCGAAGGAATGAAGGAGTGAAGATTTGGAGGGGCGAGGATGTGGTATTAGTAGCCAGAGAATGGGCGTCCGACAAAGACACAATGAAGGATAGTAGAAGCGAAAAAGTGTAGGGAGACCGACCTGGTCGTTTGGCGGTTTGTGTTGTCATAGGCACAAGCCAATGTTTATGTGCCAAACTTGACCCCATCGTGCCCATCTCCATCTGCATCCGCATCTCCAACACCAACTCAATGGTTTTCCCGCATGACACTTTTCCGCGCCTGCGACATCTGGCAAACAACTGATTTCACAGTGTCGCTTCTCTTAACGCCCCTCAAAACAGGCTGTTGACGCGTCGCATACCCTTGGGTTCCCCTGGTGAGCACTTACAGAGGCCCTCAGGTCGCAGTCGCGACTGCATTGTCGTTTGTGAAGGCCACCGACCGCATGACACCAAAACAATAATATCAACAGGTGCGTGTCTGTCAAACCGAGTCATCTCGGCACCTTTGTATGAATGTACTTGACTGATGTTTTCCGATAGCCCTCTCGCGCGTCCCAGGAGAAAGAAACCTTCCGCCAATTTCTTCTCACGGCTACGGATCTTCTCCCCCACGACTATGGCTGAACAAGAGGAAGACTTCTCACAACTGCCGTTGGTCGACAGGTTCGTGCACAAGAATTGGAAAGCCCGCAAGGGAGGATATGAGGCCGCCGTCAAAGAGTTTGAACTTACGCCCGACGAGTCGGACCCCGCCTTTCGACCCTTTTTACAAGACCCGAGTCTCTGGAAGTCGGCTGCTGGCGATTCCAATGTTGCCGCTCAGCAAGAAGGCCTGGCTGCATTGTGCGCATTTCTCAAATATGGTGGTCAACAAGCAGCCGTCAAGTCCCGAAACTTCACACTGCAGCCCATCTACGAGAAGGGATTGTCATCGACGAGACCTCAAGCCAAAGCCAGTGCTCTAGAGGCTATACTGCTCTACATCGAACTTGACAAGTCGGATCCCGTGATTGAAGAACTATTGCCCGCCCTCTCCCACAAGCAACCCAAGATTGTCGCGGCAACTCTAAATGCACTCACCTCTATTTTCCACAATTACGGCGTCAAGATTGTCGAGCCCAAGCCTGTCCTAAAAGCTTTACCCAAGGTTTTTGGCCATGCAGACAAGAATGTCAGAGCCGAAGCGCAAAACCTCACTGTCGAACTGTATCGGTGGCTCAAGGATGCGATCAAGGTCATATTCTGGAACGAATTGAAGCCAGTACAGCAACAAGACCTGGAGAAGCTATTTGAGAAAGTAAAGGAAGAGCCGCCGCCCAAGCAGGAACGCCTCACGAGGTCGCAGCAAGCCGCCCTGGCGACAGCAGCTCCAGTAGCTAGCGGTGCCGACGATGAATATGGCGAAGTGGCTGAAGAGGGAGAAGAAGAAGTCGAAATTGACTTCTCAGAGCCAGTCGATGTCTATTCGAACATCCCCTCAGATTTCCACGAAATGGTCGGCTCGACCAAGTGGAAGGAACGCAAAGATGCTCTTGACGCACTCTTCAATGTCCTGAACCAACCCAAAATAAAAGAGGCACCATTCGATGACCTAGTCCGTGCATTCGCAAAGTGTATGAAGGACGCCAATATTGCTGTGGTGACAGTGGCTGCCAACTGTGTCGAAAAGTTGGCATTGGGTCTTAGGAAGTCCTTTGCGAAATACAGATCCACAATCATGTCGCCAATGATGGAGAGGTTCAAGGAAAAGAAGCAGTCCGTGGCGGACGCGTTGGGAGCTGCTCTGGACGCCGTCTTTGCTGCAACGTCTCTGAGCGAATGCCTTGAGGAGACTTTGGGCTTCTTGCCCAACAAAAACCCCAATGTCAAAGCTGAAACAATAAAATTCCTTGTCAGATGCTTGCGGACTACCCGAGACGTGCCCTCTAAAGAGGAGCAAAAACGCATCGCCGACGCAGCCACGAAGCTTTTGACAGAGTCCACCGAAAACATCAGATCTGGCGGTGCTGAAATTCTTGGGACACTCATGAAGATCATTGGTGAGCGTGCCATGAATCCTTATCTAGATGGACTGGACGACATTCGAAAATCCAAGATTAAGGAGTACTTCGATACTGCCGAAGTCAAAGCCAAAGAGAAGCCGAAGCCTGCTCCAGCTCCCGCCAAAGCGACTTCTGCCGTTGGTAAAAAAGTTGTTGGAGGTTCGAAGAAACCTGCACCTGGCGCAAGAAAGCCAGCACCAGTAGCAGCACCTGCTCCCGTCGAGGAAGCGACACCTCTGCAACCCAAACCTACGGCAAAAGCCCTTCCCAAACCCGGCGGACTGGCTCGACCGGGCCTTGCGCAGCCCGCTGGTCTGAAACTCGGCGGGCTCAAGAAACCTGCACCTGGTCGCCTTTCGGTTGGAAGCCCACAGCGACGAGTCATCTCACCACCAGTGAGCACAGATGGCGACGAAGAGGCAGCAGCAGCAGTGCCATCTCCATCAAAGTTTGGCATGGGTCGAGGTGGACTTGCCGGCCGACCCTTGTCCAGACCGGCTGCTGCTCCACTGTCGCCCCCATCGACGGCACAACCCTCAAACGCCCTTTCAGTGGTAGAGCGGGCAGAGCTAGAGGAACTCCGCGCCGAAAAAGAACGACTAACAGCATTGACTGACAGCCTTCGAAGCAGCAATGCTAAACTCACCGCAGAAATATCAGAACTTCAGAACCAGAACGCACAGCTGATCGAGGATCATACACGTGATGTTCTGCAAATAAAAGCCAAGGAGACACAGCTCGTCCGGGCGAGAGGCGAATGCGATGTTCTGAAAGCAGAGGTCGAAAGTGTTAGGAAAGAGAGCGAGCGGTATAAGCGCGAGGTGTCACGGCTTGGCCGTGAGAGTATTGGTCGAGAACGAGACGACATGATTCGTAGCCGAGCACTGGACGAAACCTCCAACTTTGGCAGCGAAAGCGGAGCAGCTCTATATGAAGATCCTTCCTTGAACAATCGATACCCGACGAACGGAAATGTTCATCCGCCGCGACCAACCAGCACAGCTTTGCATCGGACCGGAAGCTCAGCGAGCACGCAGAGTGGACGTGCACAATCGCAATCCAGCGGGGCGAAAGCCAGACCGCAGAGTGGTTTTACGTCTCACGGTAACCGTCTCGATCTCAGTCCCAGCGAGGAGAAAGAAAACAATGGGCTGGGGATCGACCCACTCGGAGCAACGAGGAGAAAAATCAGTCCGCCCATGGGATCTCACAGTGGGAGGACGAGTCCCCAGCGATCTGGGCATACACCTGCATACTCTATGAGTAGGGAAGCTAGCGACTCGGGGCTATCGGCAGGAGCAGGACCTAGGGAGTCAGGGTCCAGGCCGGAAGAGAATTGGAAACGGGCGGCGGAAGTCACAAGCCAGTTGAAAGCGAGGATTGAAGCTATGAAGGTAAGTGGGCTCTTTGTTCTGTCAAGGCTTGATGGGCGTAGCTGACCTTGGATGTTTTCAGGCACGACAAGGCTTGACACGGCACTGAATGGAGCTATCGATGGGTAATGGAAAGCGAATCTACTCTGCTGATTAGGAGCACTGCACTGATGATGGAGCAAGCGAGCGGTTGCTTATTGGTTTTCCATGGGGGGCTTTGGAAATATGGTTTGGTCAATGTACAGAGCGCAGTTCTGTCACCTCATTGCATTGCTGCCCTGGACGCCCAATTACTCTTTCTTGTTGTTCTCCCGGGATCGTCGGGGAGTTGGAGATAGAAGCGAGTTGGGCATTGTAATGAAAGGAGCTTTTCTTTCACGGGAAAGACGGTTGAATCGAACAGCAATTGATACCCACCTGTAGCGGAGCACCTGCATGTACCCCTTGGGTTTTGACAATGCTATTACCCGTTCGGAGATTCCCTGTGCAGTACATTTAGCGAGGGAGAGAAGGGAAAGTTGTTGGGAGCAGGATATCACCCGTCACGACGATTGGTCGATGCAGAGGACTTGGGAGGAGGACATTGGAAAGACCAAAACTAAAAGGCGCGTGGTTGGCACGGTTCAATTTTCCTTTTTGCTTCTTTTTTTTTCTTTTCAACTCGTAAGGGCCCATTTCTGTTACGCGGCCGTGGACGTGACCTGGACCTTCACCGTGAACTATGACTATGAACGCCCCGGGATGTGCAGGCCATGCGACTAGATACTTACATACGTAGGTATGTAGGTTGTCGAGCGTGGCAAAACCGCAAGAGTCCTCAACGGCCGCTGCTCTTGAACCCCCCCCCTGGTTCCCTTTCATCACTGCAGGTCCGACAATGACCAGGCCGGGCAGCGAAATAATAGCTCTGGCCTCCGGCATCAATCTCTCATTAAAACAATGTGGTCGACCGGTCAGGTGTAAAGCCCGCTCCGCTCTCTTGAGGTCCTCACCATCAACATCCAGCACGAATGCCACATGAACATGGCACGAGTAATCGAGTCGAACAACCATTTCGCTTTTCAAGAAGTTCGCACGTTGAATTCCCCCCAGCGACACTGGTGGAAGGAATCAGCCGATCAAAAAGAATCGATAGTTCGCTTAGATCTTGATTGCGCTCTCGACGGCCTTCCTCTTCTTGTCCATCCTCGCCACGGCCTTGACACCCATGATGCCACCACCCCAGTGTCTCCGATGCTCGTCGTACTTGTTGGCGTAGCCCTCGTTGATGGTGTTGACCAACTTGGACAGCTCGGACTTGTCCTCGCCTTTCACTTCGGTCAGAGCCAGCACGGCGGCGGTCTTCTTGTGAACCACGGTTCCCAAGCGGGCCTTGCCCTTGATGATGGCGTAGGGCACACCCATCTTCCGGCAGAGCGCCGGGAGGAAGACGACCAGTTCGATAGGGTCGACGTCGTTGGGGATCAGGACGAGCGAGGCCTTCTTGGCTTCGATGAGGCCGACGACGTGGTTGAGGCCGTATTTGACCGTGTAGGGTTTCTAATTGTCATGTTAGTATTACACATAATCTTGAAGAAGGGAGTCCGGGAATGCCCACCTTGCTCACATCCTCCTTCTTCTTGCCCTCCTGCACAGCGGTCGCCTCTTGGTGCAGTCTCTCTTTCTTCTGGGCCTTGGTCTCAGGACGGTACTTGTTCAACAACTTGAAGGTCTGCGCCGCGGTGTTTCGATCGAGAGTGTTCTGGAACTGCGCGATCGCAGGTGGGACCTTGAGGCGCATGTTCAGAATCTTCTTCTGGCGCTGCAGCCGGATGTACTCTGGCCATCTAATCCATAATGTCAGAACCACCTCCCTCCAAAATTGTAGACATGTCGACAAGGTGTACGTACTTGACCATACGAGAGAGGTTGCGCTTGGGCTGCACATCTTGACCAATGCCAAAGTTTCGAGGGCGCTTCTCGAGGAGGGGATTCTATGATCACCACAAGTCAGCATATTCAGCTCAGTGTGCTCTTACCAATAGCCTCATCCATAATTTCGTAGGCAACTCGAAGGCTTTGAAAACAATACTGAGAGCAGGAAAACGTACCTTGGCAGCCTTCTTGTTAGCACCGGCCTTTCCTTGCGGAAAAGGCGCAGGCGCGGGCTTCTTCCCCTTTGGTGGCTATCATTGAGCAAAGAAAACAGTCAGTCAAATAATCCTTCCACACTGACACAAAACGTTTTCTTTGAACTCTAAGGAGAAGAAGGCACGCTCAGAGGCAGTGGCTAGGTGCGCATCTGAGATTCTTCTTCTCCAGCCGGAGTCATCACCGAGAATCGAGCAAGGAGACATGGTATGCGCGGGAACAACCCATTGAACTGAGCCCTCAGCAGAGAGAGGTCAGGACGCAGGATCCCTACCACACGCTCACAGTGCCCCCAGGCAAAATTCTGGCGGAAAATGTCTCGACATCTCGAGCCTCGCTTCAATCCGGCGGGGGCGGATATTGATGCGCAGGCTGTAGGATGGCGGAGGAGAATAGAGGCGATGGTTCAGCTTACCATTGTTGTCGACTAAGGAAGAGGACCTTTGACTTGCAAGAAGTAGAAAGTAAAGGGCGGGTTGAGGTTGAGGCGTAGGTCACGTAAAGTCTCAATCAATCTACAAGTCGAAAATGTGGAAAAGTTCGAAGTGCGGGCTCACCCGAAAAGGAAAGGTCGGGTCTTGGCAGGATCTCCAAGCTTGGCAGAAGAGGACGGTTCAGCCTCGCGAGATTCAGCCTCGTGGCTGCAGTGCTAGACACGACTTGCGGAATAGATCATGCCGAGGTCGTTTCATACCTCGCGTAGAGCCAAAAAAGCCCCAAGGCTCCTTCAGCGGTGCACCATAGAAACACAAGGCCCCTATGCAGACGAAAAGGACATTGAAAATTGACACGATCCTGGTCACATATGCAGACGAATCGACCAAGCACCAAGCAGGCATTGCAGTCATGGTATGATGCCTTTATCAGCTAAGCTAATAGTAATCTATCTATGCATATGGTCCGCAGTGGCGGCTCGGCATGGTATCTGAGATCTGCACATCTCAGCCCAGGCCCAAACCACCCGCGACTTGCGGTGGAAACTCCCTATTGATCCAGCCATTGTGGTCGCCATAGTACTCTGTCAATTTTGCGTGCATCTTTGCACCAGCCCAACCCGCACGACGTCTTATGATGGTGCTCTTGAGACATGATGGCTCACTCCGAGAAAAGCACATAACCGCAGAAATGCCGCGCATATCACTCCCCAACCCTGTTCACCATTACAACCCGTCCCAGGCACGTTTTTACCTTCCCCATATCACACCGAGCGAGTCCGACCGATCATGCGAAACCGAAATAATCAGCGCCGAGATTAATTGCCGTCATCAAGTTGTTCTTGAGAGTATCGTAGTCATCGTAAGCAGGCAGATCAAGCTGATTGAAACAAGTGTGGCTCGTTGGCAGGCGAGATTGACTTGGATCCCTGTGGCAGTCTCGTTAGTATCTGTGTAAAAGCCTGAGACGGTATCTGACAAACTTACTTGTGTATACTGAACAAGGTATTTCCTTGCATTCCTTCAAGATCCTTAAAGCCATTGAGAGGAACTTTGCTGGTGCCAGTAACGAATTGCAACAATTTCGCTCGTTCTTCATTGCTCATACCGCGGACGATGCGCCAGAACCACGTAACTTGAGGACTGTTGGCATTGTAGTTGTGATATTCGGTATGGGCTTTCCAATCGTCCACGTCAATCTCTGGCAGTCCAGAGATGAGCAACTCGAGTTCCTGCTCATCGAAGATCGCGATGAGCTCTGCCGGGATGATGTCGTGAAACCCCTTGACGAAATTCTCGAGCTGGTCTTTCACTGATGTTGTCAGGCGGTAGCGAACCTGAGCGTTGACATATTCTCTCTTGTTCTCCTCCGTCACTGGGATATTCCGCCCATCCGGAATAAGATCAACGATCTTTTCCTCGCCAAATTGCTCTTCGACCACAGAGAAGTCCTCTGTAATGACGTCCGTGATGTCGTTCTCCAGGATCCAGACCAAGCTCTTGTAGTAGTCAAGATCCATGGATTCGAGATCTTTCAAATTAGGTTCCTTCCCTAGAAGCCGCTTATAAACAGCACGGCTGAAGTGGCAGTCAAGGACGCGTCCCTCGTGCAAGGCCTTTCCAATGATGCGACCGATAAATTTGAAGTAAAGAAGATGTTCACCGTTGATCCAACTGAGAGGATTAGGGTGAAATGTGGTGCGATCGGCTGCCACAGGTTGCCACAGTGCCCAATCCGGATTGAACATGCCTCGAGCAAGAACTTGAAACCACTCTCTGGTGACACCACCTGCATCAACGCCCTCTTCGCCATTGAACCGAATGTTGAGTTTGCCATATTTCATCTCCTCGGCGGATTTGAAGTACAAGGCCTTGTACGAATCCAGGAACACTTGGCTCCGGCGGACGTTGAGCTGTAGAGGCGGTTGGATATGACGTTGCTGGTGCAGTCTAGAGTGAATCTGCTTGGTAAAGTAGGCTCGCTTGTTGTCAAAGTCGAGAACTTTGGGGTTCTTTACCAAGAGGCTGAAGCTTCCATTTCCTTGCATCAGCTTTGGTGACTGACGAATGATATCATTGAGGATCTTTCGGTGCTCAGTAGTGAAGTTGAAGAATAGTTCTTGAAGGTCATCCATAGCTTCCGGTGCCGGACTTCCTGGCACCTGTTCTCTGATTTGACGTGCCAGGACCGAGTCTTTGAGAGAAGTGTTCTTGCAAACCACCATCAAGGACTCGATGAGAGGGAGCAATATTGTAGCAAAGCTGGTAATGTTATCCTTCTCGCGGACCGTTGTTAAACATTCGCTCAATTTGGTCCACAGCGGTCGCAGTGCAAGGCTTTCGTACGACGATGTAAGGATGCTCTTTGCAACGGTGTTTCCCTCAGGTTCCTCATTCTCAGCCTTAGGCGCAGACAGATAGTCCAATGCCTGGAGAACTCGCAAGAGCTTGACTTGATCAGAACCTCCATGTGAAAACTTTGTTGATGAGAGCACATGAAGATCTGTGATCGACTGCGCTTCGGTGAGCTGTGGAATCAGCTCGTCTAGGTCTTTGCAGATGGATTCCGAAAGTTCTTTAATGTGATGAATCAACTCTTTGCTGAACACGTCGGAGGTGCCGGGTACGCATGAAAGACTCGACAGCGTCTCTAAGGTAGAGTGGAAAGTGTCGCTGTTGCATTCGGGAGCAACAAAGATGCTCACCACAAGTTGCAAGTTGTGTTCCGAAATCTCGGGCGGTTCAAAAGCCTTCTTAGACTTAGCTCCATCGGCAGTCAAGTCCTCGTTGCTAGTGTCGGCGTTGTCACTCGTCCCCGTCTCGGCTGTCTCAGATTGTTGAGCTGCACTTGTAGAAGCCTCGTTCTCTTCGTTGGCAGCAGCAGGCGCCGGCGCGTCTTGGATCTCCACATCCACATGTGGCTGAGCTGCTTGGGCTACTTCGGTAGGTGCACCAGCAGAAACCTCTTCTTCTGTAATTGCGCCGTGGGCTTCAGACGGCTTCTCCTCATCGGTAGCTTTCTCCTTATCCTTCTTCAGCAGATTCGGTAAAGGCTGAGTAACGGAAGACAAAAGTTCAGCAAGTGATTGAAGACAAGATGAACTCTCGACAATCAATTTCCGGTCGAGCAGGCTGATCAAGTCGTTGATGGGATATCTGACCGCCTTAACTTCCTTGCCTTTTCCTTTTCCTTTCTTTGAGGCTAGGCTAGCGTCACTTTCGCGGATAAAGATAGTCCGGGTGTGATAGTTGCTTGTGCAGAGCTGCCTCAATGCAGAAAGACACTGCTGTACGACCACAAGAGGAGTAACCTCATCGCTTATGCCACCTGCAGGCTGCATCGACAGTGTACGCTTGAGTGGCTGAGGTGTCTTCTGTCCAACAGTAGCCTTCGCCCTCAAGGATAGATTGGCAAGACTGCGCTCAACAGCCGTCACATCCGTTGAGCCTTCTTTGAGAATGAGGAGCAGAAGATTGACAACTTCTGATCGAGTTTGCCGGTTGCCACAGATATTGCGGAGGATGTACCACAAATTCGTGCGTAGTGAGCCTTGCTGAGGCAAGAACATAAGGCGCAACAAAGTTGCAACCCCAGACTTGTCGACCATTTGAATAATCTGCCGCTTGCCGTCGCGTTGACCCGCGTCTTCACCCGAACGGTCTTCACGAGCGTCTCCATCGGTTCTGACGTACTGATATAGACGTCTAGCATGGGCACGCCCTTCTGCAGCGTGACGAGGGTCAAGCTGACGCAAAACCTCCGGTGGTTGTTCTGCTAGTATTACACGACGAAAGGCAGGGTCGAGAGTGGCCAAGAAGTTATCGTTGTCCATCTCTTCCGCTTGCGCGTGTCCTCCATTGGCTGCAGCTTGTCTACGAGCTTCTTCACGCTCCCGTCGACGTTGTGCGTGAGCTTCTTGTTGCCGTATCTCTTCTCGGATCTCTTCCGGTAAAGCGTTGAGGAAGTCCGGATCAATGCCAGACGTACTAGTCCCTTCTTGACGAGCTTCTTCACGCCGGGTAGCATACTGCTGCATGATGACCTCTTCGCGGAGTTCCTCTGGCAGAGCTTCCAAATACTCGATATCGATCGCCAGTCCGGTGATGTCGATCTGCCGGCCTCTAATGGTGGTGAAAACGCGAGGTTGCGAGTCAGTCGCCGGTGAAGTTGAGGCTGCGTTATCAGTGGTCTCTTGCGCAGTCCCTGCGTCTGTGTCCTGTACATCGTCCATGGGAACTGTGTCGCCGTCTTCATGCTCATCAACCTCTTCCCGGGCTTCAGCTTCGGCAGCTGCTGCGGCCTCAGCCTCGACCCGTAGACGCTCCTCTTCACGCTCCTCGGCTTCTTTCTTGCGGCGCTCTGCTTCCACCTGCAGTCTTTCCATTTCTTCACGCTCCGCCTTCTGTTCTTGTTCTCGCTTACGTTTGAGTGCTTTCTCCTCTTGCTGAGCAAATGGAACCATGACCGACATGAGCCAAATTTGGACACGTTGAATCTTCTCCACGTATGTAGTGCCATAGAGTAGTCGTACTTCTTCTTGCCAACGTGCCATGGTCGGCGAGGGGACAAAGTTGTTACCGCGCTGGGAATCATCGCGGGGAACATGACGGTGATGGCGTGGATCCCACCCAGATGATCGCCAGGGGTCGCGAAAGTCTGTGAGAGGAGCCGGAATGCGAACTCGGAGTTGGCCTTCACCTATCTCGCCACGCTGAAGAGCCGAGAAGATGGCGTCAAGTACAGCACCATGCCCGCCTATTCCGTGCGCGTCGACTGCGTGGATAGTGGCTTGAAGAGGTTGCATGCCAGGGATCCCTGGAATCATCTCAAGCCCAGGTGGCAGAAGAATGCTAGTACCAACGTGCTCTGTTCTCTGTCGGGGTTCTGGCTGAGGTCTTCGTAAAAGAGGGTTTGTTCCATCATCGCCAGACCTGACATGGCCCGATACGCGACCCGAGCGGCCAGATGAATTGAGATCGTCACGAGCTTCGATCCGTCTATTCAGACGACTCCAGACCGAGGCACCAAGTGGACGATGACGGCGCATAAGGGGCGGATGGTCCCACGTCAGATGGCTGTGCTCGATGATATCGCGTGCACCGCCATGTAGGAAGTGGTCAAAGTCACCATACTCCATTCCATCGTTCTCGTCCATGTCGTCGCCCTCTTCTTCATCCTCTTCGTCATCGTCATCGTCCTCGTCCTCGTCCTCATCCTCCTCTGGGAAAGTCATTGGAGGGGGCGGAACGACACCTGGATCTACCTGGGGACGAGAGGGACGTACGGCCCTAGCAGGTCGAAGGACTGGTAAGCCATCTTCTGCCATTCCTCCCATTGGTCCATCAAGGTCGTGGTCACCCAAAACTCGAAGGAGGTTGCTGAGGACACCTGCAGAGGCGGGCGGGCCACCGTCCCGATCCTGTTCAACAGCAATAGGCATCATGCCACCAGGGAAGGAGAACTCGGCGTGGTCGAACCCGGCGATGCGATGTGGTCCGTCAGCACTTTCTGTATCATCACCGTCGTCGTCTTCGTCTTCCCATTCTCCTTCTTCATCTTCTGGGCCTTCATTGAGACTGTTGTTTTCATCGTCTCCGTTAATTTCACCAGCATCTTCATCTTCACCAATCTCGAATTCTTCGCCGTCTTCGTCCTCATCGTCATCATCCTCGTCGTCTTGGTCAGACTCAGACTCGTCCTCATCGTCCTCATCTTCATCCGAGTCGACATCCATGTGAGGGTCGTTAACCACGAATTCGATATCCATTGGTACGTCACCTGGAAGGCCCTCAATTTCACCGTCTGGCCCCATTTCAGCTTCCTCATCGCTGACTGCTTCGTCATCGTTTCCGCCCGCAACAATAGCGTCGTCGTACTCCATTTCGTCCTCATATGCCTCGTCATACATCTCTTCGTCTTCGTCTTCTTCATCCGTCGCAGAGTCAGAGCCAGGATCCCGATTAGGATCCAGCAAGCCAAGCGCGGAGTTTCGGAAAAGATCAGGAGTCTCCTCCCGTTCTTCATCAACATCCGAAACCGAAGAGGCAGATGAGATCACGTCTTCAGACATGTTTCCAACCACCGTGTTCAAAAGGTCGGGCGATGTGACGCTTAGCTGAGTAGCCAACGTCGTGAGCTCCTGTAACGGGCGCAGGATGAACTTGATCACTCTCCTGGAGCCAGGGTATGCAAGATCAATCTCTGTGAGCGAGCTGGTCAAGACTGAGATGAGGTTCTTCTCAAACATCATCCGCGAAAGCACCTTGTAGGAAGTATTCTGGGCGCCTGCCGAGCCATCAGGGACAGCGGGTTTTGTCAAGAGACGGTGGAACATGTCAGAGAGACACAACAACCGACTATACTTCATCTGAAGAGATTCGTTCGAAGAGATTGCATCCTTGTACGCTTTAATCGCGTGCTCAAGGACAAAGCGGCGCACAAATGTCAGGTCTGGTTCATCGTCAACGTCCTCGACTTGTGGCTGCGTCGAGAATCTTTGAGCAGAAGCAGTCTTGCCCGCTTCCCCGGTCTTAGAACACAGCGCGACAATGACCCGGATAGCCCAATCACTTGTAAGCAATTTCTTCTTGAATTGGAGAGAATCCTCCTTGTCAACATAACAGGATGGAATCAGCCCGTTGAGGAAGTAGTTGAGAATTCCAGAACGGGGCTTAGATGGCGTGACTACCATTGGATCAGCCTTGCGAGAGAAGTTGATGAATTCAATCTTGGTGCGATTATAGGAGTGAAGAAGCTCGGTCAGGTTGTACATCAAGAAGCATCGGTAGGAGAAGATTGGGTGGTCCTCAGGTTTAAACTTCGCTTTCTCTGGCCTCGGTGGCGCACCGTCAATAACAGGCCCCTCAGATGAGCCTACTAGAGCACTGCGTTGATTCGGATTGGATGTGCCGTTAAGAGTTGAACTCTCCGACGCCTCAGCTGGAACTTCCTTATCCTCGACGTCCTTGTAATTCAATAATTCCGACAGGATGAAGTGGATGACTCCATCCGGATGCTCGACAACCGGAGGCTTCAACTCGGGCCCCTTAACTTTGCTGTTCTCTTCGATGGGATCTTGAGTGGTCTCAACGCTGGCTGTTGGTTGCGTGGAATCGGTCCTGCTTTCATCGTGTGTCTGACTTTGGGTACGGTCTTCGCCTTGATCGTTCGGCTTGGATTCATCGGTCTCTTTCAAGACGAGAGCGGCCACACCTCCAGCATGTGGTTGCCACGAAGTCAACTTGACAATCTCATTTGTCGTTTCGACAAAGACTGAAGGCGACCGTAGAACAAGGTGGTACAGTTCTCGAATGTAGCTATTGGTGTCTGGTTGTCGCGCCGTATTGCGAGAGTTGAATAGAAGCTTTATCTCACTGCGCATGATTTGTTTCAAGGTTGCATCATCCTCGACAATATGTCGCAGAATGAGCATGAAACAACTTTGCAATCGATGGCCCACCCCGTTGGTAAGCTGCTTGACCATGAGGAAGAGTCTCTGGAGGTTTCGCTTTTCAGCTAATCTGCTGGCAATTTCTCGGGTGCGGGTGAGGCCGACTAGAACCCTGGTAATGGCCAAAGCCATACCTTTATCCTTTCCGACACGTGGAAGGAGGTTCACGAGTCCGTCGAAGAGTTTATGTTTGTCTTCCATGTCGATCACAGAAACCGACGTGAGCACGGCTTTCGTGACAGAATCAATGTCTGTAGGTGGATCCCACTTGACTTCTGCAGGCTCACAGTCCTTGGACAGCATCTTCTCGACGATTAACAAGATTGGCGCAACCCACGGGAAAGAGGCTTCGTCAGTCCGACCAGCCGGCACCGGAAGATTCAAGAATGAGAGCAGGCCTCCAAACGACTCTTGGAATATGCCGAGGGCCTCTTTGAACACTTCCCCGTCCTGGATAATGAGAGCCACCAGGTGCGCTGCAGCGGCGATCTTCTTGCCGCGGGATTCGTCGAATTCACTTTCGCCTTGCATCGACAGTAATGAAATGGTGAGAAGGTCCACCGTCGTTCTCCAATATTCGTTAGCTTGATCTTCGCCCAGTTTCTTTGTTGCACTAATCATTAGGTCTGACAACTCAAAAGTCAGATTCGGGTGATTTTCGAGGATATTATTGCACCGCTCTGCTAGGTCCTCTCTAATGAGTGCTCGCTGGGCGTTGATTGATTGGACAGAATAGGAGCGCGGCAAATCCGCCTCGGGAGACTGTGGTGCCTCTCGTTCAGGCTCAACGTCGCTGTTAAGGAGGTTGCTGATGTCCATTGCGGAAGAAACACTCGTGGTAGCATGATCGGCAGGTCTCGACGTTGTAGTAGTGGTGACATCTTCCATCTCGTTGTCTTCCGTGGCCTGATGTATATTGGGAAGTAGATTGTGGGCCGCCCCCATAGAGTTCCAGCCAGAAGATGAATGCGAGTTTGTTGGCGGAGTCACAACGCCTGGCATATTTCCAGAAGCGGCCGTGCCACCAGTGTCTCTACCAGGGACTGGTAGTCGTCTCCGGCGAGGATTGGCCAGAAGTGCTCGGCAGTACTCTTCTGCTGGGGTGTAAATATTTGGCGCTTGTGCATTCGACCGGTACAAAGCCTCATGAGCAAGATCTTCGCTGTAGCCCTTCTCTTTGAGAGTGTTGATCTTCGAAGAGTCAAACTCCAGCCTCCTCGCTTGGAACGGTGCCAGGGTAGGGTGGCTATTATCGAACTGCACTGCTTCCATCTCATGGTCACCAACGAACACGTGCTTCAAGATCGAGACCAGCTTCTGCACGAGATCTTTGGATGCTTGGTCCGCATATTCACTCGCCCAGATCAAACGCGTCAACGGGAGTGCTTCCATCCGTAGGTTGAGTAACACCTGAGCAGGAACGAAGTAGCATTGTCTTCCAGGGTCGACAGTCTTCATGTTGTTCGACTGTGCCGACTCGATGATGCACTTTGAATCGGTAAATTCCTCAAGGATATCGAGACAAATTTTGAGACCTGTGTTTGCTGAAAAAATGGCATGCTCGACCTTACATGACTTCAATTTGTCGAAGAAGTCCGTGCCGATCTCCGTCAGCGTCTTGACACCCCCAGCCTTGCGGAAAGCCTCGACAACAAATCCTTGACGGGCTGGATGTGTGGCGATGGGCCCTGAGGACGAACTACTATCATCGTAGAAGCTCCGCCGGACATTGTCTAGGGCAATCACAAGGTAAGTGAAGCGGTTTTCCGTATCCTCTGCGTCGCCGTTTTGAGTTGTCTTTGATTGGAGGAAGTATGGCTGAAGTTGTGTCAAATAGGCTGACGCAAGTGCATTTGCCACCAAGGACGTCTTCTGTTTGGCGAAAGTGTCTGGGCGACGCCGGCCAGCGATGTTGCGGCCAAGGCGACACAGAAAGTCCGTGATGGCAGCAGGAGTCTCAATCAACAGAAAGCGTAGAGTTTGGACGTTCTTGAAAAATGGCGTTTGTTTATCCTTGCTCAGAGCGACGGAATCCGGGCCCGAAACTGCTCTACCTTCTCCATCTTCAGGTGTCGACTGGCCAGTATGACGAGATGTGATGTCTCGGACACTCAGAAGCTTGTCAACCTCATCGTCACCAGTTGAAAAATGTTCCGGGCGTGTTGCTGAGATCCAGGACTCAGGGATCGAGCGCTGGAGCGCGACAACCTCGCGACAGCAAGCCGCTGATATCGCTCCCATCATCTCGGCAATGTCGGCAAAAACGTCTTCCAAGTTCACTAACCCGAACAGAAAATTCTGCATGTGTCTCTGGTTGTAAATCGGAATGTTGAAGAGCTCGCTTAACACCTGGGCCAGACAAAAGACGGCCATCAGGCTTCTGACAATGCGAGTCCCATTTATCTCCACCTCGGACATTTGGGGAGCGAGGCTCTTGCCCGTACCGCTGGTGTCTGACGCAGATTTCACTAGAGGACCAAAATAGCAAGACCAATCCTTGGGCTGACACTGGCTGAAGTGTTTCAGCTCTGAACAGGCAAACCGCGCTCGGTCGACAAGTGCTGGGAGGACGACGTGCGGCTTGGTCTCCGCCATCATGTGAACAGCCGCAGCCAGCTCTTGAAACATACCTCCGTGTCTGTCAAAGGGTTGAGTTGCAACCGGCAGGCTGGGTAATGTGATGAAGTCCAGGACAAGATCGCACCCACCTTGCTCCAAAAAGCTAGTGCAATGAGCCTGGTGCTCGAAGAAAGTCATCAAGAACGCGATCGCAGGTCTAACGTAATCACTGGCTTTCAGCCCGTGGCTATCTTGATCACTTGGCGTTGTAGCGACGGTGCTGGGGGGAAGTATCTCATCCTCCAGAATCAATTTGTCGCCATTCGGCAATTCGATCTTTCTGGCAGGGACGGGCTCGTCAACATTGGTTGATGGTGGCGGCAAAATCTCCATTGACAGAGCCTCGCGTCCACCACAGGGAACAAGCTCGTCCTCTGCACCAAGCCATAACTTTGCTCCTGCACCCATGTTGACGGAGAATGACCTGCCTATATGCCGTACTCGACCAAGCATAATCATCACTGCGCTCAAAACGGAAGTACGCAAGTTTGGGTGATGTCTAACGAGCTCATCGAACGTTGAACCGAGCATTGCCAGGATATTTGCGTCGTTGAGCACCTTGACATGTGCCGGAGACTCGAAGATCTCAAAGAACTTCTCCAGAGCACCAGAGGATTTGAATGAGTCGAAGCCCGCACTCGTCAGACAGATAGCGCCAAAGGCCTGGGATATGCTGACAATTGCATCGACAACGGGTGGAATGCCTTGCGGTCGATTTTCAGGAACCGACGATATTGACTTTGGCCGCTTCTGGTTCGCCGGACTTTCTGAGGCATTTGATGACGGGTTGACGGTCTTTAGTATGCTCTGAATGATACCTGCTTCGGATATCACTGTATAGCTTGTTGGCTCATTGTGGAGAAATCCACAGATGGCCTTGATGACTTCGCTCCATGTATGCGCACCAAAAGCGGTCAGGTGATCAACAATAAGTCGAAAGGCACGGAGCAATGCCTGAGAGTCGACGAGACTCCTCAAAACCCGATCAGCCTGCTGGCCCTGATGGCCGCTAATGTCATTGATCATATCAATGATGGATCGAATTATTTGCTGGTGCATGTAGGGGATTTCGTAGTCCGTAGCGCGCGTCTTATGATGTGCCGGTATTCCTTCGCCAGCATTGAGCAGATCCCAAGCACCTGTCACGAGAGTACTTAAGAGGTTGCATATGGCCTCGAAAGCATTGTTGCTCAATAAAGTTGCCAGACCGTCTTTGAAATGATGGAAGAAGGTCTTGATGAAGTCTAGCATCCGCAGATGCACCCTCATGGCCTTTGAGGTTGTAACATTGAAACCAGAGAGATACAAGGTGATGAAGCTCGAAGCTATGACCGCCTCGCTAGAGCGTCCATGGTGTCCGGTGACCTCAATGAGTGTCCGCGGCAGGGTGAAGATCGCGTCTCTCCAATCGTCTCCAGCCACGTAATTAATATCGTCATCCTCTCGAGCAATGTCGTTCAGGCCTCTTTGGATCAATTGAGAAAGGAGTCCTTGACTTGATCCTGCACCCAATGCAGCATGGATCTCGGAAGCGAAAGATTTGGAATGTGCCAGGAAAGACATCGTCTCCATGGCCAAAGTTTGAAGATAGATGGGGATACCGGTGTGACCTTTCTTCGTCTCGTGAAGAAGGCCAACAACCTGTTGAATGAATTCCTGAGGCTTTTCTGTCGAAAACAATTTCTGCGTGAGGTCCGGTTCGCTAAAGACATTCGCCAAACTAGCAACGGCCAAGAGTCGCACCGATAATAGCTCCTTTCGAGTCTTTGAGGACGTGATCAGAGCATAGGCGACACGAAGCTGGTGCAGCAGCTCGTATCGAACCTTTGGCGGCATATCTTCTGAGAGGTGGTCGCGCAAAATCGTCTCAATGGTTGTTGTTGACAGATCGGAGGGCGAAAATTCGAGGCTCTTCCAGCTGCTATTCGATGAACCCTGTGCGTGGATAGCTTTACTATTGCCAGTCTCATTGGATAAGCCGTTAGTATTCGCCGTATCGAGTGCTGTCGACGACGGGCGGACGCGTGTAGGCGTGGGCGGGTACTCTGTCACCGATGGTAATTCTTCCGCAGATGGAGCCCCGGGTGCGGGACTCGATCTTTCCCACCAGACTTTGACATGGTGAGCCCATGGAAGCCAATCTCGATCAAGCCCAGCTGATGAGGATTTCCCACGATCACCATGTTGTGGGGCTTCCTTGCAGAGGGCCCGGAAGTCATTTGGATTGATTGCAGTCGAGCCGCGCCTCGGCTTGCCGCCACTATGTGGAAGTTTCTCCTTGGATTTGGCCTTGACTGGAGATGGTGGTCCACGCTTGACGTTTGCTGGAGAGGGCCCAAAGGGCGCCGCTAGTCTCTGGATTCGCTCAGTATCGAACTCATAGAATTTCGGTCCTTGAGGAGAGGGGCGAACGCCTCCGTACCGCTGTGCCAGGGAGGAGGTGATTCGTAGAGTGCTGTGCAGGAGCGACAGTGAGGTGGTATGTAGCAGATCATTCAAGCGATCTGTGCTATTGTAGACGGCTCGGTTTGCACATTTTTCCACCAGAAGTTTGGAAAATCCCAGGATAGCCTCGACCAGTTCTCTGTCACCCTCTGGGCCAAATCCTCGCTGTCTCAGACCCTCCTCATTCAACCCCGGGCTCCCCTCAAGTACTATCGACGAGCCGAATGGTATTGTCTGCGGACCTTTGTCCAGGCCATATCTTGAGTTGAAGGACTGGAGGATGCTGTCAAATCGATCGAGAGGTTCAATCCAGTTGTTGAGATCGCCACGGGGGAAGGCCCATCTTGGCGACCAGCTGCCGAAGAGAGCTGGAATGTCGGCCAAAGGGATGGTGGAAGCCTGCTTGACCAACTCTGATACCGCTGGGGACTGTCACCGTCATGTTAGTCTCGTCCGCCGAACGGCTGAGGTAGCAGAAACAAACTCACCAACGACGCCTTGTGCTTCTCCTGCGGTTTCCTCGTAACCTTCCCCATCTTCACTGATCCCCGTGGATTGGCACCATAGGCTGCATTAGAAGAGTGACGTTGTGTTCAGCCTCCCGGAGCAGTCTGCAGATGATAGACCAAGGGTTCACGAAATGGAGCAAGGCAGGATCTGCTGGCAGAGTAATGCAGACAGGAAGAGGAGATTCGCCGGATCCCGGTGAAGGAGAGGAAGGGAGATGGTCGTGCTGAATCGGCGGAAGAGTTTTGGTGCGAAAGAGTGCTTGAAGATTTGCTGGGTAGACAGGGTGTTGTGAATTATGAGGCCGCGATCACCTGCGCCCGTACGCAGCTCCGTACTCAACTTGAAGTCTGAGTTTGAAATCAGGGACGTAATTAGCGGGTAGAAGTAGTGTACAGGAAGAGAGGACGCAACAGGTGGAATCCAAGGAAGGAGAATATGTAGTAAAGCAGGCCTCAACTGGAGTTGACGAAGAGATGAAGAAACTGAAACTGGTCTCTCTCTTGTGGCGTCGATTTCTTTTGTGCTGCACTTCACTCTGCCTGCTGGGGTTTCTGCCGCACCTCTGGCAAGTGAAGATGGTTCGGGCGACTACTGGACTTTTTGACGCGCTTGGGCCTGGAGACTCTAGTGGGAAATGACGTGCCCTTTCCCCTCGGGTACTAGCCGTATCTTGCAAAGGGCCACCAGGGCTGCGTCTTCAACTTCCGGGGGGAACGAGGAGGGGCTAGCGAGGCCAGTAGGCGCCGAGACAGCGCCCAGTCAGGCTGGTGAGGCTGGTCATCCTATACAACCTTGGAAGTTAACCTGGAAAATACAACCACTATGTCGTCGGTCTTTGGTCATCTCTACAAATATACCTAGGTATCCAACCACTGTCTCAACCCAATATAATATAATATAATATAATAGCCAGATTTATCCCCTGCCTCCTTCCCATTTGATTGTCAAGGACGCTGGATACGATTGCACCATGCTCTCTTCCACATTCAAGTAGTTCACCACGCCACCCTCGTTTAGTCGCCTGAGCTGACCCGTTGGCCCAACAGCTCTGCTCAACTTTTCAAGTCCGCAGAGGACAGACATGGTAGACCCCAACGTTGCAAGACTCAGTCGAGCGCCGAGAGATACTTCGCCGCCCAAAGGAGCGAGCGGATCCTCGGACTGGCCTGGACCAGCATCAGACAACCCAGGGCTGCCACGGTTCACTGCAGTCTGTCATCGACTATTAGCACAAGCATTTTCACTGAAGCAAACCTAACTTACCCTGTCTGTGTCACAGAGAATACGCTGCCCTGCAGAAATCTGAATCTTTTCGCCTCCGTCGATCACGGTTTGCGATGATGTCGCTTCTCTGAAGATGGGCGTGGATGGCCCTAACCTGCAAATTTCGCGGAAGTACGACTGAGCTTTGCTCGATGACGAGCCCTCTTGTTCCAACATCTGCTTCAGCTCTTCAATGTCCGTCTTTTTATCTCCCTTTCCGAGAACATGATCGAAGACCTCAGCAAAGACTCGCGACTGATTGACAAAAACCCAAGCTGCCAACGGAAGAAGTTGAGACCACACGATGTCGGCGGGAGAGAGTCCACTCTTCGAGACTTCTTGAAGCACTTGCGCCGTGAGACTTCGAAGCTGTACAGGCGAGTGCGAGTGTAGACTGAAATTACCCTTCATGCCATTTCCCACTTCTTCCTGCAGTCGCGCTGCAAGCTGCAGAATCGCCTTTTGTTTCTTTTTGACGAGAGCAAACCGACGCGCAGGTTGCTCCACGTTTGCACAGCCGTATATAGCGGAAAGAAGGGAAACAACGTCTTGTTCGTCGTATTTCTCGTGAGACTTCCCTTTGTTCCCCAGTGGCAGAAGGAAAAGATTCGCAGCGAACTGCGCATGAGCAACGTTGAAAACGTCCCGAACGACGTCGACCTGCTGATAGCCTGCGAGCTGATACGCACTGGTGCCGAGCAGAGCCATGATGGCGTCCTTGTAGAAAGCGCTTGCGGCAGCCTGCAGTCCTTCAGTTTGGAGCAGCTTGTGGGCGACAATTGATCCCCTCTCCCGATTAAGCTGAAGCCCCTGGGCGGAGAAGAGCTGCATATCCCAAGATGAACGGAAACCAGACGTACTACCGATCACAGACTTGCAGGCTTCGGAAGAGCTAACTGCTTGAGTGTCAGGGAGGGTGGTTGGCTTGTCGAAGTTGTACAGATCCGCTTTTTTCAATTTGGTCAAGATGGACTTGTTCTCCTCCGGAACGACCAGCGGGTAGTGTGCGTACACAGAGTTCTGTCGATAGCTGTTTGGCAATGCAGTAAGCACTAATTTGTAGAACACACAGCCGTTGTTGATAGCAAGGTCATAGTCTGCCTGCTTGAAACCCCAGTTTGTTAGATTGGCTGGTGTATAGTCAATGGTGTAGAAACGATCACCTCGAACCAAAGCCACTGCGTCCGAGAGAATTGCTCGTGAGGTTGTAAAGTTTGTGCACAAGCCGCTGCCAGGGAGTTTTGGCTCCTTGGCCGCCTCGACAACTATGCCGGGGTATATTTCAACATTGTCTGGATGACCGTAGAGTCGACGCAACTGCTCGGCGATGAAGGGGTCGGGATTGATATCTTCGAACTTTTTATGGGGCTCGAGCTTGAAATATTGTCGAAACTCGTTCAGGCTCGCTAGATTCCAGGAGCGACTTTGGATGATGCCCAGCACTTCCACATTCTTGAGGATCTCAGGCACGTGAACAGCTCCATAGCTCCCAGCAACGTCCGAGACAGATGCAGTCCAGATGGCCGCCAGTTCCTCGTCGGAATACTTGTCGTCAGACTGACGCTGAAGACCAGCAAAATCTCGCTTGACCGGATCCGGGCTCAGTTTCATAGCCCACTCATTCAGTGCCCCGAGGAACTGGCCCATGGAGAGTGAGGACTGATGCCCGAATAGTTTTGTGTAAGCATCCTTTGTCCACTGCTCGTCCCTTTCAGAGACACAGGAATGCCACCGGTAGACAAGGTTGAATTCGGCCGAAACAGAATTTCCCGTCGCTTCCGGAATCTTGTGGCCAAAGATGGCATTCCCTTCTTCAGATCGTGGGTCGAGGTTCCATAACGAGTCCACCCGATTTAGATTCAAAATCGTTCTGACATAGTCCTTTAGGATGATATTAACATAGAGTCCCGTAGTGATCAGCCTGGCAGTCTGGAACAACGCTTCATCATAGAGCTTTTCGGCATTGGGCGGCCTCGGCTTCCCTTGTGGATTGAGGATCCTCGAAAAGCGGCCATTTTCGTCGATGCGGGCAATGTTTTCTGCTACATGATTGTGGAAGCGATTGAACATTATCAGAAGGACTCCGACGCCAGGGGGAAATCCGAGAATCCGCACGTCCGAGAAACAATCGGGCTTCAATTTTCCATCAACCATGGTCCGGACAGCCTCCTGTTCTTTTACGGAATTGCCATAAAGGGGAGCCAAGTCCAGGTAGGAGGAAGTATCAGAGATACTAAAGTCATCGTGGTTGGTGTGGAAGATGTCATGGATGATGATCGACGCCACGTAGAAGAGTACGCTCGATATCTTGTTGGGGTGTGGTCTGAACTTCTTGCGAGCCAGAAGGCTGTCAAAGATGACGCCAGCATCTGGCCGGGCAACGGGCTGCATCAGTCTCGGGCGCACTGTTCGTGCGTAAGGCTGCTTTGCAGCCCCGAGATGCGGCCATAGAATATTGTTGTTGGTTCCGTCTGCCTTACGATAGATGTAGTCGGCTCCTAGATAGGACTGAGGCGGATGTTGCAGGTCTGTCCACAGCTGATTCAGGAACGCGTTGGTAAGAGTAGCGCTAGTTCTGCTGGAGATGGGAAGATCCGCTACTAGTTGGATGATTCGTTCCATAAGGTATGTCTTGTCGTTGATAGGCTCGCCGTCAATTTGTTGTAAGGTAACATCTTTGACGGTCCTGAGGTTCTTCAAGTTGAAGGTCTTGAGCACGTCCAGGATGTGGTCTGATCTCTTGGTTTCACTTGTCGACGCGGAGCTGCTGGAGTCACTTGAACGGGGACGCTCCTGAACAACTGGTGTCTTATCAGGCTGAGACCCCTTGGCTGACCCGGATCCTACATCCTTTGAGTTATGTTCAGAGCTTTCAGGGATGCACAGCATACCCTTCAGTTTTGATAAACTCAACGGCATGTTGGATCCCTTTCTCTTTGGAGTCTCAGATGACAAAGCACGACCAGCCAGAGAGCAATTATAACCCAACAAACTGAGAAGTGAGGCTGAGAAGACGATTTCGATATATATATAAAAGCTCACCAACAATCCACTCACCCGTTCTCGTTGGAGGGAAAAGAGGCTGACAACCAAAGCACGAGGGAGAAGCAGCGCTTATACTAATACTCTCCCATCAACAAAACTCCGTACTCATACTCACACTCTCAGCCAGCCCCTGTACGGCTGAATGGGCTGGAGAGGACTAAAAGGATCCAGGATGGCGCCACGAGAAGAATAGCGCCGGATTGAGCACCATGTCGCTTGAAACGGGAATAGTGGGGCCTTAAAAGGGGGTTTGTCCAATGGGCGGCGGGGTGAGTCTTGAGGCACCAAAGCTCCAGACTCCAAACACGCAGCCTTTATTTTTTCTTGGGCTGCACAACCCAGCCGCAGTTATTCGCAACTGCGTTTCCCTTCCGCTTGTGATTCGATAGTCCTTACTTTGTCCCCTTGAACTCGCTTCTCCCCCACACCGGTTGTCCTCGGTTGTCGTCTTTGGTGCCCTTTGAGGTCTCGTGTTTCCTCAGCCGCTGGAGCTCAGCCAGCCGACATGGCCTCAAAACCCATCACACTCCAAATTCGCCCACGAGGTAAGCAAAGCTGGCTGGAACCAAGACCTGGGCAGGAATATCGTCCTACTCGGCAGCCTCCGTGCTCACAATCTCCATAGGAAAGCCCATAAAATCCCTGCCAGAGTCGGTCGATCTGAAATCCGATGCCTCCGCAGCCGAGTTGTATTCTGAACTCGCACGCAGAACCAAGTACTCGATTCACCAGCTGCGCGTGACCAAGGGCTCCGATGGCAGTGTCGTGGCCAACTCTAAAGATACCTCGATATATGAGACTGGTTTACGTGATCAGAGTACAGTCTATGTAAAAGATCTTGGAACACAAGTGGCATGGCGGACTGTATTCCTGGTGGAGTATTTCGGTCCAATCCTTATACATCCGTTGATGCTGGCCCTCCGACCGTACATCTACCCTTCCGCCAGCAAGGAGCCGTCTCAGTTGCAGCAGGTGCTCTGTGTGTTGATATGCCTGCACTTTCTCAAGCGGGAGCTAGAGACGTTGTTTGTCCACCGCTTCTCGGCCGCTACCATGCCTCTCCGCAACATCTTCAAGAACAGCTTCCACTACTGGATTCTTTCTGGCCTCCTGATCTCAGCTTTCATCTATTCCCCTTACTCCGCAGCAGCACAAGAGCCGAACCCACTCCTCTTCTATCCTGGATTGGCCATCTTCGGATTAGGAGAACTGGGCAATCTTCAAACACATCTCACATTGAAAGGGCTCCGGAGTGCGGGAGGGACCGAACGTGGTATCCCTCAAGGATTCTTGTTTAACCTTGTCACCTGCCCCAACTATATGACGGAAACCGTCTCTTGGATCGGTGTATATCTTCTCAGTGGCCTGAGCTGGGGGGTGCTCATCTTCCTTGTCGTCTCCGTCGTCCAAATGGGTCAATGGGCAGCAAAGAAAGAGCGACGATACCGCAAGGAGTTTGGTGACAAGTACAAGAAGAAGAGATTCACCATGCTTCCGGGCATTTGGTGAAGGGCAAGAAGTCGAATTCACGATCTTGAGCATAAAAAGATTCACGAGACTGAGGTTGTAGTGGACAGAGTCACAACCAGGCAAAGCTTGCAATTTCATGCTGTCTCGGTGCTGCGCTCTCTTATCACACTATTGTCACCGAGTGGGTGACAGAATTTTGTCACCCCAAAGTGATTGCAAGCCTCTCGTCGAGTGACGTGAAAGGCATCTCTTCCGTGTGCAATCTTTGAATATAAAGCCTCTTGGTCTACCCAGATATTCATCCTCTCAACCAAGAGAAACAACAGAATCAATCTTTGCGCACTGGACTCAGCAATCCTCCAACCCGTGCTTTGCCTTTACATCGGACCCGGAGGCAAAATTCTTGTCAAGATGAAGCTCATCTTTGGTTTGCTCACTTGCGTTCTAATCATAGTCCATGCTGTCCTCGCTCAATCTGAAGCTGCCTTCACCGCCCACAACGGAACAATCTCGCCATTTCCGCTCGCTGATGATCTTCTTACATTCAACATTGGCATTTTCGACCCGGTATGCGGCCTGACATACGAGGTGAATATCAGTGTCCAAAACCGCGGGGATGCGTCCAAGACTAGCGACAACTGCAATCTTCTCTACGACTACATCACGAATACAACCAGCAACGGGGAGTCATCGAAGGATGTCAATGTAGTCTACACGTGTCCTGGCACTCCGGAGCCAACAGACCCAGAGGGCTATGGTTCTCTCGATATCAAATTTATTCTCAACTGCCCTTCCGATTTTGCAGAGGATCAGACCCAGGAACCGGCTACCTTACAGCTCCTCAATATCCACGACGCTACCGACCTCACAGTGCCTGTCTCGATTGGCTACGAAGTCTATTCGAACTCAGCAATCATCTGGCAATTCATCAACTGCCCATGACCGCCCATGACCGTAACTACCTCAGAAGACCAACGAACCCTGAGGAGTTACGTAGAGCGACATTGTCATAAGCGGCCTGACTTGCGGATTTCGAACGGAGCAGATCATAATTCAAGCATGGCGCGCGTTGCACTTCCGCTCTGTTGATGGGCCAAGGCAGTCAAGGTAGATTTGGGTGCGAGATTGAAGCTGCTGGGGGGCAGGCTGCAGAGGGATGCATGTGATTAGAGTAACTTTCACCTTCACTGAGAATCTTGATAGCAAGAATACTTTACAACAGGGACGAGCCGTCCTTAAGTTGACTTTATGGTCATCTAATGATTCGCCTGATGTGTACCTCGTACATGTAATATGGATCATCCGTGGTTCTCCATAAGGCCCCATTGGCTGGCGGGCTGCGAGGCTGCGAGGCTGCGAGGCGGCTTTGGAGAATGCGGTGCACGAACTCCTATGGGAACTTGCGCCGTCCACTACCACTTCCACCGTGTCCCTCTCCAACCCAAGTAATGAGCGCACGAACAATGGCCTGTCGAGCAGCCGCTTGAGACTTGACCTCTACGATTTGGCCCAAGGCATCTCATAATGCACTTCGCGCTGCCCCCACGCAAAACATCCCATCCTCCTCCCTACGTTCGAAACAGCAACCTGACTGCTGCATCCCAGAGAAGGCGAAAGCAATTCCAACTCGGTGCTTACTTAGTGTTGGGAATATTGACGCTGTACCTTGTCGTCCGATTTCTTCTTTCGCTCGATTTAATAGAAGGGCATAACGATGGCGCGACTTCAATTGAAGGGCCTCAAGATATTGTTATCGTCACGGTGTTCGACGATGAGACTATGAGCGAAGACTATAAGCGGATAGTGAGGACAAATCGAGAAGATTATGCCAGGAGACATGGTAGCGCATGCTGAATCCGAGACACTGGGCTAGGGTATGCTGATTACGATCCAGGATACAAGAACTTCTACTCCAACACAACGGCGTATTTCGACCTCGTTGACCCTTCTCCGTTATCCTGGTCAATGATACCGGCCCTACGGCACGCTTTGACAGAGCATGCCGCGAGCACCTTTTTCTGGTTCTTGTCCGCCGACGCTTTCATAACGAATCCCTCAGTGTCACTAGAATCTCACGTCCTCCAACCGCTCGAGTCCCTCATGCTCAAGGACATTCCTGTCGTTCCCCCGGACTCGGTCATTCATACATTCTCTCACCTCAAGCCTTCCCGCACGCATCTGATTCTGTCGCAAGACATGGACAACCTAGCCCATACTTCGTTCATCCTCCGCAACACCCCCTTCAGCACCAAAACACCAGACAATTGGGCCCATTACTTCTTAGATGCCTGGTTCGACCCCTTGTACCGCGCCTATGCATTTCAAAAAGCGGAGAACCACGCCCTCGAGCACCTGGTTCAATGGCACCCCACGGTCCTGGCCAAGTTGGTGCTGGTCGAGCAACGCTGGATCAATTCCTACAACTACGCCACACCCCCCGCGAAGGACCCGTTGACCGGCCTCACGCGCACTCACGACAGTATGTGGCAGGAAGGGGATTTGGTGGTCAACCTGAAAGGATGCAGAGAAAGCGACAAGCGCGATTGCGAAGATGAAATGAGATATTACTTTGCTAAGTGGGAGAAAGAAGTAGAAAAGCTGGATGGGAAGAAGCCAGCGCATAACGTTGGACCTCCGAAACCGAAGGTCAAAGATGAGAGGAAGAAGACTGACGGGGTCAGATCCGTGAGGAGGTGAGACTGGATCCCAGCATCCTCCGCATCGACGGCAGTCTGGAGTTACTTGTGTGGCAGCCCATTTGTTGGGCTGAATTTGAATCCAACGAGACACGGCAGCGATAGTGGACCACTTGTATAACAGATTTTCCTTTGATACAACAGGCGCAACATCGGAACACGACTAGCAAGGCCATGGGAAATTTCGGGACACCAGAATCGGCCAACAGAACAAATAGAGCAATATCTTTTCTGAGAATGATACAACTCGGCACCATTCCCAGCTTCCAGCTTGTCTTTTGATCCTCTCCTTTCTGCGTCGGGCTTCAAGCGAGGTCTCCTCTTTCAGCTCGCAGTTTGTCATACCTCAGCACCGCACCCAGCAATACCTGGGCACCAATAGCGCTGTATGGTTGTCAGTAGGCAACGATGTTCAGCACAGACGATCGACTTACCAGTCTTCTGGGCTGCAGTATTCCTGTGGGTTATGGCTGATTCCGTCCTTCGTGACGGTGAAGATCATGCTCGTTGGACAACGGCGGTTTGTGTAACAACTATCATGACCGGCGCCGCTGATCATGTATTTCCACAACTCTCCGTCGTCGGCAGTCATCGGGAGGTCTGCACACACTTCCTTCGCGCTGGCTTCGACGGCAGCAATACAATCCGCGTGGAACTTGACGGCTGGACTATCCACCAATTCCTTCCATTCCACTTTGCAGCCTTTCTCGCTCTCTTTCTCTGCAATCCTCGCAAATTCCGATCGACACTTTTCCTCGATCTCGGTGAGCTTGGCGTCCTCAGTGTGACGAATATCCAAAGTGAAGGTCACCGTGTGAGCCATGGTGTTGATCGAGCCAGGCTGTTGATTTAGGATGCCGGTCGTCGCAAGACCTCCAAGCTTCTTTGCGATGGCGTTAGACTCGACAATCAACTTTGCAGCGCACAGCATAGAGTCCATTCTTGCTGGGAAAGGGGTGGTGCCGGCATGAGTATCTCTCCCCTTCACGGTGATTTCAAACCATTTGAATGCTTGCACACCTGTCATGGTCAGCTTGTGGTGCTGTCAAAAGACTAAGCAGTTACTGACCTTTGACGACTCCGACTCTCCTTTTCTCTGCCTCCAAGATGGGTCCCTGCTCGATATGAACTTCGAAGTGGGCCGCTATGGGAAATGCTTTGTAAGATGCTGGCTGGGACCCAAGATATCCAATCCTCTCAAGTTCTTGCTTCATTGTCTTCCGGTGCCCATCTTCTCCTGGCGACACCTCGGGCAGATTCCAGGCCGTTTCCAAAGGAACTGCCTCAGCCCAGACGCCAGATGACACGGCCATCATGGGAAAGCGCGCTCCCTCTTCATTGGTCCAGTTTACCACTCCGATACTTCCTTCAGTCTCAACGTTATTTTCGTGCAAGACCCTCAGTACTTCAAGACCAGCGTTGACACCCAAGATGCCATCATATCTCCCGCCGGTTGGTTGAGTGTCGAGATGTGAGCCCATCATTATCGGGGGCGCTTTGGCATTCTTGCCTGGCCTCACAGCGAACATGTTCCCCATTTGGTCAATGGTTGTCTTGCAATTCAATGACTCGGCGACACCCTTGAACCAGTCTCGTACTTGCTTATCCGCGTCATTGAGACTCAGCCTTGCCATGCCAGTCTCGACCGGGTCACTGATTAAGCACTGATTCAGGACTAGTCTCGCACGGGGCATTGGGGACTTGTACACTTACTCTCCATATCGATGAGCAGCGCCATACTTGCAGCCGCTATGAATCGCGTCCATCAACCGCGATTGGTTGACTTTCAAGCCTGAAATGTCATGCTTTGATCGGGCGCCATTGACGCCATTCACCCCGTGAGTGCCGTTTACAGCCATCCTTCTGATCTCCCGGCTCCTCAACCACCTGCTAGAAATTCCCGGATTGAACGAGGCGAAGGATCTCGACACAGGAGCGGACGATTTGCACGCCTGAGTCTGTCTCAGAGTCAGTCGCAGTCCCAGATTCCGGCTGAGGTCAACGCAGTTTATAACAAGTGACATGGGCAAATTGATATATCGTACAAGGTACGAGGTACCCGGGAGCACTGTTTCTTTTCTTTTCTTTCGTCGGGCGATCTCGGTGGCTACTGATTGGGTTCATCTTTCGGGCTGATACGAGCGCGAGACACCAGAAAGGCCTCTCAGGAGTTGTCCGCCCGTGAACCTGCCGTGGTCTCACCTTCTTCTCCATCTTGCCACTGGCGCCACTCCTGCACTGGAGAGTTGGAGAAAAGATATTACAGATGGAGATGCCCGACAACGGCCTTTTGCTACCTTGGCAAGCTTGGTCTGTAATGGTCGCTTCTATTGAAGAAGCAGATACTCCGCTCTTGACAGAAAGGGAAACGGTACGAGTGTCTCGGTGCTCGTCTTCGACTACCCGACGACAATGTTCCATGATCTATCGATGCCACGGATCTTCCAGCCAGCAGGGGATTTTAACGGGGTCACCCCAGGGTGCCCACGAATTGCATGGCCAACAGGCGCTTCCGGGGACTAGCAGCCGATGGCTATCAGTAAAAGAGCTCCCCTGTAGAGGCCAGCCACTCGTAGCCCCCAACCGGGCGCCTAAGGTCGCTTGGTAGACATTCTTCAGCTAAAAGTTTAGTTAAAGCTTCGTTTAAAGCAGCCTTATCTCAGTGTTTCATGAGTGTCTCCGTTCACCTTGCCATCATACGCTTCCCCACCAAGTATATACCACAGATATAATTGAACGAAGACTACGAACGTCTCTACCAGCATCTTCACCGTCAGTGGATGATATAAGTGAATCTCTATCACTTCGTCGCAGCATCAAGGTGGCAACAAGCTTATAGCAAACAGACGGAAAGAGCTTGGTGTCACTCAGAGTAGTACAAAGTACGAGGTACCTAGGTACACAACCTTGTTCACACTTTTCCTTCACCTCGTTTTGCATGCCATCACTCAAGCCATTGTCCAATATGATCTCTTTCTATATCTAATACTGTTCTACGCAAATGCGCGTCACTTTTCTTCGCGGTCTTCTTTTGCATAGAAAGGTAGAGGCCTGCTATTTTCTTTTTGCTTTTCGCTTTTTGGGCTGTCCATTATCTGAAGAGATTGTCTTGGGCTGGGACCTTTCATAACAGCTTCATTTTTTGTCCTTCCCATTGACGACAGACTCCAAAGCGGACACGACATGGAGCCTGACGAGACCACGTTGGATCAAGATGCTATCGACAAGATACCCCAAAGTTCTACCCCTCCACTGCGGATGAACGTGGAAGGTGCTGCAGCAGCAGACGTCTTCCGCAACCACCGTCGCCTTGTCGATTGGGTCCTGGAAAATGATGGATACATGCACCCGCATGCTCAGATTGCCTTCAGCTCGCGCAATGGGTATCATGCTGTGGTCGCTGACGGACATTCTCTTGTGAGCGGAACTCGTGTTGCAAGTTGCCCGATGACAATTACATTATCAGTGCTCAATGCTTTCAACATTGACCCATTCTCAAATCATGACACTTGCTTTCCAACGCCTTTTCTATACAGTCAGTCGAAGAAACCTGAGTCTCTGCAAGCCTTCTTTCTGATGGAGCAATTGATCCTTGGAGAAAAATCTTGGTGGGCTCCCTACATTGCCACATTGCCCACAGTGGAAGACATCACCGCCATGCAATTTGAGGAGGAAGCGGATGCCATGTGGCTCGAGGGAACCAATCTCAAGGGCGGACTCTCCACTCAAGCTGCCAAGTGGGAAGATATGTACTCACAAGGCTCGGCTCATTTGAGGAAACTGGGCTGGCCCAGTGCACTGAATGGATCTTACACCTGGTACGCCGGCGTGAACTGCTCCTCTCCGACTCGTCATCGCTTACACAAGACCTAGGCCTCGCTTTCGCTGGGCGGCGACCATTTTTGGCAGCCGTTCTTTCACCTCACAGGTCCTTGATGCAACTCTTCCCGCAGACCTTGCGACCATTCATCGCCGGCAAGAGCCGTACGACCTGGTCAAGCTCTTTGGAGACCGCTTTGCCGTGCTACTTCCGCTCCTCGATCTCCTCAACCACAAACCCGCGGCCCAGGTCGAATGGCAAGCCCAATACCATTTTGTCGGGCTTCAGATCCTCGAGGCCTATGAGTCTGGGCAGGAGCTTTACAACAACTACGGTCCCCGGGACAATGAGGGTCTTCTTCTGGCGTACGGCTTCACTATTCAACACAACCCCTTCGACCATCTTGTCGTCAGCATCAAAGCGCCGCCTGGGTCGCCGCTGGATGTGGCTCGCCGACTATGGAAGCAGGACATCAGATCAGACATTGAAAGAAGATGTTTCATATTCAACCACAAACATCCCGAGTCGACGTCGGCGCTAGCACTAGAGTCGTCACTCTTCTCCTTCGACTTATTGGACAGTATTTCCATTCTGTGCGCCAATGATCGTGAAATGCAGAGCATGACGATGAGAAACCAGTCTTTGATGAGCTTCTGTCTCGCCGACGAGCCCCGTTTCCAAGATCGTCGCATTATATTGGCCACTCTGGGCCAACTTCTGAGAGAATGCATTGCACGCTCTGAAAGGCTAAGAAACACAGATCCACGTAAAACCATTCCCGGGTTGGAGCCTGCCAATTCGAAACAATCCAACGCCAAAGTCTACCGAGAGAGTCAGCTAGAGATCGTCGAAACAGCGGTTGCGCTTTGCAACTTCGTGCTGAGATGCGCCATCGGTGGGAGCGCGGACGCCGAACAGATATTAACTGGTATGCAAGGCCAAGTCTCAAGTTCTGCTTTGGCAAATTTGAGGCTTCTGACTAGAAGGCACGTTCGGCTTACTCGCCCCTTTGAGCTTCTTAGTCTGGATGGCCTGGTCGAGATGGTTCCCAATTCTGAAAGTGTCCGAAAATGCTTGGTCAATTTGAGCCAACAACTCCAGAGCAATGCTGATGGCACGGGATCGATTGATGCGTCAAGCCCAACAAACTTCAGCAAAGGTCGACTTGCGGTTGCTCTGTCAGCACTATACAGCGAATATGCTCATGGCGTCAAGCTCCCACACAGAGTCACGGAATGGGTCAAACAGTTAGTCACATGGTATCCACCGGATAGTGATTCCTGGGCGTATGTGCCGACTCCTGGCCCATGGACACCCGGAGAGGAGCCCCCGGCTGAACTGATGGACCTTCTTGCTGCCCGGGCTGCTCTGTCTCCGACAATAGCGGTGGACTCGACCGTCAAACGATGGCTGAGACCCGAGAGGATATGCTGGGGGTGGAATGTCATGGAGGAAGAGAAAGTGACTCTCCCCTCGTATCTTGTAGAGGAGGAGTCCAATGGAGTGACAGACGGCATATCGCATTTGATCTATTGGCAGCTGTACTAGGGGCATATGGACGACGTTCACTTTGGTCTTTGGTCTCCGGTCCTGGATTTGGAACGGGTCTGCCAAGGCACACTTGACGACGGTGCGGTATTATTCTGGGCACTTTCTGTATGGGCCAGGGTTGTTATTGCCAATACTTTGGCGGGTTTTTGATGAGCAAAGCATTTGCGTGAATGAGGCATTCGATACTTGCATACAAGGTACATGCCTCGATGCCACGAGCACAAGGCGAGGCTGCGGTGGTGGAAACCCCGAAGTATTGCCGAATGGAAGGCATCTGTGACGAGGCAAGCTTCCGGCCAATCAGCGGAGCTCAATATCGAAGACTTCGACATTGATTTCGTAGTTGACTCGCTCTCTTCTCCACGTCCGCCGTCCTTGCCTCCTCCCTCACTCTTCCCGCCGCACACTCGTGTGGTGTCTATCCTCGTCCTCACATCCTCCCAAAATGATTGTCCGGTCGTCTGCCGCCAGAAACGTGGCCCGCGCGGCCTCCAACGCAGCTTCACGTTCCGCCAACTCCTCAATCGCCGCCACCAGCTCCTCCACCCTCCAATCCCGCCGATCCTACGCCACCGTTCAAGAAGGACAGCCTCAACAGAGACGCTACGGCGGCTTGAAGGACCAGGACCGGATATTCCAAAACCTCTACGGCCACCATGGCACGGACCTGAAGAGCGCCCAGAAATACGGCGACTGGTACAAGACCAAGGAAATCCTGCTAAAGGGTCATGACTGGTTGATCAATGAAATTAAAGCTTCGGGTTTAAGAGGAAGAGGTGGTGCGGGATTTCCGAGCGGGTTGAAATTTGTATGTTTCTTTGGACAAAACGTGATGAGCAATACAAGGCTAACCGAGGCACGATAGTCATTCATGAACTTCAAGGGTTGGGAAAACGACAAGAAGCCGCGCTACCTGGTTGTCAATGCCGACGAAGGCGAGCCAGGGACTTGCAAAGATCGAGAAATCATGCGCAAAGATCCTCACAAACTCGTCGAGGGCTGCTTGGTGGTTGGTCGCGCCATGAACGCCACGGCAGCGTACATCTACATCCGAGGCGAGTTCTATCATGAAGCCACTGTTCTCCAGCGTGCCATTCAAGAAGCATACAAAGAAGGCTTGATTGGCAAGAATGCCTGTGGCTCAGGATACGACTTTGACGTCTACTTACACCGAGGCATGGGCGCATATGTGTGTGGAGAAGAGACTTCGCTCATCGAATCTCTCGAAGGAAAGGCTGGAAAGCCTCGTCTCAAACCTCCCTTCCCTGCAGCTGTCGGTCTTTTCGGATGCCCTTCTACCGTCACCAACGTCGAAACAGTGGCAGTTTGCCCCACCATCGCTCGACGGGGTGCGAAATGGTTCGCCAGCTTTGGTCGCGAGCGCAACCAGGGCACCAAACTGTTCTGTATATCTGGACACGTCAATAACCCATGCACCGTCGAGGAGGAGATGTCTATTCCTCTCCGAGAATTGATTGAGAAACACTGCGGCGGTGTCCGCGGCGGCTGGGATAACTTACAAGCCATCATTCCTGGTGGTTCATCGACGCCCATTCTGCCCAAACACGTCTGCGACGATCAATTGATGGACTTTGACGCCTTGAAGGATAGCCAGTCCGGTCTGGGCACGGCGGCGGTGATTGTGATGGATAAATCTGCCGATGTGGTAAGGATGATTGCCAGATTGAGCGCTTTCTACAAGCACGAGAGTTGCGGGCAATGCACACCCTGTCGAGAGGGAAGTGCATGGACAGCGAAGATTATGGAGAGATTTGAAAAGGGTCAGGCAAGAGCGAGAGAGATTGATATGATGCAAGAACTCACGAAGCAAGTTGAGGGGCACAGTATTTGCGGTAAGCCTTTCCCCCGAGTTTTGCCTTTCTAAAGCCTCCTCTCACTCTGGATGAAAATGGACTCTAATCCCCGTGTTGCAGCTCTGGGCGAAGCGTTCGCATGGCCTATTCAAGGTCTCATTCGCCATTTCCGGCCCCAGCTCGAAGCACGCATCAAGGAATACACAAAGGCTGCCGGTGGCGAGGCTCACGCGGGTGGATGGGAGCCTGACGCTGGGAAGAAAGGGCTGCTAATCGCACCTGGACAGTAAATCATAAACGGGATCTTGGGGCAAGTCGGCTGCTGGATGAAGTCTCGCGGAGGAAGTTTGCAAGGTCGAGTTTCCGATACTGATGTCAGAAAGTGTTGGTATTGATATCTGAGCAGCACAAGGCTGCGTTCCTTCAATCGCATGGCGTTGTTTCTTTCAGTCGCGCCCCAGAGAGAAGACGTGGAATAAAATTGTATATATATTTCATGCCAAACACTTCCGTTTCTCCTTGGTGTTGACCTTTGGTGTTGAATGAGGACCTAGCCCCAGTCCTCTTCGCCCTCGTCTGCTCTCTGCAGTCCTTGACAGCAAACATCTGGGCGAGAATCTACCATCCACTAATTCCTCAAACAAGCCACGTCCCAAATGTCACCCTGACAGAACAGAGTCCCTTCGCCTGGAGATCGAGGCCGGTCGGAGATTCGGGCCGATTGATGAACAGGGATGGCGGCAAAGGTCTTTCCCGCCCGGCGTTTGACTACGAGGCTCTGGTCACTCTCAGTGCCTGCGGCTAAACCTCCTGTTGTAGAAACACTTACTGGCTCTTGATGTCTTCCGCCATTGTCTGTAACCCTTGTAGGCGGATGAAATCAAGCGTCTTCGGGCTTGGTGAGTATCTCAGCAGGTAGGTGAGGGACCGATTGCGTCCGGGTCACTGGAGCATTGCCTGGTGATTTTCTTGGTCTGGTCCTTAAAATGCTTTGACACAGTCAACCACAGGACTTTCTGCCGTCCATTTATGAGAGAGTATTCCTTCTAGTCACCCACGAGTAGCAAAGAGTCTCTTGTTTCCACAGTCATGGGCTCGCGATTCATTCCAACCATGGCATCCCAAAGCCTAGGACGAGCCCGGTACCACGGTCTGGCGCACAAACTCGCGCTCTGCGAGAAATACGGATTCGAGGCGATTGAGCTCTTCTTCGAGGATCTCGAGGGCGTTGCGGAGGCTCTTCCTGTCTCCCATCCAGGCCTGCCACCGGGTTCATCCTTTGCCGATTCTACCGCCGTCCAAGAAAGACAACTTGCGGCCGCCGAGTACATCCACGACCTCTGCATGCAGCACAACTTGGAAATCCTGTGTCTCCAACCGTTCATGCACTACGAAGGTCGACTGGACCCGTCGTCGCACGAGGAAGCCATCCAGCGCCTGCATTTCTGGGTCAAGCTCGCCCGGCGACTCGGCACCGACCTGATCCAGATCCCCTCCAGCTTCCTCTCTCCACCGCAATGTACAGGCGACCGTGACCGAATCGTCACGGATCTACGACAAGTTGCAGAGATTGGTCTTCAGGGCGATCCTCCCATTCGGTTCGCGTACGAAGCTCTCGCTTGGGGGACACACGTCAATACGTGGGATGCTGCGTGGTCAATTGTACGGGAAGTCGACCGACCAAACTTCGGAACCTGCATCGACACATTCAATCTCGCCGGTCGAATCTTTGCCGATCCGGCTTCACTGTCGGGCTTGACCCCGACGGCCTGCCAGGATATCCAGGAGGCACTTTCAAAGCTGCGAAACGAACTGCCGCGGGCATTGGACAAGGTGTTTTATGTCGAGGTGTGTGATGGCGAGAGACTGGATGCCCCGTTAAGAGCTGGCCATGAGTGGTACGATCCGGAGCAGCCGGCGCGAATGTCCTGGTCACGAAATGCTAGGTTATTTCCTTTCGAACCACAAGGATACCTTCCCGCCCTGCAGATTTTGGAAGCTGTGTGCCACGCCGGCTATACAGGGCACGTCTCGTTCGAATTGTTCTCTCGGACGGCAAATCAACCGGGCGAGGAGGTCCCAGAGCAACATGCCCAGAGAGGAGCCGTGGCATGGAAGAAGTTGGTAGAGTACATGGGCTGGAGCAACAAGCAGCAGACTGGCACAAGCCCAGAACTGCTCGCTGAGCGTCGGTAAGTGTATTTCCCGTAGCCTTGATGGTGCAGATATTGACTCGATGATTTCTCAGCGTCAGCATCTCCAGCGCTACCGATTCGCGTTCGATCGCCTCTGATGCCTCTCTCTGTTCGAGTCTGCGGCTCTAATGAAAGGATATATTCGTAAGATGGATTTTTTCGATCTGCATTTTTCCGAGATAAACAATTGCGAGTTGGTCACCGGAGCTTTTTGCCTGGGTTTTGAGGACGCTTTTAGTCCTGAAGCGAGGCTTCCTGACCACTGTTCCACGCCATTGAGATACCCCTTTTTTACCATGATATGAAGATATAGAGATATATATATGGTATACATGATCTTACGCCGCTGCGATGCATCCAATTTGTCTCTTGGATCAAGCCCCCGGCCTAGAATAGTCCAACCTCCTGACCCTCCTCCAAACTTCCCTGATACATCTCTCCTGGCCTTGCCGTGCCGTCTCGCCACCTGGACCATCGCTGGCGGGTCGAATGGCAAGATACAGCCTGCCTCCCAACTTGGCGTCGATAATCTCGGCAGTCTCCCAGTCTTCAGGCGGGTTTGCCGTGGTGACCAAGCCCCCGGCCTCTTTGAGCAGACAAATGCCCGCCGCGACGTCCCACTCCCAACACCCGCCTTCCCACCAGATATCAAAGCTGCCCATGGCCGTGTAGGCTAGGTCCATGGTCGCGCTGCCTAGGCTTCTCATGCCGTGGACCATGCCGCCCTTTCCGTCCCTTGCACCGACCTCGGACGCCATGTTGACGAAGCTGTCGACCTTGCGGTGCAAGTTGCCGTCGGCGGTGTCGCGACGGTCTTTGCCCCATTCGAAGGCGAAGATGCATTTCGAGGGCGCGTCTGGTGGCATGGGCCCTACCCCTTGGCGGCCCAACAGCGGCAGCCGGGTCGTCTCGTTCAACCAGGCCCCTCGACCGCGACACGCCGAGAACAGCTGGTTGAGCAGCGGCGCATAGACGACCCCGACCACGGGTTCTTGGTCGACCACCAGCGCGATGCTCACGCAGAACATGCCGAACCCGTGCGTGAAGTTGACCGTGCCGTCCAGCGGGTCCACCACCCACGTCGGCCGCCCCTCGCGTCCCACCAGGTACTCCCTCGACGACCCCCGGGAGTACATCTCCTCGCCGACAAAGTCGTGCGCAGGGTACCGCTGGGAGATGGACGAGTGGATGAATTCCTCGACCTCGGTGTCGGTGGCCGTCACGATGTCGACGGCGTTGAGCTTCTCTTGCATCACCAGTTCTTCTGGTAACCGGTGGTGGTGGTGGTGGTGGTGGTCATCGTTGCCGGGGTTCTTGCTGCTCCTCCTGTCTTTGTCCTTGTCGTCCCCATCCCACCGCCTCCGCTGCAGACTGTTCAGGAGGATCTGTCCCGCGTCTCTGCCCAGCTGGATAGCAAAAGCGAATATCTCAGCCAGCTCGCCGTCGGAGATGGCCTGCTGCCTCGAGTCTGCTGGCATGGTATGTTTTTCCTTCGGATACGGGGGTCAGAGAGGTACCCAAAATCCTCGAGAACAGGTATGGTGATTGACCCCCCGATGAACTCCACAACCCTCTTGTCCGACTATCGGTAACAAACCCAGGACGGACATACACCCATGAAACCCAGTCTCGGGTCTGCATGGCCGAAGGATTCGAGGACACCGCGCGACGCTGTCGGTTATTCACGGGTTTCAATTGCCGACCGCACCTGCAGAAAGCAGTCGGGTGGCATTTCCATTTCCAAAGTCTCGTCTCTCCGCTCCGGACGAGTTCTCTGCCGACGAGCCCCGTCCAAGTCCGCTCACCATTTCGCCAATATTATAATGCATTGGGCGGCCGAAGAAGGAAATATTCCGTCCAGAGTCCACACGATGTCGGGGGGTGGTGATCTCGCTCGCCTCTTCTGTTTTTCTTCGAAGCGAGAGGGTCTCTGTATCGAGTATGCATATACCTTAGGTACATACTTGATGGACTGGGGTCTTTCGGATATGGAGATCAAAATACTGGGAACAACGGGGGCGACTTTATTATATAAAATAATAGTTCCTCTTTCGTGTCTGTTGTGCACTTTACAAGGTATATCATGTACACTCGCCTGCCGTCCTGAATAGTACATACATGTATCATTATAAACACAAACTCCTTTCATCATATCCAGCCTGGCCCCTCCAACCTCACCCCTCGACTCTGGTGCTGATCTGATTCCAATGAGATTTGCACCCAGGGACATATGAAAGACCTTGTCTGACCTCCCATTTCACACCCTCTCTCACACGGCTTGCGGAGTGTGTTGTTTTTCCTGCGGCCTCTTCGTGTCGGCGCCTCCAGGCCCAGGAACCAGCTTCCGATCTATATAACCTTTGCGGGGTCCCCAACCCCAGGTCCAGGAAAGATTATTATATTACACCACTCCTTCTCGTCGTTGATTGGGAAAGAAGCAATACGGTTGCAATAGAAAGCAGCAAAAAGTCATCTCTGTTCTTCTGCCACTTCGACGCAACCCTTCCCCCAAGAATGTCCGATCTCACCGCTACCACCATTTCTTCTCCCTCACGACCCAAGAGGAAACTCCTCCTCATCAACGGCCCGAACCTCAACCTGCTGGGCACTCGGGAACCGCACATCTACGGGTCCACGACGCTGAGCGAGGTCGTCTCCACGATCGTCTCGCGGGGCAAGGAGCTGAATATCGAGGTGGTGCCGTTCCAGTCGAATCATGAGGGTATGATTGTGGACTTTATCCAGTCGCATTTCGTCTCGTCGCGACCAGCGACGTCTCCACGCACTCGAGTCGGCGTCATCATCAACCCAGCGGCATTCACGCACACCAGCGTGGCGATCCGCGACGCCCTGCTGGCCACGTCGCTGCCCTTCGTCGAGTGCCACGTCTCCAACATCCACGCCCGCGAGCCCTGGCGCAGCCACTCGTACTTCTCGGACAAGGCCGTCGGCGTGATCATGGGCCTCGGCGTGTATGGGTACACTGCGGCGTTGGAATTTTGGGCGCAGCGGTGGGATGGGGAGGAGAGGGAGGAGGGAGGCCGGGGGTGAAGATGATGACGGGTTTGGGCAGGGGTAAGGAGAAGTTAAAGGAGAGGGTAGAGGAGAAGTTAAAGGAGAGGGTAGAGGAGAAAGGAGAGAAGAAGGGGAAGAAGGGATAGGTGAAGGTCGAGGAGAAGGTAGAGCAGACGGCAGAGGAGCACGAAAAGGGAACATAATATATCTAGGCCCTGGGTCCTAGGTATATGCTGTAGAGTAACGAAACATAAGTAAATATATCCCTTTTCCATAGTTCAATGATCTCGAGATGGTTTCAAACGCTCATCCCCTAGAGCATGGTCTTCTCTTCCAATTCCATTTTCCGGGCGTCAAACTTGCCCATGCTTCCATCTCTTTACACCTTCTCGATGGTAACCGCACGTTCTTCCACAGACTCCTTATCACCACCAATACTCTGTCTGCGGAACTCTTGTTCCTCCCTGCGAATCTGGCCGAGGACCTCCTTGTGCGCGCGTCTCGCAGGATATTCTCGGCTGAAGAGACGATCCATGGCCTCGAGCGGAATCCCCTTCGTTTCGGGCACCAGGAAAAAGACAAAAACGGCGGCGCAGAGCATGAGGGAGGCGAAGAACATAAAAACGCCATAGGACATTGAGGCGAACATTTGGGGAGTGAAGCTGTATATCACAAGTAATTAGCCACAGTTTTTGTCTTTATAATGAGACTTTGGTGGGCATAACTTACCGAGCAATGATGAAGTTCCATAACCAATTATTTGCAGCCCCCCAGGCTTGGGCTAGAGTTCGCACGTTCTGATCGAACATCTCCGAGTTTAAAACCCACACTGTGCCATTCCATGAAGGAGAATACACGAGGGTCCATAGGTAGAAGAAAGCCATAGCTGATATTCCCCCCGATGAAAGCGTATCGCTTGGATTGTGGATAGGTTTGGCAACGGCGATATAGCCCCCAATATACCACATGCAGAGAGAGCCCGCGATGGCGCCGTATATGAGAAGCGCGCGTCGGCCGAGCTTATCAATAAGAAAGAAGAGCCAAACCAAAGTCATGACTGTCTTGATGACTCCGAAGATGCCCGTCGTTAGAAGAGAGGTGTTTGTGCCCGTAACGCCGATCAGGTGAAATACCGTGGGCGAAAAGTAGTTCACCGCGTTAATTCCCGTTCCGTTCTGCCATAGGAAGAGGGAGCCACCAAGAAGGAAGCGATATGTGACCTTGCGGTCCGTAAAGACTGCTCGGAACGGTTGCCAGAAGCCCAAGCCGACCGTAGAGCGTTGGAGCTCGATGGCGTTGTCGATGACAAAGATCTCTTCTTGCATGTAGATGTGATCAGCTGGAAGTTTTCGCAGCCAGCATAAGTTCTTGATTCCTTCTTCACGGCGTCCGCGAGAGAAGAGCCATCGGGGCGATTCTTTGATGACCCATGCGCCCAAGAACAGGAGCCCAGCTGGGATGAGTTGGATGGCAAACGGAATGATCCACTGCTCATGAGAGGGTGCCATGGTCTCCGAGACGCCATAGTTAATCCAGAACCCCACAAGACCTCCGATTTGCCATGCCATCTCGTAGAGTCCAACCAGCCGGCCACGGATGGCTGGAGGGGCGACTTCAGAGCAATAAATCGGCGAAAGGTTTGATGTCCCTCCCACTCCGATGCCGGCTAGCACACGGCCTCCATAGATGAGACCCAATCCACGGGCTCCATTGGCTCCTAACATCATCCCAGCTCCGAGAACGAAGACAGCAGCAAAGATGAGTAGTCCGATTCTTCGTCCAAGGAAGTGACCAGCAGGATAGGCGAAAAAGGCACCAAAAAAGGCACCTGCTTGATAGCAAGAAACAATGTTGGCTGAAAGGAGGTCGACTGCCGACTTGGAGAGGTTGTTGAAATGGAATTCGTCTTTGAAGGATGTCAAGGCAAGAGTACCGCCGATGAACGCAGAGTCGTACCCAATCATCATGGCAGCAGAAGCAGCCACTGCCGAGGAAAAGTAGACTCTCCAGTTATACACATTCTTGGGGGTGGGACGGTCTTCGACTAGGTGGAGGAGACCCATGTTGATCGTGGTCGCTGGTGCTTCGAAGAATCAAAGGAGATGTGCTCTGGAGTGGTGGCTGGAGGAGTCTGGGGAAGCGAGGAAATGCGCGGAGTATATGTATACAACACGCTCAAGGGAGACGACGTGAGACTGGATAGCTGGGAGGCTGTTGGATCCTTCCAACTGCCAAACACGACCACCGGGGAAGAGTTTTTCTCCACGAGTTGATGGTGGACTCTCCTTCCGGGGTTCTTGATTGTCCTCTTCTGGTCGTCGTCTATGATTGCCGTTTACATCAAAGGGATCTGCCTCTAGTTGTGGGGTCAAGGTCCATAGGCGGTCGGCGTTTGAACCCATCATTGCCGATGGGGAGGCAATTGGCGGAAAAGACTTTAACCCGCAAGGATTTTGCCTCCTCATCCCAGGATCATTCTCTAGTTCGCGGGGGATGATCCGAAATTGGCTGCTCAGCATAGTCGGGTATGTCTTGCTATTGCATCGGATATGGAACACGATTGTAAACCAGTGAACTCGTCTTGGTGCATTTCGGACTGAACGTTGATATTCGAGTATCACTGACAAAGGAGGAGAGGTTCAATGGGCTCATCCGTTCCACTGGCAGCGTCTTGTCCTGAACAGTTGCTCTAAAGGTAAACGACAGAGACCACACAGTCGGATGGACTGGTAGTTTCTTATGATCCAGACACATCGATTCTCATATCACAGCGTCACATTCCAGGCGCCCTTTTCGGTCAACACCTACCAATGGCACAGTTTTCACCTCCAGATACCACGTCTCTTGATCGGGTTGCTTATCTTGTTGGATATCCTATTGCTCATTCAAAATCGCCCTCATTACATCATGCCATTTACTCGGCGGTTGGCCAAAAATGGGGCCAAATGCTCTGCGAAACGACGGATCTCGAAAGCTTCTTGACGTATCTGAAGAGTGACCGAAAATGCATGGGGAGCGGTGTGACCATGCCGTTCAAAGTTGCCGTCATTCCCTATCTCGATGAACTCACAGACGAAGGGAAAGCGATTGGCGCCGTGAACACGATTGTTTTCAGGACAGGCCCAAGTGGGTCAAGGATATATTCTGGCACAAACACCGACTGTCTGGGGATTCGGGACGCGTTTCTCTCGAATGTTGAAGGCTCTCCCTACCGAGGGAAGCCAGGCCTCGTCGTTGGAGGTGGCGGTACCTGCAGAGCGGCTGTGTATGCACTACAGAAATTCATGGGCTGTTCGCCTGTATACATCATCAACCGTGATGCTAGTGAAGTGGACGCTGTACTCCAGGAATGTCGAACTCGAGGAGTCGGGGATAATCTGATATACGTGTCCACGACGGACCAAGCCAAAACACTCCTCTCACCAGGGGCCGTGGTCAGCGCAGTCCCGGACTTTACCCCTGTGACAGAGACGGAGAAGACTGTGAGGGAGATCCTCTCCATATTCTTGGGCGGAGATGAGAAGGGTGCGTTGTTGGAAATGTGCTATCATCCCTCCCCTGATACTGAAATATCCAGACTTGCTCAGCTATCAGGCTGGCAGGTTATCGGTGGCATTGAAGCCATGATAGGACAAGGACTTGCACAAGCAAGTCTGTGGACTGGCATTCAGATTGACAACAGGCTTCGTGATGTGGCGCGAAAAGAGGTGCGGAGACAGATGGCAAATACACACTGAAGAGCGTTTTGGCAGCCTTGTACTGAATATGCCGTAACTTGTACCCATGTTGGAAATATCATTACATCGGGCGGATTCGATGGCCATAATGAGAAGAAGCCAGTACATGTGCTGGTTATGTAGAGAACTCCTCCCCGTCAACCAGATAGGATGCGTTCTTGCGAATCGAGGCATGGGCGGCGTCTGCCATGCAACGCTTTGGCGCTTTCCTTCCAGTCATTGATTCGAATTGACCAATAGCTTGCTCGATTAGGGCTTCGATACCATCAACCAAGACCCAGGGTCTCTTTGTTGACTCTCGAAATCGTTTGATCTGCCTGATCAGAGGTGTCTCTTTCGTCATATATGCCATTTCGACAACAACACCACCACTTGGTGATTGCATCCACTGCTCTGGCATCTCGAAATCCGCGCCTGGATTTCCTTCAAGGAGCTCACGAGTGACACATGACACTACTATAGTCGGAGGCGCAAAATCTGTAGGCCAGGGGTCGGTGGTATATTCGATGACTTTGACTGGTTCCGCGGCCGCTGATGCAACTCCGTTTTGCTGAGACTGAGCCCAGTCATTAAAGTGGCGAGCTAGAGTTCGGGTATTTGAGACAGTCCTGTTGTATACAAATATGTGCTTGCAGCCAATTTGCAGCATAGCATAGACCGCAGCTCTTGCCATACCTCCAGCACCAATCACTAGGCTGGTGGTCTTTGGGTGGATTGCATTGCGTGGAGATAGGTTTCGGCTGACACAGTTCATGATGCCTATAAAATCAGTGTTGTCCCCGAACCAGCCGATGATTGTCCCTGCGCGATTCCTAAGCTGGGCTTGTTTGGCTAGCGAAGATGTAAAGCCCGCAGCTTGTTTCCGGAGAGGAATCAGTGTGTTCACAGCCCCTATAGCTTTGGCGTGTCCACTAAGGGCATGCATGTGAGGCACAAGCTTGACCTTGTAGGGTTGCACCACACTCAAACCGCCCAAAGCTTCATCCTTGGCAAGCTCTTCGATATCCGTCCAGTTCGTGATTTGTTTCGTGCTGTAACGATGTTTCAGGCCAAGGAAGCTGTATGCAGCGTTGTGCATCGCCGGTGACAAAGATCCCGAGACGTTGGCTCCGATAATATAGAATTGGAGAGAATCGAAGACGCAACTATCGAACAGAGCACCGACGATCTGCTTGGAAGATAGCAGAGGCCAGAAGACATATTCGTGATTTGCTTCAGTCTCGGGAAGGCTGGGATGAGTAACTGTTGTCAATACAGGGTTCATGATTTGTGATGTCCGACCCAGGAATCCAACATTGTATATTATCGCGATGAGTCGAGGTCCGGGAAGTTCTTTCAGTTGCTGGGCGAACCATATCGCCGCTTCATTCTCCTGGCGAGATGCCGGAACATTGAGAATACGGACCATTTCAAATTTGAAATCAAGTGCTCTGTTGTACATATGCCTCAAGTTCGTGTCCTTCCAGCCATTTTCATTGGACGGGTAGTTGGTATAGTTGCCAATTATTTTGGTGTAACCCTTGATGACTCTGAGACGGTCAATCTGGCCGGGATCCAGGTCAAGATCAACAGAAATGTACTGCACTCCTAGTCGAAAACCGTGCATTAGAGCCGCTACATACGTCTCCGTAGCCTGGGATTCGGACAGTCTGCGACCGGCTGACAGGAGAATAGGTATGGCCAAGGCTCTCCTGGCGGTCGCTACCATCTTGCTGAGCACCTTTGTCGTATTTGACTGCCACTGGTCAACATAGATCTCCAAGACATCGCCGGCAGCCTCAAGAGAGCCAAAATCCACTCGTCCGTCGGCGAAGTCTGAGACCCGTAAGAGAAGTGCATGAGTGTAAGACCGCAATTCGACAGAGTCATCCAGGCAAAACGGAGATATCAGTGTGGGATCACTCAAAGAACAACCGGTGATGAATCGAACAAAAGCTGAAAAATCGGCCTGAGTATTTCTGAGTTTGAAAGAGTAGTTTGGAGACGCACGATCTGCCATTTCAACATCGGCAGACCCGTGCAGAGAATCATCTTCCAAGTTATAGAACTCGAAATTGGAGCATTTTCGATGGGTAAGGTTTCCATGCTCGAGCAACTTTGCAGCCCGATCGTCCAGGCTGAGAATTGCCTTGATCTGATCCATGTCCCTGAGCACGAACACCACTGGGTTGGTCTGGCTGAAGCGTCTCAAGTAGTCCTGGAGTCCGCTTGTGAGGCTTCCAAGGCCGCAGTCAATAACACATCGGTACTTATTGTCGTCCAGCATGCGCTTGGAAGTCTCAATGTCTTGGCGATGAAATTGCTCACTGCCGTGGATTTTGAGGTAGTCTTGTCTCGAAACGCCGTTGACGGTCTGGAAATAATGGTCTTCGGTAACAAATCGCCGTCCGAGAGCAGTGGCCGCAATAAGACCCAAGGATCGCTTCCCAGAGGCCCTGATCCCAACCAGGACAAGTGAAGCCTCGGGATGAAAGAGGCGCCCAGAAGCTGAGCCATCTGGGACTGATGTCTTCACTAGGCGTTTTGGAGTTCCTTGAGAGGTAGCCTCGTCCTGAACAGCGTCGAGCAGGTGCTGGGCTGACGATGTTCGGCTGGTGACTGAACGTGGCGAGGCTGTGCCAGATACTGGAGGTCGAGGCTGACTGTGGTGAGAAACTCCATTGATTCGATCCCCTGTAAGTTGACTGACTCTGCTATGAGATTCCATGGTAACGATTCATTCTCGGTCAATATCAAGTTGAGGGTGTCTTGCTTGGGCGTGTACATCTGGAATTGCCATGGTCATGTTTTGCCTCGTTTTGGAAGATGCAGAGAAATGCTTCATCAAACAGCCCTGGGCTAGGAAGCCCAGACTTTGTACCTGGCTACCCATGTATGTAGCCGTGGTAGCTAAAGTCTCGGCTCGTGAGGTGGCTCTGGCGCTGGAGTTCGGCAGGTGGAAAGAGGCTGATTAGTGGGCGCCAGCTTCCCCGCCCCGCAGGCACCTCCAGTGCTCTATCCGATCGACATCAGCCAGCGCAACTCACCGAGACGCTTCATAGACTGGGGATCAGGGATACTTTCATCACGACGCCCTCATGAGAAGACAACCTGGTACTGATTTGTCTCGGCTCGATTCCTTTCACAAAGCACACGCCCTCTGAACATGGCTGTCGCACACCTACCTCCTTGTGATGGATTCACATAGCGCGGACGCGGAGAGACGACGGACTCGGACGAGCGACCAAGAAGACGCCTCAAAACGATCACGAGCCCGCGTTTCACGCGCCTGCACACGCTGTCGAGCTCGCAAAGACAAGTGCGACGCGAAGCAACCGGAGTGCTCAAACTGTCTCAATGCCGGGCAGCCATGTTTGTACGTGGCCGGGAACAGGAAGAGAGGACTCCCAGAGGGATATGTCCGTGGGCTGGAGAAACTATGGGCTGTCATGTTGCAGAAGGTACACGGACTAGACGGTGCAGTACAACGTGTGGTAAATCAGAACGAAGAAGAGCTGGTGCGGATATGGAACCATCAGAAATTTGGTGACGATCTTCACACGGCATGGAAAGAGTCGAACGTGCTTACAGAGCTGGAAAAGCTCTTGTCCCGTCTCGAGCACGGTCCTTCGATCCACCAAAAGCGTAAGCGCGAAGACGACAACGAATCGACTCAACCTCCGAGCGATACTCGAGGCGATGGACCTATCCTCGCGCCAGATTTTAAGGTCACTGAGATGTCAGAAAGTAACGAGCCTGTGAGCACTTCAGACATCCGTGACCAAGGCCCTGGCTTTGCAGAGCCTCTGCTTCAAAATAGACCCAGCACTCCAAACCCGGAAGAAGTACCACTTCCATCTTCTGCCTCGCGTCTTTTGGATCAGTATTTCACATTCACCCATTGTTGGTTTCCAGTTTTGGACAGGCCAGCTACCCTAAGAAAATTCTACGAGTACACTAGGCCTCAAAAACGACGTCCTCTCGACACTGCTGATCTTTCTTGCATGTGGGCGATATGTGCCTACTCTCACCAGCAGACCGCACATCTGTGGTCAGCCCCTTACGGGACACCCAGTCAAAGTGTTGCTGAGATGCGTTCTTTGGCGAGGAAGATGATACCGTCTGAGAGTGGTCCTTTCTCGCTTGGCCATGTGCAGGCTTTACTGTTGCTGGTCTTGCTTGACGTTGGCATCGGTGACTGGGCGTCCGCCTGGATGCTCGTGGGCTCTGCTATACGGGCTTTGCTTGTCTCCATGGGGCTAGAAGTGGTCCCGTTCAAGCCCCTTATGGGTCCATATTCTGACTCTGGTGTCAATGGACACGAAAACACGACCGCATCTGGACCTCGACCGGCTGGTTTGAAGCAGAAAAGCTGGCAGGCCGTCCTGCAAGGTTGTTTTGTCTTGGAAACGATCATTGCAATCCGTTTAAAGAAGCCGCCACATCTTCAGAGTGGTTATTTGAGTTCTTCCAAGCTTCTCGAGGAAGACGGCCACGAAGAGTGGGAACCTTGGAAGGCAGGAGCTGGTCATGATGGGCCCGAGTCCAGACAACCGGCTTTCGTGATGAGTTGCTTCAACCGATTGACCGAGCTCTGCATGATTGCCAATGATGCATTTTGCACTAAAGGCTTACAGATGACTAGCCTAACGCCGATAAGCCACCAAGTTACCTCACGACTGGGCTCGCTCAGCGAGAAGTACCCTTTCACAATCTCGGACGTAATACGACGCCCACCACATCAAATGATCTTGCAAGCATGTCATTTTGCAGTTCAATCAATCAGCACTCAATCGAACGTTGAAATTCAACCGAGCTCCAGGTGGAAATTCATTGAGAACTTGGAATTATTCGAACATTCGTGGAACCTTTTCGACAAATGTGGCATTCCATCCATGCTAATACCACTTTTCCACCTGATACATGCATGCTCCGATACTCCTTCATTGCCCCTTAGTGGCCATGATTTACCTCTGGAAAGGTTCGACAGGGTCCAGTCGAAGTTGGCCTTGATTTGGCCAGGAGCGAAATCCTTGAACGACGATGTTATGCGGCTGGCATCAACAGCTCTTTCGGACCAAAATCCAATGTTGCCATCCAGCAGGGTCTTGCAGATGCCACCAATGTACATGGCCGAAGCCGCACCAGCTCCAGGCAGCCGCAGAGATTTAGGAGCACTGGGACCTAGCGCTAGGGAGCCAAACCTCTTTCAGTATCAGGACATACCTCAATATGCAAGTGCACCAGAGGACTCCCAACCGATTGGATCCATATCCGTGGATTACGGTGCGATGAGTGTTGACCTGCCCGAAGAGAACGACGAAGCAAGCCTTGGTCCTGGTCTGATGATGAAAAATACCAACAATTCGGGGTTGGCGACATCTCCGAGCTTTGACGGAGACGAGATTGACGCCTTGTTCCACGAAATGGCTCAACTAGATACCACCCAATGGACCGTGGACAGGACCCAGGGACTGAAGGACTTCGGGTTTGCGGATGACACAACCTTTGAAGCCTTTTGCAATGATCCCGACCGCTTGATGCTGTCGGATGGGTTCATGGGTCCTGTTTTTAACAATCATAGCAACAACCCCACTGGAAGTCAAGCTGGAGTATCAAGCAATAACAGTACTCGCATTGGCAACATGAGCTTTGACGATATTTTCCGGTGAAAGCAGATGAGGCGGGTAGTTCCAATCCCACGGTTGCTCCTGAAGGCCAACCCTACCACTTGCGCGGCATGTATTCAGATATAGTCCGCATATAACCTGTAAACTTGCTTGGATCTCACTTTGGCACCAAAATACCAATATAGTTGTGGCTCAAGGTTTTGTCCTGGGGAGCTCGTCGAGTGGTCTGTGTATATGTACCCACGGGATAGCCTTCCATGGCATAGCCTGACCGCTTGCACGCGAAAGGCTGCAGCCTCGTCGCCGAAGTTTTGCCGCTCATTCACTTTTTGCTCAATGCGCCGTTCATACAGTTTTCGTTCATCTGCGTCTTCCGGTCCCGACAGCTTCGGGGTTGATGGTTACAGCTCCATATCCCTGTGCCCCATCATAGAGCCTCAGCAAGCGCGCTTTGCCTTACTGGCGAGTGGGACATCAAAAGTTCTGTACCAGTTCCCGACCTTGCCTCGAAGCCAGTTGAGCCTCCCTCACCTCCGCTCGCCTGCCACCCATCCTTGCGCTCTCCAGTCTTGTTCCCTGCATAAACCCTAGACGAATCCCAGCCAGGATGCCTCCCCGCGGCTCCTCGACAGCCATAAACCCAGTGCGCCTACAGACCGTGTCGCGGTTAAAGATCAGACACCCGGACAAGCAGGAGCCGAATCCGTGCCTGGGACCCATGACTGCGATGTTGAGTATGTCTCTCTCTATCCTGTTTGCCTCGCTCCTCGGGAATCGACGGAAGGAAAAACGTTCGAGGATATAAACCCGGGCGCAAAGAGCTTAGGATGATATAGTGCCAGCTTGGGAAGAAGCACGCTGTGTCCCCACAAAGTCGACGAAATCGCTGGGAAGGGAATAATACGATACCTTGTAAAGAATACTGACGTGGTTCGTTTTCCAGATTGTTGGGCCGCGGGCGCCGCCTCAGGAGGCTGTGGGCACCTCGAGAAAGCTCTCCGAGACTGCATGGATGCACCTGTACGTTTTTGTTTCCGCATTATTACTGCTGCACGGTCTTCTGAATCTGGTTCTTTTTTTCCCCCAACGAACCCAAATTCTCGACGACAACACAAAAACCCGTACAGCAGAGCTGAGCTGAGCTGACCCGTGCGCGTGTGCGCTTGCCCCCCAGAAACCGCAACCAAAAGGCAAATCCACGATAAACCACCATCTAGGCCGCTTATATCCGTTGATCTCGGGACCGAAGAAAAAGACTTGAGAGAGAGCGGTGCCCATCCTGATATGACAGGACGGGACGGGGACAACCTCTGCGATAAAGCCTCGGGTCAAGCTCATGTGAAACGGGGGTTTAACTGGGAGTGTACGAGAGGATATTCGACGCGGTGTTCGGCTGGAAAAGTACGCTGAGAGGATACACTCTTTCGGATTGTATAAACACAAGTTCTCAAGAATCGTGCAACGCAAAGGTGACCGTTGCGATCTTGTATGGCTGTGGGATACAACCCCAATTTGGTTACAGATCTGGTCAAAAGACCAAGAGCATAAGAGCATAGCAGTGGGATAGACTGGTTCGGGGGCCCACCGTCGACTATTCGGAAACGCCACAGACTCGACCTCAGGGGACGGAGACGAGCACGGGTCGATGCGAAAACGTCAGCACGCTGAGAGCGCGGGTATTGATATATTGTGGGCGAAACGCATCGAGGAGATTCATCATAGAAGGGCTTGTACAACACGAAGGGAAGGGAAGAGATGATTACATAGGTACCAGATTAGGCTGTACTGTTCGAACTCACAAAGATCCACCTGCAATCAAGATTGTATTACCTCCCTTCCAATATCTTCTTCCTTTCCGCTACTGTCTCTCTTCTCCTTCGTTATAACAAGGAGAGACTTGGTTAACTCAAGGAACCTAATACGCGTGTGTGTTCATATTTTCAAATTATGATATCCGATATGTCCGTTTGCATATATTATTACACCAAAAGCCAGCCCCAACAAGCTCGAGACCTTCGTCCGACATTGAGTATGATGTATATAGAACCCGTAACATCCCAAGACGCCATCGCTTATGTTTTTTTGCCTTGCATGCTTCATGTTTCTGTGCTGCGTGCACAGTGCACTGACTGTATCGAGGTCGTCATCAGGTCGTATCAGGTCGTGTCTCACATATAACGCCGCGCATTACCTCGACCCGTGTACCGTGTACCATGCACCATATCCTTGAACAAGAAAAGAAAACTATAGCAACAAGATCATGATAGAGACCAAACAAGCGCCATCGAGAAATGCCACCGCGCTATAGAACCCTGGACAGAAAAGAGACAAAGAGTCGATAAAAGGGAAAGAGAGGAGACGAGGCTCCCCCATTCACGACCTCTTGAACATGAAATACCCATACATACCACCAACGTCTTGCTCAACCATGGGGATCTTCCTCATCCCCCACCAGCGAGCACCCATCTTCCACGCTCTGGCGCCATTGTCGTCGAGGCTGGTCGCACCGGGCAGAGGCTGACGCACATACCACCCTCGTCGGCCGAGCTCTTTGACGACCCACTCCAACTTCCCGCGGTCCCTTACATGCGCAGTGCGTCGCTTGATTTCCTGCAACACATCACCGCCCAGCTCGATGACCTCAAGCGGCAAAGTGTCCTTGTCCGTGAGGGAGGAAGGGGAGTAGGAGAGGGATAGCTGTGTGACGGAGCGGATCGACGTGAGGTCGAGGTAGCGCAGTGTGCTGCTGTGCTGGCGAGACGACACGGAAGTGGACGATGAGTCGTTGTCGTCCATGGCGTGATCTTCGTCTTCAGAGGAGCAAGCGGAAGGCGAGGGTTTGAAGAGACGCACGATATCGCTGCCGAGGCTGAGATCGGCGCCACGCAAACCGAGTTCTTCGAGATGCGTGGCGAGATTTCTCAGCGCGGGAATATGGGAGGGAGTGACCTTGGCACCACCTAGGTTGAGGGATCTGAGGCTCGAAGGCAAGGATTCCAGCAGTCTTGTGACGTCGTCTTCCGCTAGCAATCCATGCCGCGATGCGTCGGCAGCAAGGTTCAAGTAAACGACATTTCCCCTGACGCCGGGATGGGTTGTGAGGAACTTGACAACGGCAGAACCTGTCAGACGCGTGCAACGTTCGATGTTCAGGTGCGTGATTCTGGCCGTTGGCGGGATGGACAACAGAGCCTTGTCGTTGATGAGCGTATGTGCCACGTCCAGGTGCGTCAGATTCGTAAGGAGCGGAAGGAGCGATTCAAACACCGGCTCTTGCAGTGTGGTGCATTCATGCAATGAAAGGCGTTTCAGGCTTTGCAGTGGAGTGGAAAGCTGCGTCGTGACGGTGGTAAAGGCCTCTGCAAATGGCCGAGAAGAGCAGGCGCAAAAGTCCAGCGCCTGCATGAGAGGCATGTTGAACAGTTTGGAGATGATGTTGACGTCGAGTTCTTCATCGACATGCTCATGGACCAAAAATGCCTGCAAGTTTGGCATGACATCCAGACACGCGCTGAGAGTCTCGGGCTTCAAAAAGGGAGTCTGATTGCGAACGCTGCGAGCGCTGCCAAAGCCCATGTTGGAGTAATGCGAAAAATCCAACCACTGCACTAGTTCTCCGAGCTGGGGGGTGGACTTGAGACTCCGCATCAGTTTGGCGAAAGCCCTCGACTGCGGGATCGAGACGTGTCGGTACAAGACCTGGACGGCAGCCGCTTGGATTTTCTTGGACACGAGCGAACAGCTCGCCAGATCAACATGGGGACGGGCATAGGGATCGGCCGTGTGATCAACCGTCACATAAGAGAGGATGAGTTCCAGAATTTCCTCAGGCATAGCCTCGAGAAACGGAACGCCGTCCTTGCGGGAAATGGTCGAGGTCTGCGACAGGGTCTCGTCCGAGTCGTCAACGATTGCCGTGTCCATTGCCGTGCGATCGAACTCGTCGTTCAGGCGAATGGAATCTCTGACTTTCTCCCGCCATACTTCGAGACTGAAATCGGCCGGACGGGGATGAACGCGAGTAATCTCTTTGGCGAAGGGGAGATTGAATAGTTTCTGGGCCGCTCTTCGCTTCTCCAGTTCGTCGAGGATCTTTTCCAGCTTTCTCGGGTTGTTGCGAGCATATCCTTCCAACCTTGTCTGGACATGATCTTCGTGAGAACCGTTGAAGTGATACGAGCACAAGCCCTTGGCCTTACACCACTGGCTGCAGGGCCACGCGATCCACTCGACTTCCTCTAGATCTTGGGATGACAGGGACGACCCAAATGACTGGGGGAGGCCATCTTTGGGCAATGGTGGTCAGCGGCGGACATCCATATCCGGTGCGGTGGTATAAAACGTACCTGTGTCTTCTTTGACTGACGCGTATGAGAACTTTCTCGAAGCGGTCATTTCTTCAGGTGGTTCAATGAGGTGATGATAATGAGCTTTGAATAACAACAATTCCTCAGGCCTTTCGTGATTTTGGGGAGTAGTAGTAGCAGCAATGTTGTGGTTCGAGCACGGGCCGTGGTCTGGAAGATCGGAAGGCGACATGATTTCAACCGTGCTCCTCCCACTTATTAACTCCTCTAGATTTGTACCCGACGACCAGAACGACCAAAGAATGCAAAAGTGTCCAAGCGAACTCCACCAGCAAGCCAGGGAAAGATGCAGGGAAAACAGCAAAGATGGTGACCAGAGGAACAAACTTGGGAAAATATTATGAAAAATGGGGGTAATAGAAACATGGGAAGAGGAAGGAGGTTTCGTGTCATTGTTTTTCTATTCCCCGATGGGCGAGTGATATTGGCAGGACGGACCATACCTGTGAGTAATACGTACCACGGCACGCAGAGCCTTAAGTTGAGGACTAAGCAGTTAACGGCAGGCTATGAATCACACTGTCCCCGGATTTGTGGACTTTTGTTTCCTCCGAAGAGTAAAAGAGGACGGCGGCCAGATTTCCGAAAGCATGAAAAACTTCGAAAAGAAGGCTTAGAGGGGGAAGGGAGGGATATCCACGGGAACGGATGTCCATCACATGAGAGAGAGGCTGCGGCAAGGGAGGCAAGGGAAATCTCGGCCTGGCCTCTGGTGGTGTCATGTGGCTGGGAATAAGAGTTACGTGGCGTTAACAATGGAATGCTTACTAGTAGATGATGATGATTCAAAAGAAGGGGCAAAGCAGCGTCCGCCCTCATCCCGGGCCTCCTGAGGTGACGGGGGTTGTTGACGCCACGAGGAGGAAAAATTGGCCAGCAGTGCAAGATGGGAAGCGCGGGACATGAATAACGTGTTGTCAACAAGAGGTTGAGATTACGTAGGAGGAAGAGATTTTTTCGCGGGTTTCGCTGTTTTCGCTTTCTCGCCTCTGCGCAAATGCCCGGAGCGCGGGCCTCGGCGGACACAAAATCTGGGGTAATAGCGCAGTTTAGGCTGCTTGGCAATTGGCCGCGGGCCATTCACGTGCGCCGTCAAAGTTTTCTAAGCTGTCAGTGCCTGTTGGGTGCCTGTGGCTCCGCCCTTGGAAGCAGAGGATGGACGCGGTAGGACGCGGTAGTCCGCAGTAGTACCCAGTAGTACCCAGTCCGCAAGTCTCCATTACTTGAAATGGCGGAATTGTCTCAATCCTTGACGCAATGGCGAACCACAAATCCCCTCGACACGGTGGTATTCATATGAATAAAAGCATGGCAACTATGGCTGACGGCGGGTGACCAGGCATTTCTCATGACAAACATGTACAACCTCAAGACGTCAATCATCCATTGCTCTTCTCCGCAACTATGCAACATTGATTCCTACTGGAACCTGGTGGCTGCGAGCGACCATCTCCTCGGCCCTTCCCCCCGGACCCCAGATGGGGCAAATGCTTGTCAAAGAAAAAGGAGTGAAAAGGAACAATAAAAGAATCGGTGAAAGGACCCCAGACCCGGACAGAACGCCACATAATCCCCAGGGCAGTACAACCTTTCATGCGTCGACCCATCCTCCCTGGGTGACATCGAACCTCTTAAGCACCTCACCAGTGTTTTGCCGCGATGCAAAAGGGGACTTCAAGGTCAACGCTTCGAAATCCGCCTTTTCAATCCCTGGGGACCGCCCCGGTGACCTTTGCCTCCCCCGCAAGGACTCTCCACTCCGGACTCGTTCGCACAGCGTTTTGAGCACGCCTCCTAGCCACTCGAAGTCTTTGAGTTCTAGGTAGATCTGGCCCGAAATTCGTGTCCAGAGTTTGCCGTCGTATTCGTAGATGGCGACGAACGTGTTGTATTCGTCCACCAGGGTCTTTTCCATCCAGGCGACATGCGTGGCCACGTCTGCTTCCTGGATGATGATCGGACCTGCAGAATACAGACTCGGAGAATTGAGGGGTGAATTGGAACGTCTGGGTTCGCCTAGATTCCCTCCTGAGCCGGCAGAAGATGATCGAAGCTGCGCCGCAACACTAGCACTGGGGAACCCGTACGACGACTGGCGAAAAGCGGGAGACAGCCCCCCTGCACTCCCGGCTCCACCAGGTCCCATACTGAGACTTCCCCTGGAATGTCCGCCGATGATCGTGATTGGCAGGAGCACGTTGGCCATGGCACAGTCCCGGAGACCACCAGCCCAACCTATACGTCCTCCGTCGCGTTTATCACTTGCTTCGTAGCTTCCCATCGTTCGCAATCCGTAGCCCGCGTCCAAGTCGTCCATAACTTCAGTCCCGAGAAGCATGGCAAGGAGGTCGGCACCCCTTTGAGCAATGTCCCTGATGTAGTTGTAGATGGCTTCCTCACCGCCGCATAGGTTTTGTCGGAAGTTGAGGGCTGCTGGGACACAATAGTAAGGGGTGTTGTCTGCAGTAGCAACAAATTGAAATAGATTGATAAAGTCTGACTTATCGGTCGGTGGAAGGGGATTCCTAATTGACGATGATGATTGAGGCACAAAGCCATGTGAGGTCGGAAAGGTGGTTCGAATGAGGTGTTGATTACGCTTCGGCACGTGGAAAACGGCGCAGCCTCGTGGAGTGTATAGCCATCTGTATCACGTCAGACATCGCAAAGTGTCCTGTCATCGCGAAGATGCTCGTCTTGTAAGTCGTTTCCACTTACTTGTGGCAGTTGCTGACAAAAAAGTCGGCGTCGAGCTGGGCCAGATTCAGGGGTATCTGACCAACCCCGTGGGCCCCGTCGATCAAACTGAGAATACCATATTCTTTGCACATTCTGGTGATCCTTTCGAAAGGGAACCGCACCCCCGGCAAGGACACTATGGTCTCAAAAACACAAACCTTGGGGTTCAGCCCATCGTACAGGACTCGCGAGATCGTCTGTGACAGAGCATTAAGGATCTCGGAATGCGTGCATGGTAGTGAGTAGGCAAAGTCTTGTCCATGTCCGACCTTGCGAAGTTGGAGTTGCGGGTTCGTCTCGACAATGGAAGCCAGTGTCTTTTCAATGGCTCCGTAGATAGTATCGAAATAGATGATGCAGTCCTTCTCCTTGTACTGGAGATTGCGCAACACCGTGTTGACACCTGCAGAATTAGTCATGTCGATGACAGGTCCAATGTTTTGATGCACCCACCGGAAGTGGCATTCTGCACAAAAACACACTCGTCCGGGGGGACGTTGAGGAGCTTTGCTATCCGCTCCCTCGACTTATCCAGGAGATCAATATATTGGTATCGCAGGAATTTATCCGGAGCTGCCTCGGCCAATTTCTGATACCCTCGTAGCGCATTGCGGACAGGTAGCGAGTAGCTACCGAATGACCCTGCAGACTTCCAATTAGGTCGTGTTCATCCCATACGAGATCCTGGACTATCTGATGTGCAGACAACCGGAGTGAAGGACAGGCTGATGAAGCAGTGGGGGCTTGGCGTCCAAGACAAGAACTTTCTGCAGGGAAGCGGTGTGGACGAGCATACCATGATTCAAGTTGGTATATTTGGGATCAAACAAGAATTGAGCTTTGAAGCCGTGACCGAGCTCCGTAACCTCACCGAACGAGCCCATCTTGGCCTAAATTGAGAATCGGACAGCGATGTATGTAGAGTCGAAGGCGTATACCGAGTACAGGAGTAACAGGCCCAAAATAGGGGAAAGGAGGTTAGTAATGAAGCTTTCGGAAACGAGTCCGGACCCCTCTCAGGTTTCTTTGACAATCCACCTCGATCCCTTTATTTTGAGTGCCAGGAACAGAGTATATGCGTTTCAAAGAAGACAACCCACCGTGAGAATCAGTTGTCATCGGTGCCAAAGTGGCAGTACCGCTGCGTGACTCGGATCGGGTTGAGCTGAAACACTGAATTTTGCACAGTTACGAGATTTCATGGGGGGCCAAAGGGCGCGTCCGGGGCGGGAATAGCAATCAAGCCGCATCGTTGCAGAGCCACCTAGAGCCAAGGACTTCGATCGAGGCTTGTTCGACCAGGCACTCTCGCGCGGTACTGGGCCACTGAACAAGCAACCTTTCAACGCTTGGGAGCGCACAACAAGAGTTTTTGTGAGGGAGACAGGGGCCCATCTCAAGCCCCTTTCGTCGTGGCTGGGTGGTTTCGCTGGGCTCGTTCGGGGAGCGATACGCCAATCACGGGGGCGCCACTCTGGCGTCAGGCCTCTGTGTGATCCTTCGTTGATGGAGTTCTCGGCGTGCTAGTCCAAAGTAACGAGAAAAGCAACGGCGATCGCGGGTCCCGGCGAGCCAACTATTCCTTCTCAGGCGTGCCTCTCTTTTTTTGAACTCCCAAATTGAGAAGCTGAACTCGATTGAGATGGCAGGAAGGAGATCGAGTACGAGGTACGAGGTACATGAGAAGGAATGATGACAGGAGCGCAGCAAAGCTGACTTGCCTGGGTGAAAGAATATATACCGAGTACTCGGCCAGGGATTGAATGAGCCCATGATCCTTGATCCTCATGTCCGCTTGGGGCGAGTGGGCGATATGCCTCCCTGCCCGTGCCTCCTTCAGCCGTCCAGGGGATCACGTGCCTGCGGCTCTTGGTTCTTCGGAGAAACTGATTATCCAGATCCGATACAGCGCTTCCAGACCTACCAAGGTAGAGGTTGTCTCTGATTGGTCCGTACAGTGTACCGAATAACGGCCCACGGCTTTACAACGGCTGAAATGACTTCATACCTCGGTCTAATGGACAAGTGCGCTGGGAAAACCCCCATCTCCCCGTCATCTTGAAGTGAGGAAGATCGGTAACCGCTCCGCCTTCTGTGAATACGATACTCGCGATACAGTTTGTGAAGCTGGTCAAACCTTTGCGAGTAGAACACCGACTTCAAGTCTACGCGAGATATCGCCGAACTTGGATTTCTAAGCCAGGCGACTGAGCTGGAGAGGGAGGATTCCTGTATAAAGAAAATCCAGTGGGCATTGTCGTTGCTTAACATTTGAAGACTAGGGTTAGTCGAGCTTGGGACATTCTGCACCGCGACGGTCCCCACAAGATGCCGAAGTCAATCTCCATATCAAAGGTCGACGGCAAGCCTGGGCAGGTCTACTATCCGCTTTCTTTGGACGAAGTTCCAAAGCCTTCACCGAAGGGAAAAGAAGTCCTCATCAAGATCCATGCTGCTTCCTTGAATCACCGCGATCTATTCATTCGCCAACATTTGTATCCGGGCACAGCGTTTGGTGTTCCTCTCCTGGCCGATGGGTGCGGAACGGTGGTGGCTGTTGGCAGTGAAGCCAATCCGAGCTGGAAAGGCAAGCGGGTTGTCGTGAATCCCGGGACAGGCTGGAAGGACAGCCCTGATGGACCCGAGGCCAAGGGCGGATACCAAATCTTGGGAGGAACAAAGACGAATGCGAACGGCACCCTACAAGAATACATGTGCATTGACGAAGGAGAACTCGAAGAGGCCCCTGAGCACCTCTCCTCGGTTGAAGCGGCTGCCTTCATCCTCACCGGTCTGACCGCATGGCGAGCGGTGATGGTCAAATGCGGCGAAAAGAACCTCAAGCCGGGCAAGAACATCTTGATTACAGGCATCGGTGGTGGAGTGGCGTTGCTGGCCTTGGAGTATGCCAAAGCTGCAGGGGCCAATGTCTGGGTTACCAGCGGCAGCGAAGAAAAGATCAGGAAGGCGGTCGCTCTGGGAGCGAAGGGTGGAATCAACTACAAGCAAGAAGGCTGGGACAAGAAGCTACAGGGGATGCTGCCGGCAGAGAACAAACAGTTGGACGCAATTGTCGACGGTGCGGGTGGGGATGTCGTTTCCGTTGGAGCCAGGCTGCTCAAGGTATGATCACCCTCCCGTCTTTTCTTCTTTGCCTACTGACATTCTTGGTAGCCAGGTGGTGTGATCGCTGTCTATGGCATGACAATAGGTCCAAAGATGCCTTTCCTCATGCAAGCTGTCTTGAAGAACATTGAGGTCAAGGGGTCAACCATGGGATCCCGCAAGGAATTCAAAGACATGGTAGACTTCATCAAAGCCAAGAAGGTCAAGCCAGTGGTGTCGCGGGTCGTCCAAGGCTTTGACCTGGACGCTATCAATGGCTTGTTCGAGGACATGAAGAAAGGGAGCCAATTCGGCAAACTGGTGGTCGAGATCTCCAAGGAAGGCGCCGATAGCAAACTGTGAATATTATTAGCAGTCGACTCAGAGACCAAAATTAGCCTTGAAATCACAGCTATTGATTGTCGCCTCCAATCATGGTCGTGCTTCGTGGTCGCTAGAACAATCACTAGGGATTGGTGTTTTGATCTGTACAGATTGCCCCGTGTTTATTGCACCCTACCCATTGCTATTTTTATAATTGATGCAGCGGTGCTTGCGCAAGCGACCATGTTGATAGCCAGACAATTGATTGTCGTGCCGAAGAAGGGGAAATCGAGGTGGTTGGTTCCGCAGGTCCAGGGCACAACAATGTCCTTTGTTCATAGGATGATAGGCAACATGCATGTCCTGCAGGTCCCGTGCGACATGCAGCGCACCGACCCAGAGATGAGGCCCGATGCACGGGCGATCCGGTCAAGTGGTTTGACGTTACCCGTGTTGTGACCACTGATCTTCCGCATCATAGGGAGAGGCGGTCAAGACGGGGCACGAAGCAGGGACCACAAGAAAAGGCACAAACGTCCTATTCGGAACACGGAAGTCGTCATTTGGCCCGGTTATAGACCTCTGTGCTGCAGTGAGGTACCACTTGGCGCAACGAGTGGTTTAGAGACGGCCAGCAAGTTTCTGTGCCTGGTTTCCAAGAATCCTAAAATGGCAAACAGAACCTGCAGCACTTGACAAGGCCGATGCCCGATAGGTATGCAGCACCGACGTGAAGAGCTGATCAACGATGGCAGTTGGTTCATTGATGTCGAACTGACTTTGAAACAGGTGACTTGTCCGAGGATCATTCAACCGCCTGGCCGATCAGATCGGCGTACTCTGCGCCTTAACCCGGACCAAAAGGCGTTTGCCAGTCCTTTAGGACCCAGCCCAGCGGTCTCTAGAGTCTGGATGTTTGTGATGCAAAAATGCAAACAGGCCGGTGTTGTGATAGGCGTGTCCTTCAGTCGAGTGGCAAGTATCATTCCAACGGGCCGCGTCTGGGCAAGGCTCGATTCCGATTTCTGAATTTGGCTTGTTGTGCACCAACAGACCCTAGCGGAGCCACATCCCAAAGCTGTATCGTGATAGGGCTTTGCCAGGGCATCTGATTCGCTCGCATCAGCACGGCCACTTTGCCCACCACAAGTTCTGGCAAAAGAGCTCACTCTGTGACGGTGCCTCTGCAAGGGGCAAAAGACCTTGTTCTAAGCGAGCCACCCAGAGAGTCCTGACAAAAATAGAAATGGGAGATCCCCTGCCCTGCAGAGAATGCTTAACGCTATTGGAAATTCACAGCCTCAAAAAATATTCTCTCGCACTCAAGTGTTTTGATTGAGGCGTCCGCCATGGTCACGCGCCTTTTGATATGGTGGATCGAATTGGATAAATGGTTGGTCAGCAGTGCGACCATGAAGTTGAGATGACAATCAGTCAGAGGGTCACGGAGAACGTCAGCCCATCCGAGGTCGAGCGGAGCGATAGGAGGGAGGATGCAGAACAGAGCCGCGGAGGCCAGCGGAAATGGAAATGGCGAAACAGATCCAGTACTTCGTAGAGAGACTGGCCGACCTGTTCAGGCCTCTTGTAGAACGGGTCCACGACGCGGTTGACAATCTCAACGGTCACTCACTAACGCAACGTGACAAGTGGGGTCTTGCCTCTTTCAACGCCCACAATGGAGCAGGAACATTCTCCCAAGGCTTCGCAAGCTGTGGGTGGAGTCTCGATCCGGCATGGACCGGCAGGAGGGTGAGCAGATGTCAGAAAGTTGGTATTGTACGAGCAAGGCTGGCCGAGCAAACAGTCGCAGCAATGGCACCCAAAATGGGGTGTCTCCTAGATTCCCTGACCGTCGCGCAGTCCCAAGTTCTCAGGCCTTAACTACTCGTACCAGTGAAGTACTGCCACCCAGTCATGCAACGAGAGCATCTTGTGCAGTTGTACCGGGTTTTGACCGCGCCGCATCCGCCCCTGGCTGCTGCACGAGGATTTTGGTGGGCTTTGGAGACGACGCCGGTGATGAACGGCCGAAGTTCCCCAGACTCGAGTCAGTATCATAGTGAACACTGGCTTGTGAGCTTGCCAGTTATGGGGCCCACTGGCCACGGAGTTGCACGACCATGGATGTTGTTTCCAACCTCGCTTAAGCTGCAGTCGAGGGTCGGAAAGAAAGGAATAGTCCAGCTGAAGAGATGTGGCCGTGCAACCGCGATATGCATTGCAGTGTGCAGCATGCAAGCATAGCGAGGTGCTTCCCCTGGACAATCCGGAATCCAATTTTCGAGAGGGGCCAGATCAAAGGGTCTCGCATGAGCTGAACCGACCCATTCCAGAGCGATTAGCCGGCAAGAACCGGTAGAATAGAAGACCACAGAAACAAAAGAGCAACAGTCCCAGGATAAAATGTTCGGGGGAGCTGGAAAGGTAGCCCGGAGGATTGTGGCAGTGTTCTCACAGAGTGGCGAACCCTTGAGCTCTGGTGATCACTGACCAGTCGACGATGATGACCAAGTACAAGCAATCACCGAGGATCAATTCATGCAACCCCAAACAAACAACGCGAAGAAGGCAAAGTCACCCGTCCTGGGTAGCATGGACGTGTTCTGGACGGAGCACATAGGTACTGCTTGCTCGGTACTTACTACCAATCCAGCTGTTTTGCCGCAACGTGAAACGCTGGACAGAGCTGCCAGAGCAGAAGCGATATCTAGGAAACCCACAGCCAGTAGCCAAATATCACCTTCATAACGTCTGAGAAGAACCACCGCAACCGGCTCAATGCTACGACTGACGAGCCGGAAGAGGGCGTGTCGCTGGCCGCTGGAGGCAAAAGGCCAGCAGAGGCGAGCAGAAGCCAAGAGAGGACTAGAACTCGTCGGCTGGGCGGTTGGGCGGTTGGTGCTCTATCTTTAGAAGCCGTGGACCACCAGCGCGCTCTAGCAGGGGGGGAACTCATGCGGAGATGTGGGCCTCAGGGGCCAGGGATAGGCATGCAAGGGCTTCCTAAAGGCTCCTAACAGCCTGCGAGTAACTGTACCAAGGACTCGTAGGGGCAACAGGCTCAAGGCTAGGGCTAGGAGAACCAGGACCTCTAGGGAGACCTGCGCACCACTGGTATCAAAGTGTGCCCCCCTTAGCTCTTCAGGGTTTAGGCTGGGCGATAGGGAAGGGATAGGCCGGGGTGAGTTCAGCAGGGCGGGCACAGGGCGGGCACAGGGTGACCTCATCCTTTCGTCCTCTGCTGCAGGCTTCAGGGAGCATTCCCCATTTCAGTGCCTTTCTACTCGCTCTTCTGCCCCTCTCTTTCCTGCTTCGGCTTCTTACCCATTCCGTTGCGGCTGTGCAAGCCTCACATCCACCTCGGGCGATGCTTGTTCTTTGGCTGCCACGCTTTTCTCGCTCACGACTTTTCCCCCTGCCTTCGGGGTGGTGATCCCTCTGGGTGGCCAAGGTGGATCTCCCTTTTGGCCCGGTTGGTTGTTTCCTTTCCATCCTGATCCCTGACTCCAGCTTGTCATCGTACACACACACGCACACGTATCAGTACATCAAGGGTAGAAGGGCCAAAAGAAAAAACACAGTGATGCCCACTATGCCGCGAGGTGCCGGCCACACACAGCTCACACACATCCTTGGAATCTCGCTGCCTGCTGCGCACCTGCATCTCGCAAGCAACCAGCCAGCCATACCCGCCTCTGTTTTCCTCATTTCATGTCTCATTTTGTTGGACAACTTGGGTATGGTGACTGTCAGACAAAAAAAGGTTAGCTTTGTAGAGCATCTCGTACATGCTGTAAGAACTGGAAATCCATGACTGTGGCCGTGGCCGTGGTCGTGGCAGTGACCTGGATGCCCGCGCTGGTGACGACAACGTGACGGCCACTTCAACCCACAACTCATAACTCACTTTGTCACAGAAACGTGATGTTGAGGTCAAGGGCATGAGATTTTGTGGGTGAGAATGATGAGCAGACGCTACCCAGCACATCACTCCACGCTTCTTTTGCTCTTGTACGAGTCCTGCGATGGTAAGGAACTGATGGGTGTTCCGTCCTGACCTTGCTGCCCACTGCCCAGCTGCTCATCGATCCGTGATCGAAACCTTAGGTCGTGTCAGCCACTCACCATTCGCTCTTCCGGCTGGTCTCCGCTTTTGGTGCTAATCCTGTCCTTTTCGCTCTTCTCTTTCCTTTTCCCTCGTCCCCTCGCATCCCTCGAGGAAAAAGGACGGACGAGTGGCAGGAGGGGAAAGTTGTGCCGTCGTGTCCATCCTCCAGTTGCTCCATCCACCCTCACCTGGCACTGGCACGCCCTGGGCTCCAGATCCACCTGCGCTAACCTGCCTGCAACTGCTAACCTGCCCATCACTCACCCCCGGTAAGCCCCTCTGCCCACCACCTCCACCACAACTCCCTGCATCGGTTTTTTCCACACTGACCTCTTGCGCTTCTCCATCAGCCCACTAGTCGCTCACTGCCACCGAACCTGCCTCAACTCGCGCACAGAAACCTCTCCCGTCGACTCGCCGAGCACTTTTGCGTGACCTGATTGATCCGTCTTTTTGCCATCCTCGCCTTTCGCGGCTTTTCACTGCCTCTACCCTTTAGGCCCGTCTCCTGCTGAGTCGAGGCCGATATAGCCTTTTCATCCCCCCTCCTTGTCCTCGGCTCCTCTTCTTTCCATTCCCGCTCCACTTGCTTCATCATCCTTTCATCCCTCCTCACCTTCGCTCAACCAAGTTTTCTGGCTCTGTTCGCAGACCATACTTTCGTTTACTTCGACTTGAAGACACACACTCGCTTTTCACGACTTCGAATATCCCCTCGTTGGACATCAATCGCTCAAGTCCTTCGTTTTTCGAACTAGTTCGCTGAAAAGCCTCGCCCCCTCAGAATAAGACCCGTTTCCCAATTCCTTCGAACCCGCCTACCTCTCAACTTCGCAGCAAGAGAAAAACCACCTTCGCTTGATTGTGGAACAAGAGGACTGTCGATATTTACTCAACTTCGTCTTGTGTCCGATTTATTGTCGATTGTGGTTTCTCTTTGTGCGTCTTGCAGTGCACCGAGAAAAAAGGGCTGGAAATTTGTGGACAACTTCACATCCCACGACCCTTTCGGTGCGCAACCACCCGTCCGGTGACGACTTACCTGGGAAACTCGACGGATAGACCCGTCCAGAAAGAGTGCAAAGGGAATACCACTTTCAGGTTCTTTGCCTCTGGTTCAAGTTGAAATCCAGCCTCCTGGGTAAGTGTACTGTGGTGGTTCATAATCATTCGTTACCAACCCTCGGAACCCTTGGGGGTCGTCAAATATGACTAGACCCACGACAACTCCTTGCTTGCACATCATGTCCTTGCCTGTGTTAAATTATCTTGCAATCTTTCCTCTCCCTGGATTCTTGAATGTCTCACTGACACCCTCCAACAACAGGTTGTTTCTTGCCGCTGGTAAAAAGCGCCCTTGGAGACCTTAACAGATATTTGCCACAGCTCTCCTCGCCCTACTTTGACAAAGAGGTAAGAATCCCTTGCAATGGAAGATCCTGGTAACGGGGTTTCCATCTGGTCTGGCGATAGTTCGGCTGATCTGTGTTGATAGTTCGTTCCGCCTGGCTGGAATTCTTTGTTCTCAAGATTAAATCTGCCTCACCTTCCCGATCTCCAAGTCTCTTCGGGAACGACGAGCTCTCGGTCTCATCACAAATCGCCCAAGCTGGCAACGTTGGCCTAGACTGCATCTCATCTTGGTCGCTGCTCTCAGCCAGCCGCCGACTCCTGCGCTCCAGGAGTCCCAAGTCAGCTTTTCAAATTCTTCGCCCCATCTTCGAATGTACCCCTGGACAAGGTCGATATTGACTTCCCAGACATTCGAATCTCGATAGCATTTTGCAATCGTCACTCGCTTTGAATCGAGGCATCATTTAGCCTCACACACACTCGTTTAGCACACAGTCGCTCGCTTAGTGGATTTTTTTGTTTCAAGAAATTCGCCCAAAATACCGTCAACCTGGCGTCCATAACTTTCAACCACTTTCAGGTGAGTCCAATTTTGCGTCCCCCCTGCCCTTGTCTTACCCTTTACCATCCTGGTGTTGGCTTCTCTTCCTGGACTGACTCAAATACTGACATGCTCTCAGTCTATCCCAGACTTCCGTACTCCATTCATAGTCGACGATTCGTATGATCCTGCAGTCTTTGGAGAGCATTTTGCAAGTCAGTTCCAGGACGGCCTCGAGGCCAAACCTGGTCAGCTCTTCTCCATGTCTGGCTATGATGGACCGGGTCAAGCAGGGCTCATGAGTATGTTCAACGCCATGTATACACGGGGATGTGTTTGTCGCTGACTTACTTTGCAGAGTTTCAACCTCCTGTCATCGACAATCAGATATACTACGGCAGTTTCCCCCCAACTCCGTACGATCATCACCCTCTTCTCCAACCTGGAAACCCCCAGGGAGCCGAGTTTCAGTATCTGGCTGAAAACGACTATGCCTCCGAGAAGAGCTTTGTACATGGCAGAGCCCCTTCCGTGGAGTGTCGAGACTATAAAGATGGGGATGTGAGGGTGGTCAATGCGCATCACCAGCGCATCCCCTCCTCTCAGAGTGTTCATACTCTCCCCCGCAAACGCAAGGCTTCGTCTGAGGACGAGTACGATCTCCCAGCTCAGAAGAAAGCAGTGCTCGCTCAAGTCCACGTCCAGGATCCCAACGGCGACTATTACGACCTTAGCGGTCAAACATCACCTTATTCTACCTTCGTGCCGACCCCAACCGGCAGCACTGGCCTGCCTGCAAGTGTTAGCCATGGCGCGTCCCCTAGGCCTTCTGGTCACCACTATTCAACTTCAACTGCATCTCAGGTCTCTCTGGCGGCTCCTTCGCCACATACCCCTGCGTTCAGCCCCTCATTCACCACCGTCAAGAGCGAGCAGAGTCCGGCAGCTCCCATGACACCTATCCCACGTCCAACAACAAGCTCACCTTTGAAATCGTCAGTCCCCAAGCTGTTTCGCACGTCCACCATGCAACAGTCACCGACAGCCCCCTGCTCGACGATTGCCATCGGACAGACTCAGACCTTCAACCCATATACCTTGTCAACCCTCAAGGCCAATCTTAAGCTCAAAGGTGACTTGGACAGCATGAAACAAGACTGGACTACTGAGGAGAAAGAAGCTCGCCGGCGCCTTGTCGTATTTGAGCGAGACCAATCCGGCAGCACGATTACGGCGAGCTTCAAAGCAGTCGCTCCTCAGGATCGCCAAGCCAGCAGCATTTGCATTAGCTGCATCTGGTGGAAAGAGAAGAACGAGTTCTACGTTACCTCCGTCGACACCATCTATCTTCTTGAAGCCTTGGTCGGGGTCCGTTTCACTGTTGAGGAGAAGAACCGCATTCGTCGCAACCTCGAAGGCTTCCGCCCCCTGACTGTCTCCAAGGCCCGATCCGACAGCGAAGAATTCTTCAAGGTTATCATGGGCTTTCCTCACCCAAAGCCACGCAACATTGAGAAGGACGTCAAGGTCTTTCCGTGGAAGATCTTGTCGACCGCATTGAAGAAGATCATCTCCAAGTACTCTGCAAGCTATTCTTCGACTGCGGCTCCGCTCCTTACGCCCGCTTCTTCCATCTACAGCGGAGAAGGTCTGTCTGAATATCAATATCCTTCTTCGCCTCATCCCGAATACATGGCCGCTGCGGGGTATCCGTTGAACTCTGAAATGGGATACCTTCCCCAAGCTGTCCAGATGCGCGTGCCTGGACCTGTCGTGACCGGACCACCCGAGCTGCAGTTGCAGATGCCCGAGTACGTCCCTGCCTACGATATGAATGGCCAATACATCTATCAGAATGGAGTTCCAGTCACCCAAGCGACGATGGGTATGCCAGCCCACCCGATGACTGCTCCCGTTACACGCATGCCTACATGGGAATATACCACTTTTGTCAATGACAGCCCCGTCACCATTGCACCGCAAAGTGCACCACCTACAGCTTACCCACGTGGACCCATGGCTGAGGCGGCCGACTTCATGCCACATATGCACTACCAACAACACTAAACGAGTGGGCATTAATCATTTCAAACCATTTCCTTTCTTGACTGTCCTTAGCATTATTCTTGTGCACGGCTCAGGAACCACAATACGCACATGGAGACGACATTTTCCTTTCATGTCATTGGCGTCTAGGAATATCGCGGAAACAACATGGGAGGTTGGATGAGTCATGTATACACAAAATCTCCTTGTACACCAGCACGAGCATGTTTTGCATAGCGATTGACACTTTGCGGAGGTTGGGTCGGGGATGTTGCTTATGCGAACAGACTCTGGGAGTCGGCCAGTTATGGCTGCCGACTGTGGTGATAATAACAGAAGAAAAAGTGGGAGCAGGCTTACAGGGAGGTGTCTGGATGGGTGGACATGGTCCGAGGGTTACGTTCGTGTATATGATTTGATGAAAGCATAGACTTAGTCATGGCATACAGCCTAACGCGAGCTGCTAACGCGCAGAAAACACATGATTAATTGTTCTTGAACTTGCTCCGAGCCTTTGTTCTACAGGATGTATCTCGTACTGTTAATATGTAGCTAGGTGTGTGAAATGCTCGACAGTCGCATCGGAAGAGACGAGACAAGCGAGCCGGACGCGGCTAGGCCCTTTTTGTCACCATAAACATCCCAGTCGCGCAAAGACAACTCAGTGCGCAAACGCAAACACGCAGTTAACTTGACCCTCGCACGGCGCGAGAGGCGTCGCTGCTCGCTGCATTGATTGTCTATGAGCCAGAACTTGTATTGCTTTGTCATCTGTCGTACAGTATCTCGACCACTTATTGAGCTATCAGCATTGTGGCACAATCTCAATCAGCGGAGACCGACGTATCATTATGGCTTCGGCTGTGACCATTGACACTACTCCACCACAACCTCATACTCTGAGCGAAGACTCATCGATGCCTTTCCTAGGTTCGCCGCATCAGATATCACCTCGAGAATCACCCTACTTCGCTAGGTCTTCCACGCCGCTGCAAGAACCAGACGCCGAAAACAACTCCTCGAGCCCTCCACTCCCCTACACTTTTACCCCTCAACATGTCAAATCCCTACCTAGAGCGTGGGAAAGACGACCGGCGACGCCATTTCTAGCGCGCAATGACGCACAGAAGATATGGAAACGCGTGCCACTGGGTGTCGTCGGAACCAATATCGGGGAGAACTGGAGGAAGGAGGCCAGGAGATTGAACACACGACCGGTCAAGAGGTTGAGGATTGCTCATATTGGCGGAGAGGAGGAGAAAGAAAATGTTGCCTACGTTGGCTCCAGATGGGACGAGGATGAGATGACGACACCTAGTCCGAAACGAAAGGCAGTGGAATGTGGGGGTATCGCTGACCGTGAAGAGGAGCTGCAGGATCAAAACATTCCCGATGAGGCTGACGACCGCATTGAAGACGACGAGGACTGTGGGAACTCAGAACCCGGCACTGCTTCACCGATCCTCGGAAGCCACGACGGGGCCGACAGCTGGATCGAGGATGAAGGTGTTGGTATTGAAACAGGACCTTCAACTGTCTTAGACAGTGTTAGTGCTTCTTTCGAGGCAGTGGACTTGCCTCAACTTCCTTCACCGATCATTGAGCCAGTGGATGTCTCTTCCTCGTCTTCGCCTCCGCCTGCAGCGATACAATTTATGTCAAATACACCTATGAAGGCCCTGGATGAGGACGCCACCTCTTTTGGAGATCGAGAGCAAGATTCACAATCATCTCCAGTAACTGCCTCAAGCGGTCGAAACGCTGAAGAATCCGGTAGCAGTCCCCCTGAAGACGATGACACGGCTTACCTGCACGACTTCCTTTCTCGAGCTCGCGCCCGGAAAGCGGCCAAAGAGCGAGGCGTCGAGGAGAATACAGTACAACCGAACGAGACGGCAGAAACAGAGAATTCATCGGTGGAAGAGTCGCAGTCCTGTCACATTGAGGATGTCACTGATCCCTCCATACCAACGACTGGCAGTGAAGAAAAACCAACTAACCTTCCTGCCGCCCAAGACCCTGAGGTGAGCGTCTCTCCCCGGCGAAGCTCTCGACTTATCACCCGACTCCCGAGACTTCAAAAGCCCGTCACCAGTCTTCCGAGCAACATCTCCCTCAAGCGACTCAGCGGGACCGAGTTTATTGCTGCCAATCACGAAGCTCAATCTGTTGCTGCAGCCACTCGCACAAACACTAATAAGAATAAAAATGGCGCGGTTCCTGCAAAGGTCAGGCTGATACAATTGCATGCTGAGCTGAAAGCTTGGCAGTTTTCGGAAGAGGATGGGGGGCCACAACCAAACCTAGAGACTACGTCGAAGAAGAGGAATCACAAGGGAAAAGAAGTGACTTGGGCCGAGAAGCTTGCAACCTTTCAGGATGGACAGGAATTGAAGGGCTCTGGTGATGAAGCAGGGGATGAATCGAACGAGGATCGCAAACCAGACAGCAGCGCCGAGGTGGAGGGAGAGAGCAAGGAAGGGGCCGAGAAGTTGCGTTCGCTCTTTCGTCATCAAAACAGAGGGGTCAGAAAGGTGCGCAAGCTCAGGAAATTGAACGCTGGAAGCGTCAATGGGACGCCTGCACCGAAGAAGACGACAAGCATTCCTCTGCCGGTGGGACCGAATTCGTCTTTATCTGCGAAGATGGATGGATTGGCGACGCCGGCAGAGAATGGCCTGGAAGGTGATAAGGACATGATTCACACGAGGACGAGGACGAGGACGAGGACTAGGGTTTCTAACGCAGCCTGAAGTTGATTTGCAACATGGTGGTTGCCCTGTGCGTCCTCGCGTGAGACCCTTGCTCGCCGCACCCACGGCTTGACGAGGAAGAAACAGAAATATTAACAATCAAACATGTTTGCTGCCTTTGGAATTACAAATGCGTTGTGATGTTGGTCTGGAGAAGATTTTGAATCGATCTCTGGGTGCAGGTGAGCAGGAGTTAGGCGCTCGAAAGGACGAAACTCTCGCTGTGCGGTCCTGGCTCGCGTGAGCCCATATACTGTATGCCGTGCGGACAGGGGGGAATAAATAGTTCGTCCGATCCCCGTCCGCCCAATTCGTGGAGTATTAGAGTCGGCCACTAGTTGATTGGCTGGAGTTAAGGTGCCCTCAACGTCCGATGTCCTTATACGAGTATGTGAAGTCCTTGTCCACCAATGACCGTCTTAGCTTCCGGAAACTACTCCAGACGAGTACCTAAACCTTGTCCCCTTATCCTTGTAGGGCCTGGAATAGTTGCTCCGCCCGCCCCCCCACTCCAAAGTACAAGTCCCTGCGAGCCTGGTATTCGGTAATCCCTTGGTACTCGTACCTAGGTACTGGGTTACATGATGGCTCGCACTAATACCCGGGGATGAGTAAGTAATCCCCCTCCATACTAGTTGCCTTGTGTTAACCGAGGGCACCAGCGCTAAACCGCATCCATCGGAAAGGGTATAGATCCGTTCTCTACCACCACAATTCAGGTGTGTTAAAGTCGTTAGCTGAGCCGGAAAGGTTTTGAAGACATTTTTTTCTCTTTCTTTTCTTTCTCTTTGGTTCTTTTTGTCTGATCTTTTCCATACCACCCAATCCTGTTATTCTCGGAGTTAGGACCCACGGCCGGTGTTTAAGCCTGTATTTACGGGGGCGGGCGGTCTTCGTGCATTTGAACGGGCTTGTGTGTGTCGCTACTAGGGGGGCCTCAGGCCCTGGATGGTCTGTGCGATACGTATGTATGTAGGGAGATCAGGCGCAGTGGTATGTGGGATGGAGGTCTGGATCTAGTTGGATCATGGGGCATCTACCGGAGTCACACTCTATCTATCTGTTCCATCAGCGAATCAGTCTATGAATTGACCCGAGCAAACTAACTAGCTACCAGTAGAAAGCCAACGAAACCCAACTTACTAGCAAAACTATTTGTGCTCGAAATACCAGCAACTGTTGGTCCGTGGGACGAATGGGACAAATGTCCGGGACAAGAGGGCGTGAGGCTAGGCTTGTGCCTTGCGATGAGTCGGAGTCGGGGGAATTTGCATTCATTCATTCATTCATAGAGCTTCCAGTAAATGGGGGGTAGAGCAGGAATTGGAGTGTGATGATGACATACATACACATACAGAGAAGGGGAGGGATAGAGGGACGGAGACAAAGGTAAGACCGAGGACGAGGACGAGGAGGAAGGAGGGAAAGGTATAAAGCTTGCCCTTCCCTCGTCCCCTACCCCTCAGAAAGAGGTGGCGGATGATACCCCAAGAAGAACACGCGCATACACTATACCTACACACATACATACGTACGTACACCCAGCAGCGATACAATGTCGTCCTCAGCCATCCCTCCCACCCACCGCGCCCTGCGCCAGGACATCTACGCCCAGCCCCCGACGGTGCAACAGGTTCCCACCCCACAACCAACCCCGGGCTCTGCGGTGCTGCGCGTCCTCACGGCCTCGGTGATCAGCTACACCAAGGACATCTACAACGGCGTGCGCCAATACCCGTACCCTACGCCGCTGACGCTGGGGGAGTCGGCGCTGGCGCGCGTGGTGGCGCTGGGTCCCGACGCGACAACCCTTAAAGTCGGGGACTTGTGCCTGCTGGACGTGACGATCCGCGGGCGCGACGACGTCGGCCGCGCCGCGGGATCTACCTTCCTCAGCGCCATCATCGGCCCCAACCCCACGGCGACTAAGCTGTTCCGCGACGCCTGGAGGGACGGCACCTACGCCGAGTACGTGCGCTGGCCGCTCGAGAACTGTTTCGCTGTGGATGAACAAAGGCTCTTCAACCAACTCGGCTACCAACCGGAAGATCTGATGTTCCTCACTAAGATGATGGTCGCCTACGGCGGACTGGGACCCTTGTGCACGGACCTGAAGCCAGGCGAGACCGTCGTCGTCAGCCCTGCCACCGGTGGGTTCGGGTCTGCGGCGGTGCACCTGTGTCTCGAGCTGGGCGCCGGCAGAGTCATCTGCATGGGCAGAAACCAGGACATCCTCGCCAGTCTGAAGAACACGACCGCTCCGGAAAAGAGGGCCAGAGTGGAGACCGTCCCTCTCACAGGAGACTGGGAGGTGGACTTGAAAGCGCTCAAGGAATTGGGCGGCGTCATCGATCTCTTCTTCGATATCTCTCCGCCAGCAGCAGCCGACTCCAAGCATCTCAAGGCTGGTGTCCACGCTTTGAGACATGGTGGCAGGATGTGTCTGATGGGCGGGGGGAATCATGATGTCGCCCTGCCGCTTGGAATGCTGATGCGCAAGGACATCACTGTCAAGGGCAAGTGGATGTACGAACCCACGGATGTGAAGCGCTTGATCGCCCTTGTCGAGTCTGGCATCGTCAAGCTGCACAGAGAGGCCGACGATGTCAATCCGCCGGGTTCGAAGGTTGTGGCCAAGTTCAAGTTGGAGGAGTGGGAACAGGCATTCGACAGTGCTGAAAAGCACGGGAAAAGTGGCGGTATTGTCGTAATCGAGCCATGATGGCCGCAAACCGGAGCTGATATCCAGGCTGGGTCTCAATATTCGGTAGTAAAAAAGATCAGGCTTCTGACGGCATACTCTTCCAATTTCGCAAGTATGCTAGTCCAAGATAGACCACGGTATCAGCTGTATTCCGGCTGTTGAAATCGCTTTCTGCATCTCCCCATCTCCTTGTCCCACCAGCCACGATACTCTTCCACCCATGCATCAAGGAAGAAGAACTTTTGCAGGCTATTGACCGTCTCCTTCCATCTCCTTGCCACAGGGTGCCGGCAGACGAGCTCCTCGAAGACTTCAGAGCGTTCAGCTTCGGTCAGGCCGGTCCGTTCGGGGGTGTTGTCGACTACAAGAATTGCGACTCCCCACGTAGCGTAGTCGGGGTCTGCACCTTCGAGCGACATGAAGGACTTGGCCATCTTCCTTATCCGGCGCCGCATGTCGACCAGGAATTGTCCGAAACCTGTCTGGCTCCGGTTCCGATTGGGTTGCTTCCTTAACAAGAAGAGCCAGCAAAAGATACATAGACTCCGCTCCAGAGAAGTGATGTTTGCTCGCGCTATGAAAGTCACAAAATTGTTTGACACGCTGAAGAATTCATCAGTCGTGGCGCTGTCGCTCGGCAAGACGGTGCCTTTCGCCAAGTAAGTGAGGCGACATAGTATTTTGATGATCTGTGTGGAGATCCGTCCGTCAAGTGCGATGTCGCTGATTCCTCGGGGCAGAGTTGCGATTTCCGTGCATAACTGTTGCGAGAATGGATGCACAGGATAGCTAAGTTCGGGTTCTGACTTGACGACTGGTGCCGACGCCTTTTGCAGACGTTGCTCGGCAAAGGAGCATATCGCATGAGTCCTGGAGAAAAATCATCAGCACTTTCGCAACAACGCTAATAGGCGGCTAGGGATATACCCTGAGAGGTTGTATTTGGTCTGGCGATCAAAGTTGCCATGCTCAAGTCCGCCACGGAGCGCAACGAGCATCTGAAGACCTCTGAGGTGGGTTGCTGCATGATCATCGTGACCGGCAAAGAACTGGAATTGTGGTCAGCTCCAGGCTCTCCCTATTACCTCAAGCAAGGAAAGGAGTCAACAGACGTCGGCAGCGATCAAACATATCAGTGTGTTGATGGTTGTGTCCGAAGTCGAGATTTCCTTGTCCTGAGAAAGTGTCCAATGGAGCCGCCCAAGGACACTGGAACGGAGATGGAGAAAGTGCACGCCGCCCGGCACGAGGGCATTGGAACCCGCAACATGGGAATATCTGGCCATGGAAAGGATGACTGCCGCAAAGAGCATGTCGGATTGCAATGCCAACGGGAAAAGCGTGCCGGTGAGCCAGTTTCTTCCAGACTCGTCCGAATAGATTGATTCATTCATGGTAGCGTAGTCTTGGAGGACTAGTTGTTGAGTGGTTGTTAGCACTACGGCAATGGGTAAAAGAATGAAGGATGTGTCTGCGCTGGTGGATAATACATGGTCGGATCCATGGCACTTACAGAAATCGACCGCCCACTCAACTTGGCCGGACTGAGCGATGGGGAAGGATGCGAAAGGATCTCGACGAAGGCCACCAGGCCCATATTGGAGCGGCAACTTCGGTAGACGCCGCCTTTTCTGTGAGGCGGATGTGCTATCCTCGGTATGCCTTGGGTCTTGAACGTCGGCGACGTCCTTCGCCTGTGCCAACGACTCGGGCTCGACTTCAACGGGAGGCGAGGTTCGAGCGGTGCGGCGCGCCTGCCATTCAAGCGGTGGGCGTGAATGTCGCTGCGCCGAGGATTTGACCTTATTGACCTTCCGACCTCGGTTCACGTATGCGTTGATCTGCGAGCGCTTGCGGGCATCGCGCATATCTTCCAGGTTACTGTAGGAGATGAACATGACGGGGGCCACCCTTGTCTTGACCTCTCAGCCTGCTTTGGTCTTGAATGCTGGGATTCTGCCCCCAACCAGCCTCATGTGCGGAGCCATGGGAGAGAAGGCGAGATCTTGTCAGCATGGCGGAAAGGGGGGTGGTCTGAAAAGATGGCCGCATCATACTCGTATTCGGTATTTCTCCGCTGTTGACGGGCCTTTAATTACCTGGAGAGGCTAGGCGGGTTCGTGAATCCACTAGCCCAATATAGCTGTTGTCCAAGTGGAGTATATGACCTTCGACGTGTAGGTATGCACTTTGTATGCACTCTCTCAGGCCTTAATCTGTCTTGGTTAGTATATCAATTCGATTATCACAACCTTACATGCCCGTCGCCACGGTCGCCTCTCCTGCGCTGCAGCACAGCTAATGTGCTAGGTCAAAGGCCGATGTAAATGTTCGAAGAGGACGACCACGAGAGAGCATCTGCGGTAATAGTCGTGGCTTGCCTTGGGATGTAAGCCAGGTGTCCGTCGTATTGACGTGAAGCTAAGATCAACTGACAATACAATCACGCGTGTTTGCTGGCCGACACTTCACTTTTGACTTTGTTTGACTGTGCTCATCGCGGGATGTCTTCCGCGGTCTCTCTCGCGTTATTTCTTCATTATAAAAGGTCACTCCGGTTTCTCTGATACTTTCTTGTCAACAGCTTCCAGTCTTTGTCTCTGGACTCCACTCACACAAGGCTCAAGGTTCGGTGATCAATCCACACCCTCAAAAAGCTCCTTTCCATGTCTGCTGAACAGTGAACACACTATATGAGCAAAGGCCAAGAAAAAGGAGCTCCGAGCGTCTCAACATGCCTCATCCTCTGACACCCGCTGAGCGGTTTGCAGATCTGTCGACATGAGGAGCAATTGGTACCTGAACCTCCTACCGTCAACAGCCAAGCTGGGCTAGACGGGCAGGTTGCATTGGCCCCTCATCAAGGAATGGTATCATAAGGGATCGTGGAAGGCGCAATGCCCCTGAATCCTCTCATTCCTATCCCTTCATTGCCGGGTCGACACGCAGATCGCATCCAACAGTTTGCGCTCCAACTCCACACGGCAAATAGCCCATCGCAAGCCTTGCCGTGTCCGAAGGACGAGAAACCAGGGATCTACCCTCAGTTGAGCATACAAGGAACTTCAGCCTTTCCTTTTCCTTGCGATGGGGTACAAGGACAAGGTACTCGGTACTTCGAGTTTAATTATATTATATATACGCCACCTCGCCCGTCAGAGACCAGTGATTTAGGGTGCCGACGACCACCGAGTTCAACCCGAAAGCCTCACGAGCTGCCCGAACCACGCGTGGTCTTTTCCTGCAAGAGGCGGCGTTCAAGAAGTGGTGGCTTACTGTGGTCAATATGTCTCGGCGCGTATGGGCGTACCAGGCGACACGGTGAAGATCGCCGTTGACTTGTAGCACGAAGACGAGGTGGTCGGCGGATTGCAAAGCAAGTGAAAATTGCGATTGAAGGGCGGAAGGCTTGGAAGAGCCACGGAATGGCGTAATCTATATCAACGAGTGGCGCCGGCGATGTGTTGACACCATCTGCAGCTGTTCGACTTCGTCAAGGAAACGGAACGTAGCCATTATGGCAGCAAGTCCTACTACTTTGTCAATCAAGAACAAGTCATTCTGGATCTCGAATTGGCTCCTGACGAATGGGAAGACGGAGATGTCAACACAGTATTGCACGGCCACGAGGATGAAGCTGGCAAGGAAAACACTCCTGATATCAACAACGAGGACAAGGCACTTGAAGATGAATGGACGCAACCTTGTTTTCCTATCATGGTCGCCCGAGCAGAGGAGAAAGGGAGGGGTGTACTAGGGTACACGTACGGCAAGGCTGAGCATCGGCGTACTTAAGGGAGATTGTTGCAGAACCTTTGCAACTCAGAATACGGATCGTTTCCGACACATGCAGAATGTGCAGACGTAACTTGCAAGTGGTTTCCTTTCACACAGACTAGTTCGGTTGAGCGTTCAGATAACAAATGCTTGAACAGTTCGCTCCTGACCATATCTTATTCTATTCGTTCAGCATAGCTTATGGCTAATCGACCTCGTCGAATTCATCTCGTTCCTTCGTTTCTATACCACGAGTGCACACCTTCCTTTTTATGGGTTGTTCTTCTCTCTCCCTCTGACAGCTACACATCGCTGGAGTAAAACCCATACCATCTCGAACCTATTGACATGTCTCTAGCTGGCATTCGGCGTGTGTAATGAATTTTTACCCTTAATCAGTAGATGCCAACAACGGCACAATGGTAGTCAACTACCTTGACCATGTAGGAGAACTATCCTCAGACTCGTCGCATCTGTATTTTCTACACCCAATTACTTCTCGTATTCGACCTCTCTTCAATTAGCTCCATCTCATTCGTTTGTGACAGCCCTTGTATACAATGCCAACCCCGTTATAAGTTGTGCATGGCGGTGGTTTGACCGTTACTCGAACCAGAAGGGAGTGACTCGGCCGAAAGGGCACTGTCTGAAGCGAAGGACGCAATCTCGAGGTCGAGAAGGGACAACAGTCCCTCATGGTTTCTTTCTCAAATTACCCCAAGCAGGTACAAATCTGAATTTGAATGCTTTGAACAGACGCTTCCGGCAAGCCCATTCAAGTGCCAATTTTGAACTTTCTGTATCCGTAGTGATGCAAAGGAAGGGACTGGCTTCCCAAACCTAGCGAAAGTAGGTAGTTCATCTGGGTATCAACATCTTCGAGAAGGTGGCAGCCTTGATGTGTAGAGCTTCGTGCAACATTTCATCCCCACCGGCATTTCAATTCAGCAGCAGTGGAAGAGAAACAGGAACGCTTCGATCCATCCATGCCACGACTGGTGCGGTGGCCATCCCATGTGCGACTTGTGGCCTGCAGGCTATGACACCGGGTTGTTGAACAAATAACTCACGCTCTCACCATTGTGCGTCCGCCTTATGGCCTCCGCCAGGACAGGGGCAATGTCAATAAACTCCAGCCTGCATCCCTTTTGGCCCTCGGGAACCCTGAGAGCCTCGATCTTGTCCTCACTGACCGGGACAGTATTCGTCATGACCAGGCGACTCAGCGCTGAATTCTTCAAAGTCTCAACGGCTTTTCCTGACAAGATTCCATGAGTGACCAGCGCGACCACATCCTTGGCACCATGTTTAATCAGCGTATCGGCGGCCTTTGCCAGAGTGCCACAAGTATCTGCCATATCGTCCACCACGATGGCGACTTTGTCTTTCACCGTGCCGACCAGAGTCATGCGTGAAACTTCATTCGGTCGAGATCGTTCTTTGTGGATCAGAGCGAAGGGCAAATCCAGTTTGTCAGCCATGGAAGTAGCTCTCTTCGCTCCGCCGGCGTCGGGGCTGACAATGACGCACTCCTGCCGTGGTCCATTCATTTCCACGCCGCTCTCGCTCGCGTGCATGAGATTCTCTCGAATCCATTTCACACTATTGGGCTCGGCGTAGAGATTATCGACGGGGACGTTGAAGAAGCCTTGGATTTGTGAAGCGTGTAAGTCCATCGTAATCACATGGTTGCAACCCGCTGTTTGGAGCATGTTTGCCATGAGCTTTGCCGTGATGGGAGCTCGAGACTTGTCCTTTTTGTCTTGTCTAGCATAGGGGAAGTTCGGCAGGATCGCAGTGACTCGACGGGCGGAGGCAGTCTTGCAGGCGTTGCAGATGATAAGAAGTTCCATGAGGCCATCGTTGATGTCGTTCGGGCGGGTAGATTGAAGAATGAAGACTGTTTCACCAGATATTAGGCTTCTGCAGACAAACCCGAGTGACAGATAGCAGGGCACGATTCAAGGAACTACTGTCGCGCAGTAAGGGATGTTATACCATCTTCGTCTCGGACAGATTCGCCGATCGTGACACTGGTCTCTTGGTTCGAGTATTGCAATACCATGATCTTGACGAGCTCGATACCTAGCCTGAGGACATGGCGACCAGGAGTCAGCTTCCAACTTCTTCACGGAAATGAACTCGACCAGGCATGGAAAAGGTCGTGCAGGGCAGTGAATACCTTTTGGCAACGGCATGCGCCAGCTCCGGGTGACTGTTCCCAGTCAAGAGCTTGATCGAATTTGACGCCATGGCTTCAGAGAAGTTTTGAGGAGATGCGATCACCGAAGAGGCATTCTGGAGGGCGGCAGCAAGTGCAGGAGGAATGTTTAAGTCTGGCATGGGTTGAAAAAGTTAAGCTGATCCCGAAAAATTTCACGGGACACAGATGCCCCGCGAGACTGACTCAGGCGAGGCGCCGCGCGAGCCAGCAATTCTCTGGTTGGCGGGCCACTTGGGGTGGTACAATTTGCAGCGTTGTCACTGGTCTGCCACTCTCGAGTGCAAAGTTTCGATCGAGTTACCAGAGGACGAGACTCGAGATAAGCAGTACATACATGGGTCTCCACGAAAAAGTGAGGTGCCATGAAAAAGAAACACGATGCGGGTGGAGGGAATGCAGAGTAGTACTGGCGCAAAAGTGACAGATCGTGTGGAATCTTTTCTTTTGGCAACCACTTGGAAGTCGGCCCTCTTCACTTGATCTATGTCTCCCTTGCCGCTTGCGACACAGGGCTTCGACTATTGATTCCCCATGAATATCAGTGACACCATACCACAGTCCGCGTTCTGCACTCCCTTTCCTTGTTTCCCATGCCCCTTCCCAAGTTCAGCTCCGTGGACTTCAGCCGCTGAGTGGCATTCTATGCCTTTTGACACCTCAGCTCCGTCACATGAGAACTTGTCTCCAATAAGCTCAGGTGACAACATTCAAATGTCCATGGATTAGGCGATGGAGCATGCATAAAGCTATGGTGGAAACGGTATCTTGCTGGAACATTTGGCGAATCTACTCCTTTCTCATGGAGGAGGCACGTCTCTTCCTCAACTCGGTTCGTTTCTCACGTTCCTCATGCACACGCTTAGCCAACAACTGGGCATACTCGTTCGCAGCGTCTTTGGCGGCCTCGGCGCGTCTTCTCTTGAGGGCAATACGGTGTCTCTTGTGTTGCATGCGTTGGGGAGTGACAAGTCTCTGGATCTTGGGGGCTTTGGTGTACGGCTTTGCGCCTTCTTTCTTGGGGACGACTTCGCGGCGGATGACGAATTTCCTGTAAACAATAGCGTTGGCAACTGGCGGTGCAAATGCCGAATAAGTTGTATCAAGGCACATACCTGACATCATCTTGCTTGCTCAAGCCAAAGAACCTCCGGATCTTGGTGGCTCGCTTGGGACCCAGGCGCTTGGGGTTGACCACATCGGTGAGGCCAGGAATCTCGCCATCGCCCTGCTTGACGATGGAAAGAGCCAGGACGGCAAGATCTTGACCAACAATGCAGCCACGAACAGACTTGCGCTTGCGTTCACCGGTTCGTCGAGGTCGGTAGCAGGAGTGGCCGTCGGCGAGGAGGAGTTTGACACGAGTAGGGAGCATCTGTTATGAACAAGTCTCAGCGAGGATTCTTCGTCTAGATTCGCTGGCGCTTTCACCAAGCTAAGGGATGGCAGCACGTACGACACCCTGCTTCATGGGAAAGCCTTGCTTGTCATTACCACCAGTAATGCGGAAGATCTGTTTCGCACAAAATCTGTCAGCACCCTTTCATCCGGGCGTGCGAGGAAAAAGTGAGACAAGATGATCGTACATAGCCCTTCCATTCGTCTCCCAGACTGTCACCTGGGACCTCGTTGCCCATGCGCTTCTCCATGAAGACGCGCAGCTTGCGCTCATCTTCGACTTCGATCAGTTTCTGCGACCCATTGGCCGGGTACGAAATGTTCAACTTCATCTTGTCGGCGATATGCTGATCAGGACTGTCAAGACTGAGGAGAGCCTTGACAGGTACCAGCGGTTGAAAATTGTCAAAGGTTAAGACAGAAGTGTTGGCTGTAGACGCTACCGAGTGCAAGTTCAATCAACGCAGGATAATTTCCTCTGTGCGATTTCTTGCCAAGCCTTGATAGGCTAGACCATTATTGGTTTAGCTCGCTACAAAACAAATTCACACGCACAACTTGAATCTCAGCCTCGCGTGCTGGCCCACTTTCTTGCTGCAAATAGAAATTATCGTGGTCGGTGTGGTACCTTGCAGTTTAGATTTATACAGAGTACCTCTTACTTGGCCTATATAGCGACACCATTTGGCTGCCCAGTCCCGTTCCCATTCCGCACCTTTTCGAGCTCCAAATACCTTTTCTCTGCTTCTTCAATGGTCCTAATGTTCGCTCCTAGCTTGTTCATCGTCTCGATCCACTCATCCTCTTCGACACTATCAAAGACAATGCCTCCGCCGGCCTGCAAGTATGCAACCCCGTCTTTCACCACCATCGTGCGTAGCGCGATGCAAGTATCCATCGCCCCCTCATCTTCAATCTTGGATCCATCGGGTGACACGCGGGAGAAGCCAAAATAGCCTACCGCACCGGCATAGACACCTCGTTTCTCTTGCTCTAATTCTGCAATGAGTTCCATAGCCTTTACCTTGGGCGCACCCGAGACCGTGCCCGCAGGGAAAATACTTCGAAAAGCAGTAAAGCGATTCTCGCCCTCTCTGAGTACGCCTGAGACTTGGCTGACCAGATGCTGGACATGACTGAAGCGCTCGACGACCATGAGCCGGTCGACGCGAGTCGATAAAGGGTCACAGACGCGGTTGATGTCGTTACGGGCCAGATCGACCAGCATGACATGCTCAGCACGGTCTTTGAGGCTGTTGCTCAGCTCCTCGGCCAACCGCTCGTCTTCTTCCGGCGATTGACCTCGCTTGACGGTGCCGGCGATGGGGTGGGTTATGATCCGACCAGCTTCTTCTTTTACTAGAAGTTCTGGCGATGCACCAACAATGCTGAAGTCCTCGCAGTCGATGTAGAACAGGTACGGCGATGGGTTGACTGTTCGTAAATGCCGATAGATATTGAATGGATGGAGCGTCGTAGGCCGCGATATCCGATGTGAAGGCACGGCCTGAATGATATCTCCTTTGCACACATGCTTCTTAAGCCGTGTAACATGGGCCTCATACCCTGTCTTGCCAAAATTCGATTTCGAAGGTTGATTCAAGGCTATGGGCGGCTGATATGGCAGGGGTATGTGTTCCGCCTGCAGGAGGGAAATGGTTCTCTGCAAGGTTTGGCATGCTTTTTCATACGCCGTCTGCAAATCAGAGGTGGAATTTGATGACGGTACCTGCAAGTATGTAATGACCTTGCACACGTTGAAGAAGTGATCAAAGGCCACAATTGTATCATAGAGCATGAAGAAGCTCTCGGGCAGCTTCAGGACGTCCTTCATCGGCCGAGCCGTCTTGGGCTCGAAGTATCGGACACAGTCATAGCCAACATATCCAATAACTCCTCCAGTCAGAGGCGGAAGTCGAAGTGAGGGCACAGTCGCGACTCTGTACTGTGCAAGCTCCTGCTCGAGCTGTGGTAGGGGATCTTCTTCTGGTCCGTGGCCTGGGCCTGTTTTAATGACTTTGAGAGGATTCGCTCCGACAAAACTATACCGCCCGATCGTCCCGGTGGTTGCTGCACTTTCGTACAGGAACGAGAGTTTTGAACCCTCTGATACTTTTAAATATGCTTGTGTAGGCGTGAAAAGGTCGGCGGGGATTTGAGCGCATAGCGGAACGAGATTGGGAGGGAATTTGGACGTTCTCGATTTGGAGAGGATAGAGGAGACCTCCTCAAAAGAAGGCTGCACTTTTGCCTGGTTTATGTGAGTCATGAAGCATAGTGGAATCAGTCGTCTAAGCAAGAAAGACTCCGTACCATGGAGGAAAACACCAGGGCAGTTGGATATTATGATGTGTCACTCGAACAACGGAGCATATCGGTCCAAAGCCGTTAGTCCTTCAAAACCACAGATTGTGACAAGGTAGAGTTCACATAACTGGACTCGGGTAGGATGGAGTTTCGGTAAGCAAGGGGAGCATGGAATATACGCGGGACTGGAGTGAGAGTCACCGCTGTCTTTTGGTTTTGGAGAAAAGGATGGATTCGGCACATCCTCGGCGTAGTGAAGCCGGGGCTCCCCTCCACATTCCATGGCCAATCACTTGTGATCTACCAGCCACTCGGCCACCAGCCACGAGCTAGAGCGGCACATGCGCATTTCCTCGTCTGCCCTGTCGATCGATATTCCCAACTGGCAGGCTGCGCTCATTCTCTGAACTCTTAACAAGACCAGAAGAATCATTCTAATCGCACTCGGAGGTCTATTCACACAGTCGCATATGTCACTTGAGCAAACCTCATCTCTAGAGTCGCACAATTATGTCCCGGGCCGACAATCAGTCTGACGGCGCCGCCACTGCATCTCCAACCCGGCCCAGTTCAGCCTGGACCAACAACTCTCTTTTCACCGATTCCGCCATCAGTATGAGAACCCGGTCACCAGCTCCCCTTGAGAAAGAGTCAAGCCCTTCGCACCCTGACGAAACGCATGATGAACACGCGATTGCGGATCGCCTCAATGGCTTAGTCTCTGAAATTTGGGCCTGCGAGCAGGATGGACAGATTCGAGGCGAGAAGAGACGGAAGATTGAAAAGGCCATGGACGAGATCGAGGCTGTATTGGAGGATGAAGAAAGCGATTCCGAAACGACACCACAAAGCCCATCCGCGCCTTCACTTCTGCCGCACACGTCCGGTGCCTCACAGTCCGATCTCGAGCTTATCCGCATGCACCTGTCTTCCACGGTGGAATCCATGCGCATGAGGCAGCAAGAACAACGTCATCTGCACCAATTGGCAACTGAAAAGCTCGAGGCGATCGCGCAGCGGTGTATCCAACAAGAACGGCGCGTGCGAGAGTTCGCCGAAGAGATAGTCATCCTCAAGAAGCAGAATCGCAACCTGATACAACAGAATGAGAATCTCAACGTCCAGCTGAGCGAGATCCAATCCGAATCTGCCAAGAAGGAGACCGCGGTCAAGGCCATGTCGAGCGCGGTGTCCGGTTTGGAAGGATGGATTAATGGTTCTCCAACATCAGACCGAACTTCTCATTCCCGGAAAATTGTCACCAGAGGCCGAGGCAGATTTCGTGGACGCTACTATGTGGAGGAACCAGTTGACGGCCGAGGATATCATGGTCTCGATGGCGCGGCCGATGCAAGGCTCTTACAGGAGGGTGTCACTGCGTGGCTTAGAGGTTTCCGCGATGTGGAGGAGGAGTTGAGATCGTCGCACACCGCCGCTAGATTCGTTCCTGCCAAGGACTCCAGGACTGTCCGAGAAGACAGCGATAATGAATGGGGTGAATTCCAGACAGCTGGAGCATGATTAATAAGTGTCCAAGAGTAATTGTTGTAGCCCAACCTTGGACAAACCCTGTCTTGATTGCATCCATCTGTCCCTCCCTTTATATCAAGGTTTTATCTCTGTGAGCATGGTGTTCAATTATCCAGTATAGCGCCGGCAACTATTGGATGTGGTCCAATACTCTGGATGTTGATGGTCATACATATTAGTAGTACATCGATTTTTCAAATCCAGCCGACGCCGATCAAGGTGACCAAGATTTTCACCGTTGGAAATCAATGAGAGCAACCTGACCGCGTGAGTCCAGCACGGACAAAGTGAGCGATTTGGACGATGCTTACCTGGGACCCAAGGCCAAAAGCGAGGCTTTTGCTCTGGCCATCCCAAATCAATGCGTGATCAGAACTCGTTTGAATCGTATCGCCATTAACACTTGAAATGCCGCCGGTACTCATCATGTCATCGTCTTTCAGCTGCGAACCTCTCCATAAATTCTGTTCGTCCTTCCAAGTAGCCATCAGGTTGTGGCCATGCTCGGCGTTCCAGATGCGAGCAGCATCGTAGCTGGCCCCTGCCAAGCAGAAGCCATCGGGAGAATACGACAATGCCATAATAGGCGAACCGTGTCCAATGATGAGTTTGCACACTGAGTTGATGGAATTGCTTTCCCCGTCGTACTGCCAGATTTTGATAGTCCCGTCCATGGAGGAAGTGGCAAACTCTTGTTTCCATAAAGGGTTGAACGTGCTGGATAAGCGAGGTCGAAGTTCAAGACCTGTGATAGGCGTGTCATGTGCCCCTCTCTTGAAAATGTTCTGGGCCGGCATCCACAGAGCACCAGTCTCGGCGGATGCTGCAACTAACATGGCGTCCCGTTCTCCGTGCCAGGCGCATCTGATAAAGGTCCATTGATCGCCCCCACTGGGATCCGACGTCCACTTCTGCTCAACCCCGATGTCTGTAAAGGCGCGGCAATAGTAGACAGCGTTCTGTCCGGCAGCGCAGATAATGCCATTGCCGTCAAAGAATGCGCCGTCTACATCAACCAGAATCTCCGGGACAAGAACTGTTGAAGGTTCAGCAAGGCCGGATAATTTGGACAGATCCCAGAGGAGAATGGAGGAGCCTCCGCTCTGGGAAGGATCTGTAGTGTCGGAGTCGTAGGGAGCAACGCCAAGTAAACGTGAGCCTTGTCGGTGCCACAGGAGAGAGGTAATGGCCCTTTGCGACGCCGGCAACGCCTCGAGCATGGAGAGTTCTTGGCCGTCAAACAAATGTATCTGCCCAGAATGGTCGCTATAGGTTGCGACTGCAAGCAGTTCCCCGTTCGGCTCCCACGCCATCGCACTTATCAGTTTCCCATCTCCCGATTCCAGTAGCTCTTGAAAGCGAGGTGGTGCAACGGCATCTGGAGCCTGGTCGGCAGCATTCCAGAATCCGCAAAAATCATCCCCTATTGCTGTCAGTAATTTGTCGTCCCCAGGACGCCATGCAATACGGGTAAGTGGCTTCGATGGCTCCTGCCCAGTGCCAGAGGGTAATTGAAGGATGGTGGTGGACGAGCCAAGGTTTGCAACCTTGGCTGGAGCAACTTGAATGCCGATGCTTTGCCCCGTGGCTAGAGTATGAACGGTCGGTAGCACAAGCTCAACATGCGGTTCGTGATTGTGGTGATCTGCGGCTAGTGATTCTTCGTCAATGTCCATCCGCTCATCAGTCTTGATGCCATTGACAAGAGGGCCATTCTCGTCGGCTCCAAGGTCCGTGGCAGACGGGGATCTGGCGTCGGCAAGAGGGACGAGGTGACCATTCAGCATATCGACGTCCATGGCGGAGGCATGGCCGTGTCGGTTTGCAGATGCTGAAGGTTTACGCGCCACGCTTCCATTACGTTCCGAACTGGGTGCTGTTTTTCGGCCTCGTTTAGGCGCGGGTTGTGCGGCCAAGGCTTCCTGAAGACCGTTTGTAATGCCATCACGAGGCTGTCGTCGAGGCTCGGTGACGGACTCATCGGGTGAAGGTGCTGAAATGACAGGTTCATCGGGTAGTTCTCGTGGCGGTTTCTCACTCTCAGGGCCAAAGAAGAACATGGACGGATTGAGCTGCTTCGAAGGCCGGCCATTCTAGATTGGGGTTAGCGGGTGCACAATTCCCACCCTCAGGTGAGTGGGTAAGATGGGATACCTCATCAATTGTGAGCGATAAGTGGTGATAGCGGAGACCCTTTTGCACCAGAGAAACAAGGGCATGGCCTTTGACATGTTTCGCAAATGGGAGGCTCTCTGCGTCCACATTCCAATCGCGTTGAAGCTTGACAGCAGCCTCGGCGTAGCCTATTAGGATGGGTTTAGTGCTTTGCAGCCAGCGGTGGATCCCGGAACGCGGCCCCTACCTGATTCCTGAAGATATCTGCGAAAATTCGTCAGTATTGACAAAGGGAAAAGACAAGACGCGCGCACCTCCATATAAGATAATTCAGTTGGTCTGAAGTCAGTGGAGGTGGCTTTGCGCTGAACGTTGATGCAGCGTCGGTCTCCATGCCGACATTCCGCTGGAATTGCAGCCCGCCACTGAGTCGTTTCTTCGTGTCCAAGTTTGGAGGAGCGTGGATCGGCAAACTGCAGTCCCCTGCACGCGGGATTGAGATGCAAAATCAATGGGACGACGGAGACTGCAGGAATGAAAGATGCGCAAGATGATACAGCTCGTCCCTGATGTCGTTGGCTTGTGAAGAGAATGGCGATGGATTGCTGGTGGTCGAAAAAGGACTGTGGAAGCTAGGTAGGTACAAGTAGGGCGCAACAAAAATAATGAAACAAATTAAGATGATTGACACCGGCTGCGGGCGTGACAACTGTACAGGCTCGAAGGTGAAAAGAAGTTGAATGCGCCCAGATGGCCGAAGGCGATTTGGGAACGTGTCTTGACCGGGTTCTGGGGAAGAAGTGGTGATGGAGATGGAGTTTTCGCGATGGATGGAATGGCAAGGTTGTCACTTTGTCACTTGTGAGAACCGAGAAAACAGGCTGCTCAGTGCTAGGCTGCTAGGCCGCTTAGGCTGGATGTGCGGCAGCGGTTTGGGGGAGGGGGGAGGCCCATCTAGCCATTTGGGGCCCAGTAGCACCACCTCGTTAGTGGGTTTCGGCGGAAGAGCCAAGCACCGCATCCCTGGCACCCACCGAGCCACCTGCAACCCCCAGGGACTCCCCGCTTGGAACCAATCAATCACCTGCAGCTGGCAGTTCGAGTTTCAGGTGTGCGCAGCCTGTGCCCTACAGCGGTGCCCTATACCCAAAAATCCCGAACTGCAGCTCCAGTGCTTCCCTGCTTGTGCAACTAATCACCAACTCGTAGCTTACTCGTGGATCGACGTTCAGTGACTCGATGCGCCACATCATCTTCGTCCACCAGCCAGTGTATCTCGTGACCACAACCACGGCAAAGAGATGCAGCTGCCATCGTAGCCCTGCGGTGCTACTGTGAAGAGGGTGAACCCAAAATCTCCTGTAGTCGGTCATGAGGGACAAACGTAACCAGTTGATATGACAGCTGTCGGCCACCACCAGATCTCATCCTAGTACCTACTGAATATCTTCCTGCGTTGTTCCTGAATATCCAGTATTCGTGTGGTCCTCGCCCAGGGAAATTCAAGCCACCTCCCCGTTGATGCCCGTTGCAGTTAGCATGACCTGCGTGCTGCTCAGAAGCGGCTAGACGACTCCCCGGGCCCTGCTGTCTGCTGCCCCAAATCTCTCCGGTCTCTTCGGGTTCAGTCGATTTTTTGGCATCGTGTTACTGCTTCACAATCCCACCACCCTACTCTCTGCTCCAGACGTTACGACTGCGCCTCTTCTTTAGCAGCGCCGGGATGTGATTGAGGCCATCGATCCCAGCGCAATGGCAATCCGCATCAACTTGCCCCCTGTCACTCGGGTCCTGCTTGGGATCCTCGTGTCCCTGTCCTTCCTCTACAACATCGCTCGATGGAGATTGTCGACAGAAAATGCCGGTGTTGGCGAACCTACAACTACAACTCCGCCTGTACGGCCTATTGTTCCGTATCTAGCCCTGGTTCCTTCACAATGTCTATGGTATCCTTGGACGTTTCTCAGCGCAACCTTTGTCGAACAAAATATCCTTACCCTCCTTATCAACGGCATCAATATTTTCTTTGGTGGGAAATACCTTGAAAGAGCATGGGGAACTCAGGGTTTTGTCTATGTGATCCTGATTTCATCCATTATACCCAACTTGCTGATGGTCCCAACCTATATCCTCTGGGGCGCCATTACCGGCAATCCTGAAAGAGCCATGACTCCTATAACTGGTGGTATTTCGACACAAGCGGCATTCCTGGTTGCTTTTAAGCAGCTCGTCCCCGAGCATACCGTCAGCATATACAAGGGCATGATCAAGATGCGCGTCAAGCATTTCCCGGCCGTCTTCCTTGCACTAAACACCCTGTCCGGTCTGATCATCGGTACCGACGTTGGTCTCTTCCTCGCTTGGTACGGATTGATCACAACTTGGACGTATCTGCGGTTCTACAAGCGCCAGCCTGATCTGTCTGGAACAGGAACAGATAGGCGAGGCTTGAAGGGCGATGCTAGCGAAACATTTGCCTTTGCGACGTTCTTTCCTGATGCCGTCCAACCGCCAATTGCGGCATTTTGTAACCAGGTCTACATATTGCTGTGCAATCTGAAGATCTGTACGCCTTTCTCTGAGGAAGAAATTGCGACTGGAAATGAACAAGCCGCTGCGAGAGGGGAGGCAGGCCTCCCGAGCTTCAACAAACACGCACGCGGAGCACGAGGCTTGAGCAAAAGGGAAGAGGCCGAACAACGGCGCGCTCTGGCCCTCAAGGCGTTAGATGAACGGCTCAATGCTGCAGCTAGTCGAGCCCCGGTCCAGCCAACCAAGTCAACCACGACGAGTGCACCCGACTTGCCAAAAGGACAGGAGATGCTCGGACAAACCGACTATCGCCCGGATGAATGACTTTCTTCTTGTGATTGGTTGCCCTGGGCGGAGATTAGATATATAATTCTTTCTGACGAGAGACCCTGACTCCTTCTGTTCCTGTCGGACGTACGAGTACCAGCATATTGGAATGCCATAAATCAACCTTGCTCGCAGACCTCCTCAGAGGATGATACAAGCCCAATCTCGGTCTTGGCCCTTTCAATATTTTGTTCTGCGAGGGCGGCGACATCCGAACCAGTGGAAAGGCACCCACCAAGGCCAAGACTTTTGCGTCTAAACGACTCTGGCAGCTGGTTGTAACCTTTTGTCGTCCTCATTCCACTCTCCCCACCTTCATTATGCCATCTGCCAATCAATCTTGCACGCGACCAACAGCTTTACGAGTATGCCATGTACCTTCGAATCCGTCCCGTTGCCACCCTACAGATTGGCATTTTGGTGAGAGCTTTTGGACTGTTTTCCTATTTCTATTTCAAGCTCGACCTGCGGTATGGATGTGCAGGTGCTTGAACCACGCTCTGCGACTCGTCAAAAGCTCCCGCTCCCCATCCGGACATTATCCGCTTTGTGGAGAGCATGGGGGATGTCTGCAGATGCGAGATCGATTTGCGAAGCTAGGTATCCTGCCGACATGGTCCAGACAAGAGAACGACGTCAGGGCTACTGCATACTGGCTCAAGCTATGTGCCTAGGTAAGCTGATCTATAAATTGTGTCTTGCCCCTCGGGATGTCTAGCTTGCGAGAGCTTGCGGTTGCATCTTCACTACTGCCTCTTGTTTCCTTGATCTGTCGGACAAAGGCTTGATTCAAAAATGGCTTCGATAAAGTCTGCTGCGTTTGTTGTGGCTCTGGCGAGCGCAGTGCAAGCTTCTCTCTACGGTGAAAGCAATCAGAACCACACTTGCATCCTTGGTAAGTAAGCGGACGTCTACTTTGGGACTATATCCGAGCTCTCGTCTTTCCACAATCATAAAAGATCTCACGAAATTTATCTTCCAGATCCCGCTGTCCTCTCCTGCTCCCCGCAGGCCACTCCCGACCAAGTCGACAGCTGTTGCACCGAGACTTTTGGTGGTCTTTTGCTCAGCACACAGTTCTGGGATACGTACACTGGACTCGAAGCTCAAGGCCAAAAGCTACCACCCAACACTTGGACGCTCCATGGACTTTGGCCCGACTTTTGTTCCGGAGACTTCACCCAGTAAGCGATTCCAGCTCTGGCGGCCGCCCATTTTGTAGAGCCAACCTTGTTGCTGATCACTTGTTTTCTAACTCAGGTATTGCGATTTGACTCGTCAATATGACCCAGCTCCTTCGCCCAATACCACGAATGGTTTGCCGAACGGCACTGTTGTACCTCCTTACACTGGGCCCAACATTGGCACGTTTCTCGAGCCCTTCGGACGGTACGACTTGCTGGATTGGATGAACACTTATTGGATCAACCAAGGTGGTCCAAATCACGACTTCTGGGGGCACGAATTCTCCAAACACGGCACGTGCTACTCGACCTTCGATCTGCCTTGCTACGGGCCTGAGTACGTCGAACACGAAGACGTGCTGGATTTCTTCCAGACGGCTATCAAGTATTACAAGCGATTGCCGACGTGGGAGTGGCTGAACGAGGTCAAGATCGTTCCCAGCAATAGCACGACCTACTCGTTGAGTGACATTCAGGGTCAGTTGGCGAAGAAGTACGGTGCAGTCCCGTATATCGGGTGTACAGGACCAAAGTATAATACCACGGCAGAAGGAATTGCGGCAAATAGCACTGACAGCGGCCGCACCGTCATTGATGAAGTGTGGTATTACATGCATGTGAGTAGCTTACCCCAGAAAAGGGCTGTACAGCCCCAGGATGGGTTCCTGGAAACGTAATGCTTGGGTTATCATGGCTAACGGTTACTGCTCGTGTCTAGGTTGTCGGGCGTCCTCAAGACGGCAATTCCATCCCGGTCAATGCCACGAGCCCAAACACCAGCTGTGCAACGGCTAAAGGTGCCATACACTACTATGAGCGTACGCCAGGCTCAGTTCAGGGAAGCTGATGTGTTGATTCATATACGTGCGCTGGTTCAAGGATATTTTCCCGTGAGATCATGTACAGAGGGAAACAGATAACGATAATGTACATAGCAAGGTATGCAACAGGGCTAGCAAAAGCGAACAAGAGTCCATATACAAGCAGATGCCGTGCAGTGAAGTCAGACGGTCTAGATCCATAGAATGAATGGCACGTCTATCGGGGATTCAGTCAAGGTTGTGCTATTTTGAGCAACTGGAGTTGGAGGGTAACAACCACAGGCAGAAGACATGTGACGAATGCCTGGGGCCTTCAGATGTAAATACTTCCGCCGAACCAGAACTTGAAGCATATAAGAATACTCTTAATCAGAACAACTCATATTGCGGTGTAAGCACTGCTCCGTTCACCTTTGATCATGGCAGTCACCGAGCTGGCGCGACTGCGCCTGCAAGATGGCACTGAAGCCTCATCTCCATCGCTACATGCCAACTTGGCCAAAGCAAAGGACGTCATGGAAAAGGCCAGTGGGTTTGAGTTCTGGTATTACCATTGCCTGGAAGAGCCGAATATCATCTTCATTCTAGGATCGTGGCCATCTGTCGACTTTCACATGCACCAATTCATCCCTGGTCCTCAGAATCAAGAACTGCTCGCTCTGCTCCAAGACCAGATCACGGTGGAATGGATGTTCCACCTGGACATTGACCAACGCATACAATCTCTGCCTCTCAAACACGACGTACTCTCAATTGACCGATATATCGTCCAAGCTGGTAAAAAAGAACGATTTCAGGCTACATTCGAAAACAACAAACACGCATTGGAGTCACACGTGGGGGAACAAGGGAGGCTTATCTGGGGGTGGCGTCTTGACAAAGGTTATGATCCATCGATCGGAGGCGAGAAACCAAAGGAGCAGTTCGTCCTCCTCAGTGGCTGGGATAGCATTGAACAACACCTGGAGTTTGCCAACACGGAAGTATTCCAGAAGTACAGTCAGATCAGGAGCCACATGGAGGAGGAACCGGATATCAAGCATGCGAGATTGATGCGTGTTGAGGAACTGCGGCGTTGAAGGACGAAGCTGATCTAGCTAGCGCTAAAGATCATTGCGGTCAGCACTTTCTGTTGTTTCTGCCGCGGCATCGCAAGGAAAGGCGCAGTCGGTGGTTGATTTGCTGCGAGGCATTTATTTATCATTATCTGGGGCGATCAACGGGTCCGTCGGTTCATCGCTGACAGAGTTGGGGCGAGCACGGAGCTCAAGCTGCCAAGCGGGGGAGCTTGACGCGGCCGCCAATTGCTCGTACTGTAGAGTGCCAGTGGCTCAAGAACAGCAAACGAAGACGAGGGGGACGAGCGAGAAGCACACTAAACCAGAGCGCTATCTGTCACATGAACCTTCTCCTCCTCGTCGAAGCGGTGGTGTTGGTAATATTTCATATCATGTCCCGCTGACTCCTGCTGCTGCTCCTCCCGCCTCTTGTACCTGACCTGAAAGAAGAAACAATATTTGTCGGACCTTTTACGCAAGATCAGGGAATTCAAATCGATCGCATATCCAGTGGACCTTGTTCTCCATCCTCAGCCACTACATACGAGCACGGGCAGCAACTGCGCCACGCCATCATTTCCCTCCACCTTCCAGGCACTAACTAGCCAGGTCTAGGCGATAGTCATCATCGTCAGCAGCCTTCTGTTTCCGCCAGGCCCACGCGGGAGCTGCAAAAAGCATACCTAAGGCAACGCTCCATTCAGACTTTTTGTGGGCTTTGCGGGCGCTTGCCTTGCCGCCAACTGGGTGCCAACCTGACGTTGACTGCTCTTACCTAAGGACTTTAAGGCTTCTTCATACGTTCACCGTGGCCATCCGTCAATCTGGCATTCTTCGCCTCACCTCTACTTTACCAAAATATCCCTTCTGTGCGCACAGTGACCGATCGAACAGGCCGCAGCTATTCGGTCACTGAGACGCCTAGCCGCTCGTTTCCGGACCAACCTTCTCGTCGCCGTACCATTGTCGGAGTCTCCAACGAACTCAGCCAGAATTCCCGCAGCCAGCGGTCGCCCGAGAACATCTACAGAGGCTCATCGCTGCAAACTGCGCCCATCTACAGAAAAGGAGGCAGTATGTCAAAAGTCGTGAGAAGTGTCAAAAATGTCACAAAGGGATATAGTAGCGTTCAGGTCAAGGTGCGAAATGGTAGGTGTCCGAGTCCATTGGCCTCTATTCACATACTAAATCGATAAAAAAAACAGCTACCTCCAACGATCCGTGGGGTCCGACGGGCACGGACATGGCTGAGATCGCAGCCCTTACATTCAACAAGTAAGATCCGGCTGACAAGCAGGTTGCTGCTGTGCTGACATCGCCTTCACAGCCCAAGTGACTTCTACGAGATCATGGACATGCTCGATAAGCGGCTGAACGATAAGGGCAAAAACTGGCGACATGTGCTGAAGTCATTGAAAGTCCTTGACTACTGTCTGCACGAGGGTTCGGAATTGGTGGTCACCTGGGCCAGAAAGAACATATACATCATCAAGACATTGCGAGAATTTCAATACGTTGATGAAGATGGGAGAGACGTGGGACAAAATGGTGAGCAATATCATGTCAACTACCAGAACCGCCCATGCTAATTGATGCAGTGCGCACATCTGCCAAGGAATTGACCTCACTCATTCTGGATGAAGACCGCCTTCGCAGCGAACGCTCCGACCGGAAGTTGTGGAAAACCCGTGTCACGGGAATTGACGAATATGCGCCTCAGGCTATAGCTGGCCCTACACATCCACAACGTCGACATACGGATCGGCACGCCGAATACCGTGAAGACCAGGAAGAGCGTGACATCCGGGAGGCGACAAGACTTAGCAAACTTGAGGAGGAGGAAAGGGCTCGAAAAGAGAATCAAAGCAGGAGCACCGATGAGGATGATCCAGCATTGATTAGAGCCATTCAGCTCAGTAAGGAGGAGGCAGATCAGCGCGCCCGGCAGCTTGAGGAACAGAACGCTTCTTTACTTTTCGATGATACTCCTGCGCCAGCGCCAGCGCAGAGCCAGCCAACTGGTTATAACCAGGGCTACCAGCAACAGCCCGCCGTGGATTGGTTCGGCAACCCCCTTCAACAGCAACCACAGAGCACCGGGTTCTTGAACAATCAGTATTCCCAGCCACAACAAACAGGCTATCCAAGCGGCTTCTCCAACGGGTTTCAACCTGCGCAACCGACAGGATATGATCAATTTGGTCAACAGCCATTCTTGCAGCAGCAGAACACCATTCAACCCCAGCAGACTGCTTTTCAGACCAACAACCCGTATGGCGTGCAGCCTTCCGGTGACTTGTTCGGAGCGCAAGCACCTCAACAGACCAACCTCCAGCCTGGCACCAACAATCCTTGGGCCTCTCCGTCACCCCAAATCCCAGATGCACTTAAACCGTTGCCCACTGGGTCAAACAACCCATTCGCCCAAAAACCACCGCAATCATCCCCTTCGCCTTTCGCTCGGCCAAGCACTCAACCTTCCTTGGGCACGCTGTACGAATCGCAGCCAACTACGCAATTTACGCAGCCTTCCCAACCCAACCCCATCACGAATTACTCGGCGCCGCAGCCGACCTTTCAGCAACAGCAGAAGCCGGTCAATCCGCAGCATGCCAAGCTTAATGCCTTACTGGCTTCCGGAGAAGGACAGGATACATTTGGAAATACAGGCGATTTGCGTATTCCTGCTCAACACACTGCACCAGGGACTTTTGTCAATTCGGCTGGGCAAGGCCTCGATCGCCTCCGTGCTGCTCAAACTGGCACCAATCCATTCTTTTCAGCTCAAGCTACTGGGTTCGGTCAGGGACAAGGCGGATTCGGCCAACAAATGCCGACTCAGACCGGGCCAGTGGGCGGGTTTGGCGGCGGATATGGCCAGCAGAATAGTAACCCTTTTGGAGCCCGGCCAGTTGGTCAGCAGGGCGGAAGTCTGATTGACTTGTAGACCTCGGAGGACAGCGATTGTGTTGACATTTTGGAGGGGTCTGGCTAAGAGATGGAATACTTTTGCAAACCGGTCTATCATGATACGAAATTGTCCCCTGGTGAACTATCGTTTATATATACGATGTATTGCTTGACAGGAGTTTATTGTTAGGGCTCGAGGATTGCCTCTCCGTTGCCATCGTATAATCATCATTTGAGCCCAAATTCTCACTGACGAAGATTCTTCATCCGCTGCTCCAGCTTGTCGCAAGGCTGGGGCATAACTTGGTACGGAGGTGTACGGAGCTGAGTACTCGGTATAGTCGTAGAAATATCTTGGGTGGAGGTGTGTGATTTAATTGAAGCCGCAAGAGGAAAAGCCCCTCAGCCTCATCAGCCCCAACTTCCCAATGCGGGCGGCAGGCGCGACAGGGTTTGATTGCTTCCGCGGGCCTTATGACGCCTGCGTTTCCCTTTTGTTTCCACCCTCTTTCGCGTCCTTTATCGATTCCTCCACACTCCTCGTGGTTTCGATGCGGAGGACTTTTGTGTGCTGCATCTGGTTATCGTCCAGCTGCGTCCATTCTTTACCAATTCGCAAGTTGTCCACTCATTTTGCCAAAGTTTTGTGGAGCAATCTCAACGAAATACGACGCACATTGTTTTGCATTGAACCCCATCAAGCTCGCTATCGGAAACCGCGAACGATCAACCTCCCCGCCGATGCGCTCGCATTTCCACTTTGTAGCCTGTCTGGCGACACTCTTTTCCTCCTCTCATGGACTCGAATTCACCTCCCCCAGTTCCGACTCGCAAATAGACCCAAGCAAGAGTTTGGTCATTTCCTGGTCTCTCAGTTATACCGATCCATCAACCATCGACCTTAAACTCAGTAACTCCGATTTGGGCACAGATCTGACAATTGCAACTGGGGTCGTCTCATACACTGGCTCATACGCTGTGCCAGCCGGCACTATACAAGGTTCTGGGTCTGGCTATGAGATATCGGCTGTTGGAAATGGGAATAGCCTTGCCCAGATCACTGGCTTGACATTTGGGAGCAAAAGTGATCAGACTTCCAGTGGAGGCAATGGCCCAGTAACCCTGATCACGACAGCGACTGTCATTCCAACGCCAGCTGCTTCCACCACTTCAGGTGGCCATGATGGGACGGATAGTAACGTCCCAACGGCGACCATCGACTCAGTTGGGGTTGTTACCCTGTCCGGAACAGTGACTGGAAGTAAAGCAACAACGTCCCCTTCCAACTCAGGTGCTGAGAGCAGTTTCGCAACTAGCACAACGAGCAGAGCAAGCAGCGAGTCGCCTGGCGCTGTTGCGCCAAGTGCTGGAAGTACAAACATCGCCAATGGTCAGAAACGACGGGGGAGTGAAGTCGTCCTCGGTGCTGCCGGTCTAGTGGCAGGTGTTGTCGCTCTTTTGGCATGAACTTTATATATACCTACTTGCTTTTAACCGCTGTACGCATGGCTCATGCTCTCACGATACATCTTTGACTTACAGCTTGGCCGGAGGCTGTGGAGGCCGAATATACTGTACATGTTAGGATTTCATTGGAATGCCAGATATGAAATGTTTGATAATTTGCAGCGGACGTCTCTTTCTGATCGCTTTGAAAAACTTGGACCGGCATAAGATGACAGACAGGGCAGAGGTGAGTGTCCGCGGTGTGTCGTCAACTCAAGTATGAATACTGGCAATTTGCGCAATTCGGGGTTTGTCATAAATGTGCCATACTGAGCAGATGGTCCTTTCTGCTTTTATCACCGGTCATTGCAAGTCTGGGGTGTCCAGAAGTTTTATTGGCCCCAATTTCCGCAATGCCAGCTTCCTGAAATTTTCAGGCATGAGATATTCGTGAAGGAAGCTACTCGGCATGTTGGAACAATCTGACCTAATAGATGTCTTACAAATACTCCGTACAGCCAAAGCTCTTCGAACAGAGAGTCCAAAATGCCGTGGACCGCTTTGGATTGCAAGGCTTCGGGTGGCGCCAATCAACCCCCAGCTCGCTAAGTTGCCGCTCCTCAGTGGCTGATCGGAGCATGATGGGCCTTTGTTCTCAAAGGATGGTAAACCTCCTTTGGGAGGAGAAGATACCCTTGCAAGATCCCTTCGAACATGGTGAACAGCCTCTTGTCGCTCTGAATGTTTTGCGTCGGACAGTACCGCTGCCCGCTATGGAGCAGGCTGTGGCGTGTAGCACTGCCCGGTCCGGAGGGAGCATACTACAGCTTGAAGCAGGCTTTTGTTTGCGCAGCCTCACAGGTCGGGTCGCGGAGACCCCAAGGCGAAACACTCAGGCATCACAGGGGAAAGCACTGCGGCCTAGCTGTTTCCCCCTCCTCAGCCGCCGTCCTCTAGTCATGCACAGGTTGTACGTCTCTTTGATTGATCCAAACCACCGTGTCTCAGCGCCGTTTGACGAGTTGACGGGAAATCGCAGCTGGTTCATACTGATAACCGGCAGAAGCACGACGTGACTCTCTCCCACGTATTCACGAACATCCCGCTATGCCGAATCCCCCCGTCTCACGAGCGCGTACCTCTACTCGAGCTACCCCTTCCGCGGTCAGGAAGCATAACTTGCCTCGCAAAAAGGGCCCGTCTTTGGAGGAATGGCATCGTGTCAAGCCATTGGTCCAGCGATACATGGCGGAGGGGAAGAAACAGAAAGACATCCTTGACCTTTTGTCGAAGGAGCATCAGTTTCAGGCGGCGTTGGTCATACAGGAATGTTGATGTGAACGCTTGCTGATACGCTTTACAGTTCTCACATGTTGAAAGAGAGATTGAAGCAGTGGGGAATGAAAAAGAACTCCACGAAAGAGGAACATAAGGCTCGTGCAAAAGAAGCAAAACGCTGTGCAGACTTGGGTCTTGCGCTGCCAAGCTGCATGGATACAGACGGTCGCCCGTATGCGTGGGATCGAGTCTACCGGCATTTTGGGTCGGATCCTCAATACAAGTGCTCCTGGCTGCAGAGCGATGTCGGGTGGAAAGCGATGTTATCGAAGGTTTGCCTGAAAGTCTCTCCTGTGGATCACAGGATCGAACTTGTGTTAAGTGAAGTCAGACATCATTGGTGTACCACGCTTGAAAGAACCGAAAGACATTCCTCTGTGAGGGCAAAACGTATCGCGATGATGCGTGCAGAAGCGGATCCCAGAGAGATCACTCTCGGGTTCCTCACGGCCTTGCAGCTCTTTCGGGGAGGAGACGAGGCACAGGCACACGGCCGACAAGAGATGAACAACGTGGGCCGCAATGTCCAGATAGCCCTCGAGCAAGGGGAGCCGAGTCTATTAATGGAAATTATTCATATGTTCACGGCGACGGCTTGGGCCAGGCAGCCTGACATGTTTGTCAAAGTTGTCAGATACGTCCGTAATCTGTCTGCCAATACTCGGTCGCTCGGGCCACGACATCCCTTGACAACAGTGTTAGATACCCTTATGCATGTCGGGCAGGACGCGGAGCTCCTTGATACGTTTGCCGAGCTTGCGCTCAAAGTCATGATGGATTCGGCCGAGGCAGGCGGGGACCGAGTGAAGCTCGATCGCGACTATATTTGTGCCGTCGAGACAAATTACATCTCCAGGGTTCTGTCCAGACTAGAGTGGTGTGATGCGAAAGATCTGGTCGAGACGAAGTTCAAGCATTACAGACGGACTCTTGGTGAGCACAATCGTTACACGTTGTCCATGCAGGCCTCGCTTGGCAGACTGTACTTGAAGAATGCCTCGCGAGCACGCGAAGCCAAGGAGACGAGCAACGAATCCATGTCGCGAGACCAAGCGGAGGAGATTTTTCTCAAGCTCGTGAAAAGAGGGGAGCAAAATTTCCACGACTACTCACGCAACGGCATCTACATCGGTGCAGCAACGGACCTGGCGAGGATGTACTTCGCGACACAAGAATTTGACAAGGCTCAAGACTATTACTGCAAGGCCCTGGTCTGGACAGCCATAAAATTCGGCCGCTCCCATCCCTATATCTCGGTCTTGTTGAGGGAGTTCAGAGCACTTCAGAAGCTGGGAGAGCTTGGTCTGGTCAAGGTGAAAATGGAGGGAGACGAGGAGGAGGAGGATGTTCAGGTGGTTTCAATTGCGAAAGACGATCCAAAAGTACAATTCGATTGTCCGGGATTGGAGGCTTGTGGAGAATCAGAAACACCCGACGGGCAGATCGACGTCGACTACAGCCATGCGAGTTTCGCAATGTTTGGAGATGACACGTTCTCTCAGCCAGGACTGGATTGGCTTCCTGACTCGACGAGTGGGACTGTGCCGGCAGTAAATGATGGCGATGAGGCCCTTCCTTCAGTGTTCTTGGACTCATACATGGACACTGCTAATCAAGAGTCCTGGAGTGAGACCATGCAGGGAGGATACGACACTAGTACATGGGATTTCAATGCTGCGGCGGCGACTGATGTTTCGCAAAACCTTTCTGCTCCGGCTATATCTGAGGGACCTGCCGCTGGTTCTCCACAAGATCTGTCCATCTTCTTTCAGAACGATCTGCCCGAGTGCAACTTTGACGCGGACGACATTGAGCAGCTTCTGAACTGGCAGTAGAAGCCAGAATGTGCCTTGGGCCCTGTGAGTGATGTCGAATTGTCGAATTTGGCTTTCGGGAGCGAGGCTGGGACCCCTTCCTCCCGTCGCGTAGCCGAGTCGTGGAGTGGATTGTCGCCCGCTTGGAATTCTGGTCGGCTACCAACTTTAAGATAGTCCGTGCGGCAGCTACAGGGACAACTGGACTGCCGTAACGGGAAGGTCATGGACTACAAGTTACTTGTACATCGCTATTTGAGTGTATAAGGACTTCGCTAGACGGTTTGAATGAGGCAGCACAAGACTTTTCTGCGGCGTTATCTTGTTCTCCTTTCAAGTCACGGTTGTCTGGAGGGTGAGAATTCATTCTGCAGGCCTATCTCGATATTAGACCTCTTGATATCAAACTGGGAATCGCGATCAGTGGCATTGAGCGGAACCAGGCAAATAGAGGGGAAATGATGAACAACGCGTAATCTTATACATTATGCAGCCCAACATCAATTCGCGCCACAAGGGCTTCGTGCCACGTTCAATATTCAGCTACTGATCGGTTCCTTCGGAGTCGTCGTATCTGAAAATACCTGGCAGCGGTGCTCATAACCTACGGGTAGACCCAGTGTCCAGTTCAGTTCCCCACCTGTATCGAGATATCCACTCTATCTACCATTTTGAGAGTGAGAACCCTTGATTGGTATTTTTTGGGAGCCTCTGGATGTCGATTCGGCAGCGATCTTGGTTGCGGAATGTTAGAGCATCTTCCTGGCTAGAATCCCATTCCTTCTTGAAAACACTTTGGTCCTAGAGAAAGATGGAGCACGGACCATCTGGAACGTGATTCTGGCCCCCAGGACGCGCTAGGCCCGGTAAGTAAATAGTTGGCAGGCACTTTCCTCGAGATTCTCTCTCGCTCTCTTCGATCCTTCCTCTCTGTTATTCTGCGGTTTACTTTCTCTTTAGTTGCATGCAAGCGGACAGTGTTCATGAGCTGGAAGAAATGGAACGGCAAAGCAATACATATCTTTTCTTCGTCACTGGAACTCTTCCATTGGCTGTTGCAGGCCAGTCCATGTCCGAGACGCCTACGACAAGACCTGGCTACGGACACCGATCAACCATCATTGGCCACGACAAAAGTTGTTGCGAAGGCACAAACATGGCCAAGTTGTTCCACCACAAGCCTCACGGGCTGTCAACCATCTAACCGAACTGAGCATGGCTGCTTTTTTGTTAACAACTTCTGTTCGAGTTTCCAGCTGATCAAGAGGTGCATATATTCTACGCAGGATTCATCTTCGCGTCCGGTCGTAAGGTTGTCTATTCGTTTGCACGCAACATCATCCTTTCATGAAAGATCTCTGCCTATGACTCTTGCTGCCTGACTAGCATCTTTCATCCGTCACAACTAGCAATCAGGCTGAGGTACCTAGTACCACTCTGCCCATGGCGCCCGCCAAATCCAAGCGATCTCGAAACCGTGCTCCAAGCAAAGCAGACTGGGACCGCATCAGAGAACCTTTTAATCAATTGTATTACCGCAAGGAGCTTCCACTGCCCGAGGTAGCTAAGATACTTGCAAAAGAATACAATTTCGTAGCAGGGTAGGCAACAACCCCCGAGTGCACATTACCTGCTAATCCCATAAGGCTGTCGATGTATAAAACCCGGTTGAAACAGAGACAGCTGGGAACAAGGAAGTACTTCAAAAAGGGAGAATTGGCCCCTGTTGCAAAGATTCTCCAAATCTTTGCACTTGCCGGGTTGAGAACGCCCACCGCGGTTCTTGATGGCCACGAAGTCCCGACACGTCGTGTGACGCGCCATTTCAGATCCTTGTTGGCTCACAATACAATGCGGGACTCGACAACCGCCAGGCCATCTCCAGAGAGGGCCTGTCTGCACATCCTGAAAACCTTCCAAGATCGGAATTACGATGCAAAAGCTGAGCGTCGTCATGGACAAGTGACCATGACAAAGATCTTTTTGAAACAGTCCCAAGACATGCACGACCTCGAGTTTGCGTTGATCCAAGTCAACAATTACTACTCCTGGCGACTTCACCAAAGCGACGACTACTTCCTACTACAGACCGTCAACGCCAGCCAGTGTGCCCACTCCAACGTATTAGATCCAGTCCAATTCTTCAACGCCGTCACAGATGCCATATTTGCTTGTCAAGGAAGAGATTTGCATACCAGCCGGGCTGCAATGGGATATATTCGTCGCCAAGCACCGATAGTACTGCAGGGACAACATCCAACGTTGCTTGAGCGTCTGATATATGAGTGCATTCGGCTGGAGAACCCTCACAGCAGTCGACTGAGGTGCGGGGTATATTCTTTCCTTCTCAGTGTAGCCAGGACCATTCTTCAAGAAAGCCATCCCGTATCGATGATTCTGAAAGTGCTCCACAGCCCCGAGACAGAACAAATGTCAGCATTACTGCTGTTGGAGATGATGTGTGATGTTGCCCGGAGACAAGAGGAGCACGATTCGGAGCTGGTCCTCGTTTTCGAATTTGATATAGCCAGGGCCATTACCAAGCATGAGGATTTCAATACAGCCATGGAATGCTGGTATCGTTTGCTGCAGGGCAGTGTGGACACATTGGGCGAAAAGCATGTATTCTGCAGAGAAGTGCTGTACCAGATTGGATATGTCCATTATCGTCACGAGTTCAACAACCAGGCAAGGAAATTTTGGTTACAAGTTCTGGAGCTAGATGATGCCCTCACCCAAGGTGGTAATGACGTAGCAATCATTACCATCGATGCTATCGAGTGCCTTGGATGGATCTGTGAGAAGTCGGAAGACTTTTCAGGGGCAGAGGAGTGGTATCTCAAAGCTTATAATGCTGCTTGTCACCACTGGGGCCCGGAGGACACCACAACACTGACCTATCTTCACGAACTGAATCGGATGCGGGCAACACTGGGAGGGAGCGAGAATGTGTCTAGGGTCGATCATGCAAGTGACGAAGATGTCTTTGAGAATCTTCAGATGGAGATCGACCGACTGCAGTTGCGAGTTGAAGGATCCGAGAACCTCGAGTTACACGCTGAGCCATGGAACGAGTGGGACAACGATGTCGTTGGTGCGAAGAACAACACCAATTCTTTGAACCGCAGGACCACGGATGTTGCGACGCCTACCAGCCAAACACCCGGTCAGGATGGCCATCAGAATCGCCGAGTCGAGTTCGCAGACGCCAATAACAGGACATCTCATGATTCCGGACCATTCTGGGACGTCACAAACGACCTTGGATCTCGGACCGATCATGGACCCTCAAAACCTACGCAGCCATTGGAAGGCCTTGCGCTGGATGAAACGGGTTTGATGTCGCCTTTCTCGACTGGAGTGTACGGACTGGGCAACGACACCCTAGGAGCATTCATGCCTGAGAAACCCAGTCTCCCATCTTTGCTACCGGCAAGTGGGCAAGGTCTTATCACTGCGTTGCCATACATTGAGACTCTCCCCACACTCATGGACGACCCTGAATTCCAAGAATGCGACGACGCTGAAAATACTGGTGGCGACTTCGCTGCTATTGACCCAATGACCCTCGATCCCGAATTCCAAGAGTTCGTCAATACCGGGAATACGGGTGATGCCTTTGACACTGATCCAATGTTCCTCGATTTCGACGGCGACTTCAACTTCAGCACCCTGGATACTGAGTTCTCCGACGGACGCGACCTGCAAATGTACCACGCGATAGAAGGCCAGGACCAATACGAGGAGCAAGATTTTTTTGCATTGTGAAAATAGAGGACACTGACGGGCGTCGGAAAGGTATCTAGGTATTCAGGGACATGACACAGAGCCGACGCCATCTTAATCGGTGCAGATCGGGTGGAAGGCGTCAGGGGAGAGTACCGAACAGCGGAGTCTGCACAAATTTCGGACGAATGTTTCTCTGGCGAAGGATAAATGGAAAACGGCATGAGGATTGGGACCACGAGACGTCAAGAGAGAAATGATAAAGCGGTTGGGCGAAGTTTGGGGAGTACTGGATTCTGGTTGAAGTGAGAATGGAGATTTCTGTCAATGTACCAGAGTATTTTTTTGTTCTCTGGGTAGGTCGAATGAATGATACACACCTCTATCAAATACATGCCTCTAGATTCCGTTTTCGAAAAGGGACCAACATTCTATATTAATACCGGCAAGTAATTCTAAACATCTCCATCTAGATTAATATACCGCATCTTCTCAGACCATACATGTCTATCTACCCCTACATCCTTCACAGCTTCACAACTCTGTACCTTCGCGGCCATCAGCCGGACTATACTTCTGCCTCAGGCGAGCGTGATCTAATGCAGATGTCCGTATGCACGGCGTAGCTGGCGCAGCCAGTATTTCCGGCGGCGGCGTGACCAAGCGAAGAACTTATAAGTTTGCATGTTCGTGATTGCTGCCGTGGTGACGATAACTCTGTATCTTTCGCAGGGCTTTTGAATGGGGTCAGGGGATCCCGTGAGAGCTGGCTGATTGTTGTCCTGGTAGTGAGTCGGTGGAAAGACTGGGGTTGGACTTTTCCGCAGAGGCTGGGTGGGGCGGAGGTGGAGGCGGTCTTTTGTAAAGGAGGGAATGTTGCGATATGGATTTGCAGGGCTATGCGGATGGAGCTGGGACGCTCGGTTGGTGGTGGTGTTGGTGTCGGTTTCGATGTCCATGTCCGTGTCTGGGTACCAATGATTCCACCCAGCTTCGACATAAGATAGACCATGCTCGCCTTTGAAAGTCGTAGCCTGTCTTTGCCGATTATGCTGGTTGCTTCGGAACGTCCAGAATACCACCGCATCGACACCTGCCTGTATCAAAGCGAGACAATTCCCACACCCCTCCACCCGTTCCGTCCATCACTTGAACTCAACGAAGCCTCACATTTCCAACCCATCTCGCGCAAATATGGGTCTTATTCACCGCTTCATCTTCCACTCATACTCAACCGGCAAATCCATACCCACCCGCCTCGCCGTCAACCGCACCCTCTCCTCCTCATCCATGCCCATCCCCGGGTTATACCTCTGCAGCAGCGTGCCGTACATCCTCTGGGCGCGCAGGTACATGACGAACTGCTCGAGCTCTTGCAGGCGGGCGAGTTGTTGGTCCGTCACGGCGGCCCCAGCGGGGGTTGCCCCGGTGGAAGTGTTCCCAGTTTGCTGCTGCTGCTGCTGCAGGTGCGAGCGGATCGAGGCGTGGATGGGCGATCGAGGCAAAGTGTGGCGTGGTTGAGGCGTTGGTGGGAGTTCGCGCAGGATGCGGCGGTAGAGCGTGCGTAGGGACGGAGTGCTGGCGGTTGACATGGTGTAGATAGAGACGATATTGTTGAGGTATATACGGAATAGGATGAAGATGAATTGTTAAGGTCTGAAGATTGAACAACTTGAATGGGGAAGAACTTCAATTGGGGAAGTTGAATTGATTTTCTTCGCGGCAAAAGGCGCCGAGGGAGAATCATACACAGTTCCGCCGCTTTTAGATACATTAATCTCCCACTCATTTTCCAGCATCAGGTTGATAGGACAAGGTAAAGGGGAATTCTAGCAACTGAACGTGCGCTTGGACGCTGGTAGCCTTCCGTGTCATCTACTTAGCCAATTCCGCATGTTTGTTTGTTGGACAAGCTCCTGGAACGGCCTCATCAACGTTTTCATGACCACAGTCTCCTTCCATCAGCACAACCTGAATAGCCACGACAACATTTGGGCTACTGCTCATTCAGCCACTTGTACACAACCCGCAAGTCCTTTCCAGCATATCTCGGATCACCCGCCACTTCCTCCAAGGTCTTCAGCGTCTCAAGCGCAACCACGGGTCTCGCACCGACCATCTTAGCCAACTGCACGCCCAGCGTTAGATCCTTCTGGCCCAGTTCTATCCGAAAACCACCATTGTAGTCATTGCTCGCGGCGCCGCCGGGCGTGACGCCTGGCACCGGGTTGTTCTTGAGCGTGATCCAGCTCATGCCGCTGCTGGAGTTGACCGTGTCGATCAGGTCGTCCATGTTGAGGTTCAACTTGGCGCCGATGTTCAGCGCCTCGCTGGCGACCAGCACGTTGTTGATCGACATGTAGTTGTTGATGGTCTTGAACGCCGTCCCCGTCCCCACGTCGCCGCACCGCCTGACCCCGCTGCCCATGTGCTCGAGCAGCGGCTTGATCTTTGGAAAAACAGCCTCATCGCACCCAACCATAATGGTCAGCGTGCCTGCTTTGGCTCCGAGCGGCCCGCCGGAGATGGGGCTATCAATGAACGTGAGGTTGCCGAGCTGTGACGAGGCGTCGCGGACTTTGTGGATGATTTCCAGGCTCATGGTCCCGCACTCCATGGCAATCTTGGCCTGCGAGGCATCGGCCTGCTTGACGCCCGCGAGGATACCGGTTGATGGGTCGAGGTAGACGTTGTCACAGGCGGCGTCGTTAGGTAAGACCGTTATAATCGTATTCTAGGGGCAAGCTCTCAATCTTAGGTCCTACCTTTGCGTGGGGACATCGAAACATTGAAATACTCACGGCCTTCTGAATCGCTTCGCACCCGTTGGCCGCAACGACCACCGGCCCTACATCCTTCATTTGTTCTTGGAACCCGGATATCGCGGCCTGAGACACATCGCTCACCACAAGAGTCATGTCCTTGGGCATTTTGGTGCGTAAATTGACCGCCATGTTGTAACCCATCACCCCCAGGCCTGAGTTTCGTTGGCAAGGTGTACACCTAGAGTCGAGGAAAGGGGATGCTTGCCTATGAAAGCGACGGCCTTCTCTGGCGCCGTCATATTGTCCTTGTCACTTTCTCTGTTCCCCTGTCGTGACTGATCTCAATGTTCTTCCCACGTATTGCGATCAGGACTTTGGCTTTGGTTCCTTTTCCCAACTTGAGTCACGAAACGGTGGTGTGGCCTATTGCACAACAAGCACAATCTTTGGATCTCGGGAAAATTAGCATGCATACGGGGAGAGAGAACGTCTCTAAACCCAGCCAAAGGAAGCTACTCGCCCCTTCATCCTCGTATTTCTGGCATTTACCAGCAATGTCGGGGTACGCCGCCTTGAATTTCGCCTTCCCCGCGAGGAGAGCATTCAATACCTAGTACACGACACGACGACTGTGTTTCTCCGCATAAGTCGTACCGTATGCAGATTTACCCTCGGCTGGGGAACCGTGATGGATCCATCTCCTTCCGGGGGTTTGGTTTGCTCCAACAAGGCTTTGGAGAAGGGGGGTTTTGTTTCGCCATAGATCTCGTAAGTCAGCGATGACAACTAGGTAGTCAGTTATGACTATAGTCACTGGCCACGGCCATCCCTTGACTATAATCACAGATTAGTGACTATTGACAAAGCTTCCTGAGTTGAGCATAGTCTGACTTTGGACCATGGTCTCGCTGCGCTGATGGAGTTTTCGTCCAAGGTTATTCGACTTCGTTGCCATGTTTGGCTTCTACGAGGTCTATCGGCTCCGACGACTCCATGACGGTCGCCTCAAAGAGCGCCATCCTGATTCCCTGTGCCCACGATCTTTGCCAGACGTGTTCAACCGCCATCGTTCGTCCCATCCGTCTTCCCTTCGCCCGGCACTGTGCATGCTGCCGTCCACCAATTCGTCCACCAGGTCCGTTTGATTCCTCAGTAGAACGGGATCCGTACTTTCCTTGCCTTCTCTGGGTCTCTCATAGCATGAAAAGTTCAATATATGATCTCCAGTGATCTGATCCTTCTCGTCCTGCACGATGTCGACATTTGGATCGCTAGCTCCCAAGTGTCTGTGAGCTTTGCGGAAGTCATCCGTGGAAACAAAGTCGAGTTGTAATACGTGGTTCTCAATTCCGGCAAAGATTGTAGGCGAGGTTGATGAAGGGCTCGACAGACAATAGACGCTACCCCGGTAGCGCTGAGAGCGTTTGCGAGGGTGACGTGGGAGTGGTTCCCAGAGTCGTTCACCAATGTTGACCGTCGGAGTGAGAAAGATGTTTATGTCTCTCTGCGGCGTCGGACGCTTGACAGTCTGAGGTGGTCGCGCATTTAAATACGAGTAGGCCCTAGCTCCCGGCATGCGGAAATCAAAGGACTTCAGACAACCGTTCTGATGGCTGCCGGCGAAGAAGCGTTCGTGGCCAACTGGGAGGAGAGAAAGGATTTGCCCGTCGTCTACGGGATCAACGTACTCCGCTACCGATCTCCGAGGGACTCTAATGTCATAGAGTCGAGCGATCCCGTCGGTCCAGCCGGACAGGAACAACTGTTGAGGACGGCTTCCGCTGAATCCCACGTCACCTAGTGGGGCAATGGTATTGGCGCTATGGCGGCCCGCCCACGGATGACTGGACTCGGTGAAGGACATTGATGCAGCAACTGGTGTCGGAGAAAGACCACTAGGGGTAATGTCGTAGATACTGATCGGTGCACGTTCGCGTCCTTCGAGGAATTGGTTGCCAGTTGCAATCGTGTTTTCGGACAGAAATTTTACACATCGCATCCTTGATCGAAGCTTGTGCCTTTCTTCCACCTTAAAGGAGCTCATGGGCCGCGCAGCTTGGTCTGGACTGTGAACCGTATAGATATTGATGCAGCTGTCTCCACAAGCTGCAAGGAGAGGCTCGGGATTCTGACTGATATCTAGACAGGTGAACTCGTTAGGGAGGTTGGTATAGCGAGACTTTTGCGTGAAGATGTCGGGGTGCGAGGAAGTCTCGACACGGACGACCTCGCGGTTTGCTCTTTGAAGGACGATTGTCTCGCCATCTAAATTTTGATTCTGATCGGGACGCAAAAGTCTTACATCCAGAATATCCAGGTCTTGTCTGTGATCTTCTGGGACCCTGAATGAGGTCCAAGTGGTCACGCCGTTGTGAATAGTTCGAAGCTGCAATCTCCCCGCTGCTCCCCACGCAAGCACTTCTTTCCGGTCTGTCCATGACCCTCCCTGCCATGTCTCGTAGCTATCGATGGCTGGTCGATAGCCTACTGGAAGACCGGGAGTTTGTGGGCGTGGATGCTCGCTATTATCAGCCGGTGGGCAGCATTCTCTAGCGACGAAAGCCCGGCGGTCCCAGGCTCGCGATCGTGACGTCAAGGTGCGCGCGACATCTTGCCAATATGGTGGTGAATCGATTGTTGGGAAAGCCCTTTGCACAAATGTTCGAAAGACACTATAGTCATCTGCTGAAATAATCGAATGGATCTTGTGGTTTGCCAGCGAGAGGTTGATGATTGATGAAGCGGTAGGCAAGTGGCCAATGATCTGTTGTATTACCTCTACGGGTAGATCTTGAAGCATTGGAGAAAGTGTTGTAATTCAAGAAAGGTGAACGCTTTAGCATCAGGATGAAGGTCTCCGATTGTTTTCTATGATAAAGACGAGTTCAAGTTGCCTCTTGGTCTAGCTCTCGCCATCAAAGTCTACAAAATGGAAATCCGCCTCTCAGCGCAGATCGACCAATTGACGTCATGCTTGGCAATCTTGGCGCCGACGTCAATTCTCCACGAATCAGCTTCAGCCTGGCTTCACCTTCATGTTCAATCGCGTTCCGTCAAATCTCATCAATTGCGATCCGGCTCTCATCCTGATTCGGCGGGAGACGGTGGAGCTGGTCAATTTGTGTCTTCCTTCTTTGTCTCCTTCTGGTAGCAACATGGCCTGGGATGGCTACCATCAAGGCCATCGAGGCCAAGTCGGTTCACCAGATCCAATCTGGGCAAGTCATCGTTGACCTCTGTTCCGTGGTCAAAGAACTGGTTGAGAACAGCCTTGATGCAGGTGCCACTGCTGTGGAAGTCCGCTTCAAAAACCATGGCCTGGACTTAATCGAGGTTCAAGACAATGGCTCCGGCATTGCTCCAGCCAACTACGAGACTCTCGCCTTGAAGCACTACACTTCCAAACTTTCCAACTTCGATGACCTCTCTAGTCTGCAGACCTTTGGCTTTCGAGGCGAGGCACTCTCTTCGCTCTGTGCTCTTTCCAAGTTCACTGTCGTAACCGCACAAGCGGATGAAGCGCCCAAGGGCAAGCGGCTTGATTTTGATTCCCTGGGCAAGCTCAAATCTGTGACCGTCGTTGCTGCCCAAAAAGGCACTATTGCTAGTGTTGAGAATCTGTTCGAGAGCCTCCCTGTGCGACGCAAAGAACTGACTAAGAATATCAAACGCGAGTATGGAAAAGTCCTGGGCTTGCTTCAGGCCTATGCATGTATTGGCGTCAATGTCAAATTCACTGTCAAGAACGCCATGCCTAAAGGCAAAGGCATGATGGTCTTTTCTACAAAAGGAAATGCCACAACCCGGGAGAATATCGCAAACGTCTACGGGGCTAAGACGCTAAGTGCATTGGTTGCTCTGGACCTAGAGCTGGACTATCAGCCCACATTGACACAAATGGCCCGAAAAGAAAAGCATACCAACATACGTGTTGAGGGCCATATCTCAAAACCGGTGTTTGGGGAAGGCCGGCAGACGCCTGATCGACAATTGTTCTTTGTCAATGGCAGACCATGCGGCTTACCTCAAATCTCAAAGGCCATCAATGAAGTATACAAGGCTTTTAATGTCTCTCAGTCACCCTTTATATTCGCGGATCTTCAAATGGACACCAATGCATACGACGTGAATGTATCGCCTGACAAACGAACAATATTGATTCATGACTCGGCATCGCTTGTTGAGAGTCTGAAGACCGCACTAAATGAGATGTTTGATCGGCAAGATCAGACGGTCCCTCAATCGCAGTTCGTTAAGTCCAAGCTGCCTACCTTACAGAAATTGAGCTTCCAACGCCAGACATCCTCAAGCAGTCCCGAAACTGCAAGTCGACAAACTTCGTTTTCGGAGCCCGCAAACCTCGTCGACGACCACCAAGACGAGGAAGGATTGGAAGAGGAGCAGTCTCAGACGGAGTCGTTGAAGCATGACTTGCAAAAATTCTCACGCACCGGAGATGAGGTTGGACAGAGTGAAAAATCGCAGTCACAAATGGGAAACACACGTGAAAGATTTGCAGATGAAGCAGTTGGACAGATGGCCAGGCAAGACACAGCAACGGAAGGGGATATTGAAGATGATGATGCCCAAGAAATGGGCGACGAAGAGGCAAATCCCCCACAGTTTGAGGATGAGGAAGAGCCTTTGCAGTTGGATCCAGCCAAGAAACATGTTAGTGATTTCAACGCGAGAATGGCTGAAACGCTACCCACATCAAAGGACCAGTCCGCTATATGCCAGGACACTCCACGCCAAACGCCAGAGATCGAAGCTATTGTGCAGTCGAGAACTGGCGAGGAAAAAGGGCTCGTACAGAACGCCTTTGACCGGATGAGGCCAAAGCGGATGCCAGCAGAAATTGCCACTGTCACAATCGGAGACCGGACCATTACCACAATCCTAGGCAGTCAGTTTCCCAAGCCGCAGGAGAAGCGTGACATCCCTGGCAGTCTGAGTCACGCAAGCAAGAGGCAAAAGCGCAGCAAAAGTCCAGGCACACTGCAATTTTCTCAACAGTTGCGCAGATTTGGTGCCCAAGGATCCGATATACCGGACGCGGAGGAAGGTGACGCTGAAGGACAGGCTGATACGGAAGGTGTCGACGGCAGTAGCGAGGTGAATGAGGAATTTCACGCTGAGCTCGAATCCGACTCGGATGAGCAGAGCTTGGAGGATGACGAGGATGCGACCGGGAACGAAGTACACGCAGCACTTGATATGGAAGGAGAATCCGATACAGACTATATTGATGACGAAGAGAAGAAAAGGATTGAAGAAGCCAAAGTGGCAGAGCTTATCCTGGCGGCTGAAGCAAGATCAGCTCTTCCAACGAAAGAGAACTTGAACCGAGCAACAAAAGCCCTGGCAGGGGGACGGGCCAAGGAATCTACAACGAATTTGTTAGCGACAGTTGAGTTCTCTATCTCAGCCGTATCTCGACAGATGCGCAACTACGCTGAATTAGCGCAGGCCAACATAAACCATCGATCTTTGCACGTCGACGATTTTGACGATGATGCTGCACAAGACCCGGAGGCAAGACTTTCACTGACCGTGTCGAAGCCGGACTTTGCGAGAATGAAGATTGTTGGGCAGTTCAACCTCGGGTTCATTCTGGCCGTGCGACCCATCAAGCTGGAATCCGACGATAAGATCCAATCAACTCAGGACGAACTGTTCATTATTGACCAGCACGCATCAGACGAGAAATACAATTTTGAAAGACTACAAGCCGAGACTGTTGTGGGTAACCAAAGGCTTGTCCGACCTGTGACACTCGACTTGACGGCTGTGGAAGAAGAAATTGTGCTAGAGAATAACGAGGCCTTAGAGAAGAACGGGTTTCTCGTCGAGGTAGACACGAGCGGAGAACGAATGGTTGGGCAACGTTGCCATCTCGTCAGCCTGCCACTCAGCAGAGAAGTTGTCTTTGGTATGAAAGACCTAGAGGAACTCATCCAGCTACTTGCCGATACACCTGGGCGCGGGGAACCCGATATCCCTCGACCCAGCAAAGTGAGAAAGATGTTCGCGATGCGAGCATGTCGATCGAGCATTATGATCGGCAAGACGTTGTCCAAGAGACAGATGGAGAAGGTAGTGGCGAACATGGGGACAATCGACAAGCCGTGGAACTGCCCGCATGGTCGACCGACGATGCGACATCTGTGCAGTCTGAACACGCTGCAACCATGGCGTGAGGGAGATGGCGAACACGAGGGTGCAGTCAGCCTGGGGGTGGCGTTGCAACGATTTGCAGCGGAGGAGTGACAAAAGAGTAAAGGGGGGATAAAAGGCATCTATATCAATGGAGCGGATCAAAGGGAGAGGGCAGGAAGAAGGAGTAGGGAGAGGGAGAGGAGTCAGGCGAGGGACAGGAACATGCGTGCGTATGGAAGGGAGGATGATGTGGTGGTGGCTGTTGATCTCCGAGTTTTCCCTTCTGGCCGGTTACCGATGTTTGCCCGTGTGACGCAAACTCTCCCCAAGCACTGGCCACCCACTGGCAGCCAAGGTACAAGGAGCCAGTTGGGAGCCACGGGTGCCAAGGGCATGGGCTGAGGTGATGTGCCTCGGCTCAACGGACATGGTCAGTTGCTGCGAACACTATTACGAGGTACAGTCCTGGTACTCCTGGGCGCGGCTCTCGGTCTCTCCCTTTCGCAGACCGTCAAGCCGTTACCCTTCCAGTGCAGACACCACCATCCCATCTGCTTTCGCCGCGGCAATCCATCTTTTCTTTCTCGCCTCGTGTGCCCGTGCCCTGCATCTCTCGTCCAATGCTCTCCGAATCCCCTCCGATCTAAAAACTGTCGCGTCACCTTCATCCGCTCGCTCTATCCAGCCATAGACTTTTTTTTTCGGTACCATTGCTGTGTCCCTCCTTGCTTTTACTCTTGCCAGACTTTCGGTTCTTGGGGATGTTTCCCACACTGCCTCGACTAGGAGCACAAACAACTCTGCGTGCCGTCCCCCGTGCTTCTCCATCTTCCGCTGCTCTCAAGGTAAATGATCGTCTTGCGCTGCCAGTTGACGTCAGGTGGGGGAACTGACACGCTCACAGTCCTTCGCCATGGCTCCCACAAACAAGCGGAAGGCCTCGAACAGACCTCAATTCTGGGTGACTGAGGGTGAGTCGACACTGGAACACCCGGCGAAAGAGCAATCTCTGACACACGGATGGCTGCAGAATACCGAGAAGATCTCTCCAAAGGCCCAATGCTCCGGTTTGAGGAATCTCTACCCAGACTACCAGTCCCTTCCCTCGAGGAGACCTCCGCCCGCTATTTGAAAAGTCTGCACCCTCTACTGTCCAAAGAGGAGTATGCTGCCTCCGAAAAGGCCGTGGCTGCCCTGAACAAACCGGGAGGGATCGGCCAGAAGCTGCAAGAGAGGTTAATAGCAAAAGCACAAGACCCCAACGTCAAGAACTGGATAATTGACTGGTGGAACGAGGCGGCCTACCTGGGCTACCGTGACCCTGTGGTGCCGTATGTCTCGTACTTCTACTCCTTCCGCGATGACCGCCGAAGAAGAAACCCGGCCAAACGTGCAGCTGCCATCACAACCGCCGCCCTCGAGTTTAAGAGACAGGTCGACGACAAGACTCTGGAGCCCGAGTACATGCGCAAGAAGCCCATCGCCATGAGCAGCTACGAGTACATGTTCAACACCTCGCGAGTCGCCGCCAATCCCGTCGATTATCCCATCCAATACCCTGCCGAAGGCCACGAGCACATTATTGTCATGCGGAACGGCCAGTTCTGGAAGCTTCAGACACATGTGTCTGGCAGGCAGCTCAACACTTCGGAGCTCGAGCTCCAGTTTAACAAGGTCTACAAAAATGCCCAGATGGCCGACCCCATCGGTGCCATCACCTCTTTCCCCCGCGACCAGGGCGCAACAGCCCGCGAGAACCTCCTGGCTGCGTCTCCATTGAACGCCGAAGTCCTCAAGGAGATCGAGTCTTCATCCTTTATCGTGTGCTTAGATTCCAGCATGCCCGTCACCCTTGAAGAACGCGCTCACGTCTACTGGCACGGCGACGGGGCGAACCGATGGTACGACAAGCCAGTCCAATTCATCATCAACGACAACGGCACCGCCGGCTTCATGGGTGAACATTCCATGATGGATGGCACTCCAACCCACCGTCTTTGCGATACGGTCAATGCCTACATCGCTCACAATAAACTTGACTTTGACAACCCGTCCATCCGTTCCGACCTGCCCGACCCAGTTGCCCTGAAGTTTGAAACCAACGCAGCCGTGCTTGACGACCTGGCCACCGCACAGGCCCAGTTCCGTCAAGTCATTGCTTCCCACGATCTCCGCGTGCAAGCGTATCAAGGCTACGGCAAGGGACTGATCAAGAAGTTCAAGTGCTCCCCAGACGCGTATGTGCAGATGGTCATCCAGCTGGCGTACCACAAGATGTACGGCAAGAACCGACCAACATACGAGTCGGCCGCAACCCGCAAGTACCAGCAGGGCCGCACAGAAACCACTCGCTCCGTCTCGGATGAGAGCGTGGCATTCTGCAATGCCATGGCCGACCCCTCTGTCTCCCGCGAGGAAAGCGAGCGCCTCTTCCGCGCCGCTGTTCAGGCGCATGTCCAATACACCGCTGACGCAAGCGACGGGTATGGTGTGGATCGCCACCTCTTCGGGTTGAAGAAACTCATCCAGCCCGGCGAGGAGACACCCGAGGTTTTCAACGATCCCGCATACACCTACTCGAGCACATGGTATATCTCGAGCAGCCAGTTGAGTTCAGAGTACTTTAACGGCTACGGATGGAGTCAAGTTGTGGACCAAGGATGGGGAATTGCTTATATGATTAATGAGAACAGGTATGTCTGCCCTTTCCCCTTTTTGCCCTGCAATTGTCCATCCCCCGTATCACTGCCCTTCTTGCTAGCCGTCGAACATGCTGACAAACCACCGGCAGTTTACAATTCAACATTGTCTCCAAGAAACTCGGCTGTGAACGGATGAGTTTCTACCTCAACGAAGCTGCCAACGACGTCAGGGACATGCTCCTTCCCAGCATGGAGACGCCCAAGGCCAAGCTGTAAACGGCGGTGCAGCACGATCCGATTTTATAAACTTTTCCTTTGTTTCCTGATGCGTGCGGCGTGGCAGACACCGCATCGACCTCGGCTGGTCTGCCGCAAGAGTTTAAGAGCAGAAATGCGTAGACATGGAGGGATGGGGCTGCGAGAGGGTTGCATTTGTTGTGTCAGGGAAGGAGGGAGCGAAGGAAGGCAATGTACGATACCATAACTGAGCTCGCTGAGTGCTATTGCCCGCTTTATTTTGCAGTTTGCCTTTGCCCGGGGTATATTCAATAGTACAAATTGCAAACTATTAAAGTCGACGACTCGACTCATGATTCATGTTCGCTTTTTTGCAGCTCCACCACCCCAGACGCGGCCGCTGCGCATCAGGACCAGCTCTTCCGCGCCGTTCGAGTCGTAGCGTTTCACCACGTCGACGCCTTCGAGTCCTGCTTCGCGGGCGGCGTGGTTCCACAGGATCTGCTTGATGCGGCCTCGTAGATTTGCAGCGGACTCGCTTTGGCTTGCACGTTGAGCTTCTTCCCTAACACCTGTGTCCGTGTCCTGATCCGTGACTTCTTCCATCATGACCCAGACCAAGCCACGAGTCGACCGGCTCATGCTGTCCACCACGCCCTTAGTCGCTGGCCTGGTGCCTACCAGGACGCCGATGGCCGGCCGGCCCCTCAAACTCGAGTCCTCCTGCAGCTCTTCTTTCCCGCTGCTGCTTCCCGAAATGCCATCTTCTGCAGTCGAGCTCGCCATCGCGGTCTCAGAGTAGACCATGTTCAGCAAAGCCGCACTTCTAGCCGCCCTGACAGCGCCGTCCAACTCCCTGACCAAATTCGGTCCAATCCGCGCATGCCTGCCGACCAGCCGCTTGCACTGGACGAGAACCTTGAGGCGCCCGGTCTCTACCCCCTCCAATTCTCCGATTGCAGCCGGAGAGTCATCACGTCCCCGTCCCATCGTGCTTTTCTCGCTCTTCTCTTTCCATTCACCTGAGGATGCCAAGAGCGGTATCTCCCAGATGCCCACGAGGTCGACGCCGCGATCGCCTCTGCCGCCCACGCGATGCAGACGAAACCCATACGGTCGGAGGGTCTCCTGCGCGAGGTACTCGTAGGTGGTGCCCGCGTAGACCGTGCTGGTTGGCGACAGGCCGGTGCGCCGGGCGTAGGTGTGGAAGGAGTCGAGGGAGCTGTGCGGGGAGGACGGGTCCAGCAGGAGCGTGGATTTCTGCGGTGGGCCAGAGGAGGACGACGACGACGATGATGGCCCCGCCTGCTTCTTCTTCTCACGGGCCAGCAGTCCCGAAGAGAGCCATCTGGCCGTTCCTCTCCCGGCTGGTGTGCAAGGCAGGCGTGGAGGACGCGGTGCGAAAAGTCCACGTCCTGGAGGTGGTGGGGAGCATGGAAGTCTGGCAGTCACGTTTCGGACGAGTGGCGAGGTAATGGTCCCGTGTCTGCGGCTGCTGCCCCAGCAAGGGGAGGAGCAGCTGCCGAGCATACAGTTCTACATTCCTGAGTGAGGGGGTTTGCGGGATTCACGCAGTGCCAGTGGTAGTAGAAGTGCGAAGGTGTTTGGTTTTATGGAAGTTCAATGCCGAGAAACTGCTCGCGTCTCACCCCAGTTGGGACGATGGTGACGCCGCCCTGTGTGTGGGGTCACCAAGAGAATGAAGCGCCGGAACAGTGTGCACAGAAGTGATGGTGTCAATCAATCTCTCCGCTTGAGCCTCCTAATCAGAGTTGGACACAGCGAAGCTGGCAGGCCGGCATTGACAAGAGTATGAGAAGCAAAGAGAGGAGAAAGGGCACCAGGCACGCCCTTGCATTTTTGGAACAGGCTATTTCGCCGTATGTATAAAGACACGGGCGTGTCCATGATCAGATGGAGCCAACGTGAATGTACCTAGGTATTCAGGGCAGAGATGAAACATCAATCGCTTGAATCTCTCCATCAGATTGAACAATCTCACCACCGTCAACCACACTCTCATGCCCATTTACAGCCACCAAGACAGTCTTTCCGTCCGGGCTCAGCGCTGCATTCCTGGGAAAGACGCCCGTCGGGATTCGACCAAGCACGCTTTCCTGACCTTTGCCAGCTAGCGCGGCTTCAACGTCGACGACAGAGAGTCCCGTTGTAGAGAGATTGAAGCGGTCCGAGTCGGTCGTGATGATGCGGCTCCCGTTGCGGGCAAAGACGAAGCCCACGGGAGACGTTCCTACCGTCACATTGGCGACCAAGGCGCCTGTCGGGTCCGACACGGCTTTCTGGGTATCATATGCTAATAATGTATTGTCGTACCGTGCGGCCACCCAGACCGTTTTACCATCTGGCGCCACCACGGCTCTTGCTGCACCACAGCCGGTGGTAATATTGGATAGCACAGCGGTACCAGGAGCCACCTTGAGTTTCTTGACGTCGACGACGTTGAGCAAGCCGTGGTACTGGTAGGCAGATAACTGCTCACTGGTCGAATACATGGTCCGCCCGTCTGGAGAGAGGGTGGTGCTGATGACATCGAGGCCCAAGTCCAAGTAGCCCACAGGGGTTCCCGTGACGGTGCCGTTCGTGCTCGATCTTTCCAGTCGTAACACATCGACATTGCCATAGGGTAACGCACTCGGCCCCTGCTCCTGGGCGATGAAGGCATATTGGTCATCGAGCGAGACCGAAACCGTGATCGCCGAGGTGCCAGGCGTGCGAGTCGTGTTGCCGTTCAAGACACCCACCACCGCATTGGCGTCTCCTGCGGCCGCGAGAGCTGCGTCGACGACCACGGCGCCGGAGCCGGCCGCAAGCAAGACATGTCGACCGTCGTGAGTCAGAGTCAACCCGAATGCACCGTCTTCCAAGAGCAAACTGCGCGCCGCCGACAAGTTGACCTGATGCGTCAATCGAGGTGCAAGACTGCTCGTGTTGAAGACGCCCAGAGTGCTGTTGCCATAGGGTGTGTTGAGCGATGCAAAGGCTACATTCTTCTGTCTGGTAGCGTAGATGACCTGGAAAGGATTGCGCGGTACGCTGACTCGCGCTGTTCGCACATTATTTAGGACGGTTTGGTTCGGCGCTGCAGTGCCATTCGCGAGACACTTGTATGCAATGTCAATCGCCGTCGAATTGGCCCCGGCAGCAATCCCCAAGCAACTGAAAAGGGGAATGGCAAGCCATGTTAATATAGAATTGAGATTGACCAACATGCTACATATACACCCAGGCCAAATAAAGTGCGTGCTTGTTTTCGAGAATTAAATCACAAGACGTCCATGTCTTGACGCTTGTGATTTCATATATCTGAGTTGAACAACAGTAACCATACTGATACAGTACTTACCTACCAGGTACCTAGGTAGTATGCCCAATTGGAATACGATTTCCGCCTCGTGGACACGCAGTGTCCCTGTAGCTTCGTCAGCTACACGTCATGCAAAAAAAGAAAATGAATGACATATGCGAGCCAGGGAAACCAAAAGCGACCCTGGCTACCGCTAGATTGGGAGGGGAATTTCCCTGTATCTTGCATTGGTCTGTACCGAAGGTATTGCCACATAGTAAAGGGTGAGGATGGAGGTGAGTCCGGTGAGCGCCAAGGTGAGAGGGAGGGTGGATGTTCAAAGTGAAGAGGCTGTCGTCCAGCCACCTCTGGTCACTCGATCATGTAGCCCCAGTCGGGACGAGGGTGACGCCGCCCTGTGCTCACCGGCGGATAAGACACCATCTACCAGATACCTAGGTAGGTAAGCGCAGCCTGTACCGCTACCTCGTCGACAGTAACCGCACAGGCTCTTCGTGGCGTGAAGTTCTGGAATCGAAACTTCCCTAGGTATCTTTAATAAGAGAGTATCAATCTAACAGCGCCCTCGAACCCTTGGTAAGGTGACAAGACCTCCGAAGATCACAGCAGGCTGTAAGTCTTGTGCCTATTTGCCGGGCTTGCCCCTGGCGGGTTCGTCAAAAGGTCGACCGCACAACGGCGACTTGTACTGTTGTCCATTTTGAGGCATATACCATTTCCCATTGAGATGTTGCGTTCCGAAAGTGTCACTCTAAGACTACATTATTTAGGGAAGAGCTTCCCATGAGTGGCGACCTTCGTCGAAAAGCACGGCGGAACGACCTTTCTGCCTCACCAATGATTGACTCGGCTTCGTGAAAGAGGAATTGCATCGGCGATCTAGCCCACTCAGGGTCGAAGCTGTTGAGCCAAATCCTGTAGGCGAGCCAGCTCAACGGCATATGGATCATCTGGTAGGGGAATATAGCGATGACGAAGAGCAATGTGACTGAACACACCATGTAGTAGACTGCCAAAGCCACGATTTCCCAGGCCAGGGGTAGGTCGAGATCGAATAGCCAGTTCGGGGTGTTGGGCAGGATAATAAACAGGACACGCTGGAAAGCACGCGGAAAGGTGTGGGACAGAAAACTCCAGGCCAGTACCCAACTCACTGTTGCCGCGATTCCAGTCGTCCAAGGACTGCGAGCAGAGAGCATCGGGCGGCGACGAAGTTTGATATCGTGATGTGGCGACGGTGCTACGCCTAGCGTCAGCTGAAGTGAATAAGACCCAGTGCACCCGTTCATAGATCGGCACCCAAGGAAGCACATACCATACTCGACCAGGAAATCAAAGTCGTTCAACGAAGATCCGGCCTCAACAACAGGGATATCGTTCTCCGTGGAGGAGTCTTGGTCCAGCAGCAGAAGCAATGGTTTGTCGAATCGCAATGTCAGTAGAGATCCATTTCTTTCTGCGATGCTAAAGCGCGCTCCTAGGAGGGCTTTGCTTTGGTCGTGACTGACGCCTCCAGGAAACCTCTCCGCCAGTATACACGTGCCAACCCCTTCGTTATATACTCGCTCGGCCGCACTCTCCGTGGCGACGTAGGCCTCTGTGGATGAGTGTGCAGAGTTCGTTCCTGGCTCCATCCACTCGTTCACGGTCACAACCCAACGGGTTTCGCAGCCCCCGTTCTGATCAATGATCCTGAATCTTGGCGCTCTTTCTTGCCTTTCCAAGAACACGTAAGCCACCAAGCTCTCTCGGTGTACAGTTCTCTTATCCAGGAACAAGCCATTGGGTCTCCACGACAGTCCGGCGCAGGCCGAAAGTTGATCGCCCATGATGCCATATTCGCTCGTTTCGACCGGTAGCCAACTGTTTTGAGGGCGTTCAGGATCGCGCATACGTGGTCCGGAGTTGAACAGTAGTGAAATCGGAAGAATCTGACAGTTTCGAATGATGAGTGGTAAGTATCGAGCTTGCTGAGGAGGAATGGTTGTAGTGTCTGCGTGAGATATGTCTGAGACACCAGATCGTATTTCATGGGGACTGAGATCGAGCATATTTGCAACAATCTGATATAAATCCTTCTTCTGGCTTGTCTCGCGCTGGATCAGGCTATTCCATGCTTCAACGAACTGTGACAATTTCCAACGCAGAATCGCGGCCTCTCGTTTACTCCCGGGGGCAAGGTTAGTAAGCCAGATCCGTTCCCTCTGCAGTGCGCGGAGGGTCAGCGCTACAACTGACGTAGGTAAACGAAGTCTGGTGGCATGCAAATCCGATTCTGATGCGCCGTCGTTCTCAAAGGTATTGCTGTACACAGCTCGAGACCAAACGAAATTGTCGAGAGGATGCTGCCAACTTGGCGCTTTCTCGTCGAGTAGGTCCTCAAAACCTAGACGGAAAACTCGAGATTCCAGCTGAAATGAAAGTTCTCGAGCCAGGGCACCCTCCTGTAACGTCCATGATCTCTCCATCCAAGCCGAGGAGTAAATCTTTGCAGCAAGACTCTCACGCTCTTGTGACGGCAACCGTGCGGGCTGAACTGGCGACTGCTGCAGCTCGGCGTCCAATACAATCACAGATTCGGCTCCAGCGTAAATTGCGGCCATCTGTGAGATCGCTTTGTTCTTTATGCGTTCTTCCTCCGGGTCATTGCCTGTAATAACCGGTACACACAATGTATCAAGCCAAAGATATTGGCGGCGTGGATAGGCTATCGAGAGCAAATCCGAGCGTCCGAGGGCTGTTGCCAAACCTTTGAACGTTAGACCCTCAAACACGTTTCTGAGACATTGCTGTAGCTTCTTTACTTGACACTCAGGGAGTGCATTTGCATTTGGATTACCTAGGCCTCCAGACCAGACGTGCGAGATAGCGACATACTTAGTCCATGGACGAGCTTCCACGATCCTCAAGGTGGTGGAGCCAAAGGTCATGCAGACCAGTGGAATACCACCTGCTCTGATGATCTTGACGAGCTTCTCCCGCTCGACCTTTGCCATCGTGCAATGGTGGTCGGCCGTCACATGTGCTATCCGGTATTGTTCTGGATTTCTTCCGTATGCAGCTTCCGACGCCGAAGTCGCTGGTTGTGTAGTTGGAGCCAGCGAGACGTTGTGGGCAACACACTTCGGGGAAGCGTGACAGCGGGAGTGATCGATACGTTGCAGGGGTCGCCGATTAATGCTAGCAAAGTAATTTGCAGTGGGTAGATCGTGAAGCTCGAGGATGCGCCTGGCCTGTGAGGGGCACCAGTTGTGCTGTTCGAAAAGGCGAAGTAGAAGGGAATCGCTCATACGTGGTTCCTGGTGCCTGCCACGCTTTGTCGGATAATCCTTCAACGTTGAAAGCCATTCATTGTATGCCGAAGCAGATAAAGCATGCAAAAAGAGCCATTTGGTGCTGAAAAATTTGCTTCGAATGAAATTCCGAGTCCAGAAGCCGGGGGGTGGTTGCTCCAACAATTCAAATACGCGTTTGACAAAAGCTACAAGTAACCGAATAGAGAGAAGAACAAGAGGCAACGCTGTATCTAGATGTCGATTTTGAACATCAATTGCCGTGACCGCAATATCTACGGTGTGGAGACACTCCAACAAATTCGAACGCCAGGAGCCATGTTCAGAAAAAGGCAAAACCACTAGACGCTGGCGTAAGCGGTGGACCATAGATGACATGTCTTTGAACACAAGGTACTCATGGAGACCTCCCATTGCCGATTGTCGTCCGATATAGGGGCTAGGATCGTCCAGCAAGGCGAATTCTGAGAGTAGTCCGAAGAAAAGCCATGCCTGGGCCAAGGACGAGAGCTCTTCATCAGACTTAGATCTCAAAAGCTCCTCGTCAATCTCGTTTCGAGAGCCACAGAAGCCAGCTCGCCTTGGAAATTCTCCAAATGGCCTTGTTGGGTCGAGCCCATCATATCGATATGGACCCGGGATGTAGGGGATGCGCAATAGAGGCGTATCGTACAGAATGAAAGGACTGTCCATAGAACCAAAGCCAGAATGTGTGTGGTAGGCGTCTGGATGCTCAGGGAAATGCTCGATGTCATTCGCAGGAAAGAAAAGGGGAAGGTCTGCGCCTCAACGACTTATAATAAAAGAGTTTACTCGTACAAGAGGACGAGAAAGTAGTCAACGGTCGAAAGAATATAAGGAAGGGAACGGTCAGCACGTAGAGTCAGGTTCCATCCTGGCTGTCGCCGTATGCAGTGAGGTAGTTCAAGGATGAAGTCTGAGTGTGAAGGTGAGTGAGATGAGTGGAAGGGTGCAGGTGTTGTGGTGCAAAAAATAGTGTATTTGTCTGACAGAGAGATTTTGGTGATTTGACCAGTCAGAAGCCTGCTTTGACATCCTCGCGACATAGGGTGTTTTTGAATGACGGTTGAATTATGTGTCATCGTCGACAGCGATCATGGGCGCGAATTGGATGAGCTTCAGACTCGCTCGCCCCATGAATGGGTGCTCCGAAGGGGCTGGGAGGGTTATAACACGCCATCAGAAGTATCTTATATCCAAGTCCCATGCTCCTTCCTGATCTTGGAGTGAACTCCTGCTAGCTGGAGGGAGCGGGTTTAACGAGAAGGTCACTGTTCCCACGACACAACGAACCTTCTTTACTACCTAGGTAGTTTAAGGGATTCTTCTTGACAGTGTGAAAAGCCCTTACCTTTTATTGCACCACACCTCAAGCTGTGGCGAGCTGCGTCAAACGGAAGCAGGCCGTCGAGTGCCAAAATCGCACAACCTCCGCTTTTGGTCATTCATATTACTTTGGACACATGAACCTGATGGTGGCACCGAGACTTCTCCCTCATCCTTCTCTCGGGTAGGAGTGAGAGAAGATTGAATCCGTCGTCGTCGTCCTCGGAGGCCGATCTGATCAATATGTAATAAGGCCTCCGTGCATCGCCCGACTGGGCAAGAGACACGCAACGCGGGACTGGTCCGATCTCAGTACGAGGTAGTACTCCAAATGGCTCGGCGAATAGGGCCTCCAGCGACTAAATCCCCATCTCTCTGTGGGGCGGGTACATCGAAAATTGAACTCCATGGGGCATAGGCGCTCACGATTCTAAACATCCCATTCTATGCCACATGGGCGATTGTTCTGACGAGCAACGAGGCCGAATGCTGACTCAGAAAAGGGGCAACACCACATTCTCGGCTTTGATGTGGAGCGACCGAGCATGGCTGCTTGGGCGGCATTGCATCGACGGAACCAGCGAATGCATTCACAACCCGTACCAAACGGATGCAGAACTCGAGTTTGTATAGAGGTTGAGGAAGGCTCTACGGCTAGCACTAAGAGGCTAAATCATTATTACAGCAGCTTTACGATGCGACCCGACCCTGCGTGTGTCAGCTGGAGCAAACAACATACAGCAAGCGCACCACAGCTGCTTCTCCGAACATAAACTGTTTGCGGACATTATGTCGCTATCTCCTCTTCTGCGTTTCCTGATTGGGTTGAGCCTCTTACTGAAGCTGAAGCACCCGGACTTATCTAGGCCAACTAGTCCAATCGCGTATTACATAGGTGCAATGCAGTCAGCAACACGAACTTTGCGTGTATACCACTCAAACAGCTTCTGGTTGTAACGTGGGTCATTGATAAAGGCAAGTCAGATCAGATTCCGGGGTTGGGAAATACCCTGATATGATGTAACCTGACTACTGGCTAGTGAAGCCGATATCACAAATCAAAACATGTGAGATTGAGCTTGTGTGTACCAAGACCTCGTATATAAAAAGCTTGACCGGACGGTAGGGGAGTGTCGTCTTCGTGGCCTTTCTCAGCTGTACCTTGCACACTTCTCATCACAGGTGTATAACATCCACGACCTTTGTGCCGAATTCAGGGAAACAAATCAATCCCCAGTCCTCCAAGACACAAGCATATCAAAAAGTCCAGCTCAAACAAACCAAACCAAACCAAACCAAACCAAACCATGGCCTCTACCACTCCCCCAACGCTCAAACACGTCCTCAACCTCAGCCTCATACCGACGACGGTGCTCGATGCCGGCGCCACTCCTCGCGGACGCATCAGCTGGGTGGAATTGCCGTCGGGCGAACTGACGACCCCCGCGGGAGACAAGATCGCCACGGTCCTCCCGGGCGGCGGCGACTATTGCACGCGGCACGTCGACGACTTGATGCTCGAAGTCGACCTGCGTGTTGTCGCGCAGACACCCGCCGACCCAGCCACGGGCGCCTCGACGCTGTTCAAGTTCCAGAGCGTCGGCTACGACAAGCTGATCAAGCCGATCATGGGCGCCTTGGATGGCGACGCCGCAGCGGCATCGGCACCGCCACCACCAGGAGAAGAGATGCCCTCGGCGCTGTACGGCACCGAGGTGCTCTGGTGCAACACGTCCAGCAAGGAGTATTGGTGGATGAACTTCGCGGTCCTGGTCGCAAAGGCCGCGCTTGTTCTGGGTCCCAAGGGCGTCGAGAAGGTCGAGTATGCCATTTATCAGGTCGTCGTGTAGTGTCTAGGTCCAGACACAGATTCAGATCAAGATCCAACTCGCTCGGGGCCTTTATATGTACTCGCGACTCGCAGATCAGAGAGAGATGAATGACTATGTGTGTGTGTGTGTGTCCGCTCTATATATCAATGACATACCTATATCCCGTACGTCTCAGGAAATAGCTGTGTGCATAAAATATACGTACGGGGCGCGTGTGTATTCATCCAAGTATTTTCCTTGTAAATATATCGATCACGCCTCTCCTCCTTGCGCTGGGGAAGAGAGTGGAATAGACTTGACTCGATGGGATGCAACAGCCGGACTGCGTGATACATACATATGACTGTGCTGGTCGGTGGGGGAGGTTTTCTCAGGGGATATATCCAGTCGAATTTAACACAAGATAGGGCAGAGATAGCTTCTCCAAACCACCCAAGAGATAACAGACAGATTCATATAATGATCTCTTCATTAGTTTAGTCTTCCCATCTGTAAGTAGTGACTGACCATCTGTGTACCTTCCTGTAGTACCCAATACCCGACATACAACACACAACTGACAGCTAATAGGCTTAGCTACATAGCCAGCCATGACCATCGCCTGAATCATCGAAACACAGCCCCGAAGTACATATGCTTTTCTGTCATTCAAACAAGTCTGTCAACTTATGTAGCAACAGTACATACGGCAGTCATAACATACTTGCTTTCTGCCTTGTTTCCCAGCTTTTTGTGTGGGATTCAAAAAGAGGCATCCCTTCAGCCGTTCATCCATCCATCCATCCATTCATCCATACGTAGATACATAGACACGTACATATAAAGCCGAGAGAGGGCGTCAGGCATGGGACGGAGTACATCACTGTCGACAAGAATGATTCGATCCATCCTACCGGAATCACTCAAGTGTAGAACTCTGACTGTCTTCCGATGTCGCTCGCGAATGTGAGGCCGGAATGTGGATCGACTTGGGCTGTTGGAACTGGACCAGTTCCGTAACCATGCCGATGGGCTCCTTGTCGAACACCAATGGCACGTCCACATGCAACGACGGTAGACTGCCAGTCCGCTCGTAGAGAGTTCGGTCTTCTGTGATCTGGCTTCGGGAAAGAGTGGATGTTCGTGTGCCCGCCGAAGGCGACCCGGACCCGGGTGCTGCCTTTGATGCACGCCACGACTTGTTGCGCAGGTCGACAGAGAGGGTCCTGACCTTTCGGTAGGTCAAACACAGCCTCGCCTTAAGTGCACCCGCACAGGCGGCGCAGATGCCGATGTGGTTCTCTACGCTGGCCCAGATGAAGACCAGGGCGTAGTTTTCTGTTTGAAATTGGACGTATCTGTTAGCTAGATGCCGATGATATGGACCACTTATGAGATGAAGGGGTTTCCCAAGAAGGGAGGTCGGCGACGGATTGGGCGGAGGGGGCGACAACGACGACGAGGAGGAGGGGGGGTATACCTGAGAGATTGGGCGAGGTATCCATCTTATAGACGGCAACGAGTCGGAAGACACTGGCCAAGATGACGCTGATTGAAAGAAGAAGGTTAGCCATGTCCATCAACTGAACCAGGGGAGTGGCCACATACACGAAACAGATTCCAAACAACGCATATAGGCTGAAACGGTGTTCACGGAGTGTTTGAACCTTCCACAAAAATACCATCGGTATCAGGTACATGACCACATCGTTGGCAATCATGAAACTGGCATTGAAATAGAAGTAGTCCAATAAGTCGACACACTTCCCGTTCTCGTGTCCATTGGTCGGTTCGTGGTATCGGCGCCACGCATAGTTCAATGGTACGCATTGCAGCAATACAACCAAAACAGAACTAAGGCCAAAAGCTACTGCAGAGAACTGCATGAGGTGGATGAAGTATCTTTGGGCTCGGGTCTGTGCAAGGCCGTAGTAGAACGTCAACCATGCATGCTTGACGAACATGTTACACAAGAAATAAGGGGGAAAGGTCGCAATGATGAGCTATTCTCGTGTCAGCAGCCGTGACAAGACGGACACAGATGGGAAAGGAGGGCTCACCTTCTGTAGCGTCTCTCTGCGGAGGAATTCGATCGCAGTAATGGATGCTCCCAGTCCTTTGGCCGCGGCTGAAATACATATCAATCACCATAAAAGTAGAAATTCAATTTGTCTCTTACCTGCACAGACAAGCGATGTCATGAGCAGGCCGAAGAACTGCGACGAGATGAGTGACGGCTTGAAACTGTAAGAAGGGTTCATCGTACCGCACTCAGTAGCAAACACCCTGCGAGAGGTCAGTCATCGTCGATGATCCGATCAGCCGGCCCCTTTTCTGTGAGCTACTCACATTTGCTCGCAGTCAACCGTCCAACGGTCGCCAATTGCCTTTCCAACTCGATTGATACTGAGACGACTGTTGAAACGGCAAGCACAAGGCTTGTAGCCACGAGGACGGCATCCTTTGATTCCAACATCTTTGAAATGGCTGCAAGTCGCCGTGCAAAGGTAACCTCAGAAAAAGGTGTAGACCTATCCGAACATCCCAAGCGTGTCAAACGCCCGATATATAGAACACACTCGCAACTTCCCGTGCACCACATCCCCATTACCATGGCTTGCGTAATATTTTCATGGGTCCGAATGGCATCCCTTGCCACCTGTATCCGTGGCCAGGTCTGTAGAACAAGCTCGCACCAGAATGGTATAAGTCCAAGCTGTCAGTTGCGGGCTAGCGAAGTACTGCAGATGTCTCCAGCCAATGGCCACTTTAAAAGAAGGTTCGCACACCTGGCTTGCAAGGGATCGATTCAGAGTTCAAAACTGTTTGCTCTCGGGGCTCATCTCAAGAGTGTGGGAGGAGTGGAGTGCGCGACCTGTCAACTCGGGAATGCGGCGTTTTCGTCCCTCCGGTGGGCCATGAGAAGCTCCCTCAATCGTATAGATCTGGCTAGAGAAGGCCGAGACGGCCCCAGTAGAACATGATATTCCATCTTACTCGCACATAAGTGCAGCTGTTTATTCTTGTTAGACTTTGCTGGGAGTTTTGCTTCTGGCCCAACCCGTCGTCGCGCAGCGGTACGGAAGGGCGCTCCGTGATCCCGGCGAGCGACTGGCTAGGCCCACCATAAAGTGGCGCATCCAGCTGCCAAGTATAAGGGTCGAGAAATTGGTCGCTGTCAAAGTCGAAGCTAAGGGATAGTAGAGAAGCTTCGGCATGAGGTGTCATCGGCACTCTGACAATGGAGAACTGTCTCAAGCGTCGGATGCCCGGTGTGAGAATAGGAAGGCCACCATAGAAGAGAGATGACTAGAAGCACAAGTTCCACCTTCCATGAGATCATTGCGCTTGTTGAGTGACGAGGAATAGAGGTGCGAGGGGAGAGTCCAGCGAATGCGGGATGCGTGTTCCGAGGTCGGCTTTCAGGCGAAGTGGAAATTAGAGCCTAGCCTTAGATCGCGAAATTCTGGAGAGTCGTGAGGCGTCTAGGATTGGCTGCGTCAGCCAGGTTAGAAGGACTGGAGTTTTCAACCCTTGCATCCACCACCATTCACCAGGTTGGCAGCGTTCACTATTGAAAGGGCTTGAGGGGCACGATCCGTGAAAGGAACGAGGCTCCGGCGATCAGCTGTGCAACCAGGTCCAGCTACACTCTTACTGGCAGCTAGAATGCGAGTTTGCAAGTCGATCTGATCGTGTGTAGGCGACACAGCAGCCTTCTGGGGTGCCGCACTGACGGTATCCCAGTGAAGAGGGAAGAAGTTGAAGCCAGGTTGCAGCCAAGGTAAGCTGGGCTCGGATGGTCAGTGACAAGTGGGCTGCTGTCTTCCTGCTGCTACAGGGTCTTTCCATGCCTGTATGATGTGGGAAGATCTGCCTCACTCGTAAGTGCATGAGGGGCAGCCACAAAGGTTTGGTTGATCCAGCCAGTCAGAAGTCGAGAGGGTGCCATGTCAATTCTTGTGCTGCGTTCCCTTGGAAAGCTGGGACTGCGTGGTCTTTCTCCAATCTTGCGATTACAACAGTTTGGCAGTTCTGCTGTTAGTGGGCGCTCATGTCCCTTCCCTCGGACATCTTGGCCGGGACAGATTCACGTCCATTGAGAAATGGTTCTGATTGGTGAGCTTGGGAGCTGGGAGCCTGGTCAGCTGCGAGACAAAGGGATGGCCTTGCTCTAGACCGGGGGAATGCATGAATGCCCAGGGTCACCATTCACGGCTCTGGACCTCCAAAAGTTCTGCGTCATTGCAGTGATTTTAGGTAGTAAAATGTGAGTCCTCCAACTTGCCACAGGACTGGCTGTCGAGGCCTTCTGTCCCTTACACTTTATCTTAGAAGGGCCCCCCAGCTAGGGTCGAATATGGGGAAACTACTCGTAGAAAGTTGTGGGCTGGGCCGTGCAAAACCTTCTGGTCCATCGGCTTCGGGTAACTCGTCAAAGGTTGCCATCCGAACTTGGTACCCTTCTGAGATCAGCGCAACCGGGCTTTGGGAGACAGTTGCACGACTCGTTGGAGCTCCCTCATGCTGTTCTGTCCATAATTGGCTGTCGAAGCCGGAATTCCCCGTGTTCTTAGGGATCCTTTTGAGCTGCTGCAATATTGAGTTGCCATAGAACCGAGGAGCGGTGTTGTTCGCAACAGCCATTTCTCCCATAAACGTTGCCACTTCTTCAACGGAATCTAGGTACTTTGTCGGGTTGGGAAGAGTGGAGCTGAATAGTTCGCAAGCTTGTATGATGTAGAGACAGCAGAATGCTATCAGAGCATACCCAAAGTCGGCCATATATCGAATATTCTCTCGTCTAAGAGGTGGTGTATCCATGAGACATCGAGAACAAGCATGAGCCGCTTCAACAGATTTCACCACAAATTCTCTGGCAACTGGAGCCAGGGCCTGGCGAGATGCAGTGTGTGCGTCAAGAGCTGACCGTGCCTTTTCAAGCATGTACCTGGTGCCGAAAGTGCTGATGCAGAAGCGAGTACTCTGAAAGTGGAAATCCACAGCTCCATTCCTGGAAACATCCACATTTGAAATGGTCATATTGGATTCCCCACGGAGACCCCATCGTTGACCCCAGACTTCAAGGGCTCCCTCCATGTCTTCCAGAACTGCCACCACTTCCTCCATGTTCATGGTGCCGGACGGCTTACACCACCATTCTGCAAGGCCTGGAGCACTTCGGCCTGCTTGTTGCCACAGCATGTAAAGATCGACCTCGGCGAGGATGCGAGTCACACGTGTTGGCTTGGGCACATCTCTCAGCAAGTCAACCGCTGAACTGATGGTGCTATCTTCTCGAATAGTCGGAGGCGTGCGTGTCATCAAAGAGAAATGATGAGACATGGTCACAAGCCAAAGCCAGTAGACGTATCTCTGAAAGGCTGGCGACTTTGATATATCTGGCGGGTTCTGCTGTAGCAGCACTTTGAGACTGTCGATAGAGCGGTGAAGGCCGGCTCGCAGCGCAAATGCTTCGATGGAATACTTCAAGACCCAGTGATCAAGGAACCCAGACTGAGGAGCGCTTGCGAGATGGAACACGTCTGCGGCTGGGCGGTATGCATACAGGATCGCAAAGGCCTGTAGTTGCGTCCACACAATGCTTTCATTCTTTGCCAAAGGCCCGCTCGTTGCCCTTATGAAGTCTGAGATGGGCCAGGTGAGTTGTTCGCGAACACTGGCACTTCCAGGGATAAATTGTGATGCCACGAAACTTGCACAATAAGCGAGTGGCCGCCTATGCTTCACCACATACAGCGGGTCTTTGAGGTCTGCATCATCAATAACAGGCACAAAGTACGAGATCTTCTCCCGAAAACTGCCATCAGATGGGTTGATCAGTGCTTCTCCCTCGCAAAGCTGGCTGATGCTTACAATTCGATAAGCTCAACTAAGACGGTGTCGGGTACGTCTTTCGGGTTTCTTCTGGACGATGCCGAGGGAACAACTGCGATGCCATCCGATGCAGGCTGTGACCAGGACTCTGGCAACGGTTGCTGGAGTGCAACCGAGTCAAGCGCAGCCAAGGGGGACAAGGAGTACACAGATGGCAAGCTGGGCGAAACATTTTGGTCCGGCTGTGAAGTGCTAGCAGGAGACACACGTCCGCCTTTATAGGAGGGGCTTTGAAGGGCAAATGCCGGAGGCGTTGCTGTATGGACTGGAGGCGAGCGTCGGACCGAGCTGGTGGCAGCATCAGTCGTATTCTGGCTGTCCTGTTGGTGTAAAGCGTCCGAAGGAGATGATGAGACTGGTGGCTGCCACTTGCGCAGAGAGTTGGCAGATTGATGTTGTCCCCTCCGAGAGGCATGGACGACGCAATTTCGACCGGTCTTAGAGCATCGGACGCATGGCGGATTTTCGGCTCCTATGCAGCGCATCTGCAGATGTCGAGTCAGCTACAGATGGTCTAGGCATCGTTCATTGTTGCGGCTTTTCACCTTCAACCGCCTACACGCAGAGCATGCTACAGGCGCAGAGCCCAGTAGCGGCTTGTGTGGAAGCGGTGCAGCCGTCGCCATCGTGGGCACTGCAGCGATTTGGAACTCGAAGGGCTGTTGCAGAGCTTCATCTGCCTCTATTCAAGCGATCTAGGTGAAGAGAGTGGCACGGAGATGCTTTGTAAGGCGCTTTTCGAGTTTAGTAACGAGAGAAAGTGGCGAGCGATTGTAGGACTCAGCCGCAAGTGGTTAGTTAAGCCGTCAGGCTCGAGGGCACACCTAACGCATGCCTAGGTACCATCAAATAACCTACTACCTAGGTACCTAAGAAGCAGGGATAATACGGTCTCGTTAGTTAAGCAAGAGCCTGAAACTCACTAACTCACAAGCCTAACGCGCCTTCTCAGCTGCCCGATAACCTATTGTCCTGATTACCTTAAACACCAGAACAGCGGTATATGTACCTAGGTCTAGGTATTTTATGCCCCAAGTCAGCTTACCGCCACCTGCCCACACCGCGGCATCAATCCTAACTGAACAATCGACATCTTTGGGATGGTCATACCCTCACACCTGGTCCAACACTACAGCGACGGCCTGACATCGTCCTGTCCGCTCCACTCTCCTCCCATCCATCGAGCCCTAAGGCGATCTTCCTGACCAACTTCAAGTCCTTTGCCCATGAGCCTCAAGCTAGCAAGCCTCCCAGGGACCAGATCAATGCCGTTGTCCTCCCATTTCGCGTCTGGATCATCCGCGACTTGCACTAGGAGGCCTTTGATGGGCAGATTGGCTGTTGCCTCCACCACAATGTCAGCCCCGTGTCTTACAATCCTCAATGCAAGATTCCTGGCCCTCGTCTGGAAAGGTACCTCCTTCAGCGGTTCGTGAAAATTGATGTGGTGGGCCAGTATCTTCGAAGAGATTCCACGCTTCGTAGCATTGAGAGAGGATGCTCTCCCACCTGACAGTGGCTCAACCAGCCGAACTGCAAAGACCGTGTCTTCGAAACCCAAGAACTTGTCGGAAAGATTGGAGCGCACAGGGATAACAGCACTCAAGTCCAACTTTCCGAGCTCTGTACTTTGATTCATCTTCAGAGTGAAAGCTTTGAGCATCAGATGGTGGAAGACGGACTTGCCTGTCACGACGCTCCATCCGTCAACGTGAACATCAACCTTGATGTCCATCAGCGTCATGTTGACGGCCCATACCTCCAAAGCATCTACACTGTTATCTTGCTTGACTCTTGCCATTCCGGCGGTTATGCCAGCACATTCACGCTTGACTGCCCAGTATGCCATCTTGGGACGAAGAAAGTAATCCGCAATGGCCCAGGATGTCACCGGCCAGCAGTCATTGAGTTGCCAGACAAGAGCTCCGCCACAATACTCTTTGCCAGAGCCCTGCCAGAGCCGTCGCCAGGATCGATAAGCCGCAGAAAGCGCCTCGGACTGGATCAGCTGGGTCGCGTAGATGTACGCCGGGAGGGATGCCGTCTCGAACTTGATGTTAGCATTCCCGTACTGAGCCATCCTATCGCTTCCATCGTCCATTTTGTTGTGCCACTTCAAATACTCATCCTCTGATACGTCGCCATCCTCAGACACGCGGTATCCTGGAGGGAAGAACTCTTTGACAGTGTCGAGTCCGGGCAATGCTTGCATGCCAAACTCACTGACGAACCTGCCAGCAAGTCTGGGGAAGTCTTGGTATGGGAACATTTCCAAATGCCAGACGTGCCACTGGTGTATATCACCGACCTGCTGAGAATTGGCCATGGAGCCTCCGAATGGAGATCCAGGCCAGTACCGGGTCGCAGGACTCAGGTCCTCGCATATTGCCGGCAGCATATGCTCGTAGAAATACCGTGCGGGAAAGGCTGATTCGAGAATCTTCCCAGGGTCCTTTTCGCTCGGATCGTATTGGAGTTGCCTGAGCACTGGGATGATATAATCCTCGTTGTTTCCACACCATAGTACAATACAGGGATGATGTCTCAATCGGCGGACGTTCTGCTCCGCTTCCACTGCGACACGATTTCTCATTCGCGCATGTGCTGGAAAGTTGCCACAAGCAAACATAAAATCTTGCCAGACAAGGACGCCCATCTGGTCACAAGCATCATAAAATGATTCGTGCTCGTACACGCCGCCACCCCAAACGCGAATCATAACTTGATTGGAATCACGAGCCAGCTTGACCCAATCCCTGTATCTCTGGGGAAAGATGCGGGTCAGGAAGGAGTCGGCCGGAATCCAGCAAGAGCCAGCAGCAAAGATCGGGACGTTGTTGATCTTGAAAAAGAAAGTGCTGCCTTCCTGGTTGTGCAGCGGACGCTGGACCAATTCCACTTTCCGAATTCCAAAGAATTTGCTCATCTCGTCCAGGATTCTCGGTTCAGAATCCTGAGCCTGGTACAAAGAGACACTTGCTTCGTACAGATTTGCTTCTCCCAGAGTGAAATGCCACCAGAGATCAGGATTCTGTACATGAAAAACCGCTCTTGCGATGTGTTGCTCGACATTGACAGTCTGAGATTGTTGGACTAAACCCTCGCGGCTGAGTTCGACTTTGGCGTGATTAGCAGGGCCGTCAACTATAACCACAACTTGTAGCTCCGCAGACTGTAGATCGGAGCCGAGATTTGTGTGAATTGACATGTCTGATATCCGCGATGAATAGAGATCCAGGTATATTGGCTTCCAAGGTCCACAGCTCATCAGTTTCGGGCCCCAATCCCAACCCTGCAGTCCCTTCTGTCAGCCAAAGAACCCAGGTCGTAGAAGCAGGATGGAACCAAGCTAGGTAGCCCTCACATAGTGATACTGCGCTTTCCTCGTTGCCAAACGTGCCGTACCGGCGTTGAAGGTGAACCAGTCATGACCCGGATATTTGAGGACTTCCTCGTCCCCCACGCGTTCTGCATTCTCGAAGATGATTTGCAGACACTGCACAGTGAAACTGCCATTCTCCTTTACAAGCATGTCTTCCGAGAGCTCGACTCTGTGAGACACGAACATATTGTCGGACTTGAGGATGTCTCGGCCGTTGAGCTTAACGGTGGCGAAGGTATCGAGCCCTTCAAATACGAGGGCTGCACGGCGGTATGGTGCCCCGACTGCATCTTGAGGTACTTCAAAGTATAACTCATACAGCCAGGTCTGCTCTCCAACCCATTGCACAGCTTCCTCGTTCTTCCCATTAAAGGGGTCCTGGATGGCTCCATTAGCCAGCAAATCCAGGTGAATCTCTGTCGGAAGCGGTCTGCTCGGTTGCCATGAGTTAGATTGTGGAGATGTCGAGGAAGATAGAGCTTTGTATCTCCAACCGTTGTTCAAAGGCAGAGACTTTCGAAGGGTTGTCATTGTCCGGCCACGTACTATACTTGTCACAGTATTTTGAGCCAACCCTTTCCCGCGACAGAAGCCATGAGCAAGTATTAATTGCTTTCATTCCGTGGGTTCCTTGGTGCCTTCCAGCTTGGATGGTCCGTGTCCGAAATTTTAGCCGCAAAATCTCGACAGCGCAGACTGTGTGCCCACGGGGACAAGATATCCAACCGTCCCAGATTTCTCTGGGGTTTGGCGGGCGAGACACCGCGGACAGATGAAGCTAAAGCGGTACCGACCACCCGCGCCCGGGGCTGGCCACTGGGGAATTAGCGTCTCGCCCTTATGCAGCCTCGGTCGCCGGACGTGCATATCACGGCGTCTTGCAGAGGAAGTCGAATGTGTCTCCCTAGGCTGGTGACCCGGCTCGCCGGATCATTGAGAAACCTCGCCGATCGAGCGCCACACAGCCGTCAAACTCCCCCTCGGCCGGAACGTTCGATGGACATGATAAGTGATGTGCAGCGTCGGGTCGGAAGGGGAGAAAAGCAGGAGAAGCGGCAACTCTCATGCACTATGCACTATGTATTCTTCTTCCAGCTTCCCCACATTCCTATGCGGGCAATTTCCTACTCAGCGTCACCAGGTGGGGATGTCTCAGGAGAGCGAACAGAGCGCGAATTCAAACTCGGCGCGACCTCGGTTAAAAACTAACTATTAGTAAACCCCACTGTAATTATATAAGATAAAATAACTCTAGTTTCTACAGAGAATCTTAACCTCGCTGTCGCTATAAGTCAGTTTCGCGACCTCGCTATTACCCTATCTCGATCTTAATCATCTTCGCCGTCCGCTTGCGGACTCTCTTACCTCTACTAAGCGTAGGCGGCGCCGTTGACGTTGGTAGATCTCTTAGCTTAGGAGACACCTTAGGCGAAGACTTACGCCGTAGCCTAGGTCTATTAGGCGTCCGTAGAGGTAGTTAGTAGGAAGGAGGAGTATCTTAAGGCATTAGGCTACTAGACCTTTTAGGCGATCTATCAACGACTAGTAGTTTAGATATTATTAACCTTTATAGGTCCGCGAGCTCCGTAGTTAACTTCGATAACCGTGGGGTCTCTAGTATATCTTCTAGTTCTTTTTCGCTAGTATTTTGTATAGGAATCGGAGTCTAAGTGCTATCCTAAGGCTCTTAAGTTATCGGATTAGACTCTAGACGAAACGTTGATATAAACGCTAACTAAGGCCGTTATAATCGCGCCTATAATTGTGCCTATGACTACGCTTATTACCGTTCCTGACGGTCTAGGATCTCGTTAGCGATTAGGCCTCTAGCGTTAGCGCGTCCGTAAGTAGATCGCTTAATAAATAGCGAGCGAGGATTAGAATCTAGTTAGCCGATAGGTAGGCTCTATATCTCGCGCCGTTAGTAGCCGATTCGAACGAGATTCTATATAATCTACGTGATCTATCTCTCGCCTTATTCTAACTAAGTATCGAATCGATCTCGTTCCTCTATATTTAGCTAGTGTCGAAGAGTTAATATCTCTACTATAGGATCTCGAGCTAGCTATCGCTATTCTTAAGGCTCTTAAAGAGGATAGAATAGCTTCTAATTAGGCTTAGTTATTAGAGGTCCTAAGAGCTACTACCGCGGATATAGAAGAGTCTTCGGAATGGCGATATTGTTAAGGAATATCTAGGCTAGATAATAGCGATAGACGATGCCAAATCGTAGTAGGATTGGGCACTTATAGCGATTATTAAGTTACTAACCTTTAAGTATCATCGTCTTCAAAATCTACCACTCTTTCTCTAGTAATTAGATCGCTAGATTATTAACTTTTATACGGAGCGAGATAAAGATATCGGTCTACGCGATCCGTAGATAGTGCCTTATTAACTACGCTTCGTCTACCTCGATATCTTTAATAACTAATAGTATCTTTATTCCTAGTCTTTTTATAGAATCTTTAAGGCTTAATTAAGCGTTTATAATCTCTCTTATAACGTTATAATAGGACTCTTCGCGCTAGCTTACGTTATAGTCTAGGTTAGTATATTTCGAGGTATATATAAAGATCACTTTATACTCTTTTAGCTACTATTTAGCCTCGATATATCGCTAGAATATCGCCGATCTAACTACGTTAATTAAAGTATTTCGCCTATCTTTAAGATCCTAGAAAGTCGGCGCTTTAAGGTACTACTAGATTAGCCTTCTTAGGCTAGGAATAGTATAGCTAGTATTATCTTTAATATCGTCAAAATCGTCCTTTTTTATACCGATATCTTTATCGCGTAATCGCTTATAGATACTCTTATAGATGTACTAGTTATAGATTTACTATTAGGCGCCTAGAAAGGCCTTAGGAATCGACGCTATTAGACCTCCATTTTGATCGCCTAACACTACCTTTATCGGTACTATTTTAGCCTCTCCTAGCCTATTAAAATAGTAGATCTTCAGGTATTCCCAAAAGAATAGGTAGGACTCTTTATTCTCGCCTAGATACTAGGAAAAGGCTACCGGGAATATCCTACCTAAATTTAATACTTCTACCGCGATTAATAGTAGTAGACGCCGATCGTTTATATTAAAAGTCCTATCGATAATAACGATAAAGTTAGCGATAAATCGCCTTATAACCTTTATTAAACGGCCGTAAGTAAACTAGATCTAAATTAGCTTCTTACTAATAACCTTTCCTATAGAATTAATAGTCTCTTTAACGCGCGTTCGATAGATAAAATACTATTCCTTAAGAGCCGCGAGAAGGCTAGTAATCGTCTACGGATCCTCCTAATTAATCTTTATCTTCCTAATAAGATTATAGTACTATTTATAAGATAATTAGATACTAAATTCCTTAGATTTAAGGATACGGCGAGAGATAGAATAGGCGATTATAGCGATATAGTGTAATAACGTCTTCTTACGAATACGTTAGAATTCCTTAAGATTAGCTATTAGACTAGGATAGATACTAAGTAGGTTATTAGTTAATTTATAACCTTTATAAATTAGTATACTAACTATTAAGATCTAGATCTTTTTATCGTCTCCTCGTTTAATCGATTTAAAGCTAACCTTAATACTCTAAGGATAGTCTATTTAGTAGACTATTATAGCGTCTCTCTTCCTCCTAGTTACGATTTAACCTTCCTTATTCTTAACTACCGAATTCTCTAGATTACGAGTATTTAAAGTCCTTTCGCTATAATAAATATAACGAAAACTAGAGTCTAGAACCTTACGGTTACCGCCGCCTAAACGGATAAGACTAAAGCCTTCGATAATAGTAAAGGTAGTAAGGCGCCTTTAGGCGTCTATAAGAGACTCAAATCGCTCGCTAGATTCAGGAATAGCCCGCCAATTAATAGACAATCCGTTAACGAAGCGCTCAAGATAAACACGAAGATAAGAAGGATAGCCTAGGCCTACGCGCCAATAGGAGGAGGAGGAGGAGAAATCGCTAGTAGCGACGTTTTCCATAACTAGCAACACTAAGATTATCTATATAAGGATCGATAGCGAGGTCAGTTTATTCAAATTAACGGTAACGAGGTTAGAATAGTAATTAAATCGAATTGATTCCTATTCATGACTAGGTAAATTATTCCTCATACAAAACAGGCGGTGAAAGATTTCACTTGGCATCTAACCGAGGTCGCGCCGAGTTTGAATTCGCGCTCTGTTCGCTCTCCTGAGACATCCCCCACCAGGTCGCCACACGTAGTTCTTTGCCCAGGCTGGACAACGCTTCAGGTTTGCTGTACTCGGGGTTACTTGGCTCAATTCAATCACGAAAACTGCTCCGGTCAGCGGTGGCCGGAAACTGTTTGCCACGGCATTCACTCAGGTTTCTCTCAAGATCACTTTCCCAAGAAAGAAAACGTCGGCCTGGTGTTGCCATTGAGGAACTGGCCAAACGTACACATGCTTGACGCCTTGGTGCTTCTGAGAGACCACCCTCTCCAGCAGATGTCTATCACATGCCCCCGGCGCCTCTTGAGAGATGAAATGCGGGGCCCCGTTCGGCGGTCTGTGGAGGGAGGGAATGAACCAGACGATTGTTTGGGCTCCCGTTCGTTGAAGCTGATTCGCGACGAATACTAATCCATCGCCCCTGCAGCGCTGCTTCGGCTCATATGAGCCGCTCAGGTTCAGCTTCTAAAAGGGTGCATATCGTCTCCAGTGGTATTGACAGATAAAAAGGCTTCCGCTGCAACTTTTCACTCATTTGCGAGCAGTGTCCTCCTTCTCTCATACGCCCTGTCGTTGTCAAGGGCAAATCCAGACCACTGAGTCTTCAATCAACGCCATGGCTACCAAAGCGGAGGCTGATACGGTTGAGCACGCTTCAGTCGACGTGGCTGAGAACGTCGACGTCAAGCCACGCACTCGAGATGTCGACGATGCCTTGAGATTTGCCACCGAGAGCGAAACCATTACATGGACGGAGGCAGAAGAGAAAAAGGTCGTGAGGAAGATCGACGCTGTTATACTGTCATTGGTGAGATGAGGCACTTCTGAAGCACCACTATCATACCATTATCCTGGGTCCACATTGGCTGACTCGCGGCTTGGTGGCAGCTCTTTGTTGGCTCCATCGTCTCGTATGCAGACACGCAAGCCTATGGCTTTGCTGCTTTATTTGGCTTGGTCAAAGATCTCAAATTGTTTGTTTTGAAGTTGGTTGGGGGCGAGCCGGTGATCGAAACGTCGAAATACCAACTTTCTGCAAGCATCGCAACACTGGGCGCAGTGGCTGTGAGATCGTCTCAGGCTGAGAATTGTGCAAAAGCTGACGACAACGTACAGGGTCAATATCCGCTCCTCCTTGTTGCGCAGTATCTTCCAGTGGGCAGGTTTTTTGGAGCGCTAATAGCATACATCGGCCTGACAGCAATCCTGGTCATCGTTTGTACCGACTTTGCGGGAATCACAGCTCTTCGGTTCGAGACTCTTGAGACATTGCTTTGGATAGCGTCTGACGAACTGACAGATTCTTTACCGGCTTCGCCGTGGCAACCCAGCCACTGTCTATTATCATTACCTCCATGTGGTATGGTATTTCTCATCTATATCAGCACACACTCAACTAAGTATTTCATTCCAGGTGGAAGAACAAAGAGCAACCGCTCCGCGCTGGGATTTACATTTCAGGCACAGCAATCGGCTCCTTGGCGGGACAAGGTATCGATTTTGGCGCAGTGCGGCTTGGTGGTGCCTATGCCAACAACCCCTGGAAATGGATCTACGTGATCCTTGGCTCCGTGACGATGGGCTATGGGGTCTTTACGACACTCGTCTTCCCAGCCACGCCTATGAAAGCATGGTTCCTGACAGCCAGAGAGAAGGAGATCGCAGTGCGCAGACTTGTCCAGAACAACACGGGGATTCAGACCCGCAAATTCAAATGGAAGCAAGTCAAAGAGGCTTTTATGGACCCTCAATTGTACATTTACGGGATCTACGCCTTCACGTTCGCCTTTGTCAATAACGCGATTGGAAGGTAAGTGATTAGATGCCACCTGCATCTTTTTGTAATGCCCTCGTCTGCTGACGTCCTTTCTCTCCTTCCAGCTTCGGCGGCTTTCTGGTGTCGTCTTTCGGATATTCAAACTCGAGAGCTCTCATTCTCACCATGCCTGCAAGCGCAGTGGCCATTGTTTGCATGATATCATCAGGGGTGTTTGGGGCTCTTTTCCCGCGAAGACGGATCTTGATCGCGATGCTCTATCTCCTGCCCAGCATGGCGGGCAACATTCTCCTTTGGAAGAGTGACCGCTCAAACAAGGGGGCACTTCTGGCCGGGCTGTACATTGTGAGTTTTCCGCCCTGGACTCTAGAAAGACACAGTACAGTGTGGGCGTTTTATCTGACTACTCTCCTTTACTATTAGTCGACCACCCTTTACGGGGCTCTCGTACAGCAATTCGCCCTCCTCTCCTCCAACATAGCCGGCCATACGAAGAAGACGGTCACCAATGCGACGATCTTCGTGCTCGCGAATCTAGGCGGCTTCTCCGGGCCGTGGGCTTACAAGGGCGATGAAGCTACGCGCGGGTATCCGACAGGGCAGATCACGACGCTGAGTTTGCTTTGCGCGAGTCAGGGGGTGTTTGCTCTGCTTTGGTGAGTTCCGGCACCATGGGTGTTGGGCAACGGACACAGTGACACTATCGCTTCCCCGTTCTCGAACGCAGATGTTTCATTCCATTTTGCTGACCCATCATGTCCCTTCTGGGAGAGACAGGCTCCACTATCTCCGATGCAACAAGAAGAAAGCTCCATTGAGAGAAGAGCACCCCGAGCTAATCACAGACCCCAGCATCGCATTCGCAGACATGACCGACAAAGTCAATCCCGTGTTTCAATATATGTGCTAGGGTGTCTCCTGTCGGTAGCTTCGTTTCAATGCACATGGGACAAAGACCAGATGAACCGAGGGAAGAGGGATTTCCTTGCGTGGCCATCAGTAGGGGGGTGGTAAAGAAAAAGAAAAGCAGACAGAAATACATCCACTAAATTTTCTAGCCACCTCTGAATGTGCAAGATGATTTTTGGGGTGTTGTTCTCACTGGACTCGTATGAGGTTCTGCCAGACAGAATAACGAGTACAGATATTCTGTCCATGACCTAGATAGATCGAACATACATCTTACTCTGCATATATTATGCCTGTGGCACTCCTGCCCATCCTGCACTTGTCTCGTGAGTACCCAGGTACTCAGGTATGTAGGCCTCCTAACTCTTGGCACCTCCATACCTTCAGATCGGCGAGAGCTGTTCGCTCTCTCGGTGGAGAGTGTAAGCATACAGAATTCTTCCGTGATCCTATAATGTCCAACTCCGGAAAGCAAATCGATGCCGACCCCCTCAACGAAGTGCGCCGTCTTGTATATGTCTCCTCCCTTGAGTATTACAGCCAAATCCTCCGCCCAAAGACGAAGCGCGCCTTTGTTCTCTGCGTTATTATCCCACGCTGCCTCGGCTATCCATTCCTGTCCTGTCCAGTTCCATGCCGAGTCCCCCAACCTCCCCGTGACTTACGGAACAGAAATGCGATCCCACTCGTAAAAGGCGACCGAACAGCTACAAATCAAGGAAGCGAGGAATCACGTCCGGTTCCGGTACCGGCACCGGTCACCGTGCCAGCGGGATACGGATCGCAGCCACGCTAGCCACAGCCCACGGTAATTAGTGAGCCTGGGTAGAGCTTAGTACCAACCATTGTTAACGAATAGCATTCGTTCGCCCGCCCGAAGTCAGGGAGTCCGCCGGCAGCCAAGACCCGGCAATGCTTCTCTGCTCTCGAGATGGATGGACGAGGCTGAACATCCTCAAATCCGGAATCGAATGGTCGACTTGCCACCTGTATGTACATCCATCCAACCAACCGCCCGTCCGTCCACCACTCGGTGGCTAATGCCACGCTCTCCCCCGCGTGGGCTGTTACATCCATATCACAAGGATCCTATCGCGTGCGTGTACAGGAGACCGGCCACGGGTTACGAGTCACGAGCCACAGGCTAGGCCTGCAGAAGGTCTCTTGCACTCCGTCTCGGGCCGAAAGCGTGGTCTGAGAGCACCGTTGCCGTTGAGCGAATATGATTACGGAAGTAAATTTCACCACCGACTTTGCTCGGAGGAAAGAGAGCTGTGATATGGCAAGTCACGACAGCAAACGGTCCACCGCGTCGATGCTGGTGGGTTGATAGAGCATTGCTGAATAAAATGCGCCCAGGCCTTCTGGTTTGTTGGTTGTATAAAGTCAAAGGACAACGAATTGATTTTGTCACAGGTGGAAAAGAAAGCACCTGGTCGAAAAAGAGAAGGGTTTGAAAATCAACCGTCTGAGTTTTACATTTCATGTCTTGAAACAACAAACCCCTGGACTCAGACCAATTGGAACTATTGATTGAAACTTACGACTACCTCTAGTAGCCTCAACGTCCGCTGGTTGCTATAGAGCGTGCGTCTTCCGTGTCATACGAAGATTTTAAACAACACCCACCCGCCCCCCGTTCAAGCAATGGGAAGAAAGGAAAGCGTTCCCCTTGCTCGCCGCTCCCAGGCCACCGACGACTACGCCAGCGCCGAAAGTGGCGTCGTCCACATCCCAAACCCCTACGACTGGCTTGAAGACACCAGCAGCCCAGAGACGGCGGCTTTCATCGAAGCCCAGAACGCCGCTTTTGCAGAGTACCTTGACGATTACCACGAGGGGGGCAGCCAGGGCAGGGCCAAACAACAGTTGGCCACGAGACTGTCGGCCATGACCGGGCTGACAGCTATGGCAAGTGTGCCACAGGTCATAGGGGAGAGCTATGTCTTTAGAGTGCAGGGTCGAGGGAAGGAGTTTGCTGTGTCTTACCAAGTCCCCAAGTCCAACATCAGTGGCGATAACGAGCCGGCTATATTCCACGACGAAAGCGAGCAAAAGGCCGTGCTGACGGCCTCATCGCCGAGTCGCAGCGGCAAGTACTGGGCGTTCACGACCAGCGATTCAGGGTCCGATTGGGGCATCATCCGCGTCAAGGACGTTGAGAGCGGCCAGATTCTGAGCGACGAAATTCGCGGCACCAGGCTCACGAGTAAACCCTCGACGGTGATACCGTGGCTCGGGGATCGGGGATTCTTCTATCCATATTTCCCCAACGGAGGTGGACAGGACGGGAAGATCGCAGGGAAAGGAGGATTTGGTTCAGCTCAACTTCGCTTCCATGAGATTGGTCGTCCACAGGAAGAAGATGAGGTCATCTACAAAGATTCTGAGCATCCAGGCTACAATTTCAAGGCTGTGGTCTCTCAGAACGACAGGTCTGTCTTTCTAGAGATCTATGACAGGGGCAGGGGTTGTCAGGTGCTGTCAGCTGTGGTAGAAGGGGAATCATCTGACAACGACGCTGCAGAGAATGGTCATCAGGGGAGAGGGGGGCTCGGATTGAAATTCGACGGTGTGGTATCAGGGCAGTCCGATGCAGAGTGGGAGTAAGTCCTTCCCCCTTTTCTCGCTCGTTTGAAATCCAGCACACGAAACATCTTCGCAAAATGTGCTGCCTAAATGCCTCGCTGACTCGCTAACCCTCATTTCCAGATACGTTGGAACTTTCCCCGAGAAATCCTCTTCGGAGACTCGGAATGCTGGCAACAACGGACATGTTTTCTGGACCAATGCAGACAACGGCAAAGTGATGGTGTACCACCCGCAAACTGGAGCGGTGGAGGAAGTCATCGCTCCCCACAGCCAACAGACTCTCCGACTGGCGCGAATGCTCTCTAGCGGCAACATCCTGGTCGTGCGCTCAATCGACGTCCGAGACCAGGTCCAGATCTTCTCGTCCGCCGGCCAACATCTGAAAACACTGGACGACGTCCATGTGCCCTTGTGGACCATCCTGGACGCGTCGTACGACCCGTCGAGCGAGACGATATTCCTGGTCGAGTCGTCCTTTTGCTATCCACCTCGCGTCTGGCATGCTCGAGGGGGAGCACGGGGGGATGGACCGGAGATATCTCCCTTCCGGCCCGTCGAGCTATTCACGCAGAGCAACAAGAACTCCCTCACCAGCGGGGCGGAAGCAGCTTCGCAGCTGTCAACCAAGCAGATCTTCTACACCTCCCTCGACGGCACCAGAATACCCATGTTCCTGACCTCGGCCAACCCGGAGTCCATCCAACCGGAACAGCCCGTCCTGTTATACCTGTACGGCGGGTTCGGGATTTCCGTCATCCCTCACTTCCGCGCCGACTTTGTTGCCTTCCTACAATCCTTCAAGGGTGTGCTCGCCATCGCCAACGTCCGCGGCGGCGGCGAGTATGGGGCCACATGGTATCAAGCTGCGTGCGGCCACAAACGGCAGAACCTGTTCGACGACATCAAGTCGGCGGCTCAGCACCTGCGCTCCCAATTCGGGAGTCGCACCATCATCCTCATGGGCGAAAGTATGGGCGGCTTGAACTGCGCGACGGCCATGGTCCAGTCCCCAGATCTGTTCGACGCCGTGATCCTCAACGCCGGTGTCTTGGACGTGCTACGCCGCCAAAAACTGGCAAAAAGTGACCGCGGCGTCCAGGACATTGGCGACGCACACAGCCCCATCGACTTTGACTTTATCTACAAGTGGTCGCCGCTCGACAAGGTGACTCCCGGCGTCAAATATCCGCCAGTCCTCATCACGGCCGGGGACAAGGATGACTTTGTGAGCTACTCGCACAGCTGCAAGATGGCCGCGGCGTTGCAGTATGCTGGTCATGGAGGAGGCCCGCAGGACGAAGGGACAAAGAACGCGACGTTCTTGAGAATCGTCAAAGACATGGGCCATGCCGCTCATATCTCTGCAAAGCAAAAAGCGGCCGTCGGTCTGGAGAGGTGGCTCTGGGTGAAGAAGACGCTGGGACTCGAAATACATTAATCCAGCGAAGCGCTAAGCTGACGGGAGCCTGGTTCTACCGGCTTTTTACATGCTGGTAAGTTGGGCCGGAGATCTGACAGCAGTACGGGCCTTGGGCCAGCCCATGACCACCACCACCACCAGGCACCCAGGTGCGGTTCCATACTAAAACCCACCCCAGACTTGCACGCAATTTCCACACATATCATGTTCCTGTCCTTTTACAATCCTGTCACACGGAGAAACCCCCTTCCCCCTTCCCTACCCTTCGACCTAGGGGACGAAAATTTTCCGAAATCGGGAACCGACCGACTAATTACTCCTCCGAATTCAGTCCAGCTCGTGTGTGTCCAGGTGCAAACTGACAACCCGGGGTTAGCAGGGGCAACTGGGACTTCGACTTCGAATTCCCATACTTCGAACGACGGAAAAAAGCCATATCCGGGGTCTGTCCAGGTCAAACCAATACACAGGTTTAGAAGGCAAGGACTCTCGATGCCCTCGATTCGAACACTCCTCCTCTGACGACGACAAAAACAACGACTCCCTCCCTGGGCCCAACTTATAAGACATTCGTAGTTAAAACCGAACCGGTCGAGTTAAACCAACCCCCTTCCGGTGGGACAGTTTCGCATATCATGAACCAGATTTAAGCTGCTTCATGTTTAAAGTTTTGCTCATTTGTGTGGCTTCATCGGAGACTCGAGACTAGGGAGAAATCACTTCCCTCTAATACTCTTGGTCCTGGTCCTCCTCCCGTTGGCCGCAATCTTCACATTGGCCCTTGCACTGATTGCCATCTTGTGAATCCTTGCTCGCTTCTCCCACGCAGAGCTCCTCCCCTCGGCAACCCCCAATAGCTCCTTCGCGACCCGTTCCGCCAGTTTATCTTCTCTTCTACCATCCGCAGCAGTCAATATCCATTGAATGGCTGTCCTTCTGCGTTGACGAAGGCGCAAGGGAACGGGAATGGGCATGGAGGCCCCACCACCCAGTAGACCTCTTTGTTGGCGGATCTTGACCAGAGGTGCGACGGAATCGATTATGGCGGTGAGATAGACGACGGGTGACAGAGGAAGGGATTGCATGGGCAAAGGACTAATGAGGTCTTTGTTCGTAGGAGGTGCAGATGAGGTCCGCAAAGCGTCGAGGATGAACTGCATATTCTGTGTGCAACACTTCTTTTTAGCACACTGTGGGCTGGGGACAATGACAACAATCCTCACCTTTTGCGCACGACTCAATTTGCCATCTCTCATCAGACTTCGTGTTACCTGCTCCACAACAGGATCATATCTTCTCTTGAAGTTCACCGCTTTGCCCAGCGGCTTCAGATCCGGCAACCCAAACTTGTGCCCGAAGCCCGCATCCGGGTATTCCAGGCCGACGACTCTTGTATCTTGAAACTGAACCAAGTGATCTAACCATGATTCCCCCGAGTTTGGTACTGCTTCTACCTCCGAGGCATTCCTCCTGGCAGCGGTCGAAAAAGACCGTGTTCCTGAAGGTGGCTTATTGTTGCTGCTGGTAGAAGAATCCTGCTTCAGATCTTGTTTGAAGACTTGGGGTGCTTTGTCTTGGGCATCTTTATCGCGCTTGAAGATCTGTACGGATGACCATCACAACCACATGTCAGTTATCATTATTCTAGACTGCAACTCAAGTGCGTCGCAAGTACATTGGGCATCGACACCTACCTCCTGCACCGGCGTTCCCTGTTCCACATCCGGAGGCGTGTTCCCCATCGACTTGTCAATTGCAACTGCTTCCTCTGTCACATGAGGCAACTGGTCCTCAGTAGGCCCCTTTGCTTGGGGGTGAAGAGGCGTCTTTTTGGGAGACTGGTCGTCCTTGGACGACGCTGCATTATCGCTAGCTGCGCGCTGTTGCAACAGGCTGGAAGGAGCAGGAGCAAATCTTTTCTGTGGAATCGTAGGCTTCGTCCTGAATGGCACTGAGCGGGCTGTAAAGAGGGATAATCGAGGCGCCATTATTACTGATGCTCGAGAATTGCGTATGGAATGATGATTCAAAGTTTTGGAGAGGCAGTTCTGGTCCGTGGCTCGAAAGCGGAGATGCGAGCTCAATGCTCAATCCGCAGCCAAGAGCAGTTTCCTTTTCTGGACAGCGAACGTTGCCGCTTCAAAGAAATCCAGTATAAGTTCAAGTTTTCTGGACCGCGATTTGTCGCGCATTGGGAGTCTCGACGAAGAGATTGCCTAGGTATGCACAAACCGCGATATTTTGATGATCTCTATTGTGATCTGTGGTGTTGTCAAAGTAATCCTTATACACAGAAACTCCGCAAAGCCGAACCGAGTACATTTTGTTGCAAACCTGGGTATCGAGAACCTCGAAGTCAACAGGAACATGATTTGTTCTCATTCCATCCAACGCCATGTGATGAATCCCTGCTATTCAGGTTGAATCTTTGTTGCGGCAAACCCCAAGAAACCCGAAATTCAACGACTGTCCCTCGTCGTCCTTCTGCCGTTGCGCTGTCCACCTCAGAGATAGCTTCTTTGAAAATTTCCCACAAATGAAAATACAGGACAGAAAAGAAATGGAGCAGGATGCTTTGGAATATCTTCCTCTTCAGGATTCCGGACCTTTGGGTTCTTGTTGTCGGATATTCTCATGCACCACCGCTGCCGCCAAAAAGCTTCCCCAAATTCAAGCCGGAACCCGCATCGTCTGGCAGGACGTAAAACGCCAACGCAATGATGGCATACATGCCCAAGCAGAGCAAGCCTTCGAGGTAGTTGGACTTTCCGTCCTGAATCAGGAGCACCACGACCAATGAGGCCAAAAAGAAGCTCACCGTCTCAAAGGTCTCGAAGTGCAACGTCATGGGTCTGTCCATGATCCAGCCCAAGACGACCAGGAAAGGAGTGACAAAGATGGCGATCTGTAGACTAGATCCAATGGCAACCCCAATGGCCAAGTCCATCTTGTTCTTCCACGCAACTATCACGGCCGTGACGTGCTCAGCGGCGTTTCCGACAATGGGGATCAAGATCAGACCGATAAAGGTTTTGCTAATGTGCGCTTCTTCCACAATGGCGTCAATGCTGCCGACGAGGTACTCGGCGCAGACGGCGACCAGGAGGGTAATAACCACCAAGACGACGCCGGCAGCCCAAGGCCCCAAAAGCTGAGCTTCCTCTTGGTCTTGCCCTTGCGCTTCAGCGTCGTCAAAAAGGTTGGCATGGGATTTGAGCTGGAAGTACAGGTACGCAACGTAGATAAGCAGGAGAATAATCGATGTTCCGCGCGACAGAATCATGATGTTATCTTCTTGCGCCTTGTTGTTGGACATGACAGCGTACAAGGTGGCAGGAATGATCAGTGATGAGGTGGCCACCGTCATGAGCGACGACATGGTCGATGCCACGGTTGAGTTGAAGCTCTGTTCGGGGTATTTGAGGCCGCCGACGAAAAAGCAGCATCCCAAAACGAGGAGGATGTTGGACAAGATACTGCCCAGCATGCTCGCTTGGACAATGCGGATCTCGTTCTTTTGGAGAGCAATGATGCTCACCTGTTTCCAGCATTAGCACCTGGTTCAAGCTTGGATGTGGCCGTGTATGCTTACGATCAGCTCGACCGCATTTCCGAATGTCGCGTTCAGAAGTCCTCCGATTGTCTGGCCCAAGGGAACAGCGAGCTCTTCCGTAGCAAAAGCGAGGAGAGATGCCAGGGGGATAATGGCAATAAAATTGAAAATGAACTGAAGCGCAGGGGGCCAGTTCAACACGCCCGCCAGGATGCCCACAGGCACAAACACCAAGAAGACATTGACGTAGTTGGTCTTGAGAATCTCCCAAGTCAAGTGTAGCACTAAGAAGGGGTATTTGATCCAGACATTCTCATGCTTGTGATATGGTGTCCCGGAGTCGGTGGTGGTCATTCGCGACAGGAGACCGGTTCGTTCAGTTGGGTCTGCGCGGCCATTGACGCCGCCCTCTTCAGGCATGATATTATGAATATTGTCGAGGGAAGGGTGTGCGGTATTGGAGAAATGTTTGCGGAGTTTGGTCGCAGCTAGAGATGGCTTCCGCAACGACACCATAGCAGGCGCCAGATTCAAGTCAGCCAATACTCTACTGGGCTTCCTGGTGCAGGAAAATGAATGCGATCAAAGTAACAGGGGATGTACCAGACATAAAGAGGTATGTGCTGCGGCAGGAAGGGAACTGGTGTAATATAGCACATGCACGTACCCATTCGATATCTTGGGGGGGCAGGAATATCTACCACCAAGACGGCGCTGAGCAGAGACGGAAACCCAATTGAGAAGAGTGCTATAGCTGGATAGACAAAGCAGATAAAGCTTGCCCTACTCCCCAGGCAGGATGAGGACCGAAAGCGACGCAGGAAGCTCTGATGCTTTCTTGTTTCCGTCTGATTGTACCCGCCCAGTGAACTTGGCGTAGGCGAGGCGCTGCGGACGAGAGATTTTGCTGTTCGGGAGATGTGGCGGGGAGGGGGTGACAAGCAGAGGGATAAGAGACTGCCTTTGGGTTGCCTTCTGTCTCCGAGGTGAATTCGAATAAGGTCCCAGTGTGCCAGTGGGTGCGTGGTGAGCGAAGAAGTTGCGATACGTTTGTGAAGCGAAGGACAAGAAGGTGCCCGCAGGTTGCTCTCCACCCGCAACCGGCCTTCAACCCATCACATCACTCAGCATCGTGCACTAACTGACACAGCCACACTTGGCTTTTCACTTGACGACTTGACTTTTCCCTTGAGCTCCGCGATCGACCTCTCATCTCATCCACTCAATCCTTCCAGCAGGGGCACTAAGCTTTTCGGAACAATCCCCATCATCGTTTAGAGAGCTTCCGAAAACGACCAACAAAGGACGGCACTCGAGTGCCAAGGCGTGTGTGACACTGCATGGAAAGAAAGAGAACAGAGAAAGAGCGGGGGAATGAAAGAGAGAGGGAATAAGGACTTCCTACAACAAGTTGGGCCACGAAGAAGGCGCTTGCACGTTTCGGTCTATTCCTCCTCCAGACCCTCCGTGCCCTCCGTACCCTCCGTACCTTGCTGCTTGCAGCCTCTCACACGACTCGACAATCTTTCGGGATATGACGACGGTGGGAAAGCCAGAGCCAACCGAACAGGGGCCACCGCGGCTATACAAATACCGGGATCGAATCTTTCGCGGTCGGCGACTTCGCGGTGCCACTCGTGAGTGACAAGAAAACCATCCCATTATTCTGTAGTAATCCGAGATGGCGCAACGGACAAAATCCTCGTGTTCGGTGCGAGAGACCCAGTACATATTCGCTCACCCTGCCATCGCCATAAGCCTCAGCCTCAGAGCTACCGGTTCTGTACCGAGTACCTCATATTCGTCGCCGTTGCCTCCTAAGGGCCGTAAATCAAATCAACCCGCATTTTTCCCGCATTTCCTTCATATCACCGAGTACTCGTGGGCAGTCGTCATAGACGTTACTCAGCCTCGTCTTGGTCATTTGGTGCCTGGTGAGGCTCTATCGGTCTTCGGAACCTAGACGTCACTTACTCCACTCGCCCAATTTCAAAACTTGAATGTCACTGACTGGCGCTGCGGCAAATTGACCCTCAAAATCCCAGCCTCGCTCGTGAACCATGCCCTTTTTAAGCATTGCTTACGATCTTTCTCGCGGAATCGCCCTGACGGGGCAAGCGTATGCCAATTATCGGGTATCGAGTAAATAATGTTCTTGAGAGACTGGCAGCAGTCTCGTAAGTATAATCACACAGGGATATACTCCTGTACAGCCCCAATCACGGAACAGACTCCCTCGTCATACTATACAGATTCCGTCAACCCGAACCCCAAATTCCAGGTTTCCATCTTCCATATCAGGGACCTTGAAGGCGCCAACTTGAGAGGATGGGGTGTATTTCTGTATCGGCGCTTTTAGCAGAGGGACATGTCCGGAGCGAGCCATGATCCTCGCTCTCTTAAGCAAGTCGTCCTTCATTGCGTTCCATCGCTCCAGCTCCTCTTTTCGCTGGAGCACTTGATACAAAGTAGTCTCTGTTTGTGCTCGCCAGTGCGTTATCTTCTCAACCGCTTCTTGATCAGTGACAGCCGTGCGCTTGAGTTTGACAGGCTTTGCCGTCTTTGCCATGTCCATCAAACTCGTAAACACTTCCTTCGACCCGGTACGCAATTGCTGAGTCTTGGCGTCCCTGGTTGATGCTCGCTTGAGGTGGTTGGGATCAAGCCATTCATGCTCGACAGCTCTTTGCACTGCATCGCCGACGGGTATCCTAAGTTGGCGATTCTCGGACTTCAGGAAACGTACCGCTGCCTGCAGACTCACGATCTCCAGCTGGAGCTGATCGACCTCGGCCTTTAGGCGTAGCGACGCTGACTCGTCCGCGGGCCCGCGTGGTAGACCTTGTCCGTCAGCCATTCCTTTATGTTTGATTGTCTCGAGTTCCATCTTTTGACTCTCTTGAAGCTCGAGGAGCGTCTGGTTTTCTGCCTCGAGCCGCTGGAGGTTTTCAACAGCCAAAGTATTCTCTGCGCGAAGCCTGGCGATTTCTTCTTTCATTTCTTTCACACCATCATCCTTAGCTTTGGTCTCCTTTGCCCTCGACTCTAGCAATTCGACCTTAACTTGCTGTTCCTCGAGTTCTTTGTCTTTCTCGCTGATCCTGATGGTCTGTTCTTGGATTTTCAGTTTCAAGCGAATCATCTCCTCCTGCATATCGTGTGATAGAGCCTTTTGGGCCTTGACTTCTCGGGCGCGAGCCGTCCAGGGCGCCGGAGATCTCTCGAATTCGATGGCACAAGTTATGTCGGCTGACTTGGCATTCAAGTCGTCAATCTTTCCTTGCAGCGCCTGCAACTGCTTCAAGAGAATGTCGAAGACATCGTCTGGAGCAGCTCCCTGTCCCTCATTCTGTTGTTGTTCGCCAGATGCCGCCGCCGTCATTAGAGTGATAATTCGTGAATATGAAAGCGATTCATCCATCTCCACCTTGTTAAGCTCCTCAAGCACCGACTCTCCGACTCTTTGGATCAGATGAGACAGAGCTTCAGCACACAATTCAGCCTCAGTGAATTTACTCCACATTGAATCGCCCAGGCACATCGAGCGTGCCCAGAGATCGTTCAGAGCATGCATCACCTTGCCAGAGACATATTTGATGGTTCGGGCCTTGATACCAAGCTGATCCATTTTCTTTTCGAATAGTATCGAGTCTTCGTCGTCATCTTTCGATGCTCCTAGCTTGGCTTGCACTGCTTTGCTCAGGATTTGTGTTTCACTGGCAATGTTATCTGTGTAGTTCTCAACCATCGAGATGGATGAGTTCATCTCCGTCGCCTTAGCTTCGCGACTGTCCGGAAGAAACTTCTCAGACATGTCGACCAGAATGTCGGCCATGCGTTGGAGGTATTCGGCACCTTCATGACCGAGTTCATCGCGACGCAGAGCCTCCACCCAGCTGGTCATAGCCTGCTCCACAGGTTCCAGCTCAAACGGTGCACCAGCATATCTCATGAAGTCGTCCGTTGAACATCTTGACAGGTGTTGCACGAATCTTTCACAGAGATTTGCAATGAAACTCATCCTCTCCATGACAGCAAAGACTGCCATAGGACTTTCATGCAGCTCGGCCCTGTCGCGCATTCGCTCCGCCAGTATGACTTTGCACAGCTGCGCCTTTGACCGAATTCTCTTGAAACATAAAAGAGCCAGGATGGGTTTCTTGTCGACATCAAATGTGTCTGGAACGAATTGCTGCACGATTTCCAGATGCAAACTAGCCTGCTCAGCCCGCATCTTCCCAAGCTCGAGATCGATGGCCTTGAGTTGAGTTTTGGCCGCCGAGTTCTGTAACTTCAGGTTGAGATCCATCATCGCTCTGGACTTGCTACTCATCTCATTCGCCTCGAGTTCGCTAATCTCGCGTGACCGTCGGAGTTCGTCAATATCACCCTGCAGGCCCTGCACGACATCCCGGAATTTGGTTAGTGTGTATTCCAGGTCTTCGATCGTCTTTTCCTGCTCGGCAGCTTGTCGATGTCTGTCGTGCAGCATGGCTTCATTTTCGTCCAACTGGTAATGTAATCGCTTCTCCTCTTCGACATGGAATGCCTCGAGCTCGTCTGCCACTTGGATGTGTTCTTCCAGATCCTGAACCTGCCTCTTCAACTGCTCAATCATGGTTCGATTCTGATCACGCTCTTGGCCCAGGGTATCTAAGATTTCGTCGTTCGCCTCCGCAGCCTCTAATTGTTCTCGGAGGTGCTGATTGGTCTCCTCCGACCTAGTGAGCTTCGCTGCAACCTCTTCATATTTCGAAGATGTCTGCTCGAGCTCATCAATTGTTTCATGGAGTTCCTTGATCTCGTTCTTCAAGTCACCCTCATTCTGCTGTGTCACATCCCTTAGCATGACCAGTGCTTGACGCAACCTCTCCGTCTCACGTTCCATCTGAAGCCAGCCTGCGCTAGCCTTCTCTTCAGGACTCATGATCGACGCTAATTCCCGGTTCTCTTCTCTCAGAATTTCGGCCTCCAGCTCCAACTCCTCATGCTTGAGCTTCAGTGCCTCTAATTCGCTCTCAAACATGTCAGCACGCTCTTCGGCCATCTCTTTATCAAGTGTCGCAAGTTCTAGTTCCGAATCGTGTTCGGCACTACGGTCAGGTACTTGAGTAGCACGAGACTCTGCGTCCTCATACTTGGCTTTGAGTTCTTGAATCTCTTGCTGGTTGGTTTTGAGCTTTTTTTGCAAGGTTTGGATAATTGCTTCGTAGCGTGTCGCTTGGCTTTGAAGTTCCTGCACGTTGTGTATTTGAGCTTGATCATCTTGCCTCTGCTTCTGCAGTGTTCGAACCTTCGTCTCCAATGCTTTGATGACCTGTGCCTGTCGGGATCTGTCGTCGGCGGCAGAGCTAAACCCATTCCGTGGACCTGCTAGAGGCTGTGAACGGGAGGGGGCTGCTGAGGAAACTCTTGCTTCGATATCCGATGGCTCCTGAGCCTCAGCTTCTTCTGTCACTGGAGAAGGCGTCGGAGCTGGCCGTTCTTCCACGATTGGAGTAGCTTGTTTCGCGTCAATGCTATCAAAAACAGGCTCGCTCTTCTCAGCCCGAATTGGGGCTTTGGGCGTCATGGACAACCTAGAAGCGGCCATGGAAGGGCGTGGTTGCATTGAAGAAGGCCTGGGTGCCGGAGGTTTGACAGGACCACCTCCTATTGATTGCCTAGTCGTCGAGGCGCCGGGCCTGTGTACTGAAGCGGGTGGGGCCATGGTAGATTTCCCAGCCAAACTGAGTCTCGATTTTGTACTCGAATCAGAGGTTCGTGCGGTAGTCGCCGGAGTACCTGTTCGTGGAGTGGAGGTGGATGAACTGGCGGAAGAGGGGGCAGGCTTCGTAGGAGATTTAATCGGAGACTGGTAGCGATAAGTTAGCAGGGAACACGGGCATTTCAGGGGGGTCAACTTACAGATACCTTCATGGACCTTGAGCCTGTAGTCGTGCTGGAACCGGCACTCATCAGACTCTGCCTCTTTCTTGCAACGTCCGCAGCAACAATGCTGGAGGGTCTCGACTTCGCTGTAGATCCATTGGAAGTTGATGTTCCGTTGGGCTTTGCACTGGAAGCTGGCTGACTGAGGATTCTAACAGCCGACTCCTTGCGGACGAAGATGCCATGGCCGGGTGCGCAGTTGAAGTATCGCTCTCCTTTAACGGAACCATCGTTCTTGCCTGTGTCATCGGCTAGTTCGAGACCCAGCCATTCTCCGGAGGCAACATGTATGGGCCCTATGTAGCGGACGGTGCCTTGCTTGCCGTCCTGAGTCTCGACTCGTTGTCCAACCTTGACAGTGAGATCTGCCATTTTTGGCACCTAATTGTTCGCTGGGGAGTAGCATGACAGGGAGCGAACGCCTGAGAGACACATGAGGACGATAATATGAACCAATTCGGGCCAATGTAGGGGGATTGCAGGATGCAAGAACAACATCAATGTTTGTCTGCAGTACGAACGGGGAAGCGTGAGCAAAAGTGGTTTGACGCGACCTGGAAGCCCACAAGGGTCGCGCCGCACGGAAACAGTTGGGTCGCCTTGTGGACAAGTGTCACGTGATCGGCTCCAGAAATAATCCTCCTTCGTAACAATGCAAGGGGCTGCTCGTAGACATGGTACAAGGTACACATACACCACCCACAAGCGACGGGCCTCGGATTCCTGTGGATATGCATTTACTCTAGATAGCTTCTGGGGTATATCTCTTTTTTGAACTTTACCAATCCAAGCAGCAGCGGTAATTTGGCTGTCTGCATGGCTTCAAATCAGGACCACGTGCAACCACCGCCCACATATGGGAATCGTGCTGGGTATCTTGGAAAAACCAGAGACCTAACGAGCGTCTGTCAGAGACGGAAGAAAAGAAATCCGTCTTTTTGCGAGTCCAACTTCACAAAAACAAACAAAGTGCAACTCATTGCTTGGGTGCCATAACAAGCGGTAATCCAAAACTGTCAGCGCCCTCCTCCTTCTCTTCTTGACTTTTTCGTTGTAGCATCAAAGGGTATCTCGCTAGACATAATGGCAGATAATCATAACTGCATATCGATGTCGGGGTATCATGGGTCATTCACTTTTTCTGATCAACTCAGACTTCTCCAAAGCCTAGCGTAAAGGAAGATTCAAATTGCTAGCAGGTCCGTTCGAACTGCCCAGGATCTGATTGTGATGATGTGGCCCGATCGGTGCCGGGTATGAGGAAAAAGAATGTGACGTTGGTGGCCTGCCCGAGTCGAAGCTCGCACGCGGCTCGTGCTTAGGAGTTCGATCGCCGGAGATGCTGCCACCTGTGCCAAAGGGGAATTTGTCTTCTCGCAAACGTGATGGCCAGCCACCACTCATGGAAGAATTGGAAATTTCTTCTTCGGGGAGATTGACGCCGCTGTCGTTCCAAAAGTTTCTGTATCCACTCTCCCGGCTCTCCATAGAGATCAAAGATGCTTTGCTCGCGTTAGAAGACGCATGCTTGAAGAACGTCCCCGGAGAATTGTTCTGGTTTTTGCGGCTCATAAATGAGGAAAACGATGAGATGCTGCCAGGCTTGCGGAGGCGGTCAAACAAGGACGCTCGCTCGGACACCGATGTATTCTCCCCATCAGCAAAGCTCAATCGAGTCGGTGAATCTGTGGAGTGAATGGACGGCGCGTTTTGCAAGAGCTTGGATTCAAAGAAGGGCAAAGAGTCCTCAAAGGAGTCGGATTTCGGGCGTGGAATCGCCCCCTTCACAGTGGTGGCGTCCAGCCCGTGCGGCACAAGCTGTGATATGAGGTAGTCGATGGCGTCTTTGAGGCCGCCCGCATTGTTGCGCGTGTATGTGAGAACCAGCCGTCCTTCGGAGGGTGCAACAATACGCTCCACAGACGCCGTAGCTGATTTTGGTAGACTGCTAAATTCGGGGTTCGCGTGCACGTCTACTTCGTACTGGTTCCTGAACATCTGGCGGAGATCGTTGTAAAACTCTGGGCTGCTGAAGAAGGCCTCCAACTCGTCCGATTTCTGGAAGGCAATCTCATGGCTTTCTGGAACCATTCCCAAGAACGCATCGACCGCTTGTGGTACTTGATATTCTGGCCCGGAAATGGTGACCACGTCACTGGCTTGTTCGGTGTTGGGGAAGTCAATTTTGCAGTTCCATTTCTTCTCCAGCTCCTCAATTTCAGGCAGCCGGGCAATCAGTTCGCGGTGGTAGAGTCTATTGATCACCACGGTCTCGGAAACGAACTCGGCGTCCTAAATTTCATCATCTGATAAGGACATGGACGCATCACTCAGGGAATCATCTTCGCTTACTGCTTTCTCCACCATGTCCATAATCTCCTGCTTCACCAAGTCCAAACTCTGCGCATTGCGTGCTGGTGTGCGGCAGATGACATTATCAACCTTAATGTCATCATCATCCTTACCCACCCCTCCGCGGTCCATTGCATTGGAGAATTTCACGAAAACAGAATACTTCTTCATGATGCGCTGGATGTGTTGACCTCCAATGCCAATGATGCGCTTGTGGTACTGGTCAGGAACATGGAATGAGATTGATGCCGGCATCTCTTGCTCCACAAGATCCAAGCCATTCTTGGTAGCCTCGTACTGAGTACCAACCACATCAATATAGAAATTGTACTCATTGAAACCATCGAAGATGATTTGGACATTGCCTGCGGTAACTGTTAGCTTGGACCAAGCGCGGCTATGGAAAAGGATTCATACTCTGCCCCATGATCTTGTTGATCTTGCCATTCTTCTTGCCACTTACAAACTCTTTGTGCTCGTTTGCCAACTCGATCTTCACGCGCATTTGATAGGGAGTTCTCTTCACGAAAGGGATTTGGTTAATGACCATCATTGCAGCTTTGACCGCATCGTCAGAGCCGTTGATGGTGAACGTGAATTTCTCGAAGCTTATATCAGCGCCAGAGTTTGTGCAAATGTCGCTCAGCATGATCCGAATGTCTTCGGGGGACGGAGCGCGTAGAGTGGGACCTTGTGAGGGATCAGGCATCATGATCCACCATGAAGCACTGAAGAATTGGCCAGCCTGTTTAACGATCGTCAGCCATACGTGCCCAACCAATCTAGAAAACCGGGTGTTATACAAGTGCCATGATCTCTTTTACCGTCCTCTCGACATGGAGAACTTCAGTACCCTGGACTCGGACGAGCCCGCGCTGGCTGCCAAGCTGTGGGAAAAGGACGTGTGAGCCGTTGGTCTCCATGATTTTTCGCACCTTGTCCAGCCGGTCGAGGAGGATGTTGTCGATTTTGCTTGCAGACACCACGGCATCTTTGGAGTATAGTTTGATGCCCATGACCAGCTCTTTCAGCTTCTGCTTCGCCTGGTTGATACGTTCCTGTGTCTCTCCTGTAATGAAAACCTCATCCGCAGCTCGACGCGTGGCGTGAGGGGGCACGTAACCGAAAACTCCAGGAAATGGAGGGGGAAAATAGATTGCAGTCTTTGTGGCCGATTCAATCATCTTGATGTTCTTGCCCGTACGGCCTGAAACGAGAGTGTGCATCGAGACCTCGAGTTTGATCACGTCAATCTTATGCTTAAGCTGTCCATGTGTCAGTGAAGATCCAACGTAGAGTCCATTTTGGGGGACTTACTATCTGGTCAATCATCATCAATGCACGGGTCTTTGCATGTTCCACGCTTTCCATGTCTCCAAAAATATTGACTCGATACCGCTGGTCCAGCCCACTGTCAACACCGTTGCCGTAGGAGGCACTGGCAGCAGACGACTCGGCGTTACGAGGCTTGAGGAGGAAAATATCTGTTCCGGTATATTTGGCACAAAGGTCAATGTGGCTGAGAACACTGGAGCGGATTCCAGTCTCAGCGCCGTCTAAGATCAAGGCCGGGTCGATGTCGACAATTGCAGAGCGCTTACAACCGTCAGCAGCAACCCTCGCCGTTTGGAGTGAAGGGGGTTCGAATGCTTCATACCATCATGATAGGTGTCTCGTTCAGTATTTTCGATCTCATTTTGTAGACCAGATCCCCGTCCCCTGATATGCAGACATTTGTCACTAAGCCTTGGGATTTTCGATGTAGGGCCGGACCAGCCTTTGGCTCGGATGACGTGACAGTTGCTTGAATGTGGCCTCCACTCTGATCACTGATGTAGCCACACAAAGAGCGCAGTCTCTCCTCATTTTGCACATGGACAGGCAATTTGTGAATAGGCGTGCCTTCAGGAGTACCCGCTGGGAAGGTCCATCGTTGGAAGGCACCAGGGCTCGAGTGGAGGACCTCGTCGGGATTTGGGCCCGCAAGGTTCGAGGCGAAAGGCACGTTGAAGGAAAGGTTGACCGAGGTGGCCTCGGATGCTGATAGGGACACGATTCCTGGTGAGCCTTGTGGACGTCTCAGTGGTTGCGGCGTCGACATGTCCTGGTGGAATCTGGACATGCCAAACGCTGCAGGAGTCATCCGTTCCCAGCCATGACGGGCCTGGCCGGTGAAGTTGCTGATCTTGTGCATCTTCAGCGTGGGACGACTCCCCAGGTCATCGACGTTCGGAAGGGAGTGGGAAGGGAAAGAGGAGCTATGGTTGTTGCATCGAGAAGGATATAGGACACAGAGTGAGGTCTGGGAAGGGAGAGTCGAAGCTCGGAAAGATACCGTCACGGTAAGGAAATGTCTAGTGTCGGCGTTTCGCTGGAGTCGAAGGTGAAGATGAATGATGAAGAGTAGTTGCGGTTGAAAGTCGTAACTTGGGTGGAGTGTGCGTCGCAGGCAGGTTAGTAGTTGGATCACTGGCACTGGCGGGAGTTTAGCGGTTCGCCGCACAACTCACACACACACTCACACACACACAGGAGGGGTCCAAGGAGCAACTTGCAGGGCCAGTGGAACAGTTTGCCCCTTCTGAAAGGACAGGAAGTTAGGGCCCGGCCCATGAGATGCCCCCGTAAGCTCACATAACTATGCCACAAGCACCAGATGGGATGAACTTGACGGGGCCAGCTACGCTTCCCAGTGGCTGTATGCTTCTAGGCTGTGCATAAGGAAGATGACGAATGGGCGAGCGAGTGCGGCAGAACGCATGATGCATTGCTCCGCCCCCACGCCCACCCATAAGAAAATCAAGGCCAGGTAAAACCCTACCTGGGTAGGTAATTACTCAAGGGGAGCTGGATAAACACGGAGGTACGGAGGATGAACGCTCGAAAGTGAAAAGCTCGCATGTGGCAGGCCTATTCGGCTGTGGCTTTGGTACTAGAGGTATATGATTACCTGTACGAAGTACCTATTAAATGTGCTCCGTAACGCCGGAACGGCTGGGCACGAAGAAAAGAAACACACAGCAGGAATAGATATATAGGGTCCCTGCAAGTTCCAAGATTCCCTTGATATGTGTAATATATCTCGGGACCACTGACCTGCACAAAGCTGCCTTCCCCTCTCTACGAATACGAGCAGTAAAACAGGGGGTATCTCCAAGTGCACTTCTGATTGTGACGCCCAGAACTCCGTCATTTTGCTGATAGGCGCCCTCTATCGGGCGCTAGTCCCTTTGCCCCGCAGCTGTCCCGTTGAATTCCTTGAACTTGCGCGAGAGCAAGCCATATCCAGCCTCAACTGGAGTGGAAGCGAAGCCTTGTGCTATGGAAGAACCATTCGAGACCGGCCATGGCACCGGCGAACTTCGCGACGACGTTGAAGGCAAGAAGCCAGGAGTGGGAGAGACAGTGCGCTCAAGTTCAGGTCCCTGGTCTTCCACCAGCGCTGCTTGCCCTACCCCGTTCGAGTCATCACGGTCAAACGTCGAGGTTGCCGATGGGCTGAATGAGGTAGCGGATGAGCTTCCTGGTTGCATGAAAGGGGCGTCCGTGCTGCTTGAACGGACGGCATCATCCAGCTTATCGAATTCAAGGTCATCTCGCGCCTGTGTTGGAACAGGCAGTTTCTCATCTGCCACACTCAGGCTTTGCGAATGCTGTCCAACTGCCGGTTTATAGGCAGAGAATCTGGGCTCCGGCAGTTGAACTTCGTTCCGTAGCTTCTCCTTGTCATCTGGCACGCGGTTGGCAAATACCACACGAATACTGTCGTAGAGATAGAAACGACCCTTTGCAGTACAGCAAAATTTGAGATGGATGAGGTAGCGAAGGATATCCTTTGTACTCAGAGGATCTCGAGCAGCCAGGGCGGCTTGTTTCTCCAGGGTTGCAGCTTCGAGAATCGGACCAGACGAGTAACTCCGCTGTCGAACAAATGTCTTTGTGCCGGGAAGCATACCTTCCAGATCATACGGGACCAGGAATAGTTTGACGGCGGTTTTGTTGGGATTCTTGATAATGAGTTGCAGTTGTCCTTTCTGCGGTACTCGGTATGCTCCACCGGAAGGGACTTTGGATGACGCTGAAGTATTTTCTTTTCTTTCTCGTGCTTCCTTGGCCAAAGCCCTGCCAATTGTCGTATTCTCGGGCTTCGTAATTTCAGCCGCCAATACTTCGGGATCAAGGTTAGCTTGGGATCGCCGTGTGCGGCGGCGTGGTTCTTCTGGTGTTTTCAAATTATGTTCCAGGTCGATATTGCCAACGTAGGGGCTGGGATTATCGTCTGAGATTGATCTGGACGTACTCGCCGAAGGATAATTATAGAAGACTGCACCAAACGGCACGCTTACGTGGGCTGGGCACTTCAGGCTTGCTGGGCAGTTACCTTTTCCCATAACTCCAATTTGGGCCACGAAGTCAAGAGGCTTTGACGACGGAGTAGACATCCTGCCTCGAAGAATTGACTCTTCGAAAGAGCCGACCATCGATGCCCGGTGCCGTGGGGAACCATCGGCTGCCAACGATGGTCGACGTTGTCTCAGCCAGGGAGGGGCCTGTGGGACCATTGCCGCTTGATATGTGAAAGAGCTTAACGAACGACGTGGTCGGTGTCCATGCGGGAACGAGGAGCCATCGCGGTGCTGTGATTGCACATACGGTAGTGGGCGGCTGAAGTTTGGTGTAACAGTATCCACGGGCGAAATATGCAAAGACTCAAAGGCGTTGGCAGGCATTGTTCTCCTCCTCATTGAAGTTCCCGTTTCGGCCCTCTGAGGATCCCTCGGCGAGAAATCCAGTGTAGGATTGTTCGTTGCGTGAACGAGGGGGCTTGTAGGGATTCTCATGACGAAACTTGAAGACAAGCTGCTTCCCAGAGAGGGGGCACGCGACCGTCTGAGTATATCTGAAGGAGAACTCTGCTGTGACTTGAGGCTCAATGTTGGAGAATTTTCCGCTTGCCAGAATGGAGGAGGATCATCATAATCGGGTCGAAGATCTGGCCTCCCCGGTGGTGTGGAAAAAGGTGCAGGGGCCTGAGAAATCCGCTCTGTCCTTTCCCAAAAGTCACCAAGGAAATCGCCCGTATGCAAGGACGACATTGAGCGGCGTAAAGCATCGGCTGTGGTAAGCGGAAGGGGTCTTGTGACTATGTCTTCCATCCCCACTCGAGACAGTGTGGTCTGGTCGGATGGCACATCATACCTTTGCGAGGGCAAGGTAGACGGCGAAGCGGTATCCTGATCGTTATTAACTTCGGCACATATGGCCTCCAACCCAGGTTTGGGAACCCATGTTGTCCGCTGTCCTCGTTTAATACACTGGATCAGCTCCTCCCTGTCACTTGTCCGGATTGGTATCTCATTCGTCCCTTCATGCTCCTCTCGTTTGGAGTCAGTGTAACCCCCCGAGCTTGGAGCTTGCTCGAATGGAAACTGTTCCTCCTCGTTGTCCTCATACCGCGGTGTGCTGTACCGAGCCATATTTGAACACAGTTTCCGTCTTTTCGCTGATGGTCCTGGGAAAGGCTCACGGTCCCAAACAAAGGGCATGCTCCCCTCACGCAGGACACAGACGCTTGACGACACAAGGCAGGACTGATAGGCTGCCAAGATGACCCCCGACTGGAAAGAATCGAGAGGTGAAAAACATCACGGCCGAAACGCAGAGGCCGGGAGAAGCGAAGCGACGATACTCGCAGTTATTGTAGCATGGTCAAACGGTCGAGGAGACAGTTGGCGGTGGAGGTGGCGACGTAAATGCAGGAGTTGTGGACTTCGTGGATGCAGTCTTGAGACAGACAGGTGACGGGGAATGAGAGGCTACAACTCAAGGTCAAATAGTGAGCAGAAACAGCAACAGAGGAGAGCAAGATGCAGGTACGAGGTCAGAAAAGAGTGGTTTGAAGTAATTACCAGTGCCTGGTGGACTCGACCACAGACGGCATGTGGTGGAGTGATTGAGTCATCCGGACACACCCTTGCCATGGTCACGTTTTGGCGCCAGGGAGGAGGGCCCGCCGTGCCCGCCTTTGTGCTGGCTTAAGAGCTTCTACTAGGAGTAGTACGAGCACGGTTGATCATCAACCCCCACCATGGTAATCAATCATTCACCGACTTACTCCCGTGTTTAAGAGTTACTACTGCATGCTCCTCGGTGCCATGAAACGCACAGGGCAGATTACATGACAAAATACAGAGTTAGGCAAACAATATTTTGCCCAGTGGCACAACATAGACAATGCGCTGTCTAGAGAGGTACCTGGCCAAATCATGTGTCAAAAGGTCATTCACTGATGGGTACAAAGGGCGTGGGCTCTAGTTGGCTTTCTGATGTACTCGGTAGGTATCAACAAGTAAGCTTGGAGGGTCTTTTTGTCGATGTAATCCACCACAACGTGCAGGTCAAGAAATCGCAGTCTTGTCCAATATCTGGATGTGCCATTTTCCGGCGGCTCGTGATGCTTGCTCGACATCGATTGAGGCAGAGGAGACCAGAGCACATGCTGGCGGGAAAAAGGATTCATATTGTCCGCTCAAGCACTGGTATAGAAGAATCGCTAGTTTTGCCCCATATATCAATGCAATAGTGGAATGGACGAAAACGTATTTTACAATAAGAGCATATCTTGGTCTGTTCTGCTCGAGTAGACGAGAGGCTTGCCAACCAGACGGTCAGTGTGAGAGGAATGGGTTGGTACAGCGCAGGCTGGGTTACCATAGTGGAGAGAGATCCTCGTCCTTAGAAATCAATCGGGTATGAGAACAATTGCGGTGCGGCCTTGAACACTCTGTGAAATCCATAGTACCAGTGACGACTGATAGGGTTGCTGTGAGTATGTTGAACGTCAGTATTCGGGAGTGCACCATGATCTTGGAGAAATGGAATTTACTGCGAGGCCCGCAGACTCCGCAATTTGCCTTCTGTGTGCTCCAATTTATTTTCCTGCAACTTCACAACCCACACGGCAAATCTCCCTCTGCCAACTTTTTTTTGTCTCTATTTAGATATGTTCTTTTGACCCTGAATGGATAAGGCTCGATCAACCACGATGGGTGTCAAGCGAACCAACGAGGATTCATCTGCCGGTGCGAAGGAGCCAGACAAGAAGAAACGCAAGGGATTCTCCGTGGGACCAGCCAATCTGCCTGATGGCACATACAGGCGCAAAAGTAATGCTCTCGCACTATTCCGTGTGCTCTGGTGTTAACATTTGCTAGCGCAAAAGATCAAAAACGACCTCATCCAAAAGGCAAAAGTGAAAAGGGCTTACGCGAAAGTAAAGGCCCAAGAGGAGGCTGCACAAAGTACTACGCAGTCACATTCTGAGAGTGACCCAATTGATATCCCTCGGGCAGATGCTGCTACAAGCCTTGAGCTACATCCGGAGCGACAAGCAATGCTCGAGAGACCGGAAGCGGACGACAGACAAACGCATTTAGACAATGGCGACACTCACAAGCAAAATAAAAACTTCTACAACCAATCGAGGAAGCGCCCTCCCAAGCAGTCACGTTACAAGAGAGAAATCGAGCTTGCAGCTCAACACAGAGCAACACTTGAAGCAAAAAGGAATGCCAAAGCGGCTCGTGAAAAAGAGCACAAAGCCATGGCCAAGGCTAAAAGACCTGGTAAAGACGGAAAGATCAAGCTCGGGCGCCAGGGAACCGCGTTGCTGAATCGAGTTCGGAGATTGACTGAGGAGGGCAAGATATGAAGCAAGATCTTACTACCACCTTGAAAGTATTAATTTGCAACCTGCTACACACCGAAGTACAATTGCTGCAGAACGGTCTAGATCCGTGGATCCTCAACCGCCACAAAGACTATTGTGGATAAAGGATACCCAGAGAACAGTTTTCAATGGAAATGCCTTGCAGAGCCCGACCTTTAACGCGCCCCTTGTGACAACAAGAGCTAAGAGGACAAAGCCCGTTCAACGACGATCAAAGGTCAATACTTGAAAGAACGGTTTTTATTCCACGACTTCAACTGTCGACAGTCCCTTGACTTGCACTTTTCTTGCCAATTATCAATCTCTGAACATCAAACTATAGACCTCTACAGGAGAAACCATTTACTGGTCTCTCCGGTCCTCATTCCTTGCAGAGTTTTGAGGTATAGCTGCAAGAATGAACCAAAGCTTCAATTCGCCATCTGGACCCCAAAAATGCGACCGTGACTGCAATGTCACGGACATTACCCCAGCTGACCCTAACCATGCAGTTGTCCACTCTGCTGTGCTGGGAAAGGAGCGTGCATACGTCTATTTCAATTGCTACCTCGCGGAACGCAGCAGAGAACTTGCAAAGGCCTCGGACTCCGACACGGAACTGGTCGTCTTCGATCCCCAGGGAGACTGGGAAGCGTTTGTCAAGTATTGCACTCCCGGCAATGCAATTCGCATTCAGTTCGCAACACTTATCGGTTGTCTTTGCGCACACCGTGATCGCTTCGCAGAACGTGACGGTCTGCCCTCGGAATCAGACCTCGTCTGTTGGGCTCTGGATCGCATGGGGAGTCCGATGTCTGACTTCCTTTGGTGGTCACTTGCCCGAGAAGAAGGCCCAAAAAAATACTGGACGATCGATTCCCTAGAGGAGCATATGACGCTCTGGAGCAACGTATTTGACAGCGGACCGGCAAAAGAATACGAGGAACATGTCATACGCTTGACGTCGTCGCTCTACCCCCATCAGAACGCCACGAATGGGTCCTTTATTGTACACGCCTTTTCCTCCGATTTCAAACACACGCGCAGGGCATTTCAGTTGTGGAAAATTTTCTGGCACAAACATTTTGAGTATGCGGCCAACTCACATCAGCCCAGTGATGTGGAAATGACAGACGCACCATAACAACGGCAAGTTGTTTCAGGCGAGGGCGGCACGATATATTGCTGTGTGATCGCCACCAAGTTGGACTTTGGCCATGGTGAACTGCTTTTTCCGTTGCCTATAGGTGTGTCTGGGTTGGTATTTCCAGGTAAGTCAGTGGTTTATTGCCTTTTGAACAAGTTTCGGTGCAGTCTCATTTTGCATTATTTCTTATTTTCCACTCATTTTATCACCCTGTGCTGACCGTCCATTGGTATTCCCACTGGCGCCACCATTCGAGTTTTTTTAGCCAGGTGAGATACGGGATCGTGCATTTATTCTACAGAATTGCCGGCAAGATTTCTCCTGAGATGGTGTCGGGGTCACCAGTCGGCGACGTAATGAGACAAAGCCAGCAATGTCAACTTGACCAAGGCTGGGATAAAGATTGTCCTCACAATTTTTCCGGGCACATGGCCTCCTGCCCTGATTTCCGGCCCTCTCAGCTCCCGCAACCTCGCCGCTTTCTGCTGCAATGGTAGTGCACGTGTGAATATCTCGGAGCGAAGTTGTGACTTCTCCCAACGGGGATTCTCACAGGTTGAGAACACATCAAGGTCTGGCTGACAAGAGCCTATCTGTCAACCTCTCTTCGACATCCACGCTTGGTCACTTTGGAATGCAGATGTAGGTGAGAATCGGAAACTGCCCGATCAACGTAACAGACTACAGGCTAAAGGTCATTTTCTCGATTGATCACGGTACAACACTTGAGCTTCCTTTGCATGTGCTTTCTGAAGGACAAGCCTGGTTTCGTCCCGAACGTGTCCTGATTCAACCACAAGCATTTTTTCCTTTGCCTGAAGTTGCAAAGTTCACGCAGTATAAATTTACCTTAGCCTATGTACTGTGGACATCTTATGTTCTACACTAGCTCAATAATTCCTGCATCTGCGCTTACAACGTACCACGGTGTCATTCACTCGCATGGCATTGATGTGATATCACTTTAGCACAGTATCAGCCATCGAGCCCATAGCAAGGCTGCGAGGCAGGGGCACGGCGTCACGTTTTTCCGCTTCCGCATAATATCCTTGGCATTTTTCGCGGCGCGTCTCCAAAGGGCTTCACCAATTTGAGACAGCATCTCATTGAAAAACAAGCTAAGGCTTTTCTGTCTGGAGGAGCAGGAAGCAGGGCAAAGACGTACTTTGCGACTCAATGACACGCATCTGAGTTCGACTGTCTCGTACACCAAGCCCGGGCCGCAATGGCAACTACGTTGACGTCGAGGGACGAGCCCAAAGCGGCCGAATACGCTGGAGGTATAAATTGGACTTTTAGTTACATCTTCCTTGCTGCTTGCTAACATTGAGGGAATGAGCAGATGAAGTATCTGCCTTGGTACTCGACCCAGGCTATTCCAGCGTGCGAGCCGGCTTTGCAGGCGAAGACACCCCGAAGTCGATTGTTCCTACCTTCTATGCCTCAACTGGTTCGGACCGATACTTTGGCGACCATGCCATCGATGTGCCTCGTGAAAATGTCGAAATCAAGAATCCCATGGGAAGAGACGGCATTGTGGAAGACTGGGATGCAGCTGAAGCGCTGTGGAAGTTTTCTTTCGCGCACAAACTGACAGGAGTGCGGCCGAACCGGGCTCTCCAAGACTGGCTCAACGACCCCACGGCGGTGCCAGACCTCCAAAAGGCAATGTCAGACGCAGTAGACACAGAGCGGTGCCTAGAAGACCACCCTCTCTTCATGACTGAACCTTCATGGAACCCTACAAAGGCCCGGGAAAAGTGCGTGGAGATTGCGCTGGAGTCCTGGGCGGCGCCAGCATTCTATCTTGGAAGGGCCGGCGTAATGGGCGCATTTGCTGCAGGTAGGCCTACTGCGCTGGTGCTGGATTTCGGCGCGTCTCAGGTTTCAGTAACACCGGTTCATGATGGCATGATTTTGAAGAAGGGTATCATGCGGTCGAACATCGGAGGAAATTTCCTATCGTCCCAGGTGCGCAACATGCTCGAAGCCAACGAGCCAGACCCGATAACCATCACGCCCCATTATCTTGTTCAATCGAAGCAGCCAGTGGATGCTGGACAGCCTGCAAATGCGGTGTTGAAGAAATTCCCAGAAGGGTTTGAACCGCCGCGACCATCGTTCCGACGCTATCAGGAGGAGAAGGTCATTCTCGAATTCAAGGAGATCGCACTGCAGGCCTGGACGAATCCCAACACGCCATTTCGAGGACAGGGCGAAATGATAGCGCGGGAGCAACAGTACGCGCATCCCTTTGAGTTCCCAGACGGGTATAACCAGACATTTTCATCTGAACGATTCAGACTGGTGGAGTCAATATTCGACTCACAGTGCTACTACGCGCCCCCGTCAGAGTCCGAGGAAGCCCAACTGTATCCCGCGCCCGACGCTCAGGGTACAGTAACAGGGCTGGTCAAAGCCAGCCTTAACCAAGTGGACGTGGACATCCGACCGTTTTTGCTTGGCAATGTGGTCCTGACGGGAGCAGGATCGCTTATCCGGGGGTTGCCAGACCGGATCCAACAGGAGCTGAGCAAGCAATATCCCAGCACACGCGTGCGGATCCAAGCGTCAGGAATGCCGGTGGAACGCAAATTCGGAAGCTGGATTGGAGGCAGCATCGTGGCCAGTCTGGGCACATTTCATCAGATGTGGATATCCAAGAAGGAGTATGAAGAACATGGGGCCGGCATTGTGGAAAAGCGGTGCAAGTAAGAAGGGAGGACAGAGGCACGCAGAAGGGACAGGTCTACGACGCTGGTCCGCGTTGGGCAAGCTCAACGAAAGCGTCCAGGTGCATGAAACCACTGATTCAGGCTCGGAGAATTTAATTTCGCGGCATGCTAAGTCAATGACTCGGGAGGTTCACAGGCACAACCTAGGATCACGCGGAATGGGACCGTTGCGGAAATAATAATGCCACCGAAGCGAGTTAAGGAGGAACGCAGTTGGCCAGCGTGGAGGGGATGTGCAAAGCCTGGTTTGGCGAGCGGCTCCGATGGGCAGAGAGGATGCCAGCGGTCCGCAGAGCGGGTGAACGGCACATGATGGACGAGAGCGAGGGCAAGGAGAATGGTTCAGACACCAAAACGGGGATCAGTGATGTGCGCAGGGCGAGGGAATTGGGAAGCAAGCTGGGTTGATCCAACCGGATGACGAAGCGAGGGCGGTGAAGGAGGCACCAGAGGGAAACAATGCTGGCACTGCTGCTGAGAAGCAGACGGCGAGACGGATAGGCACCCAAGAAGCGAACAGACGGAGCAATTGGGCCAGACATGCACCGAGTACGGGAGGGGCGATTGTGTAACCCGTCAGCACCTGCGGCATCTGCACCACCTGCAGGCCGGTCTGCATCCTGAACCAGAAACTCGGGTCGCCGATGGAAACAAAAAAAAGTAGACTAAAACATGATCTGAAAATGGTCCGCACGACAAGCAGCTGAACACCTCAGGAGAGGGGAAGGAGAGCTGCATGAGTCTGGTCTGGTGACACCTACTAGTCCTAGGGGGCTGTTTACCTAGCACCTAGGCACTTGGGTAGCTTGAAGGGTACTCGGTGCTCGTAGCCTATTGCTTGGAGATAGGTAAATGGGTGATTTTTTAGAGGGAAAGCGGGGGGAAGGAGCCACCAGGGCAGCTGTGACTTAATTAGCACTACCACCAGGGACCCAGGACTGCTCACAGTGGTAAGAAGGGCTGGTGGGCTTGTACTTACAGGTACCTAGGTAGTTAAAGCACTCCGCCGAAGTACCTCGTACCTAGATAGAGGAACGTTCCAGTGCCTCACCAGCCCAGTGCGGCATCACCTTGTACTACCAAGACTACCTACCGCTAGCTGGGGCCCGGAGCAAGGAGCCGGGGTGATTGCTAGGTGCAAGTAACTCCAGGTTAACGGCTCGACGGATACTGGTGCTGGTAGTGGGCTAGTCGGAGCCCATTGCGCAACTGATAACCACCTTTTTCAGTTGACCTTTCGCCCCGCCCTCAAGTGATATCTCTTAGGTAGGTGTTCGTACCTACAAAAGACGTACGGACCGAGCTACCCAATGTAGGTGCTCTGCTCGGTATTATTGCGACCATATCCTTGACTACCTGGGCTCGCTGGGTACCAGGTAATTAGATCCGCCTTTGGTTGGTCCAACGGCTTCTCATTTTCCCACCTGCTTGGCCTTGCCGGTCCCTTGTTAGGCGTCCGTTGTCACTCTCAATTCTCGTACCATCTCCACACTTTTTGCTTCCCTCTCTCAACACGCTCACTCACTCAGTGGATACTCCTGCACATTCCTTTGGTGTCGGGCTTGTGAGCTCGAAAGGCTCACGGCCTCGACTCTGGAGGTTGTGGAACTCGACCCAATGTTCTCATCTGGCCTGGTCTGGACGGTTTTACCTCTGTCCTCCAACTCAAACTTCTAATACAACAACTATACCTGCTGGCTGTTGGTGGCAAGGGATATTAGACCACTGAATTCTCAACCACCTCGAACCCCATTATCCTCTCCTTCTCACTCTCATTCCCCTTCTGCTGTATCCCCTCCTCCTCGCGGCCTTTAATTGCAGGTTCGACCATATCTTCAGACTCAAGCAAATACTCCCCTTCCGAACCGCTCAGGCCGTCGTCTCCCCGGCTTCCACTACTTCCGTTCCATAGAAAAGCTTCCTTTGGAACTTGTTGCCGCCCGCCTACTGCACGGTATCCCTAAACTTAGTTGCCACTTGGCCGTCGGGTTCTGTTGTCTGCAGCAGCCTTTGCCGCTCTCCTGGGTCCGTCGGCAACCACTCTGGACCCCCCGTGAATACGAAGTGTTTCTCAATACCATTGACCGAGAAAATCCACCCCCCCCCCTCCCTCGCTCTCACGGTGTCTGACCAACCTTATTTCGACAGAATTTTTATAATCATCATTGCCAGGGTTCTGACGACACGAAGTCAGGTGTATTAAGGTTCTCTTCCTTTGAGCCTATGGCTGGTTGGCAGGGTCATTTCAACTCGTACCTCGCTCCATCATGTCGTCTTCGAACACCCCAGTACCTTCGACTACTCCCGTTCAAACCATGGATTCCCCTCTAGTGCCAGACTCGGAGTCGACTCATTCCTCTGACGAGGGTGCTCACTACGATACGAGGTCGTTGACTGCCAGTATCACTGACTACCCGATCCATTGGGGCCGAAGATACCACCGATATAAGGAGGGCGCATATCTATTCCCCAACGACGAAAACGAACAGGTCCGCCTGGATGAGCAGCACGAAATCCTCAATCGACTCCATGGCCGCTTGTTCTTTGCTCCTCTGGACCCAGATACTGTCCAGACCGTCTTGGACATAGGCACCGGCACGTAAGTTCTTCCCAAACTTGCCTGGTCGAGTCACCGCCGCAACGAATTCATTACCTCCTGTGCTCTGCTAATGATGTGCCAGTGGAATTTGGCCGATTCAGCTTGCCGACTCCGACGCACTTCCCAATGCCACCATCACAGGCGTGGATCTTTCTCCGGTCCAGCCCGATGACGTCCCCTCAAACGTCTACTTTGAGATCCAAGACTGTGCCGAGGAGGACTGGCTGCGGCCAACTGACAGTTTCGATTATTGTCACGTTCGCTTCATGGCTGGATCGCTCACCTCATACGAAGACTTGGTCCGGACGGCGAGGAAATATCTTCGTCCCGGTACCGGATGGCTCGAGTGTCACGAAATCCATCCCCAGCCTGTATCGGACGACAACACTATTCCCGAAGGCTGGGCCATGAAGGCCTGGGAAGAGCATCTTGACTATGCCGCCACTAAAGCGCTCAGGCCAGCACGACCTGTTCGAATAGCACCGAACATCAAGACTTGGATGGAAGAAGCGGGCTACGTGGATATCCACGAGCACATCTCCAAGATCCCTCTGGGTCCCTGGCCCCGAGATCCGCGCCTCAAGAACATTGGCGGCTGGTGGCTTGCCAATTGGCTCGCTGGATTACAAGGTTTTACGTATAAGCTGTTCAGTGCCGACGGGCTAAGGTGGTCCCGGGACGAGATCGAGGTGCATCTGGCCGATGTCCGCAAAGCGGCCCTCATGAAGTCAGTTCATTCCTATCAAAGACATTATGTGGTCTACGGACGGAGGCCGTCGAGGGACGAAGAGCAAGTTTTAAGCCTGTACGGTCATGGGTGACGACGGACGAAACGCCAGTTAAACTGATTGTTTGAGCAGCTAAAACGCGAGTTTCCCCCGAGTGGAAACACCCACCGGGGCCTGTCGAGCGTCACGAGGCCGAGTATATCTCGAAAACATGATGGCCAGTCTGCAGCAGAGCACTGTACCGTGCGTCAGACTTGCGCGGTAGACAGTTGCAGTCAAGCATTCGGCACTTTTGTGCTATCCTGATGTGCTGTCAAGAATCTTCGGCCGCTATACGGCCGAAAACTAGTCCAGAACTCTCGGCTGCGCCCACTGGAGGAAAAGGTTAAGACGTGGTTGAGCGCCCGCGATGACAGACGAGGGCATCCCAGGGTCACTTTGGACAAGAATCCGTCTCGTCCCAGAGGGTGTGTATGAGCAACGAATGTCAATGGCCTATTTACAGGGAAAGGCTGGTTTTGGATCGATACCCAAGAGTTGGAACGGGGGAAGAGAAAAGTCTCGGGGTTCGTGACATAAAAAGGGACAATTGTCTTTTCATCACCAATCTTGCTCGATGCTGTTTCTTGTTCCGGGAGCTTCAAGGTATCGTGGTATCTTGGCTTTCTTGTCGCAGCTTGTGCAACAGGTGAGGGCCAATCTTGGCTCCACCGAGCTGGAGGGCAAGCTTTCTTCCCTCTACCGTCTGTTCGGGCTCTTGGGAGGGGTTGTCAAATTCCCTTTTGGCGATCAACGACAATCCACGTTTCCCTTGGGCAGCCATGCATGATATGGGGTGGGTTGGGGTGGGTACCGATCGACGAACCTCAGACTCGGACACCGCAACGACGATCGTGATGCCCTGTTGTGCCAGCACGTTTCTTGGGAAGACATCGGTGCATGCTCCCCTTGTACGGTGCACATGGGGGGCGGAACAAGGACGGTGGACGAGGACTATAATATTGGGGAACTAACTACCTACCACCCACTACTAGGTAGATACTCCGCGTGCGTGGATCGCCATGATACGGTTTTTTTTTTTTTTTTTTTTTGATTCCTATACCCCCGTCCTTCCGCCCGTCTCTTGCCGGTCGACGCCGTTGGCCATATCCCATATCCATTCGCTACTTCATTAGTGATTGCCGATCGTGGGTGGTAATAAACGACACCTCGGTGACACCACTCCTGAAAACTGCTAACTTGAGTGTACGTCTCCTTTGGTTCGAGCGCGAGTTACATCCAACATCCATCCCCCCCTCTCATTGTGAAAACACAGACGCAGGGGGTATGACTAGAACAGAAAAGAGAGAAAGATGCGTCGTCCGAGCGAGCAAGTCACTGAGAAATGGGAAACAGGACACCCAGGCGAAAGAATACCTGGCTTTGGATACTTCCCCCCTCTCTCCTCATACCCCAGGATTCACAGTCCCCTTTCTTTCTTCCTTCCTTATCTCATCCACTGTCGTCGTTTGTTTGTTTGTTTGTCGCGGTCCTAGCTGAAAACTTACACGGCTACTCGCCGGCACCTCGTCTCGCGTGGGTTGGCTCGTACCGGAGTTATATGTACATGTACATGTATGTACACGTGCTGGACCTGGGTATGTGCGTATGTATGTGTGGATGGCGAAGCGAGGCGGAACTACCTAGGGCGTATATCCTTTCCTCATCTCACCTCCCCCCACCCCACACCTTCTCTATCCATCCATTCATCCCATCTTCCCTGATTACCAGTAGAACAAAGGGATCATCCCGTATTCGCTTACTCGCGCGCCCGGCAAAGAGAGGGTCCCGGCGTGCCGTCCTAACCTAGCTTCTTTCCCAGTTTTAAGGTAATATTATACTACTTAGGTAGACGGAGTCGAGTACAGCCGAGTCCCTGTGTACTTGTACTTGTTACTCCGTAGATACCTGGGTACCTATAACTACCTGTGTACTCGTACAAAGCAGAATTAGTCCCGAGGACCGACGGGTATGCACAGGGACATACTCGTCTTGAGTGCCTTCGAGTACGAATTGGGTCTCTCCCCTCCTACGAGTAGCAGATCCCCCAGGTCCGCCGAATCCTTCGACGACACTACCGCTTTTGAGGGCCACAAGCTACCGAGTACAGCCTCACCGGCCAATGGTGGAATAAACGGCGGCACCGTCGCAGAACCGGCCATGTAGCTAAACTGATCAAAGACAAGACAGAACATCGGATGTCTGTGGCCGAAGAACGAGCTCACAAGTCACAACTACCCCGTATGAGTAGGCTGCATAAGACACCCAAAGGTCACCGATAGCAACATGTGACCAATGGCCTTTGCATTGGTCGCTCGATTACATTACCGCATCGCCTCGAGACAATAGCTCTGAGGGCCTTGCTCTTGCTTCTCACTATCTTCCTGCCTCTATCTCTTTCTGCCCCGGTCCGACCACTCCCCACTTCATCCAGCTCTAGGCTGGAGGCAAAACCCTGCTAATAGACACACACTGGGATATCAAGACTCATCTTCCTGGCCTCGGAACATACGCCAAAAGCGCCATGCACTATGTGTCCCCATACCCCGCCCAGAAATGACACGAAAGAAACTCTCCACCGCCAACAAGACGGCATTAGTAAGGAATGCTCCAGTTGCCCGCCCGTTCTATGAACAAAAATAGCGTGCTTTTTGGGAGACTGAACGAAGTCAATCCGCTCAGACCTCCATCCCACTTCAAATAGAAGAGATAACGCCGGGCCGAGTCAGCAGTCGTCAACTAAGAAAATCATGGGTATCATGGCATCATCATCATCTCCTTTTTGAGAGGGTCATGCCCTCCATTTGTTTCTGTTTCCAAGGTTCACACCGCAGGTACTCCAGGTTTCGATCCGAGATTGCCCAATAGAGCTTCGGGAGGCACCCGATGGATGTTGGAATGTTTGTCCGTGTAAGGGACACTGGGAACGCTCTTGTACCCAGCGCGCTTTCTTTGAATGTAGTTCAGGATGATGCCGATTAATATTATCAGGAAGATGGTGCCTAATGCGGCACAGAGGGCAACAAGAATGACTATTCCGAGGGAATGGCCACCTTCTGTTGAAAAAGCGTCAGTCATGATCCTGTTGAAAGAGCAAGATTCGCTTACCACTTGATCTGAGAACGTTGGTATGGGAGGAGAACACTTGGGCTATGCTGCCAGGGCTTCCATCCGCTGTCGAAGCCAGTACAAAAGGTTCCATATGGGTGCCATTGAACAATGCTGCGGCTGCGTTTCCGAAACCAGTGATCTTCAGTTGGCCCGTTACCAGCAAGGCATAATCGTTGTCCAGGTATGGGGTCGAACCATGGTCTTTAGTCAAAGGCATTATCTGCAGACCTCGGATGGTAGTACCACCGTCAAAGGCATCCGCAACCGGTCTCACATTGATTCCGTCGATCTCGACCAAAAATGTCGACCCGTTATTGGCCGTACCTGCTACCCACATCTGATTCGCATCGGTTGTGGCAGGACAGAATGCCGTGACCGGTCCAGGAATACCGGCAATGTCATAGACAGACCATGTTTGACTGCCAGTGTTGTAATTCGCAAGCGAGGTCTGGTTGCCTTGGACCTTCAGATCGCCAGCTGCCAGAAGATCTGAACCAGTCCTCCAGAACAGAGACGACACGGTGCCTTGCAATCCAGTCCCCACTGTATTCCACTGACTCGTTGAGGTGTCATACATGCAAACAACCGGACAGGAGAGATCTTGGGATGTCCGGTCAAATGAACCACCCACATACACCGCTGTTGTCCCTGACCGTGGAGCTATAGCATTGACTGCCACGTTGTTGTCTCCTTGCAATGACGCTGGTTGGATCGCGCGATACGCCGCGGCACTCATGTCGTACAGAACCAGACCGTTGATGTCGGTATTCTCGACACGCCCGGAAATGGTCCCACCAGCAAAGAGAATGTTTTCGGAAAGGCCTAGAGCCAGGACGGTAGAACTGGCATCCATACCTGCGGGAGGTCCCGACACTCGGTTGTTATTGGACCCATTCAGGAACATGAGATTCTCGATGATGGATCCACCAGTTGCAGTTGCAGTGAAGTGTCCTCCCATGATGGTCACATTTTGTCCATTGCCAGTGTAATAGAGCCCTGTGGTTACACCAGTCACATTCTGCGTAACTTGTACAGCACGTTTTGTCGTGCTAGACTGAACATCGCTTGGCGTGATATCGACGGGCAGTCGCGAAAGTGCGACCTGACCACCGGACTGAGACTGAAGGCCAGCAGCGCCGCTGATGGCCATTCCAAGGGAGTTGAGTGTTCCCGCCCCGAGCCAAGTTTGGTTCGGCAGAAATGTCGCCGCATACAGTTGACCGGCCAAAGCCTCCTTGGGTACGTCGAGGTTTGCCAGCCAGCCACTCTTGGAGGGAACCCAGATCGCCAAGCCGCCCACCCGAGATACAGAATTAGAGCCAGACGCGAGAATCCGCGTGAAAGAGCCGCTGAAGGCGATCACTGTCTCTGGACCACCACTCTGAGAGATATTAAGTTGCATTGGCTCGACTGCTTCCACTGGCCCATCGAGTCCGGCGCCCAGTGGAACCCATGCATCCTTTGAATATTGATATGCGGCGACGTTGCTCAGTCCATCCACGTTGCCCTGGGCAGTGTTGGTGAAATTGCCTCCCACATACAAAAAGTCATCCAAGCTGTACATGTCGTTCACAGCGGCGTTGAGACCACCGTCGGGCAAAGAAGAAGGACTGTTATTGTGGAAAGCCATGATATTCTCAAAGACATCGTCGGAGAACCGACCCGCTGCATAAATGGTGTTATCACGGGTCGCCAGCGCCAAAACATTCGCATTTGGTTTGAGCGTGGTGCCGGCGTTGTTAATAGCAGATTTAGAGAAGTCGGCAGTGGCATAGTCGATAGTGTGGTTGTTGGGATCATAGTCGAACAGGCCATTTAAACCGCCGGTTGTCGAGGTGAAGCCGAACTTGACTCGCGACGCGACAACCAATTGCGCAGCCTGTTGGCCTGATGGTCTGAGCGTCACGGATGGTCGAAAAGATGTTGTGGTGGCATCCACATACCCTTGATAAACTATGTCGTACTTGTCAAAATCGTTGGTTTGGAAAATTGTTGTGCCGAAGGACTGTTTTCCATCCTCTGTCAGGCTGCCAGTGACGTTAACAATGGCGCGTGCTGAGCACGAGCTATCCTGTAGACAGCCAGGGGTATAGACAATGACGGAGTAATTCCCACTCTGCTGTACATCGGGTTCGAAAACTATGAGCGTGGTGTCAACAGTTGTGGGACCGACCACAACTGTGAGATAGTCGGACACACTTTCTCTGGACGGAGTCGTATACCAAGACCCAGTCGCGGTTGCTTCAGATCGAATGCCCGTGGTCTCGCAGGTGGGTTCGTTAAAGGCCTCAATGGCGTAAGAGAAGATGTCGGTTTGAAAGAGCTCAATCCCTCCGAGGCCAGCCCCATCACCGTACCAAGCCGAGATGTCAATGGTGAAGCTGTTCATCCCTACCAGATTAACGAAATAAAAGTCTTGGTACGGCTGTGACGCGTTGTACTCTGCTAGCGGACATGTTGACGAGCAGGAAGTGAGATCTCCGGTAGCGGGGTCGGTGGTGGTGAAGTTGAGGATGCCATCGAGCGGGTGTGCGGTGAATCGCCACGTCTTTGTGCCTTTTCCGCTCTGACTTGTCTGCCACAGTCGGAGCTTGGTGGGCTCGAAACCAAATGCCAGATCCGCGCTCCAACTACCGGCAGTATTGTCAGCCAGCAAAAAGTCGGATGACCCATCCGAGCTATTCGATGGACAAACAATGTTCCTCGGATCTCCCAAGCCTGCCGTGCTCGTGTTCCCGCGGGCGGTGACATTGGCGGTCGAAAGGTTGATCACCTGAGATTCGGGGTTCTTCAAGGAACTGGACGATATATTGCCCAGACCCGTGAAAGAACCTCCAAAGATGATGTGGCCATTGGGAGCTTTGGTGATGGAGCTGACCGGGCCATCGAAACCCGCGAAGGGCAAGCTGGACCAGCCACCGGCCGCCCATCCAATTGCATTTGTCGAATTACCCGCATCAAAAGCACCACCAACGTATAGCATTGAATTGTCGTCATCACAATAGAGCGCGGAGACTGTTCCTTGCACCCCACCGATCGCCTGGACCTCGAGGGTGGTTGCATTCATCCATGCCAGAGATCGCGCTGCAACTCCTCCGACACTGGTGAAATTACCCGCAACCACGATTCCCATGAGTGTGCTATTAACCACCAACGGACAGAGTGCTTCGATGCCTGCGTCGGTGGAGGACAAAATGTCGAATGCCCCGGTCGGTAGTTGGGACAATATCGACTGCGTGCCATTGCCATTGAATCCTTCTTTTTGCCCGCTTGACGTGTAGAGAGAGATTGCGTCGAAGTCGCCGGCGAGAGTGACCTCCCCGAGGGACTTGATGTCGAGATTAGGCGAAGGAACTGTCTGCGAGACTACCTGCGCCACAAGTAATAGTAGAGCGGTCGACGCCTTGGAGCGGAACCGTGACAGCAGATGCATGGTTCGATGCGATCTGTGCCTGCGTCGTAGCGACGAGAAGGCGGAGGGAGGTGCTACAACGGTGATATTCGTAGAGGCATGCTCAGTCGGTGGTGACGACGCGGACCACAGGCTCGGTGACAGAGAGCTTCTAAATCTAGGATCTCGGAGTTGGGGGTGGTCGAGCGTAGACGAGCGCAGACGAGCGCGATGGATTTAAGCTGATGACGGGAGACAACACGCGTGGACAGGCCTGAGAAGGAGCAGGGATGGATTGAAACGGAGTGGTAGTCTGGTAGTGGAGTAGTGAATTAAGAGGGTGTGTTGATGTTTTTTTGTCTCTCCCACAACCGAAACCCAAACCCAAACCTAGGGATGGTATTGCGGAGAGGGGAATGTGCGAAAAAGAGGACGACGGGCAGGAAAGGAGCGACAGTCGTTGAACTTGAGGGTGATGGCGGTTGTGCGAGGTTGTGCAGGGAATGGGAAGGTCAAGATGAAGATCCTTGGAAAAGAAGCTGCGAGTGACGAAAGGAGATTGTCCGTAGCGGGAAAAGAGTGAACAATGGGAAGTGCAATGCAATTGAGACGAGATGTTGGAGGTGCGACGGGGCAAGCCACAGGCGTAGGAGAGAGTCGGTGGTAGGCTCGGGCTGGGGAGGTGCTGGGAAGGAAAACACGGCCAAGTGGGGTGCCCGGCGTGGGCTTTGTACCACCTGCACAAGTGCGACTGGAAGGGGAAGAGCGTCGCAACAGCAGAGGCCCGAGAGTGGTCAATCTGCACGACAGGCCCAGGAGGCCCCAGGAACAAACCGCAAGAAGCTTTTGGACCACCTTTCGGTTGCTGCAGAGTCGGATGTCCAGATGCCCGGCGTCATCCAAGTTTCCCGGGCACCCAGTCACCGCCCGAGGAATGTGTGCAGCCCACCGTGGCCGCCTAGAAGCTCCTCCAAGCTCATCCATCCATCTCCCCAACCCCAATCTGGGCCCAAATTGCTGCCACCAATGGCCGTCCAGAAGCACCAAATCAACAGCCATCTTCTCCGATCGACTGGACAACAGAACGGCCACAGAATCTTCTACCCTTCTCGAATGAAATCAGCAGATATGACTGCGGCCGCACACTTGTCAGATTTGGTTGTGTACGAGACGTCCAACGCCCTTCCAGCCATGCCAGAACTCCCAAGATGTTCAGCTCTGACCCGGCCCTCTGCAACAACTCAAAATCTGACGCCGCGGCAGTGCAATTTCCCCCAAAGGAGCGTAGTATAGCCTTGGTGGCCTCTCCCTACGCTTGCAGCCTGCCTGGATACAAGTGCAATTTGATTTGACCTTGTGCTAGATTATTCCGTACTCCGTGTGGAGTTGACAAGAGCCAAGTTTCCGATGCCTGCTTAATCGTTGACATCGAACGATCGAAGCTACGACTCTTCGTAACAATCATAGGTATGCGAAGATTTGTCCAGAGGCAAAAACCAGGAACTCAGCACTTCGGCTGTTGGAACACGGTCGTCATCGGTCAGGGAACCCCATGCCTTGAAAGCCTCGGACTTGAACGTCCTCCGTGCCAGCAATGTGTTCTGCTGCACCGGGCGACTTCAGGCCATACAAGGATGCAGGATGCATCGTCTGACACATGTCAAAAGGAGCCCTCGCGGAGTACGAGGTACGTAATACTACGAGGTACCTCAGGTAGGGGAGACACGTGCACACGTGAGACTGAAACAACTCAATGGTAGTGACCGTCTCCATTATTTGGGATCCGTGATCAACACCCGTGTTTCGAATATTCGATGCCCTTGATCCTAGCAATAATACCACCGGCACCAGTTGCATTATTTACGTCGCCGCCGCTTGACCCTTTCACTCAAAGTCGTCGTCGTCGTCGTCTCTTCTTCAATGTGCATCACTGTTTTAAACTCATCCTGCTCTGGGTCCCGCTTGAGGGAGACCCGTTGCGCGGTCTTTTTCCTCACAACCTTCTGCTCCTGCTCATCATCTCCCTTCCCCTTCCCGTCTCCTTCCCCTTTCTCGACTTTGACTTCCACCCGTGTTGTCAGTCTCTCAGCAAACGTCCTCAAGTCCGCCGTGAACAACACACTGTGCGCCCACCCAGCTTCTTTCCCCCATATCTTCCGAAAATGGTTCGCGACCGCATCGTATGTCCCCTTGGTCATAGTGCTGTTTCTCCCCTTTCCCAACTTGTAGTCTCTTTGCGCAATTTGCCATACGTGTGTGTCTACCGGCACCGCCTCTCCCCAACCCAACCCCATCAGACACACACAATCCGCCACTTTGGGACCTACGCCTTGCAACTCAAGGAGGTTCTCATGTGCCTGACGATAGCCGTCGCGGCCTTCAGGTTTCATTTCACCGGCAGGGGAGGGCTCGGTGGTGCCATACGCAGGAGACTCGGGGTTGCGAAGAGTGTCCAGCCAGCCCACCTCTCGATCCTCGGCGATGATTTTGGCAGTCTGATAAATGTATTTTGCGCGGTAGCCAAATCCCAGCTCTCTTAGGTGGTTCTCGACGTTCTTGCCCGTCAGCGCTGACGGCTCGGGAAAGTCATGGTACGGCTGACCCTCTAGTGTACCAATGTATGTCCCGTAGTGCGTGCACAGCTTGTCCACCATCTGAGATATCCGTATGATGTTGTTATTGCTGCTGCATATGAACCCAACCAACGCTTCCCATGCGTCTTGCCGCAGTATTCTCACGCCTGTGAACTGGGGCGCCTTCTTGCGGAAATTCACGTCCGACGCCGACCACTGGGCGTAGAGGGTTTCAAGGTTAAGCTCCAGGTTGAGGTAGTGCTGGATCAGGGATCTGGTGTCGTCGCCGTCGCCGCCGTCCTCGATTGCGGTCTTGGTGCAGCACTCCTCATCCGAGACTGCGGTCGGTGGGACGGACGAAGGAGGCGTCAGAGGCGCTTCAAAAGTCGCTGGGGCCGCAGTCGCAGTCGCAGATGCAGGCCATATCGAGCGGTACTGGATGTGCGATTTGTCGGGCTGAGACAGTTGGACAATACGACCGCGGAGCGTACATGCCCAGGTCTGGTCGTCGCATTGGCGCCAGCGAAACGACTGCCCGCAGCGAAGGGTGGTGGCGAGGCACAGTTCGTTCAGGGATATGGGAAGCCTGCGCCATTCGCTGATTCGGGTCATATCGACTATTACAGGCGGGCGGGGTTGGTACTTTAACAGAGATCAGGGAATGAACTGCGAACTCCCTTCTCAGAATTGGATCTGGTCCCTGATGAACCTTTCGTGGATCCAAACCCACTAAAAGGCACGGTAGAGGCTAGTGAGGCTCGGTACTTAAGCAAAACGCGACCGCGAAGGCGCCGCGTCCCCTGCGCGCCACTGACCGAGTGCCTTACATACCTACAGCACCCTAGCAAAAATATCCGTCTACCCCACCAATTTTCCATCCACTTGATTTCCAACCACTAACTACTCGTTTTGTAAATTACTTTAACTACGCTCGCTTAATCACTCTATAATTACCGTTATAATAATAAAAAGTAATAAATATTCTAAATTTATACTTAATACAATTTATAGGCTTTATTTAGCTAGGAAATCCTAGCGGGAAATCGCCGAGATCGTTCAAATATCTTATAGTTCTATATAGTATATTCTTAATTATCTTAAGTTCTAGAGCTACTAATACTCTAATAGATCTAAAAAACTATCTAATACTACGAAGAGATATATAATCCGTTATATTAAGAAGTATCCTCGTTATTCCTATTAGCGAGTTATTAATAAAAACGATCTTAATATATCTATTAATACTATTCGAAGAGTCCTTCGCGAGTATAGATTACGACGCTAGATAACTAAAAATAGACCTAAACTTATTAAGGAATATACGCGTAAAAAGCTTAAGTTCGCCTTAAAGTATAAAGACTAGACCTAGGAGAAATAGTTACGCGTTATCTAGTTAGATAAATACTCTATCCTCTACGGTAGTAAGATCGCTTATAAATAGGTCTTTAGAACGCCTAAATAGAAGTAGAATAAGAAGTTTATTATCTCTAGAGATAAAGTCTAGGACCTCTCTATTATAATCTAGATCGCGATCTAGGGCTATTAAGTATTAGATATCTATATTTTAGAACGAGACTAGGAGACTAAAAAGATAGACTATTCGGCTAATTTCTATCTTAAAGTGCTTAAGGATAATATTCCTACTTACTAGGAACTAGATAGGATCTTTATATAGGATAATACTTCTATTTATAAGGTAAAGAAAGTTATAGATTAGTTTAAAGACAATGGAATAATAATACTAGATTAGCCGCCGTTTTCGCTAGATTTAAACCCTATCGAAAGCCTCTAGTTTAAGCTTAAGCGCCTAGTTAACGAGATCGATCCTAGCCTTAAGGACACTATTAGAGATAGCGAAGCCCTTAAATAGCGATTTATAAGCGTTATTACTAGGGCCTAGGCTAGTATTAGCCCTAGAAAGATTAAGACGATAGTTAAGTTAATAGATAATAGGATCAACGCGATTATCGCTGTAGAGGGCTAGTATACTCGATATTAATAGTTTTTTTTATATAGACCTATTTTATAGCTATTTAGCTAGAGATCCTATAGTTTATAGTAAATTATTATGTAAATTAAGTGTGTTATGGCTACTTTATGTAGGGGTGGTAGGGGCAAAAATATCTGGTGGGGTGGGGGTGGACGGATATTTTTGCTAGGGTGTTGTAGGTAGGTACCCAGTACTCGGTACGAGGTAACACGTTTGACTTGCCCGCTTGCTCACAACTGGTATAAGCATCATTTTCAAGGAAGATGATTCTATACCAATGACTCTAGACGCTCCTAAAAGCTAGCCCTCACATCTACATGTCTGTTGAGAGTACTAGGTATCCATCCATGCTGAAAGTACTCGAGACACAAAAACCCGGCAAGTCCCTATTCGCTCAGAAATCATCCAATGTAGATACGGTCCATTGAAAATCTTACCCTTTTCCTCCCATAGACAAATTCATTAAAGCTCGAGTCTCTTTTCGGGCTGAGGTTGCCCAAAAGTGGCAGCAGCATCCCGGCCAGTGACAACAGCTTCTCCGTGAATCACCACGTTGTCGTCGAGGATCGAGTTGCTGAAAATCAGGTATTCGTGTCGGCCTTTCCAGAGCCAGTACACTCCGCCAAAGAACACCACGCCCGCGAGGATGACGATTGCCCAGTTCATGTTCGCTATATCACCCACGACGGGGACGTACTGCGGGAAGATATAGAAGAGAACCACGACGATGCTCCAGAGCAGACCCGCAACATTGACTGCGTAGCCCCATCGACCAAGATCGAAGTGCGGTCGCGGTGGCAGGTGTTGACGACCTCGTAGAACCACGCAAAGAATCGGTACGCAGTAAGAGATCTGCAAGGCCACGCCACCTCCCGAAATGATGGCGTAAAAGGCCAGCGAACTTCCCAACACAAGGAGGCCTGTAAGGAGGTTCAACACAATGAAGGCCATCATGGCTCGGAGAGGCATCTGAAATCGCTTGTTGACTTGGGCAAAATAATCCGAATAGGGGAAGGCTCTGTCGCGAGCCATCGACCACGCGAGACGTGAACCGGCGGTGTTCATATTGACAATGATCAGATACTGTTCACGGTCAGCTGTTTTGTTACGTGCCAACCAATCTTGAGCAAGCCACGCACGTTGAGACCCATCATCATGACAGCAACCCATATTCCTCCACCATATGTCGAGTTCAGCACGTCAATGAACCATGCCTGGAAAATTGTTAGTCGAATGATACATTGGCGCGCGTGGTGTTGTTCCTTACCACATAGGAGGATGTTGCTTCGAGATAATTTTCCCAGTTAGGGCCTACCGTGTAGCACATGACAATTGCTGAAAGCCAGGCAGTTACGCCGGCCCATACCATAGACCACACCATGACTCGCTGTTCTGTCGTCAGTAATCCTGAGCTTGAAACGTTCACTTGATCACTTACAGGAGCATCACGCGAGGCGTTTTTCATTTCCTCGACCAAGTGCATCACACCGTCGCTTCCATAGAGGCCGTAGATGGGGACGTACATGCTCAAAATGAAGACCCAACCCTTGGAAGTCCAGCCTGATGTGTTGAGGAATTCCGTGAAGACAAATTTTGAGCTGTTCTTGTCGGCTAGGACGAGAAAGACGATCGTCCAGATGAGCGCGTTCGAGATGTTGAAGAATGCGCCAAAAAGCTGCAGGGCCGGAAGATATTTTGGAAGCAAATTCGACACCGCAGGGGCAACAAGGAAGCCGGTATAGATAAGCCATGTCATGTAAGGCTACGAATGATTTAGCAGGTACAGCCGCATATGAAGAACTGAGCGGTTCTCACTTTCCAGTCAACATCTGGATGTATGATCTCAACAAGAGCCGCCACAATCTGTGCACTATTCAAGGCGCAGGAGCTGGATGTCGAGATTTCTCCCACCAAAACGCACCAGCCGACCAGGTATGATAGGAAGCGTCGAGATTTCTCAGGGGCAACAACCTAAAGGATTTAGGGTTCGATCGTTGGTTCCAAAGGCAAGGAAGCGTACCTGGGTATAGAATTGTTGACCTCCTGCTGTAGGCCAGATGGAGCAGTATTCAGCCAACGACGCCATCACCAGAAGTTGTCCGATCGTGACCACGACGCTACATGGTGTATTCGTTAGAGGGGGTGCTGCCGCGAACAAGGCCTTGAGACCCGAACTCACGTTCCCCAGACAAGACAAACCGGTCCGCCGAGGGTGAAGATGTAGTAGAACATGACAATGTTGCAACTCCACGAGCATAAAATGGTGGTCTGATATGCCATTACTGCCCCAGCACTTATTAGCCTCGAGAGTCCTAAGCTGACATTTCCTCACGAGACTCACAGCTCCAGAAATTGTATGTGCGCTTCAGCTCTGGCCTGTGGCCGAGGCTGATGAGTCTACTCTCATCACTGCTCAGGCCGACTGAATCGTCTTTGATCGTGTCCATTTCGACGAGACCACCGCGGTTGAGGGCCGTAAAAGGCGGTCGATTGGGCGCAGGCAGAGGGCGGAAGGTTGTGAATCAACTCATGGAATCGAGCACAAAGTATCGTCCCTTTGCCGTAGAGATGGCCGACCCAGACTTTTGGATCCGAGTTCAATTTGAGTGACCAAGGATGTCAAATGGCTGAAGTTTAAACCAGTCCCGTACTCGGTACACGTGGGACCTTGTTCCTCTCGCTCTCACTCCACCGCGCTCTCCTTTTTGCCACCAAAGAGAGTCTAGTTGCTCTCACTTATCAAGACTCGCTATCTCTGTGCGGAGCCCCTGATGGCGTAAAGTTATCAGACGATAAGAAGGGCTCGGAACGCTGGAAGTGCATATGATGGCATAGATTATGGGAAACGCTCTGATGGATCTTGAGGAGTTGAAATCTTCAGCCGGGTGCCGATGGAAGGGCGCCCCATGTGCCCAAAGAGGTTGGTTTACAACGGCCGGGACCCTTTTGGCCCCATCGCAGAGGAGCTGGGCAAATCATGGCCGGCACCATGATCAAGGACGCCTTTTAAACGAACGGGAACAACCGGCTTTTTCTCTCGTCAGTGTCCGGTTCCAGCCTTAGGCCTGACCACTTTCCGCTCCCCGCGTGCTCCTAGCTGCAAAAATGATAAGCGCAAGCTGCGATACAACAGAAATGGAGTTACACAGTGATCAGAAAAAGAAGTCTCTGGAAAGACAAGACGGAAAGACGGACCCCCAGCTAACTTTCCCCAGATCTCGGTGGGTATCATAAGGTGGCTGTATCCTAATATGATTTTCCAGTCCGGACAGAGGGATTCCATCCGCAACATGGGAGATTTCGTGGATGTCCACTTCACTAAAGGATACTCCAGTTCGAAATGACTGCGTAATTGTTTAATACCAAATGAAGAACATGTAATATCTCGTGATGGCACTTTTGTTGATGGACTTTGCCAGGTGTGCGGGGATGTTTGGACAATGAGGCTGGATTTGCTGCGGACTCGTGGACTGTTGGCCCGTGTCACGTGTCACGTGTCGACATCCCCCCAGCAAATGTCCAGCTGCAACCGATAAGCTCTTCGTAGACCTCGAGATCAACCACCATCATCCAGTCTCGATTGCCTTTTGCCGAAAGCATATTGTGCCCGGAGCTGCAATGAGGCCTAACACAGATTCCATCCATCCCATCTGATCGGCCAGCATGAGCAGCGACACTGCCTGCAAGTCTTGATAACTGCCGAGACCTCGCCATGGATACCGTTCTCGGCGACGAGGCGAGGACTGCAAGTCAGACTCCAGGTTCGAGCCCGCCCACCATCGGGCCCCAAGGTGCATACTTGCAACTTCTCCGTCCTTGAGTGGGAGGAGAATGTGGAAGATGCCAATCAGGAGGCTGACTGTTGTTAAGATTGTCAAACCTGTACCAAAAGAAGAATTCGTTGTGATCGATCACTCCCAAAATGCATCAAGTGCTCGAAGAAGGGACTAGTTTGTCCCGGCTACGGCCCTCGATTGAGATGGGCCAATGGTATAGCCGTTCGTGGACACCTCAAGGGGCGAACCACGCCACACATAGGCAAACCGCCGCCTAAACCTAGCAGCACTGCTTCCAAGGACTCGACCTCTCCCAAGTCCGTCAAATCTCCGGAGCAGAACAACAATCCTCAAACTGCCTCGGTCGTGGATCCTCTAGAAGCCACCTTTCCTGGGTTTCCTGACCCTACCACCAGGACGCGACTACTGGAGCATTATGACAAACAGATTGCGGGCTTGATGGTGTGGATAGACTCCGAGAAGAACGAGTACCGCCGCCTGGTCCTACCCTTGGCCGATCAGCAGCCGGTGCTTCTCCTCGCCATTCTGGCCATCTCTGCCCAGCACCTCGCTGTCACCACGGGCAAGGAGATGAGCTTTCCAGCTCGCGCGCGTGATGCAGCCGTCGCCATGATCTCACAACAGATTCAGAAGGTGACCGGCCAGTTGGCCGCAGGCTATGACCTGGGGAGTCAAATAGACCCAGATACCGCCGTTTGGATGCTTGCCTCAATGCTCACTCTGGCTAACTATGAAATGACAGAGACAGAGACTGGTGCAGCGGCGGCAGACTGGCATCGGCAGGCTGCTAGGACGTTGGTGAATGCCCTCGCAACAACAAAGCGTGATAACAGCCCTCTGTTTCATTTTCTCCGTAACCAGCTCGCCATATACGACATTTTGACCTGCACCACGATTTTCGGACCTTTGAGCACTGTCGAGGTGATCCTTCCGGCACCCGATCATTCCAATTTGATCTTTTCCGAATTCCTCTCCCTCTTGCACAAAGTGACAGTATGGTCACGAGAGCGGCATGAAAAAGAGTCATCTGGAAATTTCAACTTCGCCGATCTCCCAATAACCTCTGCTGATGCACGCGCAGGGTTCGAGCAGGCCCGAGGGTCTACTCTAATGGCAGCCGGTGTCCTCGAACTTCCGCGAGACGCAAGGCGTCGGGATTTTGTACGGATCGTCGACATATACCACCATGCCGCACTCCTTTACACTTACAGAGTCCTCTTCCATTGCCAGGTGGAACCGGTCGAGGTCAATGCCTCCACTATGGTCTTGTTTGAAAGGTTGAATCAGCTTGAAGACAAACGGTCATGCCTGCAAAACTTGCCGTGGCCGGTGTTTATTGCAGGCACCGAATGCTGTGATGATCTGGAGCGCCAGGTGTTTGTAGCAAGAATGTACGCCGACATTGCTCAAGATATGGGATTCAAGTACTACCTTGGAATCCTTCGCTTTTTGCAAGATCTGTGGTCAAACAAGGACACCACTTGGACCGAGTTGGCGCGCCATTACGAAGCAAGCGGAAAGAAAATCGTTGCTGTTTGAGGATGAAGTTGTGAGTTTGCCGATGGGGCAGACGACTCGGCCCCGGTGGCCTCGGTTGCCTCTCCTCGTGTTGTGCCTGCCACCCACCCATGAATCATGGGGTTGACCTTTTGCCACAAGATGGTGCGGGAGAATGTCAGCTAAACGTGCACTGTTTGGATGTACCGGGTGGTCGAAGGCACCTGGAAAGAGCATCAGTTTTCTGCAAGATTGGTGGCATGTCCAAGCCATATCCACAACACGCACACGGGGAGGTATGGTGACCGAATATGTTACTTCTCTTATTCTGGTTAGTGAGTTGGCTCCGTCCACCTACTCTCCTAGGGCTGACCAAGTTGGCAGCAAACTCGAGAACTGTACCTTAGGCTCACGGTTAGGCGGACCAAACCGGGGTCAAAGCACCCATGTGGCTTCTGCATCTGCCGACACTGCAGCAACCTCCTTGGCCGTCCCAAGCAAGCCAATCTCCTTCCAGGGATCCCGTCTTCGACACATTGATCGGGAGCACAGTATTGGTCTCTCGTGCGTATGATAACGTGCAGACCTCCGGATCACTTCCAGCTTCGTGTACAGAACAAGGGACCAAGACAATGAGCAGCGAGGATCATATTCGCACCGAGTTGATGCCTGTGTCGGACGAGATAGCCTTCGGCTCGACCATTCAGAACTTGTTGAAGGAGGCCATTGAGCCGATTCCCAGACTTACAATAGCTATCTCGCATTGATCAGGTCATTCGATTTGTCAGCTATGAACCTGTTCTGCTTTGGAACTGCAACATGAGACTCCATGCTGGTCCTTAGCTACACCCCAATGCGCAAATCTGAGTGGCGGCACCAAGATTGTGAGTAGCAGGCACCTCCATAATGCATGACTGGAACAGACGGGGAAGGTTTTGGCCACTGCCTCCCAAACTGCCCCGGTCCATGCTACCTCATGTCGAGTGCGGACTGTCGTCTGCTTAGGCTGATATTGGCCTGTAAGCTTGCGGGAAGATCCATCGCACCGCAGACTGGTGCCATTTTTGCCTTTTTTTCAAAAGTACTTGCGGTACCCCTGCCTTGTTTGAGCCCTGCAAGGCGCATCCTTCAGACATCTGGGCTCTGTTCTCCGTTGAATATCGAAGGATCAGACAGGCTGTTGGGGCGGCCGGTGCAGGATTTACCCTGTAAGACCGCCTGAAGTCTTATGATTTCGGGCAAGTCACTCTGTGCGGCTCCTATCAACACCTATTTCCATAACATAATATGTATATCCATCTAGGCCCAATCATAAGCGAAGACGAATCGACACTAGACCCCAAAAAGGCGTTCGGTAGAGAAATAACCTCAGCCAAGGCCCGACACGCAGGTGGATTGCCTGCGGCACGAGCTTGCTACGGTGCTTGCCACCTGCTGAATTGGGCATCTGATGAGAGAGCTCAAGGCTCGGACAGTCAGATTCTCAAACAGGCTGTTGGTCAAAACCAGACGTGTCTATGCTACGTTTCCCCAGTCTGGTATGGTTCTCGACGCCACCCAAAACTCCGGCCTTGTTCAATCGTTATCAACACTCCACAGTCCGCAAATGTGAAGCCGAGTCCGACACTCGGTCAACGTGCGAGCTCAGAGGAGGTGGGACGCTGAGAGGCAAAACGGACACACATCGGTGGACAAGTTCTCATCAATTACCTCGAAACTCGCCTGGCGACTAGAGGACGGCAGCTTTCCTGAAGACGATTCCCTTCGTTTGATGTTTTATCAGATTCACCAAGGAGTCCGTACCCCGCCTTCCGATATAAGCTCAACGCCCGAGACTCTTTGTGATCTCGATATTACTTCTAGCGGGCCCCCATCTTCAGAAAAATCAGGTCTCCCCAAAGATGGTCTTAAACAGAATTCTTCATCAGCCTCCTGTGATGCATCCTCGGAGACGGCAGGACATCACCCACAAGAATGTCAACCAACTCTTCCGGACTCAGAGTTTCCAAGATGACGTGGCAACACGCCTGGCCGAATCGGTCAGGATCCCAACGATAACATATGATGGCATGGGCCATGTTGGAGAAGACCCTCGGTGGGAGGTCTTCTTTCAGTTTTCCCATTATCTGAAGAAGGCATTCCCAAGAGTGTGAGCATGTCGTCTCCCTCGCACGGCTCTATATTCTAACCATTTGTCCCAGATATGAAGAACTGACAGTCGAAACGATTAATCAGCATGGCCTGCTATACACATGGCATGGTTCGCAACATGTTTTGAAACCTCTTTTGTTTATGGCACATTCAGACGTGAGTGTAGCACATTGCACTGCTTGAAGATAACTTCGTTTGACATAACCCAGGTGGTCCCCTCCGGGGAATCCACTTCTGAAGAATGGACCTATTCGCCTTTCTCGGGCCACTATGACGGAGAGTACATCTGGGGCCGAGGCTCTGAAGACGACAAATCGAATCTCATCGCGATGTTGACGGCTATCGATTGTTTACTCGCATGCGACTTCACACCACATCGGACTGTGATACTCTCGGTCGGCTTCGACGAAGAGGGTGGAGCCGAACAGAGCTATGGCGCCAGGTGTCTTGCGGAGACACTGTTGGACAGGTATGGGAAAGCCGGTATCGAAATGATTGTGTGTTGATTCCACGATCCTGCTGGACCACTGCTGATCTCGAGTGCCAGTTCGACGAGGGTATTGCAGGCATTGAGAATCGTTTTGGGACCGACTTTGCACTCCCTGCAACGGCCGAAAAGGGATATATCGATGTCACTGTAACTGTCAATGTTCCTGGCGGACACTCCTCTACCCCGCCTGACCATACAGCTAGTTTGTTTCCCCGTCTCACATTTCAGGGTGGTATGTTCTGACCCAGAGACAGTCGGCTTTTTGGCTCAGATAATTCGCTTGATCGAAGACCACCCCTTCAAATCGCAACTGGTTCGAAACAATCCCACTCTGACTTACCTTCGACAAGCCGCACTGTATTCCAAGCAGATGCCTGATGATCTACGCGAGGCAATTCTCGGCGCACAGAGCTCGAAGAAGATCCTCGAATATATGGAGAGCGACCGCGAGAGACGCGCCATGATCAGGACATCCACGGCGGTTGATGTGGTTTCAGGAGGAGACAAAGGTAGGCAGGCCCACGCTTGCCGGTCTTCGGCGCTTTCGGAACGGGCACATTTGCAGTCGGCAGCGGCGCTGATCAGTCCTATAGTGAACTCGCTCCCAGAAAATGCCAGCATTCTCGTCAACCATCGCATTGCAATACAGGATTCGGTGCAGGCTGTGAAAGACCACTATGTTCATCTCCTGGCGCCTTGGGCTCAGGAACGAGGGTTCAAACTCCATGCTTTCGGTGCTAAGGCTCCGCATGAAAACAGCATCTCGACACGACCAGGTAACAGTACTACTGATTGTGGTGACCTCACTCTTTCCGCACACTATGAGCTGGAATCATCGCCGGTTTCATCTGCAGAGGATGCCCGGTTCAGATTACTCGCAGGTACTATCAAAGGCGTCTTTGGTGACGACGTGGTCGTTGCGCCAGAGCTATTGACTGGTAAGTCAACTTGATACGTAAGGGCGTACTTGCCTCGATGACATGCTGAGAACCGTAGGCAACACCGACACCAGATACTATTGGGATCTTTCGCCACAAATATACCGCATGTCTCCTTGGCGAGCAAGTCATGACCCCCGCGGGACTCGGATGCACACAGTGGATGAGAGAATGCCCATCAAAGGCCTCATGGAGATGGTACACTTTTATCACGAGTTCATTCGAATAGTCGACGAAGTCCACGTCGAAGATCCCCTGCCCGTTCATAATCAGCCTCGACACGAGGGCACCATTGCAACTGCGGCTGCACAGCACGTGTGCGTCAAATGACCAGAGGGATTGTTGGCGCATCCTCTCCGCGTCCCAGCAAACGTCGCGAAGTGTTACACATCAATGACAAAATGGCCCAGCATCCCTTCCGTCCGGAGCAGATCTGCACCACAAGATTCCATCAAGCAGATTCGATGGATTGTGAGAACATGCTGCCAACACGGTTGTAAATGCATGTCGAGAAGCTGTGCTCCGGACGAGGAAAGACTCCACGACCGAGCCCCCGGAACCGAAATGTCTGGGCGCTCGTAGGCATTTACGCCTCCGGAGGGTTTGCAGCAAAAGCGAAGACGTATTCTCCAGTTTGCTAGCTGGCCGAATGAGGGAGGAGAAGTGTTTCAGTACACACCGTTCGACCAAACAGCGGTGGACGACCACCGACGGATCAAACAGTGCTTCACTTGCTACAGCGCTGTGTTCTCGAAATCTTTTCTTCAAGGAAGAATCCTCTCTGGCGGCTCTTTGAAGTTTGTTGACTCGGGAGGACAATTTCGAGACGTCCCCAGCTGTCATGGACTTGATACACCGGCCGCGACCCCAGACCCACAACCACTCATCTCGTCGATCTTGCTCGTATACTCTAACCAATTCGGCACATCCCTCATACCACTACAACCAAGCTTGCCTGTTTGGTTATACACCACTGGGGGCCAAAGGCTTGTTATCGGGTTCTCGGCGAATGACAGCTTTGCGAGGCGTGAAATGGTGCAAGGAACCAACGATCCAAGTTCTCTGATGACGCACTAGTCACTGGTGCATATTCGCAATCCGAGGCGGAGATGACCCAGGACCACCATATACCGACGAGAAAGGTAGATTAGATGCCGCTATCTCGCAGCGGTCTGGGAAATGCCTCCAAAGCTTTTATTTTTCCAATTCCTCTTTCTTCTCTCGTTCATTCCAAGAGTATCGAAGCATTCTTTTTCTGAATATACAAACAGAGTTGACTACAGCCGCTTCCTTCTAGCCACTCCTTACGCCGAACGTATATTCGAGGCCTTCCAGTCATTCATCTTCCAGGTCCTAGCTGTCGCTAGGAAGCTTGCTATCCAGGACGATGAACTTTCAGGCACCGAGACAGGGGCTCGTTCCCGTCTTCCTTCTTTCCATGCTCACGCTTACCTCCTGTATATCAAAAAACGACTTCCTAAACAATTTCTCTAAGCGAGATTCAAAGAAGGCTACGCAGACGCTGACTTCGGATGGTGTATCCTTTTCGCTCAAACTTACATGCGTTGATCTCGCTGATATACTATACAGGGCTTTTGGTTCGCCAACGTATCAGTCGGAGACGGTTTAGGCATGAATCTATTAGTCGATACAGGCTCGACAAACGTGGTTCTGAATGCGGGAAAATACAGGCCATCCAATCATTCGGTAAACACGAATGAGTCTTTTGCCGTCGCTTATGGAACCGCCCAGAGCAACGGCACCGGATCGGCCTTTGTAAGGCTCTTTCTCCATCCACCCGCAGCTAGCAAAGAGGAAGCTCATTGTTGATGCTTACATAGATCAACGGCACGCTCTTTCAAGACGAAGTGACTCTTTCGGGACTCACGGTCGAGAATCAGATCCTCGGCGTCGCCGACGCCTCCGAGTCGTCAGCGAACTATCCCCACGACGGTATTATCGGATTTGGGGCACAACGCTTTGCAGCCGACAACGCTACGTCTTGGTTCCACAACCTCTGCGACAGCAACCTTGTGGATGAATGTCGTTTCGGACTTGCGCTCAACGACGCCACCTCTGGGTCGTTGGTCGTCGGCACGCTCGACAACGATCTGTTCGATGGTAATTTGACTACCACGCCGATCGCCGAGGAGTGGTTCACATACGGTGACGTTGTTGTGGGAGGCCAGACGCTGCAGAAAGACGCGATCGTTGAATTCGACAGCGGTAGCGCTGCGATTGTGGGGTATATACAGCTTCCTTCTGTGCTCCCTTCTCTTTCAACCCTAAGCGCACTATATATACTGACAACTTCTCTGTGTCGTAGCCCAACTGACGCCGTCACCAAACTCTTCACCTCCCTCGGTGCTGGCATCTCCTCCGAATTGACACCTGGCGGCCCTCTCGTGACAGCGCAAGTATCCTGCTCGATCAACGCCAGCGTGGGATTCCGGTTCCCGTCCAGCAATGTGACGGCCATGAATACGAGCGTCAAGGCCCGGATCTTTAGCATTCCGATCGAAAGTCTGTTGGTCCCTTCCACAAACGGGTCAAGCCCGAACTGCACTGTCGCGGTGGTCGGGCAAGATTTTGCGGAATTGCCGGGCTTGTGGGTGCTAGGTCAGAGTACGTGTATCTCTGCGCGTTGTGGTTTTCCATCCTCCACGATTCCCATTTTGCCGTTTCATTCTCTTTCTTCCCGACGCCAATCGCGTGCGCGAGCTGCAATACCTTTCCTCTGTTGGAAGGAAGTCAAGTGCTGACTGGTTCATTCTTCGGCCGACCTTTCTCTAGCATTCTTCCAGGGCAAATACATCGATCACAATCTCAACGATAGGACCATCGGTCTCGCCAACCTGAAGGCTTCGCCGTCCAACTCGAGTTCCGGTTCCTCTGGATCTGGGTCCGACGGGGGCAGCGGTAGTGGGAATTCTGCCTCGACGAACTCTGCTGCTGCTAGTCTTCGCGGTTCCCTCTATTTGGGTTGCAGCCTGTTGATCTGTTACTTTGCCTTTGGAGCTGTGGTGTTGTAAAGCAGAAATGGACTTTGAGGGATGCGGAACCAATGCGTTGTTGAGCCAACCGGGACGGGGATGGCTCTCTCGCCGCTGAGCATGGAAATGGGAGGCCTGTCACCCAAGTTCTTGAGGTATAGCTCTCGCTTCGTTACCTTCTCCTGTTATCTCCATTGCATTTAGTGAACAAAGATGCCAGTAAAGTCTGGATGCTTTCAATTGCACATTCATGGCCCAATGGACAAAGGAATCAATCACATTGCATACCTAGGTAGTCAAAAAGGCTTTTGGTCATATACATGTGACTCACCATAGCCGTTTCATGGCATCCGTTGAGAGAAAGAGTACCGAGTACAGTAAATGACAATAATATAACGAACCAAGGTACGATTAGATAGTTATCGGATCAACGGCCAATCGCCACTTTCTCGTGCGAGAGCGAGGATGACTGTCCAGCCAATTCGTTCATTCATAGTTGCATTCTCCTTGGTCACATTCAACACGAACAAGTTGGTTTGGGTGAAGGACCGGGGATCCCGAAATATGTCGTCGTCCAGAGAGGGAAAATAGTAATGGAGGGTTTGGCTTGCTCCGGACTGGTTCGTATTCGGACACGAATTCCAGCGGCTCGGACTACACCTATGAATGGGGGAAAGCGAGGGCAGGGCGCGGAAACTCGGGAATCGTGCATCGACGACTAACGAAGGGGGCTGAGGGCTGGGGTGCGGGGTGGGTGGCCATCTTTGTTACATACCAAGGGATTCTTTTGCTTGCGAATGATGAGGTGATGAGGTGATGAGGTGATAAAAGTCGGTGCAGCTGAGGTGGTGAGTTACTGGACCTGGTAAAGGCACTGATGGTCCTTTGCTGTATCCCTTCGTGCCCTCCTCGGTGCTCAGTGATCTATTATTCCCCAGCCAGCCTAACGGACATTCAGTGGGAACATGATATGCATGGTCTGCCCTTTATGGAGCCCATCACTCCATCGCCCCCATCGCCCACCAATTGCGGGAGGCGGGGGCGTTCGTCTCAGCGTCACCCAGCATCACCAGCGTCGTATTCTAGAAATTCAATTCTGCCATTCCCTTTTGCCCACATTGCAACACCCACCACCATCAGAAATCGCCCGTCCTTGCCATGGAAAAAGCGTTGATGGGTCGATTTTCCCAGGCCCCAGGGTTCCAGGCTAGGCCTCCCTCCCCCACCCCATGCATGCATGCCTGAGTAACCTCGATAGGGTGCGGTGTGGTGCCCCGGATCTCTCTTTTCCTCTCTTCGCCATTTTTTACGAAGGGGTATAAGTTTCGCCAACCTGCCCATCGCTTGGGGTCTGTGCGAAGAAAAGCCCGCCCTAATTGTTTAAAAAGCTTGTTGTTGCTTAAGAGCGCGTCTCTTTTGCCCACTCTTCATAACCCCATTCTTCTTTGGTGCCCAGAACTCTTGTTCGAATTCATCATTTCGCCCGACACCCGTTGTTGAACGCTCCTTGTTCAGAGAGCCTCCCACATCTCTACCAAGCTTCCAATCTTCAGCCTCTCAGCAATCCCCGCCCCCCAAAAATGGTGAACAACGCCGTCGTCGTGCCCGTAGCGGTACTGGCCTCGATATGCGTGGCAATGTTCCTCTTCGTCTGCTGGTGGTTCCCTCGCCACTACAAGAAGGGCGTCGAACAGGACATGAACATTATGGATAGCGAGCGCGCTGCGAGGGAGGAAATCCATAACGACATGGGCCAATTGCAAGTAGGAGAGGACGGCGCGCCGAGGAAGAAGACCCTCGAAGAACACATTGCCATCGCCAGAGAACAGATAAGACGAGGCGGTCACAACCCATCGACGACTCCATATTAAGACTTCTCACGAAGGAGAGGCTTGACTCAATCTGAGCTTCATCCTTGATTTTGGTCATGACGCACAAGAAACATCGAGAATACCACCTGCGGTTTGTCAATGCGGTCCGGAGTGAAGCACATCATCATATCCAGCTACTGTCCTCTAGCTTACTGTGGTCGGAGTTGATATCCAACTCCCCCTGGGAGAGGCGTTCTCGGGAGTGTGGGCTTGTACTGGACTAAGAGTCCCTGCTGCTGCTGTTGTTTATCGGTATGCCATCTTTCATGCAGAGGATCTCTGCAACAGAATCCATTCAACGTTTGGTGTTCTAAGCGAAGACGAGCATATTTCGGAGCAGATCACCAGGCTTCGACTGTCACGGGCATCCTTGCGACAACCAATCTGGCGATGCATCTGTCGCACGCCTCTGTACATCGACTTTATTAGGAAGAAGGTGTTTGATGGTGAACTGTTCCCAGAACTGGCGTCAGAGGGATAAAGGTGCAATGTAGAATGACAACGGCTGATGCGGACTGCTTAATCGTCCTGCTTTTGGTGGACCTTTTTAGACCACCCCTGCCTTTTATCTGCCTTGCTCTCTGGCTCTCTCGCTTCGAATATGTGTACCTGTGATATTTGCATATCAGGTTGCTATTGAAAGCGGCGATATTAATACTACATTTAGAGACTAGCGCAGTTCTCTCAGTATTTACCTGTTCGCCTGGTATTAAGTCCACGCTATGCCCGTATCCGTGACCCGCCAAGACGATGCAGCATCGAAAAAGTTGCAGGTGGTCCGAACCGCGAAACGAGGCCTTGTGCAAGCTGCGCTTTTCTGCCCTGCGGCGACTAAACCCCTTCACCCAGTGTCTCGTTGACAATTACATGATCTGAATTATTGTCAAACCATTACCTGCCCACACTGATCTAGCACTATTCAGATAATTGGCTGCACAGCGGAGGACTCGAACTAGAACTCCCCCATCTTGCCTCGCGACCATGAACGGGGACAACTACTCCTCGAGAGGTGCCTTGACCCTCTCCCACCTTTTGCCTCAATACTTACTGACTTCTTCCAGACACGGGCCGCTCTAGAGAGCACCACGTACGTTATCCTGGCCCCCCTTGCTATCCCACAAGTGGCGACCGCTGACTCTTTTTGCTTTCAGGGTTCTCGATACGACCGAGATGAACGCAGAGACCGCGACCGGGAACGGAACCGGGATCGCGGCGAGCGGAGGCGTTCAAGATCTCCCCATCACCGCTCATCGCGACGCGAGTACGAAGCAGACTCTTATTCTTCGAGTCGAGACTACCGGGCGCGCGAAAGGGAAGACAGACACGGCGGCGGCACCAGGCGAGATGATCGGGATTGGGACAGAGACAGAGGCCCGAGACGCCGCGACGAGGACCGGCCACCCAGGAGAGACCGCGATTTGTTCGATGATCGCAGAGGAGGAGGCAATCGCGACCGTGATCGGACCGGGCGAGAAGACCGCGACGAGTTCGCTGCGCAAGCCCGCGGCCGCAAGAACAGTCCTCCGCCCAAGAAGAGGGAGCCCACCCCCGATCTGACAGACATCGTTCCAATATTGGAGCGCAAGAGGAGGATGACGCAGTGGGATATTAAACCGCCGGGCTACGAGAACGTCACGGCCGAGCAAGCAAAGATGTCCGGCATGTTCCCACTGCCAGGCGCCCCTCGACAACAGCAGATGGACCCAAGCCGGTTACAAGCCTTCATGAATCAACCCTCTGGCGGCGCGACCTCTACTGCGTTACGGCCCTCTAATGCGCGCCAGTCACGGCGGTTGTTCGTCCACAACCTGCCGGCATCCGTCACCGAGGAAAGCCTGTTGGCTTTCTTCAACCTCCAGCTCAACGGTCTGAATGTCGTCAAAGGCAACGATCCGTGCGCCCAAGCAAACATCGCCGAGGATAGGAGCTTCGCGCTGGTGGAGTTCAAGCAGCCTTCTGATGCGACAGTCGCATTGGCCATGGATGGAATCACCATGGAAGAGCACCATTCAGAGCTGAACGGCAATGGGACTGCGACTCCCAAGGGGCTGGAGATTCGACGGCCCAAGGATTACATCGTCCCATCAGCGGACGAGGATGCATACACAGATGGCGAGATCTCCACCGAGGTTCCCGACACTGCAAATAAACTAGCCATCACCAATCTCCCGCCGTTCTTGACAGATGATCAGGTCATTGAGTTGCTCAAAGCATTCGGAGAACTACGAGCATTTGTACTAGTGCGGGATAGTGATGCGCAGGAATCAAGAGTAAGTTCGCACTGGTCCCGGCTGGCGACAAAACTTCCTAACCGATCACTAGGGCATCGCTTTCTGTGAATATGCAGATCCGTCCGTCGCTGCCGTTGCAATTGAGGGGCTCAATGGCATGGACCTGGCCGGCAACGCCATCAAAGTCACCCGTGCCAGTATTGGATACACACAAGCTGCTGGGCTTGAAATGGGCGTTAATGCCATGTCCATGTTCGCCGGAACCACGGCTGAAAACTTGGAGGACGGACGAGTCCTACAACTATTGAACATGGTCACGCCCGAGGAACTTATTGACAATGATGATTATGAAGGTGAGAAAAGCAGGAAGCAGCATTACTCTGGCTATCCTCCATTTCCGCCCTTTTGTTCTTTTGGTGTCGACATGCTAACCAAAACCGTGCTGCTGCGTGGTAGAAATCTGCGAAGATGTAATGGAAGAATGCCAAAAGTACGGCACGATCCTGGCTATGAAGATCCCGCGTCCATCCATGGGAAGTCGGCAGTCGGCCGGCGTGGGCAAGATCTTTATCAAGTACGAAGAGCCCGAATCTGCGAAGAAGGCCCTGCAAGCACTTGCCGGACGCAAGTTTGCCGACAGGACCGTTGTGACTACGTATTTCGACGAGGTATGCTATTCTCTGTCATTTCTCATGGTGGAGAAGCCAGTGCTAACCGACGGTGAACTTGTAGGCGAGTTTCGATGTAAATGCTTGGTGATCCTGCCCCTAGCTCCGTACTCAACCATGATCCAACCATAGGAGGACAGCACGACCATTCGTCTGCATTCTTCTTGCTCGCTCGGTACCTTTGGAGCCCAGAAAGCGCGATCCCCTTCGAATAGTCGTTGGCACTGGTCATAGTGTGATGATGATGCAGCAACCGGTCCGGAGATCCTGTCGCTGACAGTGCCATTGTGGGAAACTCTACTTGAACCTTCTGGGCGCTGTCGTCGTCCGGTCCAGGAGAGACGCCCTAGGGGTTGGATGGCATGGATGGGCGCGCCTTGGCTTTTGTACTCAACAGGCATGGATGGACGGGAGTCCCCAGGAAGTATGTTCTTTTCTGCTCTTTTGGACGCTTGGTCCGCATGCACGCTGGAAATTATGGCAACTGGGGGTCAAGGAGAAAGGGAAAAAAAGGGGGGGAAGCTGCCCACGTCGTCGCAAGGAACACGATTGCCCCATCAATTGTTGGATCGACTCTGGTTCCCTGATAGGCAGGCAGGCAGGCAGGCAGAGTGATCGGATCGGATGGGATCTCTCTCCGTACAACTCTTTGGTTTCTGTTCCCCCCTTCGCACATGTACTTATAGAACCCGAACCGCAATCCCAAAAAATAAAGTTCGCCTTGGTGCTGCTTTGTTCATGTTATTTTTTCTTGTTGTTGTGTAAAGTGAGTGGGAATTCAAATCATAACCATGGACATTCATTTTCATACTTTTGAGTGGGGAGAAGAAGAAGAAGTGCATGAGCAGAGTCTCATATCGCGTTTTCATTTCGCCCCTGCTTATGCGCAGAGTGGTAGGAGAGTATTAGTAGAAGTAGGGACCATCTACATGTCATTGGCCTTGCTATCTTCTTATCTTCCTACCTATCCAGGTGTATGCCTCGTCCACCTCAACCAGCACTGAATCCGCCTTCCCGCCGGCCTGTCCGTCTGAAGAGCTGATTGACCGGTTTGATGCAACCACATTTCTAGCCCGTCCTGCCATGCACTGTTCGTTATCATCGTGTTCCATCTTGGTTCCATCTTGAGGTTCATAACACGTTTGTGTCGTCTTAATCGCGTGACATTTCCCCCTCACGTCTCGTGCTGCAATGCCCGCGTGCTCTAACCTGAAGGCATGCTGTAACACCAAGGAAGGACGACTAAGAACACCTCCAGACGTAACTCATCGCCCACATGTGTATGCATTTAGTCGTCATCCAAAATCAGCTTGGTGATCTTGCCCACGGCAATTGTCTGCCCTTGGTCTCTCAGCGTGAACCGTCCCAACTGCGGATAATCCTCGAATCTCTCGACGCAGATCTTGCCGCCGCCACTTGTCACCTGCAATCTCGCAATGATATTCTGTCCCTTTGCGGCAAATGGGGGCGGTTTCTTGCTCTTGCGTCCTGTCTTTGGCTCAAGCTTGTGAAGCAAAGCTGCAAACGTGACTTCTTCCGTTGCGGCATGGACGTGGATGACGCAGTTGAAGCCCGCAGAAAGGATGGACTTCAGTTCCACGATGTTGATCTGTGCCTCAAACTCGCTTACGCAGTGGACGAGACGTTTAGGTGAGCAAAGCACGAAACCCGGCTGGATGTCTTCTTCCTCAATGCCTCGCAAGCGCATGCGCACTTGGTCACCGCAGGTCGCGTAAGGGACTTCATCTTCCGTTTCGCCATAGAGGGCTGCAATACCAACTTCCTCACGGTTCGGCATCATGATCAAGGTCGAAGACTTTTGAACCACGCCGGCTTCGACCCGACCTTCGATCATGGTGCCCATGTCTCTGTATTTGGCGCCGATGGGCATCATGAAGGGTGCATTGATGTTGCGCTGGATTTTTGCCATGCCATCCAAGAATTCCAAGAGGGAGGGGCCTTTGTACCAATCAGCGACGCTGGGGTCAATGCGGTCTCTGACGTTGACGCCTGTTTGCGCGGAGATGGGCATAAAGGTGGAATCCAAGCCGATTCGCTTTTTCAGGTATGGCTTAAGTTTGCCGACAATCTCGTCGTACCGTTCTTTGGACCATTCCACTGTCGGATCGTCCATTTTGTTCACGACGACAACCAGCTCTTTGGCGCCAGTGGTCTTGATCAGCATGGCGTGCTCTTGGGTTTGCCCACCCTTTTCGAACCCGGTTTCGAATTCGCCCTTTCGAGCAGATATAACCAGGATTGCCACGTCTGCCTGGGCCGCACCACTCAACATATTCGGGACGTATGTTTTGTGACCTGGCGCGTCGAGGATAGTGTATCTCCGTTTCTCGGTTTCAAAGAAGCCTCGGCCAACTTCAACCGTCTTTCCTTTGGCCCTTTCTTCTTTGTTCAAATCCAATACCCAAGAAATGTACCAGGTTTCTCGCCCCGCATCTTTGGCGTCTCGCTTATACTTCTCCAGCGTACGCTCATCAACCATGCCTGTTTGGATGAGCACCTGGCCACCAAGAGTGGATTTGCCGGCGTCGACGTGGCCAATGAAAATGATGTTGACATGCTCCTTCCCGTACATTTCTTCCAGCACCGATGCATCCACATCGGCCGTTTGTGATTGCGCCACTTCATCAGCATTTCGTTGCTTTTTGGCGTCTGCTGGTGTAGGGGAAGACTTCCCTGATGATGGTGTAGGAGATGCCTTTCCGCTCACCTTTTCACCGGTCTTCTCGACGGCTTTGGCCGCAGCGACTTTGGCTCCGGCTTCAGCTTTGGGAGGGGTCGGTTCGTCCTTGGTGGTGGGAGAGGCTGGTTTCTTGGGGGTTGCAGACGCTGACGTTGGGACACCGATCGAAAGGACCTTCGCTTTGGGAGGTGCCGCAGCAGCTGGTTGTGGTTTGGGTGCAGGGGCGTCAGGGATCGCTTCAGCTTTAGCTGCTGGAGCGGGTGCCTGTTGAGGAGTTGGGGCAGGTGCAGGCTGGGTGTCCGATCTCTTCGCAATGCTTATGGGAGCGCCTTGTCGGGGCTGAAAGCCGCCAGGTGTCTGATTGTATGCGGCAAATTGGCCGCTGTTATAGCCCTGATTGTAGCCTTGTTGCTGCTGATATTGAGGGTATTGATTGTATTGCTGGCCATACTGCGGGTATTGGTTGTAGCCTTGCTGCTGCCCATACCCGTAGTTTTGATAGCCATTCTGTTGGTATGGCTGCCCTGGTTGGAATGTGGCAGCACCAGGCTGAAAAGACGCGGCTCCAGGCCTGAAAGTGTTGGCATTCATGTTCATATTCTGTGTTCTCTTTGAAAGATCTTCCTCTTGTGCCGCCGCATCTTCCCAGGAATCAAAATTGCCTGCCATTGTGAATATGCCTAAAAGGTTCGACTCGTAAGAATTGGAAAAGGTCTCCTGAGGAAGAGAAGGAGCGTACGATCGCAGGCTGTGAGTCAAATTCAAGTAGATATCAAGGTTTGGGCCTAAAGGAGACCTGCGGACTGCGTTTACATTTGGAGGGGCACGGGCAGTTTTGGGTACAAAAATTTCCTTGGCAAGGCTGGGCTGCGATGATTTCATCGCCAACAAGGCTGCAGTCACGCGCCACCCACCGAGCCAGATTCAAAACAACGATGTCTCCCATCTAAAAGATAAACTCGTAAGGATACTCAGGTATGTACAATATGGACTTTTCTCTGCGGAGACAACGTGCACCAACAATAAGTGCTTGACGTCTGTGTCACGCCTGCAACAGTAGGCTGAGAAAAACGTGCCACCCAGAACGGCCCTACTGCGTTATGCTTCCATTTCGTTCTGCTTGACGCTGTCACCTATCCTTTGCCCCTAGAAAGTTGGCATTTCGCGGGACCGTCCTATTCTGTATTCTGCAAAAATGGACGTCTTTCTGGGGAAAGTGACCCAGCAGGCTATGAATTATGCCATCCGTTCGGGCGTCACCATCACAGCCTCCTACGCGATCAGGCAATCAGCCAAACTTCTCAACAGCACCCCGAAAAGCAACGTCCGGGACGAATTGTACGGCTTGCAACAACGACTTCAGCATAAAATCCGCATCGTCTCCCCAGCGATTGACATGATCGAGCTGATTGCAGCTCGAGGAAACACGTCTCTGGAATCCGCTGTCGCCCTCACCAAGGAACTGCGTCTGGAGATACAGTCTTTGGGACAACGATTAGCCAAAGCAGCGGAGGCTTCTGAACAAGCTGCTAGGAAGAACAGCAAACTCAGCAGCCAGGCGAGACTTCAAAACGAAGCAGAGTTGACTTTGATAGTCAAGGACATCAAAAAGCTACTGGAGAGGATTGAAGATGCCGTCCCTCTGATCAATCTCGCCATCACCACTTCAGGCGCAAGCCTGTCAACTTCACTACCTCAATCTGTGTCCCCCTCACGACTTCTGCAAGCCAGCACTTTCCTCACAGCAGGCGACACTCAGTACTCCATCTCTCCAAGCCAGGCCGTGCAAATCGGACCCACTTTCACTCTTACCGTTTACATGTTATTCGCTGGCCATGACCGACCCCAGAATGAGGAAGAGATCCGAGAGACAACTTGGAAGGAGGTCATTCACAAAGCAAGAGTCAAGTTACGGCGGGTCCCCCTTGACGTCGTGCTCGGGACAGGATCCGGATCCGATGCCATTCCTTCTGCAGAGATCTCTTCTTCCCAAGCAGTCCCAAACACAGAGACGAACTTGCCTGACTCAGCACCAAGTATCCGCGCAGATGCGCGAGCCGACGAGTACGCATACCAAATGGTGATCATTGAAGATTTTGATGACGACCGCGTTCACGACTTTGAAGACGATCAGGCGCGCCCGGGTCCGTTTGACGACGTCAGACTCGCCGGAATCCGGGAGATTATCCCTGTGCACGAGATATCCAAGATCTTCTACGCGGATACAAGCAAAGTTTTGAACATCGGGACTGACGCAGAGAGCAATCACCCGGTGTTATTGTTAAAGAGAGACATGAACGCCATCCCTCCGAGGCGAATGGTCGAGAGAGACGGGCCGCTAGGAATTGGAGAAGCCGACCAAGATGGTGGCGAGCAAGATCCGGACCTGGTCATAGCTATGCGAGAGAGTTTGCAGCAGCAGCAATATGTCGAAGACCATGTCGATGATCCCTGGTGTTTTCCACCATCACTCGACCCGGAATGGATCGCGTTTGAGGTGTACGCGGAATCCGAACCAAGCGACACTGAATCCGACATTGAAGGAGATTCCACGACGGTTAATAACAACGGTACCAAGGACGACGACTACCCGCCTCAACTCACCGACGCAATGGCAAACATGCACATCGCGTCCGCATCGCCAGCGCAGCCTCCACCACCACCACCACCACCACCACCACCACCACCACCACAATCCAGCGCTCCACCCTGGGCCAATTCGATCCGGACCTCCTTATCGCTACTTGAACTCCTTTTGCGGCTCACATCGCTGCAACAGTTCCAGCAACAGTCGCACCTCTCGATTACTGACGAACTTCTCACGTTCTTCTTGGAAGAGAGCGCGTCGACCGGTGCAGGAGGCGACGAGAAGTATCGGCAGGCGCTGAGGGCCGACGCGAGGCGGAGAGTCGGGTGGGATCCGTACGATGAGAGTCCAGTCAAGAGGAGGGGCGAAGAGTACCAGTATCAGAGTGGTGGGTACTACGAGGAGGGAAGTACGAGTCTGAGGAGTCCGCCCAGCGGCGCGAATGCGAGCCCTGGAGATGATGGCCGATGGGTGATGAGTCCGCCGAGAAGCGCAGGTGAAAAGGTCAATGGGCCTCGACAGGTCACAGGGATGTCGCCCAGCCCGTCGCCAATACAAACCCCTGGGAAGTCGGGGAGGGCCGCGTGGTTGAGGAGAGCTGGCGGCGGTGACGGAAGTAGGAGAGCGAGTCCACTCCGGCCGCAGACCGCAATCACGGACGAGGGGATCGGGACGAGTCCTGCAAGTGCAGCGATGAACAACGCTTGAGCACCTGCAGGCCTAGCAACTTCTTTTTCCCAAGGAAGGGTCAGGGCAGAAAGAGTCATGAGACACGACGAGAGAACAGAGATTCATGGGCCCATGGGCTCTTTGAAAGGGAGTCAGAATGGAGAGAAGTGGCGCCTATCCGGTGCGAATGCTGTACCTACATGCAAAGCATAACCCAAGACAACGCAGTTTCATGCTTCAGACGGAACTACTAGCCTCTCCTGATCTCCATATATCTGAGTGTGCTGCTGCTCCTAAATTTCCTCTTGTTGTGGTATCTTAGTGCGGCTTTCTGCCGTCTGAAGAGGATGCTCTGCCTTTGGGCGCAGTTTGCTCGCGCTCTTGCCTTTGCTTGGGACTGGTTGCGTCTCGCCAAACATGTATAGCCTTCGTCTTGATAATTGTGCCGGATACGTTGAGAGGCGGCGTTGCACAGACGGATTCGGTGCGTCCTTGATGCCCAATTCAGAGGAATAGACATTTCTCTCGAGCACATGGTGCATGCCATCCTGTGAGCGGAAGGTTAATGCCCTTGCGAACTTGTGGCCGGAAGATGGTTTGTCCAGTTTGATCAGAACAGCATATCTGAAACTCATCTGACTCCCATCGATGCTCTGATCTGCATGATCTGTGCCCTCTCAGTCGGAGAAAAGGAATCGATTGTTCGCTGATCCATGGCAAGGACTTGTTGGATCATCTCTTGATGAGACAGTTGAGGCTGAGCGGGAGGCTGTTGCGGCGGTTGCTGTTGCATGGTTGCTGTCGGATATTGCTGAGGTCTCGGAGGAATCTGACCGGGTACCATGGGCGGTGGAAAGCCGGGGTATTGCTGTGGAGTGGCCTGCGGTGGAGGAATTCCGGCTGGCTGAGGTGGTCTCGCGGCTTGTTCCACGACTTGTGCCAGCACTTTGGGATCCACGAGATTCATGAGGATTAGAGCCTGGAAAATGGCATAGGAGAGTTGTGGTGCGGTCCTAAGGAGGGAGGTGGCTCTTGCAGGATCCGATATGGCCAGCGCCTTCATCTGGGTGAGGACGTCGAGCAACTGGGGCGGCGGAAGCGTAGAAAGGGTCTGGGAGATGGCGTCGGTCGCTCTGAGATTTGGGGGAAGATCAGTCCCTGAGGGAAGCGGAGGTAGGGCGCTTGCGCCAGTTTGTTGGTGCGCATCCCCCGCAGGACCAGCAGTCTGCTCGTAGTTTGTTGGGACCGAATCTTTCTCATTGTTGTGAGGCCAATCGACGCGGATCTTGCGTCCGTCGATCTCGAAATCGTTCAAATTCCTAACTGCGCTGGCCGCCTGGTCCGCATCCTGGAAGTCTGCAAAGCCGAATCCTTTTGATTTGCCCGTATCGGGGTTGGTCATCAACCTGAACTTAACAACCGTACCAACTTGACTGAGAATCTTAACAATGTTTTCCTCGCTGAGATCTAGGGGGGGTCAGTCGTTTGGGATATGCAAGGTGGAGTGTAAAGGACTAACTGAAGGGAATGTTGCCCACGAAGACGCTGCGACTTTGTCCGGGAGCCATTTTCAGTTGCACACAGCTTGAGAATAAGGGAGCAAACTTCACAGTCGCAACAGCAGAGGAGTAGAGGTGTGCGCAAATAATGGTGACTTGAGCGAGAGTCTGGACGGCAAGATGCATTCCGTCCTGCGGACAACTTGAAGTTATGTAAAAGCGGCGCCAAGATGAGTAAAAACTGCTCGCGGCTCACCCCCGATCGGGCCACGGTAAACCCAGCCTTCGCCATACCTCCCCTTTTTCAAGTGGCAGTGCCTAGGCTCAGTCCTGCGCTCTTCAGCAATGTGTATTCTTGCAGCTTCCTCGTTCTCACCACCTCTTTGATCGCTTCTTCCAGCTTATTCGAATCGAATCGTCCTTGAATCTTGCCCTGGGTCGTCACTCGATGGGCATTCTTCTGGAAGATCTGATCGGAGAGGGAGAGGTAAGCGTCGATACATTCGTCCATTGTCATCTCCAGTCGGCCTAGCATGAAGGCGATCAGCCTAGAATATCAGCAATCATCCCGTACTACGTCTTCTGCAGACGAACCCGCCGGTGTTGGTCCCGCCAATCATGTCGAAGTATTCGCACGGCCCCGGAGGATGTTCGGGCTCGATGGTGTACATGAGCTGTTCGAGAATCATCAAGGATGAGAGCCCACGCATGCGCCGCCGTCGAGGGCGAGCAGGCGCAGTTCTTTCTTCGGCATGGGTAATTTAGTGGCACAACAGAATCAATTGAGCTGGTTGCCGCCGAGTGGTGGCGTTGACGCCAGCGAGATATGAGCTGGCTGGCATTTCATTATTCAAAGACAAGCCACCTGTAGAGGTCAACAAAGCTGATGCGCATCTGCAACCCGTCAGGCTGGTGGAGTTCTTTCTCAGTCGCCTTGTCCTTCTTGTATGCACTTCCATTAGTTCTACAGTCAGTGAGTGAGCGATGTCATTTACCCTGACCTCTCCCGTGGGATTTGCAGGCTACCACTATTAAAGCTAATCCTTCAGTCGCAATTCGACCGTTACTATCTAACATGCACGACCTTTAAGCCTCGCTAAGGCCTGTATTGTTCTCTCGGCCTGACCGCCGGGGCCCGTGATTTGAATCTTTGAGATGCGTCCGCAAATTCGAGCACTGCGTTCAAAGCTTCACGGCTGCCATTGTCGTATGATGTTAATCACCGATAGAACTTCCGCACGTGAGATATCTCTGGGGCTCTCGTCCAATGCATCGAGCAAAATATACGCGTGGCGGCACCGGGCAATAGCTTGTCGTTGATATTCAAGGAGAGCCGGGACTGGTGAACTGCTATGACTATATAAATTCTTCAGGCGGGTAAAGTCCGCTTGCAAACCGGGAACCTGTCCACAGAGTTGGAGGAGTAATGCGCATAGCATTGCGGGTGCATCTTGTTTCGACTCGTCTCTAAAATCGAAGAAGAAGAAGAAGAAGGCCACCGCACTGTCGGCGGATGATTGTCGGCGGCGGAAGGCGTGCTGGATCGCCGTCGAGCACAGCACGGACTTGCCACAGCCGGCGAAGCCAGACAACCAGAGAAATGAGTTGTCCTGGAGCAGCCATGTGGTGTAAGCCGGACCTTGGACCGGCCACTGCCCCGTGCTAGTGTGTCGCTTGGCAACTGCGACGTTGAAGTTGACGGTCGCGTCAGGTGCCCTCAGTCACTGCCGTAGATCGGCACGGACACTTCGTGCCTGTATGTCCTTGACAATATTGTGAACTCCTCAATGTCGCTCTGTGTCTTCTGATGCTCTCTCAATTGAAGCGCCTACAGCGCGATCGATAAGTTGCCCTGGAAATCGCTGATATCGTCGCCGAGGTCTTCTAAAGTGCTTCTCTTGAATGGATTTGCCGCCCGTCGTCCAAGCACGACTGCCTTCTTTCTCCAGTCATCCGTGGGTTCCTTTTTGAACTTCTCGACCTCACCCCGTCACGAGTTGATGGCGTCCTCACTATGGCTGATGGACCTTTCGATACTTTGTATGATTGACTGCTCATTCGGCCGCCATGTGCGGGTGCGCACGATCTGGTTGACATTCCGGAGGGACTCGAGCAGGCCGCCGAGTTGGTCTGCGATTTTGGCAAGATCTCGATGCTGATCTCGGCACGCAGTGTAGTACTGGTAAAGATACTCTGTAAGGTACGCTGCAGGCCGAGAGACAGCAAGCCGGCCACGCTAGCGGCGACGGATAGTAGATCGCCCATGAGTCCTTCAGAATTGCTCGTTGGCTACTTGGCAGCTCACCCTACCTACTCAGGGTCGCATATAAGGTCTGTCCGTATGTAACAGTGCCTTGCGAAGGGGATTAATGGTTTTTGTCTCTGATGACTTTGTGGACTTCGATAGAACTACAACTACAACTACTACTCCCTGTGGGACCAACTCGGTTGTATTGATCTATCGAATGGCAAAACCTGAGGTGGGCAGGCCGCGGCAACAATAAGTGCCGCAGTGCAAAACTATCTAGTGTGCGCTAGTACGTAAGTAGACTAGGTCATCGGCTAACCTGCCATTCCCATGGTATGGCAACAACTACTACTAATAGTACACGGTACTACTACCTAGGTACTACCACCACCGCACATGAATCACAACTCGACTCCTGCTTATCCTCCGTCCCACCACGTGGCCGTTACCACTACTACTTGGTACTTGTGGGTTCGCCCATGGTCTCAGGCTTGCAGCTTGCAGCATGCTCGGCAATCTCTAACCGACGACAATCTTTTGCCGATGGGAACAGACAAAGCTTTTACCACACGTGTCCAAGTACATCCGTATAAAGAGAGGTAAGCTCACACCTTCTCTGTTGATACTGGGCCACGGCACAAGTCTGGCAAATCCTGGAAGTAGTGAAGGCCTTTTCCATCTCGTTTGTTCTCCGACATCAGACCCCATTGCAAGAGTAGGGCAATCATGACGGCCACAACAGCCACCACTACTACTACTACTACTACTACTACCACTCTCAGCGAGACAGCAGTCACTCTTGCAAGGTCACCCTACCCTGACGGTGTCCCAGTCAAATTCTCCCCAGACGGTCTTGTCCAACGGTATCCTGGTAACACCACCATCTGTCACATCCCGCTCGACTCTCCCCTGATATCCGGTCTACGTGCTATCCACGACGCTCTCGGCTCCCACCAAACTCTTGCTCGCTTCTTCCGTCTGGTCCCTCCAGAAACATGGCACATGACCGTTTTGGATGGTGTCCGGGAGATCGAGTGTGAGGGCGACATGTGGCCGGAAGATTTGGAAAAAAGACCGCTGGACGAGTACACGGTCGAGTTTTCCAAAACCTTGGGACAGCTGGGTGACCAGCTCCAAAGCGAGGGCCTGGCACCGCCATACAAGATGCGAGTTCGGGGATTCGATCCCGCCGTGGTCGGCGTGGGACTTGAGATCGAGGGAGCCACCGACGAGGAAGAAAAGCGTATGAGGAGGCTGAGGGATCGACTCGCCGACGCCATGGGGTTCCGTGCCCCTCGACATGACACGTACATCTTCCACGTCACCGTCGCCTATCTGTTGCGACATGTAGACGGTGACGATAGGCTTGCGCTCAACAAGACCTTTGCTGAGCTTCTCCCCAAGGTGAAGATGGAATTTGATCTGGGCGCTGTGGAATTTTGTGTGTTTCAGGACATGTGTGCGTATCCAAGGCTGTTCTACCTCGGGCGAGAAGGAGGAGGGAAATCTGCTTGATAGATCGTCCTATGGCATAACATCACCCACGTGCAAATCATCAAACGCTCGCAGTTGACTCTGTGACAACCTGGAGTACTGCTTCTCAAGATTGACCCTGTTGTAGTAATCACCTTCTGTGAAGTCACGTAACCTACTGACTCGGCAGAAACAGCTTTTCTGCCCCTTCTGGAGTATTAGCTCACTACACCGCCATATTTGCTTGCCTCGTCGCTTGGAGATTTTCCGTCGGTTCCAGATAAGCACAAGGTGGAGCTCGAAATCCTCCGTCGGCAACAGATAAGAAAAGCTCCCATACCACCTTGGAGGGTTTTCAAAGATGACTTCTCGCGTGTCTGGCCACGAGGTGCTGCTCAACTTGGTGATTGGCGGTCCTTCTAAAAGGATCTTCTGCAAGATTTGTCTATCCACAAACTTATTCCAGAACATGGCGTTCTGCACGAGATCACCACCGAGACATACGGAGCAGAGCACGCAAGCCCGCGAGTATTTAAGAAGTGGTCGTAATGTCGTCCCTTGGAGAGGTGGAAAGCAGTATGACAGGTCTCTCTCTAGCCCAGGGGTCTTCTTCTTCTCGTCCAGCATTGTTAACTTGAATTGTGCCGAGCACGAATAGTTCCTGCAACGACGTCCTTTAGCCATGGCGGCCCAGAAAGAAGTCGACGTCTCTGTAGCCGAGGAGCCTCGACTTAGCAGCAGCCCGGCCGAGTGGCTGCCCGACGCTCAAGAGGGAAACAACCAGGAGCACGACTTGCGTTTACGGGATGCCATCAAGCTGTATCCCAAGCCCATCTTCTGGAGCTTGGCCATGTCGGCCGCCATCTTCATGGAAGGATACGACACCATGTTGATGGGCAATTTGATCGCTCAGTCGACGTTTCAGAAACGGTACGGTGTCCCTGTTGGCAAGGGCAAATACGAGATCCCTGCGAAGTGGCAAGCCGGGCTGAACAACGGGGGTTCCTGTGGCCAGTTGATCGGTCTGTTGGTAGCTGGATGGGTCAGCGACCAATTCGGCTTTCGCAAGACCATGATAGCTGGCCTGATGGTCATTGTCGCATTCATCTTCATTCAATTCTTTGCTCCGAGCCTCGACGTACTCGAAGTCGGTCAGGTACTTTTTGGTATGTGCGAGATCACCCCGGATCTTGGGAGTGATGACCCCCATGATGTACCTGACGAACTCGAACACTAGGAATTCCTATTGGTCTATTCCAGACCATTCCTGTCGTCTATGCAATGGAGATTGCTCCAACTTGCCTTCAACCGTACCTTACCACCTGGGTTAATGCCTGCTGGGTATGACATCTCTCCTGTCGAAGCTTGAACGGACACAAGTTTAAACACTGACACTCTCAAAGGCAATTGGCCATCTCATCGGCGCTGGCATTCTCCGCGGAGTTCTGAGCATCCAAGACCAGTGGGCGTACAGGATCCCATTTGCTGTTCAGTGAGCCAAATCTTTGCAGTAGGAAAATCGTGACTCAGTCCTAACTTGATCCATTTCCAGATGGGTGTGGCCTGTCATCCTGATACCGCTCCTCACCTTCGCGCCCGAGTCGCCCTGGTGGCTCGTCAGACAGGGTCGCCTCGAGGATGCAAAGACCGTCCTGAGGGGTCTCTCGTCCAAGCAACATCAACAAGAAGGTCTGGACATTGACAAGAAAGTGGCCCTGATGGTCGTCACAACCGAGTACGAACGCGCCGTCAACGCCGAGACTTCTTACCTGGCCTGCTTCAAGGGCGTTGACCTGAAAAGGACCTTGATCCCCATCGGCATTTACTGCATCCAAACCCTCAGCGGCAACCCTCTCCGCGGGTATTCGACTTATTTCCTCGAGCAGGCCGGCCTGCCCAGCACGCAGGCTTTCAACATGACCATTGTGAGCTATTCGTTAGCTTTGCTGGGAGGGTTCGTGGCGGTAGGTTTCATCACCTTTTTCGATG